TCTTGAAGTGCTGCTTCCTTGCTAGTAAGATTTTCTGTTAGCTGCTCATGCTCACTTGTAGCTTTAGCCAACGATGCCTCAACTGCGGCAAGTCTCTCTGTTAGAGAACTATGCTCTACCTTGCCACTTTCCAAATCTTTCTCAAGATCAGCAAGCCTCGCTTGCGTGCTAGCCAGCTCGTCCTTGACTTTAGCATGGCTTTCAGCCTCCTCGGACAGACTTGCAAACTTGAGCTTGGTCTCTTCGAGTTCTGACTTTAGTGATTCATGGCTCTCTACAGCTGATTTGAGTTCCGCGATACGGGTCTGAGCCGCTTCAAGTTCTGACTTTGTTGCGCTGTGTTGCTCTGCTTGTTCTTCTAACTCTGCCACCCTTGCACGAGAGGATTCAAGATCCGCATGTATGGTAGCATGTGCTGCAGCGGCGGCGGTGAGGGCGGCAATCTGAGCCTCCAGATCTGCCTTAGTCGACGAATGTCCAACTATCTGTTCTTCGAGTTCAGCGGTTCTGGCATGCGATCTTTCAAGGTTAGATCGTGTCTCTGCGTGTTGTGCCACCTCGGTTTGAAGTGCGGCAACTTGTGCCTCGAGATCACTCTGAGCATTCTTATGTTGATCAATTTGAGCCTTCAATTCGGAAATCTCGTCATGTGCCTTCTGCAATTCCACAAGTTGAACTTCATGATCAGAAGATGCAGAAGCCAGTGCTGATACCTTAGCCTCGAGATCGCTCTTCTCCTTTAAAATTTTCTCAAGTTCTGATTTGGTTGCGGCGTGCGAAGTCTCGGAAGCCTCGTGTGCTGCCTTTGCGGTTTGCAGCTCTTCACTCAAAGCTGCCGAACGTACTTCATGAGCCTTTGCCTCTGCTTGCGCATTTTCGAAAGAAGTGCGATGAAGTTCTAGCTGCTCATTGACCGCGGACAGAGCATCATCATGCTCTTTCTTCAAGCTTTCTACTCTCGCGTCCGATTCTGTGAGCTTAGCCTTAGCCATCTCGAATTCGGCTGTAAGCGAGTCAAATGCAGCTTGATGCTCAGCTGAAACAGTGTCTTTCGCAGCAGATAATTGGTTTTGTGCCGCCTCAAGTGCCGCCAAGGCTTCTGTGTGCTTCACATTCAGAGCATCATGCTCTGCTGTGAGTGCTTGAAGCTTCGAGTTGGTGGCATCTAATATCGCACTTGACTCCGCTATTTTTGCCTCATGGCTCTCCAAAGCACGTTTATGTTCTTCCTCCCGCCTCTCTAAGATATCAACGTGAGAGGTGACCAACGATGTTTGTTCCGCAAGCGATGCCTTGGTGGACTCGAGTTCAGTCACAGCATCCGAATGACGCTTCTGCATTTCCGCTAGTGAAGCCTGGAGCCGTTCAACTTCAGCAGCAGAAGTGTCTTTCGCAGAATGAACCTCCTCGAGTTCCTTCGTCAGCAAAGTCTTTTGCTCGTCATGATCCCGTGTTCTCGATTCAGCATCAGCCTTTACTTCCTCAAGCTGCTTCTCAAGGTCCTCGATCTTAGATTGTAGCTCCATTCGTTCTTTATCAAAGCTTGGCATGTCCGCGCTGGGAGCAGCCGCTGCACGATTGCAGCGAGCCTCTTCAAGCTCCTGCTTGGTTGTGTCAAGCTCCCTCCGGACGCTCTCTATCTCACTCTCGAGCTTCTCTTTGGCCGCAATCGTCGCCGCTAGAGCCTCGGCGGCATCTTCCGCCTTCTTCTCGAGATCCTTATATCTCTTTGCATAGCCATCAGCCGCAGCCTGTGCGGCAGCTAAATCCCTTCTGGTCGTTTCCAATTCGTCGCTTGTGTCATTGTCTTCGATGACTCTAATTGTGTTCGGCATCTCTCTTCCTTTCTCCTCAGTCGTCGCCTGTTGTTCAGCCAGCTCCGAAAGCCTTTCTTTGCTGGACTCTCTGATCATACCGAGCGACCTCTCGCTCTCGGGGGAATCTGCTGCGGATTTGGCTTCGGCCGTTGTTTCGTCCTTGCCTTCTTTCCGTGGTGATTCCGTGGCTTGTGCTTGTACGTCCTTGTCCATTGCAGGCTGCTTTGGTTAGCATTGGCATAATTAAGTCTTGGAAGAAGAGATCTACCGTCGCCTGGGGAGTTTTGTTTGCAGCATCCTTTTCCCATCTTGCAATTACCTTATCCTGAAGAAGCAGTATATTCGACGCTTCTTCAAGCTGCGCTTCGTACTTCTTGACCAGCTTCCGCAATCGTTCCGCCTCCTCGGGTAGTTTTTCATGTTTTGGAGGTTTTTTGGGCGATCCTCCAAAGATCTTGTAGTATGTATTTAGAACGCTTCGGAAACTCGAAGACCTCTTGGGTGTCGCGGATGTTGACATAGCCGAATCGTGTCTCGAATGTCTCGACTTTTTTATGACCTGCGGTGTAGGTGCTTCTGTTGGTACCGCGGCAGAAGCTGATGTTGATGCTAACTCAGCGCCGTCCCCTTTTCTTTCCGGTACTTTGGCCGGGTGCATCTCCTGAGCTGCACCTGCGGATTCTTCAGCGGCTGGGCTGGTATTTGAAGCTCCGTCCGTGAAATTCGATGGAATAGAAGGAACCGCTGGAAATTCGCCCAGGATTTGGGTGATAGGCCCGCCTGAGGCCCCTGTGAGGCTAACTCTATTTTTGAGCGACTTTCGACTGCTCGGTCGAGCAGAGCTGTACATGCAAAGCGTCAGAAAGTTTCAATACAAAAACAAGGGCACGATGTTTTCATGCATGTCAAAGCGCACAGGGGTTGGCGACACAAATATGCAAAAGGGCTTACTCGGTACTCGTTCTTCCTTTGAAAAGGCTCGTCATCTCCCCAACGACTCAATATCATAAAAGTTTAGGGAAGGAAAGATTAAGAGAGACGCAATGGCAATGACGCGCAGCGAGCGAGCATATAGAACATTTTCCACCCCCAAGGCTCGAAGGTCTGAGCTTCCAGCCAATGACAGCGGTAAGGTAACGTGAGCGAATCAAAATCAGACACGCACAAAATGGTGCCAGCGAACAAAAACTCTTCGGGCCTCAAATTCGCTCACGATGGGGCGCTCCGGGACGCTGGTTCATGTACGTTGTCGCCAGATCGGGTATGGGGTGTGACCTGGTCCATTAATATTGCCACGGTATAAGTCGGACGTTCAGGAACAACCTTCGACAGTCGCATGGCGTTGGGCCTCGACGTTTGGCCATGGACGATCCGCGCAAAGCAACAAGAACTGGAAGACGCTCGAGCTCAGTGAGCAGGCGGCCAAAACATTGGAGTCGCAACGACGACATTGCGCACGACTCGATAAAAAGACGGAGGCATGGTTGAGGAAGGCCGGAAAATCGTCCGCGCAGAGACGTGCAGCGCCCTGCGTCCACCTCACCGCAGTTTGCATGACATGGTTCGTCGTCTATGGAGCAGCCGGACCCTCGAGGCGTTGCCAGCGCGCAATGCGAATGCAATGTACTCCAGAACAAGTAGCCCACCGTGATCACGCCTCTTCTTGCATTTTTCGATCGAGGGAGAGACACGCGATGCAAAGCGCGTCGGCGTCAGCGTCAGTCCACGCAGTGGCTGCGTCCAGTGGGATTGGCGGATGACTCGCACGGTCGTGGTCACGCCTGTGCAGGACCAGCGGGCATAAAGGGCGCAAGCCTTACATTTACAGTCACGCTGGCCGAGAGCGCCAGCCGGTCGCTTGATAGGTGAGGTGGGAAATTGGAAAGTGAACCTTGAAACATGGGGATGGAGGATGGTTTGGAAGTTGCTCGAGAGGTTGGAGCCATGCAGGGACAGGGCGAGCAACCATATGCAGCCTCGCCCTCGCCCTTTGCGTGACGTAGACAGAGCGGGACTGGCGAGGCTGAGAAATGCTGCGTCGCAACAACAGCGGACACTAGAACGGATGGCATGAATGTACTTTTTCGGGCATCGTAAACTACAGCTGTTTGCCCACCGTCCCATACACTCCCATTCCAGGCTTAGAAGGACTTTTTGGGGCGTTGGCGCTTGAGGCACGAGACGAACACGCCCGACCAATTAGTCGTGTTCTTTCTCACCGTCTTCGCTCGACTCTCCATGATCCCGCAGGCACTGAGAGCAGAACCACCGCTCCCGCGCCAGGCCGAATGATGAATAAATACATCTTGTACTGTGGACACTTGGCAGCACTGACAATTGTGAAAACAACTAAATCCTTCCTCCATCTCTCTCGTCGCGCTAAGACTCGACCCAAATGACGCTTGTGAGGCTGAAGTCACGTTCCGCCGCCCACAATCTGATCGTAGAAGCCCTCAGATTAGCTCTCTCAGTTCTCAACGACAACCTTCTCTCAACGAGCGGCTGCCTGCAACTTTGGCTTTTGTCTTGACTATTGATAGTCGCTCATCACCGGGCTTGACCTCTCCCTCTTTCCTCACGGCTTATCCCGAGCGCAACAAGCACTCAAAGAAGATGGTGCAGGAACGCTCCGATTGAAAACTATAAACTGAGAAAGGATCCCTCATCAGCTGTCAACGGCTATGAACTGACCGAGCCGGCGCTTCAAGAGTGTGCGCTGCTTTATCATCACGGCGTCCGTCACGTGCAGTCCATCTTCTCTGCGCTGTTGCGGGCAAGGACATCAGCCTGAGAGAGAAGAGAGGGTGAGGAAGATCAGAGCGCGACCCTCGGATTTCTGTTCTTGTATTTCACTCATGGCCCGTTCCCATGGTACGCTGTACAATGACCGGGTCAAGAGGTGGAAAATTAGGCCACCCCAACGAGCCATCGTGAGCCTAGCTGTGTGTAATTAGACTATCGTCACGGGGTGCTGCAATGCAGACGGTCAGTACACCGGTCTTGCTGTCCGATTTCAGGCGAGAGGCTCTCCGTTGCACGACTTACCTGCACGTTATGAGACTTGAATCGGCAGCGCCAAAACAACCAGACGTAGCCAGAAGGGGATCCGGTTTTCCGCCTTGGCGCCTTAAGGCCTCGTCATCCCTCAGCCCGGCGACCAGGAGTCTCGCTCACGGTAAGCTGGTCGCATTCCCTATTGGGGGCAGGAATGCGGCATACACTCAGTTCCCGTGCTACAACAGAGCAACACCAAAACTTCGCCTCCGTTTTGCCTCGTCCGACCCGTCATCACTGCTTCTTTAACCCGCCGAGTTTTCAGCAGCGCCGGCCTACGTACACTCGTTTTCTGAGCTCCCCAACGCTTGCTATCTCTGCCGGGTTTGCGACAAGTCTCCTCAAGCCTCGTCCCGTCTTCGTCAGACCGGGCCACACCGATGGTGCGGAGAACACAGCCGGCGTGTGCTCGTAGATGAAGGAATAGCACGCAGAGATGCCTGGCAAGGCGACTCTGCTGCCAGAAGGGGAGCAAGATGCCAGGAAACTCAAACGGCGGAGCACGTTGAATCTATTCCGCAGTACCAATCTCACCACCACAACCACTACCAACCACCACCACGATGACGACGTTGCTCGTCCGACCACCCGCTCCTCGTCCCGTACGAATCCAACGAAGCGTGCCGCATCTGAGGATGGTCCGCGGATCCTGAACAGGACCATTTCGTACTCACATGAATCAGAACGCTCGCATTCTCCCTCACTCCCCCCTCAGCCTGCGAAGGGTGCGAGATTCAGTCTCGCCCGTTTTAGACACGCATCAGACCCGCAACTGGGATCGAGAGCGAAGCAGCAGGCGGCCGATGCCGAGATCGATATTCCGCCAGTGCCGGCCATGCCGACGAAGGTGCCTAGTAGTCAGCGTCTGAGGCCTTCTAACAGCACGGAAGATCACATGGGGGCGCCAACGGTGATGATTACCGCGCCAACAGTAGATGGTTCGATCGAATCGACACTTGTGCCGGCACTGGAAAGGAAGAGATCGAGGTTCCACCCCTTTACCAGGCAGAAACAGGGTGATGGGCCAGTGGTGCTTGAATCACAGTCGGCGCGACCCTCAATGGAGGTGAAGCGAAAGACCGAGAACAGAAAGAGCAGATTCGGGACTTTTAGCAGATCAAAGGACCCTGTTGAAGAGTTGCGGAAGTTAGCAGGCAGTCGGATGGCCACACCGAATGGCGAAGAGTCGCTCTCAGCGGCAACCAGTCAGAACGGAGGTTCTACATTGACGTTGCCCTTGGGCAGAAAATCAGAATCTTCGCGATCAGATCTAAGCCGCACCCACTCCTCTGAAGCCACGCCGATCAGCCCAGAGAAGTCCTCTACCCAATCGCACTCCACGTTCTCCTGGCTGTCGCGCAGGAATAAGCAACGTAATTCACTCTTTCCTCTGCCCGTACACATTGCCCCTCCTTCGGACGAGTCTAGGCCCCCGACAGAGCCGCAAACACCGCGTGCATCTACAAGTGGCCCAAGCATTGATACCCCCGACGACTCACCAGCGCACGCAAGCCCTGCAAGACAGGCACGCATGGGCTACAATCATCATGAGGTCTTTGACATGGCCTCAAACTCTACGTCTGCTGCCCTAGCCGCTACTGCAATACATTTCGCCGGGCCCGGTGGCGCATTGCCCAGGACAAACTCCAGTCAGTCACTACGCTCAGCACAGTCCACTCCTGCGCTGGGACTCCCTTACGCAACCAAAAGAATGCGCTCGTCTACCATGGGGTCAACGTCTGGCCAATCAGAGGCCAGTCACCCTCCTACTCCGCCGCTCCTAAATGGCAGCGGCAGAACTTCAACGTCCACTGCCGGACGTAGCAGTTTTAGTAACCTCGTCCACTTAAGGTACCGATTTAGACATGGCTCGGACCCGCACTCTCCTAGGCAAGGCTCGCCGGGCTACGGGACGGTTACTCCAGGACGCGACTCCCAATCTAATTCTCTGAGCATAAGCAGAGAAGCTATCGTTTTACCGGACAGGGAGGAGGGCGAGCCGCCCTTGCAGTATCTGTCACGCGTCGAGAAGTTAGCACCAAAAGATCAAATCCCAAGCATACTGTCGAAAAAGACGGAGGACTTTTACCACACCGTCATGCGAAGCTTCATGCGTAAATTCGCGTTCTTTGGAGACCCTCTTGACATGGCGTTGCGTAAGCTGCTCATGGAGATCGACTTGCCAAAGGAGACGCAGCAAATTGATCGTGTACTGTCAAGTTTTGCGGATCGATACCATGAATGCAACCCTGGCGTCTTTCCTGATCCTGGTATGCCCTTCATGAGAGCTACGTCGAAGTTTTGAGCTAACACCGTTGTAGACAAAGCATACTACATGACCTTCTCGCTGCTCCTTTTGCACAGTGATGCTTTCAACAAAAGCAACAAGCGGAAGATGACGAAACAGGACTATGTGCGCAATTCTTCTACCGAAGGTGTCTCTGACGACGCCCTTGAATGCTTCTATGACAACATCTTGTATACCCCTTTCATCAGGGTCGAAGACGATATAGATATCAAAACCATGAGCTCGCGGAAGAGCAAAAAGACGCAACGTGTGATCAAGCAAGCCGTGGAGCAAACAAAGACGACCAAAGAACCGCTTGACCCGTACACCCTGATTTTTGAGAACAAGCTTGACATCCTACGACCCCCACTGAAGGGCGTTATTGCTGTTGATGATCCATACTCGTACCTTGGAACCGCTCCAGCCTTCGCCAAAAACCTGCTGAAGGGTATAAAATGTGGAATTATCCAGCTGGAATCCTCACGATCAAGGCCAGACGCTTTCAAGTCACAGTCTGGCATTGATAACCCTGAGGACGCCAACATTGGTTTGATAGACTTGCCAGTACAAAAAGTCGGCGTGCTCTGGAGGAAAGATCCAAAGAAGCGGACAGCGCGATCGCCGTGGCAAGAATGGGGCGCCATTCTCACGGGTGCCGGATTGTACTTCTTCAAGAACTCACACTTCGTGAAAAATTTCATTAGCCAATATGAGGACCATGTTAAGCATGGAGATGACGGCCAGCTCACGTTCAAACCAACGATTCAGAACTGGAGGGCTGACTTCCTGATGCCAACGGAGAATGGCGTAGCCCTGCATGATTCAACGTACAAGAAGCACAAGAATGCTTTTGTTTTCTTCAGACACAACAATGCCGAGGAAATTTTCCTTGCGGACAATGAGCACGAGATGAATGACTGGTTGATGAAGCTTAACTGTCAGGCCGCATTTAAGACGTACGGGATTAGGCCGCGAGGTCTGCTTGGGGGTCATTACGAAGGTCAGAGACAGAGAGGCATGCGCAGGCTTGAATCCTCGAATTCAACTACGACGGCGCAGACGGTGCAGACGCCCACGGGTGAGGTCACGATTCAGAGCGGAAAAATTGATCGAGAACTTGCAGATCAGATCCGCGAAGCTCGGCGGGAGACAATGCAAGCGAAGATTAAAGAGCTTGAGGAAAAGCTAGCCGACCTTATTAGAACGGAGCGAGAGCAAAGGCGAGACGCAACCCACCTCTTTGTTTTGGCGCCAATTCAAGAGCGTACGAGGACGCAACTGATGCATGCGGCAAGCAGAGTGTCTGCCCAGCTCAAGTGGAGTCGCATCGAGATCTGGCGCATCAAATGTCATCGCGACATCCTAGCCATGGATCTTGAAGATGAAAAGATCGAGTTGCAAAGGCGTCAAAATTACATCGACAGAATCAGCCCAACAAGGCCTGCTAAGACACAGTCCATAACGTCGCAGTCCACAACTTCGACAGCAAAGCCCCGTCCTAATGGCCTTGACCGTCTGAGCTCTACTGGTACAACTGGTAATATTGGTGACAGCCCGGCAAAGAGTGTGCAATCTCGCGCTTCCGGGCTCCGACCCGATACACGGATGTCTACGCGATCTGCATCTCAGCGATCCAGTGTGATGACGACAGGAGAAGACGAAGTATTCCAAACACCTCCCGAGACGACCCCTACAGGCAGCCCTGTTCCCCCTGACTCGCCTGCATCCCCACCAGTTGCTACGCCCACCTCAGCAATCCACCGGGGTTCCATCGTTTCAGCAATGAAGTCTTCGCCGTCGATGCGTCCGGAAAGTCCGTCTATAGATGGCTCATTGGACTCGCCATCCCTCTCCGAGTTCCGTACCCCAATGCTCACAGATGCAGAAGCAGAAAGGCAAAGGGAAGAGGGCGGCATCTTAGGTAGTCCCTTTGGCATGGACGGACATGCCCTTGAACGTCCAGGCACAGCCACGAGCACCGAACCTGAGAATGACAGGCCAATGTCCGAGAGATCGGCTCCTATGACCGGAAGCCCCGACTCCAAGAGACACGTACGCCGGAGCTTACAACGCACTCTTCGCGATTCTTCGAAGAGAGAGCCGTTCAAGGACGGACCGCATCATAGCAAGAAGGGCAGTAAAAATGAGTCAATCTCGTCTACCGTGCCTGAAGGAGCCATCGCAGAGGGTGACAGTCCTGCTTCGGCTGGCGAGGGACTCAAACGGCATGCTGGCAGCTTCACAGTGCACGGCAAGAAGGCATCGGTCATCACTTTTGGTGGAGATTGGGCCAGCATGGATCCAGGCGAGCGATTAAAGACGCTTGCCAGACATGAAAGTCAGAAAGATACCGAACGCCTCAGCCACCAGAACCAGGCATCCTCGGCTCTCATTCCTCCCATCGCTGAGGGCTCTAGCCATAGGGCTAGAGCCATAGATGATGGTTTTATGATCCCGCCTCGACGCAGCAGTGTCAGTCTCAAGGAGCGCAGGGCTGTAAGCCAAAGCATCGCTAGTGCAGAATCTGGTTCGGAGCTTGGCACAGCGAGGAGCCTGCGAAAGTTCTCCAGCAGCAGTGGGCCACCTGTTTTTGAGGATCTGGAGCGCGTGAGGGAAGATGCACGGGCGAATCGGAATGGCGTACTTGAAGAGAGCAGTGATGGGGAGACGGGCGATGCAGTTGACAACGACATCACCCCAAGGCCAAACAAAGTCTTACCAGTTGAGAGGACGGAGACTTGATTGGTCACGCACGTCTGTTTGCCGATTATGAGAACTTTTACCTTGTTTGAATCTGTTCTTCTCCTTACCATGATTGTATAAAGCGCTCTCTCTGTCTACCCTTTTTATTTTCTTTTACCTTTTCTTTTGCTAGGTAGTATCTAACCGCGGCTGGAAATGGAAGCGATCGGCAGGTCGGGGAACGATACGATTGCATGTTGTGGTCTATGGATGCTGGCCCTTGAAGAAGGATTCGGATTGGATGATTACTGCATGACGCATATCCTTTTCTTTGCGTTTTTTTTTGTACCGGAGTGGGCGGACATAACAAAAAAGTCTGGTGTTGGGTGTGTCTTCTTTGAGCTATACCCTCTGTCACAGAGCTAACCCTTACTTCAAGGGCAGTGGCGGACCGTAATTTAGAGTACAGCGTCATTAACCATACTGCTCTTGATATCGAAATCAATCTCACGGGTGTGCCTTTCTAATTCTAGAACTTGCCTATCACAAGTCACGTATATCCGTTGTCTATGAATGAATGGTTTCAGTCATGGGTATCACGTCGCTTCATGAGCCGCTCTTTAATCGTTTCATAGCACATCCTTTACCTTCCTGTTCCGCTTCCTCCAGCTCCTCACTCCTTCGTCGATCTCGTGCCTGGTAACGCCATCCTTCACAAGCCACATGACGACACCCAGACTCTCCACGTCTCTGTTTCTACTCTCATCGTCGAAGAACAGCATGTCGTCGAAGGGGATCCCCGTGTCTGCGTGCAGCTGTTGGAAGTGCCGCGTCTTGGACCCCGGGTAAATCTGGAGATTGTCGAAGAGGTCGATGGCTTTCTCCGTACGAAAGGAGAGGGGCGCCTGCTGTGTTGAGCGGTGCGAATCCGAACCTCCGCTGCTGGACGAGGCGGCCGGCGCCGAGTGTACACGTAGCAGCTTGAGCATTTGGCGTGCGAGGTCCGGTGCCTCGGTGCGTGAGGCAGCGCCCACTTTGACGTTCAATCTTCTCAGCTACACGCGCGCGCCTCTCCCGTCAGCATGCCTGACGTTTCTGGTCGGAAACGAGGGTAAAATCGTGTGCTACGTACACCCGCGAGAACACCGGGAACGTCGTCGTAGAAGCCAAAGGCCTCTCCGTACCTGTCCTTCACCTTGCCGCCGTTGTCCGTGGCTTTGAGCGGAGGCGACACGTGGGTGTCTACCCAGAACGGCCACAGCGTGTAGTCCAGGTCGAAGACTATGATCTTGGGCAGCGGCAGGCCGTCGCTAAATGTGGACGGTTCAGCAGACGGTGGCTGCAGAGAGCTGCTTGACTTGGTCGAGGCAGACGTGCGTGGTCGCAGCATGATTGGCAGGAGACGGCGCGAGAACAACGATCGTCCCAAGAAGAGAGACCCCGACGGGCTTGTGTGTAAGACAAAGTACAGAACGTAGTCTAAAGAACAACGTCAAGTCTTCAGGATCTTCTTCATGGTCTTGCAGCCGGAGTGATGTGCACAATTACCCGTTGAGTGCTAGCGCGTTGTCTAAATTGATCGCTGCTGGGCTTACCAGCTTTCGAGCTCGGACCCCCCCAAAAGCTATCGTATCCCATCCCAACAACGAGAAAAGAAAGGGACTCTTTGATTATTTCTGACAACAACCTCAATCACCATCCTTCTCTCCACCCACCCTTCTTCTCCTCTCTTTCTTCTTTGATCCTTTTTCCCGCGCTCTACCATGTTCTCGCGCGCAGTTCGGCGCCAATTCGTCGCGCCTCTGCGACGCAATGTCAATCCTTTCCCCATCGTGTCCGCGAGGAGGACGGTGACGACGGATGCCGCCTCATCGCACGCCGATAGGGAAAAAGTCCCGGAGGTATTAGCGACGCTCTGTGGAATGTCTGGACCATCCGCTGATGTGACTTTTGTGTAGGAAGATGACAAGCACTTCGAAGTCCGCCTGTCCGACGAGAGCTTCGAGACGTACGAATTGGATCCTCCACCGTACACTCTCGACGTGACCAAGAAGCAATTGAAGCAGATGTACTACGACATGGTCGCCATAAGGTATGACATCTCTCCCCAGCTGGGGGCAATTGGCTAATGGTTAGGGCTACAGACGAATGGAAATGGCTGCCGACCGCCTGTACAAAGAAAAGAAGATCCGTGGCTTCTGCCATCTGTCCACTGGCCAAGAAGCCGTCGCCGTCGGCTGCGAGCACGCAATAGAGAAGACTGACCACCTTATCACCGCTTACCGATGTCACGGATTCGCCCTTATGCGCGGGGGCACGGTCAAGTCCATTATCGGCGAGCTGCTTGGCCGGAGAGAAGGTATCGCGTACGGAAAGGGCGGTAGCATGCACATGTTCACTACTGGCTTCTACGGTGGCAATGGTATCGTTGGTGCACAAGTTCCTGTCGGTGCAGGCATTGCTTTTGCTCAGCAGTATGAGGAGAAGCCAAACGTGACGCTGGCACTGTATGGTGATGGTGCCAGCAACCAAGGACAGGTGTTCGAGGCATACAACATGGCCAAGTTGTGGAACTTGCCTTGCATCTTTGCTTGCGAGAGTATGTTTGGAGCAGTCTAAAATCCCTTCATTGGATGGCTTTTCCTAACACATGTGTTTGCAGACAACAAATACGGTATGGGCACGGCCGCATCTCGCTCTTCTGCCCTTACGGAGTATTACAAGCGTGGTCAATACATTCCTGGTCTGAAGATCAACGGCATGGATGTTCTCTCAGTCATGGCCGCAGTGAAGTACGGCAAGGAGTATACTGCCGCTGGCAAGGGACCTCTTGTGTTCGAGTTCGTGACCTACAGATACGGTGGTCACTCCATGTCCGACCCAGGTACCACCTACAGAGTAAGCCAGCCTCCCCTAGATTTTTACATGCACTTTGCGTTGTTCATAAACTCCGTACCGATCTTCAGTACTAACATACGTCTCAGACCCGTGAAGAAATCCAACGCATGCGCTCGACAAACGACCCCATTGCAGGCCTCAAGCAGAAGTTGCTTGACTGGGGCGTCACATCCGAAGACGAACTCAAGGCTATTGACAAGGAGGCCCGCACGGCCGTCGATGCTGAGGTCGCCGAGGCCGAGAAGATGCCACCCCCGGACCCAACAGCGAAAACCTTGTTCGAGGATGTCTATGTGAGAGGTTCGGAGCCACCATTCCTCAGGGGACGCATTCCGGAGGAGAACTTCTATTACTTCGAGAGCGACGTGCCAAAGGAGAAGGAGAAGCCCGCACCTGCTAGATCGTAAAGGTCGTGTCTGCGGATGTACCATGCCGATTGGAAGGTGCGGGGATGGATGGGAAAGACGTAGGAGGGACAAGTGATGTAAAATACTTGCTTTAGTTCCACGCCCTTTATTTTGCCGGACGGTGGAGCCATAGCGAAGGCTCTTGGAAATTTTGATGGGAGTTCCGACTTTCATTTGTTATGGGCAAGGAGGAGCGAGTGCGGCAAGGGCCATAGGAAGGATTATAGAAGCATTTCATTGTTCAAAAGTGCGAGAAAAGAAAAAACCAAGTGTGTGTATCTGTGTTGCTTTAAGCTGAAGGCGTTTCTGCAACTCAAGCAATGGCTTGACGTCTCTCTTTCGTACTGATCTGCTAGATCACGGATGCCGCCACATCAGCCAAGCGGATTATCAGATAAAAAAAAACGTGAGAGCAATGCTCGTGCTTTGCACCATGCATGTCCCTGGATATCATATGACTGCCATCTCCGCCACCCCGTACGCGAAAGCTTGTCGGCAGGGGAGACAAAAAAAAAGCAAAGGACAACCCGTCCGTTCTATCCAGGTATATTACAACTCCAAGACAAAGCAACTCTGCACTTGGTGCTCGTGTCAACCCTGCTCCAAGGAACCCCTTTTGCTCCCTCGGGAGCCTCGCAGTTACTCCTGTAGCGTATTTGGACGGCCGGCCCTGCGTTCAGAAGTACGGCTCACTTCGCTTTTTGCTTCTCTTTGTTCTTCTCCGGAGGCGCGGGAGTAAGCCTCTTACTAGCTGGCGGGACGATCTCCTCGTCCTCGTCGTCATCATCCGCAACAACTTTCCTCTTTCGTGGACCGTTTGCACTGGGGGCTTTTGCGCAGAAGCTCTTCACAATATCCAGGAACCCCTGACGCCTTCTTGTCGCGAAGCCATCGATGCGCGCCTCGTACTCATCGATGAGGCTCGGCAGCGTGGCCTCGAGTTTACTAACGCGCTCCTCTTCATCCAGCTGCATGAGCTGATCCTTATTCCGTATGAAGAGGCGTTCCTTCACCATGAGCCGCCAGAAATAATAGCGGCGGTCATTCTCATCCGCGGCATTAGCCTTGCGTGTAATGCGGTTCACGCTGCGATTGTTCTTCGGAATTGTGCTGAGCAAATGGATCTCTGCCAGACGCTGAAATTGGCGCGGGGCGATCTTGCTGCTGGCTCGAAGTGCGAACAGGTCGTCTGCTGATACCATGTCTGGAACGAATGCTGTGCGGTGGAGCTCGGTAGTTGGGATTGTGGAGGGCAAAGTGAGAGCGCTAAAAGATTCTTTTTGAGTGGTTAGATAGGCCATGTCATTTTGATCGCGGAGCACGTCGAATTGCTCGTTCGGCTCCTCGACGGTGATCTCAAAAACGAGAGGGTCAGCACGAAACAGCGAGACCATGGCGTTATACAACCAGGAGCCATGCGACTGGCCTTGATAGGGCGGTAGGATAATGAACTGAGATATACGTTCGCGAGAGAGGAGGTTGAGAGGGGAGACAGTTGGGGGCAATGAGGTTTGTTCTGGCGAAAATTCCGTCTTTGGCGGCATTGTGTGTGAGATCTCAGCCATCTTGATGACATCGGGTGCGGGGAAGACCCAGAGGCGGTAGGAAGTACTAAAGCCAGCCAGGGTGTATCCAGAGGGTGTGTTGACGTGCTTCATGTCTACTTCGTAGAGGAGGAAGAGCTTCCAGCGCTCGATACTCCATTCCGGCTCACTCAAGAAGCCTATGGTACCGCCTTCGATAAAGAAGGGCACGAATATGCGCATGTTGGTAAGGATTTCCATTGCGCGTGGGTCTGTCAGCGGAGAGACCCAGATCTGGAACGTGCGACTATCCTTCTCGTACGTGTGTGACAGCTTGCCCGGCGGCGTCCAGCTGCTTGTTTCATCGGCAATGTCATTCGTACTCGACATGTCCGCGACGCTGAAGGCTGACTCTGGCATGAACTCGGCAAGCTGACGCTCGATATCCATCAGTTGGGCCATCTGCTCGTTGATCGGTTTCGTCTTCTGGCCATACTTGACCATCGCCGTTGGTCTCAGATCGTGGGCGCGAAAGTCGAGGCGGATAACAAGGTCCTTGTAACCGACAATGGTCTCGTCGTCGCCAAAAACAGCGTACGTGAACCGTGGGCTGAAGTCTTCTTTGAACGCTTTTGTGTCTCCATGCGTCAAGTTGATGTGGATAGCCTCAGCAGCTGGCGTCGACCCTTGGCTAAAGTCAGTTCGGAGGCGCAAGTTTCGCGTGCCATCGAGCACATACAATCAGCCAGCTCGCTGGTGATCAACTCAGCGACCTCTTCCTCCATTGTTTCGCAAGATTCTGCTTGGCGAGTTGTCTGTTTTCGAGCAACCGTTACGGCGTTGTACGCTAAGCTTCGAGTTTGCGAACCGTACGGCGGGCCTCAAGCGTCTCTACGCGACGTGAGCTGTTGGCAATCTCTCGGCGATAAATCTCTCTGAACACAGTTGCTGCCTAAAATCAGAATGGAAGAAGATGGCGTTGTTAAGCGACAAAAACCGGCTTTGATAGCGCAGTTTATCGAGCAGAAAGCTTTTTTTTTGGCTGCTCGTTTACGTCGATCTGAAAATAGACTGCGCGAAGACGTGAAGTCGTGTTTGACGCGTGCCGCTGAGCCTAAATTGGCTTGACTGCATGGGCTGGTTCCTTGTCAAGCCAGTCCCCGATAACTTACCTACACAACCGTTCGATGCGCCACCATCCATCACGCACCGTCATATCTCTCAACCTGTTCGCTTGCTAATGGAGAATACTAATTTCTGCAGTTGAGACAGCAAGAAGCCTGCTCGAACCACCAAGGCGCACGCAAGAGCGTTTCACAGCCACGGCTCAGTTGACGATGGACCTTTGTCCAGGCGCCGCCATCGTACTGATTCGTGTCTCGCGAAGAATCATAGGCTAAGCTTGAACAAGCGCATTGTAGCTATTGAATGCGAGTCATCAGCTTCTGGTCCCATTTCTCTAAACAGCCTTCAAGAGAAGATGCGCATGTGTGGTTGATGGCTATTTCATTCCCCGGCTCACTGCCTTAATGTAGCGTCGGCAAGCATGAAAATGGTCCCAACATTGCCATTAATACGATGGCCAGCACATCGAAAGGGTCTGCAAGACTGGATGTAGTGTGAGCAAAGCGACCACGAAGGTCTTCTGGTTCCCCGTCCGACTGTCCGAGTCGGCGGCTTTCAGTTGAGAGGTGGCCGCGGATGGTGAAATTTCATTTTAGATCATAGCGTAATCGTACGTGTCTAGCTATATACGATTTTGATAAATTCCGTTGCGAGTGTATGTGTAGCGCAGATACTACTTTCCCAGAAGGCCATTCTTGCTGTACGTATCTAACTTTCCATGATTTAACTTCACTTTTGCCAATTCCGTTTGGCGCTTTAAAAATGGGTGCACGCAGTCTCGGGGATGACGAGGCAAAACCTAGAAAGCTTGCCGTACGAAGTGAAGACAAAATGCTTCGTATATATCTCATGTCCGGACTCATGTTGTGTGTGTACAAATCGAACCTTCGCTTAGCGAATACAATATCCAGTCTGACGCAGTTCCTGAGCATATCAAGGACTCGACGTCCTTGCAAAAACGTATGATGTCTGCATCCTCCGCTATACGGGCGGCGGCTGGCTAAGGAGTTCTATCGAAGCTTGAGGCTGACTCGAAGGGGGCGAACGCTAGACATCAGACATTGCTCTCAAGTAGAACCTTGAGCTTTCCCACTTGGCCAAAATCACGTTGCTCTATGATCATCCATTAACAATCCGGTCCATGGTACCATCAATTGAAGGAACTCGCCACGTCGGTATACAATTGAACATTGCACATCTCATGCCAATTCCTAGCAAAGTGCTAAATCAAGATACTTCTAACAGCACCAGATGGCACTGCGGTTCCCGCCCCATGATACAATCAAGCATGCTGCTAGAAACACGCACGCTTTAAAGAGCGCGGAGAGACTTTGACTCGGTTGCCAGAGTGGGCGACAGTATTAAAATTGAATAAAACAGGATGACCAGACTCTGATGGAGCCTCAGCCCTGCAGGCGGGATCTCGAACGTGGTCCTGCAAGTGACGTCGGACCGCCACAACGCCAAAGGCTTCGAACTAGGTATCTGCACTGGCCCCCTTTAACCTCACATTGCCTGTGTGTGCGCAATCACCGCTCCACTTGCCTTGTTTTTTTCCTCTCATGCATCGTGTTCTTTCCCCAGTAAAAGATGGGGCTGCCGTGTTTGCATAAGAGCGTCATCCTTTGCGAGTCTCGCAGGTAACCCTTGGCACTGTCTGTACACTCACCCGGCACTCTCCTTTGAGCAAACCCGCGTTCACCCACCAGCTTCGTTGCAGCCATGTGGGACGGATTGGGCATGGTCCTCGCGCTGGGAGGCATTATGGCGCTGGCGTACGTAAAACAGAAAACATACCCACCTATGCCCTCTTTGATTCGCACACGCTGACCCCCGACCAGCTCGTTCGTTGCCGGTTCGTTGCCGCTGTCCTTCGCGCTGAGCCAGCGGCAGATGCGTATCATCTCTGCTCTAGGCACGGGCTTGTTGGTCGGAACAGCCCTCATCGTAATCATACCAGAAGGCATGCAGACAATGTACGCCGCCGATGCTCATGCCGCACCAAAAGCACATCCCGCCGAAGCACCAAAAAAGGGAGGTCTGGCTGCACTCGCCCTGCACGGCGTAGGTCCGCAGCAGCAGAGCAATGAAGAGGCCGGGCGCGCGGAAGAGCTGGCTGAGCTGTCCGGACGAGCCATGCACTGGATCACCGACCTGTTCTCCAGATCGATACAGGCGCGTGAGTCCACAAACGGAAGCGAAGAGGCGTCGCATGCCTGGGTTGGCGTCGCCCTGATCGTCGGCTTCATCCTTATGTACTTGATCGACGCGCTCCAGAAGCCGGCCCCATCGCGCGGCCAGCACATACCGCTCACCACTCTGGACGAGCCGGATGCGCCGGACGGGACCATAGAGCCCCAAATGCCGGCCTCCAAGTCCACCACGATTGGGCTCGTCATCCACGCCTTTGCGGACGGCATAGCTCTAGGTGCGTCCTCCGCAGACACAAGCACGCAATCCGCTCTGGGACTCATCGTCTTCTTCGCTATCCTTGTGCACAAAGCCCCTGCAGCATTTGGGCTGACCTCGGTTCTGCTCAAGCAAGGACTCGGCAAGCGCGCCGCTCGCGCGCATTTGCTATGCTTCAGCCTCGCTGCCCCTTTTGGGGCCCTAGCTACGTGGACTCTCGTCAAACTGCTTGGATCCTCTAGCTACGCCAGCGTCGCCTCGGAAAGCAATTCCCAATGGTGGACCGGTCTCATGCTTGTCTTTTCCGGAGGCACGTTTCTGTACGTCGCAATGCATGCCATGCAGGAGACGGATCACGGATCCTCGAGCCATGGCAAGTCGAGGCTGGACGTGCTCCTCACGGTCACCGGCATGCTCTTGCCCCTATTGACGCAGATCGGACATGCGCATGCACATGGAGGCTGATTTGGTACAGCACCATCAGGTCTTTGCCTAATTGTATACGAGCTTTATGTATATACACAAATTTCGTTCTTTCATCTGCAATTGATGCGATCCCTGAAAATTTTTTTTATTCTTTAATTGCTTTTCTCCCCACATGAGATGGTGCAAAAGTGGTAGCGGAGTGACCCATCCGACTCTACAGACACAAATAAAATAGAAGAGAAATTGAGAACGCCAACATGCAGAGGATATATCCACAGGAAAGGATCGTCTCAACAGCGCTGCCAATGTGTTTCCAAGCGCATTCACATATCACTAGCTGGAAATGTTCGGATTTCCCTTAGTAATCCGCTCCGGGCGTGTCGAGCTTGCCCTCCCTCTCTTCCACATACGCCACCAGGTCCTCAATCGTACACACTTTCAATCCCCACCGCCTGCCGAACTCCAAGCAGTCGTCCCTCCTCATCATTCCTCCGCCGTGACGTTCCGGTACGCCCTCAACCTCCTCTCCGTCAAGCACCATTTCGCATATGAAGGCAGCAGGTTCCTTTCCCGCCAGCCTGCACAGCTCCACCGCGGCCTCTGTGTGTCCGAAGCGTTCCCTTACGCCGCCTGGCTTCGCCCGCAGCGGCAGAACATGTCCCGGCCGGCGGAAGCTGGCTGGGCCCGCACGCGGATCGGCGAGCATGTTCGCTGTGCAGGCCCTGTCCTGAGCGGAGATGCCCGTCGTCATGGACGGATGCTCGGCGTCGACGGTTATTGTGTATGCGGTGCGCTGCTTCTCTGTGTTGTTAGGCACCATGAGGGGGAGGTCCAGCGCGTCGGCACGCGCGGACGAGAGCGGCGCGCATATGTAGCCGGATGTGTAGCGGATCATGAAGCTGAGCTTGGCCGGAGTGCAGTCTTGCGCGGCGATGATGAGGTCGCCCTCGTTTTCGCGGTGCGTGCCGTCAAGCACGATGACGAACTCGCCTCGCTCTGTACCGTGCTCTAGTCAGCTGAACTGCTCGACGACTTGCGCGGCGCGAACGCAAAATCTCTGGACGCACCGAACGCTTTGATGGTGTCGGCGATGGTGTCGAACGACTTGGGAAGCGCCTTCACCTTCGTGACTCCATTGGCACCGTTTTGCACGCCATTGGTGCCATGTGCACCGTTCTGCCCGGCTGCCATCTCGGAGATGTGCGCTGGGTCTCTGCCTTTCGTTGTCCTCGCTCTCGTGCGGGCTTATATGCGTGGTGCACGTTCGGCGATCGGAAAGCAGGCGCCCGTATTATTCAAAGCGTCGCACGAATTGGTCAGCGGGGCGGAACAAGCGATTGCGTAGCTAATCTGCGTTCATACGGGATGTCGCAAAGGCCGAAGAACGACGTATATGGACAATTGAGAGGGAGATTGGAGATAGGAGAGGTTTGCTTTGTCGCCTTTGTGACTCCTTTGGTATAACAAGTCTTCTGACAGTCACGCATCCAGTCCTAGTGGCCTCGGCTGGTCAGCGGGGCGAGGAAAACTTCAGGGTCTGGCCCGCTACCGACGGCGCCGACAGACGATTCGGTAGGCGGTCAAGATCTGCGGGGCTGTTCGGCTTCCGTGTTGTCTGCACGGAACCACTGCCGTCGCCCTCATACGCGAAAGCAATCTGCGCGCTTCCGACCTGTTTACCTGTCCGTCTGCGATTGCGACATTTCGATGAGCCTCCGAAGTTCGGACGACGTCATATCTGCCCTCTCCCGAGACGCCGCGATGACGGACAAGCACGTGACACAGGCACTCTCTGAGCCACATGGCTGTGGAGCATCAGGCTGGGATTTGTATCAATCGTGGTATAAGAAGATGTGCCAGATGCAAAAATGGGGACGTACGGTGCAAGCTGACGTGTTTAAACCTTGCGGTTGATTGGCGTTACCCGCTGTGTTTGGAAAGCTTCGTTAACCAACAGCCTCACCCTGCTTCCGTGAACCGCGGCTTCGAACGCCGTAAAGCGTTCAATCACGGTATCACACTTAGGAGAATCTCTCGACGCTTGGATTGCTCGACTTTGCTTGCTTGGGTGCGAACTCTTCTGGACGAATGATGTGGGATCTTCGAGCCAAGCCGACCCTCAGCCTGCAAAATGCCTGCAGGGGAGAGGCGCAGCATCTCCAAATGGGACTCAAGACTGATCAACGAGCTCCTCTTCGGCGTTCCCAAGCTTCCGACTTGTCCTACTCTCGCAAATCTGCCTTGTTGCGAACGAGAGGCGATTGCAGTTTGCTCGTTTGAACTGCTTCTCCTTCCTCCTCTTCCGGCTCCTCCTCGCAGTCTTTTCCACTGTTGCATCCCCCCTGGTTTCAACACCAATATACACCCCGCTACATGCGATCGCGACCCCAGCAAACATCGCCTATGATCGGATCCTCTCCAGAGAAAGGCTGCTCACGCCTCCAGCAAATACAATGACCTTCTTTAACTTCTCGCATTCCAGTGGCAACCGCAAACCCAAGAGCGACAGGCCTCGTCACTCCGCGCCGCCGCCTCATCCGGCCAATGGGTATGGCTACAGCAGGAACGCTTCTTCCACAACGCTACATCGGCCAATACCGCCGCCTGTAGCAGCAGTGGGCTACCAGCCGCCTCCTGCGCAATCTTGGCGGTTTCCACCTGCACAGAATCCTGCTGCCATTGCATCTCAGCCGGCCATACGAGTGACTCCTCCTTATGCAGGTTCACCTCCCGCGCACCCAGTTTATGGGCCCATGATGACGAACCATCCGCAAGCATGGAAGTCTACAGCAAGCGTGGGTAATAACGTGTATCCCAGCCATGGAAGCAAGTCTTCAAAGTCCAAATCTTCGCTAAACCTATCATCTATGGTCAACGACCCCATCCACGCTGCGACCGCGTCCGTCACCACTTTAGTTGATGTGTGGGACGACATTATGGATTCTAGTGGACATTTGTACGACCGCATGTCGATGAACCTTGATCGCGTAATCACATGCATGGACGAGGAAAAGTTCAGCGGCAACGAGAAAGATCTTGATTTGCTTCCTGCGACGACGAACACATCGCGGAGTAGTAAACAGAGCCTGGCGACGACGACATCAAAGGCAAATCACTTCTCAAAAGTTTGGGAATACAGTAATTCCCGGCTTCCACCGTATCTGCCGCCAGTGAAACTGTACCTCGACACCTGGCCGTTGATCAGCCTTGCGGCCAAGTATTCGCTAAGCGTCTATGAAAAAGCAAAAGACAGCGAGAAGAACGATCACATTAAGGGAAACTATCACCTGGGGACGAAAGCCATGGTTCTCAAATCCTTGCCCGTGGACGACAGGAACACGATTGTTTTCGCTATCCGCGGCACATCCACGTTCATGGATTGGACTGTCAACATGAAGCAGGAGCCTGTGTCCCCGGCTGGCTTCCTTGACGACCCGGACAACTTCTGCCATGCTGGCTTCTTGCATGTCGCCAAAGCCATGGTCCAGCCTGTCGCTGCACGACTACGTACTTTGCTGGAGGAAGACCCGTCGCGTGGACTCGCCAGCCTATTGATCACAGGACATTCGGCCGGCGGTGCCGTTGCGCAGCTGCTTTATTCACACATCGTCTCCGAGTTGGTCGAGAGCGAGCTCACATTCCTGATGAGTTTCTTCAAACGCGTGCACTGCATCACGTTCGGTGCGCCACCCGTGTCGCTATTCCCTCTTGAAGCGCCAAAAGGCAAACGTCATCGCAAGAGCCTGTTTTTTGCGCTGGCGAACGAGGGAGACCCGGTCGTCCGCGCTGACAAGGCCATCGTCAAGTCGCTTCTAAAGCTGTACGCTGTGCCCGCGCCGAGCGACCCGTGCAAAGTCATTTGCCCGATCGTCAATGCGGTGGCTCCCGGCCTTGTGCCCCCAAGGATCAAGAAGATGAAGTCGAAGCAGAACTTGAAAGCTTCGAGCGAAGTCACAATGTACCCGCCTTGGAAGGTACCCGCAAGTACGCTAAGTCTAGGGGGACGAATCCTGCTAATGCGACCGCGATATGGCGGAACCGGCCATGAAGATTTGGAGTTGTGCGGAGTCACCGATGAGATGTTGAGGGACGTGATCTATGGCGATCCAATGGCGCACGCCATGAAACTGTACGCGAGAAGAGTCGAGCTTCTAGCGACGAAAGCTGCGACTGGCGGGGGGTTTGGATGAAAGGCTATACCAATCATGTAGTTGGCACCGATCTACAGAGACATATGATTGCGGACATAGGAACTGCCACTGACCTGAACACGAGAGATGGGAGAAAAAAGACTTGAAAATAGAAGATTATGCGGGCAACACGGTTCGGGTCGATGGGCAGTGACAGCGAGCTCCCGCACGAGCGACCGTTCGGATGAAGAAAGCGGCTGAGACGGAAGCGACCTGCTTGGGGCAAATTTTAGCAGGGACTCGTCTGGGCAGCCTTGTATGCCAAAAGCTTGATGTTTGCCCCACAGACCAGCAGCGCATGGCCAGAACAGCGACATGGCTTGTACCTAATCGAAGAGAGACGCATTCAGTTAGCAACAGCACTGGAACTTCGAAGGTTTTTATTTTGTTGGAAACGAAAAGTCTCGTAGCGCAGCTTGTTGCGTGAAGGACGCAGAGATAAAGCTGTTGGCCAGAGCGAATGAAGCATAGCACCGTGCGCTAGCCCGTCGGTGAATAAGCCAGTGATGTAATCAGTGGCTTTGCGGAGCCTGGCGGCATCAAAACCACGATTCCAGCAAAGTTGTTGTCCATATATGTTGGCCTGGCTGCGAGAATTGACTGCGCGCCGAATCTTTCCCTACCGTCCTCCTTGCATACCTTGCTCTCCACTCACAGCACAGTTCTCCCGGTGAGCGTCTCAGCAGCTGTTGACCTCTGGGAACAGTTGCTGCTCGCGTATCTTCACCGACCTGGCGAGTACCGAGCGTCAAACTTGCAACTGCGTTGACTTGCACCTTGAGACTTCTCTGAAGTGCGGCTCACATCTCAGCACACGTTTGATTAAAGAAAGTATATATCTACCCAAGCGAGTCCTTGTTCCAATTGAGGACGTGGGCAGCACGTGAGAGGCTGGTGCCGTCCCGACAGCACATCGTCCATCTTCGATCTCCACGTCACAATGGTGACCGCCAAGGACCTTCCGGGCAACAAGCTGACCCCCGATTTCCATGTGTCGGATTATGTCAAGTTCTTCGGCGCCGGCGCGCTGGCTGCCACACTCACTCATGCCGTACGTCAATGGAACATTCGTCCGACGCTCTCACCCCCGAGACTGATTGTGAATGACAGAGCGCGACGCCAATCGATGTCGTGAAAACAAGGATACAGGTAGACTCGTCCCTAAAGGGCATGAACATGCTAAAGGCGGGCCGTTCAATCGTCGCCGCTGAAGGCGCTGGTGCGCTCCTCACGGGATTTGGCCCAACGGCCGTGGTACGTTGCCTCCATGCGAGCACGCGACATCATATAGACGCAGAAGCTAACTTGCGATGAAGGGCTATCTGGTCCAAGGTGGTGGAAAGTTCATGGGCTACGAGTTCTTCAAGAAGAAGTTTATCGACCTCGTCGGCTCCGAGCAGGAAGCAATCAAGCACCGCACAGCCATCTACCTAGGCGCTTCCGCCTGCGGCGAATTCCTCGCAGATATTGCTTTGAGTCCGCTGGAGGCCACCCGCATACGACTGGTTTCGCAGCGAGGCTACGCGTCCGGCCTGCTACCCGGCTTCATGAGGATGGCACGTGAGGAGGGTTTTCGCGGTTTCTACGCTGGATTCATCCCACTCGTCTGCAAGCAGGTGCCGTACGCGCTGGGCCAATTCACTGTGCACGAATGGGCCAACGAAATGATCTACAACGCTATGGGTCCAGAACGCAAGGCGAAGCTCACACACTTGGAGTCTACGGGCGTGGAGCTGACGTCTGGTATCGTTGCCGGTGTTGCGGCCGCGGTCCTTTCGCACCCTGCAGACACTCTTCTTTCCGCAATGAATAAAGGGGCGGGAGATAAGAGCCAGGGCACGGTGTCGCGAATGATTTCTCTCGCTGGAGAAATCGGCCCTACCAGACTCCTGCTCAACGGTCTGGGACCTCGTGTGGTGATGACGTGTGGCCTTGTTGCGGGCCAGTTCGTCATATACGCGCAGTGCAAGGCGCTCGTGGGTGCACCACCCAGCATTGAGATTCACAAAGAGAAGTAGACGAAAGACGAACATTCGGACCATAATCCTTGTCTAGAAGATGAAAGACGGCAATCCTGCAGACCAGCCTTGCTTTTAGAATCAGATTATGTAGAAGAAGCTCGCGCAGCTGTCGACGTACCTGTGGAGCTGTAGCGAGCGAGTTTGTGGTGTTTGGTGACAAACTTGGGAAGTTTGGTAATGCTCATGTCAATGCATGATTAATGTAGTGTACATAGAAGCTCAGATATGCTATTTCTTCATTGGGTGTCCGGAGGAAGCTCGCCATGTTCGATCAATATAGATTCTCTCCTGCCTCGGTCAGCTTTCGCTGCAGCAGGACGTGACTCGAGACTGTGTCCAACCGGCAACAGAAATTTATTGACCCAACGCTCCACCCTCTCGACTTTGTCCCGGAACGCCGCAGTCAAGGAGTCGCTCTTACCATCACTTGTCGAGAGTCTGACGGACGAGTCAAGACGCGTGATTGTCGTCTCGTGCTTGCTCACCCGTCTACTGAGGCTCTGGCCATAGACCTGGCCGCGCCAGACGCGGAGGGCAACATTGGTTATCAGGACGACATGACGACTGCGAAGTCGCTCCAGCGCCGTCCTCACCTCTGCCGTCTCTCCCTGCGTCGGAAGCCAGAACGTGATGGAAAACCCGGCCCGCGTCTCGTCGCCAACGGCAACTTCGACCAGCTCCATCCTGACACGGCTGTCGCGACGTAGTTGTACGGAGCGCACCGGCTCGACAGAGACAACGCCCGCGACGAGATTGACCGTCACCGTTTGCGGATAGGAGTCTTCTAAGAACGCGGCCCGCGGCAGGTCCTTCAGATTCGTGAATGCCACGGGGACAGGCGGAGCCGGATCGCCGGCAGAGGATACGAACGAGTCCGTGGCAGCGTCGGACAGGAAGCTCTCTTGCATGAACGTGCTTTCGTACGATGTTCCCGCGGCAAACTCCGTCGAAGTTGCCTGTGTGTAGTCGTCCAGCGCACTCTCAAGAAACTCATTGTTTTCGTCACCGTCTCGACGATGCAGAGCCGGCACCGCTACCGACAATGCTGCGCTTTGTGGTTTTGTTCTGTTTCCAGCGCCCTTGTGAAGCGCGGCGTCCACGTCGTCTGAAAGCGCTCTCCAGTTCGGCCACTGGCGTGAAGGCGTGGGATCCGGTGTGTTTTCGCCAATCGACCCTGCGATGTACCTGCTTACAGACGGTTCCAGCCCGTCGAGGAGTCTATCGTTTACTATCTCGTCACAGGTAGGAGCCCCCGTCAATAGTATAATTTTTCCACGGGCCATCACTGTCTGTTGGTTTGAGAGGCGAAGCTGCGATCCTAGCGGCCGACGATGGCGAAAGTGTGCGGATTTCTTGTCAATTCCTTCCGCAGCCTAAAATTTCCAGCAACTCCATTCTCTGGTGGTCTCACGTCTGCTCCGTCGACGAGTGGAATCCGATCGACGACGACATTTGAAATAGGGATGGTGGATAATTAAAAAGAACGCTCAAATCACCTCTATCCGTCGGATCATTTGTGTCGCCTCGTACAAAGGCTAAGTTAATGTTTGAGCGAATCCCAACACATCTAGATGCAATCTGATAAAATAACATCAACAAGGAACTTCATACGTACAAAAATTATACAATGATTATTTTCACAAATCTGCGAGAGGACCTAGGCCATAATGGGTCTTCAATGCTATTAATTCGGCAACTCAAGGCTACTGCGGCATTCGTCACTGTACTGCCTCCTTGACGCCTTTCTACTGCCAGCAGTGTGCTCGTATGGGGAACCGAGAGGGTTCGTTACTCGGACAAAGCGGTGCGCGAAACGCAAAGTCTTCAACGGTTTCCAGCTTCAAGCCTCTTCCATAAGACCTGGTTGGCGCATATCATACAATAGGTCACGAGATCAATCTGGTGCTCTCATAATACTCAATCAACCGCGAGTTGAGGATGAACTTTGAAAGTCCGCAATTTTCAGACGTTTTTGACCGACCAAGAACGCAGAACAAATCATGTATTTCGTCGCTTTAGTTCCGGCGTACTGGAACAGAACGTGAGAAGCAGTGACGATGGTTCTGATTAACGCCCTGCTGTCTGAGAGTAGAGTTGATAAACCCGACACGCCAGGCTACAAATTTGCCAGAAGAGGAGAAATGTGATATAACAGACGTTGCGATCGAAACAAAAAAAGTGTGACATTTGAAAGACAACAGGAAGACCATGAATGCAATAGGCGACGACCATTCTTGGAAGATGTACATTTGACTTGGCGACCTACGCATTGCCGAACACGCTCACTCCATACGATGTTGCGGTTCGGAATATCCGGCATGCAAGCTGATATCACTGGCATCTAGAGCCTCCAGTCGACTTTGGTGAGATCTGTACAAGTCATGCAGCCGCTTGTTCCGAGACTCAGTCCACACAGATGCAAATCGTCCATTGGTGCACGGAATGTAGCGTGGACTCTGGAGTGAGGTTGTTTTCTGAATTCCGTGGTCCACAAACTTACTGCATTGTGACCAACAAAGTACAGATCACTTTGCCTTTAGGCTTGTGGAGAAATACGTGAGGAGCTTCGATAAGATCCGATTGCATTGACGAGAAAGCTGAAACACTGGACATACAAGAATAAAGAGAGCACACCGAGATTTGCGACATACACGATTCGCGGAGTCAAGCGATGCTTTTCACACCTAAAAGCAGAGGCAAGTCAAAAGGAAAACCTTACCGGCGGCATTCTTCGCTTTGAGGGTAATGAAACGAATGCGGGTGGACTTTGAAGTCTGAGAATGGCAGCAGCATGATCGGAGCATCACATTCTGGCTTTTCTCAAGATTTCAGGACGAGCCACGACATCCCTCACCGCTTCGTCATCTTCGGAATGCACGTAGTATCTTCGAAAGAGATCGGTTCGGACAGGGCCGCGGAATGCGAGCACTAACACCGAACATAGGTTCAGGCAGCAAAGAAAAATTAAGGTTCGGCTTTCTCCCAGCCCCCAGGCGCGGAGGCGAGAGCGGCAAACGCAGCAGTTCATAACAGTGAGCAACTTGCAGAGTTCGGAGTTCACCAAGCAAGCAAGCTTAGTTAAGCTTTTGATTTTTTTTCTTCTTCCCCCCACCACCTTGACAAAGCGCGGATTCCCGTCCGCTCAATCTTATCAATCTGCATCGGATAGAAAGGCACGTACAGTGCGCTAGCGGCGTCACCAAGGATCTTTGACGAAACCATGGCGTCGGATCTGCACTCCAACGCGGCCGCACAGTTTTATACTGGGCCTTCCAAGCAGTCTTGGATCTCCAAGGGCAAGATGATTTCGTCTCTGAGAGGCCTCGCTGAGCGCCTTGCTCCCAATGGCTCGTCTTCGACTCTTGGCGGCTTCACCAAGGCAAAGACCGCGCTAGACTTGTTCCCCAAAACCGATCCGAAAATTGATGGGGACGAATGCTTAAGGGATTGTGATAGCTGCACGGTGCATCTGCCCAAAAATTTCAAGATCGACGAGGACGAGGAGTTGTACGGGCATGTGAAGGGCTGGAGCAGGCATATTCTTTGTGCAACAGGCAAGACAGATTGGGTGCGCGATGTCAGCGACGAGAAGGGCAGTATCATGGAGGCTGTCGGGAAACATGACGGTCTGCACGAAGGGGTGAGTGCATTTTTGAGCTTCACAAGTTGGCGCGTCACGCTGATATTTGTGCTCCAGAAACTAATGCTCTCGGCCTCAAATATCCCGGTGCCTGAGAACCCAGAGGTCCCAAACTCGACGACCGTCCTCCTTCTCCCTGCCTTCACCATAATTGAGAACGTAACCCCGTCAAGTGTCCCGGGCCTCATAACACACGTCATAAATTCGGCGCCCAAAAACACAGACCCTTTGGGCGAACCGAATCAGGTTACCAGCGCAGTGACGTCTGAACCATCGATACCTCCGGAACTCAAGTTGAAAGTACGGCCATGCCCACACAACTATCTCATCCTCCTCTGCTCTCAAAAGACGCGTGATGCGCGCTGCGGACAATCAGCGCCATTGCTGCGCAAGGAGTTCGAAAGACATCTGCGGCCGCTGGGTCTGTACCGCGATCTCCACGACGAGCGACCGGGCGGTGTCGGCATATATTTCATTTCGCACGTGGGGGGTCACAAGTTCTCTGCGAATGTGATGATATACCGGCGAGCCTCAGCGCCAAAACTAGACGGCGAGGCGTGTGAGACCGAAAAGGAAGAGCACAAGGTGGACGAGGTCAAGGCTCACCCGGGTAGCAAAGAAGCCCAGGAGGTGAACCTCGGTGCATCCCAATGCATTTGGATTGCCAGAGTCAGGCCGGAGGACTGTGAGAACATCGTCAAGTACACGGTGTTGCAAGGCAAAGTGCATAAGCCGGAGTATCAGCTGCGAGGCGGATTTGATAGAAGCAAGCAGCTTATCAGTTGGTGAAGGCACAGCGCGATTCGATGAGGTTCTATGGACAAATGTTCTGGAAACGCTTACTTGCTTGGACATGTTGGAACCAAGCCTTATGTCGTCCACTTGGCAAGGTTGCTCGGAATAAGCATCTGAAGCGTCTTCAGCTGCTTCCGATGAGCAGCTTTCCGCAGCTCGAGAATCATCGGGTCCGAAATGGCCGTCGTGTCCTTGCGCCGCTTATTCTGGCCGTAAACGATCGTAAAGTCCTCGATGACAGTGTTGGGGGCTATTCGTGCATGAGGAAGGATCTTGCAAAACTAGAGAGATCACTCGTATTAGTTGTAGGCGTGAGATAGTCCTAATAAGACGCAACTCTACCTTTCCAATCACGCAACCCTCGCCGACAACAGCAAATGCGTCAATAAAAGTGCCTTCGCCGACTAACTTTGCCGCGACTTGCGCGCCGCTTTCAATGATGCAGTCGCGTTCAAGCATTACGAATCTCCCGCCCAAGCCCGCGTCCTCATCATCCTTGCCACTGCCTTCATCGTTGATACCGATGACAGCTCGCTCAGCTATCACGGTCCCTTCGCCAATTTCTACTGGTCCAGCAACCGCGACGACCTTGGCATACGGATGGAGCACGGCCTGGGGCCCTATCGTGATTGGGAAAACACCAGCGAGCGTCGCGTGGTTGGCGATTATGACAGATGGATCGATGTTCGCCGGAGGCTTTGGAGCCGCCGGCACCGTCGACAGACGTTTGGACGCCGGACGCGACGGTTTCGCCTCAGACATTTCTGTTTCGCCCACCTGTTCAACAGCTTTCTGGTGGCCTTCCTTTCTCGACGGACGGGAGATTTGTTTGGCCGAAGTCGGAGTGGCAGCTTCGAGCCAGCCTTGCACGAAGCCTTGCGACAGACATTTCATGAACTCGTTCCACACCGCTGGCACATAGCTCAGAAACAGCAGACACATCTTCAAAACCTCAAAAGCTAACCTAGCACCGGTTGAAAGCATCGTGGTTTCTGCTTGTCGCATGTCCAATGAGGGAGTCGTGGTTGCCGCTACGGCATGGGTCGGCATTACGTGTATGTTGTTTACATTCGCATGTGTTCAGGAACCCTCCGTACTTTTTGGAAAAAAAAAAAAAATGAAACCAGAGTTTTTTTGGGCTTCTTTATTCCTGAATTTTTGAGACTTATGAAAAAAATCATGAAGTTTTCTAGTCGAGGAGAGGATGGCCAAGTTGGAAAGCGTTGAAGAAACATGCTGAGCGAAAGAAGACACATGAGCGACTGCTCTTTCATCAGTGATTTGAAGGTGCGAATATTGGTAAATAGTAAATACACGGACGCCTTTGGAATTTAGAATTTAATTCAGAAAAAAATGTATGAAGGCAATAACTGCTATTTGCTCACATCTGTCACATCTAATCTTGACTCTCTATCCTCCTCTGAGAAACACTTCACCCGCCATGGAACATCCTGCAAAACATCGACAGTGAATTAAACGTTAAAGTAGGATCATTTGTCAATCAATCACTGATGTGAAGAATGGTCACAGGTTCTAGTCTGTGCATGGCAGCCGCATATTTACCTAATGTCGTCATTCTTCCTACGTACAGAGCACCTAGCAACTGCGTCCCTGGTGAACCGCATATTTACATCGTCTTTCTTTCCAATCTCGACGTTGGGCAAAAACTTTTCTAGAAAACGCTTCCCCATTTCAATCCCCAAGGACTTTCTCTGGACGGAACCGCCGATCCCTCACGATTAAGATGGCCCCCTTCAAAGCTTCCACTGTGAAGCTGAAATATACCAATGTGAGTTGGCAAAAAGCCTTTACCCAAACTTCCGTAACCTCATAGAATACGTGCTCAAAGTCAGAATTAGCGAAAATCAGACGGCCTCAGGCTTGCGGAGATCGTTGCCAAAGACCTGGTGAGTATGTCGAAAGCGCGTGTGCGAACTGCACATTGAACACCGGATGACAACTTTAGCGAAAACACACAGCTGGCTTTGGCAAAAAGAATACTGTCGCTGAGACCAACTCAGCACCTCTGGAACTGGATCTTGGAAATAAAGAGCAGACGGACGTCTGCATCGAAACCTTTGCTGAAAGTCTTTTAGAAGCACTAGAATTGAGAGAAGGCGTTTCGCCATTGCGGCTTGAGGAGTTGAGCTTTCGCAACAATAAGTTGACAACGGCTACATTGAAGCTACTAGCGCCCGTGATCCACGCCGCACGATTTGATATTCGATATATTGACCTCTCGCATAACCACATACGAGTGGCGACGCGAGAAGAGGCCGAAGATTTTGCCGCTTTCATTCACGCTTTTGCTGGTTGCGAGCTCATGCGGCGATTGGATATGAGCGGAAACGATTTCTCGGGTCCACTTGCGATGGAGATATTGCTCAGGGAGTACTGTCTTCAGCAACCTGTCGATCCGAGTTTGCTGTATCATCCGACTGGCATGGAGACCACAGATTACGGGCAGGATATGCTGAGCGAAAGGACGAATATGCTGAGTATTTCGTCTCATACTCGGGATAAATGCTGCCTGGAGGAAACGAAAGATCCAGGCTCCTCCGTCGCAGGGTTAAAAGTGTGCACGCGGCGTCGTGGACTCCGCTCAATCCCGTACATACTACTAAAGGACACGAAGCTGGACGACGCGGGAGCCCTACACCTCTCTTACATTCTTGAACACCATTACTGGCCGCAGTATCTCATGAGCAAGCCAAAGGATGGATCGAAGGAAGCGAGGCGCAAAGAAGAGGACGATGTAAATGGGTGCTTTGGTATCGTCTTCTCAGGAAATTGGTCACTTTCACCACATGGCTCTAAGCTCCTGGAATACGCGAATGCGGCCAGAGCACAGCTCGTAGGTTTACAGCCTTTTTCCCAGGCGGAGCACAGCTTTCAGTGGAACTCAACTTCGCCCGGCTCGCGGTTGATGCGATCGAGCAGCACGAGCTCGCATTCATTCTTGTCAGACGATACTAATGGTCACCGTGTTGTCGATATTTCGACAAGCATGCAGAGTTTGAGAATGCGACTACAGCGAACAACGCTAGAAATGCACGGAGTTCAGAGCGTACAACTGTGGCACGCCGCGATGAAGATTCTGTATGCTGCACGTGTTATTTTACCTCCAATTGTCCCGAAACATGGCAGCAGAACAGTTGCCGATGTATCTATGCCGTCTATCATGCCTGACGTCCCTGAAAAAACAACCCTTCTCATCGCAAGGAAGTGCATGGAGCAAGTCACAAATGCCAGTAGAGTAAACTGTGCTATCGCGAGGACAAAAACGAGTCGGATTCCAGTAGTGGTCGGTTACCCCAGCAAGCAAGTGAAGAGTGCACAAGCTGACCATGTATCTCAAATTCATTCCCAAGGTAATGACAACAACAGTAGTTTGAATGTGGCTACGCCTGCCTCGACAGATAAGGGCGCGATGTACGATCCGGCCAACCCGATGAATTTACCCACAGCTATCTGGCGCAAAATCTTCATTGAGTATGCGGAATCAGCGAATCTCCTCAGCGATGAGCAAATCGACAAGGTGATCAGGTACGCGAGGGATCGGTCGAACATTATAGCAGAGATGCACTCTCAGGCAAAGGGTCAGAGTCATCAAGTGTGGCATATCTTGGAGCAGATTGACTGCTTCACATATGAACTGAAGATGGCGGACTAGGATCAATGAATCAAACGAAGTGAGGGTGAATACCATCGATAGGTTAGAGCTCACTTCTGTATTACGCGTCAATGGTGTTGTGCTTCAATAGCGTCCAAACGCATGATAAATAGCCTTTCCTATGACATTTGTGAGACTTGGCCATGAAAACGTTTAAGATAGTGGTTACTTACGCCATGTTAGAAAGGCTAATCGAATCGATACATGAGTTCTGAGGCATTAAAATAAATCTCGAATGGTCTATTTTTAATTGCGCGCTTTTATAATTCTACCGGAAATTTTAACCGAATGGTTCGTCCGTATCTGTTCAATCGATTAGGACTAGAGTCGAACTATTTAAACCATAAGTGTTTGCTTACCGTTTAAATAATATAATCATTGGCGTCAATGAAATCGCAATGAATCCAAGAACTGCATTGCCCCAGTCTACGCCAAGGGTATCATAAAGAGGAGGACCAGCGAATGGCTAAATAGGCGTTAGCATAAGGAATACCGATCCAAGAGGCCGTTGGGTAGTCACCAAAAAGGTTCCGACCAGACTCCTCAAGAAGCTTACAGACGCCACCGCACTTGCCGCATATTGGCTAAAGCTGTCGACAACGTATGTTTGTGTGCCCATGAAGATAGCCACCTGGCCAAAGCCAAACAAAAATAGAGCGATAACAGGAGCGATCCAGTGAACCTGGTACTTGGCCGTAAATCCATACATGATAAGTGCGGGTCCGACCCACATGGCCACAAAGATGAGGTTCGTTAACCGCATCTCTGGCTCGAACACGCCGTTATTTCGCGCCCGTAGCTTGGCCACGGTCCGATCTTGCGTGTTCATGAGAATGAGAAGCGCAAGGACCATGCCCGCGGCGAAGCCGATGTATGTCAAGCCAGCAATCTGGATCGAGAAGCCGTACTGGTCGACGAAGAGCTGAGTGATGGTTGTGAGGAGCAAATAGAGCATGCCGTAGTTTGTCGCAACGTACAACGCGTTGAGGAAAGCGACGGGGGAACGTGTCAGCAGTTTGATCGGACGAATCAAACTACGCTTCAAGAGCTCTTTTCGGGTCACACGTAGCGCAAGTTTGGAATGCAGGTCCTCCCGTCTGAGTTCTTTTCGCAAGCGAATCGTCTTCTTAGCAAGAACAGCAGGAGCGTAACATTCTCGGAAGAGGAGCATTGCAAAGGTGGTTACCACGCCGCTGGCCATGGTTAGAATCCAATACGTCCAGCGCCAGCTCAACTGTTGGGCAATAAAGCCGCCGCAGATCGGACCCGCTGCGGGTGAAACAGATTGCACGATCAAGACGATAGCCATGGAAAACGAGCGACGCTCAATGGGATATAGATCTGCGACAATCGCAGGTGCGAGATTCATTACTGCCGAGCCAGCAGTACCGGCAAAGAAACGCAGTACAATGAGCCCTGCCATGTTTTTGACGAAGCTACAGCCGAGAAGGAAAAGAGTGAACAACCAGCTCGAGATCAATATTATCGGTCGTCGTCCAAAGATTTCGCTTAGAGGGCCAAGGAACATGGGACCTAAACAGTAGCCGAGCAAGAAGATGGTAATCATGAATGATCCAATTGCTTTTGAAGACGTGTGCAGGTCTTTAAGAGTTAGATCGATGCCAGGCGCGAAGATGGATGAACCTAGCGGGCTGATAAAAGTGAGACAGCTGATAAGGATCATGTTTACCAAACGCTTCCTAGTGGGCCAGTAAAGCGGGTTCTGAGGGTCTTTGAGTGAATCCCATGCGATCAAGCCTTTGTCGAGTTCCGTAAGTGGTGCAGGCGGCGTGGTCGCAACGCGCACGATAGGGCCTTGTGATACTCCCTCCACGTCTTCGGCAATGGGAATCAGCTCCTTTTCCAATGGCGAATCTTGTTTCGTCGCCTCCTCTATGCTCGAGAAACTCGACATGATTACAGAAGAGCCCAAGGATGAAACGAGTGAGAGATCGCGAAGCAAACTGACAAGGCGTCAAGTCGGGGCCGAAATGGAAGGAAGCAAGACTGATGATTGGAAAAGGCAAAGAAGATACCTAATTTCCGATCTGAAATAGCCGCATGGTTCAGATGCAAGATCTTTTAGAGCTTGGGATTTTTTCCTTTGCGTACAAGCCATACAAACAAGCTTCATGATGCCGACCTCCCCGCCGGTTATCGAGGTCCGCCACGCGGTAAAGACGGCACAGGATGTGCAAGCTTCTGCACCCGTGAGACGGTCACAACACCACGCAGGATACGCGAAAATATGGGATCAAAATCCGTGGTCGTCATGGCGATGATCCAGTCTGATGCAGAAGAAACGATACTAGGTCTAGGGATGTCAGTGACGGCTATGTCGTCAATGAACAAATTGGTGGTCAGAGGCGCAGTTGGCAAGATAGAGAGGACCCGTTTCGGATGACAACCAAATAAACCCCCCGTTTTTTTTTTTGAGAGGGGGGACTTCGGCGAACAGCTGATATCCTTCACGTGGTAATTACCTGTATGTCTTTAATGTCAGTAGGCCTTAGAGGGAACACGAACTGGCTGCGTGGAGACGCTCATAATTCATGTGGCAGTCGCGTGAAATGAGCAACAAGCCAAAAGTTCGAGATGGATGACGACTCGCGATTTATGTTGAGCGGGTAGGTGCTGGGAAGACAAGGCGTGAAGAGAGAATGAGGAAAAGGTACAAAAGAAGACGGCCACCGACTCAAAGGCGAGCAATGCCTTGCTTATCTGACTGATCGAATGCATAAAGGCTTCGTTCGGATAGCATCCATGGCGACGGTTCAAATTGGGGTTGGTCGCTCCACACGGCTGAGTTGTCACAACCAATTGTCATTTCTCTGATTCTCGTTCGATAAACGCCCAGCGTAGTGAACGCGCGAACATTCTAATCGATGGCCCATTCTTCATCATGTCGGCTCGGTGCTCATACTGTGCCAATTTGTCCTTCAGATACCTGATCGAGCTTGCAAAGGAAGAGTTTCAGGCTCATCTTTTCCCCCAAAGAGCTTACTACCAGCACCATCCTTCGTTTAACAGTCTCGAGGTTTCGGCAGCACGCGGTTGCGACCTCTGCGCCCTAATTCTGGACTGCTTCAAACGAAGTTCGCCATACACTACTCCTGGTTTGTGGCCAGAGACGTGGCTAGCTGCTAATGTGGACGAAGGAAAGTCCATGTACAGCGCCGCGAAGCAATTAAACCAATCTGACATTAAGATTGCTCTCAACTCATCGCATCCTTATTTTGCAGAGGATATACGGAGTGTCCAGGTCTTCGATTCTCTGCTCATACAGGTTGGGGAGATCGAAAGTCCGGATGATGCCGAGCACGTTGACGAGGAGCAATATCCTTTACCTTCGCTGTCACTAACTTTGAGCACGCCTCGGGGTAAGACCGAATAGACAACTGGTGCATTATGGTCTGCAGCTGGCTAACACTCTCATATAACGTGCTGTATACATCGAAGATTATCGTATTGGACGCTATCAAGTCGACTATGACTTACGTTCAGATTATAATTTCAACATCGCTCGATCGTGGTTGCAACAGTGCCAGAGCTCTCACCACACCTGCCAACCCAAGATGGCTCCCATCTTGCCTACTAGAATAGTTGATGTAGGCCAAGATGATCGCGACGATCAGCCAGCAAAGATTGTTCTCGGATGTGGCCAAAGAGCCGAGTACCTTGCGCTCAGTCATTGCTGGGGTGGAAAGAATTCTTGCTCTCTGGATTCGACGACACTTCTTGACTTCCAAAAGGCCATTCCTTGGGCAATACTACCGCGCAATTTCCAAGATGCAATCATCATAACGCGACGGCTCGGATTTAGATTTCTCTGGATCGATTCTCTATGCATCCTGCAAGATTCGAAGCTAGACTGGGCTCGGGAGTCAAAGAAGATGGACTCGATATATAAACTGGCCACCCTGACAATCTCGGCAATGGCGTCATCAGAGAGTAATGAGGGGATACTCAAGCACCATAGAAGGCATGAAGATCCACAACCAGTAATATTCACCACCTCCTGTGACGAAGGAGTTTTGAGTGATGTCATGATCGCAAGAACCGAACATGAGCTGGAGACCTTGCGGTCTCTGGATATTCGATGTCCGCTTAGTCGTAGAGGTTGGACGCTTCAGGAATTGGTATTATCCGAGCGCCACCTTTTTTTCGGAAAGCAACACATATATTGGAAATGCTTGGAAGGATATCAATGTCCTGATGGCCTTCCGTCAGGCAGTCGAACAGCGGACAATGCCTGGAACCTGACTGCCATTACCACTCGCCAAAATCGATTTGGTTCGCCTACAGCCATTGAACACGCAAGCTTGCTCCACGAGTGGTATGAGCTTGTAACTGCTTACTCCTCTAGACAGCTCACGTTTGATTCGGATAAGCTCCCTGCGCTATCCGGTTTGGCAAACCGCTTCCATAGATACTTCGGCGGAGTGTATCTTGCCGGTATTTGGAGCTGCGACATTATACGTGGTTTGATCTGGAGTTCTGAACTAGGATCCTGCCCTCATGTAAAACCTTTTAGAGCACCATCTTGGTCCTGGGCTGTGACAAACATGCCTATACTATACAATCACGGGCCAGAGCATGCAGGCGACGAAGATCTTCAGATCATTGATCACAAAATCACGCTATGCGATTCAGGTAACCCGTATGGAGAGATTCTCGAGGCAGAGCTTATAGTGAAAGGAAGGACTGTGCCCTTGATTCGTAGTAGACAAACTGTCCATTCTTGGCAGGCCTCCTGCTACACAGGAAGTGTATCATTCGATGAACCCTCCCCTGAAGGAATTGAAGAGAGGCAGGACGAACTGGTATTCTTTACGTATGGTGCTGAGAGTAGGCTCTTAGCGGTACAAAGCGCTCCTGGCAATGAATACGTGTGGGAGCCTGACCAAGCCTGCTTCCACACTGTTGAGTATCTAGCTCTTCTCGTTCATGCTGATTTTAGTTCTCGTGTCTCAATGGGATTGGTCCTTAAGATTGTTGACGAGAAACACGATATCTTTGAGAGAGTTGGCTTTTTCAGTATTGATTGCGAGTTCGACCAGATTTCACTTTGGAAACACAAACAACTCAGATTGGTCTAAGATGGATAAACAATGTGTGTTGTCCTAATAACCATCCTTTTGCCACTTTCACTAAAGTTACTTGATTGAAAAGCTGAAAAAAAAATCACCACAGCAGAACACAAAACTCAACTCATTGCCTTAGGCCCAGCATTCAACTCAATTCCTGAAATCAAGGGACATGCCGAGATCCAATACCTTTCAGTATCTTCTTTTGCATTTTACGCCGCTCCACCTCGGCGATATTCACTAGTGAAAGCCTCAAATGTATCCCCTGTTCCCTCTTGCGCACGGTACGCCTCCTGTTAGGTGCGATGAAGGCCGTATACTGTGAACGTATCTTTTTATCTCCAGGGCCTACAACGAACTGAAGCTGGTTACCTCCAATCACTCCGGCTCTGAGGGTCCCGGCACAATCAACCGACCAGATGCTGTTGACTCTGTTAGATTTGTTCCTGAACGCCAACATTGCTGATTGAATCACCTTGTGAGATAACCTCTGGAATCGGATTGCCCATGTGAGCTGTCGTGTTCGTATCCTATCTCTTTTTTATCACCGTAGATAGCAAGATACGAAATTTCGTTTCCCCAGTGGAATAACAGATCAAAAACACTATGACTGTCATAAGCTTGGATGGGCGGAGCAAAGCGACGTAGAACATACCCGCAAGGACCCCCTTCGTCTCCAAAAGTGTAGTAAGCGTCTTCGAAATCAAAGTCACGCGGAGCAAGCTGCGCTTTGCCGTTGATATTAACAATAGGTATTCCGGATGAAGCCTCAGTGAGTTGCTAGTTATGTTTAGTATATTCCTAAACAAAGCGTAGGCTCTTATTGAGTTCGGAAGCCGAACAACTGGAGTCACAATCAGCGATGAGAAATATTCAACAACTTACGAAGCCAAGTTTACTATCATTGGGATCAATAGCACATCCCGAGTAATCGGCTGCGTAGACAGATTGATATCCGGATGTGCTTTGAGATGAGTTAAGGTAACTCGGCACGCATCCAGGATGGCTCAAGCTGGCTGCTGGTTCGTCATCTGTCAATCCTGTCGTTTGAAATCCTGCATAGCTATTGGAGGAAACGGTTGCTGATGAGCTATATCCTTGCGTTGAAGCTGAGCTTGTCGACATAAAGTTTGGAGAGCCTATAGAATTATTGTAGTCTTCATTCCAATATGCTGACTGTGCGACAGTATTGGACTGGCTTGAAAAGCCTGTCTCCTTAGAGCTTCCGCCATACCCTGTCGGTGAAAGTCGTGAAATGGTGTACAATGAATAATTTGCTGTATCCTGAGATGTTAACGTCGATGGGAATGCAGTCACTGTGGAATTTGTCTTCTCTGGGATTTTGGTAGAAGGGCTCGATGACTGAGCTGTACCAGAAAACAATAGGGATTGACTCTGTGAGACAAAGAAGGGAGAACCCTCTGTCAAAAAGCCCGACACAGGAATTTCCGAGGAGACGATCCCTGTGCCCACGCCACTCATAGGAGGAGATGATCCATTAGTTGTTGGAAACGGAGCCAAAACGCTAAATGAGGATGTGTACTCCGGATATGAGGCCGATTCCGTGCTGCTAGTGTTAGAAGCTATCGACGTACTAAGATTGCTCTGTATCGGATCTATGCTAGGCTTTGGTGGAATTGAAAATGCTCTGGTGGTGTTCGAAAGCACGCCAGATGATGCGAGACTAGAAGCTGAATTTGACGGAGAGGGCGCCGTCCAGTTCCATGATGAGTTAAAGAGGTAACTAGACCATGATGAGTTTATGGGCCCTGTTTTGGTCGCAAATGCCAACAAGCTTGATGAAAAACCGATTTCTGCGGTATTCGATGGAAGAATAGAACTAAAGTTGAATGCGAAACCTGAGAGAATCGATCTGGCTGCGGATGTCGTCGATCCAGAGAAACTTGTCGCGTTTGAGGAACTTCCAAGTGGACAAGGTGTTGATATGTTGGACGCCAAAGCAGAGGTGACCGTGAACTGTGATCCAATCGTGGAATTTGTCCACGAGGGGCTTTGGGATGGCTGTGGCAATACGATTGATTTGGAAGTACCCGGCTCGGTGACGAACGGAAGAGAATAGCTCCCATGCGTAGGTTCTGCGGTTGTGTAGCAGGGCTCATATCTTTCCTCAATTACATCAAGATAAAATGACATTGTCGTGGTCTAAACGGCATCAGCGTCTTTTGAAATTAGTACGAAGCTTGAGAACAAAGAGCATACAATAGTTTGCGACTGTGTTCGAGGATAAATGTTAAGCGCACACGCGCAAATGCTCGATACCTGATCGGAATCGCAGCCTGCAGGGAGCGCTGTGAGCGGCGCAGCAGTAAATGACGAATTCTCAGAGCAATCCGCGACTGAAGCGCTCGAAGAACTAATATCAGACATTTTCGATGTTATCGCGGAGACCTGCCTCTTCGTAAAGCCCCCTGACACGTCTGTTGGAGAGCATCCGGAGAGCGTAGTTGTCCATTTTCCAGTAACAGTTTCGTATTTAGTCTCTCTATTAACACCATTAGTCCGTGAGTCCAGACAAGCGGCGGAGTTCTTACGTGGTTGTCGTAATGTGAGACTGCCAGCTCACGCAGTTCTCCAAGACGTCGAAAGAAGCCGTACCGATATCGTAAGATGGGATGATTTCGTACAGGCATGCGTCAAGTGAACAGTTTCCTATGGGTATTTGAGCGTGAACGAGAAAAATAAAGCTTGAAAGAATGACTATTTTCTCCATTTGTTTTACCGTGAAAGAATGTCAATGGGAACGAGAGTCTTGATTTACGACATAGAAAACTGTCGCAGTACATGCCATTTTATATCGAACTGGCGAACTACAAAACTCGATTCTTGAACCAAAAGGACCATGCTTCCATCTTCGTGTCCATCAGGAGTGTCGTACGCTGTATGCACCTAGACCAGAGTGGCAATATGGAGGCAACGAAAAAGATGTGAAGTGTTAAGAAGCAACGTGAGGATCAACCATAGCCTTGCACGGGAGTGTTGTACCCTGATACATCTGGTGTACGGTAGCATGAACCTTACAATTGGATTGTAATTAACAGCGTACTCAGGAACCAAGCTCTTTGAATCTTATCGCGTAGTTTTTATGCCCTGTCCTCACTCAATACATTATGAACATAGATATATAATCGACGTGTGCTGGATGACCAAGTTGGTCAAAACCACGTAATATCGACCAAATTCTGATGCCTAGCTGCATCGAGACAGTATAAGGAAGCGTTATTACAACGTGCCCGACATGATGATGCCGTTTCCCAGTTCCCATCGAAATCCGGTGCCAAAGGTGGTATCTTCAGCCATGTAGTAATGGAGGGCAATAGGTCTGAATTGCTGATCGTTATAGGTGGATCCATCTCCTCTTTTGTAGCCCATAGGAACGCAAGTGCATCGCAAATCATGCGCACAAATTCTGGTATCCTAGTGGAAACGGACAGATCAGGATGTGATCCTCAGCTTGTGGGGCGTTCGAATAGCGGATATACGAGAAACTATGGAAAGCAAGCGAGGCTTGTCATAGATCGTACGAAATTCTAGGCCTGTCTTGTGCTCGTTGGGACCACACCGTTTGGGTTTGTATGAAAGAGATTATTGTGTACCTTGAAGCAGACTCCCATGCTTGTATGTCCGACAAAAGACACGGCGTCAGCCGTTGTTGTGTCACGAAGAGAGACGGTTTCACAAGTGTACCAGTCCTGTTTGCCCACCACTGCTAGATCTTGATCACTTTGCGACGAACTGTGGGTCTTTAGATGACTTGCATACGTTCCACTGGAACGAAAGGTCGTACAGCATCTGTCAATGCACGACCAGTTCGGGATGATGGCAACAGATAGGGTCGATTTTTGACTTTCAAATTAGAGATCGGTGCATGAAATCTCCTACCTTGTTAAATACGACTAATGTGCCTGGCTTAATTCTGACGCGCGGGGAGATATACAATAGATGAAGGTAAAGATGGTTACTCACAATTCCAGATACATTCGGAGAGGCAGTCATTATCGGATCCAGACAAGGAAAGGTCACGCAAGCCTCCAGCTAGAAGTAAAGTACAAAATCAAACTTCACTTCAAACTCCTTCTTTTACCTCTTATTTCCCGGCTCAAGCCGTAATTAAGATTTCGGTCGACCCGACGGCATCTAGGCAGTGACAAGTATTATAGCTTTGCGAGTGGAGTACCCTTCAATAGCTTCTGCACCGCGTCGACTCCCGCCTGCGCAACCTCTTGGTCCTGTGCCGGTGTACCCGTCGAACAACCGACGGCACCCAAAATCTGACCATCTTTCCCGACAATGGGCAGACCACCACCTATCGTGGTGAAGCGGTTTCCATTTGTGTTCCATATGCCGAAGGCGGCACCACCAGGCCACACTGCCTCCTTGTATGTGTGCGTGCCTACACGGTGACCGGCAGCTGTGAAAGCCTTGTCTATCGCGATGTTTATGCTTGTGATCTTCGCGCCATCCATTCTCGAGAAGGCGAGTAGATGGGTAGCGTGATCTGTGACGGCAATGTTCATTGGGACGCCAATTGACCGAGCTTTCTCTTCACAGGCACTGACGGCTGCTTTAGCTGCATCTTGTGACAGAGTCTCCACAGTCCTCGTGGGCCGAAATGGTATAGGTGCCATAGCAGATGTGATCAAGTAGCGCGCGTTGCGTATGCCGATTTATGCTGTGTATTGCTGGGCAAACTAAGTATCCAGTCAAGATTGCAAAGTTTGCATCGGTCTAATGTACTCGAAGCCTTTGACAGCAGCGCTTGTGCAGGTTCCTAAGCAGGCTCTAATACAAGAGCGGCAGAGGAGAAGCATGTGTTGATCGACGAAGAAAGCAGCATCGTCCTAGGACAATGTTAGTTCCGCAAGACCGAGGAACTTTACTTTCCGGTCTTCGGTTTCCCATCATCCATCCACGTGATGACGCGCTACAGCAGTAGGACAACCTTCACACTGGCAATATCAGCTCACAACGAAAACACTACTTCGATTCACACCGAATACCTCATTTAAGCCTCGTTCATATTGATTTTTGAGCGGACGTTTAGCATTGAAATTTTCTTCGTGAAGGAGGCGAGGCACACAGGAATTCGAAAAGGATGGACTCTGCAGTTGCGCTCCGGAATTGATTGGCTTTGCGTATCTCTCGTTGGGATCATTGCGTTACTGGCAAGGTCAAGGCCTCGGCGGTCCCTCAGCCTGATCGAAATGCTCGGACTTCTAGCATGATACCTGTTCCGGCAGTCTCAAAGATATATAACGCACCTGGCTTGCTTACTATCTTGACGCCCGAGAGTTATCTAACATTTTGCTCTTTCATTTCCGTTATGACACAAGAATCAGACCCTCGTACTGCCCCGCTACGATGAGCTGGAGAAGATGTATTCATCGTCGTCGCTTCGAAGTTGGACCAGCATTAAATGGGCAACTCTAATCGTGTTTACCGGTTTAGCTTCTTTAGTGTGGTTCACCATTGACTTCGACCTTAACGGCTGGTCGTGGAAGAGGACTTCTCTCGAACCGCTTCATATTGGCGTTATCGATACGACCAGTCGCTAGCTCTCACACCTGCTTCAGTCTTAATTCGCTAAATACAAGCTACTCTCTTAAGGTGGAGGCCCGGCCGGAACGTTCGCTGCTGCTCGCTTACCAGAGCTCTCCGGAAAGCTGCATCGTCCTCTAGAGATAACTCTTTTCGCGAGAAAATCCTCCCTCGGAGGTCGTCTGGTACCTGACGGCCCAACATTTCCCTTCAATCATGAGTTCGAGATGCCTCTTTCCGCGGAAGATTCGAGCTACAATTCACCGGTTTCAGATCTAAATGGTATAATACCTGGCGTTAATTTCCGGTTCAGGAAATTCCCTTTGAGACGGAATGTTGAGAAGACTCTATACTTAGTCTTTTGATTCCCCTTTCACATTGCACATGGAACCCTTGAACGTTTCTGATGGATAAGCTTAGTGTTTATAATAAGCCAATCGAGCTCACACGGCCATACTCGGCAGCATCATTTGGTTCTCGCCTTTGGGAATTTTGGTGCTTTGGGAGATCAGCAAGTGATGCCAAGAGCCTTGGTTTCCAGTATCGACAACGGATTGAAAGGCTGAGCCGGATTGGTACCCAGGACTCTGTCAAAGCCATCGTCGACCTGCTCAGCCTTGGCCAAGCGCGTTCACAGATAGGAGCGGCCATCTTCAGTAAGCAGGGAGTCTCGAAAAATTACATTAATCGTATACTTAAGAGCGGAGCTCTTGTCCAACTTGGCCAAGAAGCCGACTCTTTGAATATATTTACTCTAGGAATGGTGGCCTACGCTGCAGATGAAGGCAAGACGCATCAAGGCGGTTGTCTGGTTGCTACGCTCGAGAGCATGATATCGCTCTCCAAGAATGTTCACCTCCATCTCAACAACGAAGCGCTAGGCCTCCGCAAGCTAAATGCAATAAAATGGATCCTCGCTACACGTGACCTTAAGGATTCAGGCCATGAATCGGCTTATATGTTTGACGGTGTAATTCTAGCCGCACCTATGAGCTCCCTTAAGCTTGAATTCCGCAATGCTACCTTTAAAACTGACAATGACTTCGTCGTGTATCAGCCTCGTCACCCCACTTGGTTCACGACCTCGCGTGCCCTGGACTCAGCGGAAGTGGGCAAGAAAGATCCTCAGTTCCCAGATAGGATCATCAGGCGGATTCCACCTTCTTGGCAGGCGGCAGAACCAAGCACCGGAGCTATCGAGATATCTGATTTGGGACATGATGTCAAGCGATGGCTTCATAACGATGTTCCAGAACGGATGTATCGCTTGCTCTCTGACAGGCCCGTCACAGACAAAATGGTTCGAGACCTACTTGGCGGCAAAGCCAGCAGCTGGATTGCCCGACATACTGTATCGTTCTCACCGTTGCAAATGTCATGCACCTTGGCTAACGAGAATATAGATCGAGCAAGGCTACCCTGTCTACGGCCCGCGATCCTGGTTTTCCGACTTTGAACTCGATGAATTAGTCTGGCACACATCAGCCATCGAAGAACTCCACAGCTCCGTCGGAGTTAGTGCGTGGACCGGCCGTAATGTAGCGAATTTGGCATTTCAAAAACTGAAAGATGTTGCTTAGGTTTGTGAATTCTGCCAAGACCTGAAGACATAAACGTATGGTGGTTTCTTATTAAGCCCAAACAACAAAATCGAATTTCTCTCGGCCGCGACTGTCACTAGTTTTTGAAACCTGTGCGAAAATTTCCTCGCATTGTTATGGATGGCGTGCGAAACACATCATAAAGCGATTACGGGATACTTTATATCCAGTCGCTAATCGTCTTTGAGAAACTCGATTGGAGAACGAGTAGCCATCAGTAGAAGTAGCTGACGTATATGCGATGACAACCTTATGCAAAACAAATGACAGAAAATTCTATTTAAAAATTCATGTCGTAGCAATTAAAGTCGTACAGCGCCTTAGGGAGGATCAAACGACAACCAGCGTCGAAGAAGAAACAAGTACAGAACTTTGGCGTTGTCGTAATATCCCAGCATCCGATCAACCTCCCAGTTTTTGTAGGCCCGTTAATGCTTTGAGTTCTTGCTTGTACTTCAACCCTTTTCGACAAATGTAAGAGTTAAATGTTGCACAAGAAAAAGGGGGTGTGCAGGCAACGATATTAGTGACGATAATTTTCATCCGAAAACGCCATCGCTGAATATCGGAAGGACAGAACAAAGGGTTATTTCTCCTTTAGAGACATTTCAAGGTGGTGGTACAAGGTTTTGACAAAGGAAAGTATGATCTCAGGATTATTGCAGTGGCAATGTCCTGCTCCTCTCCAGCGGCGCTGGCCATCTCGGAAGTGAGACTGAAGCAGATCCCTTATGCTGACTCGTCGTTTTGTTCAGCGGGGCCTTTGGTGGCGGTGGCGCTACCGCACCGGCTGTAGGCGCGGCGGACGAGCTCCTCCCTTGCTGATCCAGGCTTATACCAGGGCCAGCAGAACTGCGAAGCAAATGCACGTTGGAGAATGATTCGCGCGAAGACGATGGTCGCGGCGGAGACTCTGGGAACATTTCGTCCATGCCCGTACCGTGGAAGAGAATGTCTCTGTTTCTAAGGCCTGCGCTAGGCGGCCAGTCGGGAAGCTTGCGCGGCCATGCGCTATAGTTGACGGGTGTTGGGTTTGCAGATATGTCAGATGCTTTGCGGGAACCGCAAGCAGCTGTGGTAGATTGAGATAGGTAGATTGGTTTCGGGGTCGTCACGGAATCCGAAACGGAGGTGGCTAACGAAGAGAGGCTAGGCACGGAAACCGGAATGTTGTTGAGGGCGAACATATCGTCGAATGAAGGAGCTCGACTACAGCTAGCGACGGTGACGGATGGAGTGTACCCCGTACGCTGAATCGGATCTGGAGTGCCGATTCGCTTCTGAAGCGCACCGTCCTCGTAGATAGCACGCAAGGCGCGAGCATCCGACCATGGCGGCGTCCCAGCACGCTGCAACTGCTCTCGTATAGAGCCTTTAGGCAGTGGAGGCGCCTGAGCCCTAGATGCACCTCTTCGAAGCCTCTTTGAAGACTCCGGCAAAGGTGTCTCCAGGAATGTCGAAAACAGTGAGTCCTTCGATGCTTGGCTGCGTAGTCCTATCTCACGATTGAAGGTAGCGCCCATAGCTCGGGCTCGCTCCATCTGCATAGACTTTTCTGTCGTCCGCATCGAGGACGGCGTTCGCTTGGGCGTGGTTGGTGCGAGGCTTGGAGAGTCCGCGCTGAAGTAGTCAGAGTCAGGAGGATTGGTACATTCAGTACCAAAAGTGCCCGCCGTGGCGGGTCGCATTGACATCTTCATCGATGGAGTGCCCTCAGCTTCACCACTGAAGTAGTCCGAGTCCGGTCGAGGGGAGTGCATCAATTGCTGTTTCATCAGCGCTTCGTTTGCCTCCTCAAGTTGCTGGATGATGCCTGCAGCCTCTTCGATCGCAAGTTGTCGCTGCTGTATGCCTTCGTCTTTAGACTCTAGCTCACGCATCAGATCATCATTTAGGACGGTCAGCTCAGCATTGTGAATTTTCAAGTTTCTATTCTCTTCCTCCTGCTGAGCTGCCTGTCTGCTAATCGATTCAATAGCCTCTTGCAGCTCGCGATTCCGATCCCTGAGCGACCTGCTCTTCTCCAACTCCTCTAGAGCAGTGTCCAACTCATTGCGAAGTTTACTGAAGGCATCATCACGAAGCGTGATGCGGTGCTTTAGATCCCAGTTCTCCTTAAGAAGTTTGTCCATTTGCGCATCCGCTTCTCGTAGACCTAGGTTCCGAGCTTGCGTATTGAGCGAAGGTTTCGCAGGTGCCACTTCGCTTGCACGTCTAGCCCTCTGGCGGAAAAGCGGCCGTCGAGCACCGGAGAATGTTGCCTCATCATCAGATGAGGGCAAGAACAATTCGTCGTTGGATACTTGATTGACAGGAGGCCTGCTGCTCTTGTTTTTGCGAGGCGTCGTCGACTGCGATCGAACAGGTAGACCTTTCTTCTCTCGTAGCGCATCACGCAAAATGTCAGATTTGGGCTCAATCCCATCGCCTCCCGACGTGGATGGTCGCTGCGACGGTGTTACGGTGGTGCGACGAGGTAGGACAGGATATTGCGCCGGTGTGAAGTACTTTGGTGTCGTGTTGGTGCTAGACATATTGAATACAGTCTATGCGTGCGTATGTGTGACGGGCTGAGAACTGGACGAGATGGCAGTTGAGAGTAAGAGTGGCCTGTCTTGAAAACAGATACGTCGCAATCAGATCTAAGATCTGACCGTAGCCACACAAAACAAAATTGATGACTTGGTGAGGGGTTCCCCAGACGAATATGGAAGCGAGAGGATATGTCCTATGTCGAATGTCCTTCTTATAGTCAGCGAATATGCCTCACGAGATAAGGACCAGCTTACGAACCTGGCATTTGACAATTCAAATCGCCTTTCGGGATAAATAAATCAAGCCATTGCAATATGGTGTTATCAGGACAGGATCTTGAAATCGCCGAATATTCCAAGCCAAGAGATGAGTGTGTATGTGGCACAATCGTATCACGCAACGAAAAACGGCACGTCAACGCGGTAGGTCCAAGGGCTTAGGAAAAAAAACGAGAATAGATTCCGTGCGTCCCAAAAGCCAGATCAAAGTGCTTCTTCTATCCGGAAGCTACATTTGACGGGATATGCCAGCCACATCAGCTGCTGATAGCGAAAGATGGAGAGAAGCGACGTATGCGAGTATTTCGTCTATTTTGCTCTTTGGCTGCAGTGGTGCGCATGCGAAGGGAACAGTCGGGGTTTCGGTGGTTCTGGGTTGCAGATGCAGGGGTACGTTGATCCGCTTGGTATAGCCCACAGATCGACGGGTATCTGTTCGATGTGTTCTGGACGGGCGTCGCTTTGGTACGGTACCAGAGTTTACGACGAGCTTGTAAGGTCAGGTAAAAGCTAGGGATCAAAGGCACGAGAGAAGGAAAGGACGATCAAGGACGTTTGAGGAGGCGATGTCCTCCACGACAAGCCAACAGACGCGCCGGGGGAACGATCGTCTTCCAACAACAGCAACTCAGGAACAGCAACGACAAGGTATCGAAAGCAGATTAGCGGCGCAAGCGATTCCAGCGGACCGGTTCTCCTAACGTCGGTTCCTGCTCACGCTACGCTCGAAGGAGAGCGGCTGGGGATGTGAAATTGCTTGATTGACCAATCGTGTCTCTCGTCACATTTAGGGAGTGCTTGGTCGGGATGAGACGAAAGGGAGGACTGTCTCTGCTTTGAGAAGGCATCCGTGAACAAGGAAATAAAGAAAAAAAAAAAGAAATGAGGCGAGCACCTTCGGAATACTCGAGATTGACCCTGTTGAAGAGATAAAATGTTGAAACTGGTTTGGCCTCGCTCGGCCCATCGCCTGTGCTCTTTCTCCTGCACGAACACAGTGTTTTCTAGGTGGAGTCTGCAGCTCGTTTTTGCAGAATCCTCATCCTCCAACGTGCAGACCATCCAAGGCCCGTCTTTGCACGGCTTATGATTGGGAGTTTGAACTTGAAACCACCAGATGTGCCCTATTGCAGCCAGCCCGCATATGTCCTTTCGTCACAGTCCGGGCAGAACAACCGCGATAAGGTTCCACCAGAGACGAGAACGCGCTCGAACAGCTTTTGTGGGTGTTCAGATAACTCGTTCAAAAACCCCACGGCCAATGACACTTCAGCGAGTTTCGCAACGCAGGACTCAATATAGCCCAGCAGGGGATTCCTCCTTATGATGAAAGACATCTCCGGATAGAGACCGACGTTACCACCCCCAGAGGTTTTGACATGTTCAGGGTCTCACAGGGGACAAGCCAGGACCCAAAAATCTCCCGACAAGGCTCTTCATAGGGCCCTCGTCCTCCGTTCTCTATTTTCCTCATCGTCGCCCTCCTTTTCTTTTTCCCTCTCTTCGCGTTCGTCGGTACTGGCGTGGCGTTCAGGTTAAGAGTCCTGCAGGACAGGGGCATGGGTGCGTTTTTCGCATCGCGTGCAGCCCAAAAGGACCGCTGAAACCTCGTTTCGCTGATGAAGGAGGGGAATGATGGAGAGGGCTTTTGCTTTTGGCGCACTCGGCTGCGAGGTTTGTCTGCATCCCGATGTTGCGTCTTCCCTGGCTTCCAAGCCCGAGTGGCACAGGAGACGAGACGGGACGACGTCGAGACAAGGCGCGGAGGACAGTGGTTGAGGGTGCTGCTTCCATGTCTGGGAATGAGGACGGAGCTCCGAGGCGATTTTCTTCCGTTGAGATGCGCCTTCTAAGCTTGAAGTCTCCTGTCGTTCCTGCCAGCGCAACGACGAGCTAAGGAAGCTACTTTCCTCTGGCAGCACTTGCATGCCGCCCAACACCAAGTAAGAGCTACCGACACCTTTAACCGAATATGCCAATGATATTCTGAACGAGTTCATGACACGTCGTGCCCATGTTTCATGCGTCTCTCAATCCGCCAAACGAGCCCCTTATTCTGGTCATTCAATATCTTCTCGTTTCTCCATCCTTCATTCATCGGTAAACTAGGGGTCTGACGACCAAGCAAGTCTTTTTACTGGAGTGTCTCGACCATTCTACGTCACTACGTCATTTGCAGGTCTGGTGACGATCTTGAGGCATCATTGTAACTTGCTCTGTCCGTTGCGGTCCCCAGCTTCTGCCCATGATTTTAGGTGCGTGGAATGGATCAATCAGATACTAGCAATGTTCATCCACATGTTGCAGAATCAAGAGACAGAACTTGGCCGCTTCGAGAGCTTAAGCGTTCATCTCACCCATGACTTATGTACTCGATCAATTGATGACTGAGCGAAACATGTACACATGTTTAAACAGTTGACCTAGTCATGGCAGAGCCGACATGTAAAAAAATCGCACACGCTTTCACGCATATCTGTATCTTACATACAGGTAGCTTCCGTGACGATGATCATGATTATTGTGCCCTTCCACCGACAAATTGCTCGCCAAACAGTCTCGAGAATCTGCCTCTTAATCCCTCGTCCGTATCCGACCCCGCCTGTCTTGACGTCGCGTGTCCCTCGGCCGCATCCTCACCCTCCAGTCTCCTTCGCAAGGCCTCCATGTTTGGGCCCTTACTTCTCTGACCCACAATCCACGCCGGCAGTCTCCATGCCGTACCGGGAATTGCTTCATTGCGGTACGCGTAACCAATTGCCCAACCCACAGCAGCCGGAAGCAGGGAGCTAGGAAACTGCGAGAGTGCCAACTGCACAGGGATGAAATAGCTGGTCGTCTTCGAACTCAGCGTAATTGTGCCGTTTAATATGGAGTTAAGCTGCGAGGAGGCGGAGCTGAGCGTGGGTTGTGGATTCGCAGTCATTCCGACGCGGTAACGGTACGTGGCTGGGATTGCAGAATGAAACTGGGCGAGGATAGCGAAAATTAAAGGGGTCGGGCCAGCAGGGAGATAGTTGACACTGCCGAACGAGAGCGGTCGCAGAATGAACAGTAAGATCAAAGGTGGGAGGAGTAGCGTATAAGGCAGAATGACCAGAACGAAGGACTGCATTATTGGAATCAGCATGCAGTGGCCTTTCGAACGTATTTTGAACATACTGCAAACTTCCTACTGCCCCACAGCCTCTCAATTATGCGCAGATTGTAGAACGTGATGGCGGCGAACAAGACCTCTGTCGAGTTGGTGTAACATGTCTGGCCAGTTTATCAACATTCTAGCGGCCCCAGTGTTTCCAGTCACGCTCATGAGATGAGGTCGGTCTCTCACCAAGACTCACCTGCCACGTAAGAAGCCTCCAAAACTGTCGCCATTTCCATATATGAGGCACCGCTTGGAGGTAAAAGTAATGCTTTGTGTCCGAGATGCTTGCCGCTATAGAAGCCGCGACAACCCAGAAAACTAGGATCTGCGAGACAGGCGTATACTTGAAGCCTGATGTGAGCATTTCGACCCTTGCCCACGCATTCTTCCGGCTACAAACAGTGGACGTGTGGTGCGGGTGGATGTAGTTGTTAGTGCATGGCGCTGAAGAATGCGGCAGTAAAGATGCTAGCTGTCCACTTTCGGAAGGTGATGTCAACTTGGCTCCCACAAAAACATGCACGAAACATTGTTCAACAACAAAACGCCGGTCTGGATCCCCCAACGAGATCATAACTCCATGAAAGCCTCGTGCTCAATTTTTCGGCACGGTGAACTTAAAATAGTATCTGATGTAGGCTACGCGACCAATAGCGACAGACAATAAAACGACTCAATTGTGCAGCCTTGTCTTGTGTGGGGTGGTCCGTTTATTGGACCAGTACTACAAATCCCAAGGCCCCCGGCTTCCAAGACGTCAATTCTGTTCGCTGGCTGCCCTGTTGACCGCATCGACGACGCAATCGATCTTACCAAAGTACGGAATGTGGTCCACGTTATACCTGTAAACGTCGACTTTTCGCCCGCTTGCCTTCTCGACGAAGTCGATGCCGGCCTGCTGCATCCTGGGGAGTACACACTTATCGTTCTCGCAGAACATGTACGACACGGGCACGTCCTTGTATCCCTGATACGTGAGCTTGCCGCCGAAAGAGATGGCCGAGTGCTGCCCGAAGCGCTTCGCCCACGGCAGAGCTTCCTCGTACGGCATGTCGTTGAAGCACGTCTCGATCAGCGGACCAACATCAACGTGCGTCATGTATTCTCCCTGGCTGTGCCTCAGCGTAGAACTTAGTCGGAACGAAAGAAACTTACGTCGATCCTGATGGACGATGGGATCCCATCACCCATCACGGAAGCAAGATCACCTCCAAGATCGGGGACGACGGCTGTGGTATAGAGGATTCTGACCACGCCGCCTGGCTTACCCTGAGCAGCTCTCTCCTTCTTTGTCACGCCCTTGACACTTTCCGTAGCTGGGATTCCGCCGTACGAGTGCGCCATGAGGAGGACATCGAACCCATCATTCGAAACTTGCTCGATCACCTTGCGAATCTCATTCGCGTCGTCCTCCATGGTCGCGGCCGGCAACGGATCTCTCTTTCCCAGGGAAGGGAGTCGGACAACCTCAATGCGATCATAGCCTGCTTGGTGCAGCTGGTACACAAAGTGCGCATACAGACTGACTTTGGAAAACGAGCCAGGAGAGAGCACAATCGCCGGCTTGCTGGCCATGGCGCATTAAACAGCCGCCTGGAGAAGAGGGAGGATGATATTCAACCAAGAATAAAGTTGTGATCTTAGAGACAGAATGAGGGGCTTTGCTCCACGTTAGCTTTAGTCCCATCCCATTCTCACCGCCCCCCCTCTTTTATATTCGTGAATTTCGGGGATATAATCTGTCCGCTTAGTAATATACTATTAGGAATGTGAAGACTATCTTGCGACGCGCAGTCATAAATTAGTGGGATGAAATTGAAGCACGAATTATAGCACGCATCGGGGTTGTTTACCGTAAAATGTTAGGGTTTTCTGACGCATGCCCAGCCCCAATAGCATTCAGAAGGTCAGAAACTAGCGTACAATGTCAGAAAATGGTGCAGGTAAGTACGGATCGGAGTCTTGCGGTTATTTTTTGACAACCTTCGTCGTCTTTCATGAAATATCCGCGCGAGTGTATTCTCCGGACTGTATTTCGACATCTCACCAAGCGTTAGAATAGAGGTGTTCTTGAAATCGGCTAGCGGATCGACGCCAAAAATGCATTTTGGTATACTTGGTATCCTATCTAATATGCTCTTAGAACACCAATGCTGATAGATGCAGTTTGAAAGGGATATATACATATGCAAAAAAAAAAAAATCATATGAACGTATTTACTCCTTGGTTCTCTCGAGGCATTTATTCCTCGTATTTGCCACCGGGCATCATGTCTCTGTTCTTTTCTAGCAGTCCCCTCAAGTATTCATAAACTGTGAAGGTAACCGCCTGTCCTGGCGCAACACGCATCACCCGTGGAGTGATACCCTTATAGAAACTTCGGACACCTTCTTGTTTCCACATATCGCCGGCGATCTTGGTTATGCGACCCAGAGCAGTGTCACCTGGCTCCGCTGGAGTCTTTTGCAGACGGGTCTTGATCGTATCGATGGGCGCGTTTGAGAAAGGTCCCATGGCGCCGGATATCAGACCAATGGTTGAGGTTTGCCAGCCTGGTAGATCAACTGTTCCCTGGTACTCCTGTAGCGTGGATCGAAGGTACGAATATGCGGTGAAATTGGCTATTTCGATCGGTCAACAATTTGCCCATGAAGGAAAGTAGACGGCAAGGAAATATGCATACCTGCTTGATTCGTTCCTTGTCTCAAAGCTGTGAGGGAAACACCACGATAGAGAGCGCCAACTCCTTCCTCCTTCACTACGGTGTACAAAGCATGTGCAGCATTTCGGTACTTCGGAATATCCAAGGGGTCTGCCATAGAATGGTGCTGCGCCTGCAATCGAATTTTGATAACTTCCATGGGCGTTACCACAAGCACGGCTTCCGTTACACCAGCAGCCAGACCAGCTGTTTTTTAGAGGTTAGTCGGCCCAACTCAGATTTCAAGCTTGGCTGTTACGCACCCACGAATGTTGACGATCCGCTAACCTTCCCATCTTTATCCGCTAAAAGTTGCTTGTACCATTCATATGATGTGAATCTTATGGCCATCTTAGGCACGATACCGGTCAGAACAGCGCCGAGGCCTTTGTATAGACCTAGCGGGGTTTCGCGCTTTACAATGTTCAAACCAGTGCCAATGAAGCCCACCTTCTTCGCTCCTGGGGCTTTTGCTCTCCTCGAAAGCTGCATGCGTACTTTGATTGTGTCTAGCGGGTGGCACACGAGCGCTTCCATCATACCAGCACCGCCTCCGGCAATGAGATTTGTCGCTGCGGATGCTGGCTGCTTGCCATTGGAGCCCTTGGTCGAGTTTGAAGCCATCTTGTCCTTTCGAATCCTCCTCTAGCAAAGCCAAATTGGTCGTGCGACACAGCGAGGACAAAATCAACTGGGTACTGTTTTCCAGCTGCTGAAACACGGACGGAGAGCAGCAGCGTATAACGCGCTCGATTGAAGCTTTCCAGCTTAGACTGGCACGGCGAGAGAGAAGGAAAGAGAAAGAGAAAGAAAGGAAACACGGAACACAGAAAACAAGACAATTGTGAATCAGAAGTCATAGAAAATCTCTCTGGCGCGCGCCCGACCCTGCCTGCCGAGTGACCAAGGTCCGTCATCGCGTGCGTTCTGGCCTACGCGGGTGTTTCCCACTTGGCCGAGGCACACAAATTGCGCGAGGGAGGGAAAAGGGTAAAGCGACCCTGGGGTGCCCCAATGGAACACCTCTCCAAGTGTTCGCCGCTCCATGCTCGACTGTTAGCCGGACTCGCCTGAGGAATTCCTTTGGCGGGTAAAGAGTAACCGCTTTAGGTTTTGGTCGCTGGACGAGCGGATCTTTGAGCCTTCGGCAAAGGTCGGAATGCTTGCGAACGCGTAGCTGGATGCAGGTCCCGTGCAAGCCTTGCGCTGAACGATTGATCTGATAAACGCGGCCGAAAATCTCAGAGGGAAAAAATTTCGTTGCGCCTTGGGCGCTGTCTCAGACAACCTTGCAGAGGTATGACGTTGCAACTGGTTCGAACAATACGAATGGACTTTTTCCATGTGAAGAAGTGCGGGGACGACAATGTGGCTTGACACGTGGATGACGGAAGGACTCATTCCGGTGTTCACGCGGCACCGCAGCTTCGTCGCCAGCAGCAGCACAGTCATACAACGTAGCCTGCATTTCAGCTTCAAGAACCGCGGCATTTGGCATATTAGGAAATTCAATCTAGTCCTTGAAATGTAATCCGTTCGACTCCCATCTGGCAAGGCTATGAAGGAAGCTATGCGAGGCACACCTAGCCAAATACACTGTCATAAAATTTGTCTGTACCACTGCAAATTGAAGCATGTGGAGATGAACAGCCATAATATGCCGATTGGAATCGAAAAAATATAATTCGAATACGCAAATTGTTCGTGTTCAGCCTGAAAGGCGGAACTGCCTGAGCACGGGTTACTATGGAGCTCGTTAATTGACGTTTGTAATGACTCCTCAACGGCGCAGTCGCGCGGAACTTCCGATAGAGTATTAAGACTTTTAGCAAGCCGAAAAGCCATTGCTGGTCAGCCGCAGTGGAGAGCATCACAGACTTGTTGCTTAGTCTGCCATCGTCTGCATTGGAGGTAGAGCAGCCATTGCCGACCGGAGATTAGCAAATGCCGCACCGTTCTGTATCCTCGACTCGACTTCTCGGGACAACATCTTCTCGAGCTTCTCCAACCACAGAGGGTGCACCTCTTGTTTTTTTGAGAGAGTCAAGACATGCGCCAGTCTGTCCGTCAACTTTGTCACCACGTCAAGCTCCAACTGAAACCTTCGTTTCCACACCAAAACTACATCCACTGCACACCACACTTGCATGCCAAAAACAAACATGTTTGGTTTTGACGTCCATCCTAGCACCCCGTCCATGTTATGCTCTATGTAGGCTTGAAGCAAGTCCAAGCCTTCCTTGGTCCACTCGAAAAAGCTCCGCACGTGCACCTGTGGTACATGCTTTATCTCCGGAATACATTTCAAGAGTTGAGACCAGTGGTTAGCTTCTCGAATAGGATCTAAAAAGAGGTTTTGCTTTTCGACTGCGAAGAGCGCAGTGTTCTCTGCAATAACATCGGCAAATACGTTGGCGCAGCTCTGTGTTCGGAAACCTTTCATTCGCAGAACGGCTTGATCAAATACTTCTGGCATGTGAGAGTATTTCATTCGAATGTGAGCGATCAGCTTACGACTCGCAAGAAGCGGAACAGCATTTGTGGTTTGGCCGGAGAGCTTGCCCTCTGACAGTATCGCACTACAGATGGTGGTAGCAATACTGCGAATGCCCTCGTCGTCGTCATTGAGCAGGTCATAGATAAGCAATATGAACTTTAGTCGAATCCTCTCCATGTAAGATTTATGCTCAATGCTTAGATCAGGTTTCCACAGGTTTTGAATACTTGCAAGACACCGGACGACGGCGAGGCGCAAATCGATAGACTGTTTCATGACGTTAGTTCTGCTCATTGCACATTTTGGGGAGGTCTAAGCCTTGCCTGATGCTCATCAATCAAGGGCCGCAAGGCCATGGCAAGGGTGTCAAGATCTTCAAGAAGCTCAGCGTCATTTGCGTTAACCATGCAAGCCTTGTTTAAAAGCGGACCCCAGAGTAGTACAGTATTCTCGAGAAGTGATGGCGGCATAGACGTGGCATTGCAAATGGTCCACTTCATATCCTCTGATCGCAACGAGTCATAAAAGAAATTTTCAGTTCGGCCAAGTGTCTCGTACAGTCTCACGAGCAGCATACGAGAGGTCCCCAGGACATGAGGGTCTTGGAGCTCGCCTTTGCTGGCTGCACAACATAAGTGTTTTGCTACGACCTCAAGACTTGAATTCGGTATGTTCTGTGCCATATCGATTACGGATTCGAGGACTTGCAATGTTACTCGAGCGTCTATGACCTCTAACAAATCGAGATAATTGGAAAGGCTGACCGTAGCCTGGTGACTTGGATTCAAATCTCCCTCGCCAAGCTCCTGGGAGCTAAATATGTATCGAAGAAGCACATGAAGTGCTAGCGATCTTCGAATAGTTGGCGCCTCTGCAAAGACCTGCTCAATCTCATTCATTGAAATCGTGTGATGGTCTGACAAACCAATATCTATTTGGTTCTTGAGACGATGAAGTCCGATCATGTTGAGAATATCGAGATAAACCGTCCTGCAAAACGGAGAACGGTCTTCTTTCATCAAATATGACATTTCACGATTTAGCATCTGCTCGAGGCCTCTCATGGCATCATAGTCTGGTTGTGACGATTGGATCTCGAGTTTAACAGCATAGGAGATGCAAAGCAGTTGACCGTGAGCGACATTTTGGGGAGTTTCCAGTTCAGGGATCAACGTTGTAGCAATCATACATCGTTCAGTAATGGGTAGGAGCACAGCATAAGTGCGAGCGGCCATGTCTCTCACGTGCCAGTGTGGACTCTGACACAAACGCAGGACGAGCTCTCGAACCCTGCCTCGCGTTGATGTCGGAGGAGGCATTCTCTGCATGAGTTTTAGCGCCGGGAACACACTTTCCAAGGAGCTTCTGGTTGACTCTAGACTTGTTGAGGCTGGCTTGAGCAAATCAAGAGTCATCTCCAGCAACCTAGGGAACTCATTATATGACGAACGAGGCTTTGCCGTAGCGATCGTGTCCTCTGACCAGTTCTGAGAGTCTGCGCTGCCCAATAGGCGATCTATCAGAGCGCGGAAAAGCATTAAGCCGCAATTTCGGATAGCCCAAATATCGGAAGTAAGACATCTTCCGGCTAGGTCGAGGGCTGTGGCAATGTACGGTTCTGTGTATTGTCCAAGAACAGTGTTGATGAATATCGCTCGAATAGAGTTCAGGGCGTGTACCTGAGGCAGGGAATCGCCATGTAGAACCTTTCCCTTCGGCGCTAGTTTTGCCTCAGCAATCAGATCATTCATACCCTGTCTGAATAGGTCGGACGTTGGACAAGCACCAAAGATGCCAACAACGAGTGAGGGTAATCCCGCTGACCTCCGCGTTGTAGCAGAGCCTTTGGCTTGGATAGCATTTAATGTGTCAACAAAGAGTTTTTCCAGCAGATCATATCGTTTTAATGTATTGGCCCTCGAGCAGCAGGCTGCAAAGGATTGTGAAACTGCCGAAAAGGCACCTCTGTGTCGCAGCTCCACTAGTTCCGTGAAAGCTAGTCGAGATAACGTCTCGAATTGCACTGGCGTCAGAAGGCAATCTTCCCGGTCTCCAACAGAAGCTCTGCTAACAAGCGCACGAAGTAGCGAACTATGAGAACATTAGCCGATACAGCCAAAAAAAAAAAAAAAAAAATATCTTAAAACAACTCACCTCGCTTCTTTTAGTGCACGCCAGCAATAACTAAGGATGTCTTTCGTGCCAATACTGATATCCTCTTCCATATCTTCAGGTACATATCCTTCAGGAGCATCATTGCAAAGGACATCTTTAACACTGTTCCAAACCTCCCCTAAGGCTTTCACGAGACGGCCATGATAAGATTGCCACACTGTGTGTACACTAGTGTTTAATTTGTCGTAGAGCTTTGAGTTATCGAGAACAAGCCTGATTGAAAATTAGCAGACACAAATCATCATGGCTGGATGATTGCTACCTGATGCTCGCCAGCACGCCATGGAGAGGAAATTTGCCAACTGCCAATTTGAGGTCGTTCTGTGCCAAGGTTATTCGTTCTTCGAGCCTCTCGAGGAGACCAGCCATGTGAGCTTCTTTGCTCCCTACAAGCTCATCGCTTGTACAGTCAGCGTGAGTAGCTGCCTCAAAAATTAAGGCGTTTGCTCGAGAAACTCCATCCGCGTGATCGGCACGTCCCGTTGACAACATTAATTGCTCAGCTCTTCTCAGAAGCCTTGATTGCATCGCTCCAAATGCGAGTTGCGGTATGCAGGCTTGCATTGCTAGAAGAGAGCTGGCAAAGCTACGGACATCCTCGAAAGGGTCCATCAGAAGGTCTTGCAGTAAGCGTGAGAGGAGACTATCAAAAATGGTCTCATGGAACGCCCACTTTGTAGCTTCCTTGCTTTGAGCTTGCTTGGACAATCGATCCTGAGGTAGGCGTCCATCAAGTCCGGACTTGGCGAGAATGATAAGGGTTCGAAGTCCAGAGATGTGACGTTGGTAGGCAGCGGCTGGATGGAGCTGGGCTTTGGCAAGAATTATGAATGAGCGTAGAAACTGGCGATGCACCATCAGCGCAATCTCAGGATTATCGTCGTGCACCTGGCCTGTGGCAGCAAGCACCCGGTCATCACATTCACTTTTTCTTTTGCTTACGATTCTCGTGAGTGCCGCGGTCGCTGCTTTAATCCGATCTACCAAGCGTTGAACGTAAACGAGCACTTCTCCCCTGACGTAAAGATCTGTCTCCATAAAGAGGTGTGAGAAGTTCCGCTCGAGACAACGCAACGTAGAGCCCGTAAATGGTCGTGTCACAGTTGCGGATGAAATGACAAGAGCAAGGCCGGATAGACGCAAATTGCACGAATCATGCTCAAGAATTTTTGCCAGCGCCGTTTCCGGGATATGTACCATGTCGTTGTGAATTTGGACTTCATGTACAGCAGAGTCGATGACGATGCCGGCTTCCTTACCAACTTCGAGACAGGTGAAGAGAATTCTTGCGTCTGTCGCATCGATATCTGACACCCCCAGCTCATTCCTGGGCCCGAGTACACGATCTAAGCCTAAAGCTGTAAGGAAATGCCGATAATGCGAAATTTGACTCTTAAAAAGTTCTGGTAGTAGATGCGAGCGAAAGTTGTGAAGATCATCCACGTTCTCTTTAAGAACTCGTATCAGTGGTAGGACCCAAAGTGGATTCGAAGCAGGAATTTCAATGTCTCGACATTTCAGAATACTTTTAACAAGCGTGCGCCCTGCTTGTCCCGCAGCAATCGACGTGTCCCCCGAACGGACCCAACCGAAAATGATTTGCAGTACCCATTGCAGCTCGACAATATCCGATGGAGATGGAGCTACGTCGGGACATGAAGAGTTCCGAACCTTTCTGCAATGCTCAATCAAATTCTTGATGCCCAATATGTCTTTTGAAAGCAGGTTGGTCAAGATATGCAACGCTGGTTTTGCTTTGACATGGTCTGATTGCTGCAGCAAAATTTGCAAAACATCGTCCGTGGTCAGATCGACGATGAGGTCCTTCTCGTCGTTTGGAAAATCGTTAAGTGCATCCGTCAAACATATTAGCAGCTGCCGCAGAGGCCTTGATTTGGTTCTGTCTGATCTGTCGAGTAGAATGGAGAGGCACCTAAACCAAGCATTCTGCGATACAGACGGGCTTTCTGGCAGCAACTTAGAACACCCAACAACGGAGCAAATCGTATTGATGGCTGCACTTCGATGTCCCGAGCTAATCGAGAGATCCAATGCAGTATCGATGAGCCTGTCTATGATCAAATTGAAATTTCTATTGCTATGTCAGAAACTAATTCTATATGATAGTGAAAATTTCTAAACCGCGTCAACGAACGACGACTCAAAGGATAGGGGAGCTCATGCATCACGTACTTCGTCAGAACTTCCTCCTCAGTCGTACCAATCACTCTGGGAAGGGCTCTACTCAAGTCCCGTAGACGGCTTTCGGCGTAAGGAATGTCATCCACCCAAATCGTCATGATTGCATGTTAAAATTCAACCTGCCGCTAACTATGATCCACTGCACGAGTCTTGACTGTTCACGACGTTATCGTCTTATGGTGAAAATTCTGGTGCAACTTTGTCGCACATCAAAATCTTAGCAGTCAAATCTTTGAACGCCGAATAGCGGAGCAGCCACTCATCCAACGGAACGCAGCACTTCACAAACTGCCAGTACCCATGAACGATTCCACGGCAAACACCAGCTTTTCTTCAACAATAACATGATCCTTTCCAGCATTTCCTTGTTCGCTCAATTGTCTCTACATCACATCTAGCAGAGACGGACGCACAACGCAATCAAAAACAGCTCCAGCGCAAATATTAACATGGGCTAAAGTTAGCAGGCCAAAATACGAGCGCCTTTTTTTAGACAACATGCTTTGACTAAACCTGTTTCGCTCCCCCTCGCAGGCATGGTTTTTCGCGGAGGAAGCCCACTGTCGGATGATCCACGTCGCTTCGCTAATCGATCATCGAATGAGGCTGATGCCGTTTTTGCTGGAGCCAAAACGTGTTGGGGCCGATCTTGGGGATGCATGTTGTCGCGTCAAGCACATCCTGTTCAAGGAATGATGATAAGAGCAACAATACTGATAATATACCATGCTGCTTTTCTTGCTTCATGGTCCACATATCCTCAAGCGCAATGTCGTTGTTGTTCAGCCCCAAAGTCAGGGGCTCGCCTGAGACCTCCGCCTGCAGACAAGTGCTCCCGACGACGGCCCCGTGGCGCAATCTGGCGTTCAGGGAACAAGCCTGGCGCCACGCTGGGCCTTCTCGAGGTGTTCCCATGTGGGGAGAGCTTATTAGATTTCCTTTTCTCTGGTTTTAAGAAATGCCCATGTCAACCCATCAAGAAGTTGTATGCCCACTACTGGCCCACGTCCCCTCCGCTATCTTTTCCGCAATCGCCCTGAAGTTCATGCGTACCATGTCGTAGTCGCTTCTGTTGGGACGACATGCAAAGGGATGGGACTTCTGACAGCAGGCCTGATTCTTTGGCTGGTTAAAACAACTCGCAGCCGCTTTTCGAGTGGTAATGCAAGGCTAAAGAACGCACTTTTCGGCTCTACGAAGGAAGCGGACTATAATGCTCTGGCTATGGAGGCCATCAAAGACCATCCTATGAAGCCAAGTAGGCCTCGAGACACCCAATGGGCAGAGGTAAAGCCATGTCTTCAACGTGTTCAAATGCCCTGCTAAGCAAGTTCTAGGGCTTGAGAGGCATCGCAGCAGTGGGAGTTGTTAGCTCTCACATCTGCCTCGCCTTTTTCCAGCAGCTAATTACGCCGACAACTAACGGACCCGATGGGCCGCCAATGCTTTTTCAGCGACCGATTTTCCGCCTTGTTGTGCAAGGTCAATCGTTCGTAGCTCTATTTTTCATTCTCATGGGCTTCGTCAACTCACTTAAGCCTCTCAAACAGGCCCAAAGCAATCAGCAGGAGGAGGCACTTCTTTCTTTAGCCAGGAGTGCTCTTAACCGTTCAGCTCGGCTTGTACTCCCTGCAGCAACGGTGACATGTCTTGCCTGGACAGCATGCCAACTGCATTTGAATGAGACTGCAAGAAAGAGTGACGCATACTGGCTGTTCCATACGAGTATGGGCGTTATACCAGATTTTGGCATGGCCGTGCGGATGCTCAAAGATTCACTAATCGCAACTTGGGTCTGGGGTGATAATCCATACGACCAGCCGCAATGGGCTTTAAAGTGGCTCCTAATCGGGTCTTTCTGGATATTCTGCATTCTACTAATGACGATTACTACGCGTCCTTTCTTTCGAATATGCGTTCTTGCAGTGGCGTACTGGTACTCATGGACCTCGGCCGACTGTGAGTGGAAATCATATCAATGAACTCGCGGATTTTGACTGACATATATTAGGGACTCTCGGAACGAATATCTATTTCGGCATCTTCCTAGCCCAACTCCATGTCCTCCTCTCATCCTCCGACACGCCCTCGTACTTCAAGCGGGACAATCTCACCACACGTGTCGTGCCACTGTGTACTGCATTTCTCGGCCTATACCTAATGTCATACCCCTCAGATTTCGCACAAGATGCAGCTTGGTCTCGAAGACTCACACATCTGGCAGACCAGATTGCACCTCCACATGGGGAGATGGCAAGATTCTGGGCATCGGTAGGAGGCCAGATTCTGTGCCTATCCATCTACTTTTCGCCCATTTTACAGCGTTTGCTGTCGTCACGGATTCCATGTTATCTTGGCAGCGTCAGCTTTTCTATGTATCTCCTACATGGTCCTCTTATGAGGAGCATTCTAGCCATGCTTGTATTCGGCCCAGCAGCGCTGAGGGACGAATATACTGTTGGCAGCGATGGCTTCTTACGATATGCCATTCCACCGAAGTGGACTCTATTTATCACGCTCCCAATATTCGGGATCATATTATTGACTTGTGTTCATCTTTGGGCAAAAAGGGTTGAGCCAATCTTTGCGAGAATTACAAAAGGCCTGGAAGATTTTGCGACAGGCAGGTACAGCAAGAACAAGCCAAATAGTCCTCTTCAGTATCCAGTCAAGAAGACTGAGGTACAATCGTAATAGCACTTCGCATAGCGTTTTGGATAGGAAGGGCATGAGGGAAAAACATGTAACGAACGTCAATTTGTGTAATATTATACATCTAACTTGAATATTTTCTTCCAGCCTCAAACAAGATCGCATACAAAATATAGTTTGCAATTAATCCAAATACGCCTGAAGTTACCTCTGAGTTCGATGGAAAGGCCGAGGCACAACAAGATATATGGCTGGCCTTGTGTCCTAGCGTGAGACAAGGCTTGAAGAGCGGAGATCAAAATCCGTTTCTAGCCGACGGACGTGTGGTGCATTGGTCCGATCCCGCATTGGACGACGTCGATCTCTGAAGTCGTTTCGCATGTCAAGAGTTTCTCGACGAGTTTGCCCAATTCGAGGTCAATTCAGACATCGAATTCGCAATGACCAGTCTAAGGATACTAGTACCCGTCAAGAGGGTCATTGACTACGCGGTACGTCGGTATTTGCTACTTGAGGACTCACAGGCCTCGGGTCTTTGCAATCATTGAAGACATCCACGGGAGCGATGGCTTAGAGCACAAGAGATTTTAATGCAATATTGTGATATAGGTCAAGCCGCGCGTCAACAAGACTAACACTGCTATCGAAACTACTGGAGTAAAACACAGCATGAATCCATTCGACGAGCTGTCCATCGAAGAAGCCGTTCGTATCCGAGAAAAGAAGACCGCTCCTGTTGAAGACATTCTTGCCTTCAGCGCTGGGCCAGCCAAATCGCAAGACGTGTTGCGAACGGCCATGGCTATGGGCGCAGATCGTGGCATGCACGTCATCAATGAGAAGGAGGATTTGGAGCCACTCGGCGTTGCTAAACTGCTGAAGAAGGTCGTGGAGGATGAGAACAGAAATCTCGTTATTCTCGGCAAGCAGAGCATCGATGACGATTCTGCTCAGACGGGCCAGATGCTTGCGGGGTTGTTGAACTGGCCTCAAGCTATCCAGGCAGCAAAAGTCGAGATTAATGGCGATGTTGTGACAGTCACGAAGGAGGTGGATGGAGGTGTGGAAACGGTGAAGGCAAAGTTGCCAATGGTCATAACTACCGACTTGAGGTTGAACGAGCCCAGATATGCAAGCTTGCCAAATATCATGAAGGCCAAGAAGAAACCCTTGATACAGAAGAAGCTCGAAGAGATGGGTATTGATGTTAGCAAACGTCTAAAGACAGTTAAAGTTCAAGAACCGCCGCCGCGGAAGGGAGGTGGAAAGGTGGAGGACGTCGATGGCATGATCAGCAAGCTTAAAGAACTTGGCGCTATTTAGAAAAGTTAGACTCCTCTGCGATCAATTGTATATAAGGATATCCAGTGATGGTCAACAAGGCTAAATCCTTGCTTCTTGTTTTCTTTCCAGTGGATGCTTCCAGACGGTAATAAAGAAAGCGAGCAATGCACATGAAATTTGGTGGGATTTGAGCCTTAAGAGCTCGGAGAAGATGTACTTGGTTTGCGTTCACATTGATGCCAAGCACGACTCAGAAGTAATCCATCATTCCCACGGCCAACGTTGCTAAGAACCACATTTCTACCTCATTTCCCGTAGCGCATCTTGATTTTTCATTCACGCTATCTAGGCAAGAATTTTTTTTTGTCAAGGTCCCCACGTCACGTTTTGAATCCCGCCCCGAGTGGCAGACCGAAAATGGCAAATTGACCTCACTCGTTTGAGTGTCGTAGTGTACGGCAAGTTCGACTTTGCACGATCAGTTCTATTCAAATCGGAACTGACGTCATGGCTCTTATATTCCCTTAGGTTGAAGTAACACGGATCGATGACACGTCGGCGCAGTGAACTTGCCGAAGACTTGCGACACAAGTCGACGTACTCTGCGCGCTCTCCGAGCCGTCTTTTGGGAAGAGTGACCGTTTTCACACCTGTTACGCTTATGGGGGTTTCCGCCTGGCATCACTTCGGAACTTGACGTTGGGGTCATCACAGCCCATCAGCAAAGGTAAGTAATAGCAACAACTTCCTGCAGGCCTGTTTGCATCACGCAATATGCTGCATGGTCTTTGCATGGATACCGCTCCAGGACAGCACAGTCTCCTCGACGAAAACACGAGGACTCAGCGAGACCGAGGTTTCTTTCTAACGAGCATGAAACTGGGGGATATTTGGTGCCGATGGCAAATCTGTGAAAGGGGTTACTTGCGAACAAGGCCTCCAGTCGGGAGCGTCGTCATAAGCAGACGAAGAGGGATACGTAACTATTTCTGATGGCAGTTTTTAGGTCAACGAACTGCGACGAGCTCGCGTAGGAAAGACTTCGGACGGATATCAATCAATGTGGTAATAAAGTAACCTCTTCGAGCTTATTATAGAATACTTAGTCCACACTTATCGTTTACATATTCACTTGATCCTCCAAGTTCGCTTCCATAGCAACGAAATCTAGCAGCACAGCAACGGGGTATTTACAATCTCGTATGCAGGCTCTTCCGTGAACAATCTTCACTTAACTACACATGTTGACGACATTCTCGCGCAGGCGAACTCCTGAGCTGCACAAACAGAATTTTTTAACTACCACCTTACCTGCCATACCGACAAAAGTCCATTTGATATTTGCCCTCTAACTCGGTTATACCAAGCTAATATTATAGCCAGCTACATCTTGTGTCGACATACATCTCGTAGCGAACATGGTTCCTTCTTCACCATGGGATCAGCCATCCAGCACTTACGATCAGACGTGCGTCCCTAAACGATACTCACCGTGCCCGTCTCAATTGCTCGATATTCAGATCAATGCTGGCCATCATGGCATAGGCCCCAATACTGTCGTTGTCATTGTCTTCATAATCACTGCGCTTGTCTGGGTTGCATGCTTCTTCGGATTTATGTGGTGGTTGAACAGGGACGTTGCAATTCTGAGAGAAACAATACAGGCAAGTCAGGCGAGGAGCTTGACCGGCGAAGCTGGAGATGGAAATGGTGATGAAGCCCACAAGTGAAGGAACGCGAGTGGATTCTAGTTTTCCTGCACCCTTTTCAAAGCTGCTGATTGGGAATGGGGCATAGCGATCATAGAAAGAGTTAAGACTATGACGAGGAACAAAATAATAAAATCTTCAGTCTATTCAACAGGAATGGGCCTAGATCTAAGGGCGTGCTAGATTGAGACACGCATTTAGCTCAAGTCTTAAAATTGTTATTATTAATAGGCATAGTAGGTGCTGGTGCGCGCATTGTTGTCGCATTTGTCGGCCAACATTGCGGCGGCTGGAGCTGCTCATGATTGCTGGTCTGTAATTAATTTCACTGCCCAATCCACAGTGACGGCCCGATTTGAATTCGAATTTCATGGTTTTTAAAAACTTAGCACTGATATGGCAGAATATACATCTTTTCAACTGTTCCATAGCACGTGAGGAGGTAGATCACAATACTAATTTACAATTTGGGGATCAGCATCGGTGTATTCTTCTTCCACTCCTGGTAATCCTTTCTGTCTCCGTACTTTTTATCATACTTGCTCTCACTTAGGGGAACACCAGAAACTTTGATAAGCAAGAATGCAGTGAAAGCAGGGCTTGCACCGGCTAGCAGTATGGCGCCAAGACGTGCAGTGGGCGATCCTGACCAGCCTAGCGCTTTCTGTCCAGCAGAAGACGTAAGAATGCTTGCCGCAGTGAGTGCAATTCCACTCCAGAGCGTGATCTCGCCAAAGTAATTGGGGTGCCTGCTCTTACTCCAGAGACCTCTCGTGAGAAACTCCTCAGAGTGTTTCTTCTCCTTCTTCTCTTTGGACCATTGGCTCTTCTGAAGGTCTGCAGTGACTTCGAAGAAGAAACCAAAGATCCACATGGCGACTCCCAGTACTGTGCCAGGAGTGAAGTATGGTATAGATGCAAATGTGGTGGGCGGGATTGCGTTGAGCGCAGTGACGGGTAGCAGCACCAGGCTTACCCATACTGCCTGGGCCATGAACACTCCGAAAAATTTGGGCGGGGAGGATCTGATGCGATCGAAGCGCGAATCCTTTCCGTCGTCGCTTGTTATCCTAGAGAAAAGGAAGGATCCCACTGTGTGCATGTCAATTCGAATTCTTCGATGCAGGAAACGACGTACACCGGGCTGCCCAAACACCAACTGCCGCACTCACAACGAGTTGTCTCCAGTCCCAAAACGCGCCCTCTGCGAGACTCTTTCCCTTCAAACTTTTGACGATGCTAGGCCATCCAAGCGCAACAGCTCCTGCGCCACCTGCGGCAGCCCTCGCTCGCAGCACGGGAAGATAAAGGCTCAATGCCGTACATGAAAGATATGTCAGCGACCCTGAAAGGTCGTAAAACCTCTCGGTCTGCGCGAGAATGGAAGGCACTGAAACGGCTGCCTGAATTGCAAAAGCTGCTCCTACGGTGGGCACAACAGTGCGGAGCAAAGGTGAATGGAAGTTTGTCGCGCCGAGAAAGGCGCGGAGAAGGCCGAACATAATGTTGCGTTTGTAAATGACCAAATCAGAGGGGGTTTGGAGTTGAACTACTCTTTCAAGCCCACGTAGGGCTTATATCTTTTGGGGATGTTCATGTTTTCGTGGGCAGGATGATGCGCAGAAACTACGGATGTGGTATGCGATGAAGCAGGATCCATGACGTGACCAGCTGTCAGCCTTGGAAGCTTGAGCAGCTTGACGCAAGCGGCAAGCGTGTGTTAATTAGTCCTAGAACTAATCGCATCCGGATGAGTGCACAAAATTATCCACGCTCATAAGACAAAGATTCATAGAAAGGTACAAACAAGACGATCAACAGTTGATTATGTTTAGAAATTTCCTATACGCAACGCTTCTATTACAATGTTTCTATGACAACCCCTCTATTAAAAACAGATGAGATTCTATCGTGTGCCAATTCTGCTCACCCGATCGACGAGCCCATTAGTCTTTCCTCACGCGCAGGACCAAGTAGCTAAGAAGTCGATAAACTGCGATGATTGCGAGCATTATTCCGACCCATTCCGATTCCTTATTCGTCGCGATGTTGAAGGTTTTCAAAACCGAGACGCCATCAATCTTACCCTCAGCGTTGAGATCGCTTGGGTAGGAGCATTGATATGCACCGTTCACTTTATTGCAAGTGTATGTGCGAGACTTGAACTCGTTGACCATCATACCCTGGAAGACGTATGCCTGGTAGTCGATGTAGTGGAACACGTATTTCCAGAAAGGATTTAGAATGTTCATCGGCACCAAAAATCCATCGACACACATCCACAGACCATTCGCAAATGCCGCGATGGCCAGGGCAACAACAAAGACCGGAAAAACAACAGAAACTAGGACAACGAGTGATTCAGCAGCCAAAAGGTCCAAGAAAAGCCACATCGTGTACATGAAGAACGCATGTGCATCCAATCGGAAGTTGCTCATGAAATACTCGATGATGGAAAACAGGCAAGCGATAAGGAAAAGGAACGGTAGTCCGATGATGAAGTTGGATATCAAAAAGGAAAAGGGGCCCACCAGTCCGTTGGCGCGCTCCTTAGCGAACGTAGCTTGATCCTCGAGGAAAGCAGGGACATAGGCGACCGCCATGAAGGACATGAACGCAGAGCCGAAGAAGATGGCGTTGATGAACGGCTGGATGTATTCCTGGCTGGTTTTAAGGCGGAGGAACACTGTCCCCATAAGAATCGCCAATCCAACGTACATGATGATACGTATTTCGTAAGCGACGATGTCGCGGTAGGCCTTGATCCAAGAACGCTGAAGGAGAACCCACGGCAGCATCCATGCACTCGGTTTGTCCATCTTAATCGTGCTTATATCAGTGACGCGACCATCACTTTTTGCGGACGCGATGTTGCTGTCAATCTCTTCAACCAGCCGTATAGCGTGCGCGCTCTCTTTCCAAGCGTCAGTTATGAGTCGTGTGCGGCGGAAGATCTCATCTCCCTCTTTGGCAAGATCGGTGTTGATAAGGTCCAAGTAAAACTCCGCGGGGTTGATTTCAGTAGGCATTTGGAAGCCGATCTTATCAAAATATTGAGACGCCTCTGGTAGAGGTCCAAAGTAGCACATCTTTCCCTTGGATAGCAGGGCAAGCTTATCGAAGAGCTTGAAAGTTGATGTGGACGGTTGATGGATCGAAGCAATGACAATCAACTACAAGGCTACCGTCAGTAAACTTACACAATTAAGTGTTGATGGTAAGGCAGTACCTTGTTCCTCTTTGCAATGGTCCTGATGAAGTTTATGACTTCAAAACTGAGGGTGGAGTCTAAACCGCTGGTCGGCTCGTCGAGGAAAAGGATCTTGGGGTCTGTTACGAGGCGGCTTGCAACTCCCAGACGTTTCTTTTGGCCACCACTAAGACCTTTCTTGATCGGCGTGCCCACAATTGTATGGGCTTGCTCCTGGAGACCGAAACTGGCGATCAAATCGTCTATGCGTTGCAGTCTTTCCTTGCGAGAGACGTTGCTGCGATAAGATCTTGTCAGTCTTCAAGTACATCAGATATTCATTCGTAATTGCAAGCATACCTGGGGAGAGCCAAACCAGCGGCAAAATTCATTGTTTCTCGAACTGTAAGACTTCCAATCAAAGCGTCCTCCTGTTCAACGTAACTAGACAACTGTCGGAGCTTCTGAAGATTCAACTTCTGGCCGTTCGCCATGATGTCCCCAGTGGTTGTTGCTCCAGCAGCAGCCTTGCGATGAGCAATGGCATTCAACAAAGTCGTCTTACCAGAGCCGCTGGGCCCCATGATGGCCAGAAGCTCACCGGCATGTACAATACCGTTGGCATTGTCAAGAATGGAGAGCGGTTTCTTGGTCTTGCGATCCTTGACCTTGACAGTCAGGTCCTTCCAAGAGAAGTGCTGAACCACATCGTTAACAAGATGGGAAGTTTCGACACGGTTCAGTTCCACATCCACGGGACCAACGGGTCCGTTTTCCATTACACCGTTACTGGTATTCATCTGAGATTTGCAAAGTTTCTTGAACTAAGTACAATGTACATGAAACAAGATTCGATGGTTGATATCATTGAGCAGGGCTGGGAAGGGGCCTGGTATATATTCACATACGTTCTCCTCGCGCAGAGTCGTGAAAACGGCCACTCATTGGGTCAAGGTTTGGCTCCTCGGGGACGTACAGTTACGGCGATCACAGAACCAAACTCCATAGTGTCGAAATGTCTTCGGCTTAACCTTGTTTCAAGATTACCAAATTAGACAGGGCGAGACCTTGTAATAGTGATCGGAAATGACGATTCGTCGTCCTCTGGAAATATGTGAGAGGACCAACGTCGGCGATTTTGTCAAATACTTGATTGGCTGTTGTGTTCGGCGAGCGTCAGGGGAACCTGTGGACTCCCCGAGTGGAATGATCTCAGCGCCATCTCAGATTGTTCCTATTATAGTTAGGATAGTTGGGTTCAAAATCTATCTTATGATCATAACGAATGCGGCAGCAAATACGAACTTCGACCGCTTCACTTAGAAATACTTGCTGCGCGATAGAAACACGAGAACCAAGATCCAAGACCTTCAAAACTAGTTTGCTATGAACCCTACTGACACTAAACCACGCAATCGTGTCCGCCATGCATGTCAATCGTGCAGGATAAGAAAGACCAAGGTAAGGCTAGGCTATCAGATGTTGTATGTTTCATCACTAACGTCCTTTGAATTAGTGTGATGGCCACGAACCTTGCGAAAGATGCAAGACACAAGATCTTATCTGCAGTTTCTCCACTGCTCCCAAATCGAAGATTGTCTATCCTGTTGGGTACGTACTGTCGTCCCTGCGCCGGACTTTCTAGGTACAAATGTGATTCTGACAATGGAATGTTGAAAGTTTGACGACGATGATAATGGAAGAAAACCAAACGTTGAAAGCCGGTTTGAGAGAGGCCTTTCGCAGGCTCGTCGAATGCGAATTTTACAAGAATCAGCAAAACTTTCAGGTGGCAGATGTTAAAAGCATCCACGAGATACTAAAGACTTTGAACGTTCCGCTTCATGCGTCAGACACAGCGGACAATGCATCAATGTCTCCCCCTGATTTGAGTCAAGACCTCAGCGTGCCGTCCGATTCTGGGGACAGCCCGGTGAGGGAAGTGGACACGATGCTCCTAGACATCGGCCATGGGAATGAATCGCCATACGAAGATGATGGCGCATTTGTTGACCATCCGTCGGGTCTCAGTAACTTTTTGAGAGAGCAGGAATATGGAGTTCTAGATAACTCATATTGGGATCTATCCGAGCTTGGTTTTCAAAGCTCACTTCCAGGAATGCAGAAAGCGTCGACGGAGTTTTGCTGGGAATTTTGAAATGGGCTTCCACTACCAAAGCATTGAAGGTAACGAATCATGAGAAACTCCTCTAAACTCTAGGTTAAAGGATATCGAATTTTGTGCAGCATTACGGTAGAGGCGGCGCAAGGTATTCCGTTCCAATGCGACTGGCTTGCGACTTGTTTGAAGTCATTACCTCACGGATATGTTCATTTTCTGCATGTTTTGCCTAGTCTCTCAAATGCAGTCAGCGTTAGAAACCAAGCCTATTGTGAGGTACGACAGAGCAGAACTGCGGGCAGCAACAGGCGATGTTTGGCTGGGCCACCTCTGTCTCCAGGCTGGTAAGCAAACACGGAAAGGGTTGAGACTTGTACAAGTAATAGTGGTCCATATGACCATGTTCGAGCGAGCAGCAATGAAACGAAGATGGAGAGTTTGGCAATGACGTAGATCACGGGCTTCTTTCGCAAGCAATCTGCCTTGCCCTCGTTGTCTGGCTGAACCCACGAGCGATCGTTGTCGGCGAACTCCCGATGGTCGCAGAACTTGGCGACGAGTGGCCGACTTCGGTCGGCGACCTTCAAGCGCACGTGCAAACCGTCGTCGGACCAACCAGAGGCGGTCATTGGGCCACTGGAGCGTTTCAATCTGCACGTGAGGCGACGCTGCATTTCTCATTTCGCAACCTGTACCAGATATTACGATGCACATGCGTGACAGCGATCTGTAGAGAATTCTGAAAGCATCGCACCTCTGCTGCTTCCGGTGGAACTAGTCCGTCGTAAGGCAGGACGCTTCCTTAACCGACGCGCGTTGCCATGCCAATCATTGTCAAGTAATGGCACAGCATCGTGATTGTGCACGCACTGCAGAAGATTACGGACGACGCCTCACGATGAGTTCGAGGCTCTGTCTTCAAACTTGCAAAGGGATCAAGCGCTGGACTTTGCACGTGCTTGTCGATTTTGAGGGAGTTGGCAATGTCCTACTTCGCTAATAACCATGACTATGGATCCTATCCTCTCGTTTCGAGATGACGTTGACGTGTCTCTTTTTGTTGAAGCCTTCTTCGTGCGCCGTGGATGTAAAGACGTTGCACAACCGAAAAGGAATGATGAGGTTCGTTCCGGTCGAACATCGTCTTCCTATTCCAGGTCTGCTTCATAATCTCAATTGTGGATGACTCCAGGCCATTCGTTTGTCCGCCTTGTGACCCGGTGTGCCGATGGAAGCATCACCATTTAAAACGCTTCGCTTCGCGGAAAATAAAGCCAGGCAATATGGTAAGGCAGAGTGTGGCTGGCCGTTGGGTGCAATTGCATCAGAGTCGCCACGATCAAATCAGCAGATAAGTTGGAAGATCTCGATGTAGCATGCATGACAGCTTAGACATCGTCTAGATTCGAAGTGTCTGGAATCGCAAGCATGTTTTTCCACCGCCTTGGAGAGATGAGACGAGGCGTGCGGAGAAACAGAGGGGACCAATCATGGCCATCGAGCAGGTCGCCGAGTGGCAACTGAAAAGAGTTTCGTCTGCCCATCGATGAAGGCTATTTCCGGTCCACGAGAGCCCCCGCACACCAAGCCCGTGCAGTTCTGTTATCACTCATACAATACGATGCAGGCTTGTCAGCGGAAGTCCATGCGGACAGCCGACGGAGAGAGGCGCTGTGAGCCCGGACCCAAGCGCTAAGGCTTGCTCAGGCAGTCGGAGAGAGAAAACAAGGACTATGCCGACCTTTTCGTTCACTCACGATGAAATCCACATGTTGGTAAACGGCCATTCCTAACCTATTCTTTCTATAAAGCCACGATGAGAACCGAAAGGACGAAAACGAAATTGCGCTGGAATTTTCTAACAAGTCAGAAGTCGTAAAACTAGGTCATGTTGATACAATCCAACTTCCAATTTTCATGAACATCTTGCCCAAAAAGATTGTTCGTCTCCATGTCTACATCACTTGCCGAACCAGTATTCCAGCGGAGAACATCCCTGCCACTGCAATCAAACTGGAGAATGATAGAGCACCAAGTCCAGACAGGCCGTGGCCGGAAGTGCAGCCGCCCGCTATCCTCGCACCGAATGACATGATGAACCCTCCAGCAAGGGCCTGCCAAGATGGTATCTGCAAGTCTGGCCCGACTAAGCTGCTGGACGCTACTTGAGTGGAAAATGCCATGCTTCCCCCTATCAGACCCAACGCAAAGATCGTGGACCTCGGTGGCCATGATGGTAGTGCAACATCCTTGTCGCCCAGAGCACGCACTATGTACTGTCCCAGCTCCTCGTACGCAGTGGATACGCCGAGTGGGAAAGTTGTAAGTAGAAGAGATGCAGCCTGGGCCAGACCAATGGAGAGGCCACCAAGTACTGGTAAGTTAGGAGGCACATTTCCTTCAGGACGCGTCAATGCGATAAGACCAACAACGCCAAGCCCTAGGATCGTGTATAGAACCTCTTCGGGAGTCTTCGAGACTTCTGAGATGGTGCGCTTCGATGCCTTTGCTTTTTCGTTGGATGCTCCGGAACCTTTCTTCAACGTCTGCCGCCACTTGACGTAAGCTACTCCTCCCAGTAGAGCTCCCAACGCTGCTGCTCGCCCAGATGGAATACCTTGGGCGAGCTGCACAAGCACAGTACCAGGACATGCACCCGAGAGGCTCATTCCGACCCCGACCATTGCGCCGCCGATCAGGTTGCCGTCATATTCCGAAAAGATACCCAGCGAGCAGCTTGGACGAATGGGTCTTCGAATAATATTAAGTTTTTCCAATACGAACATGACCGCTCTGGAAGTTGTCAGTACGATATCGGAGTGGAGAGCAAGCTGAACACCTACGCGCTTGAACCTAGTGCGGCCGCGAAAACATGCATCATGTGGAAATCTGTAAGTCGAAGCTGGTTGATAATAACTGACGGAAGATGGACGCGCGAGGCCGTCAGTGCCGCCCCAAATACGGCACCCGTGCCTACAGTATACATCGTCTCCGAGATCATGTTGGCTGTTATATGAAAAAGAGGTGCTTTCGCGTCCGGATGTAGTGGTTATAGCGGCCAAGGTGATACCTAACCTTGAGTTTTTGTTAGAACAAGCAAATAATGAGACGCAAACTTTCTGTTCGAATGATTTTCAACTCTCTGCCCGCGGTTTTGACGTCAATGCTTTCCACTTGAGCCTGGGACTACAAGCTACAGAAATGGCCAAACTTAATCGGCGACTTGACTGAGTGGACCCCGAGAGAGCGTGGCTCGGGGGCAGACCCCTGTGTATATCCTTACCATAAATCTCTTAGCGTCTAGAATGCTCTATTCTACCAGGTCTGGACTCTGGAAACCTGTTGTGATCACATATAATCGAAGATGTAGTCAAGAAGGGGTCGCCGCCGAAAGCAGAAATTCGAACATTCCCATCATTGTTTTCCAAACATCCTACGTTAGCCGTGTATTCCAACCCTCCGCGATGGAACCCAAAGTCCATACCATTTTCGAGCCAGTTACTGCTACTTGGCAGTACATCGTCGCAGACCCGGTCAAGAAGGAAGCCGTCCTAATTGACACGGTCCTGGACTATGACAAAGATACGGGCACGATCAGCACGAAGTCTGCCGACAACCTGCTTGAGATTGTGTCGAAACACGACTATTTCGTCTCTCGGATTCTCGAAACGCACGCGCACGCAGATCACTTGACAGCGTCGAGATATCTGCAACATGAATTGACGCAGCGGCAGAACGGCAAGCGACCTCTTGTCTGCATCGGAAAGGGCATAACCGGCGTGCAAGAGACCATGGGGAAGAAATACAACGTTCCCAAAGAAGAGATGCAAGACGCGTTCGACCATCTGTTCTCCGATGGCGAGAAGTTTTCGATCGGCGACATCGAAGCGGAAGTCGTCCATCTGCCCGGCCACACGCCCGACCACATCGGCTACGTGATCGGCTCCAACATCTTCGTCGGAGACTCGATCTTCAACCCGGACGTCGGATCGGCGCGCTGCGACTTCCCAGGCGGCTCGGCCACCGCGCTCTACAACTCTGTGCAGAAACTTATGGGCTTCCCGGACCACTTCAAGATACACGTCGGCCACGATTATCCGCCCAACGACCGGCCCGCCCCGGACACGGATGGTCTGCGAGCCATCCCGTTCACCACGGTCGAGCAGCAAAAGAAGGAGAACAAGCACGTGAAGCACGGAACGGCCATGGAACACTTCGTGAAAATGCGTTCCGAACGAGATAGCACGCTCTCCGAACCGAAACTGCTCCTTCCCTCGATGCATGTCAACATCCGAGGTGGTCGACTGCCTTCAAAGCCAGTGAAAGGTTTCAAGTTGGAGCATGTCCCAAAGAGTGCGGAAATGTTGCGTGCGTCGATGTGAAGAAGTGAAGAACTGATACGTTCTTTTTATTATCCCCTCCTCATTTGATGATACCAACGGCCAAGAACACTCATGAGAATGGTTAGTTGAGGTTTTTCTAAACCTCTTTTTCGCTTATGGAAGCTAGTTTGGATGCTCAATGTCCAGAAAAGCAAATGATGATGACACACTTAATGCGTGGATGGGACGACAGAATTCCTGATGTGTAAGAAAAGCCAGGTCTGATACCTTAATTCAATCGAATCCTTTTCTGTTCATTCGTGAATGTCCAGCCCTGGTCACTGCATCAGCTTTTCAATTGAACTTACATAGGTCAATTAACCATGGCTGAATGCAAGGTTGACAAAGTGCCGTTTGACGGGTTTTAACGTTCAGGAACTGTGATACTAGACGAAGATTTAAAAAGCCAACAGCTGTTCATTAATGTTTTCTCTCTGTGTGTCCTACCAGTTTCACCGCGCCATTGCTATTCAATGACATGAATTTCTATCTAGCTGCTCGGTTAGCATGGATACATCCCATTAGTGAACCCACGCCGGCAGCCTCTGTCCAGCGCAGTATCTCATCGCAAACCATAAACCCTATAGCGGATGGCATTGAGAGAAATGTACCGTTTCTTTGATCAATCATTGACCCGCAACTCACGTCATTCATAGTTTAGTATCATGATTGCCGGCCATCTGCACAAAGTCTTTGAAGTTGAATGGTGGCCTCAAGAGTGGTCATCTCCGTCAAATGAATATATCATAAACCTCCTTCATCATTCGTCGTTAGTCGTAAGAGCACTCAGGCAAAGTAACTCTTCCACAAAACGCCTTCCAAGTCTTCTAGCTGTTCCGGCTCGAACGCCTGCAAGGAGATCAGTTGTCAGTCTGGAGGCAACTCGGGCAAACAACTCACCTTGACATCTATATGCCACGTGTCCTGCCTCGTCTTCTTGAACTCGGCCAATATTTGCTTGACACCTTTACCAACCACCCCTGGATCAGATGCAGCCTTCAAGGCCAACGTTGCCAGAACTTCCGGTAGCCAGCTCGGGGGCGGACTTGTATACGGGAATGCATTGACCAAGGCTCCAAGACCAAGCACGGCAGCATGCCTTGTCAGTGTCAGTCTGTTCTGCTCAGGCGTAGGGGTAGAAACGCGCTGTTCTGTAGCAAGCAAATGATTTCGCTTCTTTGGAAGAGGGTTTTTAATGAGCAGGTCTGTGAACTTCGCCTTGAGCTCCTTGACAACCTTGTCGCGAAGATCGACGGGTGAGCAACGAACCATTCCTGCAAGCGTGGTTGATGCACCTAGTCTAACTTCGAGCTGGCTGTCCGCGAGCATAGAACTCACGCAATCGAAAAGTCGGCGTTGTTGCTCTGGTTCAATCAGGAACAGTCGTCTGAAATAGATGATTTGTATGCAGATTAAAACACGTAGACGTTGGTGCCATGCATCCCCACCGCGACCAATCTTGATTAGAGCATCAATGAACCCGGCATCTTCTCCTGCGCGATGGGGCACATTGGGCATATGTCGGAATACGTGGTAGGCCAGACCTTGAAGCTCAGGATCTTCCTTGACATCCATCATGTGAAGGAGCTGCTCCAAAAGTGGACCTGGGAAGAATTTATTCAAAGTTGTGCATTCATATGAAGAAAGCATCGAGTCAAGCATCAACAGTATGGTTTTGCCAGCTTGTGTGTATGGAGATGGAGTCTGTTGGCCCGGCGTACGTTCAAGGCGCCATTTTTCAAGTCGTTCGAGCGTGTCGTTCAGCGCTTCTGTGAATTGTTGGGTCGGTTGGTATGGTCGTACGCCCAAGGGACCGGCCAACTTTTGTGCTTGAATGAGTGTGCTCACATCATCATACGATTCATGGTACCTTGTTCGATAAATAGCGGCGAGTGTGACACCCATCGCTTCACGAACACTCTTGTAGGGATGATCCAAGTGCTTCATGAAGTCTTCAAGGATGGGGCCGCCAAGCTGGAAGTGCCATCCTGCTTCCAAGATGACCTGATACAACAAATTGATTTTTGAACTCTCTTTGAATGCAGCACTGGTGTTCATATCAAGCCTGAAGCTTGCTAACCAATCAACGAGCGGCCATGCTCGCCTGGGATCCTTCGCTTGTGTGACCATATGCAGGAATGTCTGCCAATAAGAAGAGTTCTCTGGTGTCAAATTGTCCTGGAACAGACCACGTACGATGGGGAAGACATAGGCCCAAACCTCTTTACGCTGCTCCTTGCGCAAATCTGAAGAGCATGCAAGAAGAGCGCCCATAATCTCGGCAGTTGCACGATGTTGGTGCTTATCACTGCCATCGCCGTAAACAGCTTGTGTAAGGTCCTTGATGTCCTCGAAGGTTGCACTAGCTGTGCCGGAAAAGACTAGGTCGAATGCATGTGTCAACATGAGAGCGTTGCCCATGCGGAAGCGATCTGCGGATGAATCTCGCGGTTCCTGCTTCATGTACGCAAAGAATGTCGAGAACCAATGTCGATCCATGATCTTACCGATCTGATTGCGCACTGCTGTCTCAACCTCATCGTAGTCCATCTTCGCAGATTCCGTAAGAAAAGCTGGAAATTTGTCTTTCCATACCAGCCAACCAGGGTAGTCGTAGTCAACATAGTATTTAGCCTCGGCATGAGCAAAGCTTTCAAGGTATGTCTGGGTGAAGTTTTCGTCCTCGTCGTCGACTTCAACATATATCTTGTCAGGCAGCTCCTCTTGCATGAGCAGATACTTTTTGTAGTCATGATGGCAAAGACTTCGCGCGCTGAGGATGCTAAAGAGACCATTCAAAGCTCCGTGCCATAGAATACGCAAGCTAGGATGTGGATCAATTGCTCCACGAACAATCAGGTCAATTAGCTCTGGCGGCGCAACATTGTCGAAGCGCATCCCCAGATTAACCACGATGGCAGCCGTTCGCTGAGCTTGTTTCCAGTGTGAGCCTTTAACGACTTCTATTAGATCATGGCACAGTTCTGCCTTCTTATCCTCGACACGATTTCGCCTTCTCTTGATGAAGTCTCTCCGATTTGCGATTTTCCTTTCAATGACCTCTTCCTCGTCTTCGGAAAGATCAGGAGCAATCGACTCAACTACATCTTCATCTAAAATGACCATCCTGTCAAGCGGCTTGCCCATATCCATGATTTGGTAAAGGGCGTTAGCCACAAGCTTCTGAATGGACTGTTTATCTGCTGTTGTAGCTTCGACGAATGTTTTGATCAGTCGAGGCGTGTATCTCCAATCTCGCGCAATCGTCTTCGCCAAGCTGCCAAATAACAAGGAGAACATACATCCTTTGATTATGGGGAAGTCATTCTTCTTGACAGACTCTTCTAACTTTTGGAGAAGAGGAGGAATAACGAGTGGTCTTGCACCAATCACACATTTCACGGCAGATTCGATCGCCCCTTGAGCAGTCCTGCGGATCTCCGTGTAAATTGACACACTTGACTCGGCAAGATCGAGAAGCATTCGGACTTGCAGATCATCTTTCTCCCGTGGGACCGCGTTATGCCTCAGTCTCTGCAAGTGATAGACGTTCGCACGTCGAACAAGCAATGGACGAGGATACTCTTTTCGCAGTCCACTAAATTTGTACGGTTGTATATCAGCCGCTAGTAGACGTGTGACGCGGTCGAGTACGTGGGCCGATCTCTCAATGCCTACGTCTACGAACCAGGCACGATAGGCATTATACAGAGCGTTGAAGCACTGCACGTCATCTTGTTGGTGTTTGACCAAGAAGTCGTGGACGTCGTGTAGAACTCGGCCGGCGATATTGCGCAAGGTATGGACGTCTTCATATTCGGCACTACCCTTCTTAAGAGGATATCCGGTCGGGTATGAAAATACCAATCGTCCGTCTTCATCGTCCGCATCCCCCAACGAAAGCTCCTGATCTTCATCATCATCGATCGACACACCATCCATCCTGTCAACAATGTCACTGGGGTCGTCGTCATCGTCGTCGCTGTCATCACTTTCTTTGAAACGGGGGTCAAAGAGAACTGAGACGCCAGAAATGATCAGTCGAAGCAAAGTAAGGTTTCTTGACACTTCATCCGACCAGTCTCTACCTGTACCATCCCGTTTGACGGGCGGATTATCGGATATCAACCCTCGTAAACTTTCAAAGGCATTCTCACCCTGTTTCTTAAACAATTCAATGGCGAAGGCGACCTCCTCAGCACTTGGTGTATGCCATCGGATAGTGATCTTCTGCGGATCAGTGTAACGGCCCCAATCGGCTGCAGTCAACCCCCTAGCCAGGTCTCGTGGCTCATAAATCGAGAAATCAAGGGTATAAGTCAACGTGAGATTTAGCAGAAGATGGTGGATGAAGTTCGAAACATGCACGGTTGGCACACCTCGGCAATTCTGCTGCATAAATTCTGCAATGTCAAAGAGTTCGTCCCTGAACTCGAGCACCGCGTCGCCGACATGAACAATGCACATGCTGAGTAGGCTGATGTTCCACACCAGCGCGCGATCTTTTGGAACGACTTCTGAGCCAGTAGTCCTCGAAGAACCTGCTCCATTGAACTCGATCTCTGTCCTGATGCATTGCACGAGATCGGGTATGAGTCGTCTGAGTGCCTTCTGAGGATTAATCTTCACCAGCGCGTTGCAGATGAATGCCATGGCATCTCTAGCTTGATGTATGACATGAGTTGTGACAAAATGTGAGATTTTGTTGAGCGCCAGATCGTACAGTTCAGGCGAAAGCGAGGCTAACAAAGGTGTGAAAGTCGCCGGTAGGGTGTTTACGACGTTCTCTTCAGGTGATCCGCTACGCACACGAGATGCATCTGGTAAGTTTTCCAGTAGTGTGAAGACGCGTCCCAAAAACGACGTCACAAACTCTGCAAGTTCGGTTGTCGAAGAGCGCAGAATCGCTTGTTCGTCCTCGTCGCTCAGTTCTTCGCTATATTTGAGTTCGATGTTTGCGCCTTCGCGATCTAATCGATCGACTTGCTCCGTGATCCACCTCAAGGCTACACCCGTGTCCTCAACAGCCTCGCTCGGCGTATGTGAACCACTCATAGCACTACCACGAGATATCATGTCATAATCTTCCTCTTCTGATCTCGGATCATCGCGAGACTTTTCTTTGGTCAAGTCGTGGAAAGGTATATTGTATGCCACGGCTTGAATGAAGGACAGAGTGTAAAAGGTCTTATCAAGATCATTTGCATCGATGCCAGGGAGGGCAAGTCCAAGTAAGGTGGTAATGTGACACCGGTAGCCCTTTGTTCGAGCCATAATCTTAGCCAACATCTGCAAACAACGAATCGAGGAAATCGTTCGGTGAACCTCGACCAGTCCTTGCATAGATGGGTATATACGCTGAAGCGCTCCTGGGAGAATCAAATCTGGTTCAAGATAAGCCAAACTTTGCAGCGTGGACAATGAAAAGTTCATAGCTGTGCCGCTCTTCGCGTAGATGCCCATAAATATGACCTCACGCAGACATAGCACGAAGCGTCGCTTGACAGCATCATTGAGCTTGCGGTCCTCCGGCACTTCCATTTCACCGCTGCGCTCGCGGTTCCACCGCATGACAAAGAAGTCAGCCAGATAATAGACGAGCTGTGAGAGGGTTCTAGTCCAATTGCCCGAGTTCGATGGATGGAAGAAAGTCTCCACCGCCTGAATTAGCCCTTCTAGATTCGACAACACTGAGTCTTTCTTTGTCAGGCAAGCTGGAGACAAGGACATGACAATCCAACGTGCAATGTGATGTGCAATTGGGTGTTTCCGCTGATCTCGGTCCAAAATCACAGCGAGCCCAGTGTATGCGTCCACCGACTGCGAGTACGCCGCTGTCGATTGCCCCACGGGGATTTCCAATACCCGTAAGATTGCCGTGAATATAGTCGCTGACTGCTCTTTTGTGAAAATGCCATATGCCGACCAAGGGACGTGCTTGCTGGAGAGAGTATCTCGTGCCAGTCTTGACAAAATATCAATGAACTGTACATCAAACTGCCTCGACCTATTCATCAAAGACCATAGGTGGAAGAGTGTCGGCAGATAGTATTGCGGTTGTAGCTCGGGCCGACCTTCGGGTGCCGGTGATGTGGGTAGCAGAAGGTTGAGGAGACCAACCACAACAAAGGAGTTCTCTGTGAAGGAATTGGAAAAGTAAGGTAGAAACTCTTCAAACATCGCCGGGATCTCTTGAGGATCGAAATAAAGCTGTGCGAACGTGCATAGCTTCGTGAGCGTTCTCGCATTTCGTTTGGTGGCATTTGCCATGGACGCAATCGTCTCGCTAGGCAAGACGAAGGACTTGAGCTCCTTGTACAAAGGCTTCCAGTCCAGCGTCAAATCTCTGCCCGGTCGTAGATAATGCTTACGCCTGTACGGATGTTAGCCTTCTTTCAAAAACCGGAAACTCCAATCAATCCTGAGGCTTACTTGGTCAACACCATGAACATGCTTGCGAACCGTTCCGCAATGACATAGTCCAGGCCTGGAGCAAGTGCGAGCTCATAGTACAGCTTCACAAGCTTGATTCTGGTCTCCCTCGGAAGATCGAATTTCAGACTAAGCCAACCACGAATCTCCCTCGTCCAATGTACGGCACCAGGAGAGAAGTCGCCTGCCGCGATGGCAATATAGAGATTCTTAATGCACTCTTCGAGATTGCGCTCCCGCTCTTGCTGGTCCTCGATTTCGTACGGCAGATAGCGGAAGTATGGAAACGTACGAGGTCGCGTGCGAGCAAGCTTTGCTGAGTTGTAGTTGAGTTGCTTAAGATCATCTTGCCAGCCGCCACCGGGGGTAGAGACGCGCGACAAGTCAGCGCTGGGTCGTTCGGTGTACTCGCTGACAAGTTCAGCTATTCGTTCGTTCGCCGCCATGGTGAACAGTGGGGTGAAGACGGCGGGGTGTCGCAAAGGAGGGTCGTTTCGGGGCAGACGTAGAAATCGGTGCCGCTGTCAATCCCCAGGAACGTAGTGACTGAACAGCGGTCACACATCGAACGAGGTGGTTTCTAGGTTCTGTGGTGACTCTTGGGCGTGGTGAGGGCGGTGTGTGACGATTACGGCTGTGGAGTATCGGGTCTTGTGAGCAACGCTCGCTTTCAGTTTTACGTGAGGGAGCCCTGTGGCTGTCTTTGTCGGCAAGACGCTTGTGAGTGGAACAATGACTTATCCAGGGAATTCGACCGTACAGCCAACGGGAATTCCTCGAATGACGAGGAGGCAGAACTGGAGCTCCACGACAACGAATGCTGCAGCCGCAGGAGAAGCTCTGGTAGTTCTGTGGCTGGGGGTGAATGAAGCTGCGCTTTGGGTAGATGCGCGCGTTACGGCACGGCGGACTACGCTGACACAAGATCCCACAACAGCGGCCAAAATATCAGCAGATGCGAAAAGCACATCAAGTCGTCTAGATGTCGTGCGCTCTTGCTGCTGTACGTGTTGGCCCTGTCACTGCGAGGCTTTATAAGCGAGGCTTTGGCAAGCGTTCAGGCTACAAGATGGGCGTCATCAGCCTCGTCCGATTTTCGGGCCAGCACGCCTGCCGTTGCTCTCTGCTCTGCTCTGCGTTGGTCGCGCGACACGACACCGCCTGCCGCCTGGTGAATTGAGCTCCTCGCTCGGACTGAGTTGCAGATATCTGTGTAAGTAAACAGTCTGCCAGATCCGATTAGGCCCTGGCTTTCAAAACCGGTTGCCGTTTCGCGCTGCTTGATACGATCAGAGGCCACTAGTCGCGCTTCACACTGCTGCTGCTGCTTCACCTTTTTGTGCTTTCGTTAATCACTTTTCAGAATGCCAGCGCGACGTGAAATTGTCTAGCTTTGGTAGCTGCAGACAGGTTCGAGATAAGTGATTTCGTGCTGTTCTGCTGGCCCAAAGTCCACGCGTTCGTACTCGTTCGCCGGCCAAGATCGCGCAACGCGACGCAAAGATGTACAAACGGACACTAATTTGAGATGCAGCAGGACAGAATGCCTTCTTACTATGACATTGACGCGATCCTTACAGACGCACAGGTAGGGGTACACCCGTTGGATATGCACATCTCCACTAAAGGATCACAGAAAGTGCCATGTACTTTTGACATGACTATTCCGAAGCTTGGGTATCTCGATGGAAACGCAGGTGGCGATGTATGCGTGTATCCCATGGCAATCTGCCGTCACAGGAGTTCGCTAACCCTAAGCCATCCAAGATCAAGGAGGGCACAAAGCTAGAACTGCCGCTCTGGCTTGCAGAAATGCTCGCCGTTTCGCAAGCACAGTCTGGAGCGTCCACATTGACCCTCGACATGCCCAGAGCCTTGTCGCCGCGTGTGGTAAATGCGTTGAAGGCTGATCCTAAAGTCATAGACCTTCGGTCGCAAGCACCGCATTTCTATGCACTAGGCGCGCGTATGCTCGAGCTTTTCGAAGAGGACGAGCTGGGCGAAGTTCTGGATGACGTACGTAGCCAACAACATAAGTGTTCGGAACCATAACTGACGACTCGTCAGACATACAAGAAGCGAGCCAAGGAAATTGATGACCAGGCACGAAATCAACGAGGCGTGCTGGGCGAAGGCGGCGAATTTTTGAGAGGACTTGATGAAGAGGAGCGCAAGTGTAAGTGTGGCGTTTGGAGGCTGTTTCCTGAGTAGGTTCTGACGCGCTCTTCTAGTATTTAAGGCGGCTCATGAAAGCACGAAGGCTGTCAAAGCGTGGATGACTGATTTGAAAAAATCATGATCTAGTGGAGCTATTCAGCAAATGCGATGTGCTTTGCAATACTCCGTGCGCGATTAATCGAATCGTCATTCGGCCTTGTGGAAATTCTGGCCTACAAACACATGGATTTCTCACCGCGCATGGCGGACGAAGCGAAAAGTCTCCACATGCTGATCGCAAGCACCTAGCAGTCTCCAACAAACTTCCGCTCGAAGAGACTTGATCGTGAATCTCTTTGAGTTTGGACTCCAGTGGTTTGGCGCCGTTTAGGCCGATGACTTACATCACATTGAGTCCGAGGCGTCTAGCCTCTCTCCATTTTTGCAGTCAAGTTCTCTTGGGTACGACCTGTATTCTGGACTGTCAGAAGGCGGCATGAGGAGCCACATCTTCCCAAATTAGCATTGTTCGATAAGACGAATCGAACGCGTGAAGGTGGAGTTTGAGAGAAAGCTCATCATGCACGAAGGCACGCAACGCCGCTTACTGCCCCTTCCTGTTTCTTCGCGAAGGCCACGATTAGCTACTGAATGTTCGACGTCACCCCATCGATCTGCGTCACATTCTTCTTGGACAGCTACTTGGTTAATGTCAAAACCTGAGATAGAGAGTATGAACAACATAGTTTGCTGTGGACAATCACAAAACAAATTATTGGTTTCTGAGTTTTTATATACTTTGGCTTAGAATCCCTACGTTTCCACCTCATGTGCAACCTGTTCTCCCCCAGGTACCGGTCATGACTCCGGGCAGAGGAGAAGCTCTTGGACTACTTACAAGCTTTGAATAGTTCTCAAGCAATGAGCCACGTGATTCTTACCTTAGCATAAGTTAACAGGCCTTCGGTCCTAACAAAGACACGATTAGCGAGCTGTGATGTCCGCATCATTATTTCATCTAAGCGTTCATAAAAGCAACTTGTGCTTTCCTCATGCCATCCATCACAAAAATTCAATAAGAATAAGCGAAACAACAGCGCTCCTCAAAATCGATTGTCGCTGAAGCATAATTATGTATTATTACCTGCGCATGAGCAACGAATGATATTTAGGAAATGTGCGCAAAGAAGAATGACTGTTGGATGTATATATCGAATACTATCTCAGTCTTATGGATGTAGTGGGCGCTTCTCAAAACGAGCTTCCTTCGCATACGCATGCACTTATAAATTTAAGAAACCGGCAAGCGAGCCTTACACACAACCTAAGCATCCGCCCAACTATCCTTTCGCGCATTTCTGCTTGCTTTGCTTGAGTTTGTCCCGCATAATCACTGGCCCAACTGACCCAGTCCCGATGAGGATTTTGATATTCAGCTGAGGACAACGCCGTATCCATGCTGTGGCCTTCCGGATGTCGTCCACCTTTTCCAAGGTGTCGGAGACCCATGTCCTAGCATATCCGAAGCATTATCGGCAAATGCGAATGCTGTCTCATGGGGTACGGCGCACTACATCTGTTCATTGTGTTGTGGTGTCCAAAACTCTCTTCCCCAAATCAAACCTCAATGATTCCTGAAATTCTTTTTCTGGTAGAATAGATCCGTCCTCGAGCTACCAAGATTGATGATCTTTGGGCAGCCATCACGATCTTTCTCTAGCCGCGTACATTCGAAGCAATAGAAAGCGTCTGATATACCCTTTTGATTTCTTTTTGTCAGCATACTTCTTCATAACCTGTAGAGTCAATGTACGTACTTCGCCACCGCATACTACGCACTTATTTTGGTAGTTGCCAAAGGAGCATTCATCGCATATCCGCACGAGTGTAGTAGGTCTGACGTAGCTGTCGCAAACCGGACATTTGCCGTCGCACTTGTCGCAGAGGCGGCCGATCGAGATGCCCGTTTGCTTGCGGCACATCACTAAGTCGCTTGGTAGGCTGTCAGTGTACTCCGAATACACATACAGGCGGTGCAACTTACGGATGATGACGAGACATATTTGCAATGCTTCAAAGAAACGCCAGATGTTATGTACTATGGGTTTTCGAGTTTGCAGACCTGTGTACGATGAAAGATTTATGATTGCAAAGCTTTTGGGCTAGTAGATTATAACTTTATGATCTATTATGTTACCGAGATGGAGCTAGCGCCGCACGTGACAAATATACGAGATTGAAGGATCATGATTCCAGAAGGCTCTGCAAGGCCATACTACTACCCGATTGCAGCGGCAGGCAAATCATGGCAGAGGATGCACCGTAAGTCATGCGCAAAGACTCTGATGATTCCCGCTGATAGTTGAAGCAGCGCTCTCGCCTCCCCTAGTGTTGCAGACCCAGAAGCCGCAGAGCTTCCTGCACCAAGTTCGCCTCAAGAAACAGAAGAAACTGAGCCTTCACTCAAGCGCCGACAGTCCGATGTCTCGGATAGCGAGCCAAAACGACGACGTCTCAGCCAGAATGACAGCACAGCGCCTCCCGCTGGCCCAGATACCAACACGCTTCAGGATGAGCGACGAAAGACCAGACAGCTAGAAGAGCGTAAGCGGGGGCAGAGGCTTTTTGGGGCTTTACTTGGTACGCTTTCTCAAGGCTCTTCTATCCCGGCTTCAAAGCTGCGAGCGGATATTGAGAGGAGACAGCAGGCCAAACTAAAGCAGCAAGATGAGGAGGATTCGCAAAGGCGAAAACAAAGGCTTGAGGACCTGAAAGCAATACGGCGAAAGGAACAGAGAAAGCGCGACGAGAAGGCCGTATGTACTGTCACATGTTTCAAGCCACCGTCTGGAGTGCTAATCATCAGCAGATGAAGATACGGCATGCTAACCTACTTCACTTTGCGAACTTTTTTCGGACGAAAACAGAGCCGAGATTAGTGAGTTCATTCATCTAAGAATACAATGCACACCATGTTGACTTTTGCCAGTTCTATAAGCCGTGGCAGCTCACGCCCGATCAAGAGGATCAGATTAAGTACCAAATAGAGGAGGCAAAGGCAACCATTGAACGGGAAGTTTCAGAATTCGAGAAGCGCAAAGCGCAATACGAGGAAGAGGAGAGAAACGCAGCGGACAAAGAGGAACAGGTAGCCAACTCTAGCAGAGAGGATCCTGATCGAGCGGAGGATGAGGAAGCTGCGAATTCGATGGCTCAAGATAATACTGACGAGAACCCTGCCCATGGCGTCGCTCCGGATGATGCCACTTCGGTTCCGTCATCGACCACTGCTGTCAATGAATCCATGGAGGAAGTGAAGGATACGGTGGACGACGATCAAGGCGAAACGGTCGAAGAAGCTGATGAAGACACTGTAATTTACTAAGCTGTACAATTGACATCCACGATACGTGATTGATTCGTACAGTTGTTGCTATTCCTCTGGCTAGGGTATTATGAAATACATATCTAAAACTACGATGCTTTCTTGTTCCGAAGCTGTAGCCAGCCACTCCTGATGCAGAAGAATGCTCGCTGCGTGGAGTCTTGATTCCAGTCCAGGCGATACAACACGCATTCCGAGCATTGTCTGAGCATCCGAGAGAATTGCGTCGTCATTAAATTGCGGAATCTAGCCAAATCAATGGCGTTATTTTTCCTGTCCCTCGTCTCTCTCGTAGTGTCTAAGCGCAAAAGCGTCTTTGTGTCTTGCCGGGCGGATTCGGCTCGCGGCGTGACTGGCCCGTGCTTTTCTGGCTCAAAGCTCTCCTCTTGAACCTCACCTCCCAGTTTTTCCAATCCTGCAACCGATACTTCAATCAACACCACGGGGCCTCACTCACTGCCAATTCCATCTCCTCTCATCTCTTCCACAATCAAACACATCATCACCATGTCATTGGCACGTATCAACGCCGGCGCCGCCCGCATGGCCGCCCGCTCCTTCCAGCAGAGCCGCTCCGTGTCTTCTGCCGGTAGGTTTCTCTTCCTCATCCCATTGAAGCTTCTTCCATCATCAATGGTTGTCATTGAGCTATTGCATTGTCACCAGCTAACCATTGATCAGCTCCAGCTCGCGTTGCTCGCTTCCAGCAGCCAAAGAACGGCCTCCTCCTCAGCGCCCGCAATGGCTTCACCAGCAACATGACCCGCAACATGGTCCAGTCCCGTGGCATCGTCGCTGAATCCGCTGCCGCTGCCATGGTTGCTGCTGCTAAGATCCAGGGTGCCGGTATCGCCACCGTTGGTCTTGCTGGTGCCGGTGTTGGTATCGGTACTGTTTTCGGTGGTCTCATCCAGGGTGTCGCCCGCAACCCATCCCTCCGTGGTCAGCTCTTCCAGTATGCCGTCCTGGGTTTCGCTTTCGCCGAAGCCACTGGTCTGTTCGCCCTCATGATGTCCTTCTTGCTCCTCTACGTTGCATAGATGGGCTAATCGGTGCTGGGTGGTTGCCGAAGCTGACTGCTGTGGTTTCCTTGGCATGGGGGCTGCTACCAGAAAAGAGTCGGGGGAAGGGCTTCACACAAGACGCCAATGTACACAAGCTTTTTTCTAGATCCCATCTCAGTTGTCAGCGGAGGCAAGGAAAAATGGGGGTTGTGCTTTGTATGTATAGTACGTGGAAGTAAAGCATAGAAGTGGACGGGGGGGCTCTACATCTCCTTTGTCAATGAAAAAGCTTTCGCGATAGTTCAATTTCGCCCATCAGCGAAGCTCCCTTAATGTGATTACTTCCATTTGCAGTTCCTCCGATATTTCCTAATTCGTCAAGTGTGCACACTTTTCCCGCAAGCCTGTCCGCTAAGCCGAGCATTTTCCACTCGTCACAGTTGCGTTGTGGCCATCACTGAGCATCATGTAGCTCTTGCACATTGCAACGGTACATAAATCATATCCATGTATGAAGACTATCATTGATTGCAGCCTCATCCATAGTTCAAGGTCACGCTTTCGTTGGCAAAATGCAACGATCCGTCAAGTTGGAAAACTGCGTTCGTAAAGGATCGTCTATTTCAGACCTAGATTAACGACACCTTTGCTTCAAATTATGCAGCGCAATCGAAGGCTTCAAAATGTAGATGCCATTCTCCAAGCAGATAAGCGTCAATTGAAGGTTCTCTCTGCGGAGGTCCTGCCAAAGGGGGTCCAATGCCCCAGACTCATCGAGCAACCTTCAAGAGTCACTCTAATGACTTTGGACGACAGAAAGGAGCCCTACGATTTGTCTTTCGAAAACACATTCATTTAAGAGAGACCACTGGTGGGAAATGAAATTTCAATTGAACAACAACCGAGCTGTGGTACATCAGTCATAGACGACCGGAGAGAGCCATTTCGGCCTCGATGACCCTTTGCTCGCCACTACCCCAGACATGGGCAAGTCGAAGTCCAGCCTGTTCTAAAAGCTCAGCCCACTCTTGCTCGCTTCTCTCGCGAGCTCCAAAGCAACACATCATCACCATATCCAATGCAGCGATCGCAGAGTTTGTCCCTCTGGGCTGAATCACACTCTCTTCTACCAGAACTCGACTGTAGCCAGGTTTCATAGCATGATGGATGTTCTTCAAGATGGAAATGCACTCGGCGTCAGGCCAGTCATGGAGAACATGTCTCAGGTAATATGCCCTAGCATTCGCTATTGGCTGCTCTTTGAAGAAATCGTGAGCCATGGCTGTTATGTTGGCAGCTAGTTTGGAACTCTGCGCTTGCTCGATAGTACGTGGCAAGTCCTGCAAAACCAACTGGTACGGTTTTGGCAAACGCCTGGCGAGCATGTTTAGGAAAAGGCCAAGTCCACCGCCAACATCAACGAGCAAGGGACCATTCAAAGGGTTGAAGCCATCGAGAAGCCGTTCTTTGATGGGGTATTTGTTTCCAAAGTTGTCCAGGCCGACCTGTGCTTGCACGGTTTGGAAGTCGTTGAATGCTTTCTGCTGCACGGGATCCTGGGCCACCGCTTCGAAGTATCCAACACCTCCATTTGCGACAAGAAAAGGCGCTTGCTCACTCAGCGTTATGTCTTGATATCCACAACGTTTGAGATGTCGGGGCAAAGCGTAGGCACCTCTCAGCATCATATCCACGTTCGACACGATTTCGCCAGAGACAAATGGCATCGTAGCGATGGCATTAGAGTACTTTGTGCCTTGAAACGTATCGACATCGACTTCCAACAGATCACCCGTTGATGAAAGCAAGCGCATTAGTCTTCTGAGCAGATTGGGATCCGCTTTCAAGTTGATGGCTAAGTCCCGGACTTTTTGCGGCTTTTCAAACTTCTGAAGCTCGACAAACAAGCCCATCTCAATGCCGATTCTAATACACATGAGACGGAGCGGCTGCACAAATGTTTGATCGTACGCTAGTTCAAATGGACTACTTAGTTTGTCCAAGGCTTGGTGCACTTTGGCCAGTGGCAGGTGAAAGTCATGCTGCGTGTTTTTAAGATCTTCAGACTCGATCTCATCGGCCAATTTGCGTAGCTCTGCTGCGATCTTTGCTGAAGAGGGCATGGTTGATCGATCTCAAGTTTGGTGTAGAAATCTGACAGTGAACCACGGGGTTTATATATGCTACGGCAAGTTCCATAAGACTAGTTGTCTAGACTGTTCAAACCCCGCTGTCAACGAGCTGAACAATTGTAAAAGACCGTACAATTTTTTGCCTGTGGTCGCACGACATCGGAGTTAAAATAGACATTTCATTCGCATGACTTTGTCATCCTCGCGAAATTGTAGTAACATTTGTCTTGTTGATCAAGCTGCTGTTTTTAGACTGAAAATTATCGTGACAGGTTTAAGCTGACAACATCAACCTGTGTTCGTCCAAGGCTAGTCTACTCTTTGAATTTCATTATTATAGAACCTCAGATTTTCTCTCCGCGGTGGGCAAATATCTGTGCTGCTGTGCTTCAGTTCTGGGTGGACTTAGTTTTTGCGCAAGTGTTCCATATCTACGCCGACTCACCGCGCCATTCATTTGGATAAGTTCAACCACCACCGAGCCGGCTAACCAGTAAGCAGGAAGAAAAAAAGCAACCGAAGAGTTGTTTGATCATCTAAAATCGTATTAAAATGTCGCTGAAGGAACTGATGGAGGTTTCTCAAAGAGTTTTGGCCAGTTGTTACCATATTCAATCTGTGCGAATTTATTTCGTACACTTTAATTGAAGATGCACATCATGAGATTTACAGAAGCTACACCATTTTGTGGATACGTCAAAATGCTCATCAAAAATGTAGCGCCTAGTCTCGCATGAATGAACGAACTCGGATGTTACTGCTAATTTAATTTGCGACTGTTTTTTTTTTGCCATCTTAACTGGAATTAAAGGTACACTTGCATCACTGTACATAAACCACCTACTAATGTTCTGATCCCGCCAGATTGGGCGGCCATTGGCCTGTTGTAGTGCCGGGAAAAACTTGAGATTGTATATTGAAAACAGCTAACTTCTCCCATTCTTAAACCTCTGGGCCTTACTTGGAAGTGCAGTTGTGCATTGCGAAATTTAAGACCCGTTGAAACCCTTTGATGCTTGTCGGGTAGAGGAAGGAGTCAACGACGCCCAGGGGTAAGCAATTACGGATTCGTGGCTTTCAGTTTCCTGGTCAAAGATATCGCACAGGCATGAAACGGGAACGACAAATAACTATTGGTATATCCGTAGAATATAAATCTGATGGCCGTCAACGGCAGGAACTAAGATAGATCCATTGAGGACTTTGGAAGAGCACTGCTCTTTGCTAGTAACCTACTTCTCAGAATGGATCATTTCTGAGATAGCATCGTCGCTGATAAATTTATTCTCAACAACTCGCACCGCACTCTTGCGAAACTAATGCTTGATAGATGGATGGGCACCAAAAAAGTAAGTGCTGCATCTACGTGTTGATCGTAAGCAGCGCTCCTGGTCGCTACAGATAAGCTTTCTAAGAAAGCCCCCTTGAGCACATAACCTTATACCTGGCGTTTCTTTTAACACAGCAAAAGCGAAAACATGCCACGTCAGCTCTTGCCCGCAAAAATCAAGGAGAAAATCATTCAAGGCAGTCCAGAAGGCAGCACTATTTGGACATTAATGGCAGTTTTCCAGGGCTCTGCTTCGTCAAAAATGGCCATGTCGTTCCCGCTTTCCTGCGCGAAGGATGATGAGACCTTGATGCCGATCACGGATTGGAGCGTCGCCAAGTAACTTGACTCGTTTGGATGCCCACCTTTGCGACGCGAGCGGTAGAGTCAAGCATCCTGGACTTTCGAGGGAAATCTCCCTCAGGCCTCATGAACCACGGATCGATTTTTCCAAATATGAGACGACTGTATCGGTGGATTGGTGCTCATTGGTTTTAAGACGGAATGGGAGCCACCAATCGTATTGTTGGGGACGCACGTCATGTGTGTTGACATAGCAGCAGCAGTAGTAACTTAGCGCAGCAGCAGCAGCAGCAGCAACGGACATGTCCCGCGGCTGCGAGTGGCAGTCCCAAGGCCGTCGGTACGTCTATCGGAGCAGGAGTAGAATGAGGTTTATCTTGCTCGCATGACCACATGCAGAAACGGCGGGACGGTGGTGCCGTGCCGCAGTTTGATGCAGGTGTGTGAGCGGAGGCGCCTGTCAAACCAAAAGATGCATATCGACAGCGCAGACGTAGAAAAGAGATGGGCCTTTGGACGTGCGGGTTTCAGGGCACTACAGCAGAGGCTTTCTAGAAATCGTGAGACGTGTGCGTGCCGTGTCGAGAAACAAACTGGTCCTCATCAAGCCGTCGTAGAGTCCGGGACGTCTGTGGACGCCTCGGCGCTTGCCCTAATCTGGTGCAATCTCCTACCGACAGGCCATGGTATCCCTCTCTCAACCACATGACGGGCGCGTTAACGTTGTTGCGTTGCGATGTCATATTACTGGTGAACTCCAGACCCCTCTTCTTCTGCACTTCGCCTTCTCGTCCTCCTGTGTCTTCTTCTGCACCGTCTCGATGCAGTCGGGATTCGTTGCTCGCGAGCAAAGACAACGCCACCCACCACGCGACACTCGCGATGCGCGACTGGATCCGGATGGAAAGTCCGTCCGCGGACAGGAAGTTCGCGGGGGTCGTGCGCAGCAACAGTGTGGACGATCCAGATTCCAATAAATCGCCTTCCAAATCGAAATCGGCCTCTGCTCATGACCCCAGCAATTCCGTAGATGCTGCGACATTTGGCCAGGCGGACGCGCAGGCGCTCCAGCCACAGGGTGGAGATACACCGCAACCGCAATCGATCTCGTACCGCGTCTACAAGCGGAGATGGTTCGGACTCTTCCAGCTAGTGCTTCTTAACATCATAGTCAGCTGGGATGTGAGTGATGCTGGTCGTTGAGCTCAGATTCGGGGACACTGTGCAGAATGTGCTGACGATGTCGACCTAGTGGCTCACTTTCGCGGCTTCGTCCGAAACAACAGCTACTTACTTCAAAACCAGCGAAAGCAATGTCAATTGGCTCAGCACTGGCTTCTTGTTTGCCTTCGCCGTGGTCAGCCCGTGAGTACAGATGTCCGCATGCGAACCTTATTCGGCGCGATTAACAAGCGTACGCTCAAGTGTAACTCTCTGGACCTTGCATCTTGGTCCCAAGCCTTCCATCATCGCCTCCGCTGTCCTCATTCTGGTCGGAAACTGGATTCGTTATGGCGGCACTCGAAGCAACATCTTTGGCGTTGTCGTCTTCGGCCAGGTCATTATAGGCTTTGCCCAACCCTTCGTTCTCGCCGCTCCCACACGCTATTCAGACCTGTGGTTTACAGACAGAGGCCGTGTTTCCGCAACGGCCATCGCTTCCCTGGCAAATCCGTTTGGTGGCGCCCTGGGCCAGCTCATAGGACCTATCTGGGCTGCAAATCCTCCAGATGTGCCGAATCTAGTGCTGTATGTTTCTATCATCTCAACAGTTGCAGCACTGCCGTCATTCTTTGTCCCGGCAAAGCCACCAACTCCTCCATCGGCTTCATCTGCACTCGAAAAACCTCACGTTCTTGAAAGTTTGAATTCCTTGTCCGGCAACCGGTCATTCTGGCTTGTCTTTGTGGCATTCAGCATTTACGTTGGTTTCTTCAACGCCATTTCTTCGCTGCTCAACCAAATCCTGGAGCCATACGGCCTATCTCAGAACGAAGCCGGGATTGCTGGTGCCATATTGATTGTGGTTGGCCTGGTCGCAGCCGCAATCTCTTCGCCGATAATAGATCGAACAAAGAAGTATCTACTAATGATCCGCCTTTGTGTGCCCCTGATAGGACTTTCCTATCTCGTTTTCATCTGGGCTCCACCGACTGGCGGCCTACCAGCACCATATGTCATTTTGGCTGTTCTTGGAGCCTCGTCATTCGCGTTGGTACCTGTTGCCTTGGAATACTTGGTCGAAGTAACATGGCCTGCATCGCCTGAGGTTACGTCCGTCGTCAGCTGGACTGGAGGGCAGATCCTTGGCGGTATATTCATAGTTATCATGAATGCTTTGAAGGACAGCAGCGGAAGGCATGGACCCAAGAACAATATGCAGCAGGCGCTCATCTTTCAAGCCGTAATCGCTATGGTCACAATCATACCACCAATGCTACTTGGATTCAAAAGATTTGGGACTGGGGGCAACACTGCAGGGAGATTAATGGCGGATCGACGGATGACACAAGCTGTTGAGCAGATCGAAGGACAAACTATGTCGGCAGAGTAACGGATTACGTATATACGTATGCAGATTTGAATGTCAATATTCCAATGGTTACGAAGTTCAACAACATGTACATTACAGCTCAAGATATCTTTATTCATTAGTATATTGAGATAGGCCCCAGGTTACAAGCAGCGTTTCTTCAATTACCCTATGCTTGAATATATTTCTTGAGCAGTTCTCCGTCATGTTTCTGAACAGCCGTCGCTCGTCCAATACGCGGCAGGCTTTTTCTCAAAACGTGGCGGTTACATAAGCAAAAAGCTCAGACGCCGAACTGCTAGCGATTTGCTCCGAGCCTCAAGAATCGAGCGATCAACCACATCACTATATCTTCCCAGCCATTGAGCCTTCAGAACACGTCCATCGACCGCTCCTTAGCTCGCATCTGGGCTAGTCATCACGATGGGACTCTTTGACTACATTTCGGAGATGCTGAGCATCGGCGAGGTCCACGCCGAAGCTCAACCAGAGAAGGTGAGAAACGGCTTGCACGGAGCATCGACCAGGAACGTCGACGGGGTGCTAATTAAGGGACAGGAGGAAGAGAGATCCGAGGATGCAGAGGAGAAGTCTGAGGATGGCGATGAGGAAGAGGCCGGTGAGGAAGAGGAAGAAGAGGAGGATGAAGAGCCTGTCGATCCTAAGCCAGCACTTGAAGAGGGTACGATGACACATGTTCCGTGGCCCAAATGGCGGCATTGCCTTGTTACTGACGCGAGGAAACGCAGAGTGTGCCGAGTCCAAGGAATGCGCACCGTACAAGCACCACTACGACGAGTGCGTCGAGCGGGTGACCAAGAAGCAGGAGGAGAACGACGGCAAGTCCGACGAGGACTGCGTTGAAGAATGTATGTCAACCGCCATCGTTTTTCCGCTGCATGCATCCCATGCGTGCACGAGAAAGAAACGCAATTCTAACCACGGACAACAGTTTTCCACCTCGCCCACTGCGCGACGAATTGCGCCGCCCCCAAGCTGTTCAAGATGCTCAAGTAGACGACGACGACGATGACGACGCCACCGCCGCCCGCGTTCCAACGCCAACCCCATCTGCCGCCTGTACAAACATCTTCTCCGATCCTCTTCCTCGAGAAATCTGCTTATGCATCACATGTGGCTGTCTTCAACCGTGTAGATTAGGACAAACTACCTTTTTTTAGACGGAAGCGAACGGGACGAGATGTTGTGACAATGTAACTTTTCTCAGGCTCCCTCTCGTAGCAACGCTTTCATGAGTCACTTTCTCCAACCACACAATCTTTGTTTTCCTCACATCTCCACTAAGTGAGCACCATACTGGATGGGTCCCGTGATTGATTCTTTGACTTCGCAGAAAACCAAATGACCCCAAAGAAGATTTGAAGCCTGACCCTTTACCTTAATCTTCGATCAGGCCTGCATGAGCGAAAGGAGATTGATTTGTGCTGTCAGTGAATCAAAATTTATGTGGGAACTGTTGGCCAGGTCAGAATCATTTCTTGGCTCTTTGCCATTTTGACGCCGTAACATCGTCGCCAATATCTACAGTCTATAATTTTATGTCACACCGTCGTCGTACATAAGCGAAGGGAACAAGCGAAACCTGTTGCTCGCTCATTTCCCTCTGTACTTCTTGAAGGCCTCTCCAACCTCGCCCCCTGCAAGCACGTCCTCCATGACCTTCGCGTCCGCATCAACAAGCTTTGGAAGCATCCGCAGCACCTCTTCCAAATCTTCCTTTGGAATGACCACCACGCCCAACTCCTCTTCATCAATCATGGCAATGTCGCCTGGAGCAACAAAGCATTGACCAACTTGTATTTCGACATTCGTGCACCAGGCCTTTGTTTCGGCTCCTGCTCCAATGATGCTTGTGCCTTTACTCCAAATCGGCATGTCGCTGCTCAGGTTACGAAGCGTGGACAGATCCCGGACGCGACCATCCACCACCACGGCTGTGGCACCGAGCGCACGCATCCGCGCCGCCATTATGCCTCCAACAACTGCACATGACTGGCCGGGAGGTTGACTTATGACGAGAATTGTGTTTGGTGCAGTTAGATCTGCGTAAGGTGTGCCCTGGGGGATATTGCTGAAGCCCGTGGAGAACGTCTGGGTGAATGCAGCGAGCGGCGGGGCTGCATCGGGGAACGAGTCCGAGCCCTTTGCTATGAACAGGGCTGTTGAGACGGGCGCTATGATCTTTTTCTTGGGAGGTGGAGGAGTCGTTGCCGCGATCAGGTCAGCGGATGTTGCCTCTGTCGAGGTGGGTAGGAATGTTGGAGGTACTGAATGAGTCCGCGAGGGCCTTGCCGCTCCCGCCAAGGGCTCTGGCATGTTCCGATCAGTCGCGTTGAGGCCGGAGTAGCCTAGCTATCAGAAATACTCACTAATATCTGTTAGGAAACCTGCACCCTTCACACCAAGCTTAAGCAAGGCGTCTGCAACCTGTTGTCCTCAGTCTTCAACGGCCTCAGCGTTACTGACAGCACCTACGTCGCAGGCGGAATAAGCTTCCAGAGCCTGCAATTGCTCGGCTGACATATCGACACGCAAGGGAGCAACCCCGTTATAAATTCGACGTCGAGCTCACAAAGGGAATCTTCTACGTGCATATGGCTCTAGAAATAACGAGCAACAGTTCCTAAGACGATTCACCGACCTCGGATAGTGGGGTGTTTTCGGTATGAGATCATCCTATTGGTTGGAACATGTGACTTTGATCCTCGCCAAGTATTAGCACGAGGCTGAAGGTGTCGATGGGTCGCTATTTGTGATTATGCTCATAGTACAGGAGCGTTCCAAGCGTCCCGTCGTATCCTGAGGAGATTTGCTTGCTTGTGTGGAAAGCTAATCTCCGTCTGCTTATAGAATCCAACATCCATCGCGTAGTTGAGCAGTCTAGAAAAGAAAAAAAAAATGTCAGCCTTGTCCAGTAACAGAGAAGGGATTGTCTCATACTTTTCGTTATCCACCCTTGGTTCCATCATTACACACTCCGTTCTATTGTCTGCCAACCAACAGAAATGCACCAGGGCACTCAACCAGATTCTCACGCGGTGAGGGCCTCTGAACTCCTCCTCCCCTACAAGAACATGCAATCCTCTATCATAATTTCCCACATCAATTGCATACCTTCCTAGCTGATCCTCCTTTACCCAATAAATTTCAAAGTACCCAAACGGTTTACCATCCCAGCATCCAATGACAGGGAAGCTGTGCTTGCTCTTCAGAGCTTTGCGTAAGAACTCGTCTTGCACAGATTGAGGTCCAGCGGTGCCCCAAAACTCGGAGACGCGGGGCTGGTTCATCCATTTGTGCAGTAGCTCACAGTCACAGGCCTGAATATTGAGGCCTTGCATGGTGGATACAATGCTGTCGGAGTGGCGTTCTTTGATACTAGCCGCCAGAGGGGGGCTGCTGACCGGACCGTTGTGTACGTGCGGTTTTAGCGAGGATGATGCAGCACGGAACGAGAGGTATTGTCCGACACTGGGAACGTATCGGGTGTAGAACGTCTCGCCTGGTCTTGGGGGCTTTGGTCGCAAGGGATGAATGACTCCGTCCGTCATAACAAATTGCGTGGGTGGGGGAGGATAGTACGTGGGCAGGTGGCTAGACGAGTGGAACGGATTCGAAGCGCTGTGATGATGAGCTGCACCGGTGGGTGTGAAAGTGCCGACCGATGAGGAGGCTCCAATCTCACGTCTCTCGTCGACTTGTCTGTTTGGCGAACCCGGTCTTGAGTGCACCGGGGTCGAGCTTGGGAAGGGCGATCCCGAAGTTGGGGCCATGGTGAAAAGATAGATACGCGCATCGAGCTGCCAGAATGCCCGCCTGCTCACAAACATCTTCTTCCACCCTTCGCCCGTCTTCTCGCCGTCCTCGCTGCCCACGTACGACTCCTCCGAAGATATCAAGCCCATGCGTTCCAGCTTGGGCAGCACAACCTTACTCTTGAACACGCCTTCCCGATTGATGTTGATCCTCCACTCGCCCTTGGGCTTACCCTGCTCCTTCGTATGCTCGGAAGCCTTTGTATGGAGCCGCGCATCTGGCTCGGGCTGATGGAAATACCACCACAGGGTCGCCCACAACATCATGGCGATCTGCCTCGACGGCGAGGTGACGGGCTTGAAATCCGCATTGTTGGGCTGCGATATAGAGGAGATGAAGAGGTGATCGGAGCGCAAAGTTGGCCTCGTATAGCGATGCACCATGTGCGGCTTCGACGCGGACTTGGGCGTCCCTGCCCGAGAGCTTGGGTAGCTGACTGGTCGCGGTTCCAGCGACGAGCGCGGGATATCTAGGTCGCCGGAGGGATCTCGGCCATTGTAGTCGTCTTCGTCGTCCGAGTCCGAGTCCTCAGAATTGAGAACCACGGTCCATCCAGGTGGAAAAGCAGCTCCATGATGCCCAGCAAGTTCATTCGACTTGAAATACAGCCCACCAAAGACGGGCGTCACGGTGAGGTTCTGGCCGTTTGGCAGATGGCAGGTCGTATTGGGCGCCATAGCGGGGTTGAAGGCTGAGAGAAGACGAGCACCCGCAACGTGAAGCAAACGCGACGAAGAGACGAAGCGGTACGTATTGCTTGGAATAAATTCTTTCAACGAGTCCGTGGTGTGACCCTTATCTTACCCAAAACAGCAACGCGAGCATGCAGACTGAGAGGTTGAGAGCGCCAATGGCAGTGGGGACGTATGAGCTGTCGCCCATAGGTGGGCTGTCGGAAAGAGTCGCTGAAGTTTGGTGGAGGGGCGGCGATTGGGGGAGGGCGGCGGGCGGGGGGTTTGCTGGGCGCTGGGGGGTTAACGCTCCGCTCCATTACAAGTAGAGGCGCTAGGCCTTCTTCTGCAGGGCCCCTGTACGCCCGGAGCATGTGTCTGCGTGCTCTGACGTCGCTTTGAGATATTCCATCATCCTCTCTCGAACTTCTACCGTCGGCTCGGCGGACCCATCGTCCAACCTCAGTCATCGTCCTAACCGCTCATCTCCAACCCGTCAATTGGATCGCTCAAGCATCAAAAATCATGAGTTTGCTACGAACAAATGCCGTCCGCTCGGCCCTCCGAGCTTCCAAGCAAGCAGCCGCGTCGCGAGCTGGTCTGGCTGGCGTGACTTTTACTCGCGGCAAAGCTACTTTGCCCGACCTACCGTGTACGTTCACCTCTCCTGACCGCCGCAACTCCTAGCCTGGCATCGATCGAAGTGCGCAGCTGACGGATACTGTGCTTGCTCAGATGACTACGGTGCGCTTGAACCGGCCATTTCCGGAAAGATCATGGAGCTGCACCACAAAAAGCACCACCAGACCTACGTGACCTCGTTCAACAATTTCAGCGAGCAGATGCAAGAGGCGTCGGCCAAATCCGACATCGCCACCCAGATCGCCCTGCAGCCCCTCATCAACTTCCACGGCGGTGGGCATCTCAACCACTCCTTGTTTTGGGAGAACCTGGCGCCCAAGAATGCCGGCGGTGGAGAACCTCCCTCCGGTGCGCTGGCCAAGGCAATTGACGAGCACTTCGGCAGCCTGGAGAAGCTGAAGGGCGAGTTCAACAAGGCGCTTGCCGGCATTCAGGGCAGCGGCTGGGCGTGGCTTGTGCAGGACAAGGTTACCGGCAAGATCGCTATCAAGACGTACGCAAACCAGGACCCTGTTGTCGGACAATTCAGCCCGCTGCTGGGTGTGGATGCCTGGGAGCACGCATACTACCTGCAGTACGAGAACAGGAAGGCAGAGTACTTCAGCGCCATCTGGGATGTCATCAACTGGAAGGCCGCCGAGAAGAGATACAAGGCTTAAGACGTAGGACTGGTCAATTGTACACGGAACGTGAAGGAGGTGCCAACAAAAGTACCAGAATGTAGAGCAGAAACTGTGTTTAATTCATGGTGTTGCTTTTCTAGACAACCTAGCATGTCTTACGTCTGATGTCGTCCAAAGCATCTTTCCACCTTAGATGCGAGCCTATTACTGTGACGTCCATCTCATGCTTTACTCTTCTAATCAAGGATGAATCAATCCTTTAAGTCGCCACGAGTTTCTTGAATGAATGAAGTGCTGCCGTGCAGATCAAAATCTGTTCGGAAAGTCGGCGGCAGACATCAAAGCGTCCGTTCGGCGAGGTCATTGTCAAACGACCCAATACTTGCCTTAATTCTTGAATTCCTTGTCAAAGACTCTTCATGATTCTACGAGTATGCTCCTCACTTGGCCCCTTATCCCATCCCACTGCCCCTTGACGCTTCTTTGTACGCATCGTTCAATGAGCACTTCCCCTCTCGCATCTCCAGCAGTCCTCACCAAGGCTTCTATCGCACCGGCGGCAGTCGCTCGTTTCTCCAGCACACGTGCAGCCAACTTCTGGGTTCTCCAAAGCCCCCCGCAAAAGCCGTCCGTCGGATGGTCGGTTGACTTCTTCAAGGCGGTGATCGCCACGTCCTTTCTGAGCCTTCCCGTGAGGCCTTGCGGCCCTCGACTGGTTTCTCACTCATGCACCTGCACCCACGGCTCCTTGCTGAACGTGCGCGTCGACGCGAGTCCCATGCTGGAACTGTGGTGCAGATGCCGATGCTGAGCCACGAACGAAGAGACGGGGTTGAGGTCGCGCTTTTGAAGCCCCAGAACTGCGTTGACAGGCTATTTGTGTGAGGTCCTGCGTAGATGATCGCGGTGACCTCGGAGATCCTGCCGACGGAAATCACGACAAGGGCTCGACACGCAAAATGTACTCTCTTGATGTGCGTTTCGATGAATACTCGGGAGCTGTTGTTTAACGAGCAATCGCTGGGAATGGCCGGTACGCCTGCGAAGACTCGACTGGCTTCGCGTTGAGCCTTGTTATGGCTCCTTTGATGTTATCTTCTGATAGCCAAAGAGACTTACAGCTATTCAATATTGAAGCTAGCTAGGGACCTGCATCGTTATTCGAAAATCAGGTGTGCTCTTCGGACAGAAACTACCTGTTGAACCCCGTGCCGTAACCACAATCTCTCGTCTTCGGACTAAGCCTCCAGCTCAAGAAGGACCAGATCGACTTCCTTTGGGCCGTGCGCGACGCTGAAGCGGCACCTAGGACCAATCGTGTTGACTTTATAACGACACCTGGGCACAAAATGACCATGTTCCAGACATTAAGGAAGAGGAGGGGACCATCGTAATTGACGAGCCTATCTTCATTCCGCCAAAACTACCGTCTGCCAGCAGCGCGCGTTTACCCGACACCGATATTGCCACGTTATACCTTCCTTGTTATCGAAACCATACCGATGATAGCGATTATGCTCCAAGCTAAGAGAGCCTGTGGAGCGGAAGATCCTGTAGCCTTCTCGATCGTCGTGACAGACGTTGCTCAGAGGCTTTGCGAAAACACCATCTAGGCTGGCAGACGCATCCCCGCAGTAGAACTTCCGCGTGCGGCGTGTTTTGGAGTCAAGCAGCAGATGGACTTAAACGAGAGTGATGTCTGGATCCCCGTTGCAGTCCACAGTTCACCAGATCTTGCTTGCGGATGCTCTTGTCGTTCCTCACAACATGTTGAATGGTTAACTCCTGATTTCGGCTTGTCCGTTGGCCATCTGATCACGACCAATGGCATATTGATTATGTAGAGACACATACATGGAAACCTGCGGCTTTCGACTACGGATTGGTTACAAGTTCTCATAAAGGAGGTCGCCTTTGTCATCATCTAACTTGGAGACGTGACGGCCAAGTCTACCACGAAACAACCCAAGTGAAAAACACAGTGAATGTGTGTAGTGTCCTCATGCGATAGTGAATTGACTCGAACAAGATCAGGACCGGTCGGCCCAATTAGGGCCATGTCTGAACGAATTCGTCCTGCCTAAAATGGCCATTGGTTCTAGCGGTTCACAAAGAGTCACGGTGTTTTTTTCTGTTCCAAATGCGAAGAATGGGGTGGAAACATTTTGAGGCAGGAGAGATTCACCATGGCATGAGATAGAAGACATACGCACAGATGTCTTCCCGCCACGCTTGGAGTTGGAAGACTGATGGGGTGGAGCATTCTTCGCAGCAGATTACGAAAGGGGAAGTATGAAGACGTTTTAGAAAGCCAAGCCGCTTGAAACAAAATGAGGTGCTTGGACTATTCTTAGCATGAGCACCGTCCTGAGTCCCAGTCGGAGTCGGCGACGAGGATAACATGCTTATAATTATGAGAAGAGATAAGAATAAGTTAACCAGGAGTCAGGCATCCATTCGTTGTTGGACCCCTTCGTTCGCAATAACGGCAATAGACTGTTCAGCATTTGCGAAATGAGTTGCTTCTGGGCGGCAAGGTCGATCCGCCCGTCAGCCTCGTGTTCACATCTCACACAAGAGTGCCACAATCTTGGAGCTCTTGGACGTGAGCGCGTAATCATCGCCGTGTCGAAAGTCCCACGAAAGTGAACGCATTCGAATCCAAATGAGGATTAAGTGCTGACCGATCTTGCTGAGGGTGGGGTGCCCGCGCTGCAAAAAGGCTCTAGAGACGAACACGGCGGAGTCATACAGAAAGTGAGTATCCACTGTCGGGAAATGGATAACTTCAGGCGGCTTTGCGAACATGTCCATGTCGCGTCACGTCAGATGTCCGAAGTTGAAGGATGGGGTTCCGCACGAGGCGATTGTACTCATGAGCCTAAAGAACACCATGACGTAGCGTGCGAGGATGTGAAGGATAGCGGTAATGTTCTGGATGACAAGTGTCAAGCAGTGTCAATTACGACGGTAATGCAAAAGTCCCTGTCGATTGCATCTTCTTCTTCTTTTTCGTCGTCGTCGTCGTCGTCATCGTCGTTGCCCTTTTTTTTTTTCCCAGACTGCACTGAAACAACGGCTACAGGCAGTGCTGAAGTGTCCATGTGGGGATCTTTCGAAGGCGACAAAGTTATTTGGCTTAGATGGGCGATCAGGTTAACTTGTTCGCCGTCTAAAATTGGGACACCAGGCGGGGGCCGGCTGAGCCTCTAGGCTTGTTCCGGAAGGACCGTGCTGATCGCTGGCGTGGGGCACGTGAGTTGAGCGTCTGTGTATACGAAGCCGGCTCTTCTCCGTCTCTTGTGGCACCGCGATCATTATTGCACAAGACTGATGTCTAGCAGAAGTGAGCTAAATGGTAATTAAAGCAAACGCGCCGGCACGCTTAGATCAACCGAACTTTTGTTCTGACTTTTTTTTTTTCCTTTTCTCTTCGAAGCTCGTCCCATCTAAAGTCTGGCTGACTTGAGCGATTCAGGCTCGAAGCACCGCCTGCAGTGAACCTGCATGGGTTCTGCACTTGCTTGGGTTGGTACTGCATCTGAGCCTCGCTGCAGAGGGACAAATCTTGGGCTCTGATACGAAGCGAGCTGTGCACGTATCTAATCCTGTATTGTAAAATCCGGTCACGGTGCTGAGTCAGAGGATCCAAAAGCACGATTTTGCTCACCATCGAAACGGTGTTGCGAACCAACGACGACGCTAGGACAACGGGTAGATCTAAGTTTGACGTTCGCCGCCGCGACTCTTTCTCTTACAAGGTCGCTGCGGTCCAGAGAACAGGCCGCTGGGTCAAGCGACGGATCTTCGTCGGTGTTTTGTGGGTGCCGACCACTCGGACGGTCAAGCCTGCACTCGTTCCGGGTATAGTACCTGCAAGGCAAGACAGCTCAGCACGACGATCCCTTTTTCTGATGCCTCCGGCAATGATACGTAGCATAGCGTCATCTATACCTCCGTACAGTACGTGAGGTCAGGTCATGGCATGCAGGTCGCGAGCAAGCCTTGCTAGCACTTGCACAAGTCGACGTAGCTCGCATGCGCTGTGCATAGGGCCACCGTTGATGTGCGAAAAAAGGTGCAGAGAGCGCGAACCTGCCGCCGACCGCGGGCGAGTTGCTAAGAAAGAGTCGAGACGGAAGGCCAAGAGACGGCGTCACGATTGGCCAGATCAAACCGCCCCGGACGGCGTCGGCAAGCTTGAAGATAGGGGAACGCGCAGAAGGCGTTGGTCAAGGACCCATGTCTGATCTGCGATATATTTAGCCGTGCGGAGGTTTGATTAAGGTTGCCGTGTCGAGAGCTCGTCGCTCCCCTGGCAGCACCGTCCGTCGTCGCTCAGCAGGTGTTTGCCCTCTCCCGTGCGAGCACACAACGCAGACACACGCGGTCCAAACGCCGTCTGGTGCACGAGGCTGGTCGCATCGTCCGTAGTCTCACAAGGCTTACCGCGCAAAGCCGTCATCGCGGCAGAGATGACCGACGCCGAGCAGGGCAGTGACGGACGCCTCGATCGCAGCGCAGAGGTGCCTTGCCGGTAGAACGAGAGGCCCCGTTGCGGATGCGTAGGGATCTGGTTGGCCGTACGGAACATCTGGATGCGGCTAGGACTATTGACGTCGCAGCCACGCGAAACCAAAGGGGGCGATGATGCGCTGTGCTTCGGACGGCTCCCACACATCGTCCTGCCTAGCCACCGCTACGATCTCCGCTAATTTCCTCATCGTAAACAAGGCCTGTTCGAAATCTTCGGATGATGCTGACACATGCTTCCTGGACTCCAAAGCACCGCTATTGCCATGCCTTCGCCATCTTCTGCCAAGCACGACGGCGGCGTCTGCTCGGACCTCGCGCCTCGCTCTCGATTGACCCTGTGTAGGGGGCCGTGTATCGTATTTTTCTGGAACAGGCCTCTACGGCTTGCTGGCAAACATAACTGATCGCCCTATCCGCTCTCCTTATCGTTCCCCTCCCCCCAGCTTTGTCCCTCCGTTGCGTCTCAGAAAAAAGCTGTTGCGCCTCTGACTTTCCTGACTTTCCTATCGCTACCACACCACCTGCTGCTCTCGCTTCGTCCTTCTCGGTCTTTCCCCTTCAACGTACTTTAATCCATAATGTGTATTCGTGCCTAAGCTATCCAGTAGCAGACACCTATCTTTATTGACACCGGAAGCCCAACCATCCCAATTGACTACGTGACGGGCGGTACACGCTCACACCATCCAAGATGGACTCAAACAACGACAGACGGAGCTTTGAAACGGGACGGGAACATATGCCTCCGGAATCACACAACCTGCTCGAGGAAAGAATAAGCTTGCACCACGACAGAATCTCAATCGACTCGAGGGCCAATGACCACCACCACCACCACCATCACCAGCAGGACTTCAGTGTCCCGCCTACGCCAACTTTCCACCAAAGCCACCACAATTCAGGCATCTACGACTCCTCACGACAGTCGATACGCAGCTACTCCAGCAACCACCCATACATGCACGTCAACCAGGATTCGTTCTACAACACCTTGCAGGACAACATTCGACACTATTCGATACAGAGCTCTTCGGTCTGGACCCAGTCTAGATCGTCTACTCCTGTTAACGACACGAGACATCTTAACTACAGTGCCACTTGGGGCAGTACCGCAAATCTGATGAAGGACGATGTGCCATCTCCCACGCACAATTCGTCCTTCCGGGACCAGATGGAGAAAAGTTCGGACGGCGGTATCGACTCCCCACGCAGTCCGGTTGCTCCTCCTGCGCCAACTGGCCCGCCAACGGGCCCCCCGGCCATCAAGTTCTCGAGACAACACGAGATCCTCTTCGTGGCCAATGTTTGCTTGGCTCAATTGCTTTCGCTTGCTTGTTTGGCGCAGACGGTCTCACCTTTGCTGATCATCGCGGATTCTCTGGGCGTCTCCCACCCGGGAGAACTGGCTTGGCTGACTGCTGCGTACAGCATGTCCTTGGGCACCTTTATTGTCCCGGCAGGTAAGCAAAGACGATGACATTATGTAAAAGATGTGCGACGATCTGACACGTTTTGGGTTTAAAAAAAAACAGGTCGCCTCGGTGATATGTTCGGACACAAGAAGATCTTCATCCTTGGGTTTTTGTGGCTGGCCTTGTGGTCATTCATGTGTGGCTTCGCCTACAACTGGGGATATGTAGCTCTCTGCGTAGCCCGTGGCTTTCAAGGTATCGGACCAGCTCTGCTTGTACCGAACGGCATTGCCCTGATTGGACGGTCATTCCCCCCCGGTGACAAGCGTGCGCTTGTCATCGGCATCTTTGGCGCTTGCGGGCCTTGCGGCTTCTTGACTGGCGCATCACTTGCTGGCATGTTCGCTGAGGTAGTCTGTAAGTTGAGAAGTTCACCGCACGGCGCGGTTAACACGGGAGGCTAACAGTGAGACAGGGTGGCCTTGGGCTTTTTGGGCAACCGCCATCGCATGTCTTTTCATCACCTTCGTCTCTTTTGTCATAATCCCAGATCAGCTTGCTGTGGCGGCAGCTCCGCCAGGACAGAAGATCCCGGGCTTCGACTGGTACGGATGTATCACTGGTGTGACCGGTCTTATGCTCATCAACTTCGCCCTCAACCAAGCGCCACTTGCCGGATGGGGTACGCCTTACGTATACTTCTTGCTTATCATCGGTGTCATGTTCACAGTGGCGTTCTTTTTTATCGAAATGCATCTGGTCAAGGATCCTCTTCTACCGGTCCGCGGTCTCCAGCCTCAGGCTTTGCTCACCCTTGGCTGCATTGCAGCAGGTTGGGCTTCTCACGGTATCTGGCTCTACTACTACTTCATGTTCCTCATGCACGAGCGCCATCTGTCAGGTACGCACGCCACTCTCGAGCTGATTTGGGTCGGTCCGCTCGGCATCATTTTCGCGCTCTCGACCGGCAAGCTCATCAAGCGATTCCACGTGTCTCGTGTCATGCTGGCATCCATGCTTTTCTTCTGCATTGGCACCATCATCCTCACGTACGCCCCAGTGAATCAAACGTACTGGGCACAGACGTTCTTATCCGTTCTTATCATGCCGGGAGGGATGAATTTGAGCTTCCCAGCTGGCTGTTTGCTCCTCAGCAACGCGATGCCGCGTGAGCATCAAGGCAAGGCGGCTTCCCTTGTCAGCACAGTGGTCAACTACAGCATCGCTTCTGGCCTAGGTTTCGCCGGTACCGTCGAGTCCTCGATTAATCGCAACGGCGGAACCCAACTCGATGGCTACCGCGGTGCCTGGGAGCTTGGTATCGGTTTCAGTGCAGTCGGTGTGCTTTTATCGATCTACTTCATCTGGACTGCACGTGGCCAGATCCGTCAAGCCCGTCAGGACAAGCTCGGTGCGCCCAGCAACGACGCCACGAGCGTTCACGGCCAGAAGAACATCTTCCGCATTTCGCAGGCCAACTTATCCAGGCCCGCACCTTCGTGGGCGAACAGGATCGTCTCACAAATTTACGGCGGCAAGCCATACTAATCATTGTCACTCCTTAGTAATTTATCTGTGTTCAGGTGCATATTCAAAGCGTCATGTAGTAAAGCATGGGATTTTGGCGTTTTAAGATTTGTTTCAATGGGGACTGGATGAAGGCCTTGGGTTTGACAGACGAACGTTTGGACAATGCGATGGCCACGATCTAGTAGTTAGGCCACAGACTTGCGAGCACTGTCTAGACATTGGGTGCTGTTTGGCGTCTTTTGGGCCTAATGTTGGACGAGGCGTTCTGCTCCTACAAGGCTACTTCCCTGTATGTCGCGACGGTAGTCAAAATTCACCGACGAATGACTTCAATTTCTTGCGCACACCAACTGTTTGCATTTCGCCCTTTGCGTTGACAACGCACTGCTCCAAGCGCTGTTCAGAACTAGGTATCACCGTACGACCAAGCGCAACATCGTAGATTTCACCATCTTCCCTCGCATCTATTCTCCGGCCCAACTGCGAGCATTAGCGGAAAGGTCGAAAACCTTGTCTCGCCAACAGACGTTCAGTGCGTCATCCGTGCAACCTCTTTAATCACGAATGGAGGTTTTTTGGTCCAAAGTTTAAGCTTTGGATGCTTATTTGGAGCTTGGGATGCCAACCGCATTACCCAGATCTTCGCCTAGCGTTGCGTTGCCGATCTGCAGTGGCTTGCACGGTTGCAAGACGAACAGCATACGACACCATTCGGTGTCGCTTGGGTTCCTCCATGCGTGCATCGTGCCCCGCTGTATGCACACGTCTGCAGGTTCGTCATCAGGTTAGCAGATCACCTCCCCGCAAAACCCGATCGGGAAATCGAATTGGAGTGCCGATGCACCGAACTACGGTGAAGGGCGGGAGGGGGGCGGTGGAAAACAGAAATTTGGAAAAAAAAAAAAAAAAAAAAAAGAAAAGAAAAAGAAAAAGAAAAAGAAAAGAAAAGGAAGGCCTCTGATCTTACCTCCGCGCTTCAGGTGGCGAGTTTCTCCAGAATCTAGCACGCAGATGATTTCGCCCTCGAGCACGACGCCGTAATCCAAGCTGACGGTCCTGTGCATCACGGGCGTGTTCGTCGGTGGGAAGTCGACGTGCCGCAGCACCGTGCCTCCGCTGACGGTCAGACCGGGCGGGTTTTTTAGGTACTTCTCGTACGTCTTGATGTCTTTGTCGTCATTGAGATCCACGGGAAACCCTTCTGTGGTGTAAGATAGGGCAAAGGCCATGTTGTCCGGGAGCGGCTTCATGCTCGACTCGTCCTCGAGAGCAGTCGAGAAGATTGCTTTGCCAGAGGCGTCATGCGTCGTAATGAAGCGATTGATCTTCGGTAGTGCTCCAACGTGTGCCATGCTGTTTCAGCTGTATGTGTGTCTGCCATTTTCAATACACTGATGTGATTCGTAAAGTTAGCAGCCTTACAAGGTCGTAATTCCTGGTTTCGTTATTACTGGCTCAGAACCAAACTCCACATTACCGACAAAGCAGATTGTCTACGCAAGCAGTGTGTTTGAGTTCACCTGTCTCGCGTGTAGAAGACGGACTGAGGGGTATGCTCGAGGTTAAGCGTGGGAGGGGTATCCGAGTTCGGAATTCTGCAGTTACCCGCTGCTCTTGAATCAGTGTCATGATATCTTCTTCATCCAAGCTGGTATATACTTGGCCCCGTGTTTTGACGTATCCATAGTTCGGCTTACGCACTTCAATTAAACTTACATTGAAAAATTGCGCGTTGACGCGTAAACAGATAGACTATTTCATCCACTGACTACCACGGAATGACGTATTCAAGAGTTAGATCGGTGCCCAGTATTACGCTTTCATGGTGTTTGGATGTCTTTCGAATTAACACACAACATGAAAAGGGAGAGTCCAAGCAAACGCAACGAACATCAAATGCCTGACTGTCAAACAATTTCACCATAAAGTGTTTGACTTGCTTTTTTTTACGTCTTCCACTTTTTTGCGCGCCAAACGGGCGTTTGGGACTTACAATCCCGTCCTCAGCGCTTGCCACAGGCGAAAGCGTCCTGGACAATGTCTTCGGCGGCATCGTTTCTGCCCGTCGAAATGGAGCAAAGTGTGGAAATACCATCTCTTGACGCATCCCAAGAGTTCTATCGTCATTTTCATCAATAAGTTTGCCATTACTCGTCCGTAGCTAGCGGGGAACCTTACTCACAAGAAGCAAAATCTAATGATATGGAAATATTAATCCACCGATCATTCACGTCGTCACGAGACTCGGAACTCAAGAAGGTCTTTTGTGCAGACATGTACTTTTGCCTCATCCGTTGACGACTAGGTTTTGAAGTCGTGTTCTTCTCTATATATTGCTGCTCAATGTCAACGTAGGTCAAGATTGGAGGATCCTTGTGGTTGCAATAGCTAGCCTACATCGAAATTTTTCCAGAAAGTCTTGGCTGCAAAAACAACAAGTCAAATTATTATCCTGGCTAATCATTCTGGCTGACCGAGCTTGTAGGGTAATCAAGTATTCGATCTGTCAAGATATCACATTTAGGCTTGAAGCCGTTGACATTGCCTGTTTGAAAGATGACAAATTTGACATGTCGCACAAGGTTCGAAGCTCACTGGATTTGTAAATGTCAAAGCAGTAGAAAATCTCATGAAGAACTTTCGGAGGCCGGAGGCGTGATTGAACAAACACAGAGCAAACAAACTACAAGCCCGGACACACCCTCGTCTAGAGCTTGTAGTGTGCAAAGAAAATGCCTTCCGTAGGAACTATATTCCCCAGTTCGGCTCCGATTTGACCTCGTCAAATGCGCCAGCCTGAAGGAGGTAGAATGCTGGCAGATGCTGAGATTTATGTAGCTAGTCACATCGAGCGCAGGTCACACAGAAACCGGAAAAGAGTGAGACTAAAAACGATGGAGAAAAGAAGCAGAGCAGCAAAGCCGACAACTTTGTCGTGGCTGAAAAGCAAGAACTTGACAAAGACTTTGGAATCTCGCCTTTGATTTATGATGCCGAAGAGGAAAGGATTGAGGAAAAAGATCATGCAGCTCTTGCAAGGCGTGATCGCTATTGACGAGTCGTCTACAACAGTTCTTCAGCCACCGATCCTGTTGCAACCCATTCATCCCGGGAGCTCAACGAGATACCCTACGCCACCACCCATGATGATCCCACAAGCGTTTCCTCTACGACCTAATATAACACTTGAAAACGTTGAGCGCCCTGCGTTGCGTGCAGAGCGAAAGACGCCTTGCAAGCACAAGGCCCCTGAGGCAGAGTCCTGCTCGAGCGTCCAGTCAACGAATTTGGTGCGATCGATCTTGCCAGAGAGACTACGGGAAGAAATATTCTTCTGGACCACTCCGCGTCCGAACGGAGGTAAAATGTGTGCAAAATCATCGACGGCGAGCTTGCCCATTGACCCCAAAGGTCTAGGGAGACCACAGCTAATGCGGAACGTCGAGCTGGACAATGACGACAGAATCGCAAGGTCGCCGGAATGGGCCCGACGCACTACGTTTGGTCGCTGAAGAGGTAGAATGACCTGTGCGCTAGCAATAGCTACGACTCATCAAAGTGGGCTTTTCCTAACGCCGAAGAAGTAGTTGCCGTACTCCTCTCCTCTTGGAACATCTTTCCATCCAAGACCCGGCACGTACAGCACACCCATTGCCCTTGGGCTCTCCCAGCCCTCCCTTTTCGTAAACCAGTCCCTTAATTCGTTCTCGTTGAGGTACTTGTTCCAATCGTGCGTCCCCTTTGGCACAATGCCCAGGATATCCTCAGCCATCACATTCGTGATGAACCAGCTCGTCCACGTCCTGGCAATCGTGCTCATGATCAACCAACCACCGGGCTTGACGTGCGGAAGCACGGTCTGGAGGAACTGCGACGGATTCGTGACGTGTTCGATGACCTCGAAGACAGAGACGACGTCGTAACCATTGCCGTTCGAATGCACGGGAAGATCTTCAATGCCAATATTGTAGTAAGTCAACTTGCCGCTCTGGCAAAGCATCGGATCCCGTCTCTTGTGTGCTTCCGCGACGTTGAACACTTCGGGCGTCGGGTCAATGGCGGTGACGGTGGCGGTGTTGGGGAGTCTGGCGGCACTTTCAGCGAAGATGCCACCTCCGCACCCGATATCGAGATAGTGGAGCTTTTGGCCTGCTGGTTGGGCATCCGCTTGGGAGGCAATGCATTGTTTGATGAACTGATGACGCATTGGGTTCATCAGATGGAGCAGACGGGACGAGCCATGGGGATCCCACCACGCGGAGGCGAGCGCGTTAAAGTGATTGACTTCTGTGGGATCTACAGAAGACGTGGTGGACGCCTGGTGAAGGCATCGCGGCGCCGTAGATAGCAGTCGTGCACCCCCCGGAGAGGCAATGGTTTCACACATATGGCGGCGCGAGACGGCAGACCACGCTCGAGGGAGGGTGCATGGACGGCCGTTGCGGGCTCGCTCCAGGATCGATCTGGCCCTCGACATGGCCGACAGCGAAAGCACGGGGAGGACGAGATGGGTCGCGATGAGGGCTCGCCGTGGTTTGCTCGGTCGCCCTGGCGGAGGTTTGGCCACCACTGGTGCGTACGGCTCTGCTGAGCAGCGGCGAGCGCCGATGGATGGGCACAGGCACGACGCCGACGCTTGGGGCCCACGGCTGAATGCGGTCAAGCGCGGCTCCGAGGTGCGCGGCGGTCTAGACCGTCGGAAGAATCTCCGGGCGGTCTAGATTTGCGTCCGGATTGGCCTTCGATTCGCACAAGAGCCAGCGCGGCCATGGCTGTCATGCTCGCCAAATCCAACGGCTCCGCTGGCCCCCTACAGCTCTGAGTCGCGCAATGGAGGCGAGGGAGAGACAGCGCGAGCGAGAGACAATCCGGTGAGTCCTCCGCCATGCAAGCACCAACAGATCGTCGATCCCGCCTCTGACACCGATCGTGGCAGGTACTACGACCTCTACTCCGTCGTGCATGAGCCCCACGAGCCTCCGCCCTCGAATCACGACGCTCGTCCTCAACGCCGTCCGCTGGCAGCGTCGCAAGACACGGCTCTCACCTGCTTTGCTCAATTGTGTTCACTACGGCTCAATGCTCGCCGCTGCCTGATCTCGCTCTTTGACACGCACCATCAATATGTCATTGCAGAAGCTACTGGCTCGCTTCCCATCCGGCCGGACTCCTCCTTTACATGCGGGGACGATGATCGACTTTGGCTCTGTGGCACGATTCTCGATCGAGGCGAAGGCTTTTGCGAGCGTGTCCTGGAGGGCCAAAAGCAGGCCGGTGCGTCGGAAGTGGGGAGCGTCATTCCCGAGTCTGACTTGTCAGGGTCGGCCGTCGATGGCTACGTCTGTGTGATTCCGGATCTTACGACCGATGCGCGCTGTAAGGATATGCCGTGGATCTATTCATACCCTTACAACAAGTTTTACGCCGGTTGTCCTATCCGCACGTCTCGCGGAGTTGACATTGGCGTGCTCTCCATTTACGACACGAAGCCCCGCCCGCAGGGTTTGACACCGGCTGAAATGGAAATCTTGGTTGATGTTTCGCGCACGATAATGCGGCATCTAGAAGCGAATCGGGCACGCCTGGAGAGTCGACGAAGCGAACGGATGGTTCGGGGCATTGGGAGCTTCGTGGAAGGTAGTGCAACCTTGGCCGGCTGGTGGTCAAACCTTGACACGGCCTCGCACCAACACATTTCAGTTGGTGAAGCTACACTGAATACTGCCCAACAGGAGCTGGCGCAGCAAGCGAGTGTGCATCCTGAAAGTGGGCACGATCTGACGCCGGCTGAATTAGCCAGGACGGAGGGAATTGAAACATTCGATATGAATAAACCGCATCAGACCGACACAGGAACACAAAAACTTCAAGTTAGCCCCAAAGGCGGAAGCAGTGCAAATCACACTGTTGATCACGTCGCCTCCAATGGGCAGCAGGTGTCGCCTCCAGTTGAAGCACATAGCCGTGCCATCGAGAGCATATTCGCCAGAGCTGCCAATATAATCAGAGAATCCCTAGAGATCGAAGGCGTCGCGTTCTTCGACGCACGAATCTCTAGTTTTGGCGGTTTGGTTGATGCCCGACGTCGTGATAGCAACAGCTCCCATAGCGAGGACAGTGATGCCAGCTCAAAGTCAACAAACAGAATCAAGAATAAACATACTGGTGAGAACGAAAAGGTATGCCGAGTTTTGGCCTTCGCAACTTCGGACGGTTCTACGATAAACAACGCCTCAGAAGACGGAACTTACAAAGTGCCTGAATCTTTCCTAAAAGCTTTTCTTCGGCGCTACCCAACCGGCAAGATATTTAATTTCGATGACTCTGGTCAGGCGAGGTCCAGCGAGTCAGAAGAGTCAGCCGACTCCTTACACTTCGTGCTGGCTCAATCAGGCTCTTCACGCGATCATCGCCTCTCTCCCTCTCAGAAGCGAAAGAAAGTACGACGATCAAAGGTAAACGATGCAGCCGACCTCCAGAGGCTGATACCTGGCGCAAAGTCGGCCATGTTTTTCCCGCTCTGGGACTCAACAAGGCAACGGTGGTACGGTGGAGCCATAGCGTGGACGCGTACTGGCAGCCGCCCATTCTCTGCTCGAGGTGAACTCTCTTACCTCTCCGCTTTTGGCAATACAATAATGTCTCAAGTCGCGCGTCTAGATGCGTTGGTCGTTGAGAATGCCAAGGCAGATCTACTAGGCTCAATCTCTCACGAGATGCGCAGTCCACTACACGGCATATTGGGAGGAGTGGAAATGCTCGCCGATACAACCATCAATCCTTTCCAAAATGACGTTTTGCATACAATTGAAACGTGTGGAAAAACCTTATTGGACGTCATGGACCACCTGCTCGACTTTGCGAAGATCAACAACTTGTTCCTGGCGAACAATGGGAAAAAAATAGATAGCGTTGAAAGTGCCCGTGACTCTACTCTATCCCATGACTCAAGTCAATATCCTATAGGAACTGATCTAAGTGGTCTTGCTGCTGACGTGGAGCTCGACATATTGGCTGAGGAAGTGATTGAAAGCGTCTACGCTGGGCAGCAATACTACGCTCGAATACCGGATAATTTTCAAGACTCTCTTGTAAAAAGAGAAATTACAGAGTATCACGCAGGTATCGCTGTGATTCTTGATATCGAATATTCGGACCCGTTGAGTTCGGTGTCAGTGGAGCCTGTGGCTGACAATTGGTGCTTCCACCTAGCCCCAGGTGGCATACGCCGCATCCTCATGAATATTTTTGGTAATGCTCTGAAGTACACGTCGCGTGGTACAGTGCGCGTGTCTCTCTCTCGTTCAAACAAACCGCACTCACCGACAAGAAGTGAATTTTCCAGCGACGCAAAAGCGAACATGAAGAAGGCTGCGCAGGAAGTCATTTTACGGATCTCTGACACTGGCAGCGGTATGTCGACAGAGTTCATGGACAACTACTTGTTCGCACCTTTCTCGCAAGAAGATCCTTTGAAGTCTGGGACTGGCCTCGGGCTGAGCATCACTCAGCAGATTGTCAAACATCTAGGTGGTACAATCAACGTAAGCAGTAAAGTCGGTCTCGGATCCGAGTTCACTGTCAGACTACCGCTTTTGAAATCCGACCGATGTGCGACTCCAGAGATTGAATCTACATCTGACAATGGAAAGTTGTTGCGAGATCATATCAAGGCCACTCAAGGGTTAAGGGTAGCTTTCTTTGGCTTCGCAGATCAGGATGAGCTACAGAAAAAGCAGGACGGGATTTTACGGACAAGGGAGCTACCGACTTCTCCTGTGGACCGAAAAGAGGAATGGTCCTTACCACGAAGGGAGATCGAGCGTATTTGTCGGTTGCGACTCGCAATGGACGTGTTACCAACGCCGAAGAATGAAAAGGAACTCCTCGAGCTCGTGCCAAGACCAGAGGTGCTTCTCACAACTGAGCGGCATGTTAAACACTTGCTTGACGGCCTCATTCAATCACTTGACCCTAGAAGTGCTGGCTCGCTTCCAGCAATAGTAGTAGTCTGCCAAAGCACCGCGATGGCCAAGAGGCTCTCCAAGGAACATGATCCAAACAGGGCAGTGGTAGACTTCATCTCTCAGCCATGTGGCCCTCGTAAGCTGGCAGAAGCTTTCGCACTCAGTGTTACGAGATGGTCTGAGCAGAAAGATTGGCTGAAGGTGGAAAGCCTAACGCCGAAAATCAAGCCTTCACAACCAGGTTCATTACCACACGATTCACCTTCAATTAATAACTCTGTGCCTGCACTTGAGTCCCTTCGAATTACGGATGCCTCGTCATCTAAGCAGGAGTTAACTTTCGACTTTCGGAAGGGAAAAGAAAGTTATCTGCTGGTGGAGGACAACATTATCAACATGCGGGTGAGGATACCATGTCAAAGCTGACTACTTTTTCGATTTTTAATCGACAACTGACACGGCTATATCACAGATATTGGCCAATTTCATGCAAAAGCAGCACCTTCCACACGACAAGGCAGAAAACGGCCTTGTTGCCGTTCAGAAGTACAAGGAAAGGCACAGCGAATACGTCTGTATCCTTATGGGTAAATATATTTCCTCCACACGTGGATTTCCAGATCTTGCCTCTCTGACATGAGATTATCAGATATCTCGATGCCTGTAATGTCAGGCTTGGAAGCCAGTCGAGAGATTCGCGGATTCGAGCGCACACATGGCTTAGAACCTGTCATCATCATCGCATTGACAGCTCTTGCATCTGAAAGCGTTCGGCAGGAAGCCTACGCGAGCGGAATCAACGTGTTCCTCACTAAGCCAGTGAGGCTAAAGGAGTTGGACGACGTTATTACGAAGGCCAAGGCTGGCAAGGCGTGCTAAAATACGTCCAAATCTTGGCTTTTTGGTTGCATGCTTCGTTTTGAATATCAAAAGTTATATCTTTGTACGGATTACGGCAAAAGAAAAGGCATGGTTGCACACCGCTACGATCCGCCTACCCACCAATAATTTGGTGTCAGCGGGAGATATATGATAGTCTTTAGCCCGGGTTGATGAGTGCGCAACGTGACATGCGTGTAATAGATGTGAAAATATAATTGCAACGAGTAACAATGCAGCGGTTCAAAGGGTGAGAATCCTAGACTTTGGAGCTATGCAACAAAAACGGATGTTATCAGCGTACGATTCGTGTATTCATGAGAAGAATGTAGCTCGTCTAAAATACACTCAAAAAAAAGTACGATATTCCGTCGCAAAATTTCTCGTCCAAATCTTGCTTATGCAGAAGTGGTCAAATTCGATTTTTAAGCCGTCAACGCCGAGCTAATGCCCAACACGGCCATGCCCACAAAAGCAAAGGCCATGCACAAGTTGCGATTATGCGTCAAATCCAAGCTCTCACTGAACAGTTGGAGGGCAACGCTTGTCATGATTCCGGATACGATGGCAAACATGCCGCCGTAGACACCCTCGCTAGGTTCCTGGCCCGCTTGACTACCTGCAAGCCTGAACCACGTGGCCGCGACGGCAGCGCCTAGGGGTTGACTGATGCCTCCGAGGAGCGCGGCCCAAATCATGGCCTTTGGACGAGATTTGATGGCAAGGTAGAGAGGCAGGGCCATGGCGAAGCCTTCGGTGATGTTGTGGATGAAGAGCGCGACGAAGACGGAAAATCCAAGCTTAGGGTTTGCATGGTTCGTTGCGTAGGTGATGAAACCTTCGGGGAGCTTGTGCAGGGCTATTGCTATGCACGTCTGGAGACCGATCGATAGGAAGGCATTTGTAGGTACGTGGTGGTGGTGATGCTCTGGTTGTGCATCGAAATGAGGGTCGCCGAGATTGCAAGAGTCTATCGAAGCTCTCGACGACGTCCGACTTAATGACTTGTGACTGTGCGCGGAGCCATTCGTGTGGCTCCTGTGTGGTGCGAAGTAGCCATCGGCCTGCGTGGGATCGTGGATTGCATCCGCAGCGACGGGCGGTCGTGAATCTAAAGGTGCTTCCTCGTCGACAGCTCCAAGCAAAGGCTGTCTCTCGCCAAGACCAGCCTTTCCAAAGGTTGGAACTCTTGAGATTGGCGCGTGTATCCGTGGCGTTCGAATCCCGCCACGTGCTTGCACGATCTTAAAGCAGTCCTGTCCGCAGGGAGCGGAGAGACCAAAACATTCACCGTCCTCATTACAGGCGGCCTTCCTCGCGCCGACGAACTCGGAAACACGGGAAGTAAAGGACGGCCTAGCCGTCGGCGCCTCGTCAGAGCCCTCGGTCTGTTGTTGCAGCGGAGTGAGCGACGTCCCATAAGTAGCGTGAAGAGAATGACCACTTCTCCACCGCGCTAGGTGGTTGCGTTCAGTTACCTCCGGAATTCTGTTGTTGTCGTTGTGATCATGCTTTGTCAATTCGTCATCGCCATCGTGCGTGTGATCGCAGTCAACCACATGTGACGGAATGAAGCGGTGAAGAATCCTCGACACGATCTGAATACCGATCACTCCGGCAACGAACAAAGAGATGAGCGTCCAGGCTGCGGCCTTTGGAGAGAAGCCTCCTTTCATCAATGATGACTTGGCATTTGGCAGCATGCTGTACAAAGAGGAAAACAACTGTGCACCATTTAGACAGGGAAGCTGGAGATCTAGAGGGCAATTTGACATACCATAACACCAAACGACAGGCTCAGCGATGATGATAGGAAGGCATTGCTGTCTTGTATTCTGAAGTCCCGGCATGCCTTCTGCGGGATTGTTTGCACGAGGAGGTCGACGCAGATGATTGAGGCGCCAAGCATGCACGCTACTTGATCTTAGGATGGCGTCCTTGAATCGCAAAGGCCGGCGACTCACCTATGCCGCTCAGAGCGGTCATGATCCACCCCCTGGTGTCGTTGTCAAGGCTGTTCGCGTCCATTGCGAACGATGCTGCTGACCAACGGCCGACGAGGGTGATGATGTCAAAGCTAGAACAAAGGCCTCACCTAGAGCGCCGGGGCCAAGCGAGGGGGAGAAGGGGAGGCCGAGAGAGAATCGACTCGCAAAGGATCGGGCACGAAGAGGTAACGATGCTGGGCAAAGTGTACGAGCTTGGTCTCAGGGCTTAGCTACCCTGATGTCCAGAGCCATGGCCGACATGGATGTTCGAATGAAGTCACACTTGCCTGGAGGCGCATCGCTCAGTGCGGCGCTAGCCCCAATCGGGACTGTGTCGACCCGCGTCGTGCGCTGCTCCGCCCCAAACCCCATAAAAGAGCGTTCGGACCCAAGAGGCGATGCTCAAAGTTACCGCTGCTCCGTTTCCCATACGCGGCCTGTCCGTCACTCTGTAGCCGATTTCTGTCCCTGCTAGCTGCTTGCGATGTGAGTTTCGTGCGCTCATAGCGCCCGGCCTCAGTCGCACTTCGCGTTCTCACCCGGCGATGTCGTCAGCCTGACCAGTCCACTGCCACCTCTGAAAAGCGCCGGCTGCTCCTGGCCAGTCACAGCCTGTTCGCTTTGGCACCTCTGTACAACGCTTTTATACTCGCACCGCCTTCTTTCAATTCCTTCCGCGCACAACAACAGACATCCATACGAGCCAGCTACCGGGCAATCTATAAATCTGCTTTGAAGAGGTCCCCTTCTGACGAGCCATACTCTGAATTTGCTAGCTTCCGTTTGCTCTTGCGTGCCCACTTTCTGTCTAAGCCACCGCGCTATCGCTTGGGAGCTACATATCAAGGCGTTTCGCCCACCACAAATCTGTGCCCTTCGATCTTCCAAACCCAGCAAGTCCTCCACCATGTCCGACTTTAAGACAGGCGAGACGAACGTGACTCCGTCCAACCCACAAGCGCCAGGCCTGTACGCGCTCCCCGCGGATGCGAAAGCGCAAGCTTGCCTCCCGCCGGTATGGCCTCAAATACGCGGTCCCTCCGTCTTCCTTGCCGGTAGCATTGAGATGGGCAAGGCTGTTGACTGGCAGACCGAGCTCACTTCCGCGCTGGCGCACATGCCCGTCACAATCCTCAACCCGCGCCGTGTCGACTGGGACCAAGGCTGGGAGCAGGACATCTCCAACAAGGAATTCAAGGAGCAGGTCGACTGGGAGATGGACCACTTGAACAAGGCAGATGTCATCGCGTTGTACTTCCAGCCGGGAACGTACAGTCCAATCAGCTTGCTGGAGCTGGGCATGCACGCCGCCGACTCAAGCATCGACGGCAAGGGGAAGAAGCTGGTCGTGTGTTGTCCCGAAGGCTTCTGGCGTAGGGGCAATGTTCAGATCGTGTGCCACAGATACGGCATAGAGCTCGTGGAGACACGTGAGGAGCTTATTGAGAAGGTCAAGGAGAAGCTGAATGCTGCCCTCGCCTATCAGAACTGGCGGTGAACGGCGTCGACCTTCTCTGCTCGATCCAAGGCTCGATTGGGGCCTGTGATATGGCGGTTTTCCTTCTACAGGTGGTATGCTCCCGCATTTCCGTGGCGTTGGGCGAAGAATTCCCAAACTGATACCCACGACAAACTACACTTCGGTCTCAAGAGGATTCATAGCACAGGACATGTAGTTCATGGGCTTGGTAATATGGAAATCATGCAATATTACATTGATAGGTGAATGAATGGTTTTGCATGATGTAAATCTTGTGCATCAGTACGGTACAGTAGAGTTGCATCTCAGGTATTGCGTGCCTACGAGTCCCTTGTTCTTGTCAACGTGCCAAAGGGGTATTTTTTTTTACGTAGACTATGACACCGGCTAACGTAGAGACAAACGATACAGGTCAGAAGTAAGTAGAATCAAGAGCATGGAAAAAGCTTCACAGTCGGGTCCAAGCCATTGCGAGCTGTTCTTTGCCCTCGTAGCTCAGTCATGGGTTCGAATCGTGCTTCGGCAGCGGAGAATTGCCTATACATCCACGTCGTATATTTGCTCTTCTTTCTTCCCCAAGATTGTTGAAGCCGACTTGCTCCGCCACTCTTTGCAAGAGCTCTCAGTTCTTCCCTTGATCAGCAAACCTGAGCTCTTGACGAGGAGGCTGCCATTGCACATGACCATCTAGATTTATCTGCCATTTCGGCACAAACACAGCCAGGTATGCCACCAACACGGAGAAGAAAGATCTTTGATCAGCGCACCGTTTAAGCAGTACGGCACATAGCACGCTACTACGTTTTATCCAAGCTGACACGGATTCACCCCTTTGCACTATCGGAGAAGGTCATAGTGAGACCTTGCCTGCAATCGAGCAATCGAGCAATCCAAAGATTACCGCTGAACAGTGCTGTAGAGGCTCGGAGGCGTGAAAGTATTGCTGATCGAGTAACCTGCCATATGTTTCTGCCAAAGGACGGGTTTTTGAGGTCCTTGGTAGAACGGGGCTGCTGGACAAAGAGGGGACAGTGGCTGGCGTGACAAAATGGGCAAGAGTGCTTTTCTCTTCAACAGACCTTCAAACTGGACGGATACATAGTCATTAGATTGGCCTATGTGGTATTACGATGTAACCTGTGAGGGGATGTTGTGCATAATTTTTGAGCCCTGACCACGCCGTTTGAATGAAAAAGGCTTCATTTGTTCTCCTGGGCTACAATCCAGCGCAGTTTGAGAGTGAAGGAACCAAAACGACAACGACCCGGAGTCAGTCTTATGCTATGTGCAACAGGATTCGCATCCGCGTCTGCTACGGACAAGAAATGGCGTCATTACCTCGTACGGCAGGCACGAGCCCAACAGGACATAACCACTAGGGCCGTTTATCAGTTGATGATGACAATACTATCACCATCAGAACCTATTTTGTCCTTCACACAAAACGCCCAGTCTTTCAAGACGAGCGAAGATCAATCTTCAGCTGTACTTTGATTGCCGCGTGTTTTCTTGCCCAAGCGCAGGTTTGGTTCGAAACAAAAACCTTTCTACTAGTCACGACTCTCCTAAAAACGCGCAAGAAGCTATATTCTCGACACAGGTGCCTTCATTCAAGAAGCAAGGAAAGCCGTGGAATCTCATCGAAGTGGGATAATGAATGAAACTGTCGGAGAGGGAACCTTCACAACGCGTGAAAACACGTCTTTCTCAGTGGACCGTAAGTGTTCATGACGGGCTGTCCTCAACATCAACAAAGTGAGGTGCCTTCAAAACCGTTTCTTCCATCTATCTACACATCTCTTGAATATTCTGAGTTGCCTCTTGGGCAGTAGTTAATTCTGGTCACAGCCTATTCAGAGTTGTATCAACTCGAGACAAACGAGTACAAATCTCTCGTAGGTTAAACGTAACCTCAGCAGAACACACAGCTAGCATAACCTAAGTAAAAAAAAAGGAAAAGAAAAGAAAAAGAAGATTCATGATCCGCGCTGTAGAAGTACGAAGTCTGAAGCTAACTCCTTCCAAAAGGTCTGTCAGCTCCCTCAAGCTCTTCGCTCAAGCTCACTCAGTTCATGTCCACAAGTTGCCGAAATGGGTTGGCCTGGTTTAAAGTCGAGTCGCTACGCTCCTGCAAGTCAGGGAGATAAAACTTGGGGATCCTCGGCTACCCATCAAAGTGCTGGTTCTGTTGGTGCATTGGATCAAACAAAGACAGCCACTTCGGCGTCAAACAGTACTGAAGGCATGTACTTCGCTTGACAGGTCAAAGATCCAAGTTGTGATCCGAGAGACTTGACTCGCTCCACACCTATGTTCTTGATAAGAAACGCTTTTTCTAACTTGAAGTATTTACAGCTATCTATGCACAGCTCTCATGTACTCACCCAGCACTTTCCAACTCTGACTTTGCAAGTCCTGCGCACTCAGATCCTCTCAAAGACCCAGCTTCCCCCTCAGATTCTGCGTCTAGAATGCACAACGAGAACGAGCTGTCTATGTGTCTATCTCCGTCTACTATTTCGAGTCGTCTAGCTGAACTGAAAGCTCGACGAGAAGCCTCTAAGAAGCTTGCGGATAATGAAGATACGCGCACAATTTGCAGCTTAGCCATCGACGAGCAGGCATGCATCCTTGCAAAGAAAGACTCTCCAAGTACAGAACTTAAGCAGCGCGTTTCAAAGATTACACCGCCGGGGAATGGGGATGTGACTCAAGCAAACTTGAGTAAGGCTGAAGACGACTATCTGGTTGGGGATAATTCAAAGGTAGACAGTCTTGAAACTGAGTGTCCAGCTAAACAGAAAGCAGAGAAAGAACGCCAAATTCGCGCAAAAGCTGAAATCGAAATTATTCTCGAAGAGATCCAGAAACTTGAAGTACAAGAGAGGAATCGTATAGAAATATACTATGAGAAGTTGAAGAAGGCAGAGAAGCAGATGGAGGAGGCGAAGCTGTTCTGCAGTGAACTAGCGGTTGAAAATATTGAGATCGAAAAGCTCATTGTCGTCGCAGAAGAAGATGTCCAGTTGGCAAAGAAGCGTCTTGAGGACCTGAACAAGAAGTTTAGCAACATCAAAACTGATCTGAGGACTGCCCAGTCGCTCGTGAATGAGACGGAGAAGACGATCGCCGAGTTAAGGGCAGCTGACCAGGACGCCGTTCACAAGCATAAGAAGGCTATCGACACCCTTATAATCAGCAAAACTCGTCTTGAGCCTAGTCTCAGTCATCCTAACAACCCTTTTGAGGATGTTCTGGGGCTTTCTGCATCATCCAAACTCTCTGCAAAACCAGATTGTGCAGTCGCTTCTTCTGAAGATCAGCCGAAGCATCCAAGCGTAGAGGCTTCAGAAGATAAAGACAAGGATATTTCAAAGAACACTGCTTTGAAGGCGAGATTTCTGAGTCATTGAGATATATTCACCTCAACATGCTAACAATTTTCAAGGCTTCAATCTCGACTGATGTCAGTAAAGGACACCCTAACCTCGCTGCTTCACTAGTTTTCAGTCCGCGTTGCTCCTCCGAGACTTACGGCGTCATAATTGAAGGACTTCCAACTACGAAATTTGTATTATCTCGCCTGATTGCTATCCTCTGGCAAGGTGCCATTCATAGCGTGAGGTACGAAGAGGGTAGTACCTGGGCTCATGCTACTTTCCTCAGGGCTGAAGACTGCGAGAAGTATCTCAATGACACCAAAAACGGTATTCCTTGGCCAGATGACCCGGCGCGTATCATTGTTACAAGGCCGCGCAATCTCGAGAGTGGTGAATTAGAAGCTATCAAGTACATGGCTAATAAAGGCATGACTCGCTGTGTCCGCGCGCTCAGGGTTAGCGAGGAATGGTCTAGCGTAGCTCTTGCGCGCCTAGCGAAGAAGAATGGCCGTCACTTTGAGCGATTGACGAATGGTCACATAGAGACGGGTGAGCGCATTGTCGACTGGCGTTTCATGAAAATCTCTGATGCCGTGATGTTCATGTCTGAACTCTCCAAGGATGACCGATTCCAGAAATGTGATATCAGCTTCGCCAGGGACCCATGCACTTACGCAAACGGAGTACACACGGGCTGGTTCTAACGTAAGAATCGTACGGCGAATGCGAGAGCACCATCTGCCACTAATTTGCACGTAGAATCCCATACGGAGAATTGCAGAAATTATGTAGAGGACCGAAAGACTCGCTGCGCTTCCTTCCTTGGCTGGTGAAGGCAACTCCATAGCGATCCCAATTTGATAGGAATGTACTCGACAATCTGATTGTTATTTGCTCTTTTACTCGCGTGATATTTTGGCTCAACATTATATTGCGGAATCTATACACATCTCTGGTACAAAAGTAATTTGTAGCGTAGCAATGTTGCAGCATCATAATTGTGAAGCGAGAGAAATGCGTAACTCGTGCTCCCGATGTGGCAAAGCTCGTAGAAATGCAACACTGAAGTCATCCCTTGTAACATCCCAGCTCCTAAAAGTATTCATCAATTCATCGATCGCTTACATCCAGATAATGTGCATTTCCTTTGAATCAGTAACTAAATCCTGAAATGTGTTGATTAGCTTCGATAATGTCTTCGTTTTCACCACGCACGATTTTTCCAACACTGCAGAATCTGCCGCGATCTTATTTCCTTGGTCATCATGCAAAAGGACTATCTCAAATGAAGCGCATGCTATCCCAAGTTGACTTGATCATTGAATGTCGCGACTACAGAGTCCCGATAACGAGTCAAAATCCACTTTTTGAGGAGAGTTTGGGAGCAAAGCCCAGGCTGATCGTGTACACCAAAAAGGATCTGGGCAGTTCTGGAAGACCTGGGGAAGCCAAGGTATAAATTACGCTTCGACTCGAAATCATCCTGGACTCTCGATGCTAACGATAGCTTGGGATACCATAGCATGAAAAGATTATTTCAGAATGGCACAAGCCAGATCCATGCATCTTTCTCTCGAATCAGGAGAGAACAGATATCCAGTCGGTGCTGCGCTTTGCCAGGAGCTTTACGAGCTCGTCAACGTCCATAACGGGCTCGCGCATGATGGTGGTGGGCATGCCTAACGTGGGAAAATCCACGCTGCTGAACGCCTTGCGCAACGTGTCGCTAGGCAAGGGCAAAGCAGCGAAAACGGGCGACCAACCGGGCGTCACGCGCAAGGTCTCATCAAGCGTCAAGATCATAGAGGGATCCGCTTCCGGGTTCGACACCGTTTATCTACTTGACACGCCCGGCGTCTTTGTGCCGTACGTGCCGGATGCGGAAGCCATGCTCAAACTCGCCATGTGTGGCAGCGTCAAGGACTCTGTGATTCCGTACGGCACGCTCGCCGATTATTGTCTGTACCGGGTGAATCTACACGATCCGACCGTGTACTCGGCGTATCATGAGCCCACGAACAACGTGCTGGATTTGCTCGACGGCGTGGCACGGGCGACAGGCAGACTGCAGAAGGGTGGAAAGCCAGATCTGGAGGCCAGTGCTCTGTGGTTCCTTCAGCAGTGGAGAACGGGCAAGATGGGGAGGTTTGTGCTCGACCAGGTTTCGGAAGAGGATCTCAAGAAGAGGAAGGAGGAAGGGCTTGGAAGAATAAGCTTTCACCAGGCGCTCAAGAGGGCGAAGGAGGACAGAAAGAAGACGGAGGCGGTGCGATGAAACCAACATCATGACATGTTCGGCTTCGTGTGTCCATCTTAAAATCACGTCAAACGCCAGCCGTGATAAGTGGACCGAACACGTGGAAGCAGCGGCATCTTTAGATTGGCACTACGCTTCCCCAGGGCCGAGGAGCACGGTCTGATATCCGGTACAGCGTCAGAATTCTGTGCCACAAAGCTTGCCATGGCCAGCTGATCGCATCATCAATTGAGATCTTGCCACAACGCGCTCAAAAGCTCGAGACAGCTCCCGATGCGGCTGTGAACATGCCCCTCAGCGGTCAGATCCAAACTCGCCAACCCCTTCACCATATTCATTACGGCTTCTATCAAGGCTTGTGCGCTGATGAGAACGACCAACTGGTCAAACTCTCGTGCTGAAGCATTCGTCGTGGAAACCCCAGCGACAGCCCGTTCCCCTTGTCGAACTGTGACGACCTTGTTTTGCTGCCCAGGCAATGCAGAATAGCAACAGGTAGAAATGAAAAAAGCGGCTAGAGTGTACGCTTCAATTTTTGTGACAAAAAATGGCAGCTTCCAAGGCCACCTGATTTTCATATCCGACCTGGATTATTTCAAAAATCACGCGCCAACTTCTTTTCTACGCCTTCAATAGTTGGCCACGATACTATATTTTAGACCCGACCGTTGAATCAAAAACGCCGTGAATCTCATCCAGCTGAGAAAGACTCCTAGTTGTACATATGCACTGATGTTTCTCATCTGTCCCCAGCCCCCGCCATCTCTGTATCCCCGTTTTCCTGTGGAGCCGGATTGTCGATTGCTGCAAATCCAGAGGGCGCCGACTGAGGTGTAGCAGCAGGCGCCGGTGTGACTGAGGGAGGAAGTTGCGATGATAACGACGGCAGTTGGACAGGAGTGCCGTTAGCAGGCGCGGGCGTCGCCTCCGCTGATGTTGGGACGTATTCGCGTAAGGAATGAGACCTGGCAGCATCGGGCGTCTCCGTCACTGCTGTTCCTGAGTTTGCCGGTGCGCCTGATGTGCTCTGCGGTACAGGAGAGCTAGCCGGCACTGCGTTTGTGCCCCCGGCCGGCGGGGGCGTCGTCTTCCTATGTGCACGCTTCGATCGCAACGGTCTATCTTGCGGCTGCCCCAGATGACTTAGTGCCCGAGCCCGCCAGTGAAGATCAGTACCGACACTTACCGTGGGTGGCGGGCTGTTGCTGTCGTCACTATCGTCTGGATTGTCCTTCATCTTCGCTGCAATCTGCTCGAGAAGCATGGCACGTTCTAGGCGCATCTTAAGAATGGCACGCTCGATACGCATCTTCTTGACGCGTAAGGTGTCATTGTTCTCTTCGATCTCGTTGATACGCCGCTTGAGCTCGATGCATTTCCTGTAATACGCAGTTTCGACGGAAGGTGGAAGAGGCGAGTTGGAGGACACGCCATGCATAACGCGATCTGCCATTACAATTTCCGTTAGCGATGATGCCTTTTGCAATGTGCAGTAAAATGTAACATTAAAATTCGCCCTCAATTATGATTACGTCCTGAGTGATTTCCCGCATGTCTGCATAACTGGTGCGATTGCGGATGCTGACGCGAGCGTCCAGAGCCCACAAGTTCAACGCTCATGTATTCACTGGCACCGCAAGCAAAGTCGGACCAAAAGATGCGGGAGTATATTTTTCTGAGGGATTTGCTTTCTTCTACAGCAATGGTGCGCAAACACCCTTTGAGAGAAGTAGTTACATGGCGGTAGCCGAGGAAGCGGAATACGGCACTATAGGACACCCAATGTCCAGCTCGAGGTGAATCGAAGAGCTCGCCGCGCAAGGTGAGAACGCGTTTGCATTAGGCATATCTTGTGATGTCTCCGGATTTTGATCGCCTCGTGTTGATGTGTTTCCGGGCGAAAGTGAAAGAAAAGTGTACTGACCGTGTAAGGCTTTCGACGCCATGACTGCGCCGCGCCGTCAAAGGATATGTATACAAGTGAGACAGATCTCTTTGTTGACAGAGAATCGCACTGCGGAGATGGACGCGATTGTTGGTTGTGTTAAGGCGTGCGGATGCTTCTATCTCGTGTTCACAGGAGGTTCAAGACGCGCATTTCAATTCCGCGATCCTTCTCCGCAAAGGCCCACTTCCCCTTTAGGAAACTAGCACAAAGTACGGTTAATCCTTGTCCAGTTATGGTGTAGCGAACAGTTCTCATTCTTAACACAAGAAATGTGACTGAAAGAGCTCTGTTCTCCAGCTTGGGGACAACTGGTCCATGCAGTTCTGATAGCAGAGAGAAGGCATATTCTCATTTGGTCCTTTATGCATGGCTGTTCTATCCTAAAACTCCCGACCTGCCGTCGCTGCTCATGCTGTTGGTATCTCCCGTGCTTTGTGTTTCTGCCGTAACAGTGACAAGAACAAATCATCCAACGAATACTGATCAAGTTGAAGGCAAAAAAGTAGTGTGTTTCTCTCTCGTGGAAACGAAAAGACAAAGAAAGAAAGGCAAAACAAAAAGAGCCTCTCCAAGGCTCGCCCCCATTCGTCAACAAGACTTACTCATCCTCGTCATCAGCATGCGGTGGTCGTCTCAAACCTCCCTCGCAGTCGATAGCTTCCTTAACGTATGGCCTCTCTGCAAGCTCATCCAGGCTCACTCGCCCTCTTGTCACTTTTTTGAGTAGTCCTTCGACACACTCACGGGCGCCCTCCCAGCCCGCACCGGCCTTGGGATCCCATTCGCCATATTCGTCGCCGTACTCACACCACATCCAGTCACAACGCGCGATGCGATGCGTGGACTTACCTCGAACGGGTCGTTGGCCTGGGCGCACTGGTGGTGGATCGAACGGTAATCGACCCTCCATCAAGGCATACGTAAGCACGCCAAGCGCCCAGGCGTCTGTTTTACGTCCATCGTAAGGTTGACCTAGGAGGATTTCGGGAGCTGCGTAGTCCTCTGATCCGCAACGAGTCTGAAGCAATGGGCTCTCAGGAGGCTGCGGGATTTTCCGACTGAGTCCGAGGTCGGTTAGTGTAATCAAAGGGTAAGGGTGCTTAAAAGCGTCTGTAATCTCGGCCAAAGCTTGCGCAGGCAAATTGAGCAGAACGTTCTCGAGCTTGATATCACGGTGGACGATCCAAAGAGAATGTAGATAGCGGGTAGCGTCGACAAGCTCAGCGAACATGCGCTGAACGATGTGGGGCGTTAGGAGGTCGCGTCGCTGGCTGGCGAGATCGAAAAGATCTCCGCCTGCGCAGTAATTGAGAACAATCAAGGCTTCTTGGTCGCTCCAATCGAACGCTTTCAGATGTATAAGCGTAGGATGCTCTAGGGTTCGCAGAATTTCGATTTCGCGCTTCAGTCCTAAGTCTATGCGTTCGGCGTCTGCACCACCGGCAGGTCCATGCTGGACCACCTTGATTGCCACCAAATTTTTTGGATTGAGCCACGCTTCTGAAGTGTCGTCCAATTTTGTAGACGGCGGCAGCCGCTCTGACGTTGCGAGAACGACTTTGCTGAATGTACCTTGGCCAAGGGGCCGAACCGGTCTGTACTTGCGCTTCCGTTTTGAAGGACCTTCGCGCACTACTAGGTACTCGACAAACTCAGGTTCATCTGCTACTTCGTCTGCTTCACTTTCAGCAACGCTTCTGTTGCTGGGCGGGGGAGTTGGCAGCGAAGCAGGGACGAGTCCTCGTTGTTCGGCGAGATACTTCTCCCTATGCAGTGCAGAGTCGATCTGCATAATATCGCTATCTATGCTGACTGCGTTTGTCGTAACATTGCGCGGCTTTTCGTTGTGCAATGCTCCCGGCCGGAAATCGCTGATACTTCTGCTTGACTGGTGTGACGAGGGGTTCTTGTTCGTGCCATCTTCGCTCGTGAGAACGCCGTAGCTCTTCTGCTTCATCTTCGTGGGCGAGACTTTCGCGCTCACGTCGAGAAGGACTTCTTCCCGAAGGCTACGGCTCAATGAGCCCGAAGAGCCTGGGCGCGATCGCGACTTCCACGGTGTGGGCGAGTCTCCCCCCTGGAGCGGCGACGGCAAAGGTGTTATGTCTGGCAGCGCGTTGATCGCAGGAGAGCTGATTCCTGAGCCCGGTGAGAGCGAGTACACCGATTGTATGCTCGCTGCAGACAATGTTGAGCGGAGGCTGTTTTCCAGCGTCATGGGTATAGGTTGTGAATGCCGTAGACCTTGCTCCTTGATCACTTCTGCTTCTCCAATTGCTGCCTGGCTGACGTCCGAACTGGTGTTTGTGCCTGTTGCCGACGGGGGGGCCGTGATATCAGTGTGTACGTGTAGTCCCGCGTCGCGGGGCGTTCGGGGCGTCGCCGTCGAAGGGGTGCGTATGTGGACTCGCGGGATCGAGGCGGTCAAAGTATCGAGAGCCGGCAGGCCAGCATTTTGTCCAGCGGAACGCTCATAACGTTCTTGCAACCCCTGATTTGTGGCAACTGGAGACAAGTTGTCGAAACTTTGGTTGACAACGGGAACGTCCGTCGTAGGTGTATCAGAACGGTGCTGGGATATGCTGGCACCCACGGATGCGATCTCCGACGCGACTTCGGGCCCTCCCATCCTGAGGAAGAGAGGGAGAAGACGAAGGAGCGGGGAGAGCGTTTGGCCGACTGGTGGTACCGGTGATGTCTTCGGCCCTGTTAGGCTGCGTTGGTGCAAGGCACGCTGCACTGACTGGACGGTGGTTGGTTGGCCTCTACGCTAGACTACCGATTTGTTCTCAGTCAGTCCTATATATGGAGACAGCCTCCGTCTCTTCTGGATCGCAGCGAGTTTCGAGCACCGCAGGTCGTTCCTCAAATAATTTGTGATTCCACTGTGGGCAACACAGTCGAAGACGAACGCTGTAGTCTTATAAGTCGTTTCAGGGGAGTCAGAGATGCGTATCCTCTTGGAATGCTGACGTTGGTGACTCTCATAGGAGACGCCATTACTGAACGTCAATCTGCTGTCATTTCTCTACATCCCCGCAAACCTCAAGTTATCATCCAAAAATTGTGCAAAAGAACCCCGAGTCATCATGTATAAAGTATATCTCGGCCGAGTGGGTTGTGCAAAGCCTTGATCTGACGAAAGAGACAACGAATTTTCCTCACTCTAGTATCTGCATTCTGGGCGCGAAAAGATGGCAGAAGATTCTGCATCGCCACAGACCGACGACAAAGCTGCCTTGCAGCAGGTCTTTACGTTGTTGAAAACGCAAGACGATACATCGCGCTTTGTGGGCCTTTCGCTTCTGCGATCATTGCTCGATGGAAAAGAGCACCTTCGCAGCGATGAAAACGTCGTCAAAGACTGTTGGGAGGCGGTGCCCAATAAATTTTTGATACGACTGATGAAGAGTGGTAATGGACAGCCAACTGAAGAGCTACGGAGCATGAATAGTCTAGCTGTTGCCGTTGTTCACATCTTCACCAACCTGCTTTCTCCTGATCAGGTGTCCGGGAAGAAAATACTGGAGCTTTGCGCACCCCTTGTTAAGGTAACCCCAGTGCTAGAGGCAGCTCCACAGATGCTGGCATTTCAGACGCTACAGAATATCGTTGGTAGCGCAGCAGGGGCTCACACTTTTGCACGGGCAGGTGGACACAAAGAACTGGCCGGTCCTATGGTACTAGGAGCCGAGGACCGATATGCTCGAGAGTATCTAAAGCTCTACGACATCGCATGGTCAGCAGCACATCAGGAAGATGCGAAAAGATTCATTTTGCAAGCGGTGACGGATAGCATGAGAGACGCTCAGAACACAGCAACTTTACTCGATGTCATAGCAGGCATCTCTCCTCAATTGACCTTCCTAGGAGAGCCGCAGCCTATACAGATTGTCATTTGTCTCATTCAGAAATCAATCATGATGAGACCTACCTCGCAAGTGCGAAACGCAGCAATCAAGTTAGCCAGTGAGGTGTTACGGCGTGTACAGCCTAGTAACATGGCGGCGAACGCGCTCTTCACGAATCAGGTCCCGGAATCAGCGAGAGGTGATAAGCCATTTGCATATGTATTCTTGCAATATGTGCTGGTCGACTTGCGTGCTACGATCCCGACATTAATCACGAACCTTGCGTCGACAACCTACCAAAATGACAGCCTTCGTCTTGCGGCTTGCTACGACATTGTGGCTGCTTTCATCATGTATCTAATTCAATCGACCGATGTTGACGACATGGATATAACCGAGGGTTCAAAGCCGTCAACAATGCCGATCGGCCCTGACTTGCTTCTCAAACTGCGCAGAGACTTGAACGAGACATTCTCCCTTACTCTCGAATTTTTCCGCGATCGTTGGGATGCCGTAACCGCAGGTGCTGCTGGTCTTGATCCTTCCGCACGTATGGACCCGAAATCACCTGCCATGCTGACCTGGGACAATCCAGCAATTGCACCTGAGCAAGATCCGATCATTCTATCCGGGCTGCGAGCGTTATCACTCTGGCTGCGTGAAGATGAGAATCCGGGGCTGCACAAGCAAACGATAGGAATAGCGGATATGCTTGCTGCATTGTACAAAGAGAGCATGAAAGCCGATGCAAAAACAGACTTCCGACATCCCATATTGGTCTTGCTAGAAGGCCTGCTGTCAGCCTCTGATGAGGCAGTCCAGATGTTACTTGATCATGACGGATGGGACTTGTTTGCCTCCGACCTTAGACAGACGTCGCAATCGTCGCAGAGCTTTGCAACATATATGACAGACTTGATACGTGTGTTGTTGATAATAGTTACATCCGACGCAGTACCGCAATCGAGAGAAGCGTGGATGGAGATCCCTAAGTGGGTTTCCCATATTGACATTGCTCAAACGAAGGACACGGAAGCGTTCGAAGTACTCGCAGAACTCTATCAATTAGCGAACGCGATATGGGCTAAAGCACCGAAAAGACTGCAGAGGGCTGCAGAAAAGGAGATGAAGCAAATAGCTATGAACGCCTTGTCCATTGTGAATCATATCGACGCTACGGGCGCGGATCAAGGCTTAGTCGATAGCTTTAAGGAAGTGGTTTCCTCAATGGGGTCGTAGTCAATGACTGATGATGTACGCGTGTGAATTGTCATTGAAAAATCATCTACTCCAAAATTAGTTGGATCTAGTTTTTAGAACAAATTGCTATAGAGTGTAATGTTCTTTTGACACCGTAACTACAAGCCTCGTTAAGTGACTGCAAATCGTTCCATCTCATCTACCGCCGATTTGACCCTTCGGAATAGGTTGGACCCATGCCAAAACCAAGTTCAGACTCGCCACTATTATCCCCATAATCCAGAAGCTTTTCTGATAGTTCGTACCGTGAAATCTAAACAAGATAGCAAACACAACACCCCCAAGGTTACCCGCCGCTCCAGTGATGCCGCTAATGATGCCGTTAGCATAAGGGTGCACGTGTGGAAGCAAGCCAAAATTGGCGCCGTTTCCCGCTTCAAGGAAGAATGCCATGGCGGCAACGAGTCCAAACATCTTAGACTGTTCATGGGGATCAGTGAGCCCAACACCTAGGTTAAGCACACCAGCCACGGCTCCAACAAAGACGATCCATGCCTTTTTCGCCCATAGCGACTTGGTTCGGGAATACAGTATATCTGATACGATGCCCCCAAGCGGACGCGCAAAAATGTTGAGTAAGCCGAACATAGATGCCCACTGTCCAGCTTTTGTCTGCCCAAGTTGTGGGAAGTTGCGGAGATAGTAGGCCGCTAGATAGCTGTTGATGGTTAACTCTCCCCCGAACGTTGCTAGATAAGCACAGGCATGGAATGCTGTCTGCAACGAAAAGAAGACATGACACGTTTCTTTCAAGGTAGGCGAAACAACGATCTCGTGTTTGAAAGAGGCGACCATGACTTCCGAAGCCATGTCAACTTCTTTCGAAGCCGATGGAATAGAGCTACTTGGTAAACAGACTATTTCCACGTCGCCTCCTGAGCGTGAACGGATTAATGTTTGAGCCTTAGATTGCGCGCCATCGGTGTTGTTGATATGTCCCACAGGTATATTTGGTATGTTCATAGTAAGCGGTTCAGGCTGAATAAATTCTACATCAAATTGGTGATCTGGCGGTAAGCGTATTGCAGAATCGTGTCGTTCACTCCACTTTCCAGTTGGCGTATCCTCGCAGAAAAGCAGCATCCCTAGGGAAGTCGCCGTAATTAAGATGAATGGAACGACAAACGCAACTCTCCACGCTTGTGAAGCCGTCAATCTCATGTTATGATGAAGCGCTTATACCACAGTTAGTCAAAAGTCTGGAGATAATCGTCAAGAACTCACAATCATAGATTAAAGGCATTAAAAAGTAGGTGATACCGCCGCCTGCGTTTCCCCAGCCCCCTATCAGCGCATTTGCAGACCCCACAACATTTTTGTCGAAGAATGTAGTTGACCAGACCTGGCAAGGAACAAAAGTGCCACCCAAGATGCCCACGAAAAATCGAATCATAATTAAACCCGAGACACTACGTACGAGACCGGATAGAGCCGTCGGTATGGCTCCAGTGGCGAGCACGCCAATAAATGTCCACCGCGGGCCCCATCGGTCGCAGGCCGGGCCGGCAATAAGTCTAACGACAAGAGTTCCAGTCAATGCTGCAATATTAGAGTTGCCGACGTCTGCAGGGGTCATATGCAGCTGCTCACGTATGGTCACTGTCATGAGCGGCGGAAAAGCATCTATGAGCGCGTTAACTTCTCATGTCGAACAACAGGATTTGATATAGTATCTTACACCAACTCCAGAAGGCAATGAAGAATCCGAACCAAGAAAAAAAGAACACCCGCCCATATTTATTGGCAACATTGAAGATAGGAATGGACCTGGCTTTGTGATTGACTGGGTTAACTTCTGGGGCTCTCCACAAAAGAGATAATGCAGACATTGTTCCCGAGTTCTCATACGGAGATTGGTGCGTAGGTGAATGATGAGAGCTTAAATTTCATACGCCGGTGAATTTTCCGTAAATTTTGAACCTCTAGAGTCGACGACGGTAAAGTCTATTTTGTCTTGGGCAAAGCTTTCTTTTGGATGTTCATTTTTACGAAGAAGCTTCTATCGGATCGTCATGCTGCTGGACTTCCTGCGATCTTCCTTGTGCGATTGATGCTGTGTCGTGGATCGAGTCAGAAGCGGCTTGGTCTAGAATTTTAAGAAAAGGATCACACCCAGAAGATCTATCTTCATAAATCAAATTAACAAGGTAGCCGTGTTGACATATGGTGGGATGACTGCTGTTGCATTAATAGACCATCACAACCCGCACGAGGATGAAAGATCGATTCCATAGGTTATTTGTCGGTGGCCGAGACCGGCATGAATGTTCACGTGGATAGAAGGCGAAGATCGAATACCAAGCTAATTTCCTAGGCAATATGAGACCAGATTGACGCCGTTGGTTAACTTCAACTTGGGGTATGTGAACTCGCGGGAGCAGCACATTTGTAACACTCCTTTTTGTCAATTTGCAACGGCGGCAAGAGAAGTGGTGGCAGTCTCGACAGTGGAACGTTATCCGTGAAAGGCGATCGCCCCAGTCCACGGAAGGATCATTCTTGAGCGTGAAATGGACGGCAAATTAAGAATTGGTTTCATGACCAAGGTGTGTGAGATAGGCTCTCTGGCTATTGGTAAACTTCTGATTTAGAAGGAACCCTGGGGGCAAACTATAGCAGTGTTTACAGCCTAGGTCGCAACTTTACTTGTTCATTCCATTTCACGTGCATGTGTATGTACATTGACTCCAGACGGATTTTGGTCTCGAGGTGAGAGCGTGACGGCTAATTCATGAGTTGCTGCGAGAAACTCATTCGTTTACCAAGACTCCTAGCGTGAGCAATTTTATTTCGTGCAGTCTCGACCGACGGCACTGTTGTAGCTTGGCATAGAGGACACGAAGCTGTGGACGAAAGGCTCAGGTAGTTCGAGCTTGCGGCTGGCAAGAGTGAGGGAGACGAAGGGGTGAAGACGACGGAAGGGAGGCAGAAGCATAGTGAAGCTGGGCCTGCTTGAATAGGCAGCGAAGGTGCGGCCTAAGTGCGGCCTAAGTCACAGCCTGGTGTTTGCCTGGCAGCTTGAAGGGCGATTCAAGGCCTAGACACGGCCAACACTCGTCATTCGCGAATCAAAGAACAGATTCGCGAGTTTCTGTTGAGCTTTTCTGACCGTGAATAGTCAAGTCTCACAGTCACGGCAGTGACTTGTTAAGGCGGTGCAGGGCTGCATTGACAGTCACGTGCCGATGCGGATTGCTTACTTAAGCGAGTTCTGCGCTCAGACCAGCTCACCACTTTCTCTCCCTCGCCAGCTCACTTCGCGCGTTTCCCTTCGTCACCCATCTCCCGCCATAGAAAAGCTCATCGCCAACCCTGCCGCCGCAGGTCGAGCTCATTCATACGCGCGGTCGAGCGTCTTATTTCGATTTCATCTCTTTCACGTCTTTTATTCTGGGCGTGCACGCCGCTTCGTTCTACGTTGACGCGCGTTGTGCGCAACTCCTTCTCCTCACTCCCACTTCTGAAGCTCCATCCGCTTTTAGCACACGCGGCGAGCTGTGTCACTCTTTGCAAAAACTTTTCCTTACGCAACCAGAGAATACGAAACGAGAATTGTGAGGCTCAAGTGTCTTCCACATGTCGGGCTTTGGTTTCGGTGGCTTCGGCCAGAACAACCAGAGCTCCACGAGTGGATTCGGTGGGTTTGGCTCCAACAACAATAACTCTGGAGGTACGTGATCTGTCCAATGGATTTTTCTGGCATTCTTTGGATTCGACGTGCCCGCGAGCGATGGCAACGACTGTCGATCGAGGCGGCGACTGCGAAGCGACACGATCGGCGACGAGCAAGAAGTTAACGTCTGCGATGCACAGGCTTTGGCACCTCCAACACTGGCGGCTTCGGCAGTGGCAACAGCTTGTTTGGCAATTCGAATAATACGACTGGTTCTGGTTTCGGAGGTGCGTAATGTTAGACCACATTCGCGATCGACCTTCTTTCCGGCATCTCGCTCCCCACGTGAAATCGAACTGTGTTCGCCCGCAGGCTCTAGCTTCCTAAGGCATCGGTGACACTCTAAAACATCCTACTAACATCTTCATTTAGGTTTCGGCTCCTCCGGTGGTGCATTCGGTCAAAATAAAACAGGCTTTGGTACCACAACCACAACCTCTGGCGGCGGACTGTTTGGAGGCAGCACGACAACATCTGGCTCAGGCTTCGGTGGCTTTGGCAGTACAACCTCGGGTGGTTTTGGTAGCACCAACACCGGTGGTGGACTCTTTGGTCAGCAAAATAAGCCAGCCACAGGATTCGGCAGTGGCTCCACTTCAGGTCTATTTGGCAGCTCCTCAGGTGGCTTTGGGAGTGGCACAAACCAGACGCAAACTACCGGCTTCGGTGGATTCGGTAGCGGTACCACGACCCAGAACAATGGCACAGGTCAGGTACAGTTTTCGGAGACAACGGAAAAGGATGCGAATGCCACGGGAAACCAGATTAACAAATTTCAGTCCATAACGACTATGGACGCATACAAGAATTTTTCATTTGAGGAGCTACGTTTAGTTGACTATCAGCAAAACCGCAAACAAGGAGGTGGGCAGGCTGGCGCATTTGGAGCAGGTTCTACCTTCGGTGGTTTCGGCAGCAATAATAACACAACTGGCGGATTCGGAACTAGTACGGGGGGCGGCCTTTTTGGCCAGCAGAACAACAATACATCAACAGGCTTTGGCTCCAGCAACTCTGGCGGATTGTTCGGAGCGAAGCCAGCAACTGGTGGCCTCTTCGGCAGCACATCATCTTCTGCACCATCAGGTGGCCTTTTTGGCACAAGCAGTGGCAATACGGGTTTCGGTGGCACGGGTTTTGGGGCCAACAACACAAGCAGCAGCACGACTGGAGGTCTTTTCGGGTCCGCAAACAACCAAGCTAAGCCCCTCTTTGGAGGTTTTGGAAGTACACAGAACACAGGTTTCGGATCCTCATCTGCTGGAGGATTTGGCGCAAGCACACAGACATCAACCGGCGGTGGCGGTCTCTTTGGAGGCAGCACTACCGCAACCACAGGTGGTTTTGGCAGTTCTCAACCCGCCTCAACCGGTTTCAGTTTCGGGCAGAATAATCAAACCAATCAAACTACGCAGTCTGGCGGCCTCTTCGGTGGTGGCGGCTTTGGACAGAATAATCAATCGAAGCCAGGCGGTTTATTTGGCTCGTCGACAACTACAAATACCGGCGGTGGCCTTTTTGGTAACACAAACAACCAAACACAACAGTCTGGCGGTCTGTTCGGTTCTGCACAAAACAATACCCAACAGTCTGGAGGTCTTTTCGGAAGCAAGCCAGCGACCGGCGGATTATTCGGGAATACGACCTCTGGTACAACTGGCGGCTTGTTTGGCAACACTCAACAGCAGACAAATACAGGCGGGCTTTTTGGTCAGACGAACAACCAGCAATCTGGAGGATTGTTTGGTGCAAAGCCTACCACATCGAGTACTCTTGGCGGTGGCCTTTTCGGTAACACCCAGCAGAATTCACAGCAGGCCGCAGGCAGCTCACTGTTTGGAGGCTCACAACAACCTGCTCAGCAGACTGGTGGCAGCGTGTTCGGTAGTTCGCTGCTCGCGCCACAGCAACCTCAACAGCCGGGCACGTTGACGGCGAGCTTGATGCAAAATCCATACGGAAACGATGCGCTTTTTGCCAACATTGGTACCCCTACTCAGAGCGTCGGCCCGCTTGCTACGCCGCTTGCCTCCAGTCAGAAGAACAAAAAACAAGCATTAATTCCCGCCTACAAGATTAGCCCTGCTGCTAGCAGCCGCCTTACTACACCTCAAAAGCGACCATCGGGCTATGGTTTCTCTTACTCAACATACGGTACCCCAGGCAGTGCTCTTCCAGGCAGTCCTTTTGGTCATAGCACTCTCCTCAGCCCGGGATATGCTCGAGGTTTAAATAAGAGCATGTCAACTAGCAACTTGAGGAATTCTTTCACCGCGGAAGACACCATTCTCACTCCTGGCGCATTCTCTTCTACCGTGCGTGGTGGCACTGGACGACTGAAGAAGCTCAATATTGATCGCAGCCTGAACTCAGTACGCAAACCTCTCTTCGGAACTGTTACTCCTGAGCCCAGGAAGTCGGTCAGCTTTGATACGTCCAGTGAACCAAAGGAGACGAACGGTACTTCAAGTCTTGGCCTGTCTAATGGGGCACTCGTTCGCACTGAGAGTCCCACTTCTGATCCAGAAACCAGCATGAACGGTTCGTCACGATCGAATGGCTCTAGTAGTCAGGGGAAAGAACTTGCTGTAGTTCCCGAGGATAGTTCTCCCGAATCAGCTCCGGCAGTAAAGCCTGTTGTGCAGGTTCCACGTAGTCATGCTGATAAAGCTGCCGGTGGTTACTGGACAAAGCCGAGTCTTGAAGAGATTCAGGCCTTGCCACAGGAGAAGAAGGCCAACTTTGAAAACTTCGAGGTCGGCTGCGAGAACATGGGTAAAGTTATCTTTCACAAGGTTGACTTTACAAGGAATATTCCCTTGGATAAAATTATGGGCGACATCGTATTTTTCGAGAAGCGTAAGGTATCCGTCTATGGCGACAATAGCTCGGTTAGCAAGCCTCCTCCTGGACAGGGTCTTAATGTGCCCTCGACGATTACTTTAGCGGACTCATGGCCGCGTGCTAATGCGGGCGCCACGGAAGTGCTTGAGAAGAAGGGTCCGCGTTATAACAAACATATCAATAGGCTGAAGCGCATTCCAAACACGGAGTTCGTAGACTTCAACGGCAACACGGGCGAATTTACGTTCAAGGTCGAGCACTACACCACTTACGGGGTTCCTGATGACGATGACGATGAAAGTATACTTGATTCAACCATGTTGACTGATGATGTTCCTTCGCCCACGCCTCTGAAGGTCTCTAAGCTGAGGGCCCAACAGTCGTCTCCGAACATGAACAGTGATACTTCCTTGCCAAGTCCCCCAGAATCAGCACATTCTAGCCCTGATGACACGTTTGATTTCAAGAAGGGTAAACGCAAGCAACTTCCGGGTCAATTCGATGAAGAAGCCATGGAAGAAGATGTCTATGACGAGGAAGAAGAAATAACTGGTAGTCTGCAGTCTTTTTTAGGGCAGCGCTCCGTGGGTTCAAGCGTCGACGACACTGAAGACGCAAATGAATTGGGTTTGGCAGAGGATCAGGAGATGGCGGGCTCCTTTCCAGTGCCAGCTCGTACCACGGAGCCACTTACCGCACCCCCATCCTTCGAGCCAAAGTCTATCCTTAAAAACTCAACAGTTCATGGTACACCTCTCAAAACAGGCTCGGTTCTCTTCGGAGATGATTGGACAGAGCAACTTCAACGAACCGTCAGTCCAAAGAAGCAAGATCGTGCCGCCCTGCGTGCCAACCAATCTATTGTGTACGAATCCCCAGAGCAAGACCGAACTCCCAAGGTGTCCGAGCGTACGCAACCATTCGCTACGACCGTGGATATCATGAACTCTCTTTTCAATCAGTCGACGAGGTCAACAATGACGAAATTCGGTGATAACACGTCTGCTACTGAGGTTTGTTGAGGCCCCTTTTCGCTCAATGGCATATTTTGATTTCAGTGTTTGCTCCCTTGATCAAATTATTTTGTCGAGCCAGATTGCCCTTTGTAAAGACCTAGTCACAATCAAGGTCAAAACCTTCCCCGTACACAGACCGTAGATAGCATATGAAATGAAAAGACAAGTTGCTTACATTTTTGTTTTTTTAGTATCCCAATAAACGAATCAAGATTCGAGGAGCAGCCGAATCTGAGGAGCTTGACAATGCCTTTCATCAAGCGCCGAAACCACATTGGGGTCCCGATGGCACTCTGGTATACATCGCCGGTCCGATGGCGCCTAGTTTAGGGCGGAACAGCATTGTCGAGAAGTTCGCGCCGTCTATCATTGGTGAGCGCAATGACGTTCGCTTTGCAAAGCTCTCAGGTTCAGCTCAAGTAAAGTGCCCACTTTAATGCCCATGAGTTTATCATACTAATTCCAGAAGGCGGGACTTGCACCAGCTCTAATTGAGCAAAAATCCTGTACGGATATTATTTACGAGAGTGAGAATATTCCCCACGCTGTCACCAGTCCCGATTTCGAATTCGCGCAATTCGCTGAAGTTGTTCCACTTGACAATCTTGCTGGTCGGATGGAACAGCGTGCTTGGGAGCTTGCACACATTCTCTTCGACGCTCCGCATGACGTGCCCAGCACGGTTGCAGGGTCTGAAAAGGACATATATCTTCTTCGTTTGCGCAAGGACAAGGTATCCGAGTTCTGGAAGAAGATAGTGCGTAACGATGTTCAAAACCATGTTGCGAGAGCCGAGACATTGGAGGAAAAGGCCTTTGCATATCTGACCGGAGGTCTAATTGAAGAAGCATGCAATGTGCTGGTGGAGGGCAAGAATTTCCACCTTGCTACACTTGTTGCGCAGATTGGCTGCGATAGGAGATTTCGCGAGTCCATGTCAACACAATTGGAAAGCTGGCGGATCCTCAATAGTCTTGCCGAATTTGAGGACTCCATTCGAGCAATCTACGAACTCCTTGCCGGTAATACTTGCATTTGCAGAGGTCAATCGGCCGCTGGATATGAGAATGTCACGTCAACCTTTGCATTCTCCAAACGCTTCAATTTGGATTGGCGACGATCTTTCGGCCTTCGTCTTTGGTACGGCATAGACCCCGAGCAGGACGTTACGGAGGCTGTCCTTAAGTACCTCGAGGACTTGAAGGATGGCCGTGAAGAAGTGCGACCTGTTCCGTGGTTCACTGAGCAGAAGATCTCAACAAACTGGATTGATGAGGCTGCTGATACGCGCGAAGACCTTCTTTGGAGCATGCTGCAGCTTTATGGAGGTGATTCTTTTGATCTTGCTGTCGCATTTGCTCCAGAATCCGTTTCTGGAAATCCCATCGATGCAAGGCTTAGCTTCCAGCTTATCACTTTGTTTCAAGCGCAGAATGTTGGTGTTGCGGCAGATCTCGGACCAGAAACCGTTGATTCACTTGCGTCGACTTTTGCTGCAGATCTGGCTACAGGCATTAAGGCAAACCCATTTGCTCTCGTCTCAGCAGTTTGGGTACTATTGCATCTTTCCGACGCGAATGCGCGAAAAGCCGCAATATGTTCGCTGTTAGATCAGCATGCGTCGTTGATCGATGCACCTGACGGTAAAATATTTTCCGCTTTGCGCGAGATCCGCATACCCGAGAAATGGATATATCTGTCGAAAGCTCTTCATGCCCATGCCGTGACCAAAGACGCTGTTGCGGAAGCGGAGAATCTACTTGAGGCTGGTGAGTGGGAACAGGCGCATGAAGTTGTCTGCCGCACTGTTGGACCTGTCGCGGTCATCGAAAATGATTCAGACCAACTTCGCGAACTGCTTGGAGGCCTTCACGATCCGGTTTGCAAGGGCAGCATCTATGCTGAGATATGGGACAGGGGAGCTGGTATCTATTATGACTTCGTCGAGATGCGTGACCTTGAGACTCAAAAGGGTCAGAGGTGGAAAGAACTTGTCTCCAAGCTTGCAAAAGCACTTCAGCGAGTTAACACAGAAGGTGCTTTGGAAGGAAAAGAGCTCAGAGAACGCGCAGCTCTACAGATCATGGGCAATGTTGTTGCTGGGTATTTGGCGGATGGTCAGCTACGGGATGGAAGTGAAAGACTGAAGGTGCCTTTGACGGAAGATAAATATCTGATGCATTCGAGAGCTCTCGGCTTGGAATATTTCAAGGCGTTAGCGGCGACTTCTTGAAAGTTCTAAGCGAATTGGACGGAGGTTGTTTCATGCGTCCTGCATATCGTCGAGCTTTACGACCAATTTGCACATATTTGTCATACTTGTGCGTAAAGATTGAAGTGTAGTAAAAGTGGCTATTAAGCATCAGCGTAGTGAGACTGGATCAGAAAAAATGTATAGTACTAATTTGCATTAATTCTTGTTGTCATGAACGCCTAGTGATTCCCTTTGTTGATATGTCTGGTTTAGGTTACCATTTGTTCTGGTGAGGCAGCTTCAAGCATCAAGAGCTTGGGGTCTTGGGACACTGCGCAGCCACGGAACAACGATCCTAGATCTCAGTCGAGGGTGACATGTTGGCACGTAAACAGAAGTATCCAAAGATTCATGGTTCTACGGATAACATACGCATGACTAGCACTATGCTGGCACTCAGTTGTGACTTTGGATGACCTCGTGCGGCTAAAGTTTGAACACATTGTGAGGTTTGTGTTAATGGATGAACTTTTATGATCATATGTTCGACCATGCGGATTCTCAGATGCAGACACAGCTTCCTGAATACAAATTCCAGTTACGGCTTTCAGTCACTGCAATGAATGTAGTGAATGAATCAGCGATTGTCACTCAAGACTGCTCTAAAAGGATATTTAGATGTCAATCCAGTTGGTCCAGCTGGCAGACATCTCTAACACCACACCCCTCACCAGTTTTGCGCACTTTTTAACTCAATCACAAACGGAAGTCAGTCAACTACTATCTGCCAAGGACATCATATATGAACATACCCAAAATGCAGTTTCGCTTAGCATTTGGCGCCGCTGCGACCATCATCTTCTCTCATACCTGGGCGGTGTTGACCGCCGCTCACACTCTTGCAAATCATACTGAACTTGAAAATCTCAGGCTCAACAACGGAGCTCTAGACTCAAGATGGATCTACCTCTGCACAGATTACAAGTAAGTGTTATCCGCAAGAATACCGCGTCGCTCATTGGGTACTTGCAGCTTCGGGGGGGCGTGTCAGCTCTTTGTAATCGACAACGGCAGATGTATGCCTGTCAATGTCATGGCAAAATCAATCAGGCAGGACGAGACAGATCCCGTAGAATGCCACTTGTACGCCTCTTCTGGTTGCAAAGGCTACACTCTTCCATGCAGTGGTGACTGCGGTACTTTGTTCGTCTTCGACAACAACCTGCGATCCATTCAATGCTTCTGGTAGAATCTATGAAGCATATTGCCTTATCCCGATGCGGACAGTTGAGTCGATTGAGACTTGGTTGCTTTCGACGCCGTCATGATGGCACAGCTGAAACCAAATTATGCCAGGCTTGAGTTCGAGCAAGACACTTCAATATTGATACATCATATTAACTATGCTGAATCTTTGAGGGCAGCAACGATGCAATGAGCGGGGAAAAAAGTGATCAGAATGATCGCATGGCTGGACAAAGGGAAAGTGCGATGACAACAATGGTGTTCTCTGTGACATCGGCTTCCTCGTAATATGAAACTTTGCGACGGCTACCTATACTTGAATGGCCTTATCCATTCTTTCCTACAAGTATTACAAACCGTCACTGTAACAATCAAGTCGACTACGAAAAGATGTTCTGCCAACGTTGATTGCCTTCAATTCCATCGGTGGGGCTTTACATTTATCTTGCCTGCTAAAGAGACATCAAGTCATGAAGTTCTCCAATCACTACGTGCTGTAACCACAAGATCAATCTGTTCTAGCAGTTAATACCACTTGTCTGGTACTGGGAACGAGATCGTTGCGTTTTCCATTTTGATGCCGACGTTGTATCTCGGTATGTTTGGCCAAAAATTCGGGAAATACTCGTCGCCTACGGCGTTGAATCCCGAATCGCCGACTTCATCACCGGCGCCTTGGTACATGTCGAATATTCCCGGAGTTGAAAAGTCTGAAGACATCCCAAGCAATGTTTCTGCCCACTGTGTCGTGCCCGGTAGCTCGCCGTAGCTTCCATCTCCGGCCGGAAGAGGAGCTTGAATCAAGGGTGGACTTAGACCAAGGTACCGAAGAATATCAGTGTTGATTGGAAGCGGAATCGTTGGGGTAACGGGTGAGAAGCTCGCCTGGAAGAAGGGCAATGTAGCTGGAGTCGATTCATGTGGATCACCCGTTGTATCGTAGGGGTATATCTTTACTGAACTGCTTCCATCGGTATTGTCTGTCCACACGAATTTAGCTAAATGCTTAGGGATGTTCCAGTCTGGAAACAAGATCAGTCAGCATGGATTAGGAAGCTTTGGGAGCTGTAAGAACATACTGACTCTTCCATTCCAGTTGGTGTACTTTTGACTGACATAGAATCTAGTTCCTCGAATGGAAGCCTTTGGAGTCCTGCTTCCGTCCGAATTCGTCTTTATATATCCGAAAACGCCAGGGATGATTGATAATTCATCGTATGGTCCAACAGGAGTGTCCGTATACCTGACAAGCAATATAGCACCGGTCAAACCAAGAAATGTGCCTTTTGTTGCAGTGCTGTTCTTCTCCAGTGGAGAATATGCCTTCGAGGGAAGCTTTTCGAGTGGAATGATAGGAAATGCATACGCCGAGGCTTTCAGAATCCAAGGCGGTGGGGCAGGTATGATTGGCTCTGGTGAATCATTTGTACAGGTGCCGCAAGGCCAAGGGCCTTGGGCATCGGTAAATGTGAAGAGAGAAATGGCAAGCGTAGCTCTTATTAGACGCACCATTATGTTTTAGCAATGAGACGAGGAAAAAAATCGAAGTTGGAGCAGACCTAACGTGATCCACCACCATGTTGAAGCCCCTCACCCATATATACCCGAAATCTTATGGACTGTAAATTCAGAGACTTCTACCATGATGTGAGAAGCCTGGCTCGAGACCATAAGCGAGAAGGCACGACGTCAGACATTGCCAAGCAAAGTAGACTAGCCGACAGGCTATAAGTTACGTAGGAGAAAGAAGGAAGCGTGGGAGCCACTGTGGTGAATACCAGGATGCATTGATTCTTCCATGATCAAGCCATGAGGCAACACGTGAAATGGCGTCTGCAATACCTCATGTCAGAACCAACGTGCCATGGGGGTTCGGTTAAGGCAATGTTAGCGAACAGGGAAGATCGGGTAACAGCGTGCTGTTCAGCTAAGTTCGGAAGCACAGGCTGAATACGAAGATGACACTGTTGGAACACACACATTAGGGAACATTGAGCAATGCAAGATCCTTACGGAAGCAACCCTATCAAATAGACTTCCTTGCGTTTCTCAGACTGAATTTTGCGCTCATAATTTGCCCAAATGTCCTGCCGCATCAAAGCTCGTGCCATTAGATGGTTTGGGTGAGTATCTCTCAAGCATAAGACAGTTGTCCACAAAATGTAGCGATACTTTTATCTCGAGGTAAATGGTAGGTTAAGGGAAACTTCAGTTCTTTTAGTCTTGCGGAAAGACCGGCCGGACCGGCCGTTGCCTCCGCCTGGAAGACGGAGGGGTGGTATTGGCTGTGTTGCCGATCGTCGCTCAACGAATGATTGGGGCGAACCTGACATCACGATACTGCTTGCTTGAGCGGACGACGGTAGAAGACTCATCGCAATCAGCCTCGCGTTGCACAGCAATGTGCTATATTCGCTGTGAGTGCGGCGTAATATGGTTAAATGACACTTAATCCTGGCGTTCGGTGGGATTGTCACAATGACGACTTGGAGTAATGAAGACCTTCCGCCTGCTTTTGAGGATGTCGTAGATGTCTCAGCAGTTATCACTCTACCTCCACTAGACGGCAGCGACGACAATGACGATCTGGCATTTAGGACAGAGAGCATCACACAAAACGATCCAACTATCAGCACAACGAGAACTCTGCTTGACGAAGAGGTGGATGATGCTGAAGAACCTCCCGGATATGGTCAGGAAACTGGCCTTCCTCAACTGCCCGGCTACGCAGAGCGACATCTGCTCGAACCTGTGGTGGCATACAACGTGTACCAAATCAATCGCAGGCTGCAGGTGCTTACGCCGGCTACTCGCGCGACTTTCTCTCGTCCACGATACAGAGTCACAGCGCGGCTCGGACCCGCGATGTTTTCGAAGAAGGCCGACTTTACGTTGACGAGGCTGCCGACTGGCATTGCCGCCGCAACGGAAAACTCTCCAGGCAAAGACGTGGGATTCGCTCGCTTTGACAGAGCAGGTCAACTGCCATGGATGCCTCGAGCTACCGTCGAGCTTGTGTGTGGGGACGTCAGCGGCTCGAACAAGCTGACTTACGACCTGTACGCACCGAACTTTGCGGACTGGAGGTTTCGCATCAATAACGAATTGTACTATTGGCATCTTACGGATAGGCCTATCGCGCTATCCTTGATGGAAAACAGTTCTAACAGCGTAGTGGCGCGCTTCACGTACTCCAAACTTGGCACCGATGCAAATCGTGGCGCTGAAGTCGGAACGTTTAGTATCTTTGGCGGGCATAGAAGTGGCGATACGGAAACGGTTGAGCTCGTGCTTAGTTCGTGGATCATTGCCGTCAACCATTGGAAAAATATGGGCAGGCATTATAGGAACTCGGACGCTGCGCCGACAACGACGGTGCGAAACTTTAGTACTGTGGGACCGGTTGGGATGGGCAGCAGCTTCTTTGCAAGAGACGGCAGATCATCTGGACCAAGAAGAGCAAGTAACATCGTCTGAGATGCGCGATTATCATGGGCTGCTTGGCGTTGTAGGTGAAGTTGGTCAAGACGGTGTTGTCGAGGTGCAGAACTGCGACGATTTTGTCTCGCTTTGAGATGGCTCAGCTCTCGCGTTCTTGTGAACGAGGCAGATGGCCTAGCGAACGCTTGCGAAGAATTCAATCATATTGCTGTCTTCGTGATGGTTACTGTCCGAGTCCGTTTCCTGTTTCCACGTCTTCAAAGGTGGGAAGTTCTTTGTGAAAATGGGTCGCGTAGCCGGCCGCCAGCCTTGCCCAGAACGCCACGCAAATGCGTCGCTGCACCTCGACTGGCTGCATGCGCATCCCCGAACAACTTCCACTCCAAGTTTGCGAACTACAGCTCTAGGAGCATCTTTCTGGAAGTATCTTTTTTATGCATGATGTAGCATCCCTATGAAAGAATCGATACACGGCGCATGCGTACAGTATGGCGGCAATCAAAATTCCATTCTTCCAGATCTGGTACTCGTCGGCTTTCCTCATCATCGTATTTCTCACCTGGGTAGCAACCTTGGTGTCACCGACCGACCTGGTGTACAGTTGCATCAGGATCAAAAACGTACCCAACGGCATCGCGGTTGGCGCCATCTACATCGGGACGCTGCTCGTCGCGCTCTTCATCTGGTCCTCTCGCATTTACACCAATCGCGCCACGTTAAAGGAGATCCCACGATGCTACATCCCCGTCGACAAGGGCGAAGTGCCGCGCAAAGTACACAAGATGATAAAGAAGCAGTGGGAACGCAGTGCCATTGTCGCGTGGGACTCGCGACCCCGAGACATAAGGGAAGAGCTGACGAGAATGGCGCACGAGGATGACGAGACGAGGCATGGCTTCGCTGGGCTGCTGAAGGGCCACGCGAAGAAGAGGACTGAGATCCCGCCCGACGTGGCGCTGGCTGCTTGGGGTCATATATCACACCCTGGATGGTCGAGTCCGTCGGACGCAAAGTTGCCCAGCCTGGAGTACTACCGTGTGTTTGTGGAGCTACCCAATCTGATCGAGGCGAAAGCTGTCAGTCTCGCACCTCCCGATCCGGCATTTTATCAAAACGGACTGGTAGAAAGCGGCATTACACCCATTCCTGATGCAAGGGTTGTCGCTTTGCTTCAGAGACCGGCGACTCAAGGCTTGAGGGAATATCTCGCACGACTAGCTGACTTCAACCTCGTCAATCCTCCTGATGCCGCAGAGGACTTCCTCGCACAGTATGAAGCGGCGCGGTTTTCCACTAGGCCGCTAACGGAATATCAATTCCAAAACCTAATGACGGCTTTCTCTGCACTCCTTACTGGAATGACTGACCTGGACGTTGCTGCGGTCGAGATGGAGCTGGCGTCCTCGTCTTCCGCATCCAGCCTGCGAACCTTTACGACGAGCTCAGAGTCTCTCCCTCCCGTTCCTTCCAACCGACTCTCTGCGCCCTCTTCCCATGTAGGCACTGTTCAAACCGCGCTTTCCCGTGCAAGAACACCCAGCCGGCTACACCATGCACCATCAGGAAGCTCTCTTGGGTCGGTGATTAGATCCAATTACGGTGGTGGATCGGCACTGCGTATTTCATCAAGCAATCCGTCGTTGAGATCGAACGGCTCCGTCATTAGACTCAATCCGTCTCCACGTCCGGGTGATGAGCCCTACGAGTATGTGTACGACGAGGGCTAGTGTCTGCTGCGTGTCGCACCTTCCAACTGCAGTGACAGTCAAGCGCATGTCACGTAGCGCCGAAGGCGCCATAATTTTGTTGTCCACAACTAGACGCATATATTTTGCAACCGACATCGCGGTTGCGATATCATTCGACCGAGTCTTTCTCCAGCTTCAGGATCGACACACATTACTCGCATTGCTGGCTTGTCTCTATTCACTGCAACTACCGAAGCAAGGTACTACAGACTCCAGCTAAAGCACCTTCTAGCTAATCTAGTATAAACAGGCTAAGACAACAGCACCGAGCCGCTTGCACATTCGTTTGAAACTGACGACGTCCTCGTTGCTTGATCATCGACAGACGCTCTGCAGCTGCGCACTTGCCAAGGGGATTGCATAGTCTCCTTGTCAGTATCTCTATATGCTCTATTGAAGACTAAAAGTAGCCTAAAACAGCGTGGCCCCGACTAGACAGTCAGCGCTTGGCTGCCTAACACCCCCGTTTGTCTTCAGCATCTCGCACCGAAGCCTCATCTGGATCCACAAATTGTGAAGTTTTGATCAGCGGCCAATCGCCGAATTTGGCTCGTATCATTGTACGAGCTTTCTGCTCTCACTCAGACGTCATGGCAAGTGCGAATCTGGAGTATAACAAGCTGTACATCGTCTCCCAAAAGGAATACATCAAGCTCATCGGGCTCACGTCAGGCCTCATTATTGAATACCACAAGAAGCTTGACAACTACTGCAAACGCCGGGAAGAAAAGATGATGCTGCTCGTCAAGATCGAGTCGGCGCGGAGCCGATACCTGCCCACAAACGCCAGCCCTCGAATGCGCCGACGGTGGCGATGGCGAAGGCTCCGGCTCAAGATCGAGCACTTTTTCCGCTTCGGAGATTTCAAGAAGGTGGTTTCATGGCTTGAGAGGATCGCTGCTCTGGTGATGCTCATGTACGGCTGGGGATGGGTGTGCAAGCTGGCGTGGCACGGCCTGTGGGTAGGTCCGCAGAAACTATGGGCAGAAGCGAGGGAATTAGTCTAGCAGCTATCGGCGGGCTTGAGGATAGTTTAAGCCTTGTACGCTTAGTTCATAGCCCCCGCGCTCGTGTCTTTCAACTGTGTTCTCCTCGCATTGCCACCTCATACGAGTTAGTTTGCAACGAGCCGATCACGACGGTCACGCAGCTACTCAACTAAGCCGAGAACCATATATATGCATAGCATTCAACGTCATTATAGGAGTGTACATGATCAACGCCTCATATTCCAACATCAAAAGAGTGCGCCGCGGGATGACTGACCCACTCGCTCAAAATGCAAAACCTAAATTTTCCCTTGGTTCATATGTTCTTCAGTTCGCACCGCCGTAACGCTCGTTAAATGCATTGACCGCCACAGCGATCATCTTGTACAACCAGTTCCTGCTCTCCTCCTCGCCGACAGGCAGGAACGGTCCACTAACCCCGCCCTTTAAGAAAATGCTGATGCCTGTCCTTTCCTTGCTAATGGTCTGGATGTCCTTCAGAGGCACGTCCCATTCGCTTTGTAACCGCTTTGTTTTGACGAGGAGAATGTTGCTGTAGGTAACCATGACCATAAGATCGCGACCTGAAAGCTCGAGATGTGCGATGTAGTCCTCGTTGAAGTACTTTCCGCTGTCGAGCGTCTTCAGCCAGAATTGGCCGAGAGCTTCACGCTGGCTATATGGTCTGACGATGCCATCCGCACCAATGAAGCGAGTTAAGCGGACTCGGTCAAGACCTTCCTGGTCGAAGACGGTCGTGGTGTTTCGAACGCCCTCTGCCATGTTCGAGGCAAGATCAAAAGCACCGATCGCCGGCTTGGTAGCGAGTCCAATGACGCCTTTGGCCACCCCTTTGGCAAAGCCGAGAGCGCCTTCCTTTTCGGCGCCCTGAAGTGGATGACGTGCCAGTCCTCCAATGCCGCTGGCCAGCGACTCTGCAAAGGCATTGCCGCCAGATGTAATACCATAAAGCGCGTGCTTGGGTCTGTTCCTTGCCCGGGCCATTCGCCTCCTGTCTTGGAACTCTTTGTCCATGGAAGCAGCAGCAAGGCCTTTGCTCACTGAACCCGTGAACTTGGCCATCGAGTCTGAGAATCCAAATATGCTCTTCTTAACGAAGCTGCCTGCGCCTTTCGCGATTCCTAGACCCAGATCTTGGGGCCTGTCTGTCATCACAAGGCCTTGGTAAGGCTCATAGAAGATATCCTGTACTCCGGAGCTCAAATTGTTGAAGAGCCCAACTGGATTACCAAGGAAATCCGCCGATCCGATGACCACGTGAACCTGCCGAAGAGACTCCTGGACATAATGTGTCTTAATGTTGTTGTACAGCGTTGCGGTACTGACCCGTGCGTTCTCCAGTAGGAGCGCGTTAAACCGAATGGGAGCATCGTTCACGTTGCCGATACTCATGGTCACGACGTTGACGAAGAACATCAACGGATTGCCACCCAATGTGCTTTGCGCCTCTTGCTCCGCGTTAATTCGCTCTGTGCGTACGAAGGAAATGTCGAACTGCATTGGCTGCAAGTGTAAAAGTTCGAAGTAAATGTCTTGTCCACTCTGCTGCTGGGTGGGTTCGGGAAGCTCCAAAGTCTCGTCGCACAATTTACCCTCTTTGGGCTCAGACCACGAGGCTCCTGGGATCTTGGCGAAGTCGAGAAGTGCAAAGATGAAATCTTCGTCGATTTCTAGAGTCATTTGCTGTAGCAGCACGGTGAAGTACTTGATGTACAGAACCCCGTAGCTGTCGTCCTTGACTCGAGTTACGGCTGCGTGAAGAATGGGGTGCGCCTCCATCTCTTTGCCGGTCTTTGGCACAACAGACGGGTAAAATATGATTGGGAAGATGCCTCCGTACAGTTGATTGTCGAGCTGAATCCATTTGATGGTAGCCTTCAATGTTTGGTAGAGTGGGGAGTCGGAATACTTCAGCTCGATATCTCTCAGAGTCAAATAGACAAGTTCTTTCAGTTGCCTGTTGATCAGACTGACTCCGATACCAGCAAAAGCCAACCGCGCGGAGAAAGTAATATCGGTGTCCAAGTCCTTGACTTCGAACCCGCTCGTGTTACTTTGAGTTGCCGTCTTCTGTCGATACAAGCTCTTGCTCTGTCTGAAATTGGAAAGGATGAGTGTCTGCGTTGGACCGTCGGCAACGATGTTCAGATCAATGATGACGCCTCTTGGATGCTCCTGGCTTGGGGGGATGCGCATTGGCGGTGGGTTGCCAATTTCTGCAAGCTTGACAGCCTTTTCCCTCTTGTTAGCCGAGAGGATGATCTCTTTGCGTTTCGCTGCAGGGTAATCCCAAGCGTAAGGCATAATGCTCCTCGGCGGCAATCTATACCTGATCGGCTTCCACCCGGCAACCTGATCCTCATCGTCTTCGTCAACGTTAGGATTTGCTTGCCAGAACAAGAATTCTTGACTGCTTTCGTTGCGCATTGAGAATGGCCAGTGTTTCGTCTCAACGCTCAAGTGAAGGAAGAGTGTGGCATTCTCCATCAGGATATCGACACGGATGAGCTTTTGTCTTTGTTTGGCTTTGGCCAACTTCACATGAACATGCCCGACATTCGCAATGTCGAAGGGTGACGACCATGCATTGTTGATACCTGGATAACACAGGCTTAATTGATGGTTTGCCGCTTGTCGCAAGAACCTCAGAGGTAGCAGATCGCCATCTTGCATCGTGATGATGTCGCTTGAGCCAGGCTCACGGAGGTTGATCTCTTCTCCAAGCTTGTTCTTGACAATGTATCTTGGAGCGATAGTGACAACCTTTGTAAGGTTGTACTTTCCTTCGCCTTCAGCGATGCTGACGCCGACATCCATCTCCCTTCTTCCACTGCTGCTGGCTAAAGTGACGGCGTATGTGCTGCCGATCGCGTCAAAACTCTGAGGTCTGCTCCAGTCCGAATCGCCGAGCTTGATGAGTGCACGATTCTTCTTGTCGTCTGTCGGAAAGTTGAACATCAACGGTCGAGGCTTCCTTGGCTCGTCTCCCTCGCGCGCCGTGAAAATTCCTTGACCGGCCGCAGCACGAGTACCGCCCAAGAACGTTTTTGAGCGGATGTCAAGCTCCAGACCTGTTCGGTTCAAAATTATGTACGGTGCGTACACGGTGACCATGAAGGCTCCACCTGAATCCGGTATGGTGAAGTACTGCAACTTCAACCGTAAGTTGAGATCGTTTCTGTCTTTTACGACCATGGTTCGCTCGCGCTTGAAATTCTCGCGGTCGCTGGAATTGATGATCGTGAACTCGCTAGCCCTGAAAGGCGTGTCTTGCATGTCCACGCTGAGCATGAGAAGGTGGGTGAGCTCGACAACATGAACAGGACTGACGCCGCCCTTGCGCAAAAAGTTCTTCCAGTCCTTCTTCGTGTTTTGGTCGAACATGCGGTACTGGAAGTCAAACGGAAGCAGATTTTGAATCGTTACCGGAGCGTGAAGGCGAATACGCATGTATGGATACGACCTGCCAATGCGTTAGTACATCTATAAAGCCACATTAAAGCAGGCACTCACTTCGTCAAAGGATTCTTCTCGTCCAAGGCGGCATGCATCTGGAAGTAGAACGGTGGACTGTCTTCTCCGTCATTTTCATGCCTACAAGTCAATGTTCGCGTCCGGCGCTTTAGCAAGTCGCGCCAAAACAAGCGCTCTCTACACCACGTGTAGCCAAAGCCTTGATCTGGCCGCACGATGAGGGAGTGCATGTATGCCGCTCCTACTGGTGCTGGCCGGCCATCGCCGGGTGCAATTCTCTCGATTTTGAGAATATTACCAGCCTCTGGATCGAAGACGCCAACCTCAACGGGGATCTGTGTGTTGTTTTCCACTAGCAGAGGACTGCGGAACGTGATATACTTGATGTTGTCCGTTCCAAGCTTGACCTCGACGAGAAGACGATGCTGAATCTTATCCTTCTTCGGATACAGGTTGTACATCTTTTCACCCTCACGGCTGACGGAAATCTTGTCGACGCTGTTGAAACCGCTTCCTTCAAGCTTGATACCGAGACCTGCCGATGCATCCTCGGAAGTCAACGTCTCGCGGGTCGTCATGGCGTCTTCGAAGCGCCATGGAATCTCTTGACCATCCTCAAGTTTAGCCGCCGATCCTTCGTCGTCTCCCTTGCTTTCGGCCCATATGTTTACGTCAAAACCGGTGTGATTTCGAATGCGATATGGTGCGTCCATGCCGCGCGGCTTCGACAGCATATCTTCGTCGCTGGACAAGAAGTCGAAGGACTTGCTGGCCAGCGCAATTGTGGCAGACGTCAAGGTGAGCTCGAGATTTTTCTTCGAATAGAACTCCATGGAAAGCTTATCGGGATTCGTGTCCTTGCTCATGTGGAAGCCCACGCTCCAAGGTTCAATCAGCGGCTCCCAAGCGGACTTCGAGAAATTGTAGACGTTGAAAAAGGTGTCGAGACGCGTGTCCGCCGACAGGTTCGACGACCAGTCTCTCACGTCGATGTTGAATTTCTTAACACTCCAGTCTAGCATTGGCAATTCATGCTTGTCGCCAATGAGCACCACACGAATGCCGGCCATGGCAACCTTCATTTCCTCACGAGTGATGATTGCTGACCCAGGGCCCGCGGTTTGCGACGGCGGTAAGGACTTCTGGGATTTTGTCGTGGCGATCGTTTTCGCGCCCGGACCTTGGCTTGTACTTGCGGGTTTGGCAGATGACCTCCTTCGTGACTGGATCGATGTACCACCTTTGGTCGGAGCGAGCTTTTTCGGATCCTGGTGTGGCATTGCGGCATCTTCATCACTGGACATTGCACTCGCGCGGTTGAAAATTTGCATTGCGAGCAGAATATCACGCAGTGACAGACGCAACACGAGCGGTTCAATGTCCACATTGACGCTCGTCAAAGAAGAATCCTTGCCTTGATTCCGCATGTCGAGACTTGTCTGCACGCTAAAGTCATCTAGGATACGGAGACGATTGGTCTCAAATCGGTCCATGCGACACAAAAACATTCCAACCTTATCAACTTGTAATGTCATGGCATGTTGCTTGGCAACAAGCACCTGCTTTGTGCCCAGTACGATTGCCTCCGAAGTTGTGATGGCGGGGTTGGCGATAAGGACGACCTGCGCATCGACAACGTTGACTCGGAAACTGACGTCCATGGCATTTTGGTCCGGCTGTGGTTTGGACACGGCTGGAACCTCAGGCTGTTGAACATTGCCTTTGGATGGCGCACCGTCACCCGAGTGTTGTGTTGACACACTTCGTGAATCATCTGCATCCGTGGCATGATCTTCGATATCGAGAGGGCCTTCCACGGCGAGACCGCGATCAAGCCAACCCTTGAGCGCGAAAATGTAGTCGAGGGAGAAGATCATGCGTGGGCTATCGATGGTCAGTAATGCCACCATGCTTCTTTCCTCGCCGCCGGAAATTGAGACGCTGGCCATGAATTGCTGCTTGACGTCTGTGTTGATCAAGCTCATGATCTTGCGGAACTTGTTTGTTCCCTTTGACCTTGTGTCGCGGATGCTCAACGACTGAATGAGCAATTCGGACTCCAGGGCGCCGTCGCTTATCATCCGTAACTTGACATGCGTGTGGTTAAGAGAAAATTGCGACAAGCTGTGAGCTTTGACATCGCGGATCGGCTCATTCTCCTTGCCCTTGATGAGTTCGAGGCCGATCGATCCCACTTTAAAGACGAGATCCAGCTTCGTCCATGTGTCTTCGCTAGACCCAAGCTCAGGTCCAAGGCTGGATGTTGAGAATCGTTTCTCTTCGTTCTTATCCTTGCCTTTGGCTTCCTGTTTGCTTTCCATGGCCTTCTTGGCCGGAATCACCGTCTCGTTCTCGAGCTCTTCTTCCACCTCGCCTTGCACATCTTCGTCGGGTTCAGTGGCAAATGCCGCCGGAACGGACTTGCTCAACTCGAGAGCGAATTGCATCTGCTCTTGTGTAATCTTGAGGTTGAGATCCGATAGGCCGCCTTCAATCTCCATGTCGGGTCGCATGTAGCCCTGTTTGTGCTCCACCATGTTGATCTTGAACTTCAAGTCCAGCTTATCGATCATTTGCAGCTCTTCCGATTCGCCTCCGTCGTAATGGAAGAGTGAGAGAAGACGCACGTTACGGATGCCGGCGACAATTTGGTTTGCCTGGTCAGCTGCTTCGGAGTCGTCGAGGGCTACAAAACTATTGCTGGCGTAGATCTCGCCGAGTTCAGCGGTCAGTGTGTCGCGCTCCGGTTCGTCGGTCACGACCATTCGAGGGAACACGACAATCGGCGTCCTTACTATCACGTCAAAGTGCATCTTGCTTGCTTTTTGCTGCAGCTGGTTCGCCTGATTCGCAGCAGCCTGGCGAGCAGCGTTGAAGATGGCCTGCATCTTGCCAAACTTGACTCCAAAGTCCATGATCTTGCGGAACGGTTCCGTGACAAAGTTGACCTTGAGCGAACCGGCCCTGAGGAAGATGGAGGTGTCGTAGCCTGGATACGACTCGGCAGTGTCATCGTACGTCTCATACGAGAATTGAGCGAGCTCATCACCCTGAATGGTCACGAGCCGTCGCAGATTCGATTTCTCGGAGACACCCTGGTTGACATCATCGATGAGTTGCAGATCACCAAGATGAGCGCCTATCCGCATCTTTTTGCCCATTAGGAAAACCGAGACGTTGGCGGTGTTGAGGCCGAGAGTTGCGAGTCTAATGCCGTCATTGTTCAGTATGACCGCGATTCGCTTCAAGTCTACTTTGACCCGTATCTTATCGGCGTCTTGTGGACCGGAGGTTTGCACCTGCTCTTCGGCAGCAGATTCAGATTCCGATTCGATCGGCTTCGGCTGTTGTTCAGGCTGCTCAGGGTTCGTGAAGGTCAGCAAGACGAAGTCCAGCAAGGTCAGCAAAGTCCGTCTCGTCACGATAAAATTGATGGTCGAGACTTGGACGTCAAGATTCGTGGCGATCCCTTCGTACTTGGGCAAGAACTCCGGGCTGTCCTGGTTGACCTTGACGAATCTGAGCTTGAACAAGTCTTCTCCGGCAACCTTTTCGGACTCGATGATGTTCTTGAACTCGGGCAGAGGCTCGTCTTCGACATGATCAACCACTGCAAGCGTTCGGAGCCGCACTTCCGCCGCCATATCAAAGGGTCTTTGGTAGAAGTCAAGCAGGAATCCCTCCGCAACGAGCTCGACGAGCAGTTGATCTCCCCTCTTGCCATCCGGATCTGCCTTGAACAGCGATCCCTGCAATTTGTCGACCGTGAACTTGAGCTCGAAGTTTTTCTGGTCAATCTGAACCTGCGGCTGCGCCCTGCCCTCGTTCGCGTCCGTGAACTCTTCGTGCTCTCCCGAGACGCTTTCTTCTTCCACGACGATCTCGTGTCTCTGCGCGGCGAATGTGAAGGACTCCCTCCGATCCTCGGTCTTGCTTGGTTGCAGAGACGCGCGTGATTTCGATTTCCCCTCGTCCTGTTTCGGGGGGCTGTCGTCGTGGAATTTCGGGATAGCGAAGTCAATCACCTTCATCAGACTCTTGTACTTCTGGTCGCTTATGCTGGCGTGTAGCACCGGGAGGTGCCCGGAGACCCGGAACTTGGTTAGACTGGTGCCTTTCGGCACGATGCATGTCTCAATGAGAAAGTCTACGTTGATCTTGTCGACGAGGTGGAAGTTGGACTCTTTGTTGCTTAGTTTCGCTCTCGTCTCCTCGATTGTGGTGCCTATCAAGACCTGCGTGGAGGTCAGGTCAAGTTTGAACTTGTCATACATCAGGCTCTCGAGCCGTCTGAAGTCCTGATCGCTCAACTTCTCGCGCTGTTTGGACTGGATGTCCTGCAACGTCTCTTTGTCGACCAGCTCGGACTTCACCGAGGCATGACCGGCGTCGATGATCAGGCATATGTTGCTCTTTCTCGTGACCGAGTCGGGAACGATGATGAGCGGGGCGGTGATGTCGAAGTTTGCGTTGATCGTCTTGTGCTCTTCAAGCGCGAATTCAAGACCGGCTCTTGTCTGCGCGCGGATCCCTTCGACCGTCTTGCCGGCCGACTCCATGAGTGCGCCGATGGACTCCATATGTCGTTCCGGAGGCTTGAAAAACTGTACGACACCCACGACGAAAGCTGGATTGTAGATGAACTCCATGCCCTTGAGCTTGAGGTTGAGAGCCGTATCGGCGCTGCCATCGAGAGGGTTGTTTTCAAACTCGAGTTGGAAGAAGGGGTCTTCTGGATCGCTCTCCGGCTCCGCCAGCCTGTCGTCCTCGCCGACGCCATCCTTTGTCGCCTCTTCGTCGTCCTCCTGGAGCTCCTCTATCCGACTGTCGTCCGGTATTTCTGGAGCGCCCTTGATCGTGATCATCTGGGGGAAAAGACTGCCCTTCGTCGTGCCGTCGTACAGGCGCATGCCCTCCAGGCTGACCTTCGCCAGGAACGAGCCGGGCCGTTGCAAGAACTGTGTCTTGAACGAGTCGAACAGCAGCCTGAGGATCTCGGTCTTTGCGCCATGTGGCTCCTTCTTCAGCGTGAAGCTGCCCGTTCGCAGGCTGAGGTCGACCTGCATCTTCACGTACTCCTTCGGCAACTCCACGGCTTCGGCAATCGACTGCTTTTCGTCAAAGTTGATGGCTTCGTACAGCTCCTTCCGCTGCTGGTCGCTCATCTGACCGTCGTCGGCGGCTTCTTCGCGCTGACCTCCGCCCCAGATCCACTGTGACCAGGTCTGCTTCTGTGGCTGCTTCTTGACGCCTACGTTCTCTTTGCGCAATTGATTTCTCGCCAGCGACCGCCAGAAGCGCAAGTCTTCGTACGTGAGCTTGTGCTCGAGCCGGTCCATCTCGGTGGCCTCGTCCGTCGTGAGCTTCTCGTCCTTCTTTTTCTTCTTGAACAGCTCAATGTACCGTATCCGGTCGTCGCGCCGCTCTTTGAAGTAGGCCCACGACCATCTCCTGTTGCGTTCGTGGATCTTGTCCAAGACGGCCTGACCGGCGAATCGCAGCCAGGCCTGAGGATCCTCAAGCGGCTTGCTCTTCGGCTGGTACTTCTTGTACTCCTGATGTCGGATGAAATAGTGGAACAGATCGACGAGCATCAGGGCGTCGCGATACTGGTCGTCGTCGATCACAAAGCCAAGTTCGTCGAACAGCAGCTTTGCCTTCACCTTGGGGCGTTCCAGCTTGCCCGTCTTGTCCATCTCCAGGCCCGCCCGCCCCGTCACCGGCTTGAGGATGAACTGATGCTGGTCGGTCGTCTTGCCTTCTTCGTCCTTGACCGTCAGGGCCTTGAACTTTTCCAGGAACTCGTCATGGTCGATGCCTTGCTGCGAGCCGCTGCCGGAGCCCAGCAGCTTCGCGTCCGTGTCCCAGTACACGGCCAGGCTCTTCAAGCTGGCCAGCTTGTGCGTCGTCGCGCTCGTGCTTTGGATGAACGTCGGCACCCAGTTTTCGTCCGTGCTGACGGCATCGAACCCTTCGAGCGTGATTCCAAGCGCGAAGGGGTGGTCCGGGTTCGAGAGCGCGTCCTCGTACCGGATGTGGATGTTCTTGACGGTGATCTGGACGTTGTCCACGATCGCGGTCACCAGGCTGGACGTGAAGGACTGGTTCTTCTTCTGATCTTCCTGGCTCATGCCCTCCGTGTTTCTCTCCCGCAGCAACTCGGCCGAGTCGAGCTTCTCCATCTTGACGGCGTGCGCCCTCCTCTCCTCCTCGGCGGGATCGACCTCGGCATCCGTCCGCGGCGCGGCAAGCAGGTACACCTCTTCAATGTTGATCTTGACGGGTTTGCCGCGCAGGTTCGACCAGGGGATCGACAGCGTCAACAGGCCAAGATGGCCCTCGACGACGTTGAGCGGCAGCTTGAGCTGGTCCAGAGCTTCGCGCCGCAGCTCGAGGTTTCGCAGCGCGACGTCACCAGACCAGATGCCCACGTTCAGCTGCTTCGGATCGAAGTTCTGGACGTACATGCCCAAGAACCGATTCAGCAGGTTCGCAACGAGAGACTCGAGCATGCTTGCTGCGAGTGGCCGTCACCCAGGCCAGGGACCGACGTGGTGGGTAGTGGCGAGGTCTACTCTTGAGGGGTCGTGTGTTCGTCGTCGCGATATACGTTGTTCGTCAAGGCGTAACGCGCCATCCGCCCGTCGATGGCTTCAAAGGGCAAGTAGAAGGCGTGGTTCTTGGGAGGGAGAGAAAATCTGAGGCAGAACGGTCGGGCTGCCGCGGCGTTGGCAGAGCGTGCGTCGTCGCCGGGCCAGACGTTGGGTGGAGCTTTTAGAACTACAGGATCGCGATGGAAAAAAAAAAAGCGATTACAGCTTCTGCGAGGGAGGCAGTGTCACACGACGGCAATGGCGAAAAAGAAACGACGACGTGAGGATCACCGTGTAGAAGCACACACGGAGCAAAAATCAAAGGAAGAGAGCAAGGGCGTGGAAGGGCGAAGGGTGACGAGGACAGGTCAACAACAGACGTAATGTGCAAGAGCAAGCACGGACAAGCAGGGCAGACTCGTCTCTCGTGCCCACGCAGGGAGGGGCGTTGATTTGGCGTGCGGCTTCGCTGTGCAGCGAACAGGACGGGAGGCAAAAAAGGCGTGCGGCCGCTAAGTGAGTTCCATTCAGCGTCGTCCTGGCCTTTGACGGCAGACGCTTGTCCGTCCTTGATGACGTCGATGCGCCGCAGGGATTCGGCGCCACAGGCAAAAGTGGGCGCGAACGGTCTCGCAACCGCGGTCGCGCCTCACGCTGCCGGGCTTGCTGTGCTCGTCGGCGCCGCAGCCTTGCTCTGGGCCTCGCCCAGCGCTGGCAACGCCCGTCGGAACCCAACGCTGCTCGAGTCGCGCTCTTCTACGTGTTCGCCACGGCGCAGAAAGAGTTCGTCTCAAGATGACCAGCTTCTATTGTCTTGTGTCGCCGCGCTCATCCAAGCCATAAATCATATACAACGACGCTTTCGTTACCGTGCCACGCTGCAAGGACGTACATCGTCAAAGACTGACACCCACCAAAGAAAAAAAAATTGAAAAAAAAAAAGAGAGAGAGAGAGAGAGACGTCGCCGGGCCATGACAGGCCCAGTGCCGTTGCGTCTTCACCAGTCGCCCCACGCCTCGTCATCCTTCTTCTCCTTTTCTGCCGGTTTCCGCCTCGCCATCGCTGCCGTGCCCACACTGCTCTTTGTCTTGTTCGCCTGTTGCGACTTGGCCCTCGCCTCGCCCACGCTGCTGAACTCGTCCCAAAAGTCCTTGCGTTCCGGCTCCACCTTCTTCTTCGCGGCCGCGCGCTCCTCGCCCGCCGCCGCAAACGAGTCCCAGAAGGCTCGCTTGTCGGCGTCGGGCTGGATCCGGCTCGAGTTGTTGCCGTTGGTGTGTGACCCGTCGTCGCCCTCGACAAAGCGGTTGAAGGCCTCGGTGGCGCCCTTGGAGCCTTGCTGGAAGGTGCTGTACGCTGTCGTTCCGAGCGAGGCGGCGGCTGATTGCGCTTGCTTGGCTATGTCGGCCTCGGAGAGCTGTGTTATTTTTTCCCCTCGTCAGCCAGTCCAGAGATCGTATGCGAAAAAAACCATACATATGTATATGTACACATATACATATATATAGCTTCAAGGCGTCTCAAGACGACGACAAACCTTCTGTAGCCCGTCCTTTGCCACCTTCGACACCCCCGCGCTGAACCAGCCGAATCCCTTCGTCAGCGCCGCGACTGGGTCCCGCTGGAACTCCTCCGCGTTCGGCATCCCATAGCTCGTCTGCTTGGCCGGCGGCGGCGGCCAGTCGCTGCCGAACCCGCTGTACTTACCGCCCTGGCTCGGCGGCAAGTCGTCCGGCCGGCTGGCGTTCTCGGCGCCCATGTGCGCGAAGAATGCCTCGTTCTGCGCCTTCTTGCTCATCGCCGCCGTGCCCACGGACGGGCTCGCGGAGCGCGACCCCAGCGCTGCTGCCGCCGCCGACGACGAGTTGCTGACCGTTTTGCTCAGCGGGTTGGGCGTCCCACTGCGGCTGCCCGTCAGAGCCGGGGTCCCACCGGCCTTGGCTGCCGTCCTCGCCGGCGCCGTCTTCTTCGTCCTCTCTCCCGGCACGTATTCCTTGCCCTCCACCTTGGCAGTCAGCCTGTCCTTCCATTCTTCGCCGGCCTCGCTGTCGTATCTCTCTTGGATCGTGCTGTCCTCGAACGTACGTCCCTCGAGCTTGTTGCTCGAGTGCGCGTCGAAGAATTCCTTCCACGGCCGGTTGCCTCCCGCGGCCATGCGTGCGAGCTCATTGCCCTTGAAGGCGTCCATGGTTATGCTGCGAATGAAGGAGATGTGCACGCCGAGCCCGCGGTGGACGCCCGAGCAATTGAGGCACATGAAGATGCCGAATTTGGGCGACGCCTGGAGGACATGTTCATTTTAGCATCTGCAACGTATGCGCCGCATGTGAGCGTAATTGCGGTTGGGGTCGAGGCGTACCCATTGTGGACTGGGAGCGCCACAGTCGACGCAGCTCTTGTTGTCATTCTCCTTTTGAATTTCCAGCAGCTGGTGAAACGCCGGTTAGCTTATGCCGCGTTGAATTGATAAGGAATACTGTCCGAGGGGTGGCACCTTGGTCTTGGTCTCTGGATCTACTTCCCACATGTTTACGGACTGCAGGTGGGCAATGGATCACGGAGGCGGTGTGTGGGGTTACTCTATTGGTGGCTCGAAAGAAATTTCAGAACCTATTCTGCATATACGGCGGACACGTATGAGAACTGAAAGGCCTTGGGAAGAGCTCTTATCATGGTGCGGATAACGTGTTGGGCAATTGTGCGGGTGCGAGCGAAGATGCCGTTTTGTTTGTAGGTCGCACGCACTCATCCAGGTAAGTTCACCAAAGAGGCCCAGCCAACCAGAGCGACACTCGCGCTTAAACTTTCAACCCAAAAGTGCACACACGACAAGCTTGTTCACACTGATGTTGTTTTTTTTAAGCTTCAAGCGAGAGGCAGAATCAACTTTTTCAAAGAAATCTAGAGTCAGATGTGAACTTTTTGGCATTCAATCCAGTTAAAGCGTGGATTCCTCTGTCGAGGGCTATGTCAATACATGACGAAGCGATCCCTCCCATTCCGGACAAAAAACTCCACTCTGAGAGCAAGACTGCCCATTGATTCTCCAATCCTTTATCCGTGTGCGTTATTAAACTGGGAGCAGCTGAAGCCAACTTGAACCACGCTTCCCTTTTTATTGCGCGCCCCTACACCATGCACCAAGCAAAAATGCCAGGCACGATGTTGTGCAAACATCCAAACAGAAGGACTATCCGTTTGTGCGCAATGCAGAAGAAAAAGTTAAAAGCAAATACAAGCCCTCCACTGCTTCCGTGGAAGCAACCCATCGATGCAACGATTGTCATATGTGTACCAACTCATGTCACTTTCGAAATTGAGTAGAACCATCTAAGATATCCCTTCCGTCGATGTGCCATAAGAAAAAGCAAAATCCCAAGAGAAACGCCGATGCTATTGCGAAGTAATGTGTCATGACAGTGAAAGACGTGAACGTGACAAAAAAATATGTGGTTTACAGAGAAAGTTAAGGGGTCATGAGAAACTAGCCCGGGGAGAATCATCCGGATTGACAACCTGTTGGTACGCTTGTTAGCAGACTGCGTCTCTAGCGTGCAGCGGGAAATTTGCCGTACGTACCTTCAACATCCGGCCGTAATCGCGGTGATCATCTAGCGTGGTGAGGCTGGCACGGCTACCATTGTCAATAACCATCAATGCGTTTGGATTGAGTCGTTGATCGTATACGATCGGTCGACTATGCCGCTTGTCTGAGTTGGGCGTCACCGGGCTGACGGCATCGGACGACGACATATCCAGCCCATTGTAGGAGCTCACTCTAGTTGCAATGGTGGGAGGATAAGCTCTGTCTAGCAGCCCAGCCTTGCTATTTGTGCTGGCATTGCGATTCAGATTTGACGGCGAGGACGGGTTGTCGTTTATATCGCCAAATTTCTCGTTCTGATGATTCAGTCTGCGGCGGCGCCAGACAAAGAAGATGACTGCCGCAATAATCACGACGCCGAACACGGAGGCTATGACCGCTGCAGCAATCAAGCCACCCGACATGTTCGAGGTCTTCTTCTGTTGACCGCCGAGGAGGGCAGATGAGCCCGTCGTAGGAGTACTCGTCACCGTCTGGGTGACCATGCTTCCGCTGACAGTGACGACTTGAACGCTGGTGATCGGCGATGAGGACGAAGCCGGCACCTTTAGCAAAAGAAGTTAGTCAACGGTTCGAAAGTAATGTACACTCGAAGCCAGGAGATGGAGATATAGTAGAGGGGTTGGACCCATACTTCTTGACTTTGAGACGACGACGATGACGATAACGAAGTAGGAAATACATTGTCAGTGGTAGTCGTCCCTCCGCTGGAGAGCGGCTCTTGAGACGACGTGAACAAAGATGAAGAAGAAGTCGGTCCGGCCGAACTTGTCTGCAATAATCTTGTTAAAAAAGCGCAGCAAGCATGGCGGGCAGAGCGCGTACAAGAACGAAACGTCAAGACGGATCACGGTCGCAGGAGCAGATGGCGGGCGAATGAGGGAAATACGAGAGGGAGGAAGGGCACGTGGAAGGAGGCGTCATTAAAGAGCGCGGGAAAGAGATACGAAAACTCGAGAGATCAGGAGATAAGCTCAAGAAGAGCGTTGAGAGTGCGAAGGAGAAGAGAAAGTTAAAAAAGCGGAAGGGGAAAAGAGCGAAAACAAGGAGGGAAAAAAAAATACTGACCGATGTCTGTCCAGTGCTAGAGGCGGCCGAAGCAGTGCCCGACGCTGCGAGGTTCAACTTTATGTAGCCATACAGACCCTCCGACGTGTTGCCACACGTGTCGGATGGATATCCAGGACAGGGCGTATTGCACGAGCTTGTCGAGGTTTGCTCCTGGGGAATATAGTTCGAACACCAACAGTTCTCTCCTTGAAGGATGGCGAAGGCGTAGCTGGATATGCAGGTGTCGTGGCATTTGCCCATCGACATGTAAATGCTTTGTACTGTGGACGGGAGTCAGCATGCTGAGCTGCATGAAAACGGTGGTGCGGCGGCTTACATGCGACATCACCAGCAGTGTTCTGGGAGGAACAGTAGGCATTCGACAGAGCCTCGACGGAGCGAGCTGCGACGAAAAAGGAGCATAACAGCGAGCTCAGCCGCCATTTCCATGTGCTGGCCATCCTGCGCAGATGCCGAGGGGAGCTGAAGAGAAGGAAGCAAGACGATAGAAGACGAGGGAGAAAACAGCCGGTGTGAGCTGTCTAAGTCTGCCCCGTTGCTCGGAACGACACCCAAGGTTGCAGCTGCGTGCAACGAACTCTCTACTGCTGCTGCTGCTGCACAGCGAGCAAGATCACCCAACAGATGAAGAGAGTGCGTGCAGCGGGAGGCGGCAAACGCTACGAGCAACCGCAACCGATACGTGAATGCACCGGTAGTCTCGTGCAAGCTGTGTTGCGGCTTGTTCGACCGAGAAATGGGTGTGAAGGTCTGCAACGAGGTGTAACTTGTCCTCGGCGTGCGTCACTGGAAGAAGCGTCACGACAGCGGGATGACGCGCAATTGATGCTCGACTGGTGTTCAACAAGCCGCGGAAGGGACGTGTATAGGTGCCGCAAAGGATCGGATCGTGATGTTGCAGACCAAACTGCAGACGGGTCGTGGTAGAGGAGGGGGGGTGGGCGGACGGAGAGGGGGGAGGGTGATTCGGCGGTGTTGACGCTCTTCTCTCGCTCTCGCTTATCTCTCTCTCTCTACCGGCGGAACATGGATGGCATGGTCAAGCAGCAGCAGATGATAACCGACTAACACCTGTTGCAAGTGTAGCCAGTGTATGCAAAGGAGCCTGCTCCGCAAGGATGTGTGAAACGAAGACAACAGAAGAGGAGGAGTGGTGGTGGTGATGGTGGTTGGAAGTGGAGGTTGGGTGATAAAGAGAGAACGTGGGATGCGAGGAAAGGATCACAAAGAACCAGCAAAGAGCAGAAAGGCTGGGTCGGACTCGCAAGAGCCCAAAACCTTATTATTCCAGCTGCCGCTAGTGTCGCTTAGCGGTAGATGTTCAGCGGCTTGATCTACACTCGCAGCTTCTTTGGGCCGACCCCCTGGCACAGGACGAGCGATTCTGTCGATGGTCGAGTGGGCATGGGACAGCCCGCGGCAACGGCAGCAGGCCCACGGCCGCTGTGGCGGACAGTCAATCAGATGCCCACTCTTCTCTCGGATGCAGAGACACAGAAACGACGAGAACGTGACGGAGTGTGCTTTCGACAAGGCTCCTCCACGTCCGCGGACGACGACACGCCAACCAGGGGACAGTTCGCAGCGTCCGTTCCAAACGTTCCTGTGTGCAGGCGGCGTCGACAGCCCATCCGACACCACCGAGAACCGAGACTCGCTCGAGGCAACGCGCTGGTAGGACGAGAAAGACCCTTTTTACAGCGGCCATACAGTGGTGGGTAGTGTCACTGCTACGACTGCTGCAACTAGTGCTGCTGCTGCTGCTGATACTGCTACTACTACTACTTCTCCTCCTCCTCCCATTTGTGTTCTGCGCAATTGTCGTGGGTGATGACGACGAGCGTCATGACAGAGCGCACGGGCGACTGCCGGTCTGTCCGGCCCCAGCAGGTCGCCATGGTTGATGCCAACTTTATTTGACAAAATGCCAGAAACGACATCGTGCCCCGTTCCATCGCGAGCCCGTCGCGATTATGCACGTCTTCATGCCCGTACCAGAGAGTCGTCTCTGCTGTATCCAGAATGTTTCTTTGCCTCTTCTTTTTTTTTTAAATCTTTCTTCATTCTTCCCCTCCGGTCGCTCTACCGTGGCGCGCAGAACACACGTACCACATCTCCTCCTCCCTCCTCCCCAAGAAAAAAAAAACGCGCTGGCGACTGGCCGTTCGTCCAACACGTTGTTTTAGCGCCACCCGAGTGTCAATACGATTCTAATCATTCTGCTAATGGACTCCCTCCTTTTTTTGGTCTCCCTCCCCCTTCGATGGCGCGTTGCCTGGAGCGCCGAACACGCGCAGCGCCGTTCTGGATTGCCAGCTGCACCGCCGCCGCCAAAAGCGGCCGTCCCAAGCAGTGGCCACCAAGTCACACTACGGGTGCACGCTGCTACGGCATCCTTGGCCCATGATTATTACGGATGATGATGACGATGACGACGATGATGATACAGGGCGATCGTTCTGGCTCGGACTCGCGACGTTCCGCGCTCACCAAGCTGAATTAGATGCTCGCAACTCCTCCGTACATCCATATATGCATACGCACGTACACTACACACGTACACACGTACATACAATACATACACACATATGCTGTGCAGTCCTCTGATGTCCGCGACGTGCATGCAGAACCATCCACACCCAACCCTTTCTGCCGATGCACTAGAGCCGCTTTAGCTTACCACTATCTTGACGTTCTCTGCAGCTAGCCAACGACGCATACTTTTTCCGACCTGTTCACAATTTGCTACTGAAAAACGGCCGAAAAAAAAAACGTGGCCTGCTGGGCGCGGAGTTCACTGGTTCGTAGATACAAGTAAACACATGAATTATTGCTCTCGTCTGGCTCTTCCCGCGACGAGCCCGCTCTGGCTTTTTTCTGACGTCGTGGCCTCGACTCTTCGGGCACTTTCTGCGAGCGCCGGGGCTGCTTTTGGCAGACGGATAAGCATCGCGTTTTGGCCTCTTTTTTGCCCGTCCCCCATGCACACAGGACAGCAAGCATGGCCTGGTCGATCGCCTCTCTGGGACAAGGCCTTTTGCCAATACATTCCAGCATGATCGGGGTACGTCGCATCGTGCAGCAACGAACGCGATTGCGTTTGCCACCTGCGTCTCTCATGTCAACAGACAAAAAGTGCACAGGCGGCATGAAAACCAAGGCGTGGGGACGGCGTCAGGGCGCCCGTTCTTTCTGTGCAAGTAGTGCCGAGCTCACGAATGCGAGCAGGAGTACTCGGCAGCTGTGGTAGCCGGAGAACGCTGGCGGACCACGGCCACGGCGTCGTTGTTGTGGCAGTGAGCGCGGTGCGCGATCAGACGCTGGTGCGTCCAGCAAGTCACTTGTTGCCGCCCGCCCGCAGGACCAGAGAAGAGCCCAAAGCGGGCCGGACAAATCACGCTCGCACGCACGCACGGCGCCCGCAGCAGGCATGTCGTCATAGTTCGTCTATCACCATTTCCAGAAATAAACGGCCTCCCCCTTGCCTCTCTTGTCTTCCTGTCGCTCTCCGAGGCCTCGCAGCGAGTGGGCCCTTCCCGTGTGTGGCTTGTCCCCTCTGGCGCAATTCGCTGTGGGGACGAGCAAACATGTTTGAAACAAATTGACCTCCACTGGACCAAGTGCTACTGCTTGCAGCCCACCACGGCCAGCCCTTCGTTCAAGTCACCGGTGTTAGTCCCGCCGTGTTCAAGATCGTTCAGGCCAAATCGTCCTGCCCGAAGAAAAATCTACCCCTCCCTGTGTGTTTTGAGCTCACCAATCTCTCGGCGGAACTGCCCAGATCTCGCCGCCCTGGTGTTCTGAGACGACTCCCTTTTGCTGGACCACAACCAACCCGTTTCGCGTTCCGTACCACCTACGGCTCTCCCATGCCCAGACGCCTCCACTGTCGTCATGGAAGTTCGGTTTGCTTCGTGAGATCTACAGGAGTTGCTTTGACCGCTGAAGACCTGTCCAATGGGAGCACGACGTTGGTAGCAAACGGGAAGATCTCCAATTGTGATGTGCTTTGCTCCACGACCTGTGCCGGAACCCGGATACACGGGAGGACGCCGTCGTGATTGCAATGGTAAAGTGATTCGTCACGCCACAAAAAAAAACAGAAGAGCACAAAGTCCACACAACAACGGGACCCGTCCGAACGGTCGAACAAAAAAAATTTTTTTTATCCTCCTCCGAGAGCTTTTTATCGTGTGTGCGTGTGCGTGTGCGTGTACGCGTGCGAATCCACCGCTGTACGAGAAAAATTCCTTTTTTAATCCTTCAAACAATAATTCCTTCCATTCGCAAGGCGTCCCAGGCACTTGGATTGTTGGGACCCGGAACACCTGATCTTTTCTCGCTCAGCCGACCGTCGTTAGATTGTCTGCTACTCTGTGCCTTTCTCCCTTCCCTCCACCACCCCTCCCAAGGCCCAAAATCGGCATACCAAACCTGCGGGACGCGTATGCCCACAACAAACTCGCTTTGCCCGCACGTCCCCAGTTTGGCCCGCCTCCTTCGGATTGATCGATCCAACCATTGTCGAACAGTCATGTGGTGAACAACCAAGCCCCAGCCTCACGAGAAGTCGAGGAAAGGTGCCATGCCTGTGAACCACACCTGTCCGCTTCTCATCTTCTCCTCCGAGGACGAGGGCCTCGTCGGCGGGCACGAACATGCACTCTCGGTCCGTTCGCTGAGCAGATCGTCTACGTCGACGATGTACTAAGCTGGGACGTATCGGCTTCGTTTCCAAAGAGCGACTTGACGCCTGTCCGGGCACCGTTGCTTGTGTCCGGGGTGGTTACGCTGCAGCATCTGAACACGGTTTCTGCGTCGCAGATATCGACTAAGCCTCACCATACATGCACGACGCTATAGGAAAATAAAAAATAGTCCACGGCGGCGCTGCTGATACGTTTGCTGAGCTACCGGGTAGAGGCGAATAGAACCAGATAAAATCGGGGCTATTGTACATCGTACGACTCGCCGTAAGGGAGCTTGGGTGCTCTCGCTTATTCCATCACGCCCTTTCTCACCCTCCTTTGTGTGGTGATGGTTAAAAAAAAATCCTACATCCCCCGCCCCTCGCCACCACCGGGCCCCTCGCGTGCAAATATATTGATAGGAACACGTTCATGCAAAAACACGGGAAAAGTGTGAATTGTCCAATAGTCAGACGTAAGCAATGCGTCCATCTGGCCCAGACCCCGCAGGCTGCATCTTTGCTCAATCTTAGCGCTGCAGATGTACACCTCGAGGCTGTTCGTTGTGCGGGGAAGCTTTCCAGAGATGTATGGACAGGCCCTATTCACACCGCGTAGGCGCTGTTTGCCGTGACATTGTCTTCTCCGTCGACGACTGGTCCTTTCGCATCGTGTTGCGCTAGCAGATGTGCAAGCGCTGCGCGAAAGCTGTCAAACCTGGGAACTGCTTCCAAGCCCTGCCGGGCTCCGATGGCTGTAACTTAGGGAACTTGCCGTGGACCTTAGACCATTTTTTTTTCCTGCTCTCTATGTGCAAGCGGTAACGAACACGAATGCGTTTATGAAGACGAGAAAGAGGAGAGCGGAAAAACTCAACTGCGTGTTTCCATTGCACCAGCGACTTGTGCATTCTTCAAGCGTCGAAAGGCTGAGACTACGTCCCAATTGACTTGGACTGATCGGATTCTCCACGCTGCTTGCTGCACGCGACATGTGATCCAGCATCCGTGATGAGCTTTCAGTGTGCTAACTATGTTCTTCAGTATTGATGCCTGGCGAGTCCATCCTACGTTGCCGCTCTATACGGTCAAGACGCTACGATCACGCTTTCGACGGGGTTTCTCATAATACGTCTAGTTCATGAGGCAAAAAGAAATGAGCTTCCTTGAATGGACGAAGTGGTTGTCTTCGCCAAGCGCCGCTGTCTGTATTCTACGTATTGACGTACTGCTCCACCGATCCCACAAAGGCTGTCGTAACGCATTGTTGCCTTTTTCAAAAACCACAAAGTGCTACGTAGTAGAAAGTCACCCTCTCGACCGCCCCTTCTGTACAATCTGTGGCTTCGCACGGGGAGAGATATTGCTCACTCCTTCAGACCAGCTCCGCCAGTCAAATCTCCCAGCAAACCGCTCGGGGTATTTGTGCCGCCAGATCCTCCAAGTCCGCTCAGTAATCCAGACAGTGGGTTGGCTCCGTTGGAGGCTTGGGGTGTTGCACCACCACCACCACCAAGCAGGCCGCCGAGCAGATTACCACCGTTACCGGTCCCTCCTAGCCCACTGATCAAAGAGGCGATGGGGTCAGCTCCGTTAGAGGCTTGAGTGCCACCGCCGCCTAGCAAACCCGTCAAGCCGTCGAGTTGAGCTTTCGGGAGACGTTTGGTCTTGGTCGGCTCTCGCTTTTCCTTTGGAATTGAAAGTCCTTGGAGCAAGCCGCCTGCCCCTTGCTTTCCGCCTCCAGTGGTGCTATTGCCACCGGCACCGGTAGATGTTCCCGAAGACGAGGATCCGGTTGTTCCACCTCCGAGCAAACCTCCAAGATTGCCAAGTTCTGATCACGTTGTTAGGCTGGCACGTAATGCGAATGATGAGGCAACAACGTACCACCGAGGACTCCGGTGAGCGGGTCTGTTCCTTGGCCACCAGCCTGACTGCTCCCCAGGAGACCAGTCAGTGCGTCCAACTGCCTCTTGTTCTTTGTGCTCACTGTCTGGCCTGGCTTGCCAGGAGCATCCAATATTGGCCTTGCAACTGCAAGCGTAGCACAAGCAACCACAGCAAATGTGAATTTCATTGTGAAGGGCGGGAGTTAGATATGAGACTGGCTCAAAATGGACTACAAGATTGCAGAGTGCGTCGTCACAGGGCTGCCTGAGCGAGTGACTGGGCAAAAAAATAAAAAGGAATGAACTGATTGAGAAGTAGAGCTTGGTGAAGCCTGGAGCGGACAGAGCTGGTTGAGCACAGAGAGATCGCGAGAAGGAAATTTCGAAGCCTACATATAACCCTTCAGTCGAGCACAATCTGCAAAGTGATCCTGCAAGAATCAACCCCTTCGCAGGGAATCGATTTGCAACGTGACAAGCTACGCACGCACGATCCCGTGGATCCGAAGAAAGTGCAGGAAAGAGTTTCAGCTGATCTTGGGGGAATCGTTGACGTGGTCTACTGAATCTGCGCACACTCTGCAACACGTTCGGTGGGTTGAGTCCATCTTTTGGTGCTCATGAAGATCGTTTCAGGGACGCACAAGGAGGGCCAGCTTTTTGCGGGGCCAAAAAGATCTGATGCACGAACTGTGAGGCTCATCTCGGGATCCCCCCTCCCCGTCATTGAACAGACGTCGCTGAGTGACGCAGCTCACAAAAGCGTTTTTTCGACTCGGACGATGGTGGCACGTTCCGTGAGCGCGTTTTCATTCTTGATTTTCTTTTCCATTGGGCCCGTTGATTTTGCGACGAGTTGCTTCAAAACCGTGGGGTGGAGTGTTGTCACTCCACCGATTCCACCCTCGAACTCAAGACGACCCTTTGGGAGGAGGGGCGTTCCGCGTTCCGCAAGTCGTCTCGCAATTTCGTGCGAGGAAACCATTCCCTTGTGGTGCGAAATGACTCAAGTTCGGCTGTCGAACAGAGAAGTGATGTTCGGGAGCGTCAGGAGAAATTCGCTGACCAGGACAGACAGAGGTTTGCAAGCATGCGGGATGCTCGGTCCCCCCCCCCCCCCACAGCATTCCCCCTTCCCTTCACAGCATGGTTTAGGGCATCAAAACAAAAGAAAAGGAAAAATCATGACCAAGGTTTCGATCTTCATCAATATACATGATAAGTCTGGTGGGTACAGGAATTATAAGCGTCGGGAATATATGATCGCTCCACATATTTTGTCGAAAACAGACAGTGGAACGTCGCACGTGGCCAGAGAAGGCTAGCCTTCTGCTCAGCCTTGCGAGCTTGGTTTTGAACAATGGTCGAAACGTGCCAAACGAACTTGGTTTTGTTTTGAAGCCTTGAGCCCAAAAAAAAAAAGAAAAGAAGAAGAAGAAGTGAGTTAAAGGCTCGGCAATGACTAGAAGAACATCCTGCCCCAACTTCCAGCTCCGCTCATGTCCACCTCCGTCATCCTGCACAGGTCCCACACGACCGTCGCGACTGAGTCGAATACGGGCACGTCGAACTGCTTTTCCCAGCCGTCGACAAGGTGGGCTGCGTTCCAATTAGTGCAAAAGGTGGTGACGGCGTCTGCTCCGGCGTCGACGACGTCTCTGACCATGCTAGTCAGCCGCTCCTCCCCGACGCTGCCAATCTCGCCGTTCTCCGTGATGCCCAGGTGCTTTTCTCGCTCCGGCGCGATGGGGAAGCCTATCTCGGCGTAGTTGCGCATGATCAGCTGGTTCATGTCGGACGTGTACGGCGTGACCAGACCCAGCCTCTCGACGCGCGCGAGCCTCAGCACTCTGTTGAGCGCCAGCGTCGAAGTCGTCGCCGGCACGCCGAAGCGCCGCGTCACAAGCTCGCAGAGCTGCTCGTCCTGGGAAAACCCAAGCCAGCCCGCGCTCGTCCCGGACCACCCTATGGCATCTACCTGCAACACCCGTAAGGCACGATACACGCGGAAGAGGTTGAGCGGGGAAAGGGGTTGGGTGTGTGGACGGGCGACTCGCCTTGGCGTCGGCAAGCAGCTGTGCCGCCGGGACGAAAGCGCTCTGCGCAAACTGCGCAGCGCTGCGTGTTGAAAGGTCGAGCTGCGTCATGCGGATCCTCGTGAAGTGGACCGTCACTTGCCGAAGCGGCGTCGAGATGCTGTCGACGATCGCCTGCGTCAGCGGTTCCAAAGACGTGTTGGACGACGGGACGATAATCCCAAGTCTGACCGGCGCTGTGGACATGTCCTTCCATAAACGGTATGAACACACAATGCTGAGGTCGGGCTGTGCCTACCACGTCGTGCCTCGTTGGCTTCCGCCATCGCCTCTTTATTGCGGATTCTCGCCAGACCGCGAGACCGGATCCGGAGATTCGGGGCAAAGTTCAGCTTCAGGCACGGGGTGATGAAAAAAAAAATTTTTTTTCTTTTCCTCAAGGTCCAGTGAGGCTAGACTATTGATGACATGAGCGGCGAGGGCCTGCAGATGGAATGCAGAGCGATGCTTTGTGGGAAAGCTATTCAGATCCTGCAATGTTGACCTGTTGAGCTTGAAGTGGAGAACTGGAAAGACGGCCGTGGCTGGCGCTCGCCTGCGGCTCAGCTGCCGAAGGCCGCCGGTGGCTCTATTGTCGGGTAACGCAGTCGCGCGTCAACCACTTTCACCATAGCCGGGTGTATCCTAAATGGTCATATTCCTTGTTCACGTTCATAGCGCAGTTGTGAATCTGCTTCTGATATTCGTATTGTTCAAATCTAAGTGTGGCCTCGAACTCAACTCAGGATGAACCATTCCGCTCGTCTCTCAAATCCACCGGGCTTTCGTCGTCTAAAAGCCCCGCAGAGTCTTCATTTTCGACTCCCCTGCGAGCTTCCCTTTCCACGATCTCCTCAATTTTCCCAGATTCCTTTGTCACGCACAGCCAGATATCTTTCTTCGTTAAAAGGCCTTTGAGGGCTCCTCTTTCTACGAAGAGAACATATCTCAATCCCAGTCTCTGAATCATGTTTACAGTCAGCTGAAAGGTTGCCTTAGCATTGAGTGTAATTGGTGTTTGATCCATCCATGGCCTCAAGTCAAGGGTGATATTAGGGTCAGCCATAGGCTGATGTGAGAAAAATGTTTCGGCATCAGGGCTGAGATTTCTTGGGGCATGTAGTGCAGAGTCAAGAGCATAAGCAAGCTCAGTGCGAGATATATATCCAAGAAGAATTGCAGAGGATGGCGCATTTATTACAGGGAAGCCGCGATAGGTGTAGTTTCTCAGGAGGTCTTTCAATGACTGTATCGTGTGTCCAGTGGCTGTAATGACCACCAAGTCCTCAATGCGTGTGTATATTTGGCTTGCTGGTATGTCAGGAACAGACGCTGCATTGTCGTCCCGGTTATCGAGGAATGGGTAGCCGTTGAACTGGATCCAGGCCTCGTAAATACTCTTCTCCTCAATAGCATCGCCAACCCATTTACCGATCATAACAGCAATCATGATGGGGAGAACGTAAGTCAGCGCGCCTGTGAGCTCAAACATGATCACTACGATTGAGACGGTCATGCGAGATGTGCCTGCTAGAGCCGAGGCAGCACCAACAATGGCGTAGGTACCAGGCGTAATACACGGTATGTCTGGTTCGCAGTTGCGAAAAGCGATCCAATCGGGGTGTGTTGCTTGCCAAACCTCAAGAATGAGGCCAACGGCTCGACCGTATAGTGCCCCTATTGCGAGTGACGGTAGGATGATACCCGCCGGTATTTGTAAACCGAATGTAATGGAAGCAAGAAAGAAGCCAAGTACAGCAGCGATGATGAGCAAAGCCATAACCCCAGTGTTGGCCCGACCGGATTTGCATAGGCCCAGCTGATCCTCGTTTAAATCGACACATTCAGCGAAGAGTGTATAGACGAGCTCAGATGCTTGGGCTCGCATGAACTTAATTGGATAGTTGATCAAGGCTGTAACGAAGGCCACTGCAACGACCTCAGCCACAGGTCCTTTAAAGAATGGTTTGTCTCGTCGCCATTCAGCAACTTTCATGTTCAACTTGATGAACAAGCCTCCATATAGGCCACCAAGTACTCCTAATAGAGCGAATGGCACCATCTCAAAGCCATGCCAGCCACTGTGATACGTGACTTGGAATAAAACCAGCTTTCCGGTGCGGAAGGGGTTGAACGCCTGAAGAGTTACCGCAGCAACCATAGCGCACACGAAGGACTGCCACATTGTCTTGTCTGGGAAGTAGTAGGACAGTTGTTCCAGGCTGAATAGCACCCCGCCAACTGGTGAGCCGAAGGCAACTGAGATTCCAGCCGCTGCTGCCGCGGAAAGGACCTCTCGTTTTCGTGCTTCTCCATGGTTAGCCTATTCCACAATGTCCTAATTAGCCGAACTTACCTTCATTTGTGTTGATATCTTTGAAGCCTTTCACAAAGAGATTCGCACAACAGCAAGCAACATGGACCAAAGGCCCTTCCTTTCCCAGCCACAATCCACTGGCGACCGCTAGACAAAGTCCCAGACTTTTGATGACCAGCGTCCATCCTCCCATGAATCTCCTGATCACAAAACCTCCAAGCACAGTCTTGATCTCAGGAATGCCAGAGTGTTTTGCGTACGGCGCATAGTCCTTGACCAGTATACTAGCACATGCGGCGAACAGCACACTAAGAATCAGGAAAAATATGTATCCAACAATGTACACGGCACCCGCAGACTTCACGCCAAGCACAGTGCCCCAGTTGCGCCAGTCGACGCACTGCTCTAGTCGATCTGCGCCCCAACAACAGAATGCCTGGTTAAGGTAGAATCTGCCACCATGCTCCACATTCTGGCAGACACCACCTTTCAAGTCAGCCAGCCAATCGCTTGCTACATCAATGAAAGCTGCCACAAGACCGGCCGCTATGCCTGTCGCGATAAGCACAATCCAGATCTGACTTCGGTCGGCAAACTGGCGAATTTGTCCGACCAGACCCGTCGCGGAAGAGTTTAGCACACGGAGACGCTGCCGTTCTTTAGCATACTCGAAGATCCAATCTATTGCCGTCAAGTCGTCGTAGCCCACTCTTCGGCCGGGCCCCTCGGTGTACCAGTCCGTCGTGCTGTCCTTTACGTCGAGGGCATCGAAGGAAGGCAAGGCGTTGCCATTGTTTAGCCATTGCCTCCTATAGCCGTGCGTGTTTGAATTTGCATTGAGAATTTTAGGCGGATGCTTTACAGACTGGCTCGAAGATGAGGAGGCTGCATCACGCTGGAGGAAGCGCGGAAGATGAAAACCAGAAGTTGTTATCGAAGGCTTGTAAATCTTGCGCTTGAAAGAAATGCTAAACAAATGTTAAGATTATATTCCGCGAATCCGGAGAACGGCACGTACTTGGCTCCCAAATCCTCATGCAATGGATCGTCCCCCAGCAAGTCTGCCTCGTCGTCACTCACTCCATCCTCAACATGTGGTTGTCGCGCTGAACTGCTGTGGCTAGACGACGCCTCAGCGTGCGCATATTCGTTGATGCGCTGAAATGAGCTTGACATGCTCACTCATGGCTATTTTCTGTCCGCAATCATGGTAAAACCTATAGCTTTGCTTGTGTTGGCCTTCCAATGCCTAGGTTCCAAGATGAAAGACGGATTGATGGCAGCCTTGTTGCCGTGTGGCCTGGCGGGACATTTCGGGTGTTTCCACCTCTCTAAAAGGACTATGATGAGGAACTGGGATTGAGCTGAATGACGATTTACAAGGAAAATGAGGCCGAAAAAGACAATATTTTGGTTCAGGCGATCAACCTTGAATCGCGAAGAATACCACAAGATTTATCAACGAGCAAAATTTCTGTCTGATAGTCATCTTCCGCAGGTCCTCGTCAATCTAGGATACCTCAAAAGGTGAGGACACAATCAGTTTCCATAACTAATCAGACGCCCAAGGTAGCTGCGTCATTTCTCCCATAGTATCACTCTCTCCGACTGACGGGACGACTTCTCTTCGAGCTTTCCTTCATCGTCATCTTACACTCATCGCAGTACCACTTGGCTAAGCAGAGGTGTTAGCAGACATATTATTAAGAAACAGAAAAGAGACTTACTGTTCTCGTCTGGCGCCCTACTTAACCCTGCACACTTCAGATGGAACCACTCCCTTTCGCAATTCTCGTTATCACAAGCTACCATTTCGCCATAGCTCACATCATTACAATAGCAGTATTTAGCCTCGTTAGCATCCTCTTCCGCGCCGTCCATGTCGCCGTCATCCATCTCAGCATCGTCAATTTCGCCCTCGTCAACTAAATCGGAAGCCTCGTCGGCAGCAATATCGGTGTCTGCTCTGGTAGACGTCGCCGCAGAACCTGCTCCTTTCTTCCGTCTAGATCGCTCACCTGATTCGCTGGAAGCATGACTACCGTTGTTGTCTTTATTGTTGCGAACGGATCTACTTCGACTTCCCAGCTCAGGGAATGTGCTTGACATTGGCGTCGCCGTCTTCGAAGCCCTGCCCGCTCGTGTTACGACCAATGGAGCAGGTGCATCCGCATCTGGCATGGACACATCGTCGTTGACGTCTGCATCCTCACTCTTCATTGGCTTCGACTGGTCCAGGAGCAGCTTCGAACCTTCTGCACCTTCCGCCCCAGCTACTGCATTTAGTTGTGACTGTTCATGGGCAGAAAGCGACGAGGTACCGTTTGTTGGTTTGTTTGACTGTGAAGATGGAGGCCTCGTAGGTTTGTTTTCGATAGTGGTCAATTGAGTCGAATTGGCGGTCGAGTTCTGGCGGCCGCGGACTTGACCTGGCCTTGTTGAAGTTTCTTTTGCGGCAAATGTACCAATAACGGGAGATGAGGTAAGATAAGGCGACGCTCCTCCTACAACTCTGATACTTGTTAGTATTCGCAAGCCTAGAACGGGGGACAAAGATGTACCTCTTCTTAGGAGCCGGCCCCGGTTTCGAACGCTTCTTGGGAGCAACATCGGGGGTCTCCCTTGGGCTTGCCTGGTTCGCTCTTGAGGTATTACCAAGTGCACTGCTACCCGACCTTTCCATGGGTACAGCAGCTGCAACCTTTTTCCTCTTGTTTGGGCCCGTAACTCCGTTCGAAATGCCAAGCCCAACAGACTTTGGATCCTCAGCTGTCTTCTTGGCTTTATTTGGACCTTTTCTAGGTGCCGGTCGGTCGTCAAAATCCGAATCTATTTGTTGTGTACGACTCTTTCGCGCTGCTACGGCCTCTCGACGCGCCTCGCTTCTGCTGGCAAATTCACCTTCGACCGCGGCAGCGGCGGCGGCCAGTGTATTCGTTGTCGCCACTTCCCGCCTCGATCGCTCCGGGGCTTTCTTTGTTTCCTTGTCTGTGACATAAGCCCAGTGTTTGGGATTGCCTAGCCGGGCTTCATCGCTGATTTCCTCGGGAATATGTAGATATGAACTCATCATGCGATCGAGCTGCCGCTGTAATTGCTGGTTCGCTGTTGCCAACACAGCTATTTTCTCATCCAACGCCGGAGCCATGGTTGCGATGTTCACATTTAAGTTGTAAAACAGTGCTTGTCTTTCACGATCTGCGACATCGTCACTGTCGTTGAACGTTCCATCTGACGCACTATTTCCAACAACAGAGCCATGCCTACTCCCATCCACACTGTTTCGTGCACTTAAGCTCGGAAAATATGCGTGTGGTGGTGGTTTGTTGCGCGTCACTGGAGGAAGATCAATGATAGCAGCAGCTAGCCGTCGCACCTGCTCATCCGGCGCATGTAGTTTCGCCTCTACCTCTTTAAGCATGGAGAAATGCCGAATAATCTCTTTCGGTAGCGCATCGATTGCATCTGTAAAGTGCTGGATGGCTGGAAAGAAGCCTGGCTGCGCGTCGTTGTTCGCAGGAGTCTCATCGGCCAGGTTGCGACCGGAGAAGTTTCGTGCATAGTAGTTTTGCGGTCGCGTAGTGCGCACAACCTGTCGAGCTGACTGACGTCGTCCTGGAGCTGTAGCCATGGTGACGAGGAAAAATTAGCAACGTCGTACGGGGAGGAATCGCAAGAAAGACAGGAGGGTGTGAGGCTTGACAGTCCAGACGAATATCAATAGTGACAGACACAAGGATTAGCCCGATTCTCGAATGCTAGATACAGTCATTGAGACTGCGATAGCATCATTATGTCCAGCCTCAAGACACTGCAAGGCTACGGGATGGTTGTGACCGAGATGAGTGCGAGACGGCGCTCCAGAGTGTCAGGCGCGGAACTGGACCCTGCACCTGCGCTGCTCTTGCTTCCTCTGATCCTTATCGATAAGGATGCCACCAAAAATGGTTAGCTTCACATTTTCCGCTTACTTTCTTCTCCGCTAGTGGTGAAGCTCTATCCGTAAATCAATTGAGCACATGTCGGCAAGGACCCCTTCCAAAACATCACGAGTGTCGAATTTGTCGAGATGGCTAGTCGAGAATTCGGACTTCATGCACAAATTAAACTGCGCTGCCCTGCTTGACAGGTCTCGGACATGCCACAGGTCCACGTACAGAAATTTGTTCCTAATGCTTGGAGAATATCCTTAAAATGAAACGTCCAAGCAGTTCAGAAAGGTATGACTGTTAAATATTAAACCTCAACATTACCGCTCAAGCTTCGATTTCCACCACGTTCCATTTGGTGATGGTGAGGAATTCAGGGCTGCCTAAAGGGTTCAAGACGTGCTCCAAGCATCCAAAAGCAGTATCGGCGTACGAGAACTTACTACGTGTAGATCTTAATCGTATGATCTGCCTTGCCACTGCCGCCATTCCCAAGCTACTGTAATACTGTTGCTAGCACGTCAGAGACCTGTCTTTGATTGAGGAATTCATCATCATTGCATAAATGGAAGCCATGCAGCTATGTGACTTTGGCGTGCAATAGATACGGCCAATAATAGAGACAATCACACATCCGTAGATTTTTTTTTTCGAAGTTCTCACGAATTGCGTCGACGTTCAATTGCTTAGCGGATTCTCCTTGGATTTGTTCGGGCATTGAAACATACTGCAATCCTAAGTTTGGGAGTCCCTCCATTCCGCGCCTCATTTCTATGCTCTCAAACATATCTTGGCTGTCGATGCTAGGCGATAACAGGTGGCTCGAAGGCATTTTCTTATTATACTTTCAAAAAAAAGGCTTTGATGCTACTCAACCCCTCGAAAGATATCTTTACATGTAAGAACATAATATTCTCTGCAATCGCATAACCAATGCTCAAGTTCTCATGTAAATAAGTTCTACAAAGTATCTCTCTCCAGGCAGCTGAGTAGACCTCAACTTCGTAGATTATGATTGCAAAAACTAGCATGCTGTGCGGGTAAGCTTTCATGCCTCAGAAACCTCTTCCCCTTATTCTAGTTCGATTTAGACTTGGAAAAAGAAAGCACAAAGACACGAACCAGTTGGCGTGCATTGCAGACAAGCGCAAATCCTGATAATGATGAATGGATCTGATATGGAGCGATTGCGCCGTGCTCTCAACCATAGCTAGTGTGACCTCGGCGTTCTTTAACTCTAGTATACCCCGTACATCTCGCGTAATGTTGACCGATGCTGGCGTTGCCGATATCGGCCCATGATTGATCAGATGAACGAGTTCCAAGAAAATAGAAGTGACTCCTCTCGCAGGACTCTGAGCGAGTATTTTCCATTCTGAATTTGTTTTCTTAAAGTCATTATGGGAAAGTATTTTGAGACTATACCTGAGAAGACGATACAATGGTGTCTTCAGCAGAAGATGTTCGCAATTTTGCTCGATCCTTCTTGAAGCCAAGTTTAGAGAGCACTAACTTTGATCCTAGGTTTTGGGTTGCGAGTGCACCTTTAGCAGGTAACGGCCACGTTAACGTCTCGCCCAAAGGAGGGCCCTACTTTGGAATTCCAGACGAGAGAACATTTTGGTATCTAGATCTATCGGGTTCCGGCAATGAAACCATCGCACATATGTACGAACCGGGTAATGGAAGAATCACAATCATGTTCAACGCATTCGATGGTCCACCAGAGATTGTAAGATTCTGGGGCAAAGGGCTCGTGTTAGAATACGGCACACGTGAATTTCTGGCATTTGTAGACAAGCACAACATTGAAGTGCTCCCCGGGACGCGATCTATCATTGTTGTGCACATACACCAAGTCGGCTCTTCATGCGGCTATTCGGTGCCCCTTTACGAGTTTAAAAAGCATAGACAAATCTTGAATAACCATTGGATCCAGCAGCAGAAGAAAGTCGAACAGGGAAAAGAAGAGCACTCGATGCCAAGGTATGGGAAGCTGTTTCTTGTTTTCCATCTGTACTAATTTAGAGAAAGATATTGGGCCTACAAAAGTGCTTGGAGTATGGATGGCCTGCCTGGTATGAAGATAGGTCTGGCTACAGCTAGAGCTGAGAAGATCGCTCCCATTGTAAAGATGGTTGGTCCTTTGGCTCCGAAAAATGGTACAGGATACGCCATACACACACAAAGACAGATCTTCATGATCGTAATATTGAGTTTTCTGCTCGGGGCTTTTGCTGCAATTTATGGCCTGCCTCTTTGGGTGGAATTAAAGACACAAATACGAAACTTGTCTGCATATGTACACGTTTTGTCGATATGATAATCTTAAATTTTATTTATCTACAGAATTATTCTAGGTTTATGAGCATGAACCCAGGTCCAGGTACTGGCCATGCTTTGATAAACACTACTTTTTTATTTCCAAGCTAAGGACTCGGCTTGGAGCATTCCATAAAATGCATCATCACTTTCTGCCCATTTCTGCACCAGTTCGGCGGCCTCATCGCATTCATGTTCTGGGACACCAGCTTTCAACCAGCTCTCTCTATATTTGTCACCCTTCCCAAGTCGTGCAGACAGCCTATCTGCCCATAACTTGCAACTTTTCCTGTCGGCATACACCGTCGTCCCTGCACCCAGCCTCACCTTCGTAGAATCTTCGACATCAAAGCCCGCCTTTCTGAGCCATCCACGATGATACATACCGCTGAAATCAGGACCGCCAATGGCGAGAATCATATTTTTGACATAAATGCGATCGATCTCGGCTCCATAGGGATGAAAGTGCATCGCAGCGCCATCGCGAATAGCAAGTAACCCCCCTGGTTTCAGCACCCGTCGACATTCCTTCAAAGCGATGATGGCATTTTGTTCAGGTCGAAGGTGTTGAAAAACTTGGGAGGCGAATACAACATCGAAACTGTTGTCCTCAAAAGGCAGTGTTTCCAGGAGGTCAGCCTGTATGAACTTGACCTTGTCACCCAGTCCCCGAGACTTTGCGACTTCCTTTGCGTGATTGATGATCTCGGAACTGTAGTCTACTCCAATCACCTCTCCTAGGGACGCGAAGGGAACAAAGCCCGTTGTGATCGTGCCCGGACCGCAACCGACATCGAGGATGCGATGAATTGGCTGAATGTAAGGCAGAACGAACGATGCATCCGAATCGACAGTTCGCGACTCATGACTTGAGATCGTCGCTTTTGAATGTCCCATGGTGTATTCGTGTTTGTTATTTGTACTGGCCATGTTCACTAACTGCGATTATCGATGTATTTGAATGCTGAAGCTAAGTTGAATTCAAATAGTGTCTTAAGGAAAAAGTCCACATAATGACGATTCTTTTCGAAAATTCTTATGCTTCTGGCTTTAAGTGCTACGGCCCACAAGATACTCTGCTCGAGGCTCACATGAACTTTGCATCACAAAACTCGATGCAATTGGCCGTACTAGTCCGAGATCAGCGTAGTTTCTTACCTTCTTCAACACTCTGATTTGTCCGGGGATAATTTGTGCGCACTTTAACTAGTCGCCGAGTTTCCTTTCCTGGTCATTGGATTGCCGATTCTCAGCGGAATGCGCTATAATGAGTAATGAGTTGAAACCTGCCGCTTCAAGTGATCAGCATCTTATCCTGAGCTTTGCTTAAATAGTGTTTTCTGTCCTCATATGAAGTTGGCAAGAATAATACTTCCAGTGACGCTGGGATTCCTCCCCATATTTAATGTCGGAATATGCTATTTCTTGAGAAACAATGGCACGAAATCTGCACTAAACCCTTGGTTTTGCCAGGTTCAACTTCCTCGCATAATTGCGGTTTTAAGAGTTTTTAAAAAATGTGGTTGGCCCCAATCTCCTGTGTTCGCAGACAAGCTGTGTGAAATAATGTTTTGTTCCTTCTTCACCAATTAACTCACTGGCCAGCTCTTGGTGGGTGGAGAAGATCGCCGCAACCCACCTGCCGGGAATCAAGTGCCGAACTTTTAGCAGGCTTGTTGCCCGAAGTACCTCTGAGGGGGTTAGTATGAGAGCTATGAAAGTGCTAATTTTCGATGAATAACTAAGTTCGACAAGCGTAAGAACTTCGCAACTTTGTTACTTATCATATCCCAAATCCTTCAGAGGCTCGCCTTAAAGCAACATGGCGGAGAGAAAGCTGCATAGAGCGCCTCCATTCCGGGCGGAGCACATGGGCTCGTTGTTGCGCCCACAAAGCCTACTTGACGTTCGAGAAAAGATTGCTACGCAGGGCTTGACTCCAGAGCAAGCCGGACTGGGGCCGGTTGAAGAAAAGGCCGTTGGCGACATCGTGAAAGAACAACTTGATCTGGGCTTCAAAGCAGTTACGTCTGGCGAGTTCGTTCGGACTCGATTTTGGGGCCTGTTCTGGGACGAGTTGGAAGGTACAACGAGGCTACAAGATGCCAATGCATCCATGTTCCGGCTATACCACCCGGATGTAGTTTCTCTCATCGAGAAGGACAGAAAGGTTATGCCAGGAGATTCGGTAATTGCTGGTGGTAGGATCAAGCATTCTGGCACGACTTCCAACCTGCATGAGCTTCAGCTGGTGCAGAAGTTCGTGCCAAAGAGCGATTGGGGTAACATCAAACTCACAATGATAACTCCAGCGTGGTTTCACATGCGGTACAAACAAAACAAGGCCTGGGCTGAAGGAGTGTACAAGGATGATGCCGAATACTTTGCGGACGTTGCAAAGGCGTACCAAGTTGAACTACAGAATCTTTATGATGCCGGGCTCCGTAACGTGCAATTCGACGATCCCGGCCTTGCCTACTTCTGTTCAGACGTGTTCCGCAACGGCTGGGCCGAGGACAAGGACAATATTGGCACAGTCGATGACCTGCTTGATGCCTACATCAAACTCTATAACGATTCATTGTCTAAAGTCCCAGAGGATATGCATACAGGTCGTTCCTACCATCCGGTGATATGCTTCAGGCGCTGACGAGATTAGGTGTTCATCTTTGCAGAGGCAACTTCATCGGTGGTCGGCACTTCGCTGAAGGAGGCTACGACGTTATTGCCAGCAAGCTCTTCCGTAACCTAAAAGTCGATACATTCTATTTGGAATATGATACTGAGCGTGCAGGAGGCTTTGAGCCACTGAAGCACCTTCCGACGAACAAAAATGTGATCATCGGAGTAGTCTCTACAAAATTGGCTACACTCGAAGATGCAGAGTTGATGAAGGAAAGGATTTACAAGGCTGCAGATTTCATCGCTGAGGGATCGGGCCAGACGAGGGATGAAGCACTTAAACGAATTGGTGTCAGCCCACAGTGTGGATTCAGCACCCATGAGAGCGGATATCCGTTGAGTCATGATGACCAAAGCAAAAAGTTGGCTTTGGTGAGACAGATTGCAGATGATATCTGGGGCGAGCCATAAACACAGAGTCTTCACAAGAACAATGGGTCCTGAACATAATGCTGTTTGTGTGTCAGAATGGTCACGTGCGAAACGATCTTGCTCAATCCAATGAAATAACTTGTAGGTTAGTCAATCGCCCGTCTATCTTCAAAAATCAATAATATGGAGGTTGCAAGCTCTTCAACACTGTTCAATTCAGGTCTTAAGTCCTTTGATTGAGGAGCCGAATATCACTTTTTGATGTTAATCTCTCGCGTAACCGATTGTACATCAAACACCTGTTCCCAACTCAACAATTCGATCCACGAAGTTGGGCGTCCGTAGTACGCTACAACGGTATCGTCTATAAAGCAATATCGCAATAAACATCAGTTCACCGGCCATAGCTCTGGCTTTTATTCGCTGCGTATGTTCCAGTTCCGACCAGCTGCATGAAACACGCGGTTACACGACTCCTGTCGATCATCCGACATCCCGCGAAGACTTCACATCCACCAAAGTTTCAGCCTCATTGACCTGACCCGTGTACACTATGCCAAATATGTCCCTGGGCGTCACAAAGTCTGTAGGAAAACTAAAAGAGCATAGCCGCAAGGACGAAATCATGCGCTTTGACCTTCAGAAGTTCACACTGTCCACAACATTGCATCGCTTCTTCCATATGAGGCTTTTCGAAGGATTCAGCGACCAAGGATTGGTAACAAACGGCGTGCCGTGTTGGATTGAAAGCCTAAATCCTGTATGTCTCTGCTGAGCCGTGTCGATGGGTTCTTTCATTCTAGTTTGAAGCAGAGCCTCTGCGGAATGTGAATGACAGCTTCGTCTCTGTACGTTCTTCCACTTGTAGTGTATCATAAGTCTGAAATGCTCTTTACTTTTATCTTCACCGTTCTGGCGGATGTCGCTTTTACCCAGGACTTCTCGTCCACATGTATTGACAAAGAAAGACTTAAGCTTCCTCGAACCGTCGCTCAACAAGCTACGACTTCCGTCACATCCACGCAAAGTTCCATATTATCATCGGCTCCATCCGCCTCTTTTTCAACCTTTGCAATCCCAACATCAACAGTCAATGAAACCATTGATCAACCACTAAAGTTGAATTTGACCCATCAGAAGTTAGCACAGAGCATATCAGTTCCTCTACTCCCACAAATCTCGTTCGGTTGCAAGAATTGCACAACCAATGGATTTCTTGAGGTTCTTGTTGGTACTTTTGACGTAGAACCGCTCAACGCTTTTACTCCGGGTGATGTTCTTCAGAATGCGACAGTTATGTTATCGCTCCCTGACGGCTTCGCCGCTCATATCGAACTTGGCTTGAATGTATCTTCAGACGTCTCCTTTAGCATCCCAATAATCGAAGCGCCCGTAGCAGGCTACACAGTATGTCGAAATGCCGTGCACCAAATAAGGATTAAGATCTAACAGTTTTCAGATACCGGGTGTCGGCAAAGCAGGCTTGTTTTTTTCTCCGGCTATCAGCGTCTCTTTCCAGGCAAATGAAGACATCCAAATGGGGTTTGGATTTGAGATGAATGTGTGTTCATTCCCAAAGTTAAGTAGAACTATAGGCCTGATCTCGATAGATTCCTAAAAACTCGTTCATTCTCCTGGATCTCAGCACAATATCGAACTTCACCCAAGCCACTGGCTTGTAAGATGCGCCTCCATATAAATTCGTTAGAGATTGCTAAGCACAGTTTTGCAGCAAGGACACAACAGTCAAGGCACTACCAGCTAGTGTCAACGCCTCCGTGGGAGGATCTTTAACAACGAGTTTCCAGCCAAATCTCGTCGTTGCTCTTGACCTTGGTTCTAAGCATTCAATTTCAAACACAGAATCATTTGAGCTCGGTGCTCAAGTAGCTACGATTATAGATGCCCCAGCATTGACCTTCAATTTGAGCCGTGAGCTGCGGACGATCGGTCAGTTCTGTTCGGCAGATAAATCTGGCATGACTACGACCGTATCGATGGACTTAAGCTTGGGAATGGGCATCGAAGCTGAGGTGTTCATCTCGCAATCAGTTAAAAACGCTGATACCGCGAATAGCGACATGATCAGCGATCTTAAGGCTGATTCGGCTGGAAGTGTACTCGGTCTCGTTCTGCCATCAACGTCCATACCAATCGTCAGTAAAACGATTACTTCCACCAGTACATGCTTAGGAGAGGTAAAGGGTGACAAAACAGAGGGACCATTAGTTATCACCTCGGTCACACCAACACCAACAAGCAGTGCACCAACGAAGAGCACGCCAGTAGCAGGATCCAACAGTCCGGGGGGAGCAAAGTCACAGAACAATGCGCCCAGTCACAGTTTCGTTAAAATTTTAGTCATTTCAGTGATAACAGCATTGCTTCCTAATGTTGTTTTGAACTGACGAATGCAATCGTGCTGATGTGGGCGGATGAGGGAAGGTTACTACTCTTTTCGTCGGAATTTCCGCACCAAGAGTCCATCAAATATCTAGTATACGTCAGTAGGCGGCATAATGAAATGATTTCTTTTTCTCTTCTTTTGCACCAGTCTTTCTCCTCTGTCGCAACTCCGTTTTTCATCCATGCACGTTGCGAAATTCGGGCTGAGATGAGTTTTCAGGATAATGATTCGGCGCTAAGCTTGTTCAGGTAGACTACGCAACATCACCTGCAACCCTGTCCTTGTGGACACCTGTGATGTACTGTGAAGCACAATATAGTGGCTTTCCCGAGACGCATTCTCCTCTCCCCTCAAAGTTTTATCCTTCTCCTCACCGTTCATCTTCCTCTGCGCCACTTGTCCTGGTACCAATGCTAGCCAGATAACGCTCATTTCCCTCGTTATTCTCATTTCGACCATGAGCTTCGTACAGAGCATGCAAGATGCCGCGAATAACTTTCTGGCTTTAGCAAAACAGTCGAAGCCAGGCATCGTAGCCATTATCTTTCTTGCATTTTTCATGGCAATTGTAGCTTTTGTATTTCTCACACCGTTGTTGTACATTAGGTCATAGTCACTGACCGTTCGCTTTAGATCTGGTTCTTCGTATATTTGATATCACCAATACCTCGCAAGCCTAGAGCTTCAGAAAAACAATACATTACGAATCAGGCGGATGGAAGACCAACGGCGCCACGACCGCAAACATGCTGGCATGAGACGTGGCAAGCAAGAAAGCTAATTGAAGAAAAGATGGTTCTGCTTGGTCGGAAGAAGAAAGAGGATGAGATACCCATAATGGATGCTGAAGTCTTCATGTCTGTTGTAGTACCGGCATACAATGAGCAAGAAAGAATAAATTATATGTTGGAAGAGGCCGTTGCATTCCTACAACGTGCCTATGGCGTGCATAAAACAAAGCAACAGCCGCCCATGAATGAACATGACAATGCTGCATCTCCTCAACTGCCAGGCTGGGAGATTTTAATTGTTTCCGACGGGTCGACGGACAAGACGATAGAAACCGCGCTCGCTTTCGCACACAAGCACAGGCTACCAGAAGGCGCACTCCGTATCATTGCTTTGGAGGAGAACAGAGGCAAAGGCGGTGCCGTCACGCACGGTATGCGTCACGTTCGAGGACAATACGCCGTTTTCGCCGACGCCGACGGCGCCAGTAAATTCGATGATCTGGCAAGTCTCGTCGAGGTATGCCAGAGAATCGAGGATGCTAGCGGCAGAGCCGTTGCGATTGGTTCGCGAGCCCACTTGGTAGGCAGCGAAGCTGTTGTCAAGGTACGATGCATATCACATGGGAAAAGTCAGGTATAGCACTTAATTTGTCTTGTCCTGCACCCATCACATCCCGTACTTCTTTTAGAGCACTTTAAGCTAACGCATATCGGTGTAGCGTTCCCTACTCCGCAACACTCTCATGCATGCTTTTCACCTTCTAATACGACTCATGACACCTCCGGCCACGAGCCGAATCAAGGATACTCAATGCGGCTTCAAGCTCTTTTCTAGACCTGCATTGCCTTATATAATACCCTACATGCACAGCGAAGGCTGGATCTTCGACATTGAGATGCTAATGCTCACAGAGATGGCAGGCATACCCATGCAGGAGGTCGCAGTAGGGTGGAGAGAGATTCCTGGAAGTAAATTGAACGTGGTGTGGGCTAGCTTGGGTATGGCATGGGGATTGGCGCAGCTACGCGCAGCATGGGGACTTGGGGTTTACACAAAGACCCTGCTGTAAATACGACGATACTTAGGAGCGTGAATGTTCCTCATGCGTCATATCGCATAGTCTATCCCTGAGGGGTCAAAACGAGAGTTTTCGCAGTTGTCACCTTCATCTGGAGCCAGTGAGCAGATTCCTCGGAATTTGCTGTTGGCCCCTAATGCTAAAGTGCAGATATTCCTCAGTGAGGAAATGAACATCTGAAATGTTCCGAACCCTTTTCGAGAAGTGCCGTCGAAAGACCCGATGAAAGAAGGACTTCGTTGTCAAAGTGCGACTCATTCTTGTGCAGTCACTGATCATTTTCGGTTAAGCCATGTTCTCGATCTTAAGTAATTTAATCCACAAACATACACGCGAAGTGCGAGAGAATTACCAAGTTTAGCAGCGGATGCAATAATGTCTTCAGTCCGGTCAATACCATCTCTTCCGATCCAAGCTCTTCACTATGTACACGATACGACAAGATCTGACATATTTGTACATTGGCTTTCAAGAATTGAAATTACACAATACTTTTTTATGCATCATCAAGTATGGCTCTCCACCATTTCCTTTTTCGTTTATGTCTTGTAGTTCCTTCTTCTGTCACCTTATACCTGGTGATCACTTCGAGGAAAATCTGATCTAGCGTGGCCCTGCTCACACTATAATACTCGAGATCGAGGGTTTCCTGATTCTCTTGAAGAATCTTGAATAGACGTGCAATCCCACAAGACCTGATCGGAACACTGAATCTAAGCTGGCCGTACCACAAACGTTCCTCAACCTGAGCACCGTCGATATGATTTTCAATCCAGGATTTGACCTCTCTTGTTTTTGTCTCTGGAACATGTGGAGCTCCTTTAAGTGCGATTTGTACATAAAGATTTTCTCCAAATTTATCCCGCAGCTCTTCACTCGTTCCCAAGGCCAGCATGCGCGTAGCCATAATCCCAACTTTGTTGGCAAGACGATCAGCTTCTTCAAGCGAATGAGTCGTAATTAGCATACTACGTCCTTCTGAAACCCCGACAAGTGCTTTCCACAAGAACCGTTTATTTGCAGCATCCATTCCTGAACTCGGCTCATCGAGCAAAAGCACAGCTGGATTGCCAACTAACGCAATAGCTAACGAAAGCTTGCGCTTGTTGCCACCTGAGAGTTTATGCGCTAATCGATCGCGGTACTCGTTCAAGTTGACTGCAGCAATAAGCGCGTCTACGTTGTGATCTGGTTCCTTCACGCCCCTAGCGCGGCCATAAAAACGTAAGTGTTCTGTGACAGTCATGTTATCCATAGCATCGAACTGGGGACAGACTCCGAGCTGCTTTCGAGCGAGCATGCGCCGAGATGTCACACTTGCACCTTGTATTAGCACATCGCCATGATCAGGACGTAGATCGCCACGAATTAAGCTGATTGTCGTAGATTTACCCGCACCGTTTGGTCCAAGCAATGCAAAGCATTCTGAAGGTGCTACACCAAAGGTGATATCTTCGACGGCAGTTATTTCGCCAAAAGATTTGATAATGTGTTGGACCAGCAGGCCTGAATTCGCCAACCCTGTAGGTGTAGGCTCCGCGACATTGTCATCGCCGCGGCCTCTTTTCTCATTAAGAGGACGGCGTATGAACTTCTTCAATCCACTACAATCCTGGAGATACGTAAACTGATAGCCTGAATCGTACCAGACCAGCCAAGTAAATAGCAAACAGGCTTGGACGATGAGATATAGGATCGGTCCTCCAAACACATCTAACGCACCAGGATAAGCTGCTACTTCGTTCCCATCACAGAGCACAGAGAACTCATTGAGAGTTAAAAGCAAAGAGCGAAGAAGATTTCCAGAAGGGGTTATGAGTGCCAAGGTGAAGTGAGCCAGTTTGATGTCAGAATCAATAGCATATGCCGGGCGGAAGGTGAGAATAGTCATATAAGCGACAAAGTAGATCGTAAACATCGCAGCCTGGTAACCAACGGACCATGCAAAGCTAGCCAAGAGCGAAGTTGTGTAAAGTGAAAATACGTAAGACAGCAGACTTGACGTCAACCCGTAGAGCATGAAGACCACAAAAACATATCCCATGTTGTACCAAACGTTGCTGACTGCGAGCCAGATTGCGGTGACCAGTACGGCCACAGCCAGAACGAAGACGAAGTCGAAGCAGGTGTACGCTAACCAAAGCGGGCCCGCGCGAATGCCATTGCTGTAATGAAGTGCGCGAACCTTTTGCAATCGCTCTCGCGTTGGGTATAGAGCAAAGAAGCCTGGGAACGCAGTCATTGACAAGCCAAAGTAGAATATGAGCTGCAGTGTGTGGCCCGCGGAAGGTGCAAAAGGGACGGCGAATTGCTTAAACTGTGTTGCGATTGTCTGACCAGATAATATCTGGTCGAGAATATTCTGCATGAGAACCGCGAAGTATAGAACGTAGTTTCCGACGTATGCTATGGTTGGAGTATCTTCGACATAGATGCCTCCAGGAGCAATGCTATTGTATTGCTGCGTGATAGCATTTTGAAAGTCATCGTAGGAATTTACAAAGCGAACCAGGCTCGAGTTCATGGCTGATAGCAAAGCGACAATGCTTGTATTTGCTCGGTCTGTGGGTCCGGCAAGAAAGAAAATGTTGGTTTCGGTAGAGAATGATTCAACATCGGGGACACTGGACTGAGCCTGCGGAGAACAAGTTAAACCTTGGAAATCTTTGAGAAAAAATGTAACCAGGCCAGCAACGACAACGGGAAGGGCCACTGAAATCACGTAGGGGATGTAGTTTCGTCGCAGAACTGTGAGCCTTTTTTTGAACAAAATCCATGTTTGCGAGACGAAGGAAGTTCCAGACCCAGACACCAGATCGAGGCCCTTTGAATTTTTGACTGGAAATGAGCCGTCCGAAGCTGAACCGCTCGAGGCAGGGAGAAAATTTTCTTGCTTCGGTCGGACGTAACGAATTGGGGTAGCTTCTGCTTGCTCCTCTCCCTCCTTTACAGTTGTTGTCGTTGCGTCGTGCCACGACCAAGTCTCCGAGGCCTTCTCTTCATGAGCTTCCTCACAAAGATTTAAGAAGACACTTTCAATAGATGGACCATGGACGGTGTAATCTTCAAACCCTTCATTCTCGATTTCTTGCAACAGACGAGCCACCTCTGCAGAGTCAAGACACTCAAAGGTGTAGCTTTCGTCAGAAGCGTTGAACTCTGCAGAGAATTTGGAAGCCTCATTCAGTCCGGTGCCGACTAGTTTTGGTTTCTTGACCTCAACACGATAGTTGCCACCGAATCTGTGTTTGAGCTCGGCGGCTGAACCTTTGGCTTTAACATCGCCCTTTGACATAAGGACAATGAAATCACTCAAAACATCGGCTTCATCCAGAAAATGGGTTGTAAGGAGAAGGCTTCTCGAATTTCGCTCTCTTAACAGGATCTCCCAGATTTTACGCCGTGACAGCGGGTCAAGGCCAGAAGAGACTTCATCGATGCAGCATACATGGCTGCCGCCTGCAAACATCATGGCTAGCTGAAGCTTCCTCTTCTGTCCTCCAGAAAGTGTCTTCGCCTTTGCAAGTATCTTAGATTCGAGATCGCATGCTCGTATCAAGTCAAAGACATCTTCTTTTCCGGCTGGCTTGTTTAAGGACTTCAATCTGTTGAAGATCGACACGTGCTCAAACACTGTCAGCTCATCCCAAAGCACATTCTTTTGTGGACAATACCCAATCCCGCCAGTACCATTGACGATGATCTCCCCTCCAGTTACGGTTCCCAATCCAGTGATCGCATCCAAAGTCGTACTTTTGCCACTGCCATTTGCACCGAGTAAGCACAAAATCTGGCCGCGCATGACTTTCAGATTCAAGCACTTGACGGCATTCACTACATTCTTTTTCTCACTATCGAGCAGAGAAAGTACCCTACGGGACCACCAACTTGGCACGTAGCTTTTTTGAAAGTCACGAAGGATGATCGCGTCTACAGAGTCCGGCGACGTCTTGAATAGAACTTTCCTGGCTTTTGAAGCGGTTCCGTATTTGGTACGTTCGACCAGAGCCCCCAATATTGGATAGAGGACGATCTGAAGGAGAAGGAACACCCATAGCGTGAGGACTGGAAGTTCCCACTCACTTGATCCGATGCGGGGAGGTGAAGACTGGAAAAGGTCGGCGGCCTGACCGTTGTGCTCCCATCGTCCCAGATCTATAACCGTAAAGATATAGTTCATCGGAGTGAACAGCAGAGAGAGAATAACAATACTACCTAAGCCATTCGGCGTCAAGACCTGCGCTAAAATGGCCAGGATGAGTGATACAATGATGACTGATATGCCGGAAAGCTGCGCCTTGCTGAAAAAGCTGCCGCCGAGAATTGACCAGCTCGAGAAGGCGAGGCCAGAGAGGACCTGCCAAATGACCACGATCCCAAAGCTGGTTTTCGTGTAGACCAAGACTTTGAGGATCACACCGGTAACGATCCAGCTGGGCAGCCAGATGATGTCCATTGCGAAGTGAAGGGCAAGCAGTCGAACAGCTTGTGTCTGCCAGCGATGTTTATTGGGAACCATTGCTTCGATGAGTTGCGACATGCCCAGCTCCCTCTCCAATGCCATGCGGCCGACCAGGTGATAGACAACACCTATAATGCCGAGAATATATGCAATGCCTAGAATGGTAATGACCGCGTTCATGTAGATTCTCCGGATTTGGTCGCTTCTCTCTTGTTGGGTCATGTCGGTATATGGATACTCGTTGATTTCATCGGGAAGACTGGAGGACCCGTTTCCAAATTCATTCACGATCGCAAGATCAATCGCATGCTGAAAAGGCAGTACGTAGATCTCCTGGTCATTGTCATGACGGTTGACATAAATTCGTTCGCCCAGAGCACTGTCCGCTCGCAACGTGTAGTTCCAGTAACCACTTTCTCCCTCTGTTGGGCTTGAGTAGAATACGGCAGCACCATAGCAGCTACTTGAGCCTCTCAAGCTGTTCCTACACACAGTCAACAGCTCATCCTCGGTATCCAGCACCGTCACCATCTTGCCCGCCGTGGTGACGTAAACACTCAAGTAGTTAATCAGATCCTCTATCTGTCCGCCATTGTGGCCATTCTTCACAAATGCAACAGTATCTCTTCCACCTTGGCTTGCTTGTAACGCGTCGATGAATCCGCGAATAGGCACCGGAGTGCCAATGCCAAACTCAGAGGGTGGCACAAACAAGTTCTTCATGTACGATATAAAGAACATGTATATGGTGGGCGCAAGCAGTGCGCGTATCAAAGTCGACAGCCAGTGCCGCTGCAGAGAAATGCGCAGGTTCTTCTTCGTGAGCGTCCATATTTGTCTTGTCAAGGGAGGGCCAGCCATCTCTTCCTACGTCTGGATGGCGCGCTGATGGACAAGTCGTACACTAGAGGCAACGTACCGGACTCATGGAGTGAAAGGCTCGAGAGTGGTGTGAGCCAGATCGCCGACGTGGCTCGAGATAGGCACGAACGATTCACCTTGATGCTCTAGAACTGACTATGAGCACGAAACACGAAACAAGAAGCAACAGCAGCCGCAAAAAAAACGAAGGGAGGAATTGGAAACCACGAGTGCAGCACCGAGGGTGAGGGTCCGGAGGGCCGAAATGCCATGTTTCGCTAGTCTTGGACACGAAGAAACAAGAGTCACGGCGGTGGAGGTGTGGACTAGGGTCTACGTGGAGCGGCAAGAAAGCAAGATGTAAAATGTCGCACGCGAGGCAGAGGGAATGCGGAGTGGAGCTGCATGGGCTTGGGCCTGCTAAAACTAAACATTGGCAGTCGTCATACATCTCACGTATTGAGCACGGCGGCCCGAAATGGGCGGTAGCGGCAACGAAAGGGATCGGAGAGATGCGTGTGGAACGCTCCAGGGAACATCATTTCAAAGAAAGGACGCAGTGAAGGAGGCTCCAACGGCGGCGGCGGGCGGAAACGGCAGCAGCAGCAGCGGCGACGGTGGTGGCAGGCGTTACTGCCGTTTGACAAGCTGAGACGAGATTCCTCCGTCCGGTTGTTCCTGCCTCCAACATCCTGCTGCACTCGCTTGGGGCTTCTGGGCGACTGCATGGCGCCTTCCCTGTCCCCATTCGCGATCATGGGCGGCCTCGGCATACCGTTCGCACGTTCTCCCGGCCAAAATTAGTGGGTCTTTTGCCCGCCGAACTGATCCCAGTCACGGCAGTTACAGCACGTCTGCATGCGGTTCATTGGACTCGCTGGATGGAACGGCACTCACCTCTTGCAACTATGCGGCTACGTGTTTACTGAGCTACTGATACAACAACAAAAAACTCTGCTCTACGTGCCTTCCTCGATGCTCAGCGCGAGCATCGCTCAGGCCATCCACTACCTCGGATATTTGCCTCAGAGCAGACGATGTGCGTATACTTGGGCTTTTGGCTGTCCCTTGCCCTTGACCTGAACGGAAAGACGTCGTCATCTTCGGAGTAAGCCGACTGGCGACAAGTCATGAGATCCAAAGGGCTTCTGAGGAAGGACTTGCGATGGCTAACTCAATGCCTGCGCCAACCAATCTCACAACCACGCCCGGTAATAAAATGTTGCGATCAGAGACTATGCACACACAATTGACAAGTTGCTGCTTACCTATTCCAGGCGCGAAGAGCTGAGACGACTTGAAAATGAGCTCGCTCTGTTAGAAACTGGATCCTCTGCCACTCACGTTGAATGAGTCCGAAGTCATGGATTTTGGCGTAAAAAGGACCTAGTTAACCATATTGTATGGACAGGCGTATGGCAATGCAAATCGCTGCGTTGAACATCGCCGCAAAGCCTATCATCAATGCGTACATGCGAACGAATGTCCTCGCACTCGCAATCATTAATCCTTTCACCATCCTTCCACAGTCATGGCTTAGTATTCTCACGCGTACGCGTCACTGCAATGGCTTTCAAATCTTGCTAAGTTTCAGGCTTTGTTCGGGCTTTATTCAGGCTTGGCACAGCTGACCATCTCTGCGGCCTCGAGAAGTCGCAGGCAGCCAAATTCCCATGTTGTCATGCGGGCTAGCAGACTTGCAATGTATTTCTATCAATGCGAGAGTGGCCCATGTTTTCAATAGAGCGCATTTCCCCTCAAATGCGGTTGCGGATTCCCTCCTAAGGTCCAGCGGTGGCTACGAACTTGAGTTAATGTCCGATTTTCCCTCGGTAACAGACGTCTTGATGATAATTGAAGATTACAGTGCTCACGGAACCCCGTTCTGAAAGTGAAGGAGTATAAGTAATTGTTTTCCTCATCAAATTGCGTACGGTGCAGACAGAAAAAATTCCATGTCCCTTGAAATGTAGCGTCCGCATGTGCTTCCATGTGAAACATAAGATATGACTGGTTTTGTCTCGCAGCCATATTCTTTTTAAGGTAGTGAAATCAGCTTGACCACTCGGATTCCATGGAGTATATTTTCATTCTTCTCAGTTCTGGACGACTCGAGGTGGCAAATGGTGTGGTATACTACATAATCCACATCGAGAGGAGGCCATGATCCGTGCAATGGCAGCGAAAAGCATCGTGAAAAGGTACGTAGAATTGTCCTCAAAGCTTGATTTACAAATCGCTACCCGATGTTCGATGGCTTAGCTAAATGGACTGCTCAGGCGTGCTGGACTTGCAGCAATGCTTCTGGAAGAAGCGTGGAAGTTGGGGCAGAACAACGTGGCGGGTGCCCTGGGCAGAACTGACGCAGGTAGCCGCACCGAGGAGCGCAGTCGTTCACGGTCGAGCATGCTGACAACCATCAAGACTTTGGGACCCGTGCCATTTCGAAGATGAGTTCAGAGAGCCGAGCAGACGGATCTGGGTGGAAGTTCGGTTCCCAGAAAGGTGCCCAGTCGAACTAACTTCGCGCAAGAAGCCACCAGTGACCATTTTCGTTTTCGCGGGTGACCCAGAGTGCACGTGATGCGATGCAGGTTCGGGGCGCCAGCAAGAAAAGGGACTCCCGAATGACGATTGTCTCCAAGCGCGCTCTGCCAACGCCTCAACCTTGAGATCGATCACCATCAAAGGCGCATATCTCCTGCGACGGCCACCGCGACCGTCAGTATCTAGCACCCAACACATCCCGTCGCCCTCCCAACGACTGACAACGACAGAGCCCTCGGCATCTGGTGAGCTGCGCAACGCGAGAACCCGACACAGGCGCTTCCTTTCCACCACAAAGGCCGCAAACCCACCAACGCAGCGACTAGTGGCGAACTCCACGGTAGCAGCATTTTGCTTTTCACCGATTTACTGCTGCCTCGGGGCTTGCTTTTGGGCATCTTGCGACTGCGTGCGACTTGCTGCCGCAAACCTCGCTCGTGCTCACGCGCCACACCCAACCAGCCTCGCAATCACATCTCCGATTCGCAGCGAGACACGAACACGTTGGGCCTCAGCACGACTAAGCCCTTGCATTCATAACTGTCGCTTACCACTACTTCTTTTCGCATGACACACCCCTAGGCGCTGGGCTATCGGAGAGCATTTTACTGGCATGGCGCTGAACGCGCCGCCAGCCGATCGCAAGAGGGTCAAAGTCTACGTACGTCTTCTACATTATCATTGATAAGACGTGTCGCATGCTTGTCGGAATTGCTAACATATGAATGTAGGAACTTCGAAACAACGACTGGTTTGACAGGGGAACGGGTTTCTGCACCGGCCAGAATGTCAACGTGAGTTGGTCCCATCGCTGAGTCGTTCAGAGCGCGCGTTCACTGCGCTGCGCAGCGTCCTACTCAAGCGACTGGACAAATTCCTGTTTGCTGACTTTCGACAGGATGAGGCACGAATACACGTTCAATCCGAGGATGAACCAGATCGCACTCTCCTTGACACCAAGATCTCGAAGGACGATGGCTACCAAAAACAACAGGACACGCTTATCGTGTGGACGGAGGCCAATGTCACAGACATGGCATTGAGTTTCCAGGAGCCTGAAGGATGTGCTGCTATATGGGAATTCGTAAATGAAGCACAGAGGAATCTGGGAGGTGGCGCAGGACTTGACGATGGCTTGTCCGATGAGCTCATGGATCACGTCTCCAGCTTCTCATTGCCTCCACCGGACCTTGGAAATCTCGCGGAGATTGAGAACACGATGCGAGTAGCGAACAGCACGGCTGGTGGACGAGATGCGCTCGCTAAGTTCGTGGTTTCAGCGGAGTACATCTCAAAGCTGACCCCTTTGGTTGAGATGGCCGAGGAACTGGAGAGCTTGGAAGATCTGCATAGGCTGTGCAACATCATGAAAACTCTGATACTACTGAACGACACTGCGATAATAGAATCGGCTGTGACTGACGAATTAGTATCCGGTGTCGTTGGTGCACTCGAGTACGACCCTGACTTTCCGAGTCACAAGGCCAATCACCGACAATACCTCTTGGACGAGTCGAGATTCAAAGAGGTGGTCAAGATAGAGGAGCCTCATATTCGAAAGAAGATCCAGTACACATATCGTTTGCAGTACATCAAAGACGTCGTCTTGGCACGGATCTTAGATGACCCCACCTTCTCTGTCCTCAACTCGCTTATATTCTTTCACCAGGTGGACATTGTTCAGCACGTTCAGAGCAATGGACAATTCCTCAAAGAACTATTCAGCATATTTGCACCCTCACAAACGGACGCCGAGCGGAGAAAAGATGCGGTGATATTCATACAACAGTGCTGCGCGATTGCTAAAGGTCTTCAAGCAAACGCTCGACAACAGCTATATCAGAATTTCATTGGCAGCGGACTCTTTAATGTCATCACATTTGCTCTCAAGCACCCAGATGCTTCGGTGCGAGTTGCTGGGACAGATATCCTGATGGCCCTAATCGACCACGACACCATGATGATGAGAGGGCAAGTCTTCAAGGCAGTTAACGATCACCAGAAGCCGCTCACAGACATACTTATCGAATTGCTCCTTGTTGAGGTGGATCTGGGTGTGATTATGCAGATGGCCGATGCCATCAAGATATTGTTAGACCCCACGGCCAACATACAAAGTCTCGACGCCATCAGTAGGAACAATAGCGAGTTCTTTGCAAAGATCAGAAATCACGGCATACCACACGCTGATTCATTCGCTTCAGAGCTATACAAGGACGGCGCCAGAAAACTCTTCAAGCCGATAATTGATCTGGAGAAAAAGGAGAACAGTCAGTGGCCTTGGCTTTGAGATCGTATTCGTACTAATGCTTGCTAGTTACCGACATGACATTAGCTGAAGTCACCCTACATACGCATCTTCTAGATTCACTCTGTTGGTTCGTCCGTTCGCATGCCCAAAGAACAAAGTTTCTCCTCGTCCAAGAGAATATTGCGGCACCGATCTCCAGACTTCTCTCCTGTTCAGAGAAGCATTTACGGCTGTCAGCTTTGAAGTTCTTCCGCACATGCATAGGTCTACATGACGCTTTCTACAATGAGCGGCTGCTCAAGAACGGAGTTTTCGATCGCATCCTAGACATTGTCTATGAGACCATGCCGAGGGACAACCTGCTGAACTCAGCTTGTCTGGATTTGTTCGAGTTCATCAAGAGGGAGAACCTGAAAGATTTGACAATACATCTCGTAGAACGATATCGAGAGAGGCTGCAAGGCATTACCTATGTCGAGACTTTCAAGCAGCTCATTGACAAATACGAGAAATATATGCACCCGCCGATCGAGCCTCTATCGTTCACAAGCGTAGAGACGGAGCCTAATAGAGTGATGATCCAAGGCGGGCAGACGTGGAGGCAACAAGGTTTGAAAGATCAGGACCCTGAAACAGAGGCATACTTTAATGGTGTGGGTGACGATGAAGACGAGATTCAGTTTGACGACACTCCAGTCACAGCTCTCAAGCCAGTCCATGCAGCAGGTGCAAACGGTACAAATCCCATCAAACCACTTGTTGACTATCCAGAGGAAGATGACGACGGCACTATGGACGTCTTAGCTCAAGAAGCAGATGAGCCTCAAGAGAGCACTGAACGCACGAGCACAATTCTCGCCGAGTCAACGATCCAAGACACAACTAAGGTATCGAGCCCTCCCGAGAGTATATCTGAGAAACGAAAACGAGAAGAGGATGAGGATGAGGATGAGCTCATGAAGATTGCAAGCAGCCAAACGAAGAGGAGGAGCAGCTCAATAAGCTCTGCAGGGAGCACATCTAGCCAAAACAGCCACCACAGTCTACGGCGAAAGAAGAGTGTCCAAGCAAAGGAGGGAACAAAACCAAAGATCAGCATCGCGCTGGCGGTTAAGAGCGGATCTGCTGGTGGGGACGGGGGGGAATGAAGCTTCACGGCAAGTTTGACGAGGAATACTTGTGAAGCCGGAGCATGCCACTGGAGCGAATGCATGGCTATGATGATGCAATGGGCATAACCCACCCCCGGAACAAAGAAGGGGGTAGATGAGCGCGGCGTCGATGGGGAGAGTTGATCAAGTATTGCACTGGCAAGTGCCGTCTTGGGATACGCATCGAGGCAACAATCATTTTGGCATAGTACGAACGGGACATGCATTTAACGCGCTGAGACCAGCCTCATGTGCACTCGTTTTGCTGCACTTTCTGCATCAGAAGGGGGGCATTATCAGGAGTCAAAGTTGAGCTAGCCCTGCATCAAGAGTCGGTCTATTGACTACTGGGCGCTGCGTCTGCGACTTTACCGTCATAATCAATCTCGCTTCCATGTATGATTATTGCTTGAGCTTGCCCGGGGCAGGTAGTGAATTCACGTGGAACGGTTTGAAGTGAAATACGTCATCTGTTCCTTCTCCATGTCCGTCGTCTTCGTACCCGTCTTCCTCCTCAAGTCGGCTCATCTCTGATATCACACCGATAAACCCACAAATGTGGATGCTTGACTGCGCCGATGAGTCTTGTCCGGCTTTCTCAATCGAATTTCACTTGTCAGGCTTGGGAGGAGAGCGATTCAAGAAAGCTACTTTCGTAATGTTTCCGGTCGAAAGGTGTAACTCTTGAATTAGTATGCGTAATGTTACAGGACGAATTTCCTTCATTCCATCTGCAGCCTTGAATTTATTTACTTAAGCCTGCAAAATTCTTCTCCAAGCACTGGTGGTTTAGGTTGGTTCTCAAACGTCCAATTTAACGAATCCAAATTAACTCCCGCTAGTGGTAAAATCCATCGTTGCGTAAGTTACTTAGCTCACTAAAATTGCAACCGCAATACTGACAATACTAGCATCGATGGGCCCCGCGTTCGATTCGCGGTCAGTGCAAGATCTTTATGATCAAGTTCGCAATTTTTTTCTTTCAGTCAATTTTTTTTCAAAAAAAAAAAAGATAACTTTTCCTTCTTTTGGGTCTAGCGGAACACGGAGGTGGGATTTGAGAAATATTAGAATACAATGGAATGTCATCATGTCTAATTAGTACATATCTTGTCTATGCTCTGCCGAGTGTGCTTCGACAAAATGATATAGAAGTCTTCGGATTTAAACAGCAATTCTATTTCGAACTTTCTTTCTCTTTTGTTCTGTTTACCATGCTGAAGAAGCTGGCGCTCGCCATCCCAGCAACCACAACTCCAAGCACAGCAGGTCCGTTAAAAGCGGGCTTGAAACCACCTTGTTCCAGTATTCTGAGATTTGAGAAGTACCTCGTGCTTCCGTACACAATACTTCCCATCCCAGTTCCAAGCAATGTGCCTACCAACAGCCTCTCATCGCTTTCGCGCTTCCTCGAATTGTTTGGGGGAGACGGCAGAGATTGTGAAGGTGAGTTCGCCGTCTTCAGTTCCCGAGCCAAAGCCGGGAGATCGAGCTGAGAAAATCTTTCCACGGCTATTCCAAGAGCAATAAATCCTAATCCCGTACGTATCCATGCTAGAAACGTACGCTCGGAAGCGAGATGGTCGCGTGCCGTTGATCCGGTGTTCTTGTACAGTGGTGTGCGAAAAAAGTTTACAATGCGCGACATTTGAGTGGGCTTGTGTCAAGAGCCCTGAAGGAGGTGTTGAAAATATCGTGAAATTCGTCCTTGAAATTCCGTTTGATCCGAGGCCTGTTCCCTTATAATGTAAATCTTTTGATGATGTCTGTCAATGTACAGAGTACGAAATGAAGTTTCATATCTAGTCCTCTGCGAACTTAGTATTGATTCAGCCAATCAAAAGCCAGCAGACGGAAACTAGTATACCATCCTGCTAAGCCATTGGTACGCGCAGCTGTATTCAAGGTTGGAATCGTAAAATGTCGACTGTAGACAATTGAATCTGATTTCATTCCGCTGCAATCTTTATGTTCAAATTTTTGTTGAGCATGTCTAGCGCTTTAATTATCCACCCAAGTTCCCAATCTCAATGAGTCGCTCCTTTATTACATATGAAGAACTTTCAAAGTTCGAGGTGGTTCATTACCGTCTTAACTGTCTAATACTCAAGGCATTATTCAGGAGTCGTCATTCACCTTGAAGAAGTCTTTCAATTCTGGAAAAAAGTTAGCCACATCTACTGGAATCTCAACGTGACCCTCGACGGCGCCCGACAGAAAGACTAGCCCATTCTCAAGAAAAAAATGACGATATTCGGCGTCCAAAAACGAGTTCTCAAAGGCCCTAAATCTATAGATAGCGTAATAGATTAGAGAGCGTACTAAAGGCCATCTTCGAATATTGGCCTTTTCTATCATGAACTCGAGGCCTCCACTTGGTTCACGTACGTTGACTTTTCAGGTGATGGACCGATCCAGCGCAGAAATTTCATGGAGCTAGCTTTCTCAAATTGTTCACTGCTGATGGACTGAAGAAGGTCATTGAGTCAGAGAGCAGTGGGATTTAGGAGAATTTGGTTACCAAAATTTCGGCAGAATTCTAGATCAAGACATAGTGCTCTCGGTTGCTGGGTACAACACAAAAGCTTGAAAGGATGGGAGAAAGAGGCTCATTACGCTCAATGTTATACGGGATTTCTGCACTGTGCTGCTCGTCACGTTCTCGAGTGTATAATAGCTCGCCGATATTACAATTCCAAAATGCTATCGACAATCAGTATTGTCCGACAATATTTATCTCGGCACGTGAAAGGAGGACGTTGCAACTCGAGCGGGACGATGCAGTGTTCATCAAGCATTTCAAAATTTGAAGACCTACAGAGAGTGCTGAAGAAATGCTAGCTTTCATCTACCACGGTAGCACTGGCTCTAGTATTATCAAACCATGTAAGCCCCGACTTAGCCAATTGTATCCTTCTGCTAATGCAATTAGCAGACAGTCGATCGCCTCTGGGAACGGAAGGATTTAGGGATGATGAGCAGTGCCATTGAGATCCTTTCATTTAACTTTTGTGCCCAATGGCTTTTGTCTTGCATTTTACTGCGTGGTTCATCGTACAGGACACAGTATCGTCTGATCAACAGGTCAGAAGAGGCATTGTTCGAGTGCCTGTACTTCGTGGAAAGAAATTCGACGTGAACGGGCGACCGTTCTCGATCCTGGAGGGAAGTCTGAAAGCCCTGGGATCTAACTCCAAATGACGTTAGCCCCTTGTCCAGTCCCTGCGCCTCCATGTCTGAATTTACTGAGTCTCTCCCCATATGAGGCGAGAACAGCGGTGATGGCCCAACAATTCTAACCGATCACGCACATGCTTTAACCCATGTACAAACCCTCGGTACATCCCTAGAAGATCCCGCGCGCACCCTCCTCCCACCCAATTCTCTCAGTCGAGACAGAGTTGAGTCAACCTGACGGACTCAACGAAGCTACAAAACCGCGCGCCTCCTGCGTACCTGACGAAAATGCCATACATCAGCGACACGCCCTCCCCATCGACCGCCAGCTCGACTTCCTCGGCAGTCCAATTTTTTCCTGGCGACGAGAAGGAGAAAAGGAGGAGAGACTATCACGATGCGGATGTTGTTATCATTGGAGCGGGTGTGGTGGGTTCCGCGCTTGCCGTCGCACTGGGAAATCAAGGACGAAGCGTGATCTTACTTGAGAGGAGTTTGAAAGAGCCAGATCGCATTGTGGGTGAACTGCTGCAGCCAGGCGGAGTGCAGGCGCTGGAGAAACTCGGACTTGACAGTTGTCTGGAAGGCATTGATGGCATTCCTGTTCATGGATACCTGGTTACATACTACGGCGAGCCAGTAGAAATACCGTACCCATACAATGCCGGGAAAGGAGACGGATCAAGAGCCGAGGGAAAGAGCTTTCACCATGGAAAATTTGTTCAAGCGCTAAGGATGGCCGCTATGAAGCATGACAATGTCACCGTCATTGAGAGCACTGCAACCGACTTGATAAAGAACGAATGGACGGGTCAGGTCCTGGGCGTTGAAGCAACAACGAAGGGTAAGAAGGATTACTACTTTGGAGACCTGACTGTCGTTTGCGACGGGTACGCGTCGAAGTTCAGGAAGGGATACATACGACACACTCCGCTTGCATCCTCGAAGTTCTATGGGCTAGAGATGAAGGACGCAAAGCTCCCTAAACCCTACCATGGACATGTCATACTTGGTGATGGATCGCCTATCCTGCTTTACCAGATCGGCACGCACGAAACCCGTGCGCTCATTGATGTAGCCGATGGCTGTCCTACAGCAGCTCCATCAGCGGGAGGTATCAAGAATCACATGCGAAACGTAGTCGTACCAGCACTACCGGAATGCGTGCGGCCAGCCTTCCTCGAAGCAATTGACAATTCAACTATAAGGTCAATGCCCAACTCGTGGCTACCCCCGACAGTCAACAAGACCCCGGGTATGATCATAATTGGTGACGCACTGAATATGAGGCATCCTTTGACGGGCGGAGGCATGACCGTAGGCCTTAATGACGTTGTTCTCATTTCCAATCTCCTCAGTCCAGAGAATGTGCCGTCGTTGTCAAATACACAGCTGGTCATGAAGCAGATGAAAGCCTTCCACTGGAAGAGAAAAGATGTCACCTCCGTGATCAACATACTCGCACAAGCGCTCTATGCGCTTTTTGCCGCATCTGGTATGTCAATCCTCCAAGCATTGTGTTCTTATAGGTCCATCTAACACCTATCGAGGCTCTAATTTGAAAGCGCTACAAATGGGCTGTTTTCGTTACTTCCAATTTGGGGGGAACTGCATAGATGGTCCGGTTGGCCTCCTTGCAGGAATAATTCGAAACCCCGTTGTGCTTGTTTATCACTTCTTCCGTGTTGCTTTCGTGGCCATATGGGTCAAGACGAGGAGTCTACCCTTGATCATGCAACCTTTCTATCTTCTCTTCGGCGGCGTAAGCATCTTTGCGACTGCGGTCAGGGTCATTGGTCCCTACATATTTGCCGAGTTGAGGACCTGAGTCTCCTCATGGCTATGCTTAACGAAACGTGTATATAATATTTGCGAATTTGTATTGTAATATCCGGCAGTGTCTTGAAGATGAACACTGAGCATGGAGTCTTGGCTTTTGCTCAAACAAGAATATATGATTATGGAAATACATTAACCCTACATAGCTACGTCTATAAGGATGTCTGACTGTTGACTACTGCTTACTGATGGGTCGCGTGTTAAAGCAGCCTTTGTCATTAGTTGCTGGTTGCATGGCGACCGTATTTTTGCTCTATTGGAGAGCCGATGTTGACATACTAGCCCCGATCGTGTTCTGCGTGACTTATGCAGTTGTCATTCCGCGAGCTTGACGTTCTCACCTCTGATGCCGAGTGAAAAACTTCCGTGGCTGTACCTATTAGGAATTACGTATCATACTCAGCAGTGCCTTGTGAGTGATCAACGCGGGTTTCGCCTATCGAACGACCTGCAGGTCGATGCATCATTGTGGCGATACAAGAGTGGCGAAGTAAGTTACAAGTGGAAGGTTTTACTAATCATGAGAGTCGCCCCACATACGTCTATTCTTCTCCAAGTTACTACTATGTCAAACATCATTTTAGCTGCTGGTTTCGCCACACAACACGCACGACAGAAGCATCTACGACTCTTAGCAGTGCATCGCCAGTTAACGAGAATAACCTGCGCGGACTGACTCCGTATTATCTGGCAGCTTCAGCTTCTCGGTGTTCCCGTTGCCGAGCTGAGCTGACGCCTCATGGTGGATAATGCCTCGTTGTCGTCTCGAGGGTAATCGAGGAAACTAATACGAAACGTCTTCGGCCGCTAATTGCACAGGCTAGTAGCATGAATGTTATTACTATTTTGTTTGTCAGCTGAAACTCCTCGGCACCAATATACTCAAGAGCGCGGTGATTAAAATCTGCCACATGTATATGTAAACTGTCGCAGTGTGAAAGACAAGCCATAGAAGCCTGCCAGTTCAGACTTCAGCGGACCGCATAAAGCTGGTGAAAATGGGCTGACGTTCTCGTGATCGTAGAGCCGACACAGCAACTTCTTACACGGCGCGTACTCACGATCGCAAGTGCGTTGGAAAGTGGAACCATTTGCCAGATACTCATCAGCTTGTCCTGGTGGATCTGACGTAAAATCTTGCCACTTCAAGGCAGCAGCAATCTAGATCCTTGGTCAACACTGGTTTCCATTGCACTACTGGCTTTGACTTCACCGATACTAGAGCTTAAGGTGGCCTCTCAAGGATTTCACGGTGTGTTCTGACCAGTAATGGCGAAATATCTTGGCCCCCTTCGGACAGAAATGCAGACATTCTCCAGTAATAGTCAGCTATTGGCTTCTGAGTACACCTAGACGCTGGCGTAGAACTAACCCAGGAAGTAGACAGTCAGACGTGGCGTTGCCAAATGCCTCAGTTTATTTTCTCCTGAGTTGATGATCATCCTCCCTAATTCCGAAATAAGCAGTGCTCTTGAATCTATGTCCTGTACTAATATGATTTCTTTTCTTGACTGGCTGAAACTTTCTTGAGTTGTCTTTTACATTACTGTGTTATAAAAGAACGCCCTTTCTGTATCTTCTAGCTTTGTTAACATCTTTTGCTTTCCTAATGTATTCTCGGGCATCAACGCACAAGCCATCATGGTATCAAGACCTTATAGAGGTGACACCTGGTCTCAATTGTGATGGACAACGTGGCAGGAGCAGCGGCATACGTTTTGAATGCGAATATCTCAAGGAAGCAGCTCTAGTTGCCCTGAAAACAACGGTGTTCCTGTCATGGTTCTACTGCGCAGACGGTGCAGATGTGAAGACTTCTTTGCTAAGGAAAACCACAGTCGTTACATTTCTATGAAATCGTCCTACAGAGCACGTTTGGCTCGCCCATCAGTAATAGATTGAAAGGTTGACACAGTGAAGATTGACGAACATCGCGGCATTTATGGCAGTCAAGGTTTCTACGATGTTTTGAGAACAGCCTCATGATAAATGAGATTCGAATCTTGCTTTCCTCAAAAGATTGATCATAGTCGGACACAGAAACTGCCAAATACTAGGATTACACAAGGCTACACGTCTCTCTACTAATTTAGTGCTTCACAGCGTAGATGTTGCAGGATGAACCCGCTCTGCACACCTAGCAGTAACAACTGGGTCTCCTTTAATCCTCCTATCCGAGAACCGTCCTGCTATCCATCAATCAAGTCCACGGACAGCCATGTCCTGAAATACGCCGATATAAGTGCTAAATCCACATCTCTTGCACCATAAGCCAGCGTCCACATTTCGATTCACCGGTTGTCACGTCGAAGAGTCGTCACTTCTCGTCCAGCCATTTCCGTACACTGTCGTAGCAAGGAAAAAAATACGACCACCGGGCATAGAAGAGAAAGGCGCGATCGCAGCTAAGAGCCACGGGTGTTGGGCAAGGAATGGAGTGTGGAAGGACCTGCTAATGATGCCTGTAATAGGATTGCTGCCCGTTGTGGGATGTAAATCGCCAGAGTTCAGGTCAGGCTCTGACGGCCTAATCCCACTCTTTCTGCTACATATTTGTCTCAGACGCATCGAGGACGTCTAGCACTGCAGGCATGGCCTTGGACTCTTAGTGCATTGTTTAAGGCATTACTGAACCTATGCGTGGCTACATTCGACGCCAATAGAATTGATGATGGGCAGAGCTGCGTGTGAAAGAGCAGAGGTTTCGCCTTGACCTCGAGTAGATGTGTTAGCGTTTGTGGCCTTTCTTTTTCCTCGTTGATATACAGATGAGGCTACGAGGCATTTGTCTCAAAGGAAGACAATCGTTTTTTCTAGAATCGGGGCGAGAACAAAATGCAAGCTTAAGAGTTGTCATGCGTAAGGCGTGCGGACAACTCATGTAGCGTTGATCTTGAAATTTTCACTTCAGGATACAATGGGATCCCATGCTATATCGTGCTGCCATACGCAGCTTTAACACACCAAAGCCTCGCGATAAGAAACCTTGCTGGCTTGGATGGCTAATCAAGACCCTAATGCTACGCTTTAACTAGGCATCAAATCGTGGAAGGCATCAGTATTCTGCAGAATAGTCCCCACTCAGAATGCCCTTCTTCCACTTTGTCTTGATAGGCCTAGCCAGGATATGCTTTGTAAACGAACGCAGTGAATTGGGAAAGTTGCCTTAAGTCGCGGAGAAAGGATATTTAGTGTTCTGACTTTGAGGTCGACATGCAGCGGAATTGGCATCGAACATCTCTTTCGAGAATCACCTGACGCCATCTTTCCAGCAGTCGGTGAGAACGTGTTCGTGAGTGAATGGTGATGCATGTGTCATACAGAAGCTGCATCCCGCCCTCCTTGTGGGCGAATGATAGATAACTCCGCTCGGCAAAAGCGGCTCTCGACGCAAACGGCGGCTTGAGGAGGAATAATTTCTGTTGTTTTAAACCCAGTTCTATAACCAAGACTTCCTGATTATGTACAAAGTAGAAATATATATCCCATACCGTGCCTAAACTGAGGCGACTCCAGAAAATGCAACAGACATAACGCCAAGTCAATGTACACGCTCCAGGGAGCTATCTCAATGGCGTGTAATTATCCGAGTAGGCTGGAAGTCCAGGCGCGGTTGGATCTGGGCTCGGGCTACGGTGTGCGTCGTACGAAGTATCAACACCGTGGCCCGGTAACAGATTTTGCTCAGAAGGAATGGGGCGGAGTCCACTGGCTGTTCCGTCTTTCATGTCTCTCTCGTCATGATGGTCGTCCATGGCGAATGCATCGTCGTGATCGACCTGTCTGGCCGCATTGTAGTGCCTCTTTGACCACCACTGCCAGATGAAGAAGGCACCTACTCCTATGACGGAGAGGAAAACAACACCGCCGACGACGGTGCCGGCAATAATGCTCTTTTCGTGCTTTTCTACGTACGTCTCCGACTCGCAGTTGTCACAGTTCACTCGTTTCGCTTCACCCGTGGTGACAGGAGTTGGAGAGTTGGATGAAAAGTCAAGCTTTGCGCCTCCATCCCAAGCTTGCCCGCTGAACGTGCCCGTGACTGACCAACCCAAATCAGCATCGATGAAATACCAGTTGATCTCGGCCGACGTTGCCGAAACAGAGCCGTTCATGGTCACTTTGTCATCCTGCAGCAGAGTGGCTGCGTAGAAATGCGACGGACATTCGGCCTCTGTGGTTGTGTTCGACGACGCGAAGGGAAGCACGTTGAAGTAGTTATTCTCGTTTGCGTACGTAGTCGTGACCGATCCGCTGATGTCGTACTTGTCGCCGTTCAGCTTGGCGGTGGTCGTCCAGACTTGAAGGTTGTCGTAGCCGTTGTTGGAGGATTCGAGCGAAGCAAACATCTTCCGCGGAGTATATTGGCAGCTGTACGAATCGCCCTCGGTGAACCTGCCCAAGCGAAAGTAAAAGGGATTGGAGTCGTAGTCCTTCCTGCTGTATTGACCACCCGTCCGACTCATCATGCCGATACGAAAGTAGCTGTAAGGTATGGCCTGCGTCTCCTCATATTCGCACTTCGCGCCTGCGGGCGGCTCGACTTTGATGGACACACTCCCGTTGAAGTACGCGTCATATATGTCGAAGTACCAATTCGTGTTTGAATATTTACTGTTGAGGTTATTCTGCGCCGCGTTGTTGCCTCGTGCACTGTCAGCGAGGGGGCGACACGCAAGAGCGGGAAGTACTGACCTGCCCAGTTAGTGCTCGTCTGGTTGTTCTGAATCCAGGCCTTGTTGTCGCTCGAATAGAAGATCACAGGGTTATTCGACCCGTCGTAACATTCGCCAGCGACGTACGTGTAGCTGGTTCGGCCCAGCGCACCTGGAGCGACGTGCGGAGATTGTCCTTGGGCCACATAGCTCGTGCCTTCGAAATGTCAGCTTCGTTGCTTCATGCGAGGAGCTGACTCTCCCGCTTCCTGGTTTGAGGAGGTATTGTGCTGGTACCTTCGTCATGCGCGCCTCCTGAATCACTCGCCCTCTTCGCGAGGTCGAGCGTGGTCGCCGAAGCGAGCGCGCAGAGTGAAGTGACAGTCAGACCGCGCATCATAACCCCAGGATCTGAGCGACCGGAGCAACGCGCTACAGGGCAGAGTGGGGGCAGCGTAGCAAAGGAAGAAAAGAAAGAGAGCGCGGACGGCGTCGACGGAGCGAAGGGCGATGAAAGAACAATGAGATGAACGCAACTTGTCGTCAATCTGAGCGACGGCGATGTCCAGTAATCCGCCTTATCAAAGTCCAAGAGATCTATCTTTGGCACGCTCACCTCCAAACTCGTCCAGCTGGGCAGGGAAACACGAGTTGCGAGCTGCAACCGTGCTAAACTACACTTGTCCCCTGAACGAAGGGCCCCAGCCTGCGTTAACGTCGAGCTGCAGGCCAAGGGGCAACAAGGGTCAATTAAACAAGTATAAGCCCTAACTTGAAGCAGTCCGTTCGATGGGGGCGTGCTATTTACGGCTCGGCTCCGCATCGTCCTCTTCAGGAATCCCATATGACGGGCTGATTCCAGATCGTCTCATGTTTGAGGCACACGGCATGCCAGTGGATCGCCAGAGTGTACAGCTTCTATTTCTTTTGGGCCCGTCTCCAAGCCCGCCATGAGCGCTGTCCTCGTCTTGATCTGGCCTCGATCTGGTTCCTCGCCGCTTCGAAGGCCCCATCATCGTTTTGACGAGCATCTTCTCCTTCGGAACGCGGTGTAGCCACTTTTGCTGATCAACCTTAAATTTCCAAGCCTCTCGCCACCCCCCTGCTTACAGCATGCTACGCGATGGATCCCATTAATATGAATAGCGTGCCTGATGTCGCACCGTATTCAAGGTTTTCCTTGGCCAAACTCCCGCACGCCTCAATCTCCTTTGCGGCTGGAGACGCTTTTGCTTCATCCGACAGCGATGCGAATCCACCCCACGACTGAACCGGCAGGCGACGTGCGTCTTCTACATTGCGGAGTCAAGGAAACTGTCCGACCGACGTGTTTCTAGGGCAAAGCGCCTTTAACTTGAGTTTTGGACCCAGTGGGTTCTGAGGCCCCCTTCTTCCTCGTGTCAAAATACGATGGGGTCCGTCATGTGTGGAGAAGGGTCTCAGCCTCTGGCATTTGCCATTTCGAAGCAAACTTGGGTCTTGCAAACCAACTGACCGCCGATGTTCCACAGCCATCCGCTTAATGATCGCGTGCCATCTTTTCTTTGTCTCGTGCAGGCCTTTTTCGTTTCCGGTGTACTCAAAGAGACCGCGATCTCAGCACAACGAGCGATACCCAGCTACTGTGGGTGCATTGATAGACGTTCATATGTGACCGTGAAAGAGCTCATCTCATCAAAAACCTTCATTTTCGGTTTGCTTTAGTTTTTAAATATACTTCCCGTTCTTTTCTTTTCTTTTTCTTTTTCTTTTTTTTTTTTTTTAAAAAAAAAACACATCTCATGTGCCGCTTCCTTTTCTTTGGAGTCATAGATAACATGAGCCATGAGCAAGGCTGAACACAAGCCTTCCTGCTCATAGAACTGGTCCGCCGCTCGGTCACCACATCCGGACTCTTGGTTACGATGTCGTTAACGAGGCTGAGGCCTCAAAGAGATCGTGTTGGGAATTTACACAAGTCCGGCGCCCTCGCCGGACAATCATTCCCCAGATGCAACAGTATTCAGTGCGCATTGCAAGGACGGTAGCTAGCATTCTGATCTGTAATTGGCCTTGTCGAGTGCTGACTTCGACGAGGACGTAAAAACCTTTTCTTGAGTGAAGTGTGCATTATGAGGCGGTAAAGCAGAATCTACTGCATCGCCCCGGGCGGTTGGTGGGGGCAGGCAGCGTTGGGGCTGTTGGTTGCCTGAGCGCGAGACAGTCATCAGCTCCCTCAATCTGTATCGACATGCTCGCTTCATGGTTTAAAGGAACAGCTGAGCAGCTTGCTTTTGTGATTCGAATTACATCGTGTTGTAAGAAAGATTTCTTCGCAAAGAAAACAAAAAAATACATGAAACTTTACACACGCACCGTTCACGGACGCAACAACTGGTTCCTTGCGGCTGTAGTGTGGATGCCTGCTTGCGAACCATCCTCGCTCGACCTTGGGCAGCCAATTTAAAAGATCCACAGAGAAAGGACATCGCTTTCATCCTATCCGCATCTCGCATGACGAAGGCGGGAACGAAAATCGCTCTTGAACGGCTCAAATCTGTACTGCCGGTTTTTTTTGGTGGACAGCGAAACAGTTAACGACAAGCTTTTATAATCGGCCAACTCATTTTTTGGCGCATCATTCATCGAAGAAAATTATTTGCCCTGCAAGCTGAACATTGTCGCCAATGTTTTGACTTAGGCAACGAACTCACTTTGGCTTCCATATTTTGCGCGACTTATTAACCCCACTTATCTTGAAGCCGCCATCAACAATCCACTCTCGTTGTCATGTGTAAAATGTCTTTACAAGGACAATACGTACGTCGTTTCCAGACGTCAGCAAGATCAGAAGAGCTATACGTATGCGTTTTCTGCCAGGAATCGTTTCCGATCACTGAACAATCAACTTTTAAAACACATGTTGAAAACATGCATTCAAATGAAGTGGAGAGGTGCAGGCAAGACCCAAACTTTGATCTAGAGTCATGGCACGAGGCAGTTAGGAGCCGCTCAAGGACCGTCAGGTCAGAGGCTATTCTTTTGTTCAGCCTTTAGCTGTCCGATCTAACTCTGTCATGTAGGTTGTTTTCGTCGGAACAAGAACAAGACGAGTCGAGCAACGTGACCGAGATGTTGCAAGATGCCGCTCCTCGGTCCTCAAAATCGGAATCCAGACCAGATGCAAAGAGGAAACCAACAACTCATAGAAAGCTTGCTCCAAGAAGCGATCAGCGTGGACAGCCTGGGGATCCCGGAGGAGGCTCAAGTCACAAACGACCAAGATCGTCCGAAGACCAGCACGTTCGAACAACTCAGTCAAAATCTAGTCAACGTCGAGCTATTCCGCCAAATGATTCCAGCCAAGAAGTCCAAAGCCGCTCTATTGCATTCCAAGGCAATTGGGGGACGGATGGGCAACCTACCCGCACACTGTTTAATCCGGTAGACGCGTCAGTCATAGCTACTGCAGGCCAGGTCACACTGCCTTCTCGTTCGGCCGAATCGAAGCCTTCTGATAAGAGGCAAAAGTCGCCCTCCTCCACAGCCGCAGCGGCCTCTAAGCCAACTTCGAGCAATCTAGAACGAGGAGTACTGCCCGTGCCTAATGTTCTTAATGCACAGGCTCCGCCAAAAGAGCGTGGCATTTCCATGCCTGTCGATCCTCGTTGGCCAGATATGCTTCTTCAACCTGATTCTCGACCGATATCACAGGAGCAGTTGGCTGCGGAGGTAAAGTCGATCTATGCAGGGCTCACGATGGTCGAGAGCAAATGCATTCATGTGGATAAAGCGCAGGCTCAGGCTATGAGAGATAACGGGACTCGAATAAGTGATGACCACTGGCAAGCGTTGATCGCACTTCATCGCACGCTTTTGCACGAGCATCATGATTTCTTCCTAGCTTCTCAACATCCCTCTGCGTCACCCGCATTGAGGAGGTTGGCTAGTAAGTATAGTATGGCTGCTCGAATGTGGAAACATGGTATCCATTCTTTCCTCGAGCTGTTGCGATATCGCCTACCTGACTCATTCGAGTTTATGGTCAGTTTCATTTACACAGCTTATCAAATGATGAGTTTGCTGTATGAGACTGTGCCAGCATTCAAGAACACATGGATCGAGTGCTTGGGCGATCTTGGGCGCTATCGTATGGCAATCGAGGACGAGGACTTCAGGGACCGTGAGAATTGGGCCAATGTGTCTCGTTTCTGGTATTCGAAGGCTGCTGATCGATCGCCGGAAGTTGGACGTCTCTACCACCATCTCGCAATCCTAGCACGCCCCAACGCACTTCAGCAGTTGTCACTCTACGCCCGCTCTCTGATCTCCGTGCAGATTTTTAAAAGTGCTCGAGAGTCGATCTTGACGCTATTCAATCCTATCCTTGCACGATCGGACACGATCTCCAATCAGATCTCTTCGCTCGACATGAACTATGTAAAAGCACACGCGATTCTCTTTACTAGAGAGCACCTAAATGACTTTGAAGAATGCCACAATCATGTTGTTGAGCTTTTAGATCAGCATATTGGACATGTAACGGCCAAATGGAGAGAACAAGGAGCATGGGTCATAATTGCACTTCTTGGGGCTCTTTTCGACTACGGCAATGACTCTCCTTTGCGGCGCAGCTTCGATATAGGATTTCACAAACTCGAACAACAAGCTCGTACCACTTCTGAAGCGAGCGACTCTGCTACTATTCTCGATTCACAACAGATTCCTGCAACTGATGGAGACATTGCGATGGACGACTTGAAGGTCCCAGACATTACTGATGAGGAGACACAAGTCGCATTTAAAAATGCACTTGTTCTCTACAATTCCATTGCCACAATCGTGATGCGACGTCAAGGTGACAAGAACGTTCTCCCGTTCATACATATCATGCTTGCCTTCCTGCTCTCACTAGCGAAGATACGTTCACTCGACGCGCGTATCGAATCCGCATACGTGGTAAAGGCTATACTTAGTAGCATACCTTGTCAAGAATTATGCGCGTTTCTTAACACACTTAACCGCACTGATAATGCGGAGGCTCGATACGAAGTTGACACATTTATACGCCCAGAGAAAGAGAATTCAGTTCCTCTTCCGGAAGATTATTTGATACGCGGACAAGTCTGGAGCCAGGATTATTTCCCTGCTGATTTGTTCAGGAGTGGAGCGTCCGACGATGAGGAGAAGAATATTGAGCACGCCTCAACAATGAGAATACGAACGGAACGCGTTCTCAATCTTGCATACCGACTATCACTTGTAAGTCTTTAGGCACATGGTGGACGGTTCTTGCTAAGAGTCCCACAGCAGAAAAACTTGAATATATCATACGACTCAAGAACGAGGAAATTTTCGTGTGTATCGATTGCCCCAGTCCATGAAGATGCATCTTTATCGACCCTCGGAAGACATTTGCAATCCACCCCCGAGGACCTTCTCATGCCTGGGAGCCAGTTTCACATGGAGGATACGAGTTCTGATTCCGAGGAGGACTCCCCAGAAAACAAATACCTCAAGCAACAACTTACGGAACAACTTGGCAAGCTAGCGCTAGCAGAAAGAGCTTCGCCCGCTTTTGAAATGCCAGAAGAAGCCGATGACATCCTCAAGTGTTCCGTAACAGTATGCTTCAATCTTGTATCTATTCTTTCCATGGCCCGGCTAACATTGCGAAGTACATAGTGTTCGATGAGGCATGTGTTCTTAGGAACCAAGACGTCTTTAAAATGCTTGTCCAGCGAAAATGGAAGATCATTGTTCCAAACAAAGGTTCGCTCCATTGCGGCATTGTGGCTCATTTTCTAATTGCCCACAGTAATCCATGAGTTGTCGACCATGTCGGCGACCACTTCGCCTGAAGCAAAGACTGCACTTGAGGCACTCGAACAAGTCCGCATTGCCTACGCGAGCACAGAACTGAAGATTTTGGACGTCAAAGGTACTGATATTACCAAACAATATTTGAGTTCCGAAAAGCAATGGGACGGGTCCAACAATGAGAGGATGAGCGACACGGATGACTCACAGGAGGAATTGTTTGGAGTTACTAAACGTGCTACAGAACTTTCTCTTGAGGCCAATGAGATCCCTGCTCGAGCTGAGAACAGCAAAACCCGTCCAGCAGTCCTTGTGACCGATAATAAGAGAACTCGAGTTCGCGCCGCGAGAAACAAGCTAGCCGCTCTGGCCCCAAACGTATTGAAGGCTTTCCTTGAAACAAAAACCATGAAACGAAGTCCTTTAGCCAAAGACTCTCAAATGGCCACACCGGAGCCAACATGCGCATCGCCGCGATCTGGAGATGGACCACACCCCCCCGCTGAGTCCTTGACAAGCGACATCATGGAAACAGAGCAATGACATAGGAAAAACAAAATTATCCGTCCGCCCCAAGGTTCCCTTTCAATATATAATGGGGAATACCAATCTAGCGGTCTTCCCAGAACCTTATGACCGCCTTTGGTTCTCTCCAGCTGTCCAGGAACAATACAAATAAGAATGCATTCATAGCTGAAGCTTCCCCCAGCGGAGTGATTTATTTGGAATTCTTCTTGGTGCCTGGTTGAGATCAATTCATCCCTTTAAACTCCAGTTGACTGAGACAGAATTCGACCTGCTCATGTGATTACTGTCGTGGCGTAGGGTTATGATAGCCAAAAGACTCGGACCTGGGAGTCTTGTGGTGTTAGGCCGTCAAGAAACCAGTTTGGAAAATCCTTCGAAGTGTGGAAACACATGGTCGCTAACAAGGATCTGCCAGGCGAGGAATGTCCAATACTATTGCAACGTATCTCTTGGAGGGCTAAATATCAGTCACAGAATTGAGGGAACTTTGCAGTGGATGGACCAGTCTGGCCGGTAGCAATATGGAGTGAGGGTGCCACATTCCCTTCCGTTTCGACGATAAAGACTGCGAAAATCTCTGCATTCTAACACCGTCAGGATCTGGGACGCCACCAAAGGCCAGTACCTTAAGACTCTCGGGGAGCACAGCTGGGAATGGTATCAACTCGGTGACGTCGAGCAACAAGCGACGCGTCACGACCGCGTCAGCTGATAAAACTGCTGGGATATGTGGCGCATATATCTGTTACATATGAAGCCGATCCATCTCTTTGGTAAAAGCACAATGCTCTTCTTTCATTTGGTAAATGCGCATTGACAACTCAGAAATAATTTATTGCAAAAGAATTTGAAAACGGGATTAATTTTCATATGGTTCAATAATGATCTTCCTATCAAGCACAATTGACGCTAACAACAAGTCATGAAGCGTTCCTTATCTTAGATTGACTTGACAGGCTATTGTGATGGTGTAATTTGACAAGCAGATTGTCGATTAACCGATGATTCGACCCCTCTGTAACGTAGACGACCTCAGTGCGCTTCACCCATTGACGAAGTAGTATCGTGATAATTTGAATCACGGCTTGACTCGCCTCTCATATTACAGAGACCGGAAACGCTGAATGATTCCGGACTCGATTGACAAACCTCACGTCAGATACGCAGGTACGAGATCGTGGAGTTCGGACCACGGGCTTACATGACCACTGCAATCGAGACTGAGCGTCGTGCTAGAGCTCGAACGGCCTCCTCAGAAATCCTCGCCTGTTGTCAAATGTTTATATGAACGCTAGAATCACAGTGAAAGCCTGCATAATTCGAAACCCGTATGGTCGAGAACAGACAGTGTTGATGTCGCCGCTGAAGCGTGGCAAGTTAAAGGCACAGGTTTGAAGTTCAACAGCACGAGCATCGGACGCGCAGTTTTGTGACGCGGTTCGGTGCTGCGCATGAAACTCCAGCCTTGCTTCTTAGACTGGCCGTCAAAGCGGACACGTAAAGTCGTAAGAGCAAGTCTGAAGTTGACTGTTGATGCTAATTCAGCTGTTCATTAATGTACTTTCATACCCGATTCCGTATTTCATACCGTGCGCGTGTTCTACAATCTCCAAGCCCTCCGTCTAACAATCGTGCATTTTGAAATCTAATCCCTGGTGGTTCAATATAAGCGAAGATTGTAAGATCTCAACACTGACCGAAACTCATCAAATGCTTCTGTACATGAAAAGTGAGCCAGAGCGGGCCGATTTTTACTTTAACTTTAGGACAATTGGGTATCACAAAACTACCTGGCGAACTTGGCGGCCATTATTCTCCTCTCAAAACGCCACCCGTTAACCTTCACAAGTTAAAGGCTTGTTAGCCAGAGGAAAGATGGAAAGAGCTTTTGAGCCCCGTGCAGAGCTAAGCTTGCGAGGTGCGTCACAGCAAAGAATACATCAATGTCCGTTCATCCTTCCATTCAGACCCTGTGGCGGCACTCCAGACATTGACTCCGACCTTCTCCAAGTTGGAGGCTGTGGTCGCTCCTGCACAGGTGTTCCGTGTGGATGAGGATTCTGATTCTCCTCTGGATGTCTCTTTTTCCAAGCTCTCATAATGCCCGGTGCAGCTGCTATAAGTTCTTCCTGAGTGACACCATCTTCAATACTTTCCAGTACCTTCCTCACTGTGCTTATATGGTTCGCGGTGGGCTTGTCATCTCTAAAGCGAGGCGCACCATTCTCCTCTGCCTTGAACCGCCACCGACCCTGAGAGTCGCGGTAGCATTCTATAATACGACCATCTAGCTGCTCGTTTAAAGCCTTCATAGCTTCCCAATCAGCATCTGTGATGTAGAGAGAGGCAAAAGTTTCGTAATCATTAGAACCGTGGTATACAAGCAGGTCGAAAGTAGGCTTCGCATCCCAGTCCTCCGCCGTGGTCCCGTCATCGTAAGTAACGACTGGAAACTGGCCAAGAGCCAATTTGAAGTCGATACTGTTTTCGTGCGCAGGTTTCCACTTGAGGATATGCTCATCTGTGCCAGACACGTAGGTTGTGCTCTTACATGTGAAAACCAAGCCGTCGTTGCCGTGAGGCAGGTTTGGCAGCTTATGATTGAACATCTCCTCCAGGGCATATGGCTTATCCATGGCCTTGAAGCGGACTTCAAATACGAACTGCTCGGCATCTTTTGGGTGGCGAGCATAGAACTGTTTGAGTGGTTTGTCAACAAACTCGAAGTAGCGGCCGATTCTTTTATCCAAAGGCCTGTTCATCAGAGGCTCATTGTCCAAAACAACGCAGTCGAACACGAGGTAGCGGAGCTTCTTGGAACCATCAGGCATAGTATCGTTCACAAGCTCGCCATCAAGGAGCGTTCCAGAATGGAAGGAGTTGAAGGTCGGGTCATTGTGCTTTGGGAAGTGCAGACCTAGACAGGTGTTAGTTGCCCCTGCTTTAGCCAAAAGACAGCATGAAACGTGCCTCCATTTGGAATGAAATAATAGTCGTTCTTGCGGTCAATCAAGTACACAATCTCTTCCCCAGCGTCTCCATTTGTAATATACAGCAGGCAGCGAATGCCGTCCGTCTTCTCGCAAAGGAAATAGCTGTCAAGCTCGTCATCAGTGAAATTCGCACATTTCCACGTACTTAAAAGACATACTCCTGATTGCAAAGCTCGTTGATATGGTGGCGGGCAAAACTGACAGGCTGCGCGCCCGGGAAATTGGTGTTTGTTCTGCCCATCAGTTGCGCAACCTCATGGCGAAACGACTGGGCGAGTTCACCCTCCGCCTTGATGCCTGGTATTTGCGGAACCGACATTGCAACGGTGTTCTGTATCCTATGCCATATCAGTGCGGGATGAAAAGACCAAGAGACTGAGTGTAAATCGCAGTCGCGAGCTTCAGGTCTCCCTGCGTTGCACGGTTCAAGATTTCGCGGGAGCCGGACCCACCGCGGCGGCCTCACCGCAAAGGCGGCATGCTCTGTACGTTACCTCTCTGAGTATGTCCGCTGAGCTAGCGGTCATACCAAGAAGGCAACGTGCAACTCGTCGTCACATGTGACTTCCCTGCTCCTTTTCCTGCTCTTTCCTCGTAAAATACTTTTCATCTCAATTTCAAACTATCGCTCGCTAGTTCTATGGCTGCATCTGAACAAAGCCCCGCGTTCAACATGGACGACCAAGTTACGGACGGCAAACCTAGCGTTTCGGGGCACAAGAAGAGTGGTAGCAGTTCTTCGTTGCGTAATGCAGAGGGCTGGGATGGAAAACTACGCGTGGAGAAGAAGCAGGCCGTGCTGGTCAATCCAGAGGTACTTGAAGGAATAAGCGAGCCCGAAGAGTCTGACGAGGAAGATCCGCTCGTGGAGAAGATCGAGGCAGATGAAGATCTGACAGCCGATATCGAAGATGATGCAGAAGAGATCGACCTAGTACACTGCCGTATACAGTCAATCGAGGCCCTCAAGCTTCACCGCTTCACGGCGCTGCGACGTCTATGTCTACGGCAGAACCAGATCACCAACACAGAGGGTGTGTTTCCTTCGAATCTCGCATCCACATTGACGGAGCTCGACTTGTATGACAATCTCATCTCACATATTCGAGGATTTGAGGAGTTGCGAGAACTTACGATCCTCGACTTAAGCTTCAACAAGATCAAACACATCAAGCGAATACAGAACCTCAAGAAGCTTACAGACTTGTACTTCGTTCAGAATAAGATTTCGACCATAGAAGGATTGGACGGACTTGATTGTTTAAGGAACCTGGAGTTGGGTGGAAATCGAATAAGGGAGATTCAGGGCCTGGATACATTATCGAACCTGAGGGAGCTGTGGCTGGGCAAGAACAAGATTACCGAAATCAAGGTATCTACCTTCACTTCTTTCTGTTCTGCGCCGTCAAAAATTCTGACGTTTTCATCCAGGGTCTCGACAGTCTCACGAACCTTACCATACTCTCCATCCAAGCAAACCGCATTCGTTCGATAACAGGACTCGAAAAACTTGTCAACCTCGAGCAACTGCACATTTCCAATAACGCGTTGACGTCCATATCCGGTCTCGCTCACAATACCAAGTTGCAGGTTATCGACGTGTCTTCCAATCCCATTGAGCGGCTCGAAGGTCTAGAGACGCTTTCGGAACTTGAGGAATTTTGGGCCAGTTGGTGCAAGATCAGCAGCTTCGAGGAGGTGGAGAAACAGTTGGGAGATAAAGAAAATCTGAACACGGTATATTTTGAGGGAAACCCGCTGCAAACTAGAGGACCGGTATTGTACAGGAATAAAATAAGGTTGGCACTACCAAGAGTCAAGCAGATTGACGCGACATTTGTGAAGGTTGAATAAATGGAAGCCATGGAACGTGTGTATGATCATTATGCAAAGAGCTTGGGGTTTCGCATGAAAAGTTATGACTGCATAGCATGGCGCTTCACGATATTGGAATCTTCATGAGGCTCTCTCGGGCATATGACAAGAAATGAAACAGCGTGATCGGAAAACGATCTTCTCACTATCCTCTATTACGACGATAATCTGTTATGAGCTCATATCATATTTGCAGGGGAGATCTTCGACATCAGTGCTGATCGCAACCCTGGTCGACAAGACATGTTCAGCCTGTCTTGTACGCATTCTGAAGTCGATATCTGCTTCATCTGCGCTTCTAAAAAGTGCCTTTATCCGTTACATCATGCTGGAGCATCTCCCTGCCTTCCCTGCTCTCTTCATTCAGTTTTTCCTCGTTCTAGACTGGTTCAACTTCCGTTCTCGTTTGAAGCAATATCTTCTAGCCAAGAAGTCTCAATACGCTCCTCTCTCGTTGCATAATGTAACGATAACTAATCCAATTGATATTTTCAGGCTTATAATTTCAGCCAACGGGGAAAACAATAGTTTTCACACGTAGATGTCAATGTCAGCATTATTTTCAGCACTTCGGAATAGGCAAAGTGTGAAATATTTCATAATGCTGTGCTTATGCGGAAGGATATGCATAGCAAGATACGACTTGATCATGCCTGTATAAGTTGCAGCTGTCATTTCTTTTTTTTTTTTTTTTTTGGGGGGGGGGGGGGGGGGGGTAATCTGTCATCATATTAGTACTGTCAGCGATGGTAGATATGTCAAGTCTTACAAGCTAGCACCTAGAAGCAGCTGAAGCATCCTTCCTCTGATGCATAATGGACTCATGTTACAGCCGGTGATATAAAGTGCTCTGCAAGCACCGCGTCTGATATGACGACTGTCGACGCGCGACGCTGAAGGCTACATATCTACCCACATTAGGCATTGACGCCTCCTATTGTGTCTCGCCACGTCTAATGTTCAAGGATATGGTAGAGAACACAAGACATATTGGAGCGTCCGGATGCCATTACACACAGTTCTCCTAGTTTCCAGGAAGCAATGAGAACAAAGCGCATCCACTGTCGTCCCGTCTTGCACGTGCCGTGATCTAACACGAACAGTCGCAAGTGCACCCACTACAGTCGCAGACTGGGAAGGGCCCACAGGTGAAGCTGTTACACCATCGTTTCCTCACGCAGGGATAACAAGGAAAGCAGAAGATAATAAACGGCCATTCCCACCAATCGATCTTGTCGCTATCTGAGAATACGGACTCATTCTCGTCATTCTGGGTTTGGTACTTTGGCTGTTCGTTGAGCGACGAGTAGTCGATCGGGTTTGGCGAGACGTAAGCGGTGCTTTCCTGCTGAGATGTATGCGGATTGAAACAGAGACGATCGTCGTCCTTCTGAGAGCTGTTCATTTGCAAGTAGTTTGGATGAAGTTCCATGCGAGAAGTCGATGAAAGAAGAGACCACTCTTTATATATAGTGTTTTCAAATAATCTTATGAGATTGAGAGGTAAGCGCTGAAGCGTAAGGAATAGTGATGGTGAAAAGACGGCAGAAGGAAACGAATTGAGACGATAAATTCGTGCACAAGTCCAGAACGAGAGCCCGTAAGCGATTGCGAGGGACGTATCTGGCAGAAGAAGATAGAAGGAAGAAAGGTGTAGGAGAAATCCTGCCGTCGCACTACGTTTATACTCGAAATGCTGTTGTAGAGGCGCCTGAATGTCAAGATGGCTGGTTGATGCTCCGCCTGTGGGCTGTACACTCTGCTAGCAACGCTTTCACATTAGACGATGAGCACGCCTAGAAAAAGCCCATCTTCTCGAAGTAGCTACGATGCGTTGCATTGGTGACTGCTGGATTCAAGTAGCCACTGGCCACCACCGCGTCGAGGATTGTGCCGCACAACTAACTCTCGCGCCGATTGGCCATGCTTGTCTGGGTGATAATACGCAAACGCTGGAATCGACGTGCGCTGCACGAAGCATGCGTTGCATTGGTACGATCCGGTCTGACATGAAGTATGGAGGAGCCAAACGTCCAGCGGTGCTATTTTCGGTACATCAATTCACTGTGCAGCCGCAGCCTCAGGGCGGGTGGATTCCACGTGACAGCAGTCCGAACGGGGAAGGTCCCTCTCGCACTCTTATTCCCCGGATGCGACTGCCTTGGGCACTGCGGCCTCGCACGCCTCGACACTGTTGCAGCCGAGCATGACGTGCACGCCGACACATGACCATCGACTAGCGCAGAGCTGGCCTGCTTACGCCCTTTTTTTCGGTGTGCACTTGCCGTTGCTTTCTTGGACTGCGGCCAAGCTCATTTTGAGATGCCACACCTTGGCCTCTGACACTTTGGCCCCCGAGTCCCCCTCCGTCCTTCATTATTGTCTGTCTCGTAACGGCAGTCGACCTAGGAAGACGCATTTCAAGGCGAATGGAATCTCCGCTAGCCATGTCCGTGCGGGCATCTTTTTCCTCTTGGCTCTTTCCGAAGTCAGCCTCGTGTTGCCTTACCGCCAGCCGATCGAGCTTGACCGCAACGAGCAACAGTTGGGCAACACCCTGAGAAGGGCCAGCGCTTCATCAGCCGTAGGGTTGCTTGATTCTCCTCCGCTAGCATCTCCGGTTATGCATTCCCAGCGTTGTGTCACGTTTAAAAGGGCGTCTCTTCGAAGATGTCAGTCGGGTCTTCGGCATCCGAGTTGCCTACTCTGACGGTCCGTCGCAGGTGTAGCGCAAGCAATGAGTTCAGCGGATCCCAGGGATACTTACCGATTGGTCTTAACGTTCAATGAACAAAGTCGGTCGGCCTTGTATTCGTGCCATTTGATGCTTGCGGAAGTTTCCCTCCATAGTATATGCGTCCAGACGCCCAAGAACAGCCTTCTCCTCCATCCTCCCTATTCATTTAGAACGAGCTTGATCCGACCCGTATTGTTTGGATCAACATCGGTATACTATTTGTAAGCCCCAGTCTCCACTGCTTGAAGTGAATAGCATGATGGATTTGGCAAGTGAGGGGATGAAAAGTGAATACACCATCATCCCGAGTACATCATGGCCCGCCAGGTGATGCTGATGACAGCCTGATTGCAAAGGCTTCGCATCAACAAAGTCTGTGGTAAGAACAGCGAATGCAAAGGACAACACATCAAGACGTAAGCACAACATTTGCACAATGTTTCACTCATATCTCAATTTGAAACTATTTGCGAACATAAGAGTTAAAAAAAAATGAAGCCAATTGCAAATGACATGATCCTAAAGGGCATTTCAGTGGTATCATTGTTCCTTCTTCACATCGCCATTCCTTGTCATTCTCAAGCCCTCGCCATCATCTCCTGCGCTCCCGGGAGTGCTTGTACCACTTCCATAGCCGTCCAATCCAGCCTCCTTAGCAAGCTTTAATTCAGTCTCGCTTCTCCTCCTTTGACTTCGCTCCCGCATTGATCCGCGGATCTTCTTACTCAACTCCTCGAAACCCTCATGAGAGTCTAAGTTCGAGAAGCCCTGTACCGGGAAACCAGTCGAGTTGGTCCTGCTACGCGAACGGGTATGATAGGGTGTGCCGGGCCTCGAAGCGAACAGACCAATGTTGGACAAATTGCGGAAGGATTCGTTCTTGGGAATCGAATGGAGATGGTGACGATCATGATGTATTCTTTCCCCATCCGGTGTGGCTGATTCGAACATGATGTTCCCACTCGTTGGCGAAGTCGGAGTCGCGGGTTCGTTGACGGCGCCGTTGGGGGCTCCAACTTCAGCATGCGAGCCTTTCGACGAGCTTGCATTGAAAGCACCCTCTTCGAATGGATCGGCGATGATGCGCGTATGGTGGAAGTCAGGGAACATTTCTGGTCCCAGAGTGTTTATAACATCAGTGACCTCGGCAGTCAAAGCGCTTCGCTTTTCTCGCAGTTTGACCAAGAGCGAGCCATGCGCAGGGCTAAGAGCCACAAACAACGGCCGAAGAGACTTGACAATGTCCATTCCTATTTCGCCAAACCGTAGTGCCGCATACGTGATAGCGGGGAAGATGATCCATCCTAGGACAAATATCGCCCAGATGGGCACCCATTCAGGGACGTACCCTTGTATCCTGTTCTCGTAGCACCACACGGCCAACAAGATGTTGTAGAAGTTGTACAAAGCAGGTGCCAGAGCCATGGAAACAAGAAGTTTCCAAGTAGCCATAACATCCCTCGCCTGGATCTTCACGGTTGACGCCGCAAGAGCCTCCTTGGACTTCTTGATAGATATTACTTTACCGGCGATGAAGACTGGAGCGAACAGAACCAGGCCGGGAAGCACGCCAATCGAAAGGAATGATAACTTTAACAGCCGGTAAAGAAGTGTGAATATCACCTTGATGATAGGTAATCTGGCATATTCAACTTGATGGTCACGAATATTGAGGGAAAGGAGTTCCTTGTTGTACTCCATCACAGATTTCTTGAGACGAATGATTCGCGGATCGTCCTTGTATCGTTCGTAACCTTTGACAAGTCTGCGGTTGAGTTCAACGACCATTGGCAAGGGTAGTTTTTTGCCCTTCGGATTGTAGAGTCGGCGCACGGCTTGAATGAGCATAAGCGTGTCGTAATCCGGCGCGGTAACGGTGACGGCCACGAGAGCGTTGTACACATCCTCAAGCAGCCTTCCAACCGCTTCTCGTCGGTCTCCATTCTTGTACATCTCGATGAGCTCGGGGCTGACCTCGACCGGCGTACCGAACTCGACGACCGCTCGTGATCGGAATTTGTGCGCGTGGAAATAGTTCATGCCACAGGGTATGATTTGCAAACCGCAGTCAGGATTCGCAGCCAAAGCCCCGAGAGCCATGATAGCAACGCCCGCTGTTGTAACTTAGCAACTAGTACAATCTCCACCATTTGCAGAATATCCTTACCTTTCAGTGGCAGTAGTTCTGTTCTGTCATGACTACCACCTTCGGGGAAGATTCCAATGCAGCCTCCGTTGCTTAAGTTCTCGAACACAGCGTCATACACTTTGGTCTGATCGACCTTAGGTGCTACCTTAAATGGTGTGCCCTTAAACTCGCCCTTCATGTCCTCTTCTGTCTTGCCATCGGGGATGACCAACTCACGCCCTGTCAGCTGGTTAATCGCTGTGCTACCCTTGAAAGGCCTTTTCAGCCTCAGCTCTTCGGGGCCCTTGATCTCCAAAATCTCCGCATTGGCGGCTGTATTCTTGACGTTTGGAAGCACTATGAGCCCCCCGACCTGAAAGTCTGGCGACTCAAAGTTGGTCCCAACGCCGCGAAGCAGCAACGGGTCGTTGTCAGGATCCGGCAGGTATATCCTTCCAGGTACGGATTTCGTGCTATCCAACGCTCTTCCCACGGGAACGGCGCCCACAAGTCTTGCCCCGAAACCGATGAACTTCCTGCGCATCGATTTTTCCGCAATCAGGAACGCAATGCGACGATGGGCTTCCGTGCGTACGACGCGCATAAGGATGAGGGGATCCACGAACTGGGCAGCAATCAGCACATTCCGTTCAATTGACAAGCAGCAAGACAGGTCAGACCTGGTTCGCATGCGGAGCGGCGACGAATATGACCGGTCCCTTTCTTGGAATCTTCCATGCTGAGCGCGGATGCACCTCGCGAAAGAACAAGTCCACGATGATGGAGAAGATCCACAGGAACACGTCGTAGACGAAGTTGTTCATGGGCGGGGCCGCCTTCTTCTTCGCCCTCTCCACCTTTTCCGGTGCCATTCTGCTCGTTCTGAACGTGTCCAGAGCAACTTCTCTGCAAGACGGCCGGTGTTTCCAGCCGCGAAAGCCTGACGGTCCCCGGTGCTAAGAACGGGCAGAGCTATCTTATCCACGAAGAGGCCACCACCATGGTCCTCCGAACGCGTGATTGCAGAGGCGCCGAGGCTCTCGTGAGCACGGCACGATCTTTTCAGCAGCGTTCACGAAGCCGGGTTTGAGCGAGGTAGCGAGGTGCAGCGCAGCGGCAGCAGCATAACAGAGGCAGAAAAATTTCCGTCCGATCCTACGCGACGCGGGAGAGATGGCCGGTACGTCAGAGCTTTTCCCGCAGGAGCGTGCCAACCATGTGGTTTGCAGAGAAGGTTGTGGAAACCAAGGGACGGCGACAGAAGCTTTTTCCAATCGCCGCTCGCAATGAAACAGGAAGACACAACAGTCTGGATCTCCTGCTTGCTTCCAAGTTTCTGCTGACGGCCAGTCCTCTCTGCATCCTTTTGCATCCCAACAGATCTGGGGCCCCACACCACGTATTCTGTCGTCATGCTTTCCTACACTCGCAGGTTCGCAGTAGCTTGGCAACGGGTGCGCCCAATCAAGCGGGAGATCTTCATCCGGGATGGAATTTGCTCGTGATGATTGGAAGCTTAGATCGAAACCTCCGTCACGCGCGGCCTGGCTGGAGCTGCAGCGGCAAATCTCTGTTCTCCCGTGCAAGTCCAACAGATACGGAATGCAGATGCCACAAGTTTCGTGCGTGGCGATGATAAACTCGTTTCCTGAGCAGATTACCCGCTGTGTCTGTGTCACAAGATGAGGGTGGCACCGCTACATGTAATGGGTATATCATTCTCTACGCTAGACCTGTATATTGTCGAACGGTCGAATGCTTACAAGTGCGCCCACGGGCCCTCTAAATAAAGTATAAAGCTTATAAAAAAAAAAATCATGCAAATGCTGAAGTCTACACGATGTCTTGAAACTGAACGAAGTTCACAGTCTTTTCCTACGCTCCTGCAAATCCAGCGGGAGTCCTTTCCTCCGCTGCCACTGCCATTCCAGCAGCACAGGCATGAAGTGCCATAGATCGAACTCGGGCCACATGCACTTCAGAAAGACAATCTCTGTGTCCTGGTGGCACTGCCACAGCATGAAGTCGCTCAGCCTTTCCACTCCACTTGTCCTTATAAGCAGGTCCAAAGGTGGACAGTCCGCGCCCGTAAATGTATGTGCAGTGATCGTGTCTTCGTCAATGGCTTCCGGATCCGGAAAATTGGTCGTTGGCAGCGAGTTATTCGTGTTGGGGTCGCTCGTGCTGAGGTTTAGCGTTGAGGAGTCGACCGATGCCGTGTGGTCGAGCAGTGCCGTGAGCGCCTTCAAGTCTGCAAAGTCCGTCGACGACACTGAGCTATTGACAGCCTTGTTTACACGTTTCCGCTTCTCCTCATCGCTGAGCGTATGGTCTCGGAAGATGTCGAGGATTGCGTCCGTGGGCGCCACGAACGATTCATCGGGATCGATGTGCTCTAGGTATCGTTCTACGATGTTGTCGATGCGTGTATATGCCGCCATAGCTTCCTGCTCGTTAAGATCATCTCCTGCGCCATTCTCGCGAGGTTTGGTAATCTCCTCCGTTTCTTTGACCGTACTGAGCTGCTGGGCTCGAATGTTGCGCGAGATGTGGGACTCCGAGAATGGTCGCTTCAGCGCCGGCTTCACCGGTTTGGTGTAGTCGCGAACGGTGTTTCGTATTGCGGTCGTGATCTCGTCTCGTGAGGTGTAGGGCGCGCAGATGTTCAATATCGCCCTGTCGAACGCTGTCAGCTGGAGCATGTCGACGCATGAAATCCTCGGATTGGTTATCACACACCGTCCGTTGCCACTAGTCAGCTTGATCGCTTTATCGATGGCTTCCAGCACATCTGAGCGCACCATTTCCCGCTGTCCCAAGAATTGCATTTTGGCACCATATCGTTCAAGCAGTTCGCCATGCTGTGCCAACTGCGAAAGCTTCGTCTTCGCCATGTCCATGAGCGCGTCGACTTCGTACTTGGTGCGTTTAAAGTTTTCGATGCTGAAGGCATATATAGTGACCACCTTGACTCCAATCTTGTAGCAGACCTCCAAAATCTACGTTTCTGTCAGCTGCTCTGCCGCATCTCTGGCCACGGTGTTGCCGGATACCTTTGCCAAAGCCTCAAAGCCCATGTTATGGCCCTCAACAACTTCAATTTTATGGCTCTTCGCAAAACGCCTGTTCCCGTCCATCACAAAGGCAACATGTTCGGGAACCGGGCCTTGCCGTATAGCCGCCATCAGCATCTCCCTCACGTTTGAGAGGGCCCATTCTGCCGGCGGAGACTGGAAGATCCATTTGCGTAGATGCGACGTCTGCAATGGCGATGTCATGGTGGTGTAGGATGTGAAGTTGGATGTGGCACGACCGAATCGGGTTGTCCAAGCGAGATCGAGTCAGGTGAAGGAAGGCTGGGGAAAATAGAGAGCCTGTAGCCCTATATAACAGGCTTAGCAGCTGTACTATACAAACATGGCATTAAGAGATCTTAAGATGGTTGAGAAGCAGGGTTCACGTTAAGGCTACTCCGGCTGAAGCGACGCGTTTGGCCAATTAAGCGGACTGCGTGTGATTCGCCAGGCTCGCTGAGCCACTCGAGCATACGAAAGGCCAGAGAGTCGCTCAGCGAACCGACGAAATCGCGCGTCATGGCAGGTAGAAACAGTTTACGATCGAGCGCTGACGTGAAATCAATGCCGCATTTTATACTACACACATGTATACGAATGCACATTTGCATATTTGTATGTGCATGTGCATGTGGTACGCATGGCACTGTTCTCCATCGGCTGGCGCGAAGGAAGATTGCTCCTTCAAGTTCTTTTTTTTGGGACCTGAAGACCACATTACGTTTGCGTTCATTTACGAGGTGAGAGGACTGTACAACGAGCAAGCTTGCCTCAGATATATACGGATCAGATGGGGCCAATGTCGCACGGGAACGCGATGCTGCTCCTCAAAAGGACGACTGCGCTCGGGATAGTGTGTAGAGGGCAGAGGGTCGGTCATCAACGCAACGCATCTGCCGGGAACAGGATCTTGGCTGGTTCCGAGCGGCGTATGGAGAGGATCGCCGTGCGGCGTCGCATGCCATTCTTGATCTGTCAGCGTGCCTAGACGCAGAACGGAGTTGGCTTCGGCTTGCTGCGGAGGTGTGCAGCAAGAGGCAGCACTTGAGGATGTGCATGCGACAACAATGATGCCGGCAGACTGTGGTTGTCGAGCGGTTACGGAGTGCTGTGCTCTGCCCTCTGTCGATGCCACCGCACGGAGGCAAAGATCGCGCCTGGGCGGTTCCTTGGCCATGCGCTAGAGCAGAAAATCCAATGGGGGCAAAAGAGCACGAGGAAAGCCGATACGACCGGGCCTCCGAGTCCAAGTTATCTCGCTTGCAGACGATCCATTAGTGGACTGCTCGCCTCAGGAAGTTCCTCGACCCGTTCCGAAAGGCTTGGGGAAGGACAGATATTCGGCCGCTACCCGCTTTTTCGCGATCCACATCTTATCTTGGACGTGCACTTCGTCCGTCCGAATTTGCAGGTCGAACAGGACACGCTGGCACCGAACGCGACAGGAGCGGCCATGGGGGAGCGAACACATGTGAACCACCGCGACCTTATGTACAGGGCCGAAAGAAAACGCAGGGCGAGAGGAAACACAGTGGGCGAGAGGGGAAGCGCGGAGCACGTGGCGAAGAAGAAAAGCGGGAGAATGTTTGTCCACGGGGCCAGGACAGGCCTGGAGGTCGATGGGTCGCCGTCGTATTTTCAGATCGTGGAACAGACAACAAAAGTACAGCATCTTCCACTTGGTGTGATTGCAGGGTCGTTATGAGCAGGATGACGAGCCAGACCACGACGGCGATGGCTGGGCCTTGACCCATTTCCACGCCGCATCCGGGAGCGGCTCAAAATAAGCGAACGGCGTTTTGTGCACAACAGGCTGCACAAGAGCTTGCACAACTCGGAAATCATCAGCATCCGCATGCCGACGGGTGGAGCAGCTTAACCTGTTTGGACGAAATTGCAGGTCCAGTTCGGTGGTCGTCGTCCGTCATTCTGCAGCCGTGATCCGCTCACTCTCCCACAGGGCCCGAGCTCTACGGATCGAATAAACAGACACCATCCCGAAGTCTGGTAGAAGCCCACGATTGGCGAACAAAAAGGTACGCCTTCGTCGTGACGTGACGGCCTGCTTCTGCCCACGCCTTCTTTTTCCTTGGTACATCTTCTTAATAGCCCGTTCCTTCCTAGCTCGTTGGCCTTCGCCGCATCTTTGTCCTCCACTTTGTTCTTTTCCTTTATCTTTCAACCACGCCTAGCTTTTCCCCTTGTCCTCGTCGTCTTCGTCTTCGTCCTTGCCTGTCTTACTCCTTCGTCTCTTGCCCGTTGACGCCACAGCGGTTATCTTGCTCGCGAGCCTGATAAGGCTCCCCCGTCAGTCATGTCGCTCGTTGGCAACGTCGCCGTCAACAATGCAGACGCGACGGACGTTCGATCGGGTGCTGCTCGCCCAGGTACTGGCCGCAGGCCCAGTACAGCTGCTGAGGATGCCGAGAATACGGCCATCGGTTTGCACCGTATAAGATCCGGCCATTCGAATCGTAGGCCGAGTTCGGATGCGGCACCTCTGCCTTCACCAAAGCAAAGCAGTGAGAAGGCACCTGGTTCAGAAGATGAGCTGTCAAAGGTCGACGAAGCAAAGGGGGCCGAGGACTCCGCAACCAGCGTCGACGAAGAAGATGAGCGGAGGGAGAATGAGATTAAGGGTCTCGCCAGAAAGATGACCCATTGTTCGTCACATTACGACGATTCTGATATCAACCCTTTCAATGCTCCCCCGGGCTCGAGATATGATCCCTCATCGCCGGCATTCAATGCCAAGGCATGGGTCCGTCGTGCTATGGAGTTCTACCGCTCGGATCCTCAAACTGGTCCACCACGTACTGCCGGTATCGCGTTCAGGAATCTTAATGTTTTTGGCTATGGGAGTCCCACCGACTATCAGAAAAGTGTCGGCAACGTCTGGCTCGAGGCGTATGGCATTGCTCAGAAGCTCATGGGCAAGGGTCAGCGCAGAATTGACATCTTGCGAGACTTCGAGGGCATCGTAAACCCAGGTGAAATGCTCGTTGTCCTTGGTCCACCAGGTTCAGGCTGTTCGACATTTTTGAAAACTGTATCCGGAGAAATGAACGGCTTGAACATCGAGGAGGGGTCGTATATCAACTACCAGGGTATCTCTCGTCATGACATGCACAAGCACTTCAGAGGTGAGGCTATTTATACTGCTGAGGTTGACGTGCATTTTCCCGCCCTTACAGTCAACGACACGCTCACCTTTGCCGCTCGAGCCAGAGCTCCCCGCTACATTCCAGGCGGTGTCACGAGGAATCAGTATGCCGATTATATGCGCGACGTTGTAATGGCCACGTTCGGCATCTCGCACACAGGCAACACTCGCGTTGGTAACGATTTTGTCCGTGGTACGTATCAATGCTCCATTTTGAAAGGTCTCGAAAGCTGATAATGGATATAGGTGTTTCTGGCGGAGAACGGAAACGCGTCACTATCGCCGAAGCAACACTGTCTGGCGCGCCACTCCAATGCTGGGATAACTCGACTCGTGGTCTCGACAGCGCAAATGCCATCGAGTTCTGCAGGACTTTGAAAATGAATGCTGAGCTGACAGATACGACCGCATGTGTCGCCATCTATCAGGCACCCCAATCTGCCTACGATCTCTTCGACAAAGCGCTCGTCCTCTACGAAGGCAGACAGATTTATTTCGGCCGCTGCGATGAAGCAAAGGCATACTTTGAGGCCATGGGCTTCGACTGTCCGGACAGACAGACAACTGCTGATTTCTTGACCTCCATGACCAGCCCGCAAGAACGTGTTGTGAGACCAGGCTGGGAACATAAAGTTCCTCAGACGCCAGATGATTTTGCGGCACGCTGGAAGGAGTCGGAGCAGCGCAAAGCGTTGATGGCGGAAATTGACGAATATGACAAGAAGTATACCATTGGAGGCGAGTACCTCCAAAGGTTTAAGGATTCTAGACGAGCGCAGCAATCCAAGCATCAACACGTCAAGTCTCCATACACCCTTTCCTACGGCGGGCAAATCAGACTTTGCTTGTGGCGTGGTTTCCAGCGGCTCAAGATGGATCCTTCAATCACCTTTGTTCAAATGTTCTCTAATAGTATCATGGCTCTTGTCATCGGCAGCGTCTTTTACAACCTTCAGGACACTACCGCCAGTTTTTACTCGCGAAGCGCACTTCTGTTCTTCGCTGTTCTGATGAACGCGTTCGGTTCGGCCCTCGAGATTCTCACTCTTTATGCTCAGCGACCCATTGTCGAGAAGCAGGCAAGATATGCATTTTATCATCCAAGCGCCGAGGCCTTTTCTAGCATGCTGGTCGATATTCCGTACAAGATTGGCAACGCTATATCCTTCAACATCGTTCTGTACTTCCTCACAAACCTTCGACGAGAACCAGGAGCCTTTTTCTTCTTCCTACTAGTCTCCTTCATCACGACGTTGGTCATGTCCATGTTCTTCCGCTTCATCGGTTCAGTTTCACGGTCTCTGGCACAGGCAATGGCCCCAGCCGCCATCTTTATTCTGGCCATCGTCATCTTCACGGGCTTCGTCATTCCTACGCGGTACATGTTGGGTTGGTGCAGATGGATCAACTACATCGATCCTGTGGCCTATGCCTTCGAGTCGCTCATGATCAACGAATTCCACAACCGAAATTTTACCTGCTCGTCCTTTATCCCGAGTGGTCCCGGATACCAGGGCATTAGCGGCCTGAACCGTGTTTGCACTGCTGTGGGATCAGTGGCAGGTGCCACTTCAACCAATGGTGATGCTTACATCAATTCAGCGTATGAATACTATCACGTGCATAAATGGAGGAATGTGGGCATAATCATCGCCTTCGTCATCGGCTTCTGCTTCTTCTACATCATTGCGGCTGAGCTTGTTTCCGAAAAGCGATCCAAGGGTGAAGTACTTGTGTTTCGACGTGGTCACATGCCAGCTTCAGTGCGAAGTACGAGTACTGCAGACGATGAGGAGGCAGCGGGCGAGAGGCGAGGCAGTGTTATTAAACAGGTTCACACACAAGAGGATGTGTCGGCGATGATCCAGAGACAGACAAGTATCTTCTCGTGGCGCAATGTCTGTTATGACATTAAGATCAAAGGCGAAACACGTAGGATTTTGGATCATGTCGACGGCTGGGTTAAGCCAGGCACTTTGACTGCCCTCATGGGTGTCTCCGGTGCCGGCAAAACCACTCTCTTAGATGCTTTGGCCACACGAACGACCATGGGTGTCATCAGTGGTGAAATGCTCGTCGACGGACGTCAACGTGATCAATCTTTCCAAAGAAAGACCGGCTATGTTCAACAGCAAGACCTTCACTTACAAACTTCGACCGTCAGAGAGGCTCTCAACTTCAGTGCTCTGCTACGTCAACCTCGTCATATCCCTCGCGCCGAGAAGCTCGCTTATGTTGACGAAGTTATCAAGCTGCTGGATATGGAGGAATATGCCGATGCTGTTGTCGGTGTCCCTGGCGAAGGGCTCAACGTTGAGCAGCGCAAGCGATTAACCATCGGTGTAGAACTTGCCGCTAAGCCGCAGTTGCTTCTATTCCTCGATGAGCCAACATCTGGCTTGGATTCGCAGACATCTTGGGCTATTTGCGACTTGATGGAAAAATTGACCAATTCCGGACAAGCCATTCTCTGCACGATCCACCAGCCTTCTGCAATGTTGTTCCAACGCTTCCAGCGCCTGCTTTTCCTCCAAAAGGGTGGCCAAACTGTCTACTTTGGCGACATTGGACCGAACGCTGAGACCTTGATCAGTTATTTCGAACGGAACGGCGGTTTCCCTTGTCCGAAGGATGCTAATCCGGCCGAATGGATGCTTGAGGTCATTGGCGCAGCTCCTGGTTCGCACACTGATATCGACTGGTTCGAAGTATGGCGCAACAGTCCAGAATACAAAGAGGTCCACCGGGAACTCGATCGACTCATCGAAGAAGGTCCGAGCTCACAGGCTCTTGAGCGAACACAAACCCAGCAAAAGAGAGAGGATAAAGCCGCCTATGCACAGTTTGCTGCTCCGTTCAGCGAGCAGATGTGGGAAGTTCAAAAGCGTGTCTTTCAACAATACTGGCGAACTCCTAGCTACATCTATTCCAAGACCTTGCTTTGTCTTTCAACGGTATGGTTTATACCCTGCCACCTAGATTATTTTTGTTTGCTGACAGTCTGTAGGCGCTTTTCGTTGGTTTCATCTTCTTCAAGGCTCCACTTACCCAGCAGGGTCTCCAGAACCAGATGTTGGCCATCTTTATGATCTTCACTTGTTTCGGTCAACTGGTGCAGCAGATCATGCCTCACTTTGTCACGCAGCGTGCTCTTTACGAGGTTCGTGAGCGCCCATCGAAGACATACTCCTGGCAAGCATTCATGCTCTCAAACATCATCGTGGAGCTGCCTTGGCAAACGTTGATGGCCGTGATCATGTTCTTTTCGTTCTACTACCCTGTCGGATTCTATCGCAACGCCGAGCCGGCTGGACAAGTCCACGAACGAGGTGCCTTGTTCTTCCTCTTGATGTGGATTTTCCTCATTTTCACTTCAACTTTCACGCACATGATCATTGCTGCGGTGGAAACTGCCGAAGCTGGAGGTAATATCGCTAACTTGCTCTTCTCGCTCACTCTCGTCTTCTGCGGTGTCCTCGCAACCCCTCAACAGTTCCCCGGCTTCTGGATTTTCATGTATCGGGTGTCTCCCTTTAATTACCTCGTCGACGCGTTCCTTTCCGTCGGTGTTGCGAATACTAAAATCACATGCGCATCTAATGAATACTTACATTTCCAGCCTCTTGAAGGCCAAACCTGCTCGCAGTATATGAGCAGGTATATTAACAACTTCGGCGGCTACCTGGAGAATCCGGATGCAACCAGCAATTGTTCGTTCTGCACCACCAGCGACACAAATGCCTTCCTCGCCTCTATCAATGCAAGCTATAGTCACAGGTGGAGAAACTTTGGAATCATGTGGGCGTATGTTGTCTTCAATGTCGCTGCTGCTCTCCTGCTTTACTATCTTGTCCGCGTGCCCAAGGGTGCGAGAAAGGAGGACAGGGCCTCACCAGTCAAGTCGTCCGAAAAGACAGGCAAAAGCAAGTTTTCTCTCTTTTCAAAGAGAGAGGAGGCGAATGCAAGTTCTTAAATAATTCAAAAAAAATTTTTTGCTAAAATGGATGTGGGTGGTGTTATTTTTGGGCAGATGATTCTTGTCAATTCAAGCTATGCTGTTGTACTTTGGTAAGCATCGACTGCAATTTGTTCAGAAATCCAGAATTAGAGTAGATAGGAAGGCTGTAATGGTTGGTATTGTATAATATGGACTTCGTAATTCCAGACTTTTTATTTTTCTTTTTACAGGTCAATTTACCCGTTCTTGAGTTTCCGCTGTCTGGCCCGTCTTTTTTTGCCGGGCTCCCGTAATGCGTGAAAATACTTTCCATGTTTCCGCCCGAAAGCGGGTGGCAACTAGCCGCCTCCACCTTCTCTTGTGCACGTGTGAACCACGGTAGTGTAAGTCTTCGATCGTAAAGGAAACGCTGAGCTCGATCGAAACCAAACATTTGGCAAAGCCGCACGAATACAGCTAGGGGAGAGAAAATAGGATCAATAATGGCTGCTCCTGCGCGCAGACTACGTATGTACTTTCGTTGGGCGAGTCGAGAGCGGCAACGTCGACTAACATGTGTTCAGTAAATCCGGCACTCTTGTACGCACTTTAGGGGATGGCACAGCGTTTCCAATTTCATTAGAGGGCTAACCGTTTCGTGAAGCATCTGCGACCTGCAGGAGAAGTTCCGACCTGCCATTCATGAGTATGGACGGGTGATCGCCACCACGCAAAAGATGCTCAAAGCATGTACGTCGAGCGAGTGAGCGCGTCGGGATAGGCCCGAATCGTGTCCTGACCTCTTCCAGCCAAGATCTTGAACATCCCCATCGTGGCGACGACCCAGCAGCGTGCGAAGTTGGGCGAGACATGCGCAGAGCTCAAGCTCGATGCTCCGGATGGCTACAAGACGTTGATCCACAGCGACAAGTCACTCTTTAGCATGTGGACGCCTGAAGTGCAAAACGCGGTGCGCTCTTCGCTGCTGTCGGGATCGCAGACTAAGATCTCTGCCATTATTGTTGGCATTGAGTCCCATATCTGCGTTACCCAGACCACTTTAGATCTATTAGCCGCAGGCCACAAGGTGTACGTGTTGGCCGATGCAGTGAGCAGCTGCAACAAAGAAGAAGTACCTATCGCGCTTGCAAGGTTACGTGCAGAGGGTGCGGTCGTGACGAGCAGTGAAAGTTTTTTGTACGAGTGCATGGGCGATGCGGGCATCGCAGAATTCAGAGACATTTCTAGGCTCGTCAAAGAGAGCAAGGACGACACAAAGAGCAGCTTGGAGGCGCTGTGTAAGTTATGAGTGACGAATGTATATAAATAGCTGAAAGCTCATCACGACATTATACAGGTGCGCGCATCTAGGGTATGAAGTTGGTGAATTGGCATTTCGAAGATTTATAGACGTCCATTTCTACAAGTGGACATTTATCTGATGTAGTAATGATCTGAATGTGAACTCATGGAGGTGCCAGTGCGTCGCCAACGTCGATTCCAAATATCCGCTCGGATTTACGTTGAGGTCGTGGTTTTTCAAAATATCCGAGACTGAAATCGAACATGGAGAAGACGTTTGTGTCTTTAATTGTTTTAGGTGACGCCCACTCGGTGCCAGGAGGAACTATGCCTTCCAGAAGGCTCGATTCCGCTATGAGAGAACTCATTCTTGCGATAGAATAAGGATTGTAAGGAAGCACTCGGCGCGTATCTGCGATTACAGATGACACAGCCATGAGGAAGAAGATAGCCCCGAGAAGTCCCTCGATAATTCGTGTTGAGATGCTGTCCTGCACAAGACGACCGTTAATTGGAAAAAACAGGGCGGAGCTCGCAACTGTGAGAATTGGAGCAATCAGTGCTGCTGCCGCCGAAAAAACTACTCCCCAATGTCGATTCTGAATAGCTTTGAAGACAGCTACTGGGGCCATGTGCGCGAGGTAGTTGACTTCAATTGATCTCGCAGCTGGAACATGCCCCCGCTTCAGCATTTGGAAAGGCTGTATAAGTCGAGTAGCATGATCTACCATGCCGACGAACATCATTACGACGACCGAAATGAATCCGGGAAGCACCTGCCATAAGTAACGCGTTCGATTCGAATCTGCCATATTCACCAGTCCAGTATTGGTTTGCGATCGCTGGTGCAGAAGCTCCACAGCAACAAGAGCGCCCAAAATAAATGCCAAAATACTGAGACGGGTCAGATCGTGAATTGGTGACCACCACTTTTCGGGTGCAATGGCCCGGGGAACTTTATTCAAAAAGGAGCCAGAAGCTGCATCCTCTTTGGAGGCTAGAGATAGTCTAAAAAAGGTATCACTGCCTTTCTTCCCAATGCTTGTCTGGTAGCGATGTTGGTAGACTTCCTCCTCCAGCCTCTCTGGTGATGCTAAAGAGAGACCACGCATGACACGGACATACGCAGTACTATTCGATAGAATGGCTGAGAGTCCGGCAATAGTGGAAGTATCATTTGGTGTAGCTGGAGCAGGTCGCAAGAAAGTCATTGAAGCGACGAGAAGAAGCGACGATCCTATCAGGGTTTCCATAATTCGAAGAGGTATCGGTTGGATAATCAGCTTTCCATCTTGTAAGGAGAGGACTGCAGTAGAAATGATGATAGTGAGCTTGTTGAGGAAACCAACGGCAATCGATACCGCGACACCGGGGTGTCCTGAACTCAAGGATTGAGTGAACGAAATTATGTTCAAAGGTGTAATGTAATTTAAAAGAATGGAATGTGAAGCAGACGCAGGGGCAGTAGCCATGGTCCGCCATGGCATTAATTGCTTTGTGCGATATTCAACTTGACTCCAAACGGATGCCAATATAATGAAAAGTAATGGTGGAGGGTAAGTCCATATGAAACGAGCGGTCTCTGTCCACTTTCGTATTCCGTCCGGCCGTCGAGATAGTAGCGACAAAATCTCCAATGCTGAAATAGAGGAGGAAAGAAAAGCAACAACTGCCAGCAGTGTGATGAATCGTAGCGGCCATGGTGACCAGAGGCGTCCAACGTGGTCTATTGCACACTCTTGAGGTTCATCGTATTGGATTGCGAGGAGCTCATTCGAGAGTGTGGATCTCTGATATGGAAGTCGACTTCTTGAACGGGGCAATCTTTGATCTGAGGAGGAGCCCCTAGACTGCGCTGTTGGAGGTGGGACTGACAATCGTGGCCCCAAGTGCAGCGCGTATGAGTTGGGATGTGCAAGATCGAGTGGTTCTGTGACTGTTAAGGATATGTTTGCCCCATGCTCCGAAATTCTCAGCACATGTGAATATCGCTGCGTAGATGACAAGCTTGATCCGGCGCTCAGTCTAGTTGTAGAACTGTTCAACGTCTTTGCATCATCCGACACCAGCTGCGATATTCGAGTCGATTGGTGCATTACTGGAGAGGCATCTCGACGCCGTTCAGCCATAGCATCTATGAAAGATAAGTACAAAAACTACTGTGAATGTCCCCTCCAGATCATTAGAATGGATGATTGAAGAAAGTCGCCATCAAGGAAATTAGAGGAATGAGACTGTTTAGAAAGTTGGAAGGAAGCACTGCTAGGAAAGCAGAGCAACCTTGGCAATGCAAGAGTAATAAGAACAGAACACAGATAGGTTTCTGGCTACGTTGAAAGCTCGCAGCGGTAATAGATGTGTCTCAAGCATGCCCGGAGCAGACTTTGGGTCCAGTTGGTGTGCCATGATCAACATACTCAGTTGAACTGATTGAGGCGTCTATTTGCTTACAGCCACGAACCGGGTGCCAAAATTGTACGTACTACTTGCTCAACGAACTGAGCTCGGAGCACGTTCGGATCTTGTGACATCGCACAAAGTTTCGTAAGCCGCAACAAGCTACACGGAAGTGTGTTGTGAGACGATCCAGAATACGAGACGACAGGTCGCGAACGCCATCGAAGATTCAGGTAGAGCAACAGATCGCGCTTAACCATCTTTGGACGAATCACATCGGGTTTTGGCACGAACGGCAACGCGAGCAGCGTCTCGCTCAGTCCGTGTCGCAGTAAAAGTCGCATGTCCTGGCTTGTTTTCTGTCCTTTACCGTCGGAGACTGATGGCTTGACATCTGAACTTTCTCAAAAGAGACATCGGAGATTCTTCCGCGTGCCGTTTTGGGACCCGACTTGCCGTACCATTAAGACGGCCCAACGATTGACTTCGACAAATGGCGTGATAGGAAAAGTTGCGATACACACTGTAGTTGATTCCTTCCTGTATGTGACTCTATGAGGAAGACGGCTGAAAACACGATATGATTTAGTCCTACAAAGGAGCGAAGATAACGACGTTCTGGAAACGCAGTACCATATTGGTGAGACAAGGCCGTCTGGATTTGCGCATCGTGACCACACCGGAACTTGCGGGCCGATCTTGCGCTGTTTGAAACTCTATACGTATTCACAAGTCATCGTGATGGTGCCAGAACAGTCTTACGCCAAATTCGCAGAACGAAGGCCACAACAACATGTTCCTGACGACTTCTCATGGACACGATCGGCCATCTGTGGATTTGACATACATCGGCGTTGTTCCTTGTCAACGCTTCTCAAGTTGTCTGAAGTCCACATTGATCTGCGACAAAGATAATGGAGCTGTTCATATGCAGTCCTAAGTTGACCGAAGCATAATGAACATAGTTGACGTCATTCCAAACCTTATCCCAACGAGAGACCCGTTCCTTTGGAGACTGAAGCAAGGAGATAGATTTTCAAAACACGAATATCTTCCTCTCGCAATTGGCTTCGTTAAGTTGTTCAACGCCTCGATTCGCTAGTATAGCTATCAAGATCGAGGGGATTCGGAAGAGATTCACTCCGTCGTGCAAACTGGGGCCATGAAATGGGAGCAAACAGCTCATGAGCGAGAAGTAGCTATCTGCAGAAGTAACTTGTCCTAGTGCCGTGGAAGATGTTGAGTGGGGCATGATCAGACCCAGTTATAAGTCTCTCAGCTATGTTTAGCTTCGGGATCTAATGTTCAACCGATCGCTAAATGCTGAAACACTACAAGTAGCATGTACTATGTCCCCACCACTCCCTTCTCGATGTAACTTGCTCGTGATAATACTTACTCTACATCGCCATGAATAACAAACATATGAAAGCGAACGAAGAATCGTCTAGGAGCATGAGGCAATTCTCTTTCCGATGGACGAGACTGATCAAATTAGAGCATTTTACCAAAAAGAGAACCACGAGAAAGATAGGTCCCTCGCTTAGCATCTTGCATCTGTGTGTATCATGCCAAAAGCGAATGAATTCCGTATGTCTGAGCGTGGCTAGTTATCACTTGTATTCGTCTTATTTCTAGAATTTCGTAGGTTTTCTACAATCATTTTTATCGTCTACAATCAGTTGGATGATCTAAAGTCAAAAACAACGTTAGGTATAGCTGTATCGTCCTCCGCGGGTGTAGAGTCGTAACGTAAGTATGTGGACTTGGCTGACATCAAGGGTCGCACTTCGTTGTCTCCTCTCATAGGCTACGCATGAGGCTTCCCTAACAAAATCTTGCTCCTTTACGAAATACACTGTTGCACGAGACATGCACACTGTAAGGCAAAAGGTGTCATGGACATGAGAACAGATGATCTTCATTGCACGACTGAAGCGACATTAATACAGCTTCGCATCTTCGATGTGCGACTCCTGATGCATGCTCCGTCATGAATGCTCCTTGATAACAAGCGTCGAACCATCGAGTATTTTACCATGTATTCGACTGTTTGACCCACCCATGTGAAGCGACATCATCAAGCTCGATACACGACAGAGCCTGGCTTCAAGATCTTCTCGACTTAACAGAGTTGCCTGTTGCTGGTGCACTGCCGATACTGGCAGACATAGTTCTAAAATGCCCAGAACACTAATGGACGAAACAACTCTTGGTACTAGACTCTCAAAATTGCCTACGCATAAATTTTATATAAAAACTCTGGATTTCGATGCTCTTTTTCCCTTAACGTGAAGTGTGCAGCATGTCAGCCTTCGAATCAGTCAGTCCCGAGCGCGAATGACGTCGCACCGAATCGGGGTACACCGAAGTTACTTCCCCTCTTTCGATCTGGTGATAGATTGTTAGACGATAACTTGAATCCAGACTCAATTGACACGATTTAAAAAAAATTGCTCGAGATCAGAAGCCTTTTATCAGAGTCTACACTCTTTTATTTCACACGCTCTTCAGGATTTAGTGGATGGTCCTGAATACCACCTATGCCTCGGGTACCCGAACTGAGGGGCACGCCAATTGCTGAATGGAGAAGAGCCTCTTAACAAGGCTCCTAATAATGGACTCGGCTAGTCATGTCATATATAGTACTCTGAATTCCCTTGAATTCTATCGGAGCTAGTCCAGTTCACTCAAGAAAAAAAAATTTCAATTGGCCAGTAACGATGCCTTGGTTGTCTCAAGAACATGTTGACCTACCGTGTCAGGACGCAGTGTCATTTGCACTTGACAACTGCGACTATGATCCAGACAAGCCAATCTATTATGACGTGCATGACACCTCTCGGAGCATATCATGGAGGCAGGCGAATGTAATGGTCCGTAAACTCGTTGCCGGATTCCGAAAGGCAGGTCTGAAGAAGGGCGACTGCTTCAGCATTACCAGTTTTAACGAGATCATGTTCAGCATGCTATTTCTCGGCGGCGTCGGCGCGGGTGGTATCTTCAGCGGTATGAACCCAGCGTACGGCCCCTTCGAAGTCAGGCATCACATTAAGACGGCTGATGTCTCGTTCTTTCTTTGCGAGCCGGAGGTCCTGGATTCTCTTGTCAAGGTCTTAGACGAGGACGGTATCGGGCGTGACAAACTTTTCGTTTTCAATACGAAACCGGAACAGAAGGTCCCACCAGGATTTAGAAGCTGGACCTGGTTGCTTGAGCAAGGAAGCGAAGAATGGGAGCGCATCACCGATCCCGAAACTCTCAAAAACCTCGAACTGAGTCGTTTGACAACAAGTGGAACAACAGGGCCTCCCAAATTTGCTATGCAAACTCATTGGAACGGAACCTCCTACCATACATTGGTGAGCAAAGGCCGCGAGGTACCTTGGGAGCCAAAAACGTTGAGCGTGTTGCCATCATTCCACGTCTCAACGGTTCCAGCAGTCCACGTTTCTCCGTTGAGAAGTGGCAACACGATATATATAATGCGTCGTTTCGATCTCGAGGGCTACATGGCAGCCATCGAGAAGTTCAAGATCACGGACCTGGGAATGGCGCCTCCGCTGGTCATCGCCATTATCATGTCACCTCTCAACAAAAAGTACTCTCTGAGGAGCGTTAGGCGGATTGGATGTGGCGCGGCGCCACTTGATGCGGAGAGCCAGAACCGATTGCAAGCGCTCTGCGCCGAAGATTGTGTTTTCACCCAAGTCTGGGGCATGACGGAGACGACTTCGGCACTGAGTATTTTCAGGTGGCCGGAACAAGACTGGACAGGCTCCGTGGGCAACATTTTCTTAGAAGGAACGGACGTGAAATTGGTGGATGATGACAACAACGACATCACTGCTTACGACACGAGAGGTGAAATCTGTGTCCGAGGCCCTACAATTATCAAAGGCTACTATAAGAACGAGAAAGCCACCAAGGAAAGCTGGGACGAAGAGGGATATTTCCACACTGGCGATATCCTGTACTGCGATGGAAAAACGAAGAAGTGGTATGTGGTAGACCGCAAGAAGGTGCGTCGGATAATTTCATTTGATCTCCAGCCTGCCTTGTATTCGCATATGTTGACCGGCCTGCACAGGAACTTATCAAAGTTCGAGGATTCCAAGTGGCGCCGCCAGAGTTGGAAGGGCTCCTGCTCGCTCATCCAGAGATCGCAGACTGCGCGGTGATTGGCGTTCCAGGGCCAGGAAAGGGAGAGGAACTCCCGCGAGCGTTTGTAGTGAGACAGCCGGGCTCGACGCTTACGGAAGACGACGTTAAGAAGATCATCTCAGACCAGCTGGCGAGCTATAAACGGTTGACTGGTGGGGTTAGGTTTGTAGCTGAAATACCCAAAAGCCCGAACGGCAAGATCTTGAAAAGAATCCTGAGAGAGCAAGTCGCTGCAGAGAACAAAGCGAAGGCAGCGAAGCTGTGATTTCAGGTCTCTTCAAGCGGCATTGGAAGGAGTATTTGCAAATTGGACTTTGCGGGATGAGTCTAGTTCTAGATGGTTTGAAAGAATTCGCCTGGTTGATAATCATCTTCGAATCGTACACTGCCAAAGTGTTGCAAGCACTCCTGCTACAGCGCGAGGGCATGAATCGAACAATGATCGTTCTACGTTGAGAGATGCGCCGTTGCCGTGGTTAGTTACTCCTGCGCAATTGGTGGGCAAGACAGAGCCCGAAGCAGAATATCATATCACGAGGCGTAGAAGTGAGAACGCCGCGGTATCCATAGTAAGTAATCAGCCTCTAGCTCTCCGCTTCAGGTATGGCAACGACCAACTACCCACCTCGGTACACCTTCGTCCAATCAGACGTCATTCGGTCCGAATCAGCTTGCGTTGCTCCTCTACCCGACGATGTACGTAGCATTATGCAAGCTGCTTAGCTTCAAATACGGTCGTTCCCCCCGTCGAAGAAGCAAAGCTAGCGTCTACATTCCGTCTTTTTTCCAATTGGATCCGAGAGCCTCTTCGCTCAGGACTGCCCATCATGCCTCTGGATAGATACGAGTATCTGAGCGACGTGTGGCGGGATGGCATCTTTGGTATATACACCCATCGCTTTGTTGGCGCTAGGTTCTGGAACTGGCGGGCTGACTGTGGGCCAATTCAGACAACAAAGTCGTCTTCTGTACAGGAGGCGCAGGCACGATATGCTCCGCACAAGTACGCGCAATGGTTCACCTAGGCGCAAACGCGTGTATCCTCGGGCGCAATGCGAAGAAGACAGAGGACATGGCGAGGGACATTGAGACGGCTCGCAAGGGCTCCAAGGTTTTGGGCATTGGCAACCTCGACGTCCGCAAGTTTGAGGACCTGGAAGCTGCGGCTGCCAGGTGTGTAAAGGAGCTGGGAAGCATCGACTTCGTAATTGCCGGCGCTGCCGGTAACTTCCTTGCCTCGATCGACGCGCTGAGCGCGAATGCGTTCAAGACGGTGATTGACATTGACTTGCTCGGAAGCTTCAACACGGCAAAGGCAACGCTGCCATACTTGATAGAGTCCGCGAAGAAGCACAAGGTTGACGGAAAGACGAGGCCCTCGTCCGGCACGGGCGGCAGAATCATCTTCGTCTCAGCGACGATGCACTACACCGGCACACCGCTTCAAGCAGCGCCTTCCGCAGCGAAAGCGGGCGTTGACCAGCTCGCGTACTCGATCTGCATAGAGCACGGTCCTTTTGGCGTAACTTCAAACGTGATTTCTCCCGGTCCCATTGCAAACACAGAGGGCATGCTCCGGCTGTCCACGAAGGAGGGCCAATCTTCGGGCAGATATAGTCACATCCCCAGCGGTCGCTTGGGTTATGTCAAAGAAATCGCGGATGCCACGGTGTACCTGTGTAAGTGAAGAGCCTTTCCTGCACAGATTGATGAGATCACGACCTAATTTCTTCTCGCAGTCTCAGATACGGGCAACTACGTCAACGGAGAGATTCTAGTTGTCGATGGAGGCTCGTGGCACAACCACTTGCAGCCGGGCGTGGGCAGTTTCAAGTACCCGGACTTCCTCCTCAGCGGACAGGCAGTCACCGGTGTCAAGGGCATGAAGAAGCCGAAGCTTTGACGTACATAAAAGCACCTTTGGTAGATAGCATTCGTTGGCGGGCGCGGCGTTTTTTGAGGCGAGCCAAGTGAAAACACCTAATCAAGTTCAATATGCGCATTTTGAATTCAATTGACCGTGAACCAAGCTCTGTCAGCGGCATTTCACTGAACCACAGTCCCCATCGCTCCTTGAATTTTGAGGAGGAAAAGGCCTGTGTCTCAAGACGTACCAATGAACTGGACCAAGTACGGCATCGGAAGAGCGGGCTGCAGCGCGAATGGTCTGTCAGGCCACCAAGCCGTGCGTAGAAGGGCAACCAGCGCCGGGCCTAGAAGCCTTTTGGATCGAGAAGCATCGCACGGCGGGAAGCTAAAAGGTTGATCGGCTCCATGGAAACAGCAGACTAAACGTACCCTCACTCCCGCCGCAGCCAACCCCAGCGCCACCGCGTCGAAAATTTCCCATTCGAGAGCAAGGGGTAAAGGGACCCAGTTTATCCCCGCATCGCTGTGGACGACTCTGCCGGTTATTCTAGCATACGCACCTCGACACGTCCATGTCATGCTCTTCGCATCCTGCTCCGTGTCTCCGCTCTTTGGTGCGAAAATGGCGCCAGCCGCCTTGGAAACAAAAACCCAAGTGATCCCCCGGAGGGATCTTGACAGCGTAGCGTTTTCGAAAGCTTTTTCTGCAAAGACAATTGCCTTTTCGTTTTTGAACTCTCGTCTTGACGTCGTTCAGCCGTCTTTGTGTTCTTTGACGGCTTCCCCTCCACCCCCTCTGTGCTGCCTGCCCATCATCTCCCGTTGCCAAAACATCCCCTTCTATTTTTCTTTCCCTTCGTGTTTACCTCGTTTCTACGATTAGAAGGATCAGCATGGCGGGGGACAAACCGTGGCCACAGGTGCCTATTGGGAACAAGGACCACACCCAGGCATTCGTGGTTATCATAGGTGCTGGTATATCAGGTCTATGCACCGCCATCGACCTGATCACGAAGAACAAGTGCAAGAACTTCATCATTCTTGAAAAAAGCGGTGGCCTGGGGGGCACTTGGCGGGATAATAAATACCCAGGGTGCTGCTGTGACGGTGAGCCATACCAAATGGAAACAGCTTCCCTGGCCCTCCTCCCAACACCCCGCAAAAAAAGAGCAAAAAAAAAGAACCTAGATTGCTGATCAAAGAGCCAAATCCGCAGTGTGGTCGCACCTGTACAGCTACTCGTTCGAGCAGAACCCGGACTGGACGCGAGAGTACCCCGGCCAAGAGGAGATTCTGGTGATTTTAAGCAGATCTGCCGAGCTGGGACGAAGCTGACGGGGAGAGCAGGAATACCTCGTGGGCGTGGCCCAGAAATACGAGCTGTACCGCTACGTGCGATTCAACACAGCGGTCGAGTCGGCCGTGTGGGACGATGCGGCCAAGAAGTGGAAGACGAAGGTGCAAGTGCAGGGCAACAAGGACGCCGAGTTCTGCCCGTCGTACACCATCACGTCGGACTTCCTCGTCTCCGCTGTCGGCCAGCTCAACGTGCCGCAGATGCCGTCCATCCCAGGCCTGGACGAATTCAAGGGCAAGCTCATGCATAGCGCCCGGTGGGATTGGTCATACGACCTGCAGGGCAAGGCCGTCGCCATCATCGGCAACGGAGCGACCGCAGCGCAGATCATTCCAGAGATCGCCCCTGTGGTCGGCAGCCTGACCGTGTACCAGCGCACGCCCAACTGGATTGTGCCGCGCGGCGATATGCCGATCCCAGCGTGGAAGCGCAGCCTGTACCGGTGGGTGCCGTACGTGCGCCAGCGCAAGCGCGCCGACTTTATGGACTTTCGCGAATGGACGTACGGCTTCGTCCAGGGCGGCTCGACCGCCACATCCGCAATGTTCAGGGACATGAGCGACCAGCTGATGAAGACGCAGCTGCCGAATCGAGAGGACCTGTGGAAGAAGTTGCGGCCAGAGTACGACATCGGCTGCAAACGCATCATTATCTCGGACGACTATTTCCCCGTCTTCAACAGGGACAACGTGAGGCTCGAGACGCGGCACATCGACAGGATCACCGAAGATGGTATCGTCGCCGGCGGCGAGGAGCAGAAGTATGACCTCATCATTTGCGCCACTGGCTTCAAGACCGTCGAGTTCATGTACCCGATCGACGTCCGGGGCACCGGCGGCCGCGCCATCGGCGACATCTGGAAGGAGGGAGGTGAAGCTTTGTACGGCGTCACCGTCGAGTCACTTCCCAACTTCGGCATGTTGTATGGTCCGAACACAAATCTCGGCCACAACAGCATCATCCTCATGATCGAGGCCCAGAGCCGCTACATTAACGCGTTGATTGCGAAAGTCTTGGAGGCACGACTGAGCGGAGGCCAACTCGTTATCCAGCCGAATCACCAGAGGATGGTGGAGTACAACAATAAGCTGCAAGAAGAGCTCGCCAACACGAGTTTCGCCGACCCGCGATGTGGCAGTTGGTACAAGCGCAAAGATAATGGCAAAATCACACAAAACTGGAGTTCTACAGTTATTCACTATCAAACAGTAAGATATACATATCGCGATTGCAAGACGATGGCTGATAAATATGTAGATACTAAGCAAGGTCGACTGGTCCGACTATGACGTCTCAGGTACAGGAGCGGAGAAGTTAAAGGCAGACGGAGCTGTGACCAAATTGGGACGGGTTGTTGAAGAATCTTTGATAAGCTACAAAGCCATGGGTCTGACCTTGGCCAGTCTTGCAGCAGTTGGCACGGCATTCGCTTTCCGCGGGATGAGGTTGCGATAACAGATCCTGGGCTTACATCTGTACATAAGATAACGGTGTTGATTTCACACGACTTTGATCATCTTATTTCCAGCCTGTAATATCGAAGTTAGCAATCAATGCTCTTGTGAATATAAGTTGTCACACGTCAAGCATGTTTTTGTCGTTCAGTTATAAGCCCGGTCATGGGCACTCTCATCAAAGCCATGAGGCTATGTCGACCGTCGTGAGAAAATAAATAAATCATCATTTTGGAAAAGAGTGTATGGCGAACGGTAAAAAAGGCGAACTTACTTGGACTTAATCTAAGACTGGTGATCACTAAAAGGCTCACCTTAAACCTTTGATGAAATGTTAGCTGTATACTCTAAAACATCTACACAGTCGCCTAGCATTTTAGCAGACACAGTTCAGAAGAATAAAACTTTTCTCGTCTTCGTTGCGAGCAACTTGGACATATGCTTGTCATTGAGTTTTTGTGTATCATCATACGAGGATGCCGCCGATCGGAATGTCACATACGAGCTTTTTTAAACGGTGGAATACTGTTCAGTCGCAGCCACCAAGGTCCAAATCACGCTTACAACATCAAGGGGCAGTTTGGACTCGCACCTTGACTCACTGTCAGCAAAATGTCAGAAAAGGATACACAAAGAGAACCGTGAATTGATCAAGAGCATCTTCAGTAATGCATGAATGGAAATTGAAAGGAGTTTCGTCATCGGGAATCCCGAATCAGACTCGTCATCTAAAGCGTTCATCAGGAAGGCGAAGGGGTTAGAACAGAAGAAGGCGTTATTGAAGGCCAGTTTCTTACCTTTCCCAAGAGTCAATTCACATGGAAAGCTACAGGCATTCCCCAGACTACGCCTCCAAGTCAGCCGACAGGTTCACACATGATCTCCACTGACAAGAACCACGAGAACGTATAGATCAGTGGGCACGGTTTTCTAGGCCGGCCGCAGAAAAGCATGTCGTCTCATGTCTGTTATGTCGGAGCCCAGTGCTGTGCTTCATCAGGTGTACGCATCGTTGGATCTTCCCCGTCTCGCATACGAGCGAAACGCAGCGAGATAGAAATAAAGAATCGAAAAGAGGGAGTCGTCACACATACAATCCTAGAATGACCTCAGTCAGCAACCCATGTGTCATTCAACAAGTGGGTAATCTGGATCTAGAAGAAGAAACTCGACTCTTGCAAGAGAAGCTAAGGGAAATAAAGCTCAGAATTTTTTCCCTATTTCCCTTAAATTTCCGCTTGCAAGCATCAGTAACAGCCTCTAAGCAACATCAGAGACCCGCAGGTCTCAGCCGGTAATTCCAGCGTATAATGTAGATAGTGTTTTTCATCACGGAGCACTAAGCACCACCAACGCCGCCACGCAGACGTGGCAAACCGCAGCGGCGATATAGGTAGGACCGAGGAAGGGTAAAAACGTACACATCATTACTCTGCAAGAAATATCGCAATATTTCTCCTCTCACTGCCTCTCTTGCTTCTCGACCTGCGAAGAAGAACGCGTCAGCCCCCAAAGGTAATAAATAGCCCAAAGTTAGCGATTGGCAAAACGGATTCGTCCATTTCGCAAGAGGGCCGATTCGTCTTCTTGACGGCTCCTTGATATTCCAGAAGGGGAAAGAAGAACAAGAAGAAGAGGAATGGCCCACTGCTTTTCAGTCTGACGTGCAATACGTTTTCACTTCTCCTTTCTAGAGATCAAAGACTCTAGTTTGAAAATTTGCGGTTGTGCAGTTTCATCAAGGTAGGACGGGTTAAAAGGAGGGAAACGGATTAGTATTATTACTTACATATGGTCACTAGATGCAGAGGTTGATTATTGCAGAAAGGTGTGAGGTGAAAGATGGTCGACAAAAATTCTGCGGAAAGTTATAGTTCGATGAAAAGCTCGGGCTCTCGCTTTCCCGCTGTTCCACTTTCGAAATCTTGGCCCCACGTGACAGGATTCCACGATTCTCTTCCCATGCCCCTTGTATGCCACTTCTTTGGGTCGGAATAAGCCGTATGTGACATATCTATGCATTAAAGGAGAGGTGAACAGTGAAAAAAAAGGGCTGCATCGAAATGGCGTGAAAAAGGCTCTTCAATAACTGGCCAAAACTTCCTTATTTATGTCTCACTCGTAGCATACTATCCACTTGAATGGCGCCATCAGCGCCTTGAAAAAAGGCCCATATCAAGCTATATGTCCTAGCATTCTACACGTAATGTTGCACGCGTTTGATCTTCCGAGACTTCCCTTGCATGCGCATGAAGATGTGTGTATATTCCGTTCGACGGATTAGGCCACTGTTCTCATTGCATGAAGCAGGCACGCTGCAGGAATCAGTCCTCTCCCATCAATAATCCTTCTCGCTACAAATTGTGTGGTGGTCGTGCTATCGTCATCGTCATTATGAAAAATGAGCCGCATCGCTCGCGGGAACAAGAAAACACACGTTTTCAACTGCTTCTGTGCGTCAATGCCCGCTTGCCCTCCGCAGCCTTCATTCTCCGCTCTCCCGCTGATGTTCTTCCACGAGGAAAAAAGAAAACAAGGGAATCACGCCGGGTAAAAACAAGAAGACAAAAACCCACGCCTGGAAACCAAAAAAGTTCCCATATCGCAACGCCAACTCATCTACTCCATCTCCAACACGGAAAGAAGCAGAGAATTGAATGGAAAAAAGAGGGGGGAAAAGAGGTGGGGAACATGTCCCTGCTAACGAAGGTAGATGCGCATCTAGGCGCCCGATCCACGGTAAAAATTTAAAGCGAATGTGGCAGACGTCTTGAAGAAAAAGCATGAGGTAGAAAATCCAAACGCCGATTCCTTTCTTCATCGTCCATCTCATCCATCCCTGCAGGACTAAAAAGGGGTGAGAAAGCAAAATAAACGCCCGGTGAATGATGCGGTGTTTCCCTTTTTGTTCCCCGGTGATACTGATGCTAATGCTTGTTGGACGGTGTCTTTGCAGGCTCCAGGTAGTGTATTGGGGGTATCGAAAGTAGGAAAAAAAGGAGAGAAAAAAATTTATCCCGGAGTCTCCGTTGCGGATTATCCAAACCATAGCCAGTCGCGCAAAGGGTGCAAGTTTTTGTACTCGATTTCTGTTCGACACTCTTGGCCTGCCCTCTGCCTTTAGTAGAGAGGCGCGCTAGCTCATATAGGATAATCCAGAAAAGAACGCGACGAGCGGGAATGTGCTTGGCATTGGTGTATGCATGGCCGTGTTGACTGCTCTTTTTCTGATACGGGGCAGACAACGTATTTTCTCATCGATCCAGCAGAGCCTAGAAGGTAGTCTGCACCAGTCACCGACTCGACTTTTCCCAAAGCTGCTCCTATTCTTCTCGCGGGAGATGGAAAAAAGAGTTGAAGTTGATCCATCACTGGACGAACAACTGTACCTCAGCCATGGGCTGCCCTGAGCCAATTTGCTCACGCCATATCTCAAACGCCACTTGCACGTCCTCATCGTTTTGGATGGAGATGTAGTCGCCGTCATCCAAGTACTTTAGCTTAACTTGTCCCGATGCAAGACTGACGTTGCTTGTGCGAGACAGTTTGGCGTCAATACGGTCCTTGAGCGTCTGGTAACTGATCGTTATGGGTACGACCAGCGTTGTGGTGAAGCTTCCCGCTGCATACGCGACTTTGACCTTCAGCTGCGTGGGCTGTGGGTGTGGTGTCGCAGGTAGGCCCTGGACGGGCATAGGAGGCGTGTGCGTGCGCTGCTGCTGGCGCTCCATCATGCGTGCGTCAATAGAGCCTGGAGTACCTATGCGATCGACTTGCGACATGCCACGCGTCAGGTGCGGAGGCACTGGCTGCTGTGCGTTGGCCACATACGGGTAGTCCTGGCTGCCACCAGAGCGCTGAGAAGTGGCCATGCGTTCGCGCTGCTGCTGCACACTCGGGGACTGTGTGTTCGGTCGCATAGGCAAACCTTGGTGCATCGATGCCATGGATGCGGGCGAGCCCGAGTTCTGGCGACCAATGCCTGGCTGGTATGCATAATGTGCCGGGAATGCGGGCATGTCTGGTACGCCCGGCTGCGACGGATCAGGCAGCCTGCGCACACCGATCGGATTCTGAATGTCTGGACTGCTGGCTGAACGCATCCGTGCGTTCTGTGCAGAGTTCATGCTGGGTGGCAGCGAAGGACGCTGGGCGCCGCGGGCCTGGTAGCCGTTCAGAGAGCCGTCGCGGGACGCTTGGCGCGGCATGGCGGGCGCTGTGAAGCGGTTGTTGCTGTCCTCGTAACCGTTGGGCATGGCAGGCACGGGCTGACGAGGAAACGGGTACATGCCAGAGTGCATGCTCAACTGGCCGCTGCTTCTGGTTGAGACAGGAGATTCGGATGTTGGCGAGAAGTATGACTCCATGACGTCGGGGCCGGGGGAGTGCGTGGTCATGTTTTGCAGCATGGCCGGATTAGTGCGCACCTGTAGAGCTGGGGTTTGGTTGCCCATTGGGAATTGTCTTGGGGGTACTCGTCCCATGGCGCTGTCCAAGGTGTTCGTTCTTGAGCGGGTGCCAAGGCTGGAGCTGGAGCCTCCTGCCACGCTGCCTGATCCATAGACCGAATTGACGAGCGTGGTGGCGTCTGCGTCGTCGTCATCGTCGTCCTGTTCTGCGTATGGATTTTCAAGATTCTGTTCTCGGATCCAGTTGAACTCCCTGTCCGATACTTGAGTCGTCGATCGTGAGAGCGTGCTGCTGCGAGGAGTCATCTGGGATTCGGCCCACATAAGTCTCTGCGTGTCGACGATAGAAGCCCACTTGCGCATCGTCTCCTCGGTTGGGAACTTGATGGTGAAGAATTCAATGCCTGGATCGCCCTTCCAGAAGATCTGGCAGGCGTAGTATCCTATATTCCGGGTTAGATAAGAGCTCATTGCATACGAGTACATAAGGAAGCACGTGTTCTGTTAGCGTGAAGCTCTGTGGACATGTCATACCTGGTTTGCTTTGACAGATCGTGTCTGTAACGTTCTGCATAAAAATCCGGCCCTTGAGCTGCAGTTTCGTGCGTCCTTTTCGATCGGTAGCCTGCTTGTTCTTGTTCTTCTCTTTCTTCGTGTTCATTTCCTTGCAGCACAGCAAGATCATCTGGAATAGATAGATTTTGTACTAAGTTAGATCCGTTAGCACAGGCAGAAAAGCTATCGCGCGTGTTTGTCCACGAAAGGACGAACACGTAAATCAGGTAGAGAGAAGGAAGGAGAAAATGTGCGTACCTCGCGTTCCTCGTCCTTACCACTAGAGGAGCCACCCTTGATGACTTGATACGTGCCATACTGGAGAAGTTCGCCGAAACTGTCGAGGCGATGGCCTGCAAGAGAAAAGGAAAGAGCCAAGTCAGTTTGAAGGCATCAATTAATTAATACAGAGTAAGTGTCAAGGAAGATAGAAGAAAAAAGAACTAAGAGCGCAAAAGAAAACACCTGGACATACCTTTCCAGTCCTCGACACGCTCGCGTAGTTCCTGCGTGGCCGCGTTGCGCTCCTCCATGTGGACGGCTTCATTAGTGCGATCTAGGACTGCGGAAGCGGCTTCGATGCCGCGAGTAATATCCTCGCGCTTCTCGTCGCTCAGGTCGCCCTTGTCGCGCAACTCACGAAGCAAGAGTGGGTACTTCGAAAGGCGCTGGAATGGCTTGAGAAGGAACGCGGAGAAAACCGTAGGGGATTCGACCATGGAGCGCAGCTCGGGAGGGCCACCAGTCTCTTTGAGCTTGTCGAACTCGCGCAGGGCGACCTGCTCGCACTTGCGCGTGTTGGCAATGTACGGCTCGTACACGGTGAACGCGTCGCGATACAGGGTGAAGAGGGCTCCCCAATTTTGTTGCTCCTCGGGCAGAGCGTACGTCTGCTCTACGCGGATCAGGAACCTGCGTTGGAAGTCCAGCAGCGCGTTAAGGTTGAGGAAAATGTCGTGGATGGTGTCGCCAGAGACAATCTGGCGCGTCTCGACAAGCTCCTTGAAAGCCTGCAACATCTCGAGGTGCTGGACGTAGGTACGCTCAGTGGACACGAGCTCATCGACGATGTGTTGGCGTCGCGTCTTGGCCTTCTTGACGGCTTGAGCGGCGGTAGCGGCTGCGTCGTCGGCGCTGGCTGCTGCCTCTGAGGTGTCAGGGATGCAGCCTTGTTGAACGAGCATGTCGAGCACACGGTTGACTACGCGGACGACCTTGACGAAGCCGGTGGTGTCCTCACCGTACAACTCGGAGACGGTGAACATCTCGGTCATGGGGAAGTTGAGCTCCCGGATGCAGGCAGTCAGGAACTTCATGCTGGCGGCGCGATCGCGCTTGGTGAGCTTATTCGGGTCTACGGTGAGGGGCTGCTCGGGGTTGAAGGCGTTGTATAGAGCCATGAGAGGGAAACCTTGACGCAGAGTCCGCCAGAGAAGGGTGACGGGGTCGGCGTCCTCGTTATGCTCCTGAGCATCCTCCTCCTCCTGTTGCAACGCTTCTTCGCACTCGGGAATGGCGCGCAGTCGCTGTCGAGTGTTGACACAGATCTGGAAGAGGGACTGGCTCTCGTCGCCGCGCTTGTTCAGCACATTGTTGCTAGCGACGACCGGGCCAACGCCGTTCGAAGGCGTGGAGGTGGGCATCGGCGGCACATGGCCGAAGAGGGTGGAGGACGACGTGGCGTCGGTGGAGTTTGAGTTTCGCAGCGACGACTGCTGCGACGAGGACGAGAAGTGGGCGCTCGACTGCGACGGCATTGGCGCAGACGGGCGTGCGAGCGTGTTGAGACGATTCGGCGTCGAGGATGGCAGCGCACGGGGAGGTTGATGCAGTGCGGCAGATGGAGTGCGGACGGCTACATCCATGCTCTCAGGGCATGCCAGTTGCGAGAGAAGCGCAGGGTTGAGAAGCGGCCTGACTGACTCAACCCGCGCGTTGGCGGGCGGTGAGGGCGGCCGGTTGATTGGGTTGGAGACGTAGGGTTGGGATGATCAAGTGGTGGCAGGAGCGAGAGCTGAAAAGAGAGAGAGTATGTGTGTCTCGGCCGTATATAAGTAATAGGAAAGGGGAAGAAATGTATGTACGTGGTAGTGAGAGGATGAGAGTGTGGATGGTGTGAGAGCGCAAGGCGTTTGTGTGAGTTCAGTTTGGGTCCAGGGGGGGGGGGGGGGGGTGCTAGTTCTTGGGGGGGTAGTGAATTTGCGACGGGGGCAGAGGGGAGAACGTCGAGAGTTTGCTCGACGTGAATGTGCGCGTGTGTGAGATTGAGTTGCGTAGGTAGTGGACGCAGTTCGAGCGCATATATTGTGACGATGAACTTCGGTCGACACCAGCAACAGTCATACAGCGTCGTCGTCTTCTGCCAAAAGAACGACGGTTGAAAGTTCGCTCCTCGAGGGTATCAACAGCAGCAGTGAGGGATCGAGGAATGAGGAGCGGATGCATGCGATTTGACGAGGATCAACAGTCGGCCAGCCGCCAGGGGTGAATTTCCCTCTCGTTCACAGTGGGCGTGATTGTGTAGCGATTACTGGGCGGCAAAAGGCAGCGTTGGACGTCCAGTAGGAGGCCAAGGGCGCGTCGGGGTCCAGGCGATAGGAGGATTCTTCGAGCCAACCTTTTCACTTGCAGACGAGGCGTGCAGCCCAGCGGTTCGGTCGCTGACGTAGTGCTGGGCAGCGGACTATTTGTCAAGAAGAAGAGGGTGTTGGATGGCGCAGGGAGAGATGTGTGCACGCGCGAGGGGTGCGAGCGAGAGAGGGAGAGGGGAGGGGACAGAGAGTGCGCGAGAAGGCAGACAGGGAGAGGTTGAGAGGGTGCGAGTGCCGCGACGACGCTGGGTGGAGATGGGCCGGGTTTTGAGTAGGGGGAGCCACAGTGCGTGGTCGAGGACGACGACGAGCGAGGGCAGGGGCCAATTGCTGCTACAGGACCACCACTAGTTCTGCTGCTCCCGCAAAGCCGTTCTGCTGCTGCTGCGGCTGCGGCTGCTTCTTGCTCCTAGGCTTCCACGGCTTCTGCGGCTACTGCATGTTAGGGTTGGGCACTGGCGCTATGAGGGTTTGACGGTCGAGGGCCTCAGTCAGGGTCAGCATGTGCCAGAACGACTGCAAAGGTGTCCCATGTATGCGCAAGCCACGACGGTACGCTAGCATGGAGGCAAGGTCGAGAATCGTCGACGGAGAAAAGAGACGTGTGCGAGCGTGTGAGCGAGCGCGGGTGTGTGGAATGGGAACATGTGTAGACGCGCACTGTGTGTTTTGTGTATGCGGATATCCACGGTGGAAGAGCTGGACCACAGCCATGTCCATGGCAACCATCACAGCAGTACAGCCTTGAGCAGTAGTGTAGCAACAATCGCCATGAAGCCACCCAATTTCTCCAAGCACGGTACCTTCTTCTTCTTCTTCTTCCGCCCGTACGCACGAAACAGTCTCCACCATGCGGCTCGGGGCCGCCCACCCGGAGCCCGTTCGCACCAGCTCCTCCACTGCCAAACTCCGTTCTTCTCATCCTCCTCTGCACCTTGTCCTTTTGCTTTTTTTTCTTTAGCTCCATCCTGGCAACTCGGAAACTTCGTTCCCTATTCTTTTCTTCCTCTCTCTTCCGACCCTCCGTTTCTGCTTCGCTCCACGGCATCCTTGCGCGCTTGGCCCGCGGCCCTCTGGCCATTGGCAGGTCGGCCAGCACGTTTCAGGAGAGCGCTGAAACTTTGCTCGTTCGGGAGTCTACACTTCCCCCCGCGCGTCAACCGATTACATGCCATCATAGTTAGTGCCGGCTACTGCTGGGCCGAGCGGGAATGACTACAGCAGCAGCGTCGACAGCGATAAGCATGCCTCCTAGATCGGTTGTGGCTCACCGCCGCCCTGCTCGTGCCTGTGGTCGTGGAGGTGGTGGTGCACAATCGTAATTACCACACAAATTTGACAGCGTTCGGTGATCATGGCAGCGTAAACCGCACGTATCTGCTGCTGCTGCGACTGCTGTTCTCGCCGTTGTTGATGCTTCTCCTGCCGCAACGTTTTGCTCTCCCTTCCGTGCACAGGTGCTGCTTGTGGTCGCTCCAGCAAATCCTACTACTCTGTCGCAACTCTCTTCGATCACCTGCTGGCGCCGTGCGTCCGTCTTCTGCAGCGCCAGTACGCCGGGTCTGCACCCGCAGACGTCCCTTGTGCGTTCAATGCGAGCGAAGCGCACGCTCCTTGCAACATGGCATGTCTTGGTGCCAGGTTTCCGTCCAGACGGCTCGTGGGTCGAGTGCGGGTCCTCCTGGAGCAAAATAGTGGCCCTAGCAGTGGGCACCTCGCTGCGCGTTGCTGGGGAGCCCCCCCGCCAGGCCCTTTCGCTCTACCACAGTACTGACCCAGCGATGACCCGGCGATCTCCCTCTCCACTTGCCTCCACCACCAGGTGACCAGACCCTCTGCGAGGTTAACTTAGCATTGTCTCCGCTACCGTGTGACGGTGCAGCACGACGACTTCGACGTGCTTTTGCTGGTCCCTCCTTGCATTGCTGGTCCGTCAAGGGCCATAGAAGAGCTGCACTATTCCGCATCTGGCCCAATCGCTCGCCCAAGCACAATCACCAGTCTCGTCCAGGCAGTCGCTCGACGAACAAGTCGAGCAACGAAACTCCCCACTCGCACACACGAACGCGCACCATCAAAGCCCGCCTATCTCAATGATCTACGCCCTCATCGCTGTCGCCGTAGTCGTTGCCCTCGCCAGTAGTACCGCACGCACATTTATCTGATAAAACCAATTCCAGTGCCAAGCCGCACCCGTGCGCTCCTCACCACCTCCTCGTACCTCCACACCTACTCTGCCTGGCGGTTTATCACAGCAACTCACCGCCATGGCCGACCTGCGAGGAGGCAACGGTCCCCCACAGCCGCCCACCGCCCTCTTCCATCCTTTTAAAAACGCCAACATCTTCCGTCTGGATGAGGGCTACTCGGATGACACGCGGAGCCAGGCCGGCAGCGAGATGCGCGCCGAGTCCCGCATTGGCGATGTCATCATGGATGTTGTTCCGGACGGGCACCAGCCCTCTCTTCTTCTGCCGGAGTGGATAGGCAATCTGAACGAGGCTGAGCGAAGCGGTACGTTGTTGAACCTCTCCTCTTTATACCCATTCCCAAATATCCTCCGTCGTGTTTGCGTCGTCTTGAGTGTTGTGAGACGTAAAGTGTCGAGGGAGAATAAACGGCCAAAAATTTTCTTGTTAAAACGAGGAGTCGGGAACGAATATTGAGATGGGATGAAAGATGTGGACGATGAAAAGCTAAGAAGGCGGCCGGCAGAATCTGCTGTTGTACACCACATCATTTTCGGCCCTAGGTGATTGCTGTGCGGGACGTCTCGTGGGAAGAGGAGCACTCATGACGTTTCCCATCCACTCGTGTTGGAGCTGGACCGCTGATATCGTGTGTCAACAGAACTTGCATATGCGTTATTGCGATCGTTGCGGACATCGTCCATTGCAGCTATTGTCGAAAGGTTGAACCCACTATTGCACATCGATCCCGTGCACTACCTGCCCCCAGAGATCACCTTCGAGGTGTTCTCGTACCTCGATCCGGAGACGCTCTTGCTGGCTTCAAAGCTTTCCAAGTCGTGGCGAATCCGCGCCCTGGACAGCAGATTGTGGAGGCAGCTGTATAGCCGTGAAGGCTGGTCTGCCGACACGCGGCGGGTCCGTCAATACGAAGCTGAGCTGCGCGAGAGGAACCGTCGGCGCGCAACAGGTAAGGCCAGGGCGAGAACAGCGGATGCTGTCAGCGACGCGGAGACAAAGTCGCCGAAAAAGAGAGCGCGCGACGAGGATCAGCTGGCCTGCCGGACAAACAGTCCGCTACAATGGGCTGCCCACCGCGACAGGTCGGATGACAGCGTGGAGGACAGCGCACCACTCAAGCTGGAGGATACCGAAATGAAAGATGCATCGCCGTCATCGCCCACGCCGCCCACGCCTCTGGCTCTGTCACACACACACACAGGCCTCGACCCGCCCATTCGACCTTCGCTGCTACTGAGCCCGCACGTTGACCCAACGGTCAACTGGCAGTATCTATACAAGCAGAAGCGGCGGCTGGAAGCGAACTGGATGATGGGTAAGTACAAGAACTTCCAACTGCCGCACCCAAGTCATCCTGAGGAAGCGCATGCCGAATGCGTGTACACCATTCAGTACACGCGCACACACCTCGTCAGCGGAAGCCGTGACAAGACTCTACGGATTTGGAACCTCGCAACACAACGTCTGGCTGTGCCTCCGCTCAGGGGACACAATGCATCGGTTCTGTGCCTACAATTTGATGACCGACCCGAACACGATCTCGTCGTTTCTGGGGGAAGTGATTGTCATGTGATCCTGTGGCGCTTCTCCACTGGAAAGATGATCACGAAGCTGGAACGCGCGCACTCGGAGTCCGTGCTCAACCTCCGCTTCGATGAAAGATACTTAATCACTTGCTCCAAGGACAAGACAATCAAGATCTGGAACCGCAAGCCCTTGCACCCGACGGACGAGGCATATCCGATGCGCAACGCATCCGTCTCAGCCAAGTTCCCTTCATATATCCTCGACATTAAGACCATGGCGCAAGGCGATCTCACCAGCGTGATGCCTTTGCGTGAGTACACACTCCTCGCCACGCTTGAGGGCCACAATGCCGCCGTGAACGCAATTCAAGTGCTCGGCTCTCAGATCGTTTCTGCATCTGGGGACCGCCTAATCAAGATCTGGGACATCAAGACGGGCCAGTGTCTGAAAACAATCGGCGGCCACCAAAAGGGCATCGCGTGCGTGCAGTTCGACGGCAAGCGCATTGTCAGCGGCTCCAGCGATGAGACAGTGCGCATCTTCGACTGTGTCACAGGTGCCGAGGTTGCCTGTCTGCGGGGCCACAAGAACCTTGTGCGAACTGTGCAAGCCCGCTTCGGCGACGTACCAGGCAGCGATCTCGATATGGAGGCCGAGGCCAGGGACGTCGACCTTCAGTTTTTCAAGGCACAGATCGAAGGCAACCTAAGGAGGGACCGGTTGACTAGGGAACAGCGTCGAGAACGCAATGCCGGGAGCCGAAATCCAAACGAGATCTTCGCTCTCGGCGCACGGCTGCCGCCCGGCGGCGGCGGCAGCAAGTGGGCACGCATTGTCTCTGGCTCCTACGATGAGTCCGTCATCATTTGGCGCCGTGACGCGGAAGGCAAGTGGATTCCCGCCCATCAACTTCTTCAATCAGAAGCGGTCGTCGGCGCTGGCGGCCAACCACGGCTCCCCGGTGGCGTTGGCGTGATAGGACAGGCCCAACCTGCGGTACCGCAACCTGCAAACGCGCCACTTCACGTCAACGCGACGACCACGCAGCTGAACTTCCAGCAGTGGTTGCAGCAGAATGGTCATATGCTCTCTGCGGCCCAGGTCGCCCAGATGCAAGCGCAGATGGCACATAACTTGCAGCTCCTGAATCAAGCGCAAAACGGCGCGAACAACAATGCTGGCCCTGCCACTCCACAGATGGCTACCAACGTGGCCACGGGTCCATTAGCAGCACCGTCGTCGTCGACGGGTGCAACTGTGGCAGGACCCAGTACTGCTACAAGCACATCCATAAGCTCGACTACGACGGGTATCCAAGTGTCGCATGCGAACACGCCGGCAACCCAGGCGAGTCTTACACAACAGGTTCTGCAGGGCGCAGTCAATAACCAGTGGCTAAACAACCTCCCACACCACCCACACGGCATCCCGCCTGCCGCTGGCGCGCAGCCGCAAGCCCAGGCACAAGCACAAAACGCGGCCGTTCCCGCCCCGCAGCCTGCCATTGCTGTGCCCGCTGCGGCCCAGCCGCACCATCATCACCATCACCATCATCACCATGCCGCTAATAACAACAATAACCCAACCAACGCACTCGCGCCCATTCAGCCCACTGGCGCAAACTCGCGTGTGTTTAAGCTCCAGTTCGACAGCAGACGCATCATCTGCTGTAGTCAGGACCCCACCATCGTTGGCTGGGACTTTGCCAACGGCGACCCAGAGATTGAAGAGGCTAGCATCTTTTTCGGCGAGGACTTTTGAGGCTGCCTTTTTCTCGACACTCACTCGGAAAATCTGCATCGCATTTTCGATTCACTCATACTCCTCATCGTAACGCTGACGACGATTGACGACAATTGAATGTGCATGTACAAAGCTGGAAGTTTGACCTTGCTTTTTGCCTTTTTGCGTTCTTGATTATTTGTTTCCCAAGTAATCACGCATGTGGCCGCGCACACACAATCATATATACCTCCCCATAATCGAATCTAATTACGGTCTCTGCGACGGCGGTGTGGTGAAGGCGGGAAGATGGACCCAAAAAAGTTAAGAGTGACATAGCGGGCTGAGGAGCGCAGGTGGTGGGATTCATTCCTGCTCGTTGCGTGACTGTAGCTGGAATGAAGGGTTTAATCTCGTTAAGAGCTATACATACATACATACATATATATATATATATATATGTATCTGGGACGACAATGATGACGAGACGGGATATGTGTATATATTATACATACATGCATATATATATATATATATATCAATCTTAATCACCGCTTTATAGACGAGAAAACGATTTGAAACATGGATTTTCACAAAACGATTTATTGGCTTGTTTGAATATAGATATATACGTAAGCATATGTGTGCGCGCATGTGTTTGTAATCTGCGAGGTTTGACACGTCCTTGGATCTAAATATGCACAAGGATAGAACCTGAAAGCTGCGTACAGTGCACTGGTCGTTCCTCTCTCCGCATCCGCATGTCCCGACGCAGCAAAGGATCGTAGACTTTGAGAAGCGAAAAAGGGTGAGCAGGAAGAAAGAAGAAAAATCCGCGGCCCAGAGACGGGGCGACAAACGGGCGGTCCTCATCCTCGCGTCGTTGGAAGGGGAAAAAAAAAGACGAAAAGAGTCCGTCGAAAACGAGCGAGAGGTCAGGGGTCAAGCATGCCGTACTCAAGCTTGATGCCGGCCTTGCGCAGCCGCTCGACGTAGCCGTAGCCCAACGTGGCGGTGGTGATCATGCCGGCGAGCCTCTTTCCGAGCACGTCTCCGTCCCTGAGTAGGACCATGGCGGCCTCGACGAGGGTGATGCCGGTCATGTAGTAGCCTGCGCCGTTGTATTCGAAGGAGGCAAAGGTCCTGCGCTTGCGGGGCTCGTCGGCGGTGGCGACAGCCTTGAATACGAGCCTCCCCTTGTTCGCCTCCTGGCGGTCCTGGCCTGTGCCCTGGACGTAGGCGAAGCGACGCAGCAGCCAGCGGAAGGGGCGTAGGTACAGCGCGAACAGAGCCAGGCCGAGCAGGTAGTGCGTGAGCATGCCGGTTATGACGTTGGGAGTGCGAAGGTATTCCGTGAAGGAGAAGTTGGGACCGTAGTACCTGCCGCCATCGAGAAGAGCCCAAGACCGGTACACGATGCCGACGTCGGCGCCGGCGGACGGCGAGTCTGTCAGCAGGCCGAGGTCCTTGACGTGTCGCCAGCCGAGCACCGACGGCAGCACGCCCGTTGTGGACGGCTTGACTTTTGGTGCGGGGATGGGGCACAGAGCGGTAGGTCGCAGCGACGCCGCCAGGAAGCGCAGCGGGTACGCCTCGACGAGGCCGATGGCCGTGTGTGACGTGCCGCCAGAGGCCTTGAACGAGATCTTCTGGATCGAGTTCACGCAGTCGCGGATGCCGACGTTGCAGTGCTCGCGGGCTGCCTTGGCGCACAGGTATGCCATCATGTCGGACGGCACCGAGTCAATGCCGCAGTGCGGCACGATGCACACCCCCTTCGCCTTCGCCGCCGCATCGTACTTCTGCATCATGTCGTACGTGAACGGGATCTCGCCCGTGCTGCACTCCCAGTCGAGCCAGTCAGCATCTTATTCCTTCGCGGTCGCTCAAGCGCCTTTGAAAGGGGCAACAAGTATGTGCACTATGTGTATACGTAAAGACGGGAGAATGTACGTATCCGTGTGTGTGCATCAAATAAAGCAAACAGCCACGAAAGAAGGAAGGGAAGCGCAAAACGTACACATCTAGGTAGTGCGTGCCCGCATCAACGCAGGCCTTGACGACCGGCTCGCCAAACTTCGCGTACGGGCCGACCGTCGTGATCAGCACCTTGGTCTTCGCGGCCAGCGCCGTCAGCTCCGGGTTCTTCACCTCAACCACTTCCACAGCTGCAACCACGTGATCAGCCCCGAAACTTTGTGCATTTGTGTGGGAGACGCTGGAACGCGTGACGTTGAAATCAACGTTTAGGTGGAAAGACGAATGTTGAAGGGTCAGAATATGCGCCCTACGTACCCGGTTGGATGCGGTCCGGGTTGAGTTTCTTGAGCTCTTCCGCTATCTCGTACAGCCGCTTGCCATTGCGACCCGCAATCGCCCACTTCAGGTCTGTCGGGCAGTGCTCTTGGATGTACTCCGCGGTGAGCGTGCCTGTGTAGCCCGTGGCGCCTAGCAGAACGAGTTCGTAAGGTCGGTCTTCGGTCATAGCTCAGAGCATGTGCCTCCGTCAACTAGAACCCAAAGGGCACCCTGATGGCAAATCACGCTTGATCCTAGAGGACAGATGGGGAAGATCGGGGATCTGGGAACGGGTATCGAAGATTGCGCGAGAAACAATGGGCAAAAATAAAACGAATGCTTGGTGGTGTTAAATGTTCATTTCTTTGGTGGCGTGGTCCAGAGGCAAAAGGCTACATTTAAAGTGCGTTAGCAGACACGGAAGTCGAAACCGGACGAAAAATGGGAGATTTGGCGTTCGATCCAAGGGGGGGTGTTCTTGATTGCATCATTCACTCTTTGCTCTTCCAATTGTCACAGGCCGAATTGACGGTAGTAATCTGCGCCCCGGCGTCTGGAGCCTAGGATGGATTTGCCCGAGGGTGACGCTGCTGAGGGGAGATGTTGGAGACGAGGCCCCAACGATACGGCCGGTTCGACGGCGTCTGGACTCGCTCGATGAGGCACCCACAGCATCATATTCAAATCGATCTCTGGTTGTTTTCGACATATGAGAGAGACTCCATACGAGATGTAACTGGACGTCTGACAGGCTGACCTAATTTGAAGAAGCAAACAACGATTGTCACGTGAGATCTTCCGTTCCAAAATGCCAAGAGTCTGTGACTGTGACTCAACATCGCCTTTGAATTTTGCCCGGACTCAACCTTCTCATTACCCACCTCCTGTCTCAAACGCGTGTCCACAGTGCTGGACGATGACTGATTGCCAGCTTCCGACGTCGTTATCGACTGTGTCGAGCATAGACTAAGCGGTGCCGTGCGCGTTCAGCGCACCAGGCAGTCTGCAACCTAGAGTCCTATCGCATTCTGCTCGAGAATCGAAAACCGTCGCAGCGCATCGTAGTGCATCGCTTGTGCCCATATGTATGGTCAGGAGTGGTGAGAAGGAGGATAGAAGACGACACATGGCGGAGACGAGCCGATCGGTTCGAAAGGAACATGGACAGAATGCTACGATGTGCCGGGCGCAAACTTCATCGTGGTCCCGCGCAACGGCATCTGCTAAGGATCCCTAAGCACCCGAGTTCTTGAGACTCCCATCACTTGCTGGACCAGCCACCTCGTTGATTCCTGCGCTGCAGCCTTCTGAGATGGCGACGTCCTTCAGCGATGAGACTCCACGAATGCCTAGCCATGCCTGCTACGAGAGGCAGCTTCGAACTGGACGCACAAGGTCGAGAACCCTTTTTTCGTAGCCACTGCTGGCTCCCCGGCTGCCTCGACAGTTGCACACGCTGAAGCGCGAGTGCCGCTCAAGGAAAAGGCTCAGCACCTGTTCCACGTCGTTCAAAGAAATAGGAAAGCAAAAGAATTGAAAAGTACGACGACACGTGCAACCGATTCGCATAGATAGAAAAAGGAGTATTTTTACATGCTACGTTCCGCAAGGATATTGCCTTCCTTTGTGCATATTCCAAGCCGATGACATAGATCGGGTATGACGGATTCAGAAGAGACAAGCAGCGTGACGAGGCATTCTCATCGCAACAAAAGAGAGCAGGATGCGTCCTCCAGCTCCATCCGCAGCGGGACACCAGCACGGAATTCAGGTGTGTTGCAAGCGCTTGACCACGGACGCGTTACATACCACGGGTTTGCCGGACCGCATCTGACTGGCTTCTGTGCAGGGCCGGACCAAGTGGGCAGAGTGTAGCCGGCTGGCGTGTGCGAAGTGAAACAAAGCTGCACATGATTTTGAGAAGACGAAAGGGCAGCACCACGGCCGTGGTGCAGACACACGCTACAACGTCAGACTGTCGGAGCCGCGCTTGTTCATTGTAATCGTCGGCCGCCCAGCATCTTCCGCGCCGCCAGCCCGTCAGGAGCTTGACCACTCGGCGAGCTGATGGGCCACGGTCAGGACAGCCGTCGTTGCGTTTGGGTGTGACTCTGTGGTGAGGTCCATAGGCTTCGACGGGTATGTTTCTATTGCTGGCCAGCAGGGACATGATTGGACGGGCGATGTGCCTACCTGGACGCTCGGACCACAGGACAAGGCTCTCAGCGAGTCTCTCGCTCGTCGCCCGGAGCCCTGAACCATCGACCGCTTCTTCCATCAGCGGTCCGCTGCTTTTCTCCCCTCCGAGAAGACCCCCTCTGCAACTTTGGCTATACTCGCTTTCCATGACACCCCTTTTGATTCCATATTCTCAGCTCTGTGCCACATCCAGGAATTATTCCAAATGGCCGAAACGTGCATCGTTTGCCTAGGAGAGCTCCACCACGTCGGTGGCGCTTCCAGTTCCGACTCTAAGAGTCCCGCTCTCGAGGCGGACGACACCCCTGCCAACACCACGGATGGTGGTGGTGATGGTGCTTCCGAACTCATCGCAACGCTGCTGCCGTGCGGTCATTTTCTACACGATGACTGCCTGAAGCCGTGGGTCGAGCGTGCTAACTCATGCCCAATCTGTCGTACGGCTTTTAACATGGTCGAGCTGAGGTTGGCTCTCGGTGGTAAGTGACGGTTGGGACAAAGACTGTGGCAGTGCGCTAACTTTTGTCTTTTTCCTTGTCTATAGGCCCCGTGGAATCATCATACGCCGTGCAAGACAAGCGTCAGGTTGCAGATATCGACCCTACCCTTGTTGTCGAAGAAGACGTTTTGGAAGAGATTGACGCTGACCACGAAGACCCGTGCATGGTCTGCGAAACGTACGGCGACGAGAGCGAGCTGCTCCTTTGCGATGGCTGCAACAACACCACACACGTATTCTGCGCCGGCCTGGACTCCGTGCCGGCTGGAACATGGTTCTGCTATACGTGCCAGCAAGATCCTCAGGTCCTCGCGCAGAACTATCGCACATCGTCCAGTCGGCGACGCAGAATCAGACGGCCTATTCGAGAGGTTGGTTGGGAGCGTGCTTGGCGTTCGATCTTCGATCGTATCCACTTCGACATAGACTTCCCATTTGACGAAGAGGAAGATGATGGTGCTGCTGAACGTGCGGCTGCTGCAGAGCGCAGGGAGATTCGCGAATGGCGCCGACGTTTCGACGTTGCTGCACGTCAAGGTGCAGCTACGCGGTTTCGCAATACGGCAAACATCCTCCGCCACCCTGAGCCGCCGCGGCAACCGAAAGCGGAGTCCGCAGAAGACATCAGGGCCTGGAATGCCTTCGAAAGGGCTCGGCGGAGGGAGGAAGAAGCACGAGCAGAAGACGATGATCAATCACGCGGCAGAGGCAGAAAACGCAAATCGCGATCAAATTCGCCACGCGAGGAAACACCACCGCCTACGGAACGCAAATTGAAGCGTCCACGCATTTCGAACAGACGACCGCATGCGACGGCAGAGGCTTCAGGCAGTAACACTGGAAGCTCCAGTTCAGCCTCTGTACGAATGTCTGCGCCAGCTCCCCAGCGCCCACGCCCAAACTTACCATTGACCGATGGCTCTGCTGAGGACTCTGCTCGCAATAATCGAACCACGTTTTTGCAGAGCCTGCTGGATGAGGTAGAGTCACATCCAGGTCGACCGGCGTCCGAGTTCGATGCTTTCAACGACTATGAAGATGCTGGTTCCGGTCCGGAGCGATCACCCTCACCGCAACTATCTCCAGCCACGTCACCCGTCACGTCCAACTATCCTACACCACACACGATGACTCCACTACCACACTCACCAATCACTCGGCCTGTGTCTCCACCACCGCTAGCTTCGACGATCACGCCAATCTTTCCACCTGCCCCCGATTTCTCGCCGTTCTCTCCCGTCGTCGACGACAGTGTCGATCGTTCGCGAGGAAGGCAACGCAAGCAGGCATCGCGTCATGCGTCGAGCTCCCCAGACCAATCGCCAAGCCACTCGCCTGCGCGCGCGCCAATGTCATACGAGATGAAGGACCAGATTGCGAAAATGGTTTCATCTGCACTCAGGCCATACTACAATCGGAAGGAGGTAGACAAGTTCCAGTTCACAGAAATCAACAAGGAGACCTCACGCATGCTTTATGACAAGATCTGGGATGCTGGAGGCCTCATAGACCAAGCTGCCCAGGAGAGGTGGCAGAAGGTCGCTACCGAAGAGGTTGCGCAGGCGGTAAAACAGTTGACCAAGAGTCGTACGAACACACCGCCTGTTGTGGCCGAAAAAGCAACGACATCATCGCAACAAGCTACCTCTGAAGTTTCTCTTAGACCTGCTGCTGTGAAGGTGTAAAGATGTTCAATCCAAGTTATTCGTGTTGGGTTGCTTTGCCATGGCAAAGCATGTTTGTTTCCATTGCATTTCGTCCAGCGACGGCGTTTACTAGGGGGCAACCAGTAATACAGTTTTTCTTTTCCGGGACTTGTCCAGGCAGTCGCCAGAGGTTCGAGGCGAACATACTTTGCACCAGGAAAGTAGGACGGTGTTCCTCATGGACAGATGCATGATGGCCATTCGGATCAAGATTGCGCCCCGTTTTATGCGTGAGCGCACGCTTGCAATTAGATAACCTGATGATATACACTCTACACATGTACACGTACATAACGTATGGGCCTGAAGATAGACACGGGCTTATGAACTTGTACGCACTGCATGTTTGATGGGACGGAACTGCGTGCTGGGGATCAAGGGAAGATTGCAGCAAATGTAATCGTAGACATGATATATTATGTAATTCAACCATGCATGAATCTATGGTAGCTGTCAAACAATATCATTTTTTTTTCTCTCCCACTTCTGCTTCTGATGTCCGTGGCAAGTTTTGCAACGCTGTGCTGAACGTGTCGTCCGCTTCAGGTAAACGCATGTCGGTTCTCCTTTTGTGAAGCAAAGACCTCCATGCGCATGGCTTCCGCGGGCCTTTCGAGGCAGTCGCACTGTGTTCAAGATTGAACAGTCTACCTCTTCTTCTTTTTCCCCTTGTTCTTGCCCCCGCCGGCCGCTCCGCCGGCGCTCTGCTGCGCGGGAGCGGCCGCCTTGGGCTCCTCCACGGCGCCGCCCTGCGTCAAGTCCTGGCCCTTCTTCTTCCCCTTGCCCTTGCCCTTGGGTCGCCAGTAGCTGCGGTCCCGGAGAGGCAGCCACCGCTCCTTGTCCATGACCTTGCCCTCGACGAAGTCCTTGGGCATGCGCTTCTTGCTGAGCCGGGCCCGTTTCCTGGACGCGGCGGGCCTGGCAGCCGCGGCGCGCTTGCGCGTCGCCGCCGCGGACGACAAGGGGGACAGCGGCGAAGGCACGCCGGCGTTCTCGAGTGCCTCGGCGTCGATGTCGCCGACCAGTCGGGCCGACGGCGTGAGGCTATCGAGCAGCGAGGCTGGAACCGCGGAGCCGACGCCGTCGCCGTCACCGTTGCCGTCGTGCGCTCTGCGCGCCAAAGCGGCGACCAGGCCGGCGGTCGAGGCGCGGTCGTCGGGGTCGTGCTCGTGCAGGTCCGTGAAGACGTCGACGGCCAGCTGGATGTCGTCTTCGTCGTGCTCGCCGCTGGCCTCGAGGAGAGCCTTGCCGGCCGAGCGGAGCAGGGTCACGGGCAGCGGGATGCTTGCATCCTCCTTCCTGCGGGCGCGCCAATACGACGCTGCGCGCGAGAGCTCCGCCTTGATGCCAGCGGCGCGATTCTGCTTGGCGTACAGCGAGACCAGAACGGCGACCAGGCCCGGGGCGTAGCGCACGTCCAGGTCGGCGGCTGTCTTGGACGCCTCGAGCCGGGCGAAGAAGGACTCGAGCAGCGAGATGGCCGAGCCGTGGTTGTTCGTCAGCATGTACAGGTGCACGACCGTGAGCAGGAGGCCGACGTCCTTGGGCCGTTGCTCCAAGAGGGGGAGCACGGCTTTGAGGGCCGCCTTGGGCGACTGGCCCTTGGCGTGAGCGGCCGCGTTCAGGACAGAGAGCGTGTTTTGGGCCGGTGACGTCGTGGGCTCCCCCCCTACCCGTGAGGTGGAGCGGATCACACCGGCGTACTTGGACGACAGCAAGTCGACGACCATGGCGTTCTGGCGTAGCAAGTCCGCTTGGAACGTGAAGGGGAGATCCGAGCCTTCCAGCTTCGGGCCCGAGTTGTAGATGCGGTGCGTGAGGAAGGGATTGGGCGCCTCCTCGCCGTACGTCGAAGCAACGAGGCCGTTGACCTTTGCGATCCACTTAGTGGCCTTGTCCGTGTCTTGGTCGTCGTTGTCTTGCTCGTCGAGTTCCGCAGAGAGCTTCTTCGCTTCCTCGATCCGCCCCAGCCGCAGAAGCACGTAAGCCATTTGCGCGACGATGGGGATCATCTCGACCTTCTTCTCCTCCTCGCTCAGCTCCTCGCTTGCAAGACACAGGTCCCTTGCTCTTCGAAGCAGCATCTCGCCCTTCGCCAGCTCTCCTCTGGCAATGGCCCCGCATGCCGCGTTGTACGCGCTCTCGAACGCCTCCAGGTCCTCTCTGGTCGGCTGCTTCTTCTTCACGAGGTGGCCCTTGCCCTGCCACTCCAGCTGCGCGTCGACGGCGGCACCGTTGATGCGCAGATCGTTCGCTTCCGCCCTCGCACCGGGCGACCCGTCGTCCAGCTGCGCGTATAACGCCGCCGCCTTCTCGAATTTCTCCAGCCGGTACGTCGTCTGCGCTAACACGTGCTTCAGACCCCTTCTCTCGCTGGCCCCAACGCCGCCACGGCTGCCTCCGTCGCCCGCCCCGCTGGCGGCAACCTCCTCCGCCCGCTCCAACTGCCCGGCCTTGTACAGCGCGTACGCATATTCCAATCTCGCGGCGTCCTTGATCCCCTGTGCACCCGCCTCTTCGAACGCCCGCACCGCGTCGTCGTAGCGGTCGAGCTTCAGGAGCGCAACGATACGGGCACGCTGCGCCGTCGGATCCGTCTTCGACTTCTTGAGACTGGCGTTTGCGGCTTTGAGAACGTCCTCGTGCGAGGTTATGTGCGTCGAGCGCAGAAGGGAGGTCAGCTCCGCGGTGGCCATGATGCACCGTGCGAGAAAGCGAGCAGAGCACCAAGATGAATCAGACGTGTGTCTCGACGGTGAGGGCAAAGTCGGGATTCTCTCCTTGTTGGTTTGTTTTTTGGTTTTTTTTTTTGGTTTTATTCTTAACTGGCACTCATTGTTTGACTTGGAGCACGTGTTCGCGCACGATTCTGTTCGTCTTTACGAAGGGGGCCAGAAATGGTATTGGGCTCGATGCTGTTCCGTTTTCTTCTTCTTTTGTGCGTTCGATCGGTGCTCCACGTTTCGGAACTCTTGGACTGTTGCGGGTCACTTCGATTTTTGGTGGGGTGGGAAACCTTACGGACGTCACTTGCCCTTTTTTAACACTTCTGCTGCACCAGCCAAAACGAACGTGGAAACGAAACGAACACGATTATCAAGAGCCGCAGATCCATGGCGAGGAAGAAACCGTTCCAGCAAACAATCTATGATCATGGGTACGACATGCCAATAATTGCCGTTTTCATCCATTTCCCAGGAATCGGTGTCATCTACTCAGTCTCTATCAATCCTGAACCGAACTATTCGACCGGCCAGTGCAGGCAATCAAGCAAGCACGCAAGCTACTACATAATTGATATCTTCTTCTCTATCCTCTCCGTGTCGCGATCCGTCCATCTTCGAGACATGGAGCGTACATGCGCAACGTATAAGTCTGAGCCCGTACCCGCTGAGCCATTGTTCGGACAAGCACGTCTTCAACTCTCGCAGGGCGGGGGTGTTCACATTGCAGCAGCTCGAAACCGAAGACGAGAAGCTCTAGCATCTGAAGCAGTAGGCGCAAACACAACTTAGCCTCCTACTGAGCCAGCGTGATCTTTCACACGTCCTCAAACTCCTCTTCTGAGTCCTCCGCCTCTCCTGAACCAGTGGCCTGACTGGCCGGCGTGTCGACGTCCATCTTCAGTCGCTTCGCTTCTGGCAACTCCGCGCCGTTTGAATTGTTGGCCGCGACCGAGGATGCAGGCACGTCCTCGAACTCAAAGTCCTCCTCGTCGTCTTCCTCCTCTTCCTCGTCCTGCTGCTCCCTCTTCAGTCGCTCCTGCGCCTGCTCGGCCTCGATCTCGGCAAATATGTCCGCCAGCCCATCATCCTTATCGACGGTCTTCTTCTCATCCGTCGTGTCCGCAATCAGCATGCCCAGCTCAGCTTCTCTCTCTCGCCGCGCAGCCTCTTCGCGCGCGCCGGACGCTGTCATCTCGTTTGATATGGTGCTGTGCGTGTGCCACTCTGGCAGTGCATTCTGCGCTGCGAGCCGCTGTTTTTGCTCAGCTGCCTTCACCTGTGCCGCTGCCGTGTTGTCCGCGTCAGAGGTGATGATGACCTCAACCTTGGCGGGGCCCGTGACCATGCCTTTGACCGCCGTGGGACGCGACAACGGCACTGACGTAGTTTCGACTTTGGGACCTTCGAGAGGGGCTTTGGGCCGTGGGATCTCCTCGCGCGCGGCGAAGGCGCCTTCAGACGTTGTGGCCGGGATTGTCACCTTGTCGATATCCTGCAACAAGTTGATGAGCCAGCCGAGTGACTTGTTGAAGGCGCCCACAGGACCGGTCGTCTCAGCGTCTTCAGCGTCCTGTTCAATGTAGTCAAGATCGTGGTCGCACGTCAGACAGAGGAATGTCGTCCCGTCTGCGGACGAGCGCTCCATCACGTCAATCACCTTGAACTCTGACTTGCACCGCGGACATCTGTAGTCCTTGCGCTCCTCCGTCGGCTCAGCCTCCTTACGCAAATTCGCACCAAGCGTGTGCAGCCTGTACTTCGTGGCGTCGACAGCATGCCGGTAATCGATGTAGTAATATGTGACCTTTGTAGGTTTCTGGGCGTTTGCCTTGATCTCCTCGCGGGAGAACTCGGTGATCAGCCCGCCAAGGCGCAGCTGACCTAGACAGTTCGGGATCTGGCCCTTCTGCTTGGCGCTGTTCTGAAAGACGTAGTATATATCTGAGAGGCTGAGCGCGACGTGGCGTACCAAGGCGTCGACGATGACAACGGCTTCAGTGTCGTAGAAGGCACGCGCGACCATGCGCACGAGCTCCTGGGCTTTGTCCATCGTTGCACCTGCTGGCTGTGCTGTCTGGCTAGTGGAACACGAGACAAGTGGACCAGAGAGCCTCGGTGAGCAAATAGGTGGGAGATGAGAAAAGAATGAGGATGCTGGATGAATGGAGCGAACGCCGCAGCAGCCTCGCCTATGGTTTATGGATGGTGATGCATTTCTATAGCAACACGTCGCCGCTACGGTCGTAAGTACAGGTCGGAGTCAGCGCGGACGCTGCCAGCGCTGCTTGCGCACCAAATAAAGAGATGGGGGATCAGGCACTTCAGCCTCGGGGTGGACGGTGACAGTCCAGTAAAGGCGGCCACCAGGGAAAAGCAAGCCGCAAGCGTCCCTACCGGTTCAAGACGGCAATACCTCGCCCGATGCGGTCTCGTAAAGGGGTTGGAGATCAGCGAAGGACGGCGGCGGGCAACGACGAGAGACGACGAGAGGGAGGAGGAGGAGGAGGAGGTATGAAAAGTGAGTAGCGAGCGAAAGACATGGAAATGTCCAACGTCGAGATCGAGAACATGCGCTAGTCCCATTTTGGATTAGGCAATATGACGTCCGTGGTGGTATCCAAGATACTAAGTCGAACGAACAGCGGATTTCACACAACGATCGGGGCCAAGTGGGATAAGAAAGACGCATTCCAGTTGCCGCACTTGTCAGCCGCCTCGTTTCCCCCAGCAATATCCCTTTAATTGAACGCGCAAGGGATCGTGCAAGGGATCGTGCTCGCTGAGCACGCAGCGAGCACTTCAATTGGCATCTTGTATCGCTGCTGTTTGACATGGGTTGTAACAATAACAAGAGCTTTGTTCTGAACACATGAAACAATTGCTGTCATTGCCATTTTTACTGCCGCGAAAGGGGGTATATATAAAGCAATCACAGTCAAACGCTATAACAAGATATAAAAAAGTTGCGTTTTGCTGGCTTCGTCGTTAACGATGAGGCCACAAACGCAAGGAGAGAACTTAGCAGGTGCTCTCTCCACTTGATCCTCGTCACGACATCCATCTTACGCTTAAGTAAACCATGCTTTCAGTATCTTACGATGGGGGCCCCAGCGCCGCCTCTACGGGCCACCATTATGCCCGTCTTGATTCCTTCCGCTTCAAAATGATCCATCCACGTGAGTTGGGAGGCATTCTTCCTCGTTCCACCGGACCCGCCAATGGCTAGGCTACTCAGAACTCTCCTCAGCCCTCCGATAGACTTCGCCTTGGGCGCCGGCATGGGTGGTAGCGCCGTGATCTCACCTATAGGTGTGTCATCGACCGTGGAATCTGAACTTATGGTAGTACGTGAACGTATGGCGCCATGACTGTCGATACTGATCTTGCGGCTAAAGTTAGGCACAAGCCCACTGTCGCCGCGATTACGGCCGGCGAGGCCTCCACCCGAGGTAGCTGTGGAATCGGACGGACGCGTGCGGTGCGACACGACATGGGATCGCACCACTGCCGAAGTAGCGGCGTGGACAACGCTATCCTCCGGAATCGTGCACCGACCGATTTTGGCACTCGCAGTCCGCGAATGCAGCACAGGTGAGAAGCACGAGTCGGCCGTACTGCTGGATTTGGAGTGCGCGGCAGAGCGATGCCGACTCGTTGAGCTGCCGCTTGATATCGGGCTAACTTCAAGATCCTTGAGAGGAAGCTCGGGGGGTGCAATATCTGTGATATACGGGCTAGGCTGGCGCGAAACTGTTTTTGCAGCTGGGAACATGGGCGCGGATAGAGGCCCATTGGTGCCGCCGCCGCTCTTCATGAGATCGACAACGTGCATCTTCGGCTCTGCAGACGTAGGCGTGGGTTCAGATTGGACTGTTGCTGCATCGTTGTTATGCTTGCGCCAGGTATCCAGCCTGGGGAGCGGCGGCAGCGCCCTGTTCAAATCGGGGATCGCCATCTGCTTTTGGTTTTCGAAGTGCGTTCCTTCCGTAGTTGCTCTGGCCGAGCGTGATCTGTGTACGCTGACCACGCCCATGACGCCGTGATTGTTGCAGTTGCCCTGGCTCTTGCTTGTCCTGTTCGAGACGTTGAACGCGGAGTAGTCATACGCCGTCGACGTTCTGCCGAAGCTCTGCGCGTGGACACTGCGGAATTCGAGCGAATCGCGTCGCGTGGGGTGTGCATCAACACCCGTGTTGGGTCTGGCCGCTACCACGTCACTTGCCTTCGGTCGCGAGTTCCAATCGCGCCTGTTGGTCTGTAGGTGTTCGCGCGTCTCATACTCCAGCTGGTTGAGTAAGCGCCTCGCATGTGCCTCTGCTTCCTCATCCGTGGCTTTGACCAGCTGACCCTGCACGCGCATCTGCAGAGGCCCGGACGGCGTGATGGCGGTCGACGTGAACGCGGTGGACATGCTATCGACATACCGGTCCGTTGACGCCGTCCGGGGTGTCTCGTAGCTGCCATCGCTGATATCATCGAGAGGCGCCGTCCGAGGCCTATGATACGACACCGCCGTTGGCGAAAAAGTCGAGGTCTTGTAAGCGTCTCCATTTGTTACGTGGTTCGTAGACTCCAGGTGACGAGAGGTGTGGTTTGCCTTGGACGACGTGGTGTGCAGCCTTGGGGTATGGTTCATGATCTTGAGATCCTGTTCACTTTTCGAGCCCGAGACTCCGCCGTCTGTCCTGGACGGCCGCAGGACGGGAGGGACGCGCTCATCTATGTGACTCGAGGTCTGCGGCCGCGAGTGTCCGCGGCCATCGCTGCTGAATTGTGGGACGCTTTTGGTGTGATTCAGAGGCTTAAAGTTGAGCTTGGGCTCCTGCTCGCCGACGTAACCCTTGACGATAGCGGCACAGGCGGCCTTCAGCTGGGACTCGGTGCCTTCGTCGAGCTCACGGCGGCTGATAAAGGCGGATAACGGCGGGGAAAGTGGTGAGTTGGCGCTGTCGTCGTGCTCACTCTGGAGGCTTTCAAGATGTGCCTTGAGAGCTCTGTTCTCTGCCCGTGATGGGATACGCTTCAAAAGACCCATCTGTTAGCTGATCGTGAGGTGCAGACATGAGGGCTTGGGCACTCACCAGTGGGGCGAGGAAAGCGAACTTGTGCTTCATGACGGTCGTGCTCCTTCCGTGGAAGAAGAATCGGGGGAAAAATAAAGGAAGGCAGAAAATAGAACAAAGTAGAATCCTCGATCCTGCGAGTAGCTCGAGAGAGATGGAAGGATGAGCGCGTGCAAGACTGAGCAGCCCGCGACTTGTCCAGTCGAGAAGGTCGCTGCGGTGAGACTTGCAAACGCAGATATCCGTCCAGATCTGGGTGAGTAGCGGCTGATCACGCGCATGCAGAACGAAGGAGAGAAAGAGAGGCGGAGTGAGCGGGTGGGAGCAGAGTTGGGATGCGGACTGGCGCTGGCTGGGCCTTCTTCAGCACGCAACGGATGGTCCTGCCGGGAGCCTTCTGCCACAAGATACAAAGACAGCAAGGATGCGCCTTCGTCTTCGTCTCCGCCTCGGAGGGTCTCCGTCTCGGAGGAGTGTTTTGGCTTTTTTTTTTTTTGGCGACGAGAACGGCACGGCGGAGCAGGCGGGTCTCTGCAGACGAGGAGGACGACGATGTCGACGGCCAGAAGAAGGAGTGAATTGGACCTGGCGCGACCAACAGAGGCGGGTTGCCCGGACGGTCGAGGGCGAGCGCGAGCGTCGGAGAGACTGTGGGAGCCAGCAATGGCGGCGGGCTCGGGCTGGAAGGTTGTTGGCCTGAGTAAGACGGACGCGAGCTGATGGCGACCGCACATACGGCCAAACCGCCACGCCACGTCCGGTTAAGCCGACGCAGGCCAGTCGAGGCCAGTTGAGGCCCGTGGAAGCCAGTTCAAGCCCGCCCAAGCCAGCCGTCGCCGCTGCAAGGCGGAGGCCAGCGGCGATTGGCCGGGCCCTGGCTGCGAGCGCTGGAACGAAGTTGGCATCCCTGCCGCGTCCGCGCCTGCACGTCCAACGGCGTGAAACACCAGCTCGGACAGGCCTGCGGGTGCACGCGCGGCGGCCGGTGCGGTGGCCGGTGGGGTTGTTCTGCTGTCGACGTCGTCGCCCGGAGCGCGCAGCACTTGAGCTGCAACTGGACGGCCGTGCCAGGCCCGCGCAGGGCGCTGCGGTCACGTTCCGCGGAAGTGAAGAGACGGCAAGTCGTCGTGTGAACACCGCGAGCCAGAGAAGTCCAGGCCGCAGCAGCATCTTCGCACGCCGCCAGGAACCACTGCTTTCTTTGTCTTGGTCGCCATGCAGCCGGCGTCAGCAAAGGCGCGTTCCCATCGCCCGCCGCTCCCCCCATGCCGCCTCTGCTTCCACCTTCTGTGCCTGTGCGATGTGCGCATGGGTTGGATCCAGCCAGGTCCTGGCCGAGCCGTGCGTGCATCGTGACGAACTGCAGCTACAAGTACGAACAGACTCATGGATCGCTCCGCGTTTAGCAGCGACAGTGGCCCGCCGAAGCGATGTGTCGCCGCTGACTTTTGCAGTCGACGTATGGGCGGTCGTGATGCGTCAGATACAGCCAGCGCTCCCAGCGGTTTTGGCGACAGCGCACACGTCTGGCACAGCTGCAGGGCTCATCCTTCTTCCCTGGTCCTTTCTCCTACTCGTCTTGCCAGCCCGTAGTCGAATGCGTCCGTCGTCCTTCTGTGTGCTGGACGACCCAGCTGAAGCCGCAAAGCTCATCAGCCGAGTGCAGATCACTCCGTCACCGATCACAGCCCAAAAGCCAACATGTACGGCCTCGACAGTGCCACAGATCCGTCCCCTTTTCTTCCATACTTGGCTGCTCATATCCGCCATCCCCTTCAACGGCGGCGTGAGTTTCACTGGACGTCGTACTCGTGCAGCATCTGTTCTCTGTATTCTATCTCACTCCATGCTGCCACACTCGCACCCAATCAACATGTCCCGCTCAGGTAGCGTACAACCCTCACACAGCACAAGGTGGATGGAAAAGCAAAAGCAGACATACGTCGCTCATCTGCCCCATTCGTTTTAGCCAGGAACAGAGAAGAAAAGAAACTCTACGATCCTCACCGATCCGCAAGTCCATGGATGCGCTAACGCGCTCGTGCTACGCTTCCCACCCACTTGTACACAGGCCGTCATAACCAGCTTCTCGCCTCTTCACATCCTTTTCCTGTGTCCAAACTGCAGAAGTCGCACGCGAATGTTGCTTGATGCATGCACACACGTCTGCATCATCCCCCCAGCTTGTGGAAGGAAGTTCTTCTGGCGCGGATCCAGCCTCTCGTGCGACCCTCTCATCTTCTCATGTGTCATTTACCTGCAGCGAACCCCAAACACGGACGCAAGAACCCGCGACGCCGAACCATATCGTGACTCAGTGTGAGTCTTCAGAGGAAGAGGGAAAAAAAAATTTTAAAATAAAACCATGAATCTAGCATGTGGCTAATCTTTCAAACCTTGGGGGGAAAAAAAGCTTATCCTGCTGGAGCAGCGATTGGTAAGGCTGTCAAGGTATTGCGATGGCGTGCGGTATCTCCCCCTTCCCCCGTTCCTACAACTGTATCGTCCGCGCCGTGCTTCGTGTTGGCGAAGTGCATGCGGGCACGCATTGCATAAATCAAGTGCACACAGACCAAGTAAAAACGACATTGCCATGCTCCACACTAGGGCTCACGATGTATCTCACCTCCTCGGCACCGCAAGCGAGGATTGATCCTCTCTGCCTCGTCCAACCGGCCAAACACTGACTGACCCACCGATCAGGAAGTAGATGCGACGCGTACCGAGGGATGCGAGCGAGTGAATCTTTTTTTTTTTTTAGATCACCCTCTCCTGAGACGGCCTGGCTCAATCTCGAAGTTGGATGACTCTCGGAACCGCGCTCCCGGATCAGCGGTGCAGGGAGGCAGCACGGCCGAGGGAATGGAACGAGTCGAGAAGGAAGCCAGAATCAGAGAAGAAGCAAAAACGAAAAGGGTCAGGATAATTTCTTGCTTTCATTCATTCTTTTCTTTTCTCTCTCTCTCTAAAAAAAAAAAGCACCAAATGGGCAAGGTATCAGGAAGTGGCAGGGCCGTCGTCCCGTTTTGCGCATTCTAGAAAACCAGCCGTAGCGGCCTTCTCAGGGGAGCGACAAGAGAAAAACACCCTTCCTTTTGTTTCGTTTCCTCGCTCTACCATTTTTGTTGCCTGACGGACTCGCGTCGCCCGGGACCTTCTGTACGGCGCCAGAGGGAGCAAGTCCGTGTTTTGCGAACTTTGTCCGTCGTCGTTTATGTCTTCCTCTCTTTGCGAGCTTCACGGTGGGAACGGCCCATCGGAGAGAACGACGGCGACGGGAAAAAGCACAGAAACGTCGTCGTGGGCAAACGGGGTCGGGAAATCACATCAATCTCCTTGTGCCTCCACTTCCATGTTGTCTCAAAAGATCTGCAAGAGTGTAGTTATGCGTGCATGCGTTCCCGTCCGCTAAGGCGGGGCCAAAGCCTCGTGGCGTGCAAACATCAAGCGTCATCGCTTGTCGTCAGCCTTTCTTTCATGTTCGGGCACCAGCTGCCGTGGCGGTACTCATGCTCGTTTCTGTGAGTGGAGACCGATATCACAACCATCGTCTTATGTTTACAGGTGTTTTGCCCGGAGCACACGTTATCGGACCATTCGCCACGCTGGTCGCCTTCTCTCAAAACGAAACGAGTCATTCCGTACGTCTTAAGACACTTCGCATGCCCTATGGCCAAGCATCCAGATCCACCAACCTAACACACGTCCAATCCCAGTCTTGTCGTTCCATCTCATCCGTCCAATGTTCTGCCTTGGACAAAAAGCCCTACTTGTAGATGGATATCTCTATTCCTTCTTCCATTACATTCCCCCTTCAATCCAAGCATCCCTGAAGAAACGATAAATCCCAAACACTCTCTGTACAAGAGACAAGTACCGCGCACGTACACGGACACACACGCGTACACGCGCACACGCATATTCGCTCTGTTCTTCTCCTCTCCTTTCAACCCCTCACTTCCTTGAGGATGGCTTGCAGCCGCTGCCCGCTGACTTTCTCAAACCGATCCACTTGCATAACAAATGTGCCCCTACCCGCGGTCAAGCTGCGCAGCTGCCTGAGATATCCCACCATCTCGCGCAGCGGAACTCGCGCCGTGATCTGTCGCAGCCGTGTAGCACTCGTAGACATCACTGTTCCGTTTCCGACTTCCGAGGTGTACGGGTCTGGCGGCGCGTATACCAGATTGGGGTCGACAGAGGGCATGTTGTCCTCTTCGAGCGCGATGGCGGCAGAGCCGGGATCGCTGGCTACGCTGTTGTCGTCGTCAAGGGAGAGAATATGACCGCCGCGTGCAGCTGAAAGGTCATGCACCACTGCACCGAGGTCCGATTCACCAACGCTGATGGTGACGAGCATGACGGGCTCCATCAGAGCCAAAGCAGCGTCTTTGTGAGAGGCTTCGAGAGCGGCCTGTGTTGCTTCGCGTGCTGCAACCGACAGCGCCACTGCGCTTGTGTCGGGGAAGATGTGCTCGTCTGGATGGAGATGGAGAGTGACATGTGTCGAATGCACAGGATACCCATGGGTTGGCCCCCGCGCAAGCGCCGCGCTTACACCGCTCTGCAAGGCTGAGATGGCCATGGAGAAGGTGAGCTGGGGCGGGAAAGGATCTTTGTCGTCATGGACGGGCCGTCCGTCCGCGGACAAGGTTGGATGCAGAATCGTGAGGTGGTTGTTATCTGGCAGCTCGATCTCCTGAGCGCTGTCTGCATGCGGCGATTTGAAATCCTTCGCGGCAATGGGAGCTATCGAGACCAGCGTGGTGGCGTGCGCATGCTTGCCACCGATCTCACGGTCCACGGCACTTTCGAACGCTTGCTTCGAAGCTGCTTCCACGGCTTCGCGATAGTTGATATCGATCTTTCCGATCCGCGCCTTGGCCTTGAAGTCGTTGATGAGCCGATCGCGCGCAATCTCAAGGTGCAGCTCGCCCATGCCCGCAAGATGCGTCTGGCCATTCTCCGCGTCGACGGACACACTCAAGCTCGGGTCCTCGCGTAACAAAATGTCGAGAGTGTCCTTGATGTGCTTCTCCTCGGCCAGACTGTCCGGCTCGATGCTCGTAAAGAAGACGGGCGGGGGGACCGCTATCGGTCGCAGCTGCAGGCTGTCCAGAGGTGCAGGCGGTCCAGTCTTCGCATTCATTCCCATGTAGGAGATCAGTGTGTCGCCCGTGCGCGCGTGTTTTAGGCCAACAATGACGCCGATCTGGCCGGCGTCAATGGAGGGGATCTCGAGCGCGTCCGAGGCGTACATACGGAGTAACCTGGGCGCTCGCTCTGTGACGTTCAGATTTGTATTGAAGATTTGAGCGCCGCGAGTAAGAGAGCCTGAGTAGACGCGTACATAAACGAGGACCCCTCTTTTCGCATCGTTAACGACTTTGAATGCCAGAGCACAACTCTGTAAGTTGGCCACCACAGCGGTAGATCTCGCTTTCGAAGGCTTTGCCATCATAGTCGTTTGACGTGTGCCTGTAATCTTACCGCTGAGCAAGTCCTGTAGCGTACTGGTCGTAGATCCAATCGTGATTTCAGTGTCCGGCCGTTCAGCGGGCGAAGGCAACAAGTCAACCACGGCGTCCAGGAGAGGCTGCACGCCAATGTTCCTGAAGCTGGCTCCGGCATACACAGGCGCGACCTGCTGCGGGGACTGCATCGTACATCTCCTGAGCGACGAGACGACGTCTTGCTCCGGGATGGCCAGATGGTCTTCCTCGCAATCGAGAAACTTTTCGACCATTTCCTCGTCATGCTCGCTCAGCCTCTCAACGAGCGCTTCTCTTGCTCTTCTGAGCTCTTGTGCCAGCTTTGGATACTTCTCATCGAGCTCCTTCAAGCTGAAAGCCTTCACTGCTCTGCCGTCCGTTCCCTCCTCCCACAGCAGTCCCCTCAAACCCACTACATCTCCAACACCGCAAAACTTCCCATCTTCCGTTCTCCACCACGGAATCTCGCAAACGGCTGGCCACACGTTCAATTTCGCGCCAACCTCCTTGACGGTCCTGTGAAATGCCGCGCCATCGCGGTCCAGTTTGTTCACATAAACGATCCTGGGGATCCGATACTGGTTCGCTTGGTGCCACACTTTCTCGGTTTGAGCTTCCACGCCTGCAACGCCATCAAGTATACAGACAGCGCCGTCCAGCACGCGGAGCGAGCGCAGAACTTCGAATGTGAAGTCTGCGTGACCAGGCGTATCAATCAAGTTGATGCTATGAGGAGTTGCTGAAAGTCGCGACTTCGTTCCCGTGGGCGGGGACTTAACCAATTTTTGAGCCTCTTCTGGTGGTGTTGGAGGCCAATTGAACGTGATGGCCGCCGACTGAATGGTGATTCCCCTAGCTCTTTCGGCAGGAAGAAAATCGGTGACCGTTGAGCCATCGTCCACATCACCAATGCGTCTCGTGTACCCACTGTAATAGAGCATACGCTCCGTCGTTGTAGTTTTTCCCGCATCGATGTGGGCGATGATGCCGATATTCCTGGTTCTAGAAAGGGCGTCATGATGGTCATGGAGACGTCCGCTTGTAGTAAAGAAACGAACCCATTGCAGACGGCCTTGTCGGGCAAAACTGCGAAAGCTCCATCTCAACATTCCACACGAATTGATAACAAAGGAACTATTACTCCCGATGAAAGAATGACGAACGAAGGCTCGAATCGCAGAATCGATCGAAGTGCATGGGATATCACGAGCTCCGGCGAGGACCATGGCTGATGCCAAGACTGGATGTCATGGATCATCGATCTCGTAGTGGGATACGCAGAGCTGCAAGCCAAAGCACAATCCCTCCACACTCTCAGCGCCCGCATCCTTCGCTGGACGTTCCTCGACCGACAGTGTGCAGTTGCAGCTCTTTTGCTCAGTATCCCCTCACTCCTGCGATCATGGATTATTCGGCTGCTGAAGACGAACACCACGGAGCTTCGCCCTGGGCAAGCTCTCCGCAGCATAGCCGCTTTCCGTCAGACAGTCATGCTGAGATCCCGCCTTCGCCACTACCAGCCAACTCGCAATATGATGACACTCAGGATTCGAGACCAACGACCGCAGAGTCGGATGCAAGAGAGGCCAGCTCCGAGCCTGCCGTGGCGAAAAATGGTGACAGCAGGCAACATCATGACGTGCAAGGAAGCACTCCAACAACGCAGCCGCGGACACAACAAGCGCAGAGATACAAGAGCCAACGGCGAGAAGAGAGACCAAAGCCGCAGTATAAGCTCTCTATAAAGGTTACTGGTTTGGAGCGCAATGGCCGCAAGGATCCCATCCTGCGATTCGATGTCTACGTATGAAGCACAGATACGTCTTGAAGGCTGCCCTTCCAGGCTGCTAACCATTGAACCACCAGACTAATCTTCCGAAATTTCGCACTACCCAATTTCGCGATGTGCGCCGCACCCACGGGGAGTTCATCAAGCTGCAGGAACATCTGATATCGGCGAATCCGGATGCGCTCGTTCCCGCCGTTCCCCCCGCCGTCACAGCAGCAGGCGCCGGCACTGAAGAGGACGAGAACAGAGTGAAGGCGAACATGCAGCGATGGTTAAACATCGTATGCAGCAACGAGGTACTGATGAGGGATGAGGAGATGATTTTCTTCGTCGAAAGCGACTTTGGTTATAGTCCGGTCGTACGATTGAAGCAACCTGCTACTGGTGTTCGCAGGAAAATGCTTAAACAGTTCGCGCCACCTCCGGATGACACAGTTGAGCTGGCAGAAGCAAGGCCCGTGGTCAAAATGTTCTACCTCGAAAGCATGGGCGCTGGGCAGAAGGTGGAGAAGGTGGTCAAGCGACGACGATGTAAGCATGCTTCTTCTATCTCTACTACCATATCCCAAGGCGGGTCAAATTAACCAATGACACGTGTAGCACTTGGCCTTGCGGAATCTACTCTCGGTTTGACTCTTTCTCAAATGTCTCCTCAAGAGACACATCCTGGCCTATCAACTGCATATCGCAAATTCGGCGCCACCATCCGCGCCGTAGGTGATTTCCACCTAGCGCAAGGCACATTCGAAGCGTCCTCGCTTGCCGATCCACTGGCCTACTACTCCTCGGATGCTTTCATCGTCAAGGAAACGCTAACAAACCGACAACTTCTTATGCGAGATCTCGAAACGGCGCAGAGCACCACACGCAAGCGCTTGCGTGAGGCAGACCGCATCCGTGCATCGAGCACCGTTAAGCGTGACAAAGTTGATGAGGCAATCGCAAGTCTGGAAGAAGCGAAGAGAATTGAGGAAGAGCTTGCCAAGAAAGTCGCAACTGTTACGCGAAACATGGTCGGTGAGACGAGGCGTTGGTTTGAGCGCACAGCCACCGACTTGAGAGCCAATGTGCGGGAGTATGTGATTCGACAGATTGAGGCGGAGCGACGCACGTTGGCAACGCTTGAGGCAGTGCGGCCGGATATCCGTGCTATAGACGGGTCTGGTGGCTTGTCCCGGCTGGGAAGAGAGGCACATCCTAAGGTCCGAAGGAGCAGTTTAGCGAGTAGTCAGGGCCCGAAAGGGGATGCTTGGAGTGGAATCAATAGGAGACAAGATGGTGTGCGAAGGAGCGAGACTGGAGTAGTCGCTGGCTTGCCGGTCCCAGAGGAGGTGGAAGAAGAAGAGATCCTGCACAAGAGGACGAGGGCAAACAGCAACAGTATACACAAACTGGTCGAGGATGACGACGAGGATCGGGTGGACGCACGAAATGCGGCTAGCCGTCTGGCTCAGACCACATTTTAGCACACTTAGATCTCGTGTTATCTGGTGAAAGGGACAGGTCGTCACGGAGCTTAATGGGCTTTGTATATAAATCTTGCGGTGAGGGTGAATCCTACTACACTTCATTTCGCGACAGACTTCCTGCCATCGAACGAGGTCTCCTTGCTTACAAGAAGACATGTCCCCGATCAGGGACATGAATAAGTGCTGCCAATTGCTCTAAACAAGAAGTTGTGTCTGATACCAAGCAGGAACAACATCACCTGCGGCGACTGGCACGACAGGTCCCGGCCCAAATTCACTAGACCTATTACTCTACAATCTTGTATGAATAGGATTGAGACGAGAAACATAGCAAAATCGCCTTGACAATCTTCTACCACGCTATATCCTGAAGGCATATGGCAGCAAATTCATCACACAATGCTGCTCAATCCCCCCACTTTTCGAGCTCGCCATTGGTGCGTTGTTCATAGACATTGGGCTCTTCCTGGGCCAACACGGGGTTCAATTCCAGTCGGTTGCGGGGGATGTCCACTTGCCAATACAGTTCGGACTTTGTATCTAAGGTGCCAGTATCGTTGGTAACTAGTTCATCAACAATATTGACTAGGTCTGTCTGGTGCAGAGTCACGCTATTAAGCTCAAGATTTGCGTCCAAGTCTCTCTTTCGTGATATTTTTGGCGAAAGAGCTCACGAATGGTGTCTGAGGGCTTGGTGAATGTCTCTTTCACCACAACCGCCAAGTACCTTTAGGAACGCTTGCGTTTATCTCGCTTATCTTCAAGGGATGGAGAGTCGTTACCTGCTCTCAAAAGTAGACGCTCTCTTGATAGCGTCGGTTAGCCTCATCGCTATTGTGTCTAGGAATGCCCAACCTGGCGCGGTTTTACCACGAAATTTGAAGCTGCACAACTGATTTAAGATTTCGAATTTGTCCTCAAGCCAAAGTACGTTCGCATACTGCGACGTGAGCTGGAAGTCGAGAGTTACATCGTAGACTTTAGCAGGGTTTGCGAAGTCTTAATACGATCGGCCCAAAGCTTGAGCAGCAACAAGAAGTTCTCTCCAGATGGGCCCGTTCGGATACTTGCTTAAAGCGGAGATGGTATTCATAAGCCAAGATTTCTGATACCTATCTTAGGTGGGCACTTTGCAACGATTCTGTATTATGGTTTTCGAACAAAGCCAAGCATAGTCCTTGCCAGATGTCAAAGAGATGTAAGAGATGAGGACAGAAGCCTTGATATAACGAGCAATGTGGACGTCTTAGACGTGTCATTCTGATATTCCCACGGGAAACAATGTATTCATAGACAGAACGAGCCTTGTTTGGGATGGAAACACTAGGAAACGTACCAGCTGTCGACCAATAGCTCACTGGATCGCCTGCTTCGTTTTTCTGTATTGTCGTGAGGCCAAGAAGGAATAGTGCAAACTGATCTCGAGAAAACGTACTGATGTCCAACGTTAGATTGACATTCAAACAAATGCTCGACAAAACACTGGTTGGGCTAGTGCTGCATAGTGCGCAAGGAACGAGTAAAAACATGGGAAGCGAACCGACTATTCTCTGCAAGAACCTCCTCGGAGACTTAATTTTCCGCTTCTCAAGATATTTAAGTTCAATTGTCGATAAAGATAAAAGAAAGGATTATTATATGCTATTAAAAAAAATTCTAAGCAGTGATCTCAATTGCATCAAAATACCTCCTCATGTCTGCACGGGAGAATTGGTAGCATAGTAGCTGCGTGATAGTGTGATACCACTGAAAGCTTTAGTATTACTTGCAGCCATCTTACATATATTAGTGTTTTGCGGAGCCAATGTCGCGCCGCCAAGAACTAATCGATTTCGTAGAGTTTTTCCCATGTACGCAAACCGGCTTTGCAGCTACTTGATAGCCACGGCAGGCGTGAAAGGGTTGCCACATAGTTCGAAGTAACTGGGATCAGCTATGACCTTTGGCTGATCAGATTGAACCCGGTATGTAGGTATTATTCCGCCTCTTAGCTACGACCATTCCCGGGTAGTACCCACGAATGTGCGACGAGGTGTATCCTAAGTAATTTAAGATTACGGTCCCTTTTGGGCAGTTTTCTATCCGCACGTTTTGAGAGTGGCAGCTTTTCAGGCCAATGAGTGTCAAGCTGCAACATACGTCATTTGTTTTGACGCAGTGATGAGCTCTGGCAATTAGAAGAGCTTCATCTAGAGTCCACCTTGAATCGCAAAAGAGGACAGTATCAGAACCAGAGTGTTGATGAGTGCCCAGACGAAAGGAATCCATGTAGACATTCGAAAATATCCTGCAGTATAGACGGCGCCAACACTAGCCAAGACAAATTAGTCGCTCAATGCAAAACAGAGATCCAGGAAATAGTCTCTACTCACAGCCCTCCGGTGATGCTACCGGCAATGAAAGCTTCGCTGCCGCCCATGACAGCGTACACAAGAGGCACGATCCATATGACCTTCCAGTTCTTCCGTTGAATCACCATCGCATAAGCGGCGGCAACTAGGTGGACGGCAGCATAAAACAACAAAGTCCATAGTACAGTGAAGCGCCAAATAGCTGTTGTGTCGTATAGATAGTTGGCCTGAATACCGCTGATCGGGAAAGGCCAGTACAGTGACGGAAAACTTGGCGTCACATAGTCCAAGCTAGGCTTGAGTCAGCTGAGGATAATGATGAGAAAATACGGTCAAAAAAAAGAAAAAAAAAACTTACGGAGCCGGATTTGTCGGCGCGAGATTCGTAAAGAAACTGTTTGTATATGTGAGCCAATTATTTCGACGAGATGATGAAGCAATGCTTCAACTCACCTCATGGCTAATGATACGCGCTCAAGGAAACCAGCTCGGGAATTCGTCGGCCAATAGCCGGTACATAGTTGGCATTACAATAGCATCGGATAGTCGATAAGAAAGCTGGACAAAAATGCGAAAGTAAAGAGAATCTCAAGCTCAAGACACATGGCAATGTACAGCAAACGTAACGTCCAATCTGCGGTAGAGATCGGCGCTAGGCTTGATCTGGTAGTGCAATGACCTCGGCACGTATTCTTTCGTCGCGACTCCGCCAGGCGACAGGTTCACCAGCAACTTTGTAATGCTTTAGCCCAAGCGAATGATACGATATAGAACAAAAGCGTCATGCCAGCTGACAGGCTGTTGCAAACTTTGTTGAGGTCGCTCCAGACCTACACAGATCAGCAAGATACCCCTAGGTGCGTACTGTTGTCCGTTTTCCAAGGCTGTTCGCTGACCACTCCAAGGCTATTGTCTACAGCCGCTTCGCTCTTAACGACGCTCCACAATCCACTCAACATTACATTGCTCACGTCCCAATTGCTGTCTGCTCCAGCAATATGGCAGCGACCGGAGGGCTTAAAAACGTGTTTGCGTGTTATGGGTGTTTTTCACTCGGCTCTGCTTGCTGTACTCAAAAAGGAGGATGAACTAGCATCGAGGGATCAGACGCGGGATTACACCACTTTCTCACCTGTTGAGAACCCTCTGCCAAGAGAAGAATGGATGAGAGCTATAATCAAAGGCGCTGACGAGCGCTCGTCCAGATGGCGGCATTTGATGGTGCTGGGTGGACTCCTTGTTGGAAGTGGTCCTGTCGAAGACGAACGCCTGTCATCCTCTATGCGGAGTACACTGGAGCACGCACTTATACAGGCTACCAATCTTGCGCTTCTAGAAGTCCGCAGCAGCGACGAGCTTGGTGCCCAGTGTATAACCCTGGCACTTAATCACAGCTTCCCGATGCTCTCAGACTACGAGCGTTCGCAACTCGACTACGACCTGCTGCTACCGGTTCTTGTGGGCAGCGCGTTCTTTTCGTCGGAAGGTCTGCAGGCTGCTTACTTTCTCGGCGCTATCGATCTAGATGTCGTGGAGTTGCCTAACAAGTCGTTGAATTGGCCAACAAACTCCATATCATATGCACAAATTGAAAAGATATTAGGAAGACCTCTGGTCACTTCTTTGGGTCCTTTGGCACGCCTGATCTCCCACGCCGTGGAGAATGCATCCAATTCATGGGCAATCCAGACGATGATCGACGATCTGGCCGGGTTTACAAAGTCTCTGCTCACACAATGGCGACAATGCCGGTTGTCCAGCATCGATACCCACATCGAGACGCAGGTGTTTTCTGAGGAATCACTCAAGACTAGTATACCAGGACTGTGGAAATTATTACGCGTAACACTTTTCTCTCTGGTCATAGTACTACGTGGTGCCGTTGGACGTATCCTTAATGACCCTATTCTCGCTGCAGATGCGGTAGCTCCGGTTATAGTATGCCAGGTCCTACACAGCTTGCGGCACCTGTACTTCATTTCATCACGTTTGGGTACGGAGAGTTTTTCTCAGTACACATTTGTGTACCTCACAGCAATCGATATTCTGAGCAATTATCCAATTCAAGCTGATGCTTTCCTGAAAAAGATTCGGCCCTCTACACTTGGCCAGATCCCAACTTCGCCACTTGAGCGTTGTCTTGATCTGTACTTCCTGAATACGGCGGAGCATTTCACGCTTGTCTTGTCTGCACAAACGAACGAGGACGTCTTGGTCTCTGCCGCGATACCATATCTGGCTTCAGGTGGGAGTGACTACCTTCTGCCCATTTTCGAAGCAGCGCATAGCGTCATGCTCGCAGTGTTTTCAGCTCCACAAAGTGCGGCCGTAGCTGGCCAACATCTAGCGTTCTACATTGACGCACTCTTCAGCGTGTTTCCAGAAAATCTATCCCCGCGACAATTTCGCCTAGCGTTCAAGACGCTTCTGCGTGTTACCGCACCCCCCTCTGCCTTATCAGCCACCCAACCAGACCTACCGGCGACCCTCCTCGAACTTGTGTACTATCGTGCAGTGCATGCTCCCACATCCCCGCTCCCTCCTAAGCTCACACCTCAGGGCAAGATTACACCAGACACACAGATACCACTTTCCGAACAGGCTGTTCTCACTCTTACACTACTGGATGCTTTACCTTTTCTTCCACTAGATTTACTCGAAGAATGGCTCCCTATATGCGCTGATCTCATGCACAAGATCACGGACAATATGATGCGCGAAGAATGCAAGAAGCGTCTCTGGGATATTCTCATTTCAGGCGAGATGGATCCGGACCGATCCCAAGTCTGTGTGGCATGGTGGAGCACACGCGGAGGTCGAGAGTTCGTACTGCATGGGCCCGAGCCTACTGCATCGCCCGAAGAAGGCCCGTACATGAGCGGTGCATTGCAGAAAGTCGATCGCGAAAGCAAACTTTGAGGACCAACGTGTTCTGAACAGTGCACGGACAATAGTTGATCCCTGTACAATTGGGGTGAATGCGTTCGAGAGCTTTCTGGGACGAGGTGCATGATCTGGTTCCGAGTGTTCCTTTGCCGCGGGCCTTTGGGCTGAGGATCAGCGTCTTGCAGCATTCTCCTGCACGAGTGAAAACGTCTTTGGGTGACCTATCGGCGAATATGTAAAATTGCACGAATCAAGTTGGTCACGATACTACTGATGCATGACTTTTTGGAGGGGCTGCGCCGGAAAGGAGTCAGCAGAGTGTCGGGGTCTGGAGTATTATTCCAATGTTATTGTCAGGATCTCGACGTCTACAGCCTAACTCTCTCTTTCTCGCCACATTTCATCGAAGATTGATCCAAGTACTGGAAACATTCTGATTGCTTAGCTCGGTTTTCCGCAAATCTATTGCTCTTGTTGTGATGAGTCAATGAAAATTTCATGTATGGAGGGCGCCCAAGACGATGGCAGTGTGTACATAAGTTGTCTTTCCAGCCGTAATAGGTTTACGTAAGCCCAAACTAAGAAAAGTGTTAACATGCTAATATCCGCGATTTGGGCTTTCCAGCTTAGGTGCTTCAACGCATGGAAATGTTTTAATACTGTTGGTGCAACATATAAACATGTTTTTGAAATGACACGAAATGTTAGCGGAAAAGAGATTATTCTTTCTAACCACAGCAGCTCAACGTAGCTTCTTCATGTTGAAAAGAAATCTCAAATCTAGCTGGAAGAAAAATGGAAGCAAATGCCATGATTACATCGACGCGCTGGACGAACTTGGCGAAGGCAACAAGGCAATATTAGGCAGCCACAAGGCATGTATCAGCCCGGACGTCAGTGAAGTATAGCAAACGAAGCTGAACATTGTGCTGCAATGGCATTACCTCGCGCCAAAGGCGCCGCGCAATACAAGAAGCAGGATGGCGAGCTGTCGTTGTCAAGCGATGGCAAGATGATCACATGGTCGCCAAACACGCCAGGAAGCATTTCAAATGTAACGATTGCTACCGAGCAATTGACGAACTTGCAGCAGACACCAGCGACAAGCGCAAAGGCTGTGTTAAAACTGTTCGTGCAGGCTTCTGGCACGGCGGCGCCCGAGACATTCAACTTTACTTTCTCCTCGGCTACAACCGCTCGCGATGAAATGAACGCATTCATTGCGCCTCTTAAGAAGATTATGGAGGCACAGAGAGCCGGCACGGTATCGTCATTAGTAACACCTAGCCCAGCGCCTACGCCCGGAGGGCAAGGACAGGCAGACTCTATATCTATAGCGCAGGCTGCGTCTCATGTGAATAAAGAAACTTCTCAGGATAGCTTCCCTGACGCCGAGTTATTGTCTAATGTGGCCTTCCAAAAGGCATTGACCGAGCAAAACCCTTCACTGCGAGAGCGATTGGCGCAGGCAATGCGAGATAAGCCTGCATCCATGACCTCGGGGCAGTTGTCACGGCAATTCTGGTCAAGTCGGATTCATCTACTGCGAGCCTATGCTGCAGAGCAGGCACAGAAGAAGGGCGAATACAATGTCATTGCAGACATCAAGCCAGTCAGACATCCAGATGGAATAGTTCGATACGACTTCACACCCGCAAAGTTCAGAATGATCTTCACGCAGTATCCATTCATGGTGAAAATTCACAACGAGTTGTTCAAGAAGAAAGTATTTACAAAGGAGGAAGAATTCTGGAGTGACTGGGTAAATAGTCGCTTGTACAAGAAGATGAAAGGCGAGAAGATCAAGGAGCAAGATTATGAGCACCCACACTTTGACCGCTACCTAGATTTAGTGGAAACGGGATCGCGACCGAAGCATTTTACCGTTGATCACATTCCTCGATTTCTCGATATGGAGGGCAACGAGCAGAATCACAGCCAGAAGTTTGGCAATGCACCAGATTTTACAATGCAACCTGGTTTTAATGGTCGAAACCCCATTTTAAGCACGTTGAATAACATGAGCGAACGACTCTTAGTGAACGTGGCTCCTTCTGATAACGACGCTCATGGACCTGTTGGTATGGATGAAGAGACGTACAATGAGTTGATGCTTCGAGATTTGCAACGGAACGACAAAGACAATCGCGTGCTGCTTAACATATCGGATCATCGGCATATTGCTCCGTCTGACGGCGCCAACGGAGCTGTTCACCTACGCCCAGGTGATGTTCTCAAAGCGTTGGGACATGTTCGAGAAAATCTGAAGGTCGAACCTAATTTGCCGGTCGAGTTGGAAGATAACGACGAGCGGCAGGCATTGAAAGCGACCACAAGCATGATGAAAAGTATCAAGCTACGCGCTTCGCACACGACGCCGGATCAGATAGCTCAAAAGAACGTGTCGAATAAGGTTAAGGAAGCAGCTGTCATGGCGCATGGAACAACTGTTGACTTCCTCCACTACTTCTGGGGTGCGTATCTTTCTGGCGACGTCACCCGTGCGGAGGATGTCAAGTTTCTCGTGGAAACGTTGCAAAACTCGAAAGGTCGGTTCGATGCTGTTGCGGATCAGGCTGAACAGGAGAGGCAGGCACAGCTGGAGCAGATTCAAGAAATGGAACGAAATATGCCTGCCAACAAGCGAAGGCGGATGGACAGGTCACGGGTACCAGGTGGAAAACAAGCTGTGTATGAAATGCTTGCATCAACGCAGCAAGCTGTCAGCTTTGCGCAGGACGAGTATCGGCGCGCGTTTGCGAAGCAGGCAGCTCAGCAAATGAACAGTGTAACAACGTATCCGTGAGGCTCGTGTGAACCAGCATGCGACGTAGTGCAGGTATTGATGATGATGGTCCAAAACTTGTTGAGGGAATCAACAAAGACATGAATACGGACGCATTGTAACTGGCACACTACAGCATGGCGGAGTGTTCCAGACGCGCAAAATGTGGGGACAGAGGGCGCAGATGGTGCTTCGTGCGTTGGCAGTGGGGTTGAATGGTCGCTAGCGGCCTCGAGAGTGCCGGGAATGTGGGTCGTTTAACGGTTTCGCGCCAAATGAACTGGTTGCAGGCTGGAGTACTATTGCCGTCAACTGTAGATGGTCTTGAGCTGGATGATGGTCGCTGCGATTGGCTTCGAAGCACATGGTGTTTCCCAAAGAGGCTTAGCTTATCGGGAGATCAACATCGAGATCAGCGTTAAGAACGTTGGTTGTGTCCAAAAGTGGTATAGCATAGGGTCTAGGCCCGAAATCCAAGTGAATGGAATGCACACGTTTGACTATCCAAAAGGTTCGCCACGACGGTGTTCGTTGCGTGTTCTAGAAAACAGAATGATTAGAAACACGAGGACCTGACTCGGCCTTGGGGAGAGGGTCCCCGGGCCCAGTGTCTTTCGCTTGGCCGCTGTTTTCCCCAGCTCTTGGAACGATCGCCCTCTGCGCGGGAATGTGCTCCGTGGTCTTGCGCTCAGCGTCACTGCGTCTCTGATTCACAGTTCAAATCTCTCCTTTCCTCCGAACTTCGGCTCTCTTACTTGCCATGACTACTTCGGCACGGGCGCTTCCTAGCCTTCCCTGCCGTAATGCTTTGGCCTGCTTTGAGTTCGTACGCTTGACATCGTGAAGCGACAATCAGTTATTGCGGTGCTGATCTTGTAAGGCTAAGACGCAAGAGCCATCATGAGCCCCTGTGTGATCTTCTGCCTGCCGCCAGCGTTCGTGTCCAGCGTGAGACTGTGGCCCGTGGCCGCCCAGCAGAACCAGGCTCCTAGGCTTTATTAGTATGCCTCCATCCAGTTTCAACCTGCAATTCCCACGCTCTTACTTCCACGCTCTTGTTCAAATCCTCCTGAGGCTATTACCCCATTCCATGTGGGACTAAGGCTTTTTCAAGCCCTTCGTGCTCGACTACCATTGGCTGTGGCTCTAATCGTTGCCTTTAGTGTTGAGCTCCGAAGGTTCTGGCCTGGGCGGAAAGCATGAAAAAGGTCAATCACACGCCTTACGGGGCAGAGGCACGTGAGAAGTTCTTGCAAGTTGTATTTAATATGGTCCTTCCCTCCACCACTGTTCCTTCCAGGCTTGCTGCTGCTCATGAACATGTCAGTGTGCTTCCGACTGCCTGCAGCAGACGGACATCGCACGCTCTCTCACCTCCATTAATAGGACCGTAGAGCACGAAGGTCGTCCAAGGACGGAAACTCACGCCACCACGTACGATTCTCGCAGCCGTCTTGCCTCATGGCTTCCTATCAATGTAGACGGGATGGCCGTTTCACAACCGTTCGGACATAGCACGTCCAATTCTCTCAAGTAAGGAGAGCCAGAGCTAACAAACTTAGAAGATAGCTGGGTGCCGGAGGCTTTCTCTTCAAAAACACGCACATGGAGTAGAGATGATCTGCACGTCTGGGTCTGGGCCCTGGAATGCACGTGTGCCTAGACCTCGTCCCCAAACGCAGTAGGCACAACCGATCCCAACCTCACTATGCAACCCGTGATGCGTCATAAGTCAAGATGAAGGGGTTCAGAAAGAGCAAGAGGGCTCTCAATGAAAGATAACATTGGTCATCAAGTGTAAGGGATGTCATAAAGTCATAATACTAATACTATGTTAAAGTAAACCACACTTGAAACACTTTACTAGCTTGATGAACTCCTGCTCAAACAAAGAGGATTGCCACTGAGTTTTAGAGTCGTAGGGTTCATCTCAGTGAAAGGTTAACAAGATTGCGAAGTGACCTCCACTGATAGACCTGAATTTTAGGGTCGTACGCTCGCGCTCTATGGCGACCGGAGATGACGAATACCCCGTCACATAGCATTGCGATGGGGATTCTGGGTGCTCGTGCTCCGGAGGGTATCTTGGTTGGGGGTAGTGTTCCACGGAATGACCTGTGACATCGTGGGTATTCTTCGCATCGTTGACGGTAGCTGAAGGTGAACAATAGAGCATCGTAGTCACGGCTGTGTCATCAGCATCACTGTGGATGAACTGTCTCGTAACTGGTTCGATCGTATACCGGGTCGTACCGCGTACGCACTTCTGCTGCCGCCGCTAAATCAGAATCAGCCTGAGCCACCCAGCGAGCTTGCAGAAGCGATGACGAATTTGCGTTTCCAAGAGTAAAAGGACTTACCCGGCTGATTGTTGTAGGAAGGTTGCCAGGAAGCCTGCGTCTGGCTTGAACTTTGCGCAGGAGACCAGGCCAAGTTGGTCCGGCTTGAAGCTTCCTGGTTCCTTTGAGGACTCCGTCGATTACGGTTGCGATCATCTCGGTACCTGAAGACGTGCCACAGGCACCAGCGTATGATCCAGTTGTCCCATCCGCTGTCGGACGTGATGCCTCGGTCGTACCACCACTTGGTCTCGGGGGAAGCAGCGTTGTAGATGCTCTGGATCTCACGGTATCGAGCAGTTTCAGTGATCATTGCGGAAGAATATGGGCCATCCCCAACACGTGGGTCATCTCGAGTCTGAGGGGTCAGGTTGTTTCTATCCTGGACTGTCCTGGCACGGCCTGCAGCGGCCTCCTCCTTCCAGGGCGATGAGCTTCACACGGAGCTAAAAGAGCGAGGAAGACATGGACGTACCATCATCATCTGGTACAACCGTTTGTGCCTCTCATCATTCTCATCCCACCCAAGTCTTTCGAAGAACTCTCCCTTGGACTTGCTTTGTGATAGCCTGGGAATGGACGGCAAGGCCATAGCGTGAACAGACGGTAGTGCTACGCCAGGTTGATGTGTGTGGGGAGGCCGGTACTCCAAGATAGGACGTGGTTGAAACCTTTGGTCGATGGCTAGCGGAGCTTTCACACAAGTGTCAGCATGTATTGCGTGGAGAAAGACTGGGTAAAGTATCATGTGATGGGGTCGCCGTTAGAGTGGTTTTTCGGTGGGGAGGAGAGGACAGCAACGCAAGCAAAAAAGCACACGAATTGAGCCTGAGCTGTGGAGATCTCGTACAGCCGTAGCATTCGTTCTCCGGCATGCATTGAGCCAGAGGCTCGGAATTGAACGCGCGGGAGGGGGGAAAGGATCGGCCAGGTAGCTTGGGAGACTTACCCAGTGAGGTTGCGAGCATAGCGTTGGCTTTTCAGCGTGCAGCAGCGTGACGACTAATAATCTGTAGCAGGCGTAAAGGCACAACTACAATGACGGTCGACAGTATGGCAGATGTCTCATCATGTGGAAAAAAAGTCAATGATGAAAAGTATTCCGGAGCCAGCGATCAAAAAGCAGACCAGTCCTTATGACGGAGGTGTTATAGTAACACTCCTTTCAACTGCTGCGCATCGGAATATGCCACTACTAGTGGACCCATGTTGGTTGCCCGCTGACGCCATAGAACGCGCGAGGGCCGTACCCCATGCTTCTTATCGCTTCATGGTGGCTGCAGTAGGTTGGTGGATAGGTTGTACGCATTTTGGGCCGGCCGAAAGCCTGCATAACCATGCGTGTGCCCGCCCGATGTTAGAAGATGGAGACCATGTGTGGGAAGAGCTTGGACAAAACCGCCTGGCCAGTGAATCTGTGCAGGGCAGAGAGCTACATTCTAGCACAAAGAACCAAAAGCGTATTCAGCGGTCAAGATGCCAGCCATGCAGCATCGTGCAGGAATTCCATGCACGGATCACAGCCTAGGAGGAAGTTTTTCTGACTTAGGAGTGGCGCTTGTTGCGTCGCTAGATTAACGAAGGATGTATCTGGTTCAAGGGACATGGGTGCACAGCTGGTGCAGGATCGGGACCCCAACGTGGGTAGAACAGCCATCAGCTGGGAGCAGAGTTTTGATCAAGTGGCTTGAACATATGTGTGGAGGAGCAGTATGAAGTATTTTGCCGGAGTTGGGCATTCTTCCGAGCGGCGCATACCTAGAACAACTCGAAAAGGCTTTAGGCACGGTGGCAATTTTCCTTCCGCATTCACGCTCATCACTCTTGATTCATGCAGACGTACCGCTGCAGTGATCGTTTGATTTACAGCTCTCTTTGCGCATGCGGCATAAGTTAGGTTCGCTTGTGTAGCCATGTCTAGCTGGTCAGCACTCGCCGATGAGGGCAGATGCCACGCGAGACTAGAACTAGACGCTAGACTGAGTTCACAAAATATTCGCCACGGACAGCGGACGCCAAAAGCCAAAAGACTGACTTATGTGCATAGACCGATTGGTCATCTACTCTCGGACATCGAGTAAGGCATTAACGCTATCCCGCAAACCGCCTAGAACAAGGCGTTGTGGCGTCGAGGTTCTCAAGGCCAGACATCTTTCAGATGGACTGCTCTGGCACGAAAAAGAACAATCGCAAGAGCGGCAAAAGCACTACGTGCAGCATGGGGCTTGTCGGCAGCACAGGTATTGGCAAAGTGCAATGACAATAATAATAATGTATGTGTTCAGCTGGCAACTACGTAAAACGTTCGCCACAGGGGAGGCTTCCACGAGGCAGCTGCAGTCTGCATTAGTCCGCATCACCGTCCTCAGACCAGGTTGGTCTCCAACCCAGGCTAGTAGACCTAGGACCCGGACCGCGAAGCGCTCAGAAGACGTCTGGCTGGCTGCAAGTTCGCATTGTGAGCGCACTAGTACTACGATGCTTCAACATGCGGGGCTGGCCGACGACACAGGCCAAGCTCGAGATCACGTCTGTTCATGTCTGGAAGCACATCCAAGGGACCATCCGAAGTAGTGCAAGACCACTCCGACACGAACCGGCTGATGGGATTGGCGAACCGGGCCGACTAAGGACTGAGGGCGCAGAGGAGGAGTAGATCTGGATCGAGACAGGCAAGACAAAAGTAGCGCAGGCTTCTTCCGGAAGGCCAGGGCGACCGTAGGAGCCGCATCATGGTGCAAGCCGCAGGAGATGGGGCGTGGGAAGCCAGGTATGCAGAGCCACATTCGACACAGACAACAGAGCCGAAGTTCGAGCCGAAGAGGATAGCGTGGTGTGCGTAATGCTCAACCCGGACAACCTTAAAGGCTTGTTGTGTAGTGTCGGCGACGACCGTGGGTGCGGTCCAGACCGGTGCAGACCGCAGAATCTGGTGCGCCAAGCTGCTTTGGGCCTAGCGAGCATCAACCTTGGAGTCCAGCTTTGTGTCGTCCGCAAGCCATCCGCCTGAGTTTAATACGTTTGTCGGGATTCAACCACGTGGAATTATTGTCACACCGCGTCAGCGTTTCTGCATCGTCGAAACATTGGCAAAGATGTTGGTCGCTGGCCAGCCTCGACTCGCGGCCGTAGCATGGCCCTGTTGGATAGTTCCTGGCCAGGCCCCTGGACCTTTACCGTCACAATGGTACGATTGTGGCTTATGCGCGACCTCGTAGTCCACGCTCGCGGTGCCATCCGCTCGAGAAAAAAAGGCCTCAACACGTACTATGTGCACGAATCGAACAGGAATGCACCGCGGGGATATCTGAGACGTTTCTGACGCTTATCGACCCGCTTGAAGATCCGGCCGTCGGATGACCGGGACATCGCCCCCAAAAAATGTGTCGAGATCTTGACGCTCGATATCCGTGAGCGAGTCGTGAGCTGCTTAGCCGTACCGTCCGGTCTTGACGACTGTCTCTGTTGTGCTCATCCGCGCGCAGGAGTGCTTTTTAGAACCCTACAGCCTTCCTCACATGCAAGGGTTCACCATGGTTTATCGTATGATCTGGAGAAGTTATCCGCCCGCTCCCAACTCCTACCACCCTTCCCCCGTTCCCCTTTGGTTTGAGAGCTTGTTGCGCGCGGAGCTGTAATGCCATCGATTATGCATCCAACTGCTCCGGCATCCCCACCATTATCGGCATGACTTCATGACCCTTAGACTGTGCTTTGTGTGAATTATTTTCGCCACAGTAACGCCGGCGCGACCGTGATTTGGCCCTGAACTCGACTGGCTGTTTTAGCCTCTTCTCTTCAGCAGAACATCAGTCGGTTTGTCGTACGATGGTCGTGTGTTCCTTCCCTATTGACCACTTACAGATTTTTTTGCGTTTTGAACGCTCTACTTGCGCCATCTTCGTCATCAAAGCCAATCCATAGGATGTCCATCTGCACTTCACTCGCTTAGCCTTCCGCCAACTGGCAGCCAACATTAAGGAATAGCCCAATCGACTGCTTTCCATTGTAATCGCTTAATTGCAAATTAGCTTGCTAGCTATGATGGCGCTCGAGCCTTCTTTCGCTCTTCTCCGGCTGAAGGAATGGAACAGAGTTCTCTATACTCCAATAATGGACCTCCACCGATGTTCTCGATTTCAAGACAGACGCTGCGCCGCGAGGCGCAATAAGAAGCAGACATGAGTCTAAATCGATCAAAGAATAGGAAGACAGTCTTAGCGTGGAGTGGATCTAGGCGCCACGATGTACGCCCACGTATTCCTACGTGAAATCTGCTCCTGCCTAACAGCAAATACCATAAGCAGGGGTGTCAAGGGGCTATGAGAAGATTGAACAACAACCACGAAAGATGAAAAGGCGACTTGCTGTTTCGAAACATTAGGTAAAGGACTTACAGTCCCATATCCTAGCAGGTGAACGGATCTGTTGTCTCAAATAGCGGACGATATCTCTACATGCCTCCTGGTTTGTTAGCCGTCGTCAAGTAAAGGCCCATGTTTGGTGGAGCCTTCAAGAGCTGATTGTATCTCCACGGCAATACAGTGGAGATCAAGTGTGTGTAAAGATGTGTTGATTTCATGACGTTTCAAATTCGTTCTGGTGCCTTGGCTCTTCTACCGCGCGATATCTAGCCCCAGAAAAGAGAAGGAAAATTTTTTTCTCGATCTCCGACATTTTTCAACGCGACTTAAAGTCCTAGCGATCGTATTTGTGGCGCACACACCCCTCGAGTACTCCCTTACTCTTAGCCGCTGCCCACAAAGTAAAAGAGCAATCATCTCCACGTTCTACCCGAGAACCACAGAGTAACAGACTTGTTCATTGAAATAACAGACTTCCCTACACTCAAGAGATACCGACGCGGTCTCTTCTACGAGCAGAATATAATGGAAATCTTGTATTACGATGGGAAGTACTCGATATCTACGTGCCAGCCGCCAATCACTCAAGTCCAACTCGTGCTGCATCAATGACGGGTCCTACCAGGGCCGGGAAGTATTCGACTCGGTTCATAATGCAATTTCCTTGCTTTATGATATAAATTCCGCAGGCTTCATTTGTCTCCTTCCGGCGGTTGATCCCCTCTTGGCTCCGATCAGGCCCCTGACTTTGCAAATAAAACAAGCGCAGACGCGCAGAACGAGATGCTGACCTCGATGCTGATGTTTACAGATAGCCTGCTGATATTGCTACCATATACCATCCTTCTAGCCTATATCTCTGCGCAAGAGACCTTTTAGAGCCGCCTTCGAAGCCGGGAGCTACGAATCGAACAAAGAACCGACGAACAACTTAGCAACTTAGTGCACTGCCAACAGACTTTACCTACGTTGTCGTATCATAGTCACAGAGAGTTGTGTGATGGGCTCCCATGCTCGTCTAAAGAAAACTCAATAGAAGATGCAGCTACGGACCTTATTCTCCTGTGCAAGCAGAACAACATTCTCACAGTCCGTTGCGCGGATGTTGACATTCTATGTTCTATTCTACTTCACAGGATATACTCCGACTGATTCAATCACACGACCGCCAAATATCTATATCCTCACACGGACCTGCCGGTGTGGTCCTCGTGAAGCTTTTGTGCTTGGATAAAGCTCCGTCGACCATAGAACTTGAGCTGAGTTACTGAGTCTACACCGCGTATGATGGACATCAAGATGGAAAAGAGTTGTTCAAAAGTTGATTCGAGCGGAACAGGAGAGATGTTAAGAAGAGAAATTTCATGATGGACTTGCAACTACCAGGCTAGCAGTCTAGATCTAATCTTGGCGGTCTATCGTTGATCGGAAGTCTTAATGTCTATCAGGGTTCCCCTCTGATAGAGTATCTAATTAATTGCTCTCAGCTCGATGAAGTTACAACGCTGGTTGCCCAGCTCTCTATATTGGCTGTGAACGACCACGAGTATATACAGGTCTAATTTGCTTAGCGAACGTTGAATCGCTTTGCCAACTCAATTCCTTCTGCTATTGTCGCAACACGTGCGTCGATCGCATACCCCTCGCTTGCTAGCCGTTCACATTCAGCGTACAAATTCGTCAAGGGAACGGTGAAGCACTCGATGAATTCATCGTCTTCCAGTCGGGGTTGCGGATTCTGGTTTGCAGGATCTTTCGGGTCTATCGTGCAGTGTACCATGTGCAGATTTGTGTTGCAGAAACCCGGGTCTTAAACGTCAAACGTGAGCGAAACTGGTGATGTGGTCGACAAGGAGGCGTACAAACCATTGAACATCAAAGGCGTCATTCCAAAGCCGCCTTCCATGATCTCGCCAACATAACCAGTCTCTTCCTTGAGCTCCCGGAGCGCACATTGCTCCGGTGTTTCTCCCTCGTCGATAAGGCCGGCAGGCACCTCAATCGTCACGGCATTGATAGGCGGGCGAAATTGCTTTTGCAAAAGAATCGAGGCTTCGCCACCGTCTTCGGGTCTGAGGATCGCGGCAATCCCGACTCCATCGATCTCCAGGCCTTTGGGGCGCGTAAGCCGCTGCGACGATTCCCAGGTTTTCTCGGAGCCATTAGCGGCGATATACGTGTGTCTGCCGACACGAAATTAGATGCATGTCACCCGCACCGGCGGCTGCCCCTTTAGGGATTCGCAGCTAGGTTCGTAGCTGCGAATGGACGACCGAACGAGCAAAGCTTGCGTGATCAGCCTCATCGGGACCCCAGAGGGGGTTGGGGGGGAAAGAGTGGCGGCCTACTTTACCAGCTTCACCCATTTCGCGTCTGCATTGTCCTTTATGCGTACATGTCAACACGCAGCGTGGCTAACAGACGGTTGTCTACTACTTGCCAGCAACTCCGTACGTGTGGTCCTCGAATCTTCCAGCGGCATGTTTCGTGCCAAAGTTCGTCGTGCGCATCCAGTCGAAGCCGCGGAAAAGTGAAGCGCCCGCCGGAAGCAAGCTCCCAGCAGGTTGTGATTCCACGGAGGAGGGCGCCCTTCGCAGCAGGGCAGTGGTCTTCCAAAACCTTGCTGCTATCCCTCTCAGGTGTTGGCGGCGGACAGAAAAAACGCTTGCAAAACACAGCACTGCATGCAGCCCTGCCATGCAGGCGTGCAGCACAAAATGCGATGTTCCACTTATCGACGGGTGGCGATCTTCTTGGGATCTGGTCCAGGCAGCTTCTGAATCCGGGCAGTCCTCACAGCCAATGAGCACTTTCTACACCCAAAGGATTTTTTGATTTCGACCACTCATGCACGTGGGCGCTGCACGCGAGTCAAGTTAGCCAACGTGTGAATATGATCTGTCACAGATGTGTGTGCGACGTCGGAGTTGTCTCCAGTCCGAACAGGAAGCTGAGGGCGACGGTCCGGTGAATTTTTGACTCTTTGCAGCTGTCTAGAATAGTGGTCCGCCCAACCGATGCGTGGAGAATAGAACATCACCAGTTCGCCAAAGACAGCCACTCCTGTACGACCAACGCATCGCATGACCGCTTCCAACGTCGTTTTGACAACCCCGTCCATTATTGACGATTGGGATCTCCTTGCCGCCCAAAGCTGTACGTGGCTTGCACTTATGCCCCCGTTTGATTTGTTGAACTGCAGCACTCTCGCCTCCAGTTGACCCTAGTCCTCATTTGGGTTCCGTTGAGAGTCGCGAGAGCTTTTACTACTGTGGTATAGAACTAATCATGGCCCATATTCGTTTCGAGAAGCTGCATTTTTGCCACCGTCTCCTGGCCCGCCCTTCCCCCCGGGCCACCCTCGGGTGCTTGTGTAGTGCATCTATATGGGATTGTTACTTGTACAACGGTTGCGATCCCTTGATCCCTTGCATCCCTTCAAGTTATTAGCCCAGTTTAACAATTCTCTCGCATTTCGTACAGCTCTGCAATGGCCTTGTCTTGATCTGGGAATGTTGCACATGGGTCGTGACACGGATCATTACAAAGCTTTTGACCGTGTATGACAGCTTGTTCGCAGTTGAAAAGAAATCCTTCTTTGCTTTGAAGCTGTGGTCAGAGCCGGGCTCTTCAATGCCTTCAGAGTTGGGTTCGGCCGATGAAGTTCGTGCAGTACATGTTTCGCGTCGTACAACCCGGCTTAAAAGTTGGTCTCTCTTTTTTTGTCTGTACCGTGTTACAGTAGAGTTCCCGGACACTTTGGATCTCAGCATCAAGTCAGTTGATTTTGCGTTTCAGAGCCAAAGTTACGTTGCGTGAAAAAAGACCAGCGGATGACAAGTCACTGTTGAAGCCCGTAGCACTCGATGACTAGTCCTGGTCGGCGACATGCCACCAAGTTGTATGGGGCGACGTAACCCAGAACCAAATGGGGGATAGTCGATCAAGATGTTATAGTTGAATAGAACGCAACCTTGAATTTTGGTACAAAGAGTAAAAAAGCGTCCATGTGCTAATGAAGAGGGAGTTGTCATTTCTATCACCATCTACTGAACGAACAGTGCACAAGGGCAAGCTCAGCTGTTCACTGTCCCCTGCTTTTGTCGATGAAATTCTCCTCTACCGCAACTCGTATCTAGGATAGCAATTTTCCCACTGTTCGTGACCGATGAATGGAACCACTTTTCCACTGGTTGCAACAGCACTGACGAGACGGAGCGGAAACCAATCTCCCTGTTGTCGAAAGTATTCCCTGCCATCCTGACATGGCTTCCATACCTCTAGGAATTGTAATCTCAATCCTGCATCGGCCATTTTGCTGAGCCAGTCTCTCCAAGTCCCGTGAGTAAGCCAGCTGTTTAGCAGAACGAGTCTTTTGAGAGACCTAGCGTGCGGGCGTACAAAGTTGGTGAGTGTTTCCTCGCTTTGGCAGTTGTATTCAAGAACGAGATGTTCCAGTTGAAAAGGGGGCCTCTGCTGAGAGATGTGCGACAGAGCGTACGAGTTGAAGATTGCATCGCCCACGGAAGAAATCTCTAGATCTAGTGATTTGAGGTGTTTCGATGCCATCAGACATCGAGCGAAGGCGTGAGCTGTCTCCGTAGACCGGGGAACAGCATATACCTCGTCGTCAGCGAGTGTCTCCTCGCGAATGGACAACTGAAGAGTTCGAAGGTTTGAAAATAAGCTTATATTGCTGAAAATACTAGAAGAGATTGGCCATCGCACATTACTGACACTGCTAGTACGAATGTCTCGAAGAGCGAGTTTGCTGTATCAGATTAGCTCTCAAAGCACGTCTGCTGTAGATAGTCGAAAGTCGCAATGAAGCTAGAATCTATGTTCTTCCCTTCTCTGTTCGCTAATTTCGATGTGTAACGCGGACGGTGACAAAACACATACCTAGCCGTGAGCTTGCTGAGAGCGATCAGCGTACGGTCAATGTTCCTCCAGCCATAGCAGCGTATATTGTTCACGGCGCCATGGCGTACAAAGTGATGGTTGTGCTGTAACGAGGTGAAGAAAAGCTTTCCATCTTTGCCTCCTGGTCGGACCTGAAATGAAACATGGCATGGTCGCGGATAAATGCGTATTGAACTAAGGTTGGGAAGGCGGGACAAACAATTGCTCAGAGCATTTACGGCAGCGCCGGTAGACCAAAACTTCTCTTGCCGACTCAACTCCACCTCGTACAGCTCTTTAAAGCGAACGAGCTCGTGGTAACATAGATTGCATTTGGAAGCAAGACCCGTCTGCCATGCCGACTCTACAACGGCATTCTGGTTGGCATACAATGGGTGCGACTGCAGTCCGCTCTGGAGAATTTCGAGGCCATGTTCCGTGAAAATCTGGCTGCCCAAGGTGACGGTAGTTAGAAGAGGTCCAAGGCGCGGATGGCGGGCGATGCTGTCCAGAATAGCCAGTTCGCCTTCGTTCAGGTAGAATATGCGCTCAGCGAGGACTTCGCGGAACGGAATCCAAGAAGCATCCCGAAAAGATCTGCACACGGTCCTGAAGTTTAAGACGTGTTGTTTACCGGCTGGCAGAATGACAGGCCAGCGTTGGCCAGTGTTGTCGTCTTGCTCGTACTGGAGCTCAGCTAGGCAGTAGACGACGTCGTGAGCAATGACGTCCATGAGAGTAACTTCAAAGGAAATGTGTTCTAGGTGACAGGAAGGTCAAAAAAAAGCACGGGGAGAAGGAGGATGCGAATGCGTGTAAAGTTATGTTGGCAATGGAAGCCACGGGTGCGGAAGAACTACTGAAAGGATACCATGATGGTACTGGACAAACAAGCACGTTGTCAAGACCTCAGTCTGCGATGACTGCTCCCTGTGGCACGATGCAGAAGGCTATTCAGCATGAGGTTTTCTTCTACTACCTTTTCTTCTCTTTCTTCTTCTTTAGGAAAAGAAAAAGACGAATCCATTTGCGCTTTGAACGCTGCAAGTTTACCAGATATGGCGTCGCCAGATCGGACCGGCCTTTGCTGTTCTGCCCATGTATCGAAGCCATCGTCGTACATCATTGAGATACGGTGGGATCGAGAAAGTTTAAATATGCGGCTGCAACAAAGGCAGAACGGCGGTACCATCCGACGTGCTGTGCAGAGTTGAAAAGACGTTTGGCAAGCTACCTGGCAGAAGGGACGTGAAACTCTTGTCTCCAAGGCCAAAGACAAGAGAGTCTGAATTATCCGACGCACAGGTCGACCTGGGCTCGGACTGGCCAGAGTTATGAAGAAACGACGGAGGTGATGGCGGTGGAGGTGGCGGAGACGGTGGCGGTGGAGACGTGGCTGGTGCTGTCTGCCCCCCGCCGCCGCCGCAGCAGCAGCAGCGGTCTCCGATATCGGCGCAGGCACGTCGACACTGCGAATGAACAAGACTGCAATCTCGGGACTGCGCAGCATCCAGATGTTTCCAAAGCCTTGGGCGATGAGTTCAGTGACGGCTAGCCGGTTTTAAGCTGGATCCGAAACCACGCGCCTCAGCCGGACGCAGCAGGTACTGGTCTCTGCCGGGAGCTGTTTGACGCTCCGCGGGTGCGCCCGGGACCCTCTGCCTGCGCGATGGCTGTGGTCATGGTGATGATTCTCGTGAAGCGGAAAAAGATGCCCCGCCGCCCCCTCCAGCAACACCCATAGCGCTTTGCATCGGGGCAGGAATTCAGTCATGTGTGGGCCGTGCAACTCGCGCCGAAGAAACTATATAAGGGAAATCGATGTCAGAAGACCGGCGGAAGAGCATTTGCTGCCCAATCACTTTTGCTGGTCCCGCAGCGCATCTGGACATCTGACGTCGCCCGCCTCGGTTGACCTCCTACAGCACCCAGTACACCTGAGCCGAAGTGTCTTCCGCGTGTCGACCATCCAGATTTTTGTAGCACAACACTCTGTTCGAGAGCACTCCTAGCGTCTTTGCGTCCGCGCTCAATTTTTCCGAGCATATACTCGCCGCATCTTCTCATCCGCACCTCACAATGGCAAGCAACGGGGCCGCCAACGGTCACGGGGAAAACACCGGTGTTGGAACCGAGAGCATCAATACCGAGATCATCACCCTCACGAGATTTTTGACTGAGGAGCAGACGAAGCACAAGGAAGCCACTGGCGATTTCACGTATGGCTGCGTCTCACCTGCCCTTGCCGTGTCGCTTGCTAACAACACCGAACCAGCCTGCTGTGCCACGCGCTGCAGTTCGCCTTCAAGAGCATTGCGTATTACATCCGACGCGCTACCTTGATCAATGTACGAATGGCCACAGAAGAGTTCTGAATGACGCCAATTGACAAGAGGTTTTAGTTGACCGGTCTTGCTGGTTCGTCGAACACCACCGGCGACGACCAGAAAAAGCTCGACGTAATCGGAAACGATGTCTTTATCTCGGCTATGCGAAGCAGCGGCAGAGTCCGCCTGCTCGTATCAGAAGAAGAGGAAAAGGTTCTGGTCTTCGACAAGGGACCACATGCCAAGTACGCCGTCGCCTGCGACCCGATCGACGGCTCGTCCAATCTCGATGCCGGCGTGTCGGTTGGCACCATCTTCGCCATCTACAAGCTGGACGACGATGCAGAAGGCACGGAGAAGGACATACTGAAACCGGGAACGGAGATGGTTGCTAGCGGCTTCACTATGTACGGCGCATCGGCGATGCTTGTCATCACCATGAAAGGCGGCCCGGTCAATGCTTTCACTCTGGACAACGCGCTCGGCGAGTTCATCCTGACACACCCGAATATGCGGATACCCAAGAAGCGGGCAATCTACTCGGTCAACGAGGGCAACAGCCTGTACTGGGAGGAGCCGGTTAAGGAGTACGTCAACAGCCTGAAGTATCCCGGCGAAGGTGGCAAGCCCTACAGCGCGCGTTATATTGGATCGATGGTGGCCGATGCGTACCGCACGCTCTTGTACGGAGGCATCTTCGCGTACCCGGCCGACAAGAAGAGCCCCAAGGGCAAGCTTCGAATCCTATACGAGTGCGCACCCATGGCCATGGTGTTTGAGAATGGTGTGTTTTCCCTTTAGTCCTATTTGTGCATAGCAGTCATAGACTAACTGGCGATGATCAGCTGGAGGTCAGGCGGTCAACAGCCGGATGCAGCGAATGCTTGAAGTTGTTCCAGAACACATCCACGACCGGTCTGGCATTTTCCTCGGCAGCTACGACGAAGTGCAGAAAGTGATCGATGTTCACGCAAAGTTTGCTAAATGAGTGCGAAAATGAATTGGTGGAAAAGGTGCGAAAGGACCTCATGGAGTCGATGAGCCGGATTGCATACACGAACATTAGCCAGTCGCGATGCTCTAGCCAAAAATGTAAATAAACTGCACGCAGAAAGATTTTGAACTAGCACAAGCTTTTCATGTCAGCTTTGGTCGCTCCTCCATTATCATGACGCCCTTGGGGCGAACGGCCTACCAGACTCACAGCAGCAAAAACGCTCCGCTGTTGGCCAAATTAGCGGACGAAGGAGTCCTGCAGCCAAGGGGCGAGAAATCACAGCAAAATTAATGCTTAGCGAGACTAGGTATGCCTTGAGTGAGCCTATGATATCGCCTCGTCATGCGTGGAGGGATATTTTAAGCATAAGGACCCTGGCGGCTCCAGCGCCACAAGCGCCTAATCCACCACTCGTACAACCCCCAACCTGCCAATCCGACAAACAAGCAAATCAAAGCGCAATGGAGTCTGGACGAAAGAAGCAGCCTGCCGAGAGACGACCTCCAACAGCACACGCCAACCGTCTCGGCTGATAGATGGGGAGATCTTGTGGTGGAAAGCCTTCTCACGCACATCCTTACAAGCTTTCACACAGTTGCCACAGATGTGGTTCGGGCTCGAAACCTTTGTGATTATCATTGGCGCCTACACAGCCAAAGCAGATTGCGCCAGACCGTTGTAGGACAAAGCCCGACACCGAGCGAACCACCGGTCGTTGTTTCTGGATTATGCAGCGCTGGGAGTCGTAGTTGCGGGACGACTCGAGGCTTGCTGCCGCTGCTATGGTTGACGATGGAAGATACATTCCACCGCCTCTACCTCCACCTCCTCCTGGGCCCCCTCAGCCGCAATCGTCGAGATCTCCGGGGAGCGCTGGAAACGAGCACTTTCCTCTACGACACGGTCCTGTGTCACCTCCTTCGGTGCTCTCATCTGTCGGCCTCCCCTCTGGATTCACTCCTGTGCATGCCCACCCGCCGGCGAGTCCCTATGCATATCGGTCGTCCGCTGTGACAACCGCTGCTCCTCCTCAAACTCCACTCTCCTCTCATGGATACACGCCAAGGAATTCACCATTGAGCCCTGGAGCTGACTCTCCGTCCTCTGCGACTTATAGAAGTCAAGGTGGCAGCACAATGATGGAATATAATCCTCAGCAATGGGCCAGAGGTGGTCCTACTGGCGGTGCTTACAGGCCGCATGCAACGCTCACAATACCTGCGGCACCGAGGCCGCTTGATGATTCTGGACGTAAGTCGAGGGACATCCATTTTGCAGAACAGAAGTGCAAGGGAGGAGGAAATCTCGGGATCTTATGTGGTTCACCGTTTTATATTTCCAGCTGTGGTTGGGCATTTGGTACAATCTGACTTCAGACATGGCTAACGTTATATTCTCCCTGGCAGAACCACTGGAATCACCTCCTCCGCCGTATACTCCAAACGAAGCACCAACGCCAAGCCAGCAGCTAAATGCTCGATCACCCCCACATCTGCAGACAAATGTACGATTGCCTTCGCATCTAACGAACGAGGTTGCGACACCCGTGAGTGCAATTACCATGGTAGCGTCACCCCTATCTACCCGAGCACGAGACGGAGCTCAAATGAGCTTTCCACCGCCACCGCCAAATTCTCAGCGCGATCGCTCCGCGTCGAGGTCGAGGTTTGGCCTCTCTGCGTTAACGAGAGGTCGATCAAGTGAAAGGTCAAATACCCCGCCTACAAATGCGATCGAAAACCTGCAGTATAGCACCAGGGAAGCTTTGGCAAATGCTCCAGTGCAACGATGGGACCATTCACGGCAGATCAGTTATACAGGCAGTCGGCAGACCGTGTACGTGCCGCAGGCTCCAGAACAGGTTTCCGTGCCGCCAGCCGCACGAAGATCTGCTTCTACCGGGACAATGAGCCACCATCACTGGGCTCCGAACATGACGCTTCCGCCTCCTCCAGGACCGCCGCCCTCGAATCCCAGCAATTCTCGGTCTGCAAGCATGACACGGGCAGGATCAAGCTTCGACAACGCCATTGCCGTGCCCTCTGCCGATGTTAACAATACGGCGGTCCCCATTATATCTGCTCCAACGCGGCGTCCCCCGCCACATCGGGGAACTCAGCTTGGTCCGGTTCCTCCCACTCCTGCGGGTTACAGTGAATTTCCGCAGTCGCCAATGCCTCCGCAAATGCGAGGAGGTTCGCCTTCTGGAAATCAAGAAGATATCCCTCCGGTCCCAGCGTTACCAGGTGCTCCGGAAGCTTCAGACGCAGCCAGCAACGTTTCCGTGCCACCGGAGACGTCAGGAGCATCTGGCTCAAGCGGGAGCTGGTCAGGCTCCCTGCGCCGAGAGCAAAGCGGGAAAGGAATTCGGGAACGTAGAAGTGAAAGCCGAGCTGCGAAGGATCGTGTTCCACATGAGGCCTGTGAGCCTGGTAGTTCCCAAGTTGGACCTGCGGATTTGATTCTCAGCCCAATAAGCAGTGGCAGAGGCATTACTCGTTCTGGTGCCATGAAGAAGAGCCGGACATCACCTATTGAGTCAGGAATGAAGGCTTCGCCGAAGGCGTCAAAGGTGTTGCCAACTCCGCCTCCGCATTCAGGTTCCTCGTTGAAGTCCCCCCAAGTTCAAACGGTACAGGCCCTGGACAGCGCTAGAACCATGCCGGGCAGTGCGAACACAATGCCTGAACCAGTGACTCAACTAGGCTCACACAGCTCGGGCAACCAACCCGAGTCTGGCGACTCGTTTGCCATCTCGTCGATCAAACGGCATCAGGAATTTGTGCGGAAAGAAGCCAGCTGCCAGACTGACTTAGAGCGCCTGCAGCTTTTTGCCGAATACATCGTGGCGGAATCTAGAATTAGACGAGACCAATACAGCGCCGCTTTTGCATCCATGGAGGCCGCAGATGTCTTGGATCTCACGAGGAATCTTTGGCGGTCCTTACAGCCTACATCTGCAGCGCCGCGGCCAGTATCGACAGAACCATCTTCTGCATCATCAATGCCGCGACCCGCTAGGAGCGATTCTATGGGCTCATTTATGTCCCTGAACAGTCCTATGTCAGGTTCACAGGCCAACTTTACGCCATTGACAGAACCGGAATCACCTGCTAGCATCGCCAGCTCCGCTGGTGATCCGAGGGAGCGTGGCCCATGGGCTAGGCATAAGCCCGTCCTGTCTCCAATCCCAAGCATGGCTATGAGCACTGTGCCGGATGAGGAAGACTCACGTGGACGTCCCGCAAGCAGATGGTGGGAATCTAGTGCTGGCAGCATTGGCGCCTCGCAACGTATCGAGCGCACAAAGCGCGAGTCCAAATTCATGGGCGTTTCACGAGACGCACTCGCCACGCTGCAGTGGCAGGACGAGCCTTCACCCTCTTTTCACGCCACACCTCGTACAGTTGGCGAATACCCAATTGAGAAGACTGGATGGCATAATGGGAACCAAGGGTCTTCCAGTACACCACGACACATTCCATCGTCTGTCCCAGCAACTCCAGATCCACATAAACTCGACGTTTCTAGACTGGTTACTCTGCCACCACCGTATCCACGCCACTACCCAGCCATGTCGAATAACCACCCGGACCTTGCTTCGGTCCGAGCCGTACTAGAGAGTACTCGAGACTTGGACGAAATCGTCAAGACCAAGGAAGAGTTCAACAGAAAGCTCTACGAACGCAGAGAACGTAAAAACCGCGAGGCGGCAGAGCGGCGCGGGCAAATGCGCCACAATATACAGGAACAGCTCTCTTTGGGTCAGATGACTTATGCTCAGGCCGCTGCTGCTGAGGAAGATTTCAATGCCGCCGAGGCTCGAACTGCAAACATGATCGTGCGACAGGAGTACGACGCTTACCAGCCAGAAGTCAAAACACCTCTCCATGCCCTGATATCTGAGAAGATCACGAAGTGTACTGCATGCATCTCTCAGCTTTGTGCGGGTCTGCAAACATCTGAAAATAACGCCGGCCCGAACGAGCCACAGGAAGAAGGCGATGAACAACCTGAGCTGCTTGAGAAGCTGAACTTGCTCAAATGGCTGACCGAAGCGCGAGAGACGCTTTACAAGGCCTTGGACGATCTTGAAAGTGAGAGCAATGAGCTGTACCGCGAAGTCATCGTCAAGCCTCTCCGCGATTCCGGCGATGAAGCCAAGCTTCAAGGAGCCCAGCAATTTTTTGACCAAGATATTCGAGAGAGGAAGACCAATTTCGAGAAAGCTGCCAACAAGCGATACGAAGAGTTTGCCAAGATCATCGAGAAGAACGTCACTCGTGGTGTGGAGGATCAGCTGAGTGCCTTTTGGGATATCGCCCCTGGCCTCTCCTCTGTGATTCAAAAGGTGCCGGAGGATCTCGATTCATCTAAAGGCGAATTTGATTTGCTCGTGCCACCATCAGAGTACGAGGAAAATCCGCAATACCACGAGCATCCGTGTCAGTATCTGTACACGCTACTTACACATGCGGAAAAATCAGCCTATCAGTTTATCGAATCGCAAGTCAACCTCATGTGCTTGCTGCACGAGGCACAGAACGGACTTATGGTTGCTGGTATTAGGCTCATGGAGAGCCAAAGAGCAGCCGAAGGCGAGGACTGGAGCTTAGTTCATGCAGAGATGGGCGAAGTCAGGAAGGCAGAGGAGCAAAGGCTCACCGCGGAGCTGAAGGAGAAGGTTGAGACCGTCGAGAGCCAGTGGCGCGAAGGCTTAGGCAGCAGTCTCGAAGCTGTCAAGGAAAGGGTCCGCGATTATCTGTACAGAACTGGCGGTTGGGACGACTCTCTACTTGAATAAGTGCGCATTTTCTTTCGTCTAATCCTTTGTACGGCCTCGATACTATTGCGCGCATGCTATTTCATAGTTTCTGTTGCTGTTGGAGATACCCAAAAGAGCACTTTATGAAAACGTTGACCATGACCTCTGAGCGTTTCGGATCTTTCGATTTGCTTTCTTACAAGGAACCTTCTTGGTACAAGTCTTATTTTGTAATGCATAATCGTCCTGCAACGTACATGTCACTGCACACGTCCTCCATTGCAAGCCAGCTAAACAAAAGTTCGATGTTTGATAAAGCGTGTGCCTGGCGAATAGCTTGCCGTCAAGTATATGCAAAGTGCTCCTAGAAGAATCTGTGCGTTTACTATCTGTATCTGCATCGATTCTTTTTGCGTTCATATGATGAGATGCGCTTTCTAGGCATGATACCCCTGTTGGATTGTGCATGAACCCCACCTGAGCAAATGTGTGAGAGGCCAAGACGACGGAAGCTCATGGTAACATCTCGTTTCGACACTGTCGCTTTGGAATCTCGGATGACTCAGATGCTTCCTGGCTGCACGCCAACCAAATCGTTTTTATACAGTCACAATCGGCTATAAGATTCTTGCGTCTGGAGGGACTTTCGTTAAGAAGAGGAAATTAGTTGGGAAGCTCCAGACTGGGAGCAAAGTTAGTACCAAAACGCGGCTCGAAACGTATCGTGACCTGCTTGTCAAAGCGTATCCGCTATATAAACGTTAGGTAGAGTCTGCTCGGAAACAATGGCGACGGATGATCGCGAATGCATTGTTCGACCAGCGAAAAACATAGATGAAGCGGCCAGGTTATGGTGGCCGTTCATGCAGGTCCTCGGCTGGGTACGTAACGCCGTCACTTAGTACAAAAGTTTGACAGCTCCAACGCTGAAAACCCTCCGTGCAGAACAGGGCAGAGAAAGACATCATCACGCACTACGCCGCGGCCACGCGTCACATTGGCCCCGCGGGCTGGCTACACGTTGCCAGCAAGTCCAGGCCAGACGAGGCACAAGGCTGCGTCGTGGCCTTCGTTTTCGACAACAAGACCGGCTGGGTTGGTTTCTTTTGCGTAAAAGAGCCTGTCCGAGGACTGGGATGGGGCTCGGCGTTGTTCAAACGGCTGCTCGAGGAGTTCACGAAGGCGGGCGTCGAATATGTGGGTCTTGATGGGGTGGAAGAGCAAGTCAAGACGTATGAACGAAGGGGATTCGTGGACACGGCGCTGGTGCGGCTGATGACGCGGAAGGGGGTCATGGAAGTGCCTTTGGCCGATGGGTTCGCGCACGCGAGCGGCCACGAAAGACTGGTGCCGCTTGAAGACATACCGACCGAGGTCTTGGTCGCAAGCGACCTGTCAATCACGGGTTTCGAGCGAAGCACTACGTGGTCCAAAGAGGCGCTGTTCGACCGCGACGACGCGTGGGGTCTGGCGCTGATCAGGGAAGGGGTCAAAGAGGATCTCGAGGGCTGGATTCTGGTGCGAAGCTGCGAACACGGCTTTCGGTTTGGGCCGCTGTACGCGCAGACGAAGCAGGACGCAAGGTTTCTGCTGCATCAGGCCATGTACAGACTGCAGGGGAGCAAGGGCGATTACATCGCGGAGGTGTGGCCTCAGAATCCGGCAGCTGTCGAGGTGTTCGAGGAGCTTGGCTGGGCGTGGTGTAAGATCGACTATCACAGGATGTGGTTGAATGGGAACGTTCCTGCCGCACAGCTGGCCGGCGGGAAGGCGGAGAAGGAGATGTTTGCCATCTTCGACGCCGCGCAGAGCTGAAGGACGTTCAAGTGCGCTGTGCCGAGTTTGTGCGTCTTAACCTAGCCTGTTGGCTCGCCGACTACGTGTCCATTTTTTTTTTCCATTCTTTGGAGATCGTGAAGGTCACAAGCCAAGGGGTTTGAATCAAGATGAAGAGATGAAAAGAATGGATCATGTAGTTGAAACAGACATTGACTATGTGTCAAGCTTGAATATAGTACAGTCAGTGCTAAAAGTGAAGAGCCACGCCAATGATAATGATGATGATGATGATGATGCTGATGGCGGAAGACGTCCAGTAGGTTTAATGGCGGCTATAGATGCTAGACATCACACTATATTATTGGCGAGACATGGATTTGCTTCAGAAGCTGATGGGAAACCGTAACAATTGCATAGATAAAGTCGACGGTTAAGTAAACATGGTAAAGGGGATCTCGCCTTGCTGCCTTTGTGCCTTGAAGCCTGGCTGGCCAAGCCTCCATGCTGGAGCTTCCCAAGCGTCATCCAGTTGGAGCTTTATCGCGACAACGAGCAACAACCCCCATCAACTACAATTTGAGAAACGACAGACAGCCTCCTTGCTGTCACTCTAGCCAATATGGCACCGCATCAGGATACATTGTTCCGCTCCGCGGACATGAGCCTGACGCAGTTGTACATTGCCAACGAGATAGGCAGAGAGGTTGTGAGCGCCCTCGGGGAGCTGGGTGTCATGGACTTTAGAGATGTATGAGGCACCTATGTTTTGATGTGTCTAGGAAAGCTGAAAACTTGAATCACAGCTCAACTCCTCCGTGTCGGCTTTCCAGCGCACATACACGCATGAGATTCGACGTCTAGACAACGTGGAAAGGCAACTTCGTAGGGACCACGTGCCAAGTCGCGATTTTGTTCAGCCGCTAATGTGTCTCAAGGATATTTCCAGGCGCAGATGGACAAAGCTGGTATTCCTATGCGTTCGATCTACGAGTTCGATAATGTCCTCGCCCCCCCCTCAGCCTCGGAGATCGACGAACTGGTAGACCGCTGTCAAAGCTTGGAGAACCGTGTGTCCTCGCTCAATGAGAGTTACGAGACTCTGAAGAAGAGAGAAGTTGAATTGATCGAATGGCGGCATGTGCTGTTACAGGCTGGTGGGTTTTTCGATCGTGCCCGCGGCAACACAGAGGAGATTCGACAATCGATGGACGAAAGCGACGACGCACCCTTGCTACGTGATGTGGAAGGAAGCGGTCAGAACGGTGACGCGGTCGGTGATAGATCTTTTACTGCGATGAACATCGGCTTCGTTGCCGGTGTCATTCCCCAGGATAGGATGGCTGCCTTCGAGAGGATTCTATGGCGCACCCTCCGTGGTAACTTGTACATGAACCAATCGGAAATCGACGAAGAGATAATCGACCCGGAGACAAACGAGGGCACCAGGAAGAGCGTGTTCGTCATCTTCGCTCACGGCAAAGAGATCATTGCGAAGATCCGCAAGATCTCGGAGTCGCTCGGCGCGGATCTGTACAGTGTAGACGAGAACTCCGAACTTAGACGGGACCAGGTCCACGAGGTCAATACTCGCTTAAGCGACCTAAACAGTGTTTTGCGTAACACAAAGCAGACCTTGGATGCAGAACTGACAGCTATAGGACGCACCCTCGTCATGTGGATGGTGATCATTAAAAAGGAGAAGGCAGTGTACCAGACTCTCAACCGCTTCTCTTACGATTCTGCAAGGAAGACATTGATCGCTGAAGCTTGGTGCCCGACCAGCTCCCTAGGTTTGATCAAGTCCACCCTCCAAGACGTTAATGATCGTGCTGGCCTCGCCGTTCCTACCATTGTCAACCAGATTCGCACCTCGAAGACTCCTCCTACTTATGTCAAGACGAACAAGTTCACCCTGGCATTCCAGACCATCATCGATGCTTATGGAACAGCTAAGTACACTGAAGTCAATCCCGGCCTACCTACCATCGTAACCTTCCCTTTCCTCTTTGCTGTCATGTTCGGCGATTTCGGCCACGGTATTATCATGACACTTGCTGCCTGTGCCATGATCTATTATGAAAAACGCCTCCTTCGAAGCAAGCTCGACGAGTTGTTCTCTATGGCTTTCTATGGCCGGTACATCATGTTGATGATGGGCGTTTTCTCCATCTATACGGGTCTCATCTATTGTGATGCCTTCTCCAAAGAGATTCCGCTCTTCAAGTCTATGTGGGAATGGCCGGAGGATTTCAAAGAGGGCGAAACTGTCACTGCGTACCGCCCCGACAGCGGCTACACGTATCCATTCGGCATGGACTACAGGTGGCATGACACCGAGAATGATCTCATCTTCTCCAACAGCTACAAGATGAAGCTCAGCATTTTACTTGGCTGGGCTCACGTAAGTAGATTTTGCCTTATAGTCACTTCCGGTTCGAACTAACTACTTTTAGATGACATTCTCTCTTTGCTGGTCTTATGTCAATGCTCGCCACTTTAAATCCCCCATCGACATTTGGGGCAATTTTGTACCTGGCATGATCTTTTTCCAGTCCATTTTTGGCTACCTTGTCTTCTGTGTTGTCTACAAGTGGTCCGTGGACTGGGTCGCTATTGGCAAACCAGCGCCGTCACTGCTCAACATGCTCATTTACATGTTCTTGCAGCCTGGTACGATCGAAACTCCGCTATACAGTGGCCAGGCCACCGTACAAGTCATTCTATTGCTGCTAGCCGTCATTCAAGTGCCAATCATGTTGTTCCTCAAGCCCTTCTATCTGCGTTATGAGCACAACAAGGCGCGTGCTATGGGATACCGCGGGATCGGCGAGTCGACGCGTGTCTCGGCATTGGATGATGACGACGAAGAATCGGGAAGCCCAACTCTCAACGGAGGCCGAGAAAGCTTCGGCGATGATGAGGACGGCGCCGCGCTCATCACGCAGGACATCGGACATGGCGAAGGAGAAGGCCACGAGGAATTTGAGTTCTCGGAGGTGATGATCCATCAAGTTATCCACACCATTGGTAAGTTGTCTCCAAGCCAAACCCTATGATTGGTACCACCAAATATTTCAAATTGAAATCCTCTCAACCGTAACACTCCGCACTGGTGCAAACCCACATGAAGAAACAAGAGAATAGCGTGCAAGTACAATGTAACTGACTATACTCGTAGAATTCTGCTTAAATTGCGTCTCACACACAGCTTCTTACCTGCGCCTTTGGGCTCTCTCATTAGCACATCAGCAGCTCTCGATCGTTTTGTGGAAGATGACACTTAATATTGCTTTTGGCATGACGGGTGCAGCTGCCGTGATCATGACGGTCGCGCTGTTCTACCTTTGGTTTGTCCTTACAGTCTTTGTGTTGTGCGTCATGGAGGGCACGAGCGCCATGTTACATTCTCTCCGACTGCACTGGGTTGAGGCAATGAGCAAGCATTTCATAGGAGATGGAGTGCCGTTTGTTCCGTTCAGCTTTAAAGTTTTGCTGGAGGAGGAACCAGTGGAATAATGCTTTTGTGTAGTCTGTACATAAACTCTGTAGGGATAGATTTTCGCTTCAACTTGCGTAGAAAATAAACAAGTCTACACCGGATACGTGTTCTCCTTTTCCTCTCTTCAGGGGTTGAGCACTACGAGCAGCGGAACTCCGCTGTAAGACGTTAGCCATAATCTACAACAAGCGTCATGAGTAGTTGGCAGGCCCCACGTAAGCCTTTAAATGAGACTGTGGGACGTGGTCGTGACTGGGAGGTTCAAGGCACATCTGAAAAGAGACAAGTCCAGGCCAACCATCGCTGATCGCTGACTGAAGTCCGCAATCGAAGGAACAAGGGGTGAGTTCGCCGCGCGCTCGGTTCCGAAATCAACCATGTGGATATTCATAGCCGCACTGCACTTTCTCTTACAGGCAAAAAACATGTCAGAAGAACCGAGCCTGACTTGGGCTGCTACAGACGATTCGAGACATCGTCGGGCCGTTGCTGTATCCATGCTGCAACGTTTCGGGAGACGAAAGCCCAGCAGCTGCGCCGGCATTCGTCTCGTCATGGAGTCACGAGCACAAGCGAACACGCACGGAACTGCACGTGGGCGTCGGATCCAAAGGCGGGATAAGGTGGAACGCTTTGGCCATAAGGATCAAAAGCATGAAGCCGGAGATCGAGCGTTCATGTCGAAAGCGCGTTGTCAAAAAAAAGATTAGATGGCATTCGACTGCGCTTGTCCCTTGCTTTTGTCGCTCTTTCGAAACGTTCTCTCTAATTGGGTTACCCTGCTGGAACGACTACGATAGAAACTGGCCTTGCGTCCGCAGAATCACGGCGTATTTGCGGCTTCGCTGTCTAAATTCGTCGATGTTAAGGTGGAAAAGGTAGTTAAGCTGGTGAATGTAGGATTCTTGTTCTACAAGAGAGAAAAAAAAAATAAGGTGAAATAAAATGAGACGAACAAAAAGAAAAATGCAGCGCTGGTATCGAGAAAGAAAAGACAGGAAAGACTCAGGCTTCCATACTTCCCCAACCGATTGAAGACAAGCATACGGAGGAACGAGAAGTTGGAAACTCTTCACAAATGTTAGGATCCTTCTGCAACTGTGCAACTCTTCGCAGTTGTTTCTCTATTGATAGCTTGTGAAGCTCGAGGAGAGATTGGGGGGGAAAGATGGCGTAAGGTGGAGATTCTCGAGCGTGCATCTGTATGTCTACTTAAAGCGCAAGAAGCTGACGCGAGAACGGCTCTCTTGCACAACGTCTCGGCTGGCTCCGCCAGTAGGGGCTACATGTCCTGATGTTTCGGGGCTCGGGCTTTAGGATTTGGTTCCTAGGTGAAGCCGCGGACATCGAGCACGCGCGGCCGTGCAATCAATCGAAGAGTGAAGCGAAGCATGGTGAACAACTAAGACGATAAAGGTCGGACCGAGATAACGTCTGTTTCCTGTGGAGGCCACAAAAACAAATTCGACCGATTCTGATTTAGAAGATCGAAAGGTCATCAAACTCCACCCGCAGACTTGATTGTGTCTGGGACGGCCCTCCATGTCGCCTTTCGTGTAGCGAAGGGGGAAAGCTGGCAGGTCGCGACGCGTAAACGCCAACGCGGACTGATTTGTTCTCTACCCCGTAGAAGAACCAGGTTACTTCGCGCATTTTTTTCCAACTCCCGTTTTCATCCTCGTAGTAGATCCAGAGAGCGTCGCCGATTCGTTCAAGCTTAACCTTCAGCTCGCCTCGAGCCGCTTGAGCGGGCGATAACGCTGTTGTTGTCCAGTCGGCACCGTCTGAAATCGCACACACGGAAGAAGCATGGCAGGCGTTGTTGCAAAACTCCAGGCCAACCTTGGCCCACTTTGAGGCTGGAGGTTCTTGAGGGTATGTTGGCGGAGTTCCGTCTGCGTTTTCTGGAGGATTGGGCGATGTACCTTGATGACTAGCTCCGGTCACTAGTCCTGGAGGCGTGCCGGCGAATATGACCAGACCAGCCTGGTCCCATTCTAACCTCCATTCCGCAGAGACGGTTACTTCCGCAGAGACAAAGGGAAATCTCAGACAGGTGAAGAGAATCGGTGCCGTTGCCGTGTCGGCTGCTGGAGGCTTCCGCCAGAGGTCTGTACAAGGTGGCGCGTACAGTTCAAACGCAGTCATCGACTCAGGGATCGCGTCTTCGGGCAGATTCAGGACCTGAAAGCAGGCCCTGCTTGGAGCAGGCATTGTGGCAAGCTGACCCACGGCAAAATACCCGAAGACAGTTCGATGAGGAAGGATATATCTTGATTATGGATCGCTGTTGAATGAAATATGCGTCTCAAACCCTACGCGTCTTTGGTCTTCCGCTGGATTCGTGTATTATGGGGGGTCAGCCTCGTGCTAGCCTGAAACTAGCGTTTTGGGCCGGCGGATTACTCTTTCGTCTGATTAAAGTGAACAGAACGTGGGAGCCGGAGCTGATTTTACAGCAAAGAGATAAATTTGGGATTTTTTTTTTCTTTTTCGTCGATCGCTCAAATTGACTCAAAGACGCTTGGAACTTTGGACTACTGCGTTTCAAACCAGTGCACGCGGCGTCCCGGCAAGTTTCGCGGTCATCCGCGAACGCGCGATGGTACCTTGGGAAATTTAACTGTGGTTAAGGGCAGAAGGACGGACCAGAAGATCGTGATGGTTGTCATTTGTTTTCGTCGCGGACTGTGAGGCCTGGCATGAATGAACGAAATTGTGCGCAGAGCAATAGACAAGGATGGAGGACCCGGCCTTTATCTCTTTTTCATGCGCTTTCCCATGGTAGTTTGAACTTTCCACCAGAATGCTCGTATTCCCACACATTTTTATTGAGCAGCAAGGGTCAGTGAAGCGACCGCCACTCCGAGGGATGAGGCGGCAGAGAGATGTCGTGCTGGCACTGACAGCCCGGAGGCTACGCCGTTAGGCCAGGGCAGCGTCCAACGGGCGCGCTCGTGGTGGTTGCTGGCTCGGAGAAAGCCTTCATTAGTGGATCGTAGCGAAGCTGAGCGAACTGTGCACGGCGATACGCTTCAGCATGTGTGTGTGCGACGGGTGGCCGGAAGAGTAGCTAGCTTGAAGTCAGCAGCCAAGCGTGCTGCGCAAACTGTGGTTTCGCGGCCAGAGCGGGATTCCTGCCCGCCTGAGCACGAGAAGGGTGGACGGGCGAAGAAGCATCGCGGTGCTGCCTCTGGCGCCCTCATAGGACGAGCGCACAATCGGCGGCTACAGCAGCCGCAGCAACTGGGAAACGCATCCAGGCGAGAATGTGCGAGGAGCCAGAGCGCCTTCAACCAGCTGCGTTGCAGCGCCCGAGGACGTGGCGGGGACGGCCGCAACCCTGTTCGACGCTCGCTCCTGTTGCCACCATCAGCTGGCTCGTCCCACGACGAACGCGGTGATCTGCAGCAACGTTGACCTGGTCTCAGTCCTACAGCGCGGCGTCCGGCCTTATTTCTGGCCTCACAGTGCTTTGGATCGTTCCGCGGCATGTCATTATTCTCCGAGTATACCGTTCGTTTCTCGTCCCCGTCTTGCCATCAACCCGCCCTTTCTCCACTGTGTGTACGTGTGCGTATATCAAGGCTGATTACGGAGTGGGCAATGTAGATTTGCTTGTGACACTCGCTCTCAGCTTCGCGTGTTTCGCTTCGTTCTCTACCGCGCTACGGACGAGCGTGTCTTGTCACAGTATGTGCAGCTTTTCTACAGTTGCAACCACCTTTGTGACCTGGACCAGGACGTCCCCTGCCTGCAAATGATGACTTTCATGTCCTTGATGAGCAGCAGATACACGACACCTCACCGTAGTTTCCCAGTAGAATAAAAGAATGTGTCAAGCGTGCAGATAGAGAGACGATCGTATCTTTTTTCAGCTCATATCGTCACGTGGGCATTATCAGCTTATGTCTTAAAGCCCATCCTTGACGAGAAATACGATGGCTATCGATGCGGCTTCAAAGTGTGAGCCCAAATTTGGACGACATTTAATAAGTTAGCAGTAGCGCGATTGCCTTCAGGATTAGTTTCGTCGAGTTCGTACTGTGAAGCAGACGTGGAACCAGCACAAGAATAAAAGTCTTGAGAAACCTAGACCAGAACATACGGTACCAGTCTAACATACCCTTAAAAGCATCCATCTCAACTTTGGCGCCACTCGCCTGCAGCTCCTAATCAAGTTTAACCCGCAGAAAAGCTGCCTGAAATGGACAATCACTGCAGGCTTACCTTAGCCAGCTCGACAAGGAGTCTTCCAAATCATGCAATGTTTGCATGGGGAGCAAGGGCTGTGCCAGTGGTAGAGCACAGCAATTGAGATTTTTTGAATACATTTCATGAATCCAAATCATAGAGGGTCTCCCCGAGGTAACATAACCCGACTCGATCACAACCTGAACATGGCAACTGAAACTCTCGCGGGTCACCCGCGAGTGCTCTTCGAGAAAAGTGCTACGAAGGACGTTGATCACTGCTTAGAGGGGCCGTTGAGACCTGTTTTGAACCAGAATGATGGAGAATCGCGGACGGGGGTTATGATGCGAGGTCCATGGGCTAGCGTGGATGGATCTTAAGGGACAAACGTATACCCCAACACTTATCCATTTTTGCTCATCACGCTTGTTAAACACACGCAATTTCACAGCCATCCCGTCGTCTCGGCGGCACAGTCGTCACGATTGCTGCCCTTCCGCCGGTGGCCTGGGGGATTCGATATAGCCAACAAGAAAGTAATATGATCCCCCACGGATGTTGTGCCGTATTACCACAGCGTCTGTAGCTTCATACGAGCAACACGCAGATTACTTTTAGATTCTTTGCATGGGCTGTTATGGACTCGGAATTCTGTCCGTGGCACAACAATTTCGTGAAGAGAAAGCTTGTCTGTGTAGACTGCTTCTGTCTCCCCAGCTGACGCAAGGCTCCGTCATCTGGGGATCTCGTTGAGCGCCGATCAATCACTGTCGACTGTGGCACTGACAGGGAGTTCCTCCAGCGAACTGGTTTCCAATGTTGACGTCTACGGCATCGCGAATCTCGATTTCTGCAAGGGTGTGATCGGCATAATCTCTTGCAAGGCTACGCGGAAGCGCAAGGGGCCTCCCATCTTAATTTCTAAATATTACCGTAATCACGGACACTGTACGATGCGATGGCAGCTGGATCGCGGATCATCGGGCGTCATCGCAGAGAGACGGTGGACGAGGATTCCATATTGGACCAGAAAGAAAAAACCAACAGCCGTTCAAGCATGTGCGTAGTTGCGGTTTCTGTCCTATCGTCTGCGAGTGATGCAGTGCGGAACCTTTCCTTGCTCATACGTCGATTCTCACTGTGAATTGATATTGTGATGCTCTTTACACGGATCCTTGACCTCCATCTGGCTGTGTAACATCCCTCAGACAGGTCGCTACGAAGGCGTGCGGGATTGAATCGCGTGAGATTGGCCCGCCCATGCCGAAAGGAAATTCCGCCGACTCTTCCTCGAGAAGGAGCGCGAGTTGGCCTCGGGAGCTTTCAGGGGCAAGTAATGTGGCGTTCGCTGCGGGAGACGAAAAGGCAATCGAGGCCGTGAGACTGACGGGAGTCCTACCTGTCCATGCCCGGTGAATCGTGGACGAGCACTACTACTAGCACAGGTACGGAGGACCCCAACAATTGGATCGAAAACGTCCCCGCTGCCGTCACGTTCAGCGCAGCACCTGGCGGCTGGGTGGCAGAAAACAAGCTTTGGGATGTGCGGTGAATTGTGGATCTGATGAGCGCCAACAGAAGCTGAGTGGAGCTCCGATCTAGCCCCTGGGTTTCGTGCTCCATCTCAGGTGAGGCAGCGAAGTAGTCACGTTAATTAACTGGCCTATAGCACTGCTCTGCTACATGACGGCCTGCCTTTCTTTTATCCTATTCTTGGTCCTGCGAGTCTTATCTCTCTTCTTCTGAATACGACCGTTCTCTGTTCCTTTTTCTCTCATTGCAGTTCACAGAGCCGCTTCATGGGGTCGTTCTGTCCACGATGCTGTTGAGACCAGACGTCTGGAACCGCTCGGTGAAGCTTGCCGTCGCGGCCACCGTCTTCTTCGCCTTCGTTCTCTGGATTCAACCCCCTCGGAACCACCACGGCCATAGATTCAAATCATGGTTCTCGCAGCCGAGCCATCAGTGGGGCTCTTACGGAGGTCCCACCCAGACATCTGTCACAAAGGATGGGTGCCCCGTCGCGTCCGACGCCGACAACGTTGTCATCACCGTGAAAACAGGCGCTAGTGAGGCGTCCGCCCGAATTCCTACGCAATTGAGAACCACGCTAAAATGTCCTCCGAACATCCTACACTTCTCCGACATGGAGCAGACGGTGGACAACGTCACCATCCATGACGCCCTCGCCCCGATCCCTGAGTTTGTGAAGATTGGGAACCCAGACTTTGATCTATACAGGGCGCAGCAAGCTCGGAAACGCTTAGGCTGGCACGACGAGCCGGTCACTGAAGAGGTGAAAAAGGCTGCGTGGACGTTGGACAAGTACAAGAATCTACACATCGTCGCAAAGTCCTACTGGCTGTTCCCGGACAAAAAGTGGTACCTACACATCGATGCTGACACATATCTCGTCTGGTCCTCACTTCTGTGGTGGCTCAACACTCTTGACCCATCAAAACCTCTCTATACCGGCTCTTTAACATGTTTTGGAGACGTTAAGGCTGCACATGGCGGCAGTGGAATATTGCTATCAAACTCTGCGGCAAAGGCGATTGTGCAGGACAACAGTTCCACGATTCCTTCGTGGGATGGCCAGGCGCGTGATCATTGCTGTGGCGATGAGCTTGTTGCGCAGGCGTTGAAGGACAACGGAATTGAGATGCACAATTCGTGGCCGCTCATCAATGGTGATACACCGTTCACAATTCCATTTGGTCCGCAATTCTGGTGTGAGCCCGTCGTTACGATGCATCATCTCAGCACGAAAGAAATGGAGATCGTTGCTGCATTTGAGCAGAGCAGGCCAAACCGTTCTGTAAGATTGTCGAGAATTGAGGACACCACCGTGCTTGTACTAATTGCCGTCAGGAGCCTTTGTCTTACATGGAACTATTCAATGAACTCGTCTATGACCATATTCCCGAAACAACAGTTGACGACTGGGACAACCTTTCGGAGGGCATCACACTGCCCGACTGTCCGTCCTTTGAAGCATGCATAAACGAATGCAATGAAAACGACGGTTGTTTCCAGGCTTCGTACGATGGCTCGGAGTGCATCCTAGGTACGAGAAATTTCCGCGTGGGTGTAGAAAAAAAACCAGAGGAAAGCAAGAAGTGGCAGAGCATGTGGAACAAGAGGCGTATGCGTGAGTGGGCAGTCGTCCACGTAGACTGCACAAATCTGCATGTCGCGTTCAAGGACTCATTTGTATGCGGTTGAAGAACCTTCAACTTGCTCCAAGAAAATATCAAAATCAGTAACCCAAGATTACAGCGTTACGCGCTTGATACGGGGTTGCGGCAAACAGGTCGCTCGCTTCAGGAGATATCGACGACTTCTTGGTTCGGCTAACTGCTATTTACATACAATGGTGGCTTGATCCACCATTGTAGGTAGCAAGATGGCACCAGGAACACGCCGAGGGAGCAAGCCTCGTAGAGAACCACTGAACTCAAAAAAAGATATCCGAGCGGATAAGCGGTGGCCAACCTGATCTTTTGTGGAGAAGTAAACACGCAAAAGTCGGAAACATTTTTTTTTTCATGCATACTGCTACACAGGAATGGCAGAATCAGTGCGAATAATTCACGAGACGATTTCTCCATACGTTGGTCTTTGCCCTGCTAGTACATCAACCCCGCTTCAAGATTCTGCTTGTGGAACAAAGAAGGAAACTAGCCTACATACGGACAATAATCGAATCATTCTAGATTCAGTCTAAACATAACGACGTAGCTAAAGCGATAAGGAGGGACATTGTAGACGCCCATTAACTTGAAGCATGTAGTTTCGAATGGTTTAAATTCCAGTTACCTTACGGCATACATGTTCAACGACCGATCAGCTCAGGCAGCCATGCACATCATTTGGTCTGGTGAAGCGTCCTGTGTATACTACCATGTATTGGTCTCAAGCAATTCGTATGGAGCACTTCCGATACTTATAGCTTCCTGCCGGATGTTTGCCCGTTCATCGTTCCACAAGCACTTGTGACATGATCAGATATCGTATGCTTACTCTGGACGTTGTTACTAGGCTCGATAAAAACGGACACGCATGGACATTTCCCGGACAAGAATGTCTAACTTTTTTCGTGCATCCAGCGCTCGCTGAGGACTTCTACAATCGTTCTGCTTCCGATAAGACACGGGGTCCAGATCTCTCTCAAGGTCGGACAAGTGGAAGTGATTTGGTCTTGCTTGTTCTGCCGAACTGTCACACAGCATCCACAATTCCAGGGAGCCAAAGTGCTCGAGTTGCAACAAATTCCCGTTGACTTGGGCCCCGCTTGCCCAGCGGGAGGTTGCGTTAGTGTCACACGTTCCTTCAAGGCGATGAACGCTGCTCTCTTGCTCGTATCACAAGGAGACACGGGGAGGAACAAATTCAAGAGCTTCCCATTGTACTCAACTCCCCCAGGTAGAGGTAATGACACACAGCTACGGCTCAAAGAAATCTAAATACTGAAACATACGGTTTTGGATTCGCTGTAACTGCGTGCTCCATGCTGCTCAAATCGGCAGAGCACGGCGAGGTTCCGCGCGGTGGTTCTGCATCCAAGTCTCACACCTGTTGGAGCCATTTCAGAGCGGCATTTTCGGGCTGCTATGCTGTTGTTGGACGTGACCTTGAAGCATCAGTAGCCAATCCGCAATTGTGTCCTACAAAGCTAGCCACCCAAGATGTGGGCTTGGTCAGTGAACACCATTTCTGAACCTGCATTGCTTGATCTACAACGTAATCTACTTCACTTTGGTCAGAGCGTGGTATGCGATTAGATCTACATCCGAGCTCCTTCGAAGACGATTCCTTCCCACCATACGATTTGAGAGATTCGTCTGCTTTTGCCCAACTAAGCTGCTACTACATGGTCTTTTATTGGCAGTGTTTGCTTTCATTTTTTTTTTTTGAGCAATTTCTGAATCAGAGAGTTGATGTCACGATTCTTCCTTCCTGGCTACATTTTGATCAGTACGCATGTCGATACCTTCAGGGCAACGACCGACGCAAACTGCCCACACCGCGATCGAAGATTCAAAAGCAGGCCGCATGTCAATCTTGATAGAAAGTCGGACTCTGCCGACAATGACAACGACCTCTTATCAAGATGGACCGCGACAGCTGCCTATGCGCATCCAGCTCCCACCATTGACCTTAGCGCCTGGGTTGTGGCATCAAGAATATACTCCGTCCGGTGCCCGAAGCGTTCACCGATCTACTTCGACAACGCAGCTTTTGCCGTTTGACTTTTCCAGATGCACGCGAACACCTCCCAAGAGCAGGCTTCCGTCCCGTCTAGCTGGCTCGTCGCCGTCTCCGGTTCGTAATGCTTCGGACTTAGAATGGCATGCCCTTCAAGGAAAAGGCAGGATCGAAGATCTCCGCCAACAGCAGGATGAACCTGTCAAATCTATCCATGAATCCTCAGCCGCACAACTTGGATCTTTTCAACATTTTGCACATTCGAGCTGGGACCCATCTAAAGCGCGAATGAGACTGGCTCAACCTCATGATCAGAACATAATTCCAGCTCCTCCGCTGCAATTGCCGCCAGTAGGCTCAATCTCGACCAGACGCCCGCCTGAAATGGCTCCAGCAGCAGAGCCGCGACAAGGCACTCTAGGAGCACCTCGACCAAGCCCCGATTCTAGACAAACACGTGCAGTTCAGCGATCCTGGCAGTCACCACAGGTCCGCGACGTACGCGATCGAGTGGAAGACCTGCGCTATGAGCTCAAAGTGCGTCAACAACCGATCGCAGCCCGAGCGTGTGGTTTTGGGGAGCGAGATCGAAGAGTGATCGACCCCCCACCGATAATACAATTGACCGTCAGCGATGCGCACACGAAACAAGTCGATCTTGACGAGCTTCGGTACTCACTCAATGTGGTGCATTGCACTTTGTGGAGCGCCGACGGCAGACACGAAGAAACAGCTCTCGTACAACCAGACAAGAGGGCCACCCGCAGACTTATGGGTCAGCTCGTTGCTTCACCTTCGGTGGCCAAGGATGAGCACGACCAAGAGGGCTGCTTCTTCTGCTTCCCCGACCTTTCGTGTCGCACGCACGGCAAATACCGACTTCGCTTCGTGCTCATGAGGATCGATCCCGCCAACCTCGTCGTCGGCGGAACGTCTCCGATCTTGACCGAAGTCTTGAGCGACGTGTTCACGGTGTACACGGCCAAGGAATTTCCGGGGATGAGGCCGAGCAGCGCGTTGACGCGAGCTTTGAAACTTCAAGGGTGCAACATCCAGGTCAAGAAGGGAAACGAGAAGATGTTCCCTCGTAAGAGGCCTGCCGTAGGGACCGGCGACGCTCCCACGGACGGTGATCGAGTTAAGAGGCTGCACAACTGATCTGGATCGTACCAGAGCGATCACAGACGGCCAGCAAACGACGTGCAATATATTTTATCGTGGTGCAAAATACCCCCAGGATGAGGTGCTGGTCTATCTTATTGTAGGCGTACTACTTTTGGAGCCTTTTTCTGGTATGAAATTAGGCCCTCGATGAAGAACATGGTGAGTGCATGAACAAGAGCTACAGAGTATCAGGACCTTACAGTGGAGCACATGATTAAGCGATGCGATCAATTTCACACCTTTCGAGCATTCAAGTCAGCAGTTCTGGTGTAAAGTTGGTATGGATTTTGTGACATGCTCATATTCGTCCCTTGCTTTCGAACGCCACCTTCACTAAGCAATCATCAAATTCAATTTATCCATCTAACTTACCCTTTGCCGCTCATCAATCGCGTGACAGGCTTCTTGTCTTATAGAACTTCGTAGAGATCGCGGCCTAGGCCAGGCGGATGCCGAGATTACATGGCATAGAGAAACCTTCATTTTAAAGCACGAAAAATTTTGGAACGTTGGAGCCAAAGACCGCGATGACTTTCAGAAAGATCTCGTTAGGAAAAGAGCGACCGTATCGTCACTTCATCTTGTCTACTCTTGATGACTTTACTCATCCTGCCGCAGTATCTCGACAATCGTGTCGAATGATGTGTGCGGTCTCCAGCATCCTCATTCAGATATCACCACGTTCATGAAGCTCGTCACATCTAGCAGCATAGCGCGGCCCAAACCTTACGCAACACTTGCATTTGAGCGTTACTTTGCACAAGGATTTCCGAATCGTGTATATCTGCTTCCTTTTCGATTGGCAGCCTATAGGCCATCTACTAGTGAAGGGACACCAAATTTTGATTCTCGAGCTCCCTGGCCAGTCCTGGCGTTGCATCACATCCACCTCAGGTGGTAAGAAGATAGCCTCAAGTGAAATTCAGCAGTCCCTGCCGCTGCTGATTGCCCAAGGGCGTTGAACCACGACTAGAACTAAGACGACGAGCGGTGAGCATTTGGCTCCAGTTCTGAAGGACCCCTAGACGAGCGAGCGAGCGAGGGAGGGACAGACCTTGAGGAAAACAGCCGCCGGGATCTAAGCTGACGCTTTAGCAGAACCGGAACCCCCGTCTTCTCGCGAAGCCTTTGGGACGCCTTGTCCTCATCCGCCTTTTTACAGCAACTGTGATGGAAGTCGCCTCCAGCGACTCGACCGTCGTTTGATAGCGACCCCGCAGGCTGAGCGTACGCGGATCTGTCCGCGAGAAAACCGCCGTCTTTGCCGTCTAAAAGCCCGAATGAGGAGACGTCCCCCCTTCTCCTCCCCCCAACACCTCCCGTCGACGTCGCGGAAAGGCAGCTCCTGTGGGGGGGGGGGGGGGGAGGGGAGAAGTTCACGACACGCTGACAACGGCATCCTCGGGCGGCCTTGTAGAATGGGATCCCGACCGCCTTTTCTCATCGGTGGGAGGTTCTGTCTTTTCCGACCTCGAAAGACCATCCTCTCCTGTTTCGGCCCTTGCTGATCTTCGACCTCTGCGTCCGCTACCAGAGCCGGAGTCATCGCCGGGATGGCCTCGAAAGAAAGGCAAGCCTTATGTCTTTGCCGGCATGTCGCCTTGCACGTCCCCATCCACCCAGCCAAGATCAGCATTTGCCCTTTGATATGGCGCTCTTATCAAGCGGCGACGGTATTTCCCCAAGGAAAAGAGCTCCTCCTCCTCCTTGGGGGCTTTTTTTTTTTTTTTTTTTTTTTTTTTTGAGGCCGCTCCGCTTACCCTGGCTGGACCGTCTCACGCCTTTGTTGAGAAAAAAGCAAACTCGGGTCGTTTCAAAAGCGTCAGCGTCTTTGTCCAGTGCTGATCCTCTGAAGTCGACGCTTTTTTGAAGGGGGGAATGAGCACGTGCGGTGGTGTAGAATACAGTATAGGGCCAATTGGAGGCTGCAGGAACACTTGTTTCGCGCCATGTACGCGGTTCGTTGACAGAGCAGATGAAGCCTGCAATTGTAGCGCAAAGCATCGCCTTCGACATTTGCGGTACACGGTATACCCTAGAAGCCAGACGGACTGCGTGGCACCATCACAGCTATCGCTTTCACCCAGAGCGTGATATCACGGCATTTTAATGTGTTCAACGCGCAGTATATTCCTCGAAGCACGAGAATTAAAGAGAGCCCACAAAGGCATTGAATAGTCGGAAAAGCTCTGTTAAGTTAAAAGACATATTATTACGCTCGCGTGTATCCCCTCGATTTTACTCCACCCCAACTCCTCGCAATGCTGGAACGCGGCATTGTTACACATGACAAAGTACATAGAGGGTATACCGCTGTCCGTCCATCGCACAGATAGACTTAGAGATACAGACGCAGCGGGGTTTGCCCGCTTGCTTTCAAGATATCCATCATCATTCGTGCATACAACACCGTCACAGTTCAGGTCCCACTTGTGTCATGGTCCCTCTGGAAAAAAAAAAAAAAACAACCGGTTGCAATTTTCGCGTTTTGTGCTAGAGTTAAAGATGACAGCGCCTTGCATCTTCAAGATCCACATTGGACAATTCATTCCGAGTCCGGTACGTCGAATTCATCCGCGGCCTTCTTCCCGCGCCTTGAGGCACGCAAGGGTCTTACAGTCTCCTTCGTTTTCATGGCAGCTTTTGACTCTTTTGGGGTCGTCTTGGCATTATCTTTCGGCGAGGCCTTGGTGGTGCCTGGTTTGGCGACAGACCTTTTCGGGGTATTCATCTGCCTGGGAGTTGCTCTCTTGGGCATTGGTTTTGCACTACGCGTCGTTCTCGCCGGGCTGGAGTGTTGTGGAGTTGCTTCCTCTTCTCCCGAGTCCTCCGCCTTATCGTCCTCACCTGCATTGCTCATTTCATCGTCCTGGTGCTCATCCTTATCGCCTTGTGCGTCTACCATCTCCTCATCTTCTTCCGACGACTCTGCATCGGTACTTACTTCGATGTAGCTCTTGTTGGCCGTAATACGTCCACTGCGTCGCGTTCCACTCGAAGCCATGTTTGCCTCGGTAGTGTGAACGCCGTTCGTACGTGATTTCTTCGGCGTCTTGGCCGAGCTGGGCTTCCTTATCTTGCGATCTGAAGATTCGGTCTTAATCTTTTTACGAGGTTCGCCTGCAGCAGCTGTGTTCGCTGCACTTTTCCTCTGTTAAACGCAGGTTCAGTATGTGTCAACTCAATCATGCTGCAATCGCAAAAGCATACCTTCTTGCTTCTCAGGGCAGTCCTCACTTCATCGTCCAAGGACTCTTCCAGATCTCGTGGCAAATAGTTCGTCATTGCAACCCTCTGTGCAGTCTCATGATCTGGAATTGAAGTGAAAATGGCTCCGGGCAGTCTCACTCTTCCTGGCCAGGCTTGCAATGTCCATCCTTGGCTGTCGAGATACCTCCTTATAACTCCTTGACTCAGATCGCTAAGCATGTAAAGGCGATTGTTTATCGTTTGTAAGAGTTCTTGATTTTTAGGGTTAACAATGCCGTCTTGGTGTGCCTTGACGCGCTGTGCAACGTGGTAAACCAGGCTGAGATTGTCCTTGGTACCAACGGTTTCGACATAGAAAAGGATGTAGCCCATGAAATCTTTCAATGACTGGACGAGCTCCACGTCTGCTACCGGAGGAGATGGCCAGTCCGGGTGATGCGCCAACAAGCTAAGTAAGCGAGCAAACGTTGCTTCCATAGCCGTATCTCTAGCCTTGCCACCCGACATAGCCACCGACCGTGCTCGTAACCAAGTCACAACACTCGACTTGATGGCCCGATCGGGTTCGTGACCCAGCAAAAAGAGTGGCGTGTAGAACTTGTTTGAGATCTTGCCCTGCCCAAGGTACTTCATGATTTTATTAACGAACCCCGCTCGTACTTGCGGGCGGGGGTCCATGGCAACGATGGCAAGGCCGTTGAACGCGGACGGCGTTAGTCGCGCGCTGAGGTGCTTTTCGCAGCAAAGCTTGAGGAGCATTTGCGACGCCACAAGTCGCATTCTGGACTGGTGAGCGGCAAGCGAAGCCTGGTCTCGAGAGATCTGGCCACCCTTTTGTATCAAGGTGTTGAGGAAGGTAAAGACAGGCTTTGTAGCCTCGTCCAAATCCGCGTTATCAGGGAAGGAACGGAGACGATTTCCGAGGATCTTGAGCGCCCATATCTTCGCCGCACAGTTGTCATCTGGAATGTCTGACCATTCCGGATCATCCTCACCCTTGACCGGCTCAGGAGTCGACTGCTTATTGGTAAGCACATCATTGATCGCGATGCTCACTACAGCATCCGCGTCCTCATCATCGAGATGTTCCGAGCCAAGCAGCATGAGCTGTCCCAATGCAGCCAGTCTATTCAGAAAGTTGCCCTTCCCATACTCGAAGCCTTCGGTGCAATGCTTGAGGATGTCCTTTGCGTACATCTGCTTCTTGTCCGCTACCAGTAGAATGATTAGGGCACCATACTTGGCCGCTTCAGGAGGCGTGCCATGATTGATGAAGCTGAACAGCGCCTGGATGAATTTCCGGTCCTTTGGCACGTCTGCTGGGAACTGCCTCGCAAACTGTGCGCAAGCCTTGAGATCTTGGACAGCGCCAGGCTCGTTTGCACGCTTTGCTGATGGTGCATCCGCCTCGAGCGACTTGCAGAGCTCTTGCACGTGGGCTTTGAAGACTTCCGGTTTGTCCTTCGAAATGTGACTAAGCACCTCGTGCGCTGTTTCACCTAGTCCACTCTCATCGCTGCGCGAGAATTCGATGATGGGTTGTACGTGACTACGGTTGTACAAAAGGACGCTAGCCCTAAGCACCAAAATCGTCATTGTATCCACGAACGTCGGTGACGCATTCTTCACCTCTTCCAGCTTCTTCGTGAGCTCGAAATATGCGTTCTTGACCTTTTTATAGTCGCTCTCGGCGGCTAAGCAGAAACGAATCAACGAGTACGAGCGTCGATCGTGCGTCCTCGCAAACTTCCACATGTCGTCCATGACTCGTGCACCGTCAGGTAGGAAGTTCGTGTGTGCCTCAATCAGCCTTTTAAGTCTGGCTTCGGCTGCTTCCTCGTCGTCCTCGGAGACTCCACCGTTATACTTCTCGCATGCCTCAAGGAACGAGAGCATGTATCTAGCCAGTTGAATCTGTTTTTTCGCAAGGGCGAAGAAAACTTGCTTGGCGCGTTCGTCGAGACCCTTCACCAGCAGCAAGATGCGCTCGGTGCGTAGCTTGTCCGGGTTGACATCGAGCGCGTCGCCTCCTTGGCTGTGTCGAGTGCTGCGCTGAGAGTTGCCGTTCGAGATGGGCTTGCCCTTGATTGGTGGGTAGGATAGCGGGAGTAACGATTCGAACAGGATGCGATCGACTACTACACTGATCTCAAGATCATTTATGTAGTACGTGCACAAGATTTTGGACGGTATCGAACCGAACAATTTTGCCGTCTGCTCGCTGCCCTGCCCGATCGCACCAACAGCCACGCCCCAGATCCTGCCCAGCAGCTTCAAGGCGTCGTTTCGTACATCCTTTTTGCGGTCTTTAACACGCTCAGCGAGATTGCCAAGTATCGATCCTTCGTCATCCACGCCCCCGAGATTGCCTAGCTTCTGAATAATGTCTTCGTAGTCGAATCGCTCAATCGCCTTGACGGCGTTGTGCCGCACTTTCTCATCAACGTCCATTAGGCAGTCGGCAAAGGCTTTGGAAAGGCTCTGCTCGTCTTCCACGCTGAGACCGACGCCTCCTGCAGAGGTCAGAATGATCCTCCCAACAGCAGAAGCCCAGGCAGCGCGCACCACAGCCGACTTGTCGTGCCTCCGGGCAAGGAACCCTTGGTAGACCTGATGATAGCGAGTTATGAACGAAATGGGTGACGTCGGCGTCGTAAGGAAGTCATAAACTTTGATCCGTTCCGAAGGGTCGATCAAGCTCTGTGAAGGGTATGCAGCGGGATTCAGTTGCGTAGTCGCTGGTGGCCCGGCGTGGCCAATGCCGGCGATCATGTCACCTACAGTCTCAACGGCCAGCTGACGCTTCTGGAAATCTTCCTCCGACAGCTCATTCTCTAGCAGCGGGATGATGTCGCGCAGAACGTTGGGAGTGGCCCTCCACAGCTCCCGCAGCAGATCATGCGCCTTTCTAATCTCTTCCATGTCCACTGCGGATTGAAGTGCAACATCGTCATCCTCGTCGTCTAACTCATCACTCGTCCTCCTCTTGCCTTTCTTCAAGCTCAGTCTTCCCCCGCTGTGCAGTGATGTCGACGCGTCAGCCACGACGCCGCTCCAATACCGTGTGATGTTACGCGCCATCTTGTCTTGCGACGCATTGCATATGTTCTTGGCCATGTTGTACGCCGGCGGCGCCTCTTTCAGCAGCAGTAGCAGTGTGCCCTGGTGTTCACTTGGTGTCACTGCCTTCTTACCCTTCGCTGCCTCCGTAGCCTTGGGACTTGTCCTCAGGAATTGCGACAGAATGATCAGCGTAACCTCGTTCGGTAGGGCGTCCGTCTCGTCAACGAGCGTCGATAGTACAGCTGTCATATGGTGCTCCACGTTCTTGCTGAGCTCCTCGCTCGAGCTGCTCTTCGACGGGCCTCCCAGCACGTCAAAGCATTCCTTGAACAGAATTTCGATGAGCGCATTTGCTCCGGGTGTGTCCGTGAGTAAGATTATGGACTTGACCTCTGCAAGCGACTTCAACACGTACAGATGCTGCCTGTTGTACGCATTGGACGGATCTGCAAGTGCGGGTATGATCTCCTTGACGATCAGACTGAATATGTCCTTCATCTGCTGCTGAGTATACGGCGCGTTTGGCGCACATAAGCGGAACACGTCCACGATACAAGCGGCTGTCAGCGCCTTCACGCCCTTGTCCTTGTGTTGCAACAATTGCGGACTTGCGAGCTCCTTCGCGGCAGTTTGGAGTGACTCGGGCGCAACTTCATCCTGTTCGTAGCTCTGGAGTTCGCGCGCGAGTGTCTCGAGACGGCGCAGGAGTTCGGAGACAGCAATGGGCCTGCCAGCACGCCAGTTAAGCGTCTGGTTGAACTTCAGAGTTTCGACGTTGCCGCCGTGGCCTGTGCCGGTGACTTCTTCCAATTCGTCCTCGTCCTCTCTCGCTTCTTCCTGGTCTTCGACTGCTTCATCTTGCTCTTCAATCCGTGGCACCTCTGGCATCGTAGCGGGCTCACTTGCCCGTTTGCGCGTCGTTCGCGGCATGGCTGATGTATATGTGTGCGTGCCTGGGCGCGGTGTCGTGTGCAGAGGAGATCGAGGCTGCAGCAAGATGCTCGGAGCGGGGAGATTGATCACACGGGGATTTGTCAAGGGCAAATTTATGTGGCGACAATGCAAGATATATCGCGCAAAGATCTCATCGCATGCCGATGCATCTAACGGATGTTCGAGATTTATTCGTGCGACGACCGGAACGACTTTTCGTGTTATTCTTTGCGAGTTAAAGCTGGAGTGAAGACCAAGCAGCGAAGCGGAACGCGACTCGTACGCGCCGGGTTTGAGCTAAACTTGAGGCGACTAAGACTTTTTGAGCCAACGACCATGACAATCGACCCGCGATATCCACTCTCTTAAGGACTGCACATGAAGATAGAGGGCGGGAGGTAGGGAGAGGGCGAGAGAATGAGAAAAAAAATGGGCTTCGTAACTCGCTACAAAAAGGTGACCGATGTCATCGTTTGCTTCATGCCTGTCAATTGCACGTAGCCCAATGCCATCATGCGTGTATACAAAGCGCTACACAAAACTCCTACTCTGGACAACACGAGGCACCAGTTCGAACTTTTTCCAGTCAGTTTTGCATGCCTATGTGATATCTCCTCCCATCCGCGGCTTCTCACTGTCTTTCGCCTACAATACGAAAGAGCTCTTCCAACGCGTCTTTCTACTTTGCTCTTCCGTGCATATTTGAAGACTCCAAACCTTTCTCCTCTTCTTTCTGATAGTGTAGCGCCCAAGTTTTCGGGGGGGGGGGGGGGGGGGGGCCTCCGTGTTTATAGCCCCGCCCGCGCGATTCGAAATGAAACAACAGAGCTTGCTCAGTAGGGAATGGTAACCGTTTTACAAATGACATATGAAAGACTTGACGCATCCGCTTCAATTTTTCTTGCGCGGAATCGTCCTGTGTGTGTGTGCGCGTGCGCTTTGGCCTTTTCCAAACTTTCAAGGAGTCGCATCAGGCAAGTGGATTTTAAACAACCATGAAACAGAAGTAGCGAAATAACACACAGAGCAAATAGAAATCCAATGATGGTGATAGTCAATGAAAAATAACACTTTCGAATGCCCTCCCACCCACAAAAAAAAAAACGCCTCGGAGATGCTAGCCAAAGGAAAAAAAAAACATCGAAGCCGCTTGCTGTGGCGCTGGAAGGATTGGCAGATATAGGTCCGAATCTGATGGGATATCTCCTCTTCTGCTCGTTCTCGCTGCATGCTATCCTATGTCCACCCGGGAAACCTCGTCGTTTGCGCGGAGCCGGATACGAAGCAGCCTGTGCATTGAGTTGCCAACAGCGGAGACAAGAGCTTCACGCATTGACCGGTGGGTGAACTGGGGAAGAAGTGCGCGCCAAAGTACCGCGCATATGTTGTAGATCGCCGTAAATGGGTATAATTAGACAATTAGGTTTCGGACTACACGTTTCATGCGTGATGCAGCATTGTATGCAGGGCTGAGACAAACGGGAGGGCGCTATATGGAAACGTCAAGAACGAGGCTAACGTCATTGACCTGAGGTCCAGCCAGGTCTTCAAGAACGGGGATGAGGTCGAGCAGCTCGTTGTCGTGGGCGTCTGAGAACCAGGAGGATATTGGGACGGCGTGGTGCGGGTGAAAGATGTACGATGTGGGCGAGTTGTCGATAATGATTGTGTCTTTGAGGTCGCGGCCTACTTGCGAAAGATCCTGTGTCATGTCGCGATTAGCAAATCAGCCAAGCGCATAGAATGGGGTTGATCGAAGTACTACCTTTACGTAATTGCCTTGGTGATTGTAGCAACTTTCTCTGAACAGCCGGTGATGAACAACACCGTGGATATCGAGTTGGTCGAGGAGCGGATCGCCGTACTGGTAGAGCTATTAGCACTTGATCGCAGTCGTCAAAGCTAGCAGCTCATCACGAACCTTGGATACAGACGCTGTGAACACGACGACCTCGTAAAGCTCGCCAACCCGTTTCATAAACTGGTCTACACCGGGTCTTTTGATGACATAAACATTGTGATACTGTCCTTCAATCTCAACCGGAATTGTAAAGTCTGCTTGGTGCAAGATCTGCTTTGAAAATTAGTTTTAGAATCATGGCATGAGCAGACCGTGCGTGTCGAACCTTAAAGCTGCTGTGAACGAGAGTTTCGTCCAAGTCAAGGATCAGGCACTTTCTGCCCTTGTGTTCCGGTCGTGGAGGACCGAGCAGCCATTTTTGGGTCTCTGGTTGGCCAACAGGGAGCTCTGGAGATTTCGGAGGGGTGACTTGTGCTTGCCGTTCTGCCAAAGGGGGTGGAGGTGGCAGATCGATTTTAACTTGCGAAGCATCCTTGTGCAACAGCTGCGCCCCACATTGTTCATCGGTAGTTTGCACCTCGTTAACGGAAATTGGAACCGTAGCACCCGCGTCTGTCATCTCAATATCCGTGTCCAGCGCTTCCTGTCGAGGGGTTCGATCATGGATCAATTGCTCATCGGCAGGTGTGATGGGTGTCGGAGCCTCCACGGCGATAGACGGACCGTCTGCGGCGGACGCGGTGTCTAAACGACTTACTTGTCCAGGCAACGGTGGTTGTGGCTTATCTCTGTTGGATGGAGCTCGTCCAATGCTGCCAGTGGACGGAGGAGCCTTGTCGCCGCTGGCATCCGCGGTCGTTGCACCCTCAGGAACCTTCTCGCTAAGCGGCTCCTTGGAATCGGCAGTGCTTGAGTCAGCAGTGCTTGGATCGGGCTTCGCCGCGACATCAGTTCGCTCTGGCTTTGTTTTCACGGGCTTGTTTGCGATGCTCTCATCATCCTCCGGCACCTTCGCGCCGCAACACAGGAATGAGAGGAACCCTCCCTTCTTCTTCTGCGGGTTAGTCAACGTGCGAGGCGAACCGCTCTCCGGCGTGCCGGCATGCTGCTGCTTTTCCGACATGATTTGCTGCTGTCGTCTGGAGCTCGCGTTGCTGGCAGCTCTCCGCTTGCCCGTCAGACTACGCTTAGAGCTCCTGGAGCCGAGGCGGATGCTGTTTGACGATCCTTGAATGGTGTCGCCGCTTAGACCAGTATTTGCCGACGGCAGATCCTCATCCGTGTGTGAAGCACCGGTGGGGAGCTGCAGATTGGAATGCTTGCGGCGTGGTCGCCCGTCGGGATCAGCCTCGCTACTTCGTGAAGATGAGGAAGCCGGGCGACCGTCCCTTTTCGGGTTTTCCTTTGAGAGTTTGTTGCGAGAGGATTTGCGGCTGGGCGTGAGGCGGCTGGACGATGCGTTCGAGCCCTTGCGTGCGTCGCCGCTATCTATAGCTAGAGATACGCAGTCAGTACAGGCAGGCGAGAGACGTAGGAAGAGAGCGGTGAGGCCGGCGAGGGGGGCAGCCACGACCGTCAGGCGCGTGCTGCCCGCCGGTAACGGGCGCCGCCTGCCGCCCAGCCGAGACAGCGTACGAAGCAAGCGCACCTACCTGATGCGCCGGCCTGATCGGCCGATAGCAGACCTGCGTTGGTCGCGCCTTCCTGAGCTGTCCTCCCGCTTTCGGATCTGCTCAACGACATCGGCTATTGGCGACGATGCTGATGCGGGCGGCGATGTCGAGACGTGACAAGGCCAAGCCAAGTGAGCACACTGATGCGAAGGGCCTCGGGCGGACGGGGTGCAGAGCTGGGAGATGTCGCGTCGTGTACCGCCCAGGCTCGGATGGCGTGCGTTGAGGGTGTGGCGGGCTCGATCGGGCGACGCGGCGGAGCGAAAAGGCAGGCACGAAGAGCAGTCAAAACGGAGAGGTGTTATGGGGATGCCGTGGGCACATGGAACGGGGTGCTAGAGGGGAGGACGGGCGACGGCGTGGTATGGAGACGGTACCGAAGGCTGGACAGGAGTCTGGACGTGAGGTTGGAAGAGAACCCCCGTTGCAGCGCAAGTGCCGTGATGAGCGCGGAACGCGCACTGGCCACCCGGAAAGCTGCCAGTTTCGCTCCCTGCCAGCCGCGCAGACGGGGTCCAAGCAGCCAGTGCAGGCCGCGCCGTGCCTCGACGTCGCAGCTGCGGGCGGGCGAGAACAAAACAGCCGCGGTGATCTTCGTTCTCCATCCGCCCCGATCGCAACTTGCATGAAGTAAGATGCCGCATGGACTTTGATTTCACGCTGTCCACGAGTGCCTCGCCGGCGCACGCCCACAGACGATCGCTCGCGTCCCCGCCGCGAGGACACCGTGAGGGAGATCTGGGCTGGACCGTCGCGCCCGACGCGGCTCTCAATTTGCGGCGCCGGCATGAGCAGGGCGCCGATCAGCCTCGAATTTCAAATGCCACTTGCTTTTTGCTCGCCGCCTTTTGCGTGCCGGCACCACCTCGCTACGAAAAGTGGGCGTGCAGTCGCCAACCGCGGCCCAACGGCCGTGAGAGTCGGGTGCGGAGCACAGAGGCCGTCTGAACGAATCTACCTGTTCAGCCTTCCGTGGACACGCCCGTGCCGATTGATGGACGTCCAGCGTCAGAGACGGTGCTGAGGACGAGGAGGATGAGGATGCCGGATGCCGTTCCTGGGGGTGGCCCGTGTGGCCCGCGCGCAGGCCACAGGACTGCTCCCAATGATGCTGCGTCTTCGAACGGCCGTCGCCGGCGCCCTGAGCGCGAAAGAGCCTGAGAAGCGCATCGAGTTCGCCCGTCGCTGGCCCGTCCGTCCAATCAGCCAGCGCCCAGGCTTCAAAGGACATCCTTAAGCGCCTGCAAGCTTCTGGTTGCCGCCGACTCACGGCCGCACACACGTCCCGGCGACGGTGCGTTTCCAACGGCAAAGGCCTCCCAGGCCCGACGTGTGCATGAACGCTACGCACCACCAGCGCATCTCGTGTATCCTGCTTGTCAGGTCCTCGCTCCCACGCTCGTGCAAACAGGTGCTATTTGCCGGTACGCAGCGGCCCCGGCGTGTTCGCCGTCTGCCTTCGTCGCCAAACCCGCATCTACCACGGCGTCTGAAAGTGCCATGCTGTCCTTTCCATACCTTTTTGGAGCCCGAAAGAACGGCTTACGCAGCGTGCGGCGTTTTCACCGCGCACTGGTCAGGCTTTGCTTCGCAGCGCGTGCTCGACGGCACTATTGCACCACGACGTGCAGAAATTCGCGGCTACGTGGACGTGCAGATGCAGAACGTCGATGCTTTTTGCTGCTCTAGACAGGATGCGCAGCACCCCCACAAAGCCTGCTCCATTGCAATTACTGGCGCCTGCAATCGGCTACTGCGGGAACGTGTCGGTCGCGCTCAGGACGCTCAATTTTGCGTCATGAACGTTCAGTATCCTCCGTCTCTGAGCCTCCGTCCCTAGCGGATCCCTGAGAACGGCAGGCGGTCACATGACACACTCCCTTCCTTATCCCCGACTCGACGAGATGGCGACGAAGAGACGATGGCGGCACATATCCCATACTGGGCTAATAACTGTGCACTTCGTGTAATGTGATACCCTCTTGAGAGGCGCTGCATATCCTGTACTTCCAAGCAAGACGCGAAGTCGTCTTTTTTTGACATTCGTCAAAACTGCCGTGGATTCATCGACACCGCCCATATCGAATCAAGCCAGCGTGTGTGAATTGCCCCTCCGCTGGCTTCCAATAAATGCAACGTGTTTAAATCACGGGACTGTGGACTCACATGACAGTGTTCTTGCCAGTCCCCAACGGAACGGCTTTCTGACTCGTAGGATCTGGGGAGACAACAAGGGCACAAAGGCAAACCAGTCAGCTTATGATTCTGCTATGGCGGTCCTGCGATCGATATGAGGCGCGACCAGGTAAGGGCATTTCTTGACTCGCCTATGATTTTACTATTGCAGCACTCCACGCGCCTGAGAGGACACATCGAAGCAGCACTGGCAACGCAACATGTAACCCAATTGAACTACCTGTTGAACGGATCAAATAAGGATTCCATGTGAACGTAAAGCTTTCTTTCGTGATCAGCAATGGCATTTCGAGTGTTTACGGACAGTGGATGACGAAATGTGCTGAAACAAGTGAATGATACCTCTTTTCAGCTCAGTTCAAGCACCACGACCGTGAACGGAGATCAGCAACGCATGAACAAAGGAAGCTCCTGATCGTATCAAGTGACAAGGCATCGACAAAGTCTTTTGTCTCTTTGCTACATCTCTTACATTTTTTGCCAGTCTACTTCAAGAATGATTCAAACTTGACAATTATCGCCAGACACAATTCGTGTTTAAATGGTCCGTCGAGGAGCTCTACCGGATCGCATCCTGTCGACTGCTGCGGACTCGATCAGTACATCCTCAATTAGCCAAGATGAAGTCTGCTTTGAACGTGATATGTTTGTTAGCAAATGACCATCTTGGTCTCCGGTTGTCTCTTACTGCCTCTGAATTGGTCTATTTTGTTGATGATGATGCACATCTGTATTAGTTATAGCCGCAATGATACGTACGATTGAGCACAGGAAATGGAGCGGCGGCGCTGACAGGGACACTAGACAAAATTTAACCAGCAAAGCTGAGCGTACTTTGCACCTTGCAATTCCAGCTATCACCAGCACACAGAAGGCCACCATTCACTCGACATAATCCTTTCCATCAACGCGACAATACTTGCACTTATTCTAGTCGGACCTTTATTTCAACTCCTGCAAGCTTGTCTCCTGATACTTCCGCTGATGTATCCGCTGATGCTTCAGCAATATCAACACTGTCTACTCTCGACAAGAATGGACAGAGCCCTTCACACAGTGAGACCAGGAGACAGAAAACCAAATATAATCATTCGAGCAGTCCAGGCAACGAGGAGCAACGCACTCTTTTCGACTCATCGGAAAGAAGGAATGCATCGAAAAGTTGGGAAGAGAGCATCCGGGAAACTACTTTCGTACCCAAAGCGATGGTCGAGCTTAACATGATGGAAGTCGCCGCATTATATGAAGCCGGGAATGGAACAGGAAATGTCGACAACGAAACTGAAGTGTCCTCGAAAAACCGAGGACATCGAGCCCGGGATTCCTTCGGCCTCACCTGACTACCGCTTCGCAACCATGGTCAAATGGGGCTGGGTTCGAGAAGAAATCGCCAGGAAGAACATTGCAAAACAAGTTGACCTCAGGGAGACAACTCTCAGGACTTTCACCGAGTGGGTCAACGACTATCTTCCTAATGCAGGAGGACTGCACATGATGGATGCCCTTCTACACGCTCCCGACCGTGCGCTTGTTCCCTTCACTACCGAGCGCGACCAAGAGATCGTAGGAACGGACTGGGATCTTCCTCCTGCCACAATCGACCCCATCACTGGCGACGTCATAGGCGGCTTGGAGGCCGACGACCGCGCTCAAGCCGATGTTGGCGACGATTCCTGTATAAACATTCTGCTCAGGATAATAGTCCCTGTGGCCGTGTACGTCTTTCCCAACTACAACAAGATCGAGTTCGCGTGCAAGGTTGTTCGACAGCCCCGGATGGTGCACAGTCTCACTGCTGGCGAAGCCAACAGCGCGTACTCTTGTCGTTTCAGTCTGGGAGATCTGATGGGGGGCTTGACTATAGATTCCACCCAAGAGTTACCAAAAATGGAATAGACTACGGCGTCAATACCGAGCAGTTTTCGCAGGGGTTTCTAAATACTACCGCCTACGCCCTGTGGTGTTTCGACCAGCAGAGTCCTATGTACCTGTCTGACACGGTCGCCACTCATGCTCCGTACGCTACAAAACCAGAATACTGCCCCTGCTTTGGCCAGGCATCTACTATACAACCGCTGAACCCCGTATCGGCATCAGAAAATATTTGCCTGACTGAAGAACACGACCATAGGTTGAGCAAGAACGCGTGCTATGAAGGCACCCAAACCTGATCCATGAAGGTGCGCGCAGGAAGGCGCCTGGTAATGGTCGGATGCCGGAAAGGGTTGACCGTCGCCGTTGAAGCCCAGCCGTGGGACGATTACAACGCAACCAAATCCTCGAACGAGCTCCACCACGTCTACTTGCCAGCGGAAGGGTTTTTCCATGTGCAAGGCGGCCTCGAGCTTGGGGCCTTGCACTGCGCGTTCCGAAACGTGCGTCAAAGTGAAGAGTAGAGGCCCGTATCAGTACGACAAGCCGGCGCAGGCCTGGAAAGCCGCCCAGCTACGCGCGCGTGCCGATTCGCCATCGGAGAGCGGCGACGCCATCAACGTTTTCACAGACTATTCGCCCGCGCGCGAGTGGCTCCCGCCGCAGGACGAAGCGGAGGTGTTGTTAATGCAAGCCGCTCATGCAGCCTAAGACGGTCGGCATCGTACACGTCTTTGGTACGAGGGCACGTATTACGAGCGATGCGTGTGTTATTATGACACGCATAACCCCTGCAGCTCTGACACGACGCCGTCGCTGATATCAGAAGAGAGCGGCGCTAAGCACTACGAAATGTACCTCACTGAATTTCCAAATCCACCTGCAGCGGATTGAGCACATTCAGCACTGGCTACGCTACGCTACTCCAAGATAAGCGAGGGAAATCCGAGAAGAGGGCGAGGAAGAGAGAGTCGTAGATGACGTCGCCGACAATGCTCCCGCCAAGTTCACGTGGGTCGCACAACGACGGATTCTTCCTCAAACACAAAGATCAGGAAACGAGCGCACCCACGCCTTTGCTTCAGCGCAGGTCTGGCGTGTCCTACTAGAGGCGAAGACCCCCTCCTGCTCGGGCCGATTTCTTGGCCGATCTCCGCTTTGTGCCCGACGGCCCGGTCTGCAAAGACGATCTCATGATTGTCGAAGGTTGAGCCGCCGGAAACGTACCGTTGGCTGCTGCCCAAGGCTTTGGGGGGGGGGGGCAGCGGAACGCTCCCGTGTGGTACGGACTCATGAGTATTGAGCGCATTCTGTATCAGTACAAGCCACGTGATCAAAGTTCACGATTGCTGTCCGATTGCGCACCGCTCGGTAAAAGGTTCTTGGTAAACCTAAAGTTGACTCCTGCATCAGGTCTTATCTGAACATTCTTTAGTGCATCCTGAGACATCACAAGTAGACGCAGGCATGAAAGTTAGAATGGAAATGTAACATATTATTTGCAAATACAGTGGTATTCCGCCAGGGAAGACAAGTTGTCACTAGGGTACATAGCAACCGGAGCAACAAATATGGTTTTGAATACAATTTGAGGTCTGGAAAAAAAAACCCCCTATTCGCACACGCCTGAGGCATAAATGAATGAATCTATTGAGACTCCTGGCGGGCAAGAAGCCAATCCCACCAAGGCCAAGGTCGAGTGATGAAGACCTATGGCTGTGATGCGACACGCCGGTTGGACCTGGCTTGAGGAAGACCTGCGAAATGTTCTTTCTCTCCATCGTCTGGTAGTGGCGGCGACTTTGCATAGTCGCTGGCCATGGTCTGTTCAAGAGCCTTTACGATATGTGCAGCTTTGCACCAGTCGCACATGCCAACAGCACCTTGCTGATTCCGTGGAGTCATGCAGCGAGCCAACGGGGTGCTTTCGTTATTTTTGACCCAGTTGTCTGTGGCTTGCGACTGAGCTTGGGGAGATGAAGAGGGAAGTTTTAGAGAGAACGGAAGGCTCGCCCGCGGGAATTCGGTGACAGTGCCACCACAAGAGCCCACATAGCTGACTTTAGTAGCTGCATGTGGACTCTGCGGCGAAAATGAAGAGGTTGACGCTACGGTAGCACCGTCAAGGTGCCGGTATTGCGCGTATGCAGGTGCGCTCTGAATCGTATGTGAAGCTTTCGCAGCTTTACGATGATTTAAATGGAAACTAAAGCATCTCAGAATCAAAGAATAAGACTGCTGTTAAGAGTATGGAGGGTCATACTGACCTAATGGAGGACAACGGACGCGGAGTGCTTCCGTCTTGCAGTCGCGACATTTCTGTATATGGCAAGTTGAATAGAAGGTGGATCACTAAATGCACATGTAAAGTTTGTCCGCTTGAAGAGGGAGTAATGGCGCGTTTGCGAAGTCTTGCAGCAATAATTCAAGCCAGCCGAGATCCTTTTAAAGTCTCCAGTGTAAAGTGTCCGTACGAGAAATGTGTCGATATTCACCTCACAGGAGGTCCTGATTGGAAACAAACTATGCATGCCATCGTCGGTAGTTCCGCTAAAAGGGAACGATACGAGGGCCCATGAAGTGATATAAAGATTGCTTAGTGAAATTTGCCACATGCTCTAGTGGGTGTGTTACCAACGTGGAGATCACATCTGCTGGGAACGAACCAATGGCGTGCTTGTGCAGGAAAAAGTAGATATGGCTTGGCCTGCAGGTTCAAGCGAAGCTGGCTTCCTCAAGTGATTCACGCGGCGGATAATCCATGAATTGCCTCTCCTGTATGCCAGGAACGGGAGCGCATGCAGCCGAACGGTCAGGCATTTGGTTCCAGAGGAAGAGCACGGCTAGACATTACTATGTCGTCATACCTTTGTTCTTGAGTCTTCAGAGAACGGCTGAATGTGGAAAGCTTTCCATTCCTCGAGAGAACATTATACTCTGGTTCTTTTGAGGAGGGGTGGGTTCGGTTCGTCCGTAAATTAAGCCATGGCAACAAGCCAGAAGAGTTATCAGGGCCTTTACCGCACAAATTCCTTCCCTTACGCGTCGTCAACGAGTCCCCAAAGGAAGATTGCAGGCCTGTACAAAACCATGCTTTTTTTCCCGCTTATCTCCGACTTCTGTGAGAGAGAGAGAGGGTGTGTGTGCACCCTGTTACGCCATCACGGCTCCATTAGTTATGGCCAGCAGAGCCGCATAGACCGTCATTTCATGGGAGAACCAAAAGGAACAACAGGAGAAGAGACCACATAATTTTGCGGTGAGTTGATGGGAGAAAAAGAAATATAACGAAGCGAATGATTGGTCTCGATATGTTGGTCTCGACATGTCTGTGAGAATGCGGGGGAATAACCGGACAGACAGTGGAAGCGAAGAGTGACCGGTCAAGACGACCGGTCAAGATTAGGAGGGCAACACCATGTCTGGAGTCAGTCAAAGAAGTGGTCGCTCACCGAATCTTGACTGTTTGCAAGACGCTAATCTTGCACGTTGTCACGGGTGAAGTGACTGACGGCTTGAAATAGAAATCCTCTAAGTCATGCCGTCTTGCGCTCGTCACGGTTGACAAGGCTTCGGCATCGCCTAGCCTTTGAGTGACACGTCGGGCACGGGCGACAGGCTCTATTCCGCTTCTTCGATCTGGGACACGTTGGGTGCCAATATAATCGCTCTCGTCCGATGCGGACGGGGGAGCCGATAATGTTTGCGTGGTCGTCGATAACCTTGAACTACTACGAGGCATGGCGGCCAATGAGGAACGAGTCTTGGCGGAGCTCGCCAACATCTCATTCTCTTGATTGAATCACCTGCATTCTTGTCTCCCTCCGGCTTTCTTGGGGAGGTGTGGAATCGCGAACGCTTGTTGCTCAACGAATTTAGCTTTCGAACCGCACCTCTGCACTATCCTGGGAGACTTGTTTGGCAAAAACAATTGGCCGATCATGGCGGGCGTTGAATCAGAGCTCCAAAAAATGACGAGCATGCTGAGCACAGCTACCCATCCTTGGCCTGCTTCTCGAACTCCTCCGCATCCTCGACACAACCCCTTGCCATCTCCAGCTGCTCGTCCGTTTGACACACGAGAACCTTGTGCTTTGCGCTGCCCCCGGTGATGTCACTCACCACGCCCTTGATCTCCTCACTATTCTTGCCCTCGTCAATGCCAAAACCAAGACATGCCGCACCTTCAACGACCCGTGACCTCAGCTTCGAGCCCTTTTCACCAATCCCGCCAGCAAATACCAAAGCGTCCACGTCACCCCTTAGCGTCACGTAGTACGAACCGACAAAGTTGAGGATGCGATTCGCCACAAGATCGAAGGCAAGCCTGCACTCTTCGTCCTCTCCTGAAGAGATCTTGCCAAAGTCCGTCGTGCCGGTGAGGGCCTTCCACCCGCTTTCCTTGTTAAGAATCTGCTCCGCCTGTGTGATGTGTAGATCCTTCGTGCCCGAGCTGGTCAGCTTCCCGGCGTCGTGTGTGTAGTGGAAGACGAGGCTCGGATCCACACTTCCGCTTCTCGTGGCGCCCGGAAGGCCAGCGAGTGGAGTGAGCCCCATCGAGGTGTCCCAAGATTTGCCGTTCTTGATCGCGCAAGCAGAGGCGCCCGAGCCCAGATGCAGCGCAATGATGCTCGTCTGCTCGACGGGCTTCTGCAGAAACGCAGCCACGGCCTTGACGATAAAGCTGTACGATATTCCATGAAACCCATATTTCCGAAGTCGGTTCTTCTGCGCGATTTTGGGGTCGATAGGATACGTGCTGATGTGCCTCGGAATCGTCGAATGAAACGCAGAGTCAAAGTACGCAATGTTCACCGCTTTGGGCAGCTCTTTGTGTGCTGCCCTCACGATCGTAAGAGCTCCTGCGTTGTGTAGAGGGGCCAGGTCTGACAGTATTTCGATGTGATGGTATGTCTCCTTGGTTATGACCTGTGCCCGTGGATAGTCCCCCCCGTGGACAACCCTGTGCGTGACAAAGGAAATATCGTCGCGGTTCGACAGCTCCGGTAGTCCCTCATCCTCTTCCAGGTGCTGCATGATATACCGGAAGCCATCTTCCTGAGACTCGATACCCTGTAGCTCCTGTCCCTTGATGCTTCGATTCCCTCGACTGTATTTCAAGGTTGGAGGCGGAGCCGTAAGTCCATCAACTTGAACCACGGCAAGCTCTTCGGGGTCTTTACCTTTGCCAACATCTTTATATACCGAGACTTTCACCGATGAAGATCCTGCGTTGACGGAGAGAATTACTCGAACCATGGTTCAATCAAGCTTCCTGTCTAGTACCCGCGTCTAGAACGAATGGTGTTTGATGTCGGCTACGGAACTCTTCTCATCACAGAAATATATTGAAAGGACAGTGCTCTGAGATCATTCAGACGCTCACCAAAATACGGCACGATGCGGATGCAACCGGTGCAGATGGCATGGGTGTGACATCACCAGAGCTTTGAAATCTGGAGGGAGCTTGACGACAAACAAGGATAGTGCCCGCGCACGGAGTTACATGTTGACGAATTTGATCCAATTAATGCATGTATCTTTGCAAACCAGGCTAGTTTCTTGTGCTCAGTGGACAGTAGCTAGGAACTAACAACGTGCGAATTCCTGACACATTTGCCAAGGTCAATCCTCCAAAACGCCTGAGAATCCGTACTCCTCCAGAGATTTCTAACCGGATCAGACATCACTCCCAATACCGCATCCAATGCAAATGTCTAGCCCAATGGCTGTTTAACCAGATATCTATTCGATCTTTACAACGGTCATCCGTGCCCATGCAGTGTCATTAAACGCATCAGAAGTCGTGTGTCCCATTGACGCCATTGACGCCATTCACGCCATTAGCTAACGATTTTCCTTTCACAAGCATATTCTGCTGTCTTGTAATCTCTTCCAAGATCCCGGAGCTCGCTGCGACCAGACCAAGCAACGGTTTGCTTGGATCAAGGACCTTGCTCAAAAACTCTGGGTGGTATTGCACCCCCACGTAGTATGGATGGTCCTTCAGCTCCACGATTTCCATACGCACGTTCTGGTCGTCCTTGCCGATAAATGTGAGACCAGCTTCCTCCAAGCGGTCGATATACTTGGGATTAACTTCATATCTGTGCCTGTGCCGCTCATCGACGCTGTCGTGACCACCGTATAGAGCTCGAAGCTTGCTCCATTCTGAGCCTGGCTGGAAATGCGTTGCGCGTCGACCGAGTCGCATGGTCCCGCCCATGGTCGTTTTGTCGATTTCAGGCATGAAGATAATTACGTGATCGTCAGGGCCTTCTTTTTGAAACTCTTCGGACGTCGCGTTAGTCATACCGCAGACGTTTCTTGCGTACTCGATCACTGCGATTTGCATGCCTAGACAAATGCCCAGATATGGTCGTTTATTTTCTCGAGCCCAATTTGCTGCCAAAACCATACCCTCAGTACCACGGGTGCCGAAGCCACCAGGAACAAGTACACCGTCTGCTGTACAGACATCGTGCCATGCTTTATGATATTTTGCTGGATCGCTGTCGCGGTAGTGGGACTCAAGCTGTTCCGAATCGACCCACTTGATGACCAATTTCCGACGGCATCGCATGGCAGAATGTTCCAAGGCTTTGATAACACTGAGGTACGAGTCTTGAAACTCGACGTATTTTCCAACCATGGCAATCTCTACAAGATCGTAGAATTGCTGGTTTGGCATGGTTAAACTCTTCCACTGGCTCCAGATGTGCTTCCCTTTTTGGACCATGGATGGGCTGACCTCAACAGGTCCCAACTTTAAGAAGTCTCGCAAAACGGTAATTAAGCCTTGTTCTTCTAAGAGCACGGGGACTTGGTAAATGGAGGGCATGTCTCGCACGGCCAAAATCTGCTCGACATCGACTTGGCAGGCTCGGGCAATTTTCTGCAACGCAGAGGGTTCCAAGGGCTTCTCACAGCGACATGCGATCTAGAAGAGTTAGTGGAGGAGATGATGCGATGATGGATCAGCATACCAGGTCTGGAATAAGACCCGCGCTGCGCACAGCTCTGACCGCATGCTGCGTGGGCTTGGTCTTTTGTTCGCCATTGATTACCTGAAAACACATTTAGCCACATGATTGCTGCTGGAGACAAGAGCAACGAACCGGCACGTAGGATACATGGATCTGTGCGAAATTTCCGCGGCCAGCACGCGATCGTAGCTGTGTCAATGCCTCCACAAAAGGCATGCTCTCAATGTCGCCCACCGTACCACCAAGCTCGATCACACAAACGTCTGGTTCTTCCTTTGTGTCATCTACCGATATGCGACTGACCCTCTCGATCCACTCGAGTATCGCATCCGTGATGCTGTTCATCTGTCAGCGCTGCTGACCTTTCCTATACTCGATAGTGCAGAGAAACTGACTGTGGAACCACCTGAACTGTCCGGCCTAGATAGTCGCCCCTCCTCTCACGCTCGATAACATGCTTGTAGATTTTTCCGGTCGTGATGTTGTTCTCACGAGTGAGGTTGATATTCAAGTACCGTTCGTAATTTCCAAGGTCAAGATCTACCTCGCCACCGTCGTCGAGCACAAAGCATTCACCGTGCCTAATTTAGCATTAGTAATGCGACCTTGGCATGCCTTCTCCCATCTATGGACGTACTCTTTCGGGTTCATCGTTCCTGCATCGACATTGAGGTAAGGATCGATCTTTATGCTCGAGACGTACTGCGCCAGTCAGCATTTTAGCTGGGTGGAATGAGGAGCGAACACTTATCTTCAATCCTATAGTCTTGAGCAGTAAACCCGTCGAGGATGCCTTTTACATTGCTCTATGAGTGTGCTGTTCACAAGGACGCGTCTCAAGGACACGCATATAAATTTTTTTCTGAGAAGCCTTACAATGATCCTAGGCATAGTTAACATGGGAGCGCAGGAGAGAAAAAATAGTTGAGTGGATATACAGACCCTTTTCCGACGCCACTGATAACACCTCCAGAAACTAGAACGTACTTCATTTTGAATTGGAAAAAGACGTGTACAGGTCTTTGATATGCCCGCTGGTGCGGGGGAGAGAAGGAATCGGTGACTTCAGAGCGCGTCGCGACTTTTTGACGGTCCCCAGAAAATCTTCTGGCCAATCAGAGCAAGCAACACGTGGGGCGGAACGGTTGTAGCTGACCTCTCTCCTTTGCCGCCATTGCATCATACATCTTCAACTCTACTCTCCTGCTGCGGGAAATTAAAGCCGAGCGGCCTTCAATTAATATATGCGATCATATGGGCACGCGTCAGGCTCGCTGTTTTGCATACGTAGCACATCAGCGCCGGGCACCCTGTGACCGCAGCTCCATTGTATTGAATGTCCTATGTCTTCGATCACCATCCGTCGGTGTTCGGTCCTTCCTGTATTTAACTTGTAGAATTGAAAAAATTGTGCAATTTCTGATTCCGACGCAGATCTTTTGAAACCCATCTCGTCTTCCGCTCGACCAAAATTGCTGCCGGCACGTGTTTTGGAAGCCAAATGGAAAGTTTGATATGCGTTCCTATACCTAGCTCCTGTTTCTAGCTCCAATCTATAACTCCTACCTACCTCGTATATGTGAAATTAGGACCTGTGAAAATGTGAAAAACCGAAAGATGTCTGCGTGATACAGGCAAAATGGGGCGCAGGCTGCCAGGAGGCCGTTGAAGCTGGAGCCTTGCGCGAACACCAATAACTAGGACGGGAGGAACAAATCGCTGGCGGCGGCTGGCTACATAACTTTCTGCCTCACTACTCGTCATAATAACCTCGTTTCGGCTTCAGCAACGCATCGAAGCTTAAGGTTCTGTTCGCAGAGACAATGAGACATTTTGCAGCTCAACAAACGTACCACACATCTTCTTCGCCTAGGGGGAACTGAAAAGGTTTGAACTTGGTCAGAACTATCGTATGTGTTCTCCTGCCACTCTGGTCTATCTGTGTTCAAAGGTGTGCCTTCGAGGTCGATGGAAACGGGAACCGGACTCAGCAACTCACGGATGGATCAAGCCGAGAAACGACCGAAGTGACTTGATTTCGTACTTTGGGCTCCGTTTTCGATGGACCACGGGGTCCACCTTGATTCAGTAAAGCAATCCTCAGTTGACACAGTCTGACTTACACAGGCCGCTCTCCCACTGCTCAACCGCTCTCTTGCTTGCACCCTATTGCCGTCGATTACCCGCGTCGCTATCAACTACGCTTGTTGCAACTGTGTGCTAATCTGTAAAATGCCAGGCCAACTATCATCTCCACTTTCCACACGCGTTGGCTGCGACGTCAAGGCTGAGGTGCGCTCAAGCTCTTGTGAACAGCGGAAAGCCGCAGAAGGCACGCAGAAGGAGCAGCTCGATGGCGTCGTCCACCCAAATGATGTGGTCACTACCGACTATTTAAACGTTCAGCCTCGCACTGACGACGCAAATAAAGATGCAAACAATCATGTACATGATCAAGTGCCGCTCAAATCAGCCCGTCGTGAGTCACTTGCGACTCCTGTCTTTGAACGTACTAGGGGCTCATCTCAGATTGCTGTTCATCCGACTTTGGACAACGCACACCTTGCAACATGTGATATTCTTTACGAAAATTTCATGAGTAAGCCGAAGCCTAGGAATCTCCCTGCTCATGAGCACTTGATTTCAAATCCAGGCAAGGTTCAGCTCAAGGCTGAAGTAAATTGTCAGCCAGAAGGCGCGGGTGCTGCAGACGACCATTTTCACGACCTGTCGTTGTCCCCCTCTCAGAAGCCGCTAGTCAACAGTCACGAAGATGAAAATTACAATTACGATGACGACTGGGAGAAGATTGAGAGCTGTGAACTTGATGCGCACACCAATGATCACTCTGCCATACCTAGCGTCGTCTATCAGCACCCCTCTTTCCGCGCCACAATCCAAGAGTATGTCGACAAGTATCGACTGACAGAGGAACAAAGGCAGACACTTAGGGGTTTATGGGCCATGGCGAAGCTAGTCAGCGAGTTTGGGTACTCGGTTGTTTCAGAGCCTATCGTCGACATCGCGGACTGGGCTGTCGACAAGCAGTTTGGGTGCCACATAGAGGACCTGCCCCTAGAGCTGAGATCGAGGTTTATGGCATCGCTGCCGGAGAAACTGCAGAAAGCGATTCGAACTACGAATCGGTAAGTATGGGTCCAACATGTGTCTGACTATGTCCGTTAGCACTAATCTGCCAGTGCTGCAGAAAGCTCCGCAGAGGTGGTGGCTTCGTCGTGCCACCAGCCGAGAAAATCGACAAGAATGCTCGAGACGGCGACCAAATTGAGAACTGAAGTAACTCAAGACCGCACAGCTCTGGATATTCTACATGTAGAGGACAATTCTGAAATGATTGATGAGCTTGAGGGTATGATTATTGGCACGGCCTGAATAAGATAGGCTAAGAACAGGAGCTTCTAGTGTTCCTGGATGAAACGTTGGCCTATCTCCAGGGCATAAGTCAGTTCTGGTAGTGACAAGGGCTGACCACAATAAAAGACTGGCAAAACACTCTTCATTATGACAGATCCCAAGTCCGTGGAGACTCATGGTGCGTTCACAAAGACTGCTACCCAGGGTCTTCCGGCAAGCAACAGATACCAAGACGTTGCATGATATATGATACACTGGCATCAATAAAGAACGGAATATCTATTGGAAGTTCATCATCTTTCTGTGCGCATCTTGTCTAGTGCCTGATTAGTAACCCCCAGAATCCACAACTTCTGCAAACCACTGCTTTAGTGCTAAACTCAACACCCCGGGTAATTCCCTCACATCTCTCACCACAACCCACCACCTGAACGGAAACACGTCCATGTATTTGTACATCCTAACTTGTCCATCCTTGAATTCTGCTCCCTGCAAGTCCATAATACTACCGACTTGCCTGCCGTCGACTTCCTTAGCCCCTGAGTCTACCACTACGAAGACAATCATGATCTTTTCTTCTTGTGCTTTTCGAGTGAGGCGCCTGATTGATTCTGAATCTCGACATATGGCGTCCGAAACAACGATCATGAGTTGCCACAAATCCTGAGCAGAAGATGATGCCCTTGTGCGTGCGTGCTGGAAAATGTCTATGCCGTTCGCAATCAGCTTTCGTACATCCGTATCTCCCTGATCGAACCCCAGCGCTGAGAAGATTTCCACGCCTGCATCATCTGAAAAGGGCCTTTCAAATGGATGAGCCACACTGACATCTTCCCCGAAACCGACAACACATAATTCGCCAGCCTCTAGCATGGATAATGCCTTCGTAACAAGTGCGAGGGTCTCATACGCAAGCTCTTTTTTGCCGCTTTCTGCCATTGATTTCGAATCATCAACAGCAATCATGATCTGATAAGCTCGCTTGCTCGGAACGCTTCTACGCATCCATATTTTATCACGCTTGTAGCTCGACGCAATATAGGGGATGATTCGCTTGATATTTAATCGCTTCCCCGTTCGGAAATCGCCACGAAGTCTAGTTGCCAAAGTCGGAGCAAGAATGAGTCGGAGCTGCTCGGTAAGTGTTGCTGCCAGAGTTCTTGTCTTAAATTCATACTTTGTCCAGAGAGCCCTCGCATTGGCAGCAGAGATTGTTACTGCTTCAACTCCGTCTCGAATGCATTCAACTGAATGAGCAGAATTAAAATCCTTGTCGTCGAAGTCAATATCTGAGTTTTCTTCGAATTCTGCGTCGTTCTGAAATTTTGGCGTCCCTGGAGAGCCAATGAATGCTCTTGTCTGTCTTTGCTCTATTCCTTCGGACAACTGAGCGCCTTCTACGCCATCATTTCCTTCCATCGGTACATCATTATGCGTTTCATGAGCATTTGGTTCATCGTCGTGCTGAAGAAAGCTCTTGGGATCCACCTCTTCATCGTTGGCCGCCATTGCATTTTCCATGTCCAAAGCTTTAGCTTGGTCCTCGGAAGCTGCCCCAAGAGCTTGCGCTTCAGCTTCAGCTTCTTCATTGGGAAGATGTTCGAAGTCCACATCAGCCATGTCCACATCTTGTACCTTTTCCCTGTTTCGGGCTTCTTTATTGTCATTGGCCTGACTAATCTGTCGTTGACGGTTGAACCATTTCTCTAGAGTATCACCTAGCTTTTGAAAAGGATGACTCTCTGATGCCTCAACTAATTCGTCACTCCTCCCCACTGCATCCTGCTTACTGGAGTCCATATTTGAACCCTGTTCCCCAGATGCACCACTAGAGTCTTCCGCCTTCTCACCATTTTGTCCTTCCTCTTGCTTCGAGCGGCTATTGAAGGTATCTTCCTGAGTGTATTGCTCGTCTTCATTCATTCCTATGCCTTGTAAATCGTTCGAGACAATATCTTTCGCAATATTGGCGTTGTAATCGTGGCCTTGAAGGATATCATCAACATCAGGCTGTTGATTCTCGTCAAGATCATCCGTGTGATCTAGATCTTCTTCTTCGCCTTCATCGCTCACTTCGGCGTCATGTGTCTCGTTTTCTAGTTCTTGCAAATTAGGATCCTCTGATCCTTCCTCATGGTACTCTTGCACATGCTCTTCTGTATCTTTGACATCCGCATTTTCGATCTGTTCGTCCTCTCTATTTTCAATCTGTCCGTCATCCTTTAGGGAATCTGGATCTTCCATGGACTCATCATCTGATGCATTCTCTGGCGAGCCGTCCATGTTCATATCTTCCGGTAGATCGAGCTTGTCAGCTTGCTCCGTGTAGTTGTCTAATTGCTCTTCGTTGCCGTGGCTGATTGCTTCATCTTCTCGAGCACCAGATTCAATATCATCCTCAGTTTCTTGATCTTCTCTACTTTCGGTCTGGTCTCCATTCGCGGCAACTTGCTCATCGTTGTCGGTGCCCTTTGATCTGTCGGTAGTCTTTTGTCGAAGGTCGTCCGTCGCGCCACCTTCGTCCCACATCTTCTCATCAACAGCTTCAGGCCCAAGGTCGTCGACTGAGCCCACCTCATCCTCAACATCATCGTGTTTTTCGTCGTCCGAACCGCCTTCTTTCTCTTGATCATCATTCTCAGCAGTCTCACCAACCTGTCCATCCATGTCCTCATCAGCCATATCCACAGCATCTTTCTCTTCCTCTATTTCATCACCATCTTTTCTCAGGTTTGGCTCTTGCGCGAGCTCGGTGAGGTCTTCGTCATCGCCGACATCCTTGCTGATGTCTTCGGCTCCTTCACCGTCACCTAAACCTGTGCCTCCGTCAAGCTTTTGCTCATCATTTGTCCCGGCATTTTCGTCCGTTTTCGCTGAAGGCGAGCAAAATCCCTTCGTTCCTATTTCGACAAACGAGGCAGATAATTGATGCGCCAATTTACAGAGAGCTGTATTCAGAGAAATGAATTGGGAGCTGTGATTGTGCAAAATCACGCAAAATTGGGAGACAGTCGCCTGAAGCAAAATCAACATAGCCACTGCAGCCCTCTGTTCACTTCCAGAAACTGCTGCAAGGAGATCAAAGCAGTGCCTGATGTTCTCGACGATAGCATTGGAACAGAGGGATCTAAATACTGATGCAAACTTCTCTTGGTATTGTAATAACCAGGAGGCTTGCTCGCCAGGTAGAGGAGTCTGATCCCAATTGCCTTTCAATGACTGGACAGAAGCAAGCATGCAATCAAGTGTATGAATAATCGCTGACTGAAGAGAATCCAGACGAAGTGGATAGGATCTCTCGTCGATTCCCGCAGCTATGGAACTCATGTCGTCGACTTCAACCCAAGGCCGGAGTATCCCCAGTACAGGTGCGAAAGCTGGCAATTGTTTACTCCACATTGTAATATGGTCCCGAAGTACACTCATCAGATCCTTTGCTCGTTGCAACAGTCGTGAGTGCTTTGAGAGCATAATATCGGCTGGAAAATTCGGAGCATCATTGAAATCGACTTTGAGTTGCTTGACCTCTTCCATGATTTGAGAAACTGTTTGATATATGTGGTCGCATTGCAAACCGCCATACTGAGCCTGTAGATTAAGCACATGGCAAATGACATGAAGAACTGGCTCCAACCAAGTGATTCGTCGTGCGAAGTCTTCAACAGTTTGTTTCCTTGTATTTCGCGAAATGTGGGCTACATTAGATTCATTATCGTCCCATAATGACATGATCTTCGTCGAAAGCTGGTCGACATCATCTATAAATGTCAGGAGTGGTGATATAATCTGACGCTGTTCAATAATTTGGTGTAAAAGCCCTTCCAGATATCCGCAGCTTCGTTGAATTTCGGCTGGTGTCAGATCATCTGAATGTTCGTGCTGAATCCGTCGGACTTTAGGCATAAGGCTTAAAACTTTGTGAAAGTGATAGTTAGCTGTTTGCATGCAAACTTGAGATTCCATTGAGGGGACTGATGAGAAAACTCGAGCCATCGAGTCCTGACTAGTAAGGGATGCGCTGCTCAAATTGTACTGCAAGCCCATCTTACGCATTTGCTTTAGAACATCAGCAAAAAGTGCTCTTTTACTTGTTTTAAGATGCTTGATCGTATCCTTGTTTTCCTCTGTCAAGACTGAAGGTGTAGCCTCCCGTAGCTCACTGCTTGTTTCTCGAACATTATTGATCATCTCGTAGATGTAATGAGCAGCATCCAAGTTTTCCGGGATCACACTTATCTGTTGCATGAGTTGTACTGTATTCGTGTTGTTTTTGAAACGTGGAGGTACATTTGCCCAGGTTTCGGATTCCTCGCAAATCTTGATTATAGAGACAATTGTTGACATGTTTGACAATGGATTTTGCGAAGGAACTTCAAGGCTACCATTGGATGTGAGCTCCTCTGGAGGACCGTTCTCAATTATAGAAGTGATGGGCTGATTCATTATCGCCCTGAACTTGCGAACCAAATTAAACAACTTTCGGTGGCTGGCTTTCGCACTCTGTCGCAAGGCTTCGATATTGGTATCCCTCCAACTCGCGAGTTGCACAACTTCCTTTGCTTGCTTCTCTATCTGCTGCCGCTGCGTCGCCAGTGCATCAGCGACTGGCTGTTTGAAGCGTGAGTAATAAGCAAGAAAGTTGCTAAGGCCTGAATAGATATGGTGGAGCTCCGGATAGCTAGTCAACAAGGATTTGACATGAGCATTGAAATTACCAAGAATTTCTAGACGCTGATGGAATTGGCCTAGCGTTGCAGCATCAAAGAAGACTTCAAGGACTTTGAGCAACTCTGGAACATGAAGCGCAACATCTTCCCTTGAGAGTCGTTTCGGGTTCGCGATTATGTTCTCATAAGCAACAAACCACCAACTCTTTGCTTCATTTTCCGCCTTCTGTTGCTCTGCAACGAACAGCTGCATCCAAGTCGATAGCTCCAATCGTCTCCAACTCACTAGAAGGTCAGTGATTTCATTCAAGAGTGCAGCTGCACTTAGACCCTTGTGAGCAACCTTCTCCCACTCGTACATGGCTTCATAAAGCTTCTCCGCTTTCGTAAGATACTTTGCTATTGGCTGCGTGTGAGGAAAGGCAAGCAGTTCTGCCGCGAGTCTGACAACATCGTCGACTGTCGTATGTTCAAATTCCATTGCCTGAAGTTCTCGAAATCTCCTTGAAATCTTACGAACCAGAGTAGCTAGCTTCGTAGCCTCTGGCACATTCGCATCCTTGTAGATGTTGTAAGCGTTTGCATTGGCCGAAGCTGAATTGAAAAGCTTAAACGCGTCTTCCAAAATCAAATATATGCCGGGCAAAGACGTGGCTATGCTATTTTTGTGAGTATTGGCATCAACATGAACACCTTGTGAGACCAGCTGAATTAAATAATTGGGCGCATCGAAGACAGGATTGCAAAGCTCGCTGTGTATAGTTGCCACTTTAACGGCGATCTCCTCGGTAATCAATGCATCACTCTGTTCTCTTTCTTGATCGGAAGAGAGCTCGTAATCAGGAAACAGCTCCATGTACTCCTCGGCTTCTATTTGGTCTTCATCTGCTTCGCTGCCTTTGTAGACATAGAGGCTGGCTTTCTTTTCTTGTTTCGCCATTTCTTCAACCATCTTATTTTTCCACGTCAAAAAGAGATGGTCAAAGAAATTCCAAGTTAAACTCGTGATGTCGTGGGTTGAATCCACTCTCCGCGCAAGAGCAAAATATCTTATCATCTCTAGAGATTTGATGGCAATCCCGTCCTCATTTCTAGAGCTAGAAGTGGCAAGGCGGAAAATCTGCTTCCAAGGTGACACTTCTTGCTCAGCCTTGTCAGTTAGCAGATGCGAAGACTGATTGAGCAGGGTTGCACCAAGCCAAAGGCATTGAAGCCATTGTACTACCGGCTCGATGATATCCAAGTATGCAACATATCGTTTCTGTAGCCTCTGCGTCAGCAAAACAATGTTGCTAAGCATGCTGTCTTCAACTGCATCGCCCTTGCTTGCTGCCATCTGGACACCGCGTGCGACTTCAAGCACCCGTGCAAAATCACCGCTCAACTCGGTGAGCTGAGATATTTCAGGCCGAACGATACGAAGCGCAGGAACAATATCTCCTTCTTCCTGCATTTCTTGTTCCGCGAGCGTTATCCGCAGACTTTGAGTTTGCCCAGAAAAACGCTGCTCGAACTCTCGAAGCGCAGAAATTTTGTTCTGTAGCGCGTTTTTTCTGGTCATCAGAAGCTGCCGTCGGATGCTCTCCTTGAGTGCAGGGTCGAATGGCTTATCAGGCACGTACTCAAGAATACAAGACACGGCATATGTGACTAAATCCCGTCCCAGCTTTTGACCATCTCCGATTTGAGAGCCACCAGGTTCGTCTTGCTGAGTGAAGATATGACAAATATCGGGTAGACCTTGAGTTCGCCAAGCTTCCAGATGCTTTTCGAAAGTTTTGGCAACGAGTTGATGTTGATCTACACACATGTCAAAAGCATGTGTAGAAAGAACTTCCGCCAGAAACTTCATCTCGATTTTTAGTTGTTCGAAATCTGATAGAGGCACCTTCCAAATTTCATGCAAGGCTGCTGTCAAACTAGGTGCAAATCCCCCCATGATTGCACTCGGAGACTGTTGAATTATTGTTCCATGGGCATACGCGGACAGTCGAGCAAGCGATCCTCGAAGTGATGTGAGATCTGTAAGCGAAATGCTAGAGAGACACTCATGTGCAGTTGAGCGGCCTGCCAGCAAACCCAAGCGTGACATAGTATGTTCAGCTGCGCAAGACCGTGAGCCGAGCAAAATTTGGTAAACGACTTCGAATTGTGTGCGGAATATTGCTGCCGAGCTTGAGAATTTGGTTGACTGCCCCAGCCCATCGATAGCACTGGCTAGCTCAGTAAGAAGCAAGTCAATAGAAACGCAGTCTGAAATCGTTTGCTGTAGTGCGTGTTGTAAATTTTCACGTGTGATTGCAAGGTCCTTCAAAGGTGCCCGCAATGGGAAAACCGAAGCGTCGAAGCGGTTTGCTACTTCGATCAAATCTTGAGTGACCTTCAGATGCCGTAATGATGGAGCAACTTCGGGTTTGAATAATCTCCAAAGTGTTTCCATATTTAAACCAGTTGCAAGGCCCGTTTCTGCGTGCAGAGCTTCTAGTATCCTTCGCTGTGCTGATACTAAGGCTGTGCTCAATTTGTCATTCTTTTCGATTTCATCAAGCGTACGAAACCCAAGTTGGATGTAAACCTGGTAGCTTGCACTGTCGACCTGTTCGATCGTAGCGAAATGAAAGAGCTCCCACCAAAATCGGCATAAAGTGGATAAAGTCTTCAAAGTGGCCTGAAATACTATGAATATCTTAACATAAAAAAATATTTTGAGCACACTTACCTTGTCAATTATCTCCCTTTCGACTATGCTTGGGATAAAATTCGTCAGTATTCTCAAAGACTGTTCTAAGAAGGAAGTCACGCGTATCATGTCCTTCATTCGTTCACCATGAAGGCTCTTGTGCCGGATTGACCTGTCAAACAGCGTTATAGGTCGTTGTCTCTCGTTCGCCTGAGCCACTGCAGTGTCATATGCATTGTTCATTTTCTGGACGTCATAAAGGACGTCAAATAGCTGCGCAAAGGGAATGGAATGTGATGAAATGGAGGAAGACTCTCGATGTCGCAGAACAATTTCGTTGTTGAGGGGATGTATTGACTATGTCCAACAATATCCACATCAGTATACTAACTCGTAAGTTGGAGAGGAGGAAGACTGACCTGTTTTGTGCCATCAGCCAGTACTTGCAATGACTCGATTGTTTGAAAAACTACTGCTTTTGAAATCCACTGAGGATTGAGTTTCGATGTCAAACATAAGGTATCTATAGCGTATTGTTGGCTTTGTTGCCCTTCAATCAAGCCTCGTGAAAGTTGACGTTCAAAGCGTTGATGGAGGGAAAAGTCTTCGAATGAGAGATGATCTGCAGCAGGCTCCACAATCCCATCATGGTCAAAGGCCACAATATTACGGAATCTACTCATAGCAGATTCTAGGATGAAAGCCGGTAATGCAGATGCCGTTTGCGATGATTCCTCTGCCGGAAGACATATCTCTATAGACCTATTCCGCATCGCTCTTGATAGCTCTCCGTGACGCGGATCCATGGTGAGAAAGATCCTGAAATCGATGTGTGGTTTGATGACCCTGGGCTCACCATTGTTGGTCGGATGTTCATTGACGCTCAGATAGCCGTTTGGCTCTAGTAGCGAGTTCAGGCGATCAAGAACACTTGAACTACACAAGTTGGCATTCTCTAAAATAAGCCAATCGCCTCGCTGCAAAGCTTGGACAAGCAAGCCATCAACCCATTCAAACTGCGCCTTCTCGATTTGGCTTGGGATGATTTCTAATTGACGAAGATATGAGAGAACATCATCAAAAACAGAAGCTCGGGCCGCTTCAAGCTCGATAATTAAGCCTCTAATCTCCTCGGTGCTTGGAGTACTTGTCCAAATGGACACTGGGATTGCTTGAACCAGTCGTGCTGCAGCAGAAGGTTCTTGAATTAAAGCTGTTAAGATCAGATGGCGAAGGCAGGCAACAACATGATCCAATAGATCAGCTCGTCTTCTGCTAGGATCAGCTTGCTCATAGCCACCAACAAGGTCCATGGCGTCGACGCCAGAATTCATAGAGAAGGTAATAAGCCGATGTCCAGTAATAGCAGCAAGGTATTTCAAAATGCTACTCTTACCGGATCCTTGAGGTCCAGTCAATAGTACTGGCCAGTTGCACTCGACGCAAACCATTAAAGCTTCGAGAGTGGAAAGATGTGACACAGAAGCTGGTGGAAGTGTGCGTAACGAGCCTCCAAGAATAGGGTTCCTATGGGAAAGGCCAAGTCCAACTTGATATGAATCAACGCCCAGGTTATGATAAAAACTGCGACCGCCTGGAGGTTCTTGAAATACGTCAGAAAAGATAGCACCAAGTTGCTCTCGGTCAGCATTATTCCGAAATCTCTGTCGAAAGATAATGTCGCAGAAGTCGTAGGATCGGCCAGCTGCTAAAAGAGTATTTTTCCTTGTTCGTAATTGGAGCCAGCGAATCGTGTCACGTAAGTTGAATTCCCAAGGGCTTCCATGATCGCCAAACTTATGATATAGAACAACGTCCGTTTCAACCTTTTCTACAAACCGAGTCAGAGTTGAGATCTGCTTTTCATCAGCTGCTGGAAAAAGTTGTTTGCAGATGAGGTTGAGATCATCTTGCTTGAAAATATCTGCATAGACCACGGTAAAGCGGTTTACAAATGACGCTGGCAAGCCCTTCCGTCCTCCTCCTTGATGATGCGGATTCTGAGCTGCGAAAAGTCTAAAGTCACGGTGGCAGGGAAACGATTGCCCAAGCTCCGCGATGAATACTTCTCCTCTATGATCCAGACATGAATTCAGCCCTTCAAGCACAGATTGCGAAGCTAAATTCATTTCATCAAGAAGCACCCAGTCGCCGTTCTTCATCGCAGACAAAAAAGGAGCATCTCTCCATGCAAAAACACCGACAGCATTACCTTCAACTGGCACGTCAGATCCAAACAAATCCATGAGATCTGTCTGTTCCGAGAGATTGATACGGACCAAATGCTTTCCAATAGCTTTGGCAACTGCAGTTACAAGTGTGGTTTTACCAACTCCAGGATTACCTTCAATGAGTAAAGGTTTGCTTAATTGTAGTGCTCGAAACACTCGCATGGCATTTTTTCGGGTTGTTGCGGCGCTGAAGGAGAAGCTTATGTTGTCGGACGCATTCGGGTTCCTGGGTAGAATAAATTTCCCCAACGAAAGCTGCCCATCAGAAGCATGCAGCTCCGGGGTTGAAAAGTACTCCTCCGTCAAATCTTGACCAAGCAATCGACCAAGCTCTTCGACACACCTTCGCCGCTCATTGTCAATATCAGGAATTGAAATTGAAAGCATTGCAGCAGGATTAGCTCCGAGTGTATCGATATACACCATTGCAGCTCCGTGAAGAATTGCTTGAGCCGGGGCATCCGATTTGAACTTGTTGACGAACTCGATCCATGCTAATGTGTCACGAATTGAAATGGCCGAAGCTACTGAGGTGTGATATCGCTGGTTAAACCAGCTTGAGAAGTTCACGATAACTTCTGCAAAGTTTACTACGCTAGGATGGAGCTTGGCGCGAACGATCTGAAGGATGTCGTTGTAATCATACAGCGATGGCACCCAAATCTCGGTAAAACGATTGCGTAGAGCAGGAGAGAGCTCTCTTTTGCCATAGTCGCCTCCCGGATTCATTGTTGCAAGGAATTGGAAACCTTCGATGGCTGTTACAGAGACATCGCTCGTTGAGCCTTTTTCCGCTAGCAAAAGCGTGCGACTTGGTTCGAGCACACTGTTCAGCCGCTCAAGGACGGAGTCGTCAGCAAGGGAAATTTCATCGAGAAGGAACAGCTGGCCTTTCTTCATTGCATGAACTAGGCTTCCATCGGTCCACTCGAACAAAGCCTGGCTTCTTGCTCGAAGCGTTTGGATTTCTTCAATAACTGTGTTGGGCAAAGCGGACTTCTCATGAGCCAAATAAGTCTCAAAGTCTGACCAAAGCTGTGACAAAGATGCTCGGCTGCTCACATTGGGCAGAACGTCTCGCAACAACTGTTGAAGTTTCGCTTCGATAGCTGCACGATTCCGAATTGGCCGTTGGGACCCGATTAGGTCTCCTGTTTCCGTGTTTTGGTGAGCATTCACCACAAAAAGCTCCTTGCCTAGCGCATCAGCAAGCATTTGGCAAACCGTTGTTTTGCCACATCCAGTTTCGCCAACAAGAAGTACGGGTTCATTGTTGCGAACAGCATTAGCAACAAGCACGTATAGACGACGCATCGAAGACGTCCATACTACATTGTTACCTCCGCTACCTCCATTGACTTGGCTCTCATAGAACTTAATATCTGGAGATGAAGCGTCGGAGTACAAGACATTGACGTCAATTTTTACTTTTGGTCCTTCACGACTCATGACCTGCTCAATGATGGTTTTAACCTTCTCCCGCTCCTCAGGTTTGCGAACCCGCTCTCCGAGCAGCATGTACCCGTTGACGGCAAGTTGCTGTTTATCGTCTGCCTTCCGGAGTGCCCAGCGAAAAAGATCTCGAAGAGTGGCAAAACTCTTCTGCTCGAACATTCGGTTTTCTTGTCGTAACGAGGATAGCTCCTTGTATGTGTCAACAATCCGCTGTGCCCATGATGGGGGTATCTGTGTGCGCTGCTGCAATATCTCGCAGAGTTCATTAACTGGAATGTCATCAAAATGTAGCTCTAAAAATCGGTTTCGAAAAGCTCTTGACAAGTGCTTACGGCCACCGTACAAGCCGGCCGGATTCTGGGTAGCGAAGAGCATGAAGTCTGGGTGAGGCGTGACAACCTCCTGAGTTTCTGGAATTAAGAGCTCTCGATTGTCATCAAGGAGACGATTTAGTGCTTCTAGCACGTCTGTTGGCGCAAGATTGAGCTCGTCGAGGACAATCCAATATCCTTTTCGTAAAGCTTCGACAAGAACCCCTTCTTGAAACTTTAACTGTCCATCTACGTCGGAAATATAGGTGCCCAAATACTCCTGTAAATCAGTGTGCTCGTGATTGTTGATCCTAACAAATTTGTTGCCAGATTTTTTTGCGAGATACTCCACCATGCTCGTTTTACCGGAAGAGGTTGGACCTTGAATCAGAATAGGCAACTTTTTGGTCGATATGGCGCGAATTAGATTGTTCAGATTTCGCTGCACAAATGGAGTGATAATATAATGGGGTTGCTTCTGAGACTCAAAAGGGCCCCTCTGCAACCAATAATGCCCTTCCTGAACATACGCACGACCATCCGTTGGTCTCGGTAGAGGTCTGCTCAACTCAGCCTTTGCATTTGTGTGTTGAGAGAACAGATGATGAGTTATCTTCGGGGCCACAAGCGCTTCAGAAACAGTGTCAAGCAAAGTCAAAAAGCTCATATGGAACCCTTCATAAAGTGCCCGTCGATATACCACGTCCTTGATACCAACAGGGGCAGCAACGTCCCTTGCATAAACAAGAGTACGTGTCAAGGTCCGTAAGCTAAAATGGGGCTTCTGACCAGCACCGTCGACAAGACTGTTTGCCTCGGCAAGTTTTTGGATATCCATATATAGATTCGTCACGTCACTGACGATTCTGTTTCCGAGCTCGCTAGGCAGATAGCTACTGACGATGTGCTGCAAGCTTTTCACGTCCTTGTCTGGTGAATCGATGAAGAACTCTGTGAAACGCGAACGTATGCCTGGCGGTAAATCCTTCTTTCCGATATCCGTTGCTGGATTCATTGCCGCGAAAATGCGGAAATCCGGATGTGCGGTGATCCGCTCTATGTTTCCAGATTCCGATAGCAGTAGTGAGGGTTTCTGATCAGATGAACCTCCCAGCAGATCAACGAGCATCTCAAGCGTATCTGGAGATGCTAGATTAATTTCATCCAGGAGAACCCAGTTGCCATTGCGAACGGCTCTCACCAAGCTGCCTTCAATAAATTTGAAAGCGAAAGCATTTGGCTTGCTTACCAAGTGCCCTTCAACGTTCTTGACTTCAGCGGCAAATTTGCGCCATCTGGCCTGATATAAAGCGTGTAAGCCTTGATCAGGATTATCATTTGTATCAGTAGTACGCCTTCTTTTACTCGGATGATATGAGTCCGAGCTTCTCGTTGGCACTACGTGCTTATTCCCATCAAAACTTTTGAGAATTTCGGTTGCAGCACTTCTCCACATTAGGCATACCTTCTTCCACTGCGCCTTTGCCAATGCTTTTCCCAACATGTCAAGAAAATGCCGATTATCATCTTTCCGTTTAGCAAATGGAGAGAGAGGATGGCTGAAAAGCTCGTCAAATTCTTCTCGTAGAGGCATGATCAAGCCGCGAACATTGACGGGTTTAAATCCACCAAGTAAGTCGCCGCTTTCGCTCTGCTGTGACATATTGAATGACACAAGCTTCTGGCCAAGCAAAGTGGCAAGATGTTGAATACAGGTCGTTTTACCTATCCCAGTCTCTCCAACTAGTAGAGTTGGTTCTCTATTCTCGACTGCAACTGCTAGCTTCTCAAGTACGCGAAGACTGTATGGAGAATGTGCAAATACTTTGCTGCGCCTGTCAACTTGGAGATTATGGCTCTGTCTTAAGATAATTCTGCCAATTGAAACTCCTTTCGCAGTTGCCAGCAATTTGATAACGCGGCTCTGCAGCAGATGGTCTCTTCGTCCCGCGTCAATGTGCAATTTCTCAGCGATCACATTTGCGAAAGTAGAAAGCAATTCGCCTGCAGGAAGATGACCAGTGAAACAATGCATAGCCTCGAGGAACATGTCGTCAAGGAGCTTGTCGGAAAATTCGGAATGTGGTGAAAAATGACGGGAGAGTCGTTTGCACCACTTGAAAAGGGCTCTTGGAGTGAGTGGTCTTGCAGAACCTGTTTTGACAAGGGCCTCAAATCGATGATCGCGAGAGATCTCTTGCAATGCAACGTACACCGCCATAATCTGTTCAGCATGAGGCCGCAGACTTGCATAACGTCCGACGATAACTTCCTTGAGTTCATCGTCAGGAAGCACATCAACAACGACCCTATCCCACAAATGGCTTCCTATCATATGACGCTTGGGCAAGCACTCGTTTCCCCCAAGATCTCGGGTTGTCCTTATCGTCGCGATTATCTTGAATCCTGGGGCGGCCTTGACCGTTTCCCCACGACTGGGAATCAGAATTTCTTTCCGCTCGATCAATGGCAGAAGAACACTGATAATTTCATTTGGTGTCTGGTCAATGTCTTCAATAATGAGCCATCTGCCGTCTCGAACCGCGGTAGTGAGGACTCCTGGCTGCCACACGAAAGTACCAGGTTCCGTTCCAGTAGTATACATGCCAATGAGCATTTTTGCATCACTTTGCTCGTTTAGATGTAGTGTGACCATCGACTCGTGCTTGTTCAGCTTTTCAGCGCAGAAGTTGATGATCGACGTCTTTCCAGACCCGGCAAGACCAGTGAGCAATACTGGGCGGTCACGAATAAGCGCATCGTTCAACCGTTGAACGTTCGATATTGTCGTTGGGACAGGAATCCAACTCTGATTACTAGGTGATGATGGGGCACGACTCAAGCGAGGCATGAGGGTGCCAGAGATGAGGACCGTTAACGGCGAAAGATCCTCAGCTCTTACAGATATCTGGCGTTTAGGCACAGAGAGCGAGCGAAGTGAGTCCTTGACCAATTTTTGCTCTCTTGAAACGTCTTTCCATCTCTTCTCCTCCCAAAGGCTCAGGAATGTGTAATCAATGACCTTGTCCTCCCAAGGACCCTCAACCTCATCAGAACTTAGGTACTTTTGGATCAACGACTTCTCTGCATAATCTGCCGCTTGAAAATACAAAGACATTACGCGCACAGTAAGATATCGTACAGGTCTGCTTTCATGTTGCAAACCTAAGAAGAGAGCCTTGATGTCGAAATACTTTTTGAACGTTCCGCAGTCTGCGACCAGCAACCGGAAGATGGCGAGAAAAACCTCCACAAGATCATCACCTGAGACTGATTTCCAAATATTGGCTGTTGTCTTAGTGTTCCTTCGTAGAAACAATTCGGCGTACTCCACGAGATGAGGTGCAAACGGTATGATGCGACCAAAGGCAGCCAAAGTCTGAGGGTATGTATCTAAATGGCTCCATCTCGCGCACACATCTGCAAAGATAACATCAAGATGCACAAACAATGTTGTTGACCATCTCGGGTTGAGAGCAGCCAGAGCTAACGACTGGAGATTGATGTGAGAGTCTTGAATAACGTGCTGGAGCTCTTCCGGAAGATCTCGATGGCGCGAGAGAAAAATCTCTAGAGGCGCTGAAATATCCATTTTGGCACTCTTAGTTCAAAACCCAAGAGTGCGGCCGAAGTTTGTAGCCGTTGCAAAGTTGAGGCTGCGAAGAAAAGTTCTCTGCCTCAAAAAATTAGTGGATCCCGCAAGCGCTCTAGTCCGATTTGGGAAAATTTGAATGCGGACTTTCTGGCCATCGGAGGAGAATCTATTGTATCCTCTTCTCTGCCATTGCTATTGCCATCTCTCCTAACATCTTCATCATGTCACTCGCCTGTCCTCGTTGCGCATTGCGCGCCTCTCGCTCGTTATCATCTCGTAGCGCCTTCCTTGCCAATGCCAGACGAACACTGCCTTCACGGAGGTGGCAGTCCACTGATGCCGCAACAAGCGTCAACGCTGTCACAGCCAACCCGAAAATTGACGGCATCGTTGATCAAATAAGCAAGTTGACGCTGTTGGAGACGGCCGATCTCATCAAATCGCTCAAGGTATTTTGTCAATAAGGCTCGCAGTAGCGTCCAAAGTACACTGAACACCGTATTCATAATATGAGTAGGAGAAACTTAACCTTCCGGACATGCCCGTTGGCGGCTTCATGGCTGCTGGTCCTGCCGCAGCCGCTGTGCCCGCTTCTGCAGCTGCAGCAGAAGAAGACGAGCCCGCCCCTGCAGCAGCCGAGAAGACACTTTTCAACCTCAAGCTCCAATCCTTCGATGCAGCATCGAAACCAAAAGTCATTAAAGAGATCAAGAGCTTGCTGGGTTTAAGTTTGGTAGACAGCAAGAAGTTTGTTGAAAGCGTCCCAAAGATGATGAGAGAGGGTGTGCCTAAGGAAGAAGCGGAGAAGATTGTTGAGACATTGAAGGCACTGGGCGCGGTGGCAGTCATGGAGTAGACATTCTTGGGTTACTGTATTACACAAGTCATCTCCAAAAGTAGATGCATGCGCAGTCCTAGAAGTTCTCAGGCTTCTTCGGATGAGTCGCTCGTAGGACATTGATTGAGACAGACTTGGAGACTTCAAAAAGTACAGAGATAGCATCATGTTCTGTTACCTGTAACATATGGTGGCATTAGTATCTGCTTGTCATCGCAGATTTGTACAATTCACAAAATTTTGTACGATTCCCGTGGAAGTTGTAGATAAAACAACGCGTTTCCGATCTTGACTCTGAAGACAAAATCTGGTCACAAGGGAGCGTAGAAATATTTTAACATCTGCGAAGTATAGATTACATCTGGAGCAATTCCATTTGATCTTCACCTCGCTACTCGTCGTTTGATGTTAAGCTTATCAGCGCGCGAAGCAAGTCGACCGTGGCATTGTAAATTTCGATGCATGATCACGCATGCAAGTGGAATGAAACTCTGCTGAAAAGCTCTGGGAGAAGTGTTCTTCTCAGCGTCTGAGCTCTTGAAGAAAAAAAATATTTTTTTCAACAAATGGGAGAAAAATTTGGAAGTTAATACACGAAAAGGTGTAATTCTGGCATCCTTTGCGTCTTTCTTTAAAGCTAAGCTACTAGGATACTAAACCTTGCAATGCCCAGCTGAGACCAGCACATAGCTCGTTACAACTTTCAAGCCACCTGTCATCTACCTACGACCCCGCTATGCGCATAGCACGGTGATGCAAGGATTTGAGAGTAACTTGCACAATGCCGGTAACCAGCAATATCTTCAGGACACTTCAGAAGGGCCTAAGGCGGCTCAATCCTCCGACGAGCCTGCGCGATCCGGATGGGATTCATCACTCATCTAGATCCTTCAGCAGCAACGCGGCGACTCGACAAAGATACTATGGACGCCCCAACCAGCAGTACACCTACAATCGATTTCAGCATACAGCCAACATCTTCAAAAGGTGGTCGCAGCGGCCTAGTTTCTATCTAGAAGTTGGAGGAGTAGCCGCAGGCATTGGTGGATTCTACGTATATAATCTAGAGACCGTACCCGTCAGTGGAAGAAAGCGGTTCAACATCTTTGGGCCGGATTTCGAAAAACGAATAGCGCAAAGCGAGGCAAGCGCAATCCTACAGCAGTTCAACGGGAAATTATTGTCAGATTGGGACCCCAGGACAAGACAGGTGAAGAGGGTCTTAAACAGGCTCATACCGGTTTGCGGCCTGAACGATCTCAACTGGGAGGTCTACGTCGTAGAGAGTGAGATGGTAAATGCTATGGTAGTGCCCGGAGGTAAGGTCTTTGTTTTCACAGGCATCCTTCCGGTTGCGAAAGACGACGACGGCTTGGCGGCCATTCTGGGTCATGAGATTTCCCACGCAGTAGCACGGCATGTGTCCGAGAAATTGAGCCGGTACTCTCTCATCTGGGCTGCTGCGGTTCTAAGTGACTTTTTCTTTGGCACCGGAGCTCTTGGCCAGGTTCTCTTAACTTACGCTCTCGAGATGCCAAACAGCAGGAAGCAGGAAACTGAAGCAGACTACTTGGGCTTGCTGCTTATGGCACAAGCGTGCTATAACCCAAGAGGGGCGGTCAGCTTCTGGGAACGTATGGCGAAGCTTGGCCAAGCGCAGCCACCAGAATTCCTCAGTACGCATCCTGCTCCTGCGCATAGGGTCGAGAAGATGAAGGAATGGATGGATGAAGCGGAGCGGAAGAGGGATGAGAGCAACTGTGGAAGTACTCTGGGCTATGCTCGACAGTTCCGCGAGACGTTTCCTCAGGTGAGGTGGTAGTTGCGGCTTTGGAGTCAACATCCTACACCATCCCACTAGTTCCGGCAACTCTTACGTTGCAGTATGTTCGACACTTTGCACTTGCTCTAGATGTCTTTTCCATTGCAGTCGCAATTTTCAGTACATGCTGGTCAATGCACGAGCCCAATCGATAGCAATCAGCTTCGATGTTTAATGCTGAATCGGGTTCGTCTTATTGCGGATTAGAGCCTCGATCCTCCGCGGACTTTGAGTGAAGGACGCCTCAAACTATCCACTCACTTGCACTGGTGTTGGCCTTGATATGCAAAGGTTGGTTCAGCCTGATGCGTGGCAACCCTTCCGTCATCTGTTGTACACCCGGTATTCGCGCAAACGTGCTTGCGTTCTGGATCCAACAAACTGCATGCCCAGTGTTGCATTGTAGGCAAGACCACATAAGCGCCATAAGTTGGCAAGTTGCTCCTACATTCAACGCCTAATACATTCTTTAATCACTGCTTTCCTCACGAGCATCCTTGCCGAATCCATAAACGCAGGAACCAACGAACTAACTTAGTGGCCGAAAATAGAGATATCACGTGGAAGCATAAACACTGAGAGCGACTGCAATGGGTTGTCTAGCTAGAGTCAATAGTAGATTCGATAGTATGTTCGAATGACAAAATGACGCAACAGGCTGGCTTTAGCGGGCTTATCATCAATTCGTCCAATCCTGCAAGTGATCGGAGTGAGAATGTGATAGATCGTACGTTGTACTAGCGAAGAAACATCCATCTCAGAGTCTCACGATCGTCCGAACAGCGGCGATCGCTGCACACGCGATCTGCCCGCTTCGTTCTTGTAACATGTGTGTCGACGCTGAGTCTCTGTTTCGCGATCTCGTCAAGTTACGATGTAGACTCGAAAGGAGAGTCGTCCCGAACGCCTGAGTTTCGGCCCGGATCATATATGGCCTCCCGGTGATACGACCATCGAGACCTTCGGCGCCAGTCTCGTAACTGTTGGCATTGCGTAGGCCCTGCAGTCGGGACGGAACCCAGCATGCTCCTCTTGGGGTTTAGCGTGTCAACCCAGGTTCTTGCATAGGAACGCCAGCGCCTGAGCTTGGAGGAGGGCAAAAGGATTTGAATTAAGCGAGTGAAGAAGGCTCTTCGGTTAGTGTGGGGAGGGGCACAGTCGACTGTGGAATTGTCAATTGCGGATTGATCGCGCGCCAACGCACGTACGACAAAGCTGCAGCCAGCCTGAGCCCTCTGGGTGTCCCCCTACTGCGAACAAAGGCGTTCCCTCTGGATCCCCAGCCATAGAAGCGGCCTGCATCCTTGTCCATCGACTGCAGCCTTGATTGGATCTACAGCAAGAGACAAACGCGTTTACGGCTTGGTCCGCTTTTGCATTGCATGACAATCGCAAATATCATGATGGTGGTCCAGCTTGAACGTTCTATGCATGTTTTGGGGCCCGCGGGCTGTCCGGATTGTTGATTGAGGTTCGGACGTGCTATCCGAGTGCTAACAGCCTGGTTACCGGTCAGTCTGGCTGACAATGGTGTGACTCCGGGTTTCTGCGAGCGATTCGCCGGTGGAATCGCAGATCTTTCTCGCAGCCGCTGTAGCTGCGAGAAGAACAACAGCGCTGATGATTGCGGTGGACTGATCACTGGAGCGCACTCAGAAACCAGCACACATGCAAGGCGTAGTGCGCTGTCACCCTTGAGCTTGAGGCTTGATTGTGAATATCTCCAAGCAAATGTTATGCATACCCGATCTCAACGACAGGGCCGGTTTGAACAGCCGCTCCCGCTGCCCCTGTTGCACGGAGAATTCCAACCTCAGGCGTGCTGCAGATGACTGACCACCTCAGGGTCGAGCATCACGGCGTCCCTACTGAGCATAGACTGCAGGTTTTGGCGAACGAGCCGACTTCCCTGGCGTCCGCCGTACATAGGATCCCTTGATTTGTATCTTAATCTAAGTCTTCAAAGCGCAGTGATGTGGAAAATCACGAAAGTGAACAAAATGGCCGATCTGAATTTATTTGAAAAGGACAGGTGTACCGGGAGATGGGCTCATCACTTGACATACCGCGGCCGCATTTGGGCCTGACCATGCTTCATTCGCCGCGTCAAGTATCTGTCAGACATCTCTTCGGAATTACTGCAGAGGCTCTGAGGAAACGCTGAGCAACGGCATCAAAGTCCGCGTTCAGGCTGCGCAAGATCGCCTTGTGAAGCCAAAAGCGAAGGGCATCAGAGAACAGGCCTTTCGATGGCGTAGCGCAAAGACGACCAGGATACCTACTTTAGCTGATAGAGGCTCTGGAGTTGTTTGAGACGATCTCGAACGCCTCACACCAGGTCCAGGGCATGAGCGTTTCTTGTCTCGATGTGGCTGCACTAGTGGCCCTGCAAGGAAAGCATCTGTTCCCGGACAACGCTAGGCCATCAGCAGTTGCAAACGGTACCGCAGCTCGAAACTAAAACGCATCAATCAGAAAAATGAGATACGTTTTCTCCCGTCGACCTGGTTTCCGTAAATCGATGCCTGCATGTCTTGACAAGGGTCCAGCCGTAACAGATCTAATGAACATGCAAAGGGTTGCTTACGAGGTGTATGGCACTCTCGAGTCTTATGCCTCTCCTTCTATGAGGCCCGTAAACACATAAAGACCTTCGTCACTGCACTTCCGAGGAATAGTGTATCAACCTTAATCCTTCGCTTCCTTCGACCATTTTGTGATACTTTATTATCCTCTCCACTCTTCCTCTTCCCTGTTCACATCATCTCAGCTTCGTCTTCGTCTGTCTCGTGTATAATCTTTTTAATCGGTCCTATAACATTTGCTACTATCCGTACCATGCTATTGCCTCACGAGCGAAATCTCGAAATGGAATCGAAGGCACATGCAGTCATTCCTGCGGTTCGTCAACTGACACCGCCAGATAGTCCTCGTCCGTCGGATCAAAAAATGCTGCCACCACTACCACCTATCAAAACCAGCTGGTCGAAGGAGAAGCCACAATCAAAGGCCTCTGAAAAGATGTCACTCGATTTTATTGCACCAAATAGTCGATCGCCCTCGCCGGAACACTGCAGTAAAACGCTCCCAAGACTAGAGGTTCTCAGTGCTGCAGCCGCCATTCACCGCGGATCAAGGCCATCGTCACCATTTCTTCCGATCAATACCGTGCCAACGCACTCAGTCCGTACATCGCACACTTCATCACAGTTAATCACACCTCAGCCTCCAAGAGACGAGTATTACACGCCTGTTTCAGCAGCAACAAGTGGACTCCCTAGTCCGGTCTGGTCTAATTTCTCCGAGCTACTCCCCCTTCACATGAGGGATAGTCTTGTTTTCAACCAGTCATCCTTGAGAGACCGACGATCATCTGCTCCAACGTACAATGCCAATCTTGATAATAGATCACAGCATTGTTCGCCACCGCCAGCACGCCCGACGAGAGTGCAAAAACGGGCTCAAAAGCCTTCTCAGACTCACATTGCCGCACGCGGTGAGCGACATCCTTATGATGCGGAGGAGCGCTTTGCTCTGGTCTATCTACGCCGAGAAGTCTTCGAAAAAAAGCTCGAATGGAAAGATGTCCTCGTGCGATTTCATATCCTTTTCCCACCTGGTGCTCCTAGGCGGTACAAATCTAAGGACGGCAACGAGACAAGAGGTCTCCCTCCTTGCTATACTCAACGCGAAGTCCAAGGCCTCCAATGTAGATTCTATCGAATTAGAACTGAGGAGGGTCTCCCAAAAAGCAGAGATGCCGCTGGCTTTGGTGGCATTGATACCCCTGCAGCCAGAGCAGCGATTGAAGATGAACTGAGCACACTGGAGCGAATTGCAATCAGGGATAACCTGTGCCCGAACTTTGTCAAAAGGGTGAAGCAGCTGGCTGCGAAGGGCGACCTCAACGAGATTCTCGCGTACTCGCATGTACGACTATAGTCACGGACAAGTGTTATGATATTGACGACGACGATGACTTGCCAGCATATTCTGCACAATGGCTTCCAAGCCATGCAGGTCAAATTCTGATGCTCATACCTTGTTGAGCTCGACCTCGCGCCCACGCGGAGAAGTGTCCTGATGCGAGTACTGGGAGCCCAGCACTTTTTACTACCGGAATGTATCGGATGGAACATCTGACCCAAGATGCATTCGCATGCACGGGATGGCACTCATAATGAGATTGGGCATTAAACGGCATAGAATCCTCAAAACGGCCTTGTTATTTCGGCGTTGTCTTTGAGCAAGTACCCGGTTTTCGGAACGGTTGGTCGGATACAAACGCAAGAACACGCGAATAATCTATGACAAGGAGTGGTTCCCTTGATTTGTAATATTACGCATGATTACGGATTTGGTGTATAGCCTAATAGCATTGAATATGAACGGTTGTACATGCATAGACGCGCACTTTCGGATTGGTCACATTCTTTCAGCTCCGAAATCAAATCGTTGCTCGTTCTACCGTTTTCTTGGCCAGAATACCTACCCACTTTTCGAAACTCATAGACAGGGCTTCTGAATTAGAGCATTATTGTTTGCATCATGACAACAATGTTCGTGATGGCGGGACGTATGAAGAGTGCTTCCACTGGTTGTTGCTGAAAACAGTTTAGCGTGACCATGCACGTTAACTTTCTCAATCGTCCTCGCCAATCATCGTTGAAACGCGTCGTCGCGTCGATACACTTCATCTCTTCTAAATGTTTGGCACAATTCTTACAACAATAAGAGTTTTCTCCCTCGCTTCCATAATTTACAAGTCCTTCAAGTTAGTGTGAGAAGAAAGACGAGTCAAGTTTTCATCAATATGCCAGGCAAGATTGAGGACCTGGATGATGTGCTGCCTACAGGCATCAACCCTTACAAGGTATTGGGGATCGAGAAGAGTGCAAGTGCAGACGAAATCAAGAGCGCATACAGGAAATTGGCCCTGAAGCATCATCCAGGTTTGTGCTTGCACAACATGTGATCACAACACGATTGCTCACAAGTGTCATAGACAAGGTACCAGACGATCAGAAAGACAAGGCGAAGGAGGAGTTTCAGAAATTGTCATTTGCTTATGGAATTCTTTCTGATGAGCGCCGGCGCTCAAGGTACGATACTACTGGACGGACTGAGGAGACACTTCATCTAGACGACGAAGACGACTTCAACTGGTCGGATTTCTTTCGCTCGCAGTTCGCTGAAGTCGTTAGCGTGGATGCCATTGAAAAGTTTAAATCTCAGTATCAAGGCAGCGACGAAGAGAAATTAGACGTGATCGGCAGCTACGTTAGCAATGAGGGCGACATGGATGCACTATTTGAGGAAGTCATCCTAAGCAATCCTCTCGATGATGAGGAACGATTCCGCAGGATAATTGACGCGGAGATTGAAGCTAAGCGCGTAGAAGCATATCCCGCGTACGTCAACGAAAGTAAAGGGAAGCGGAAGAAACGTCTGAACGAAGCAAAGAAGGAAGCGAAGGAGGCCATCCAGATGGCGGAAGAACTTGGTTTGAAAGACAAGCTCTTCGGCACCAGCACGAACAGGAAAGGAAAGAAGGATGAGGAGGACCTAAGCAGCCTTACATCACTTATCCAGCAGAGACAGAAGGACAGACAAGAGAATTTCCTCGCCGACTTGGAGGCGAAATATGCTCCCAAGAACAAAAAAGGCTCAAGTGGCAAGAACAAGCGGAGTGCAGTCGACATTGATGAACCTCCTGAGGAGGCATTTCAGCGCAATAGAAAGAAAGGAAGAAATGCAGTCGGGGAGGGTGATTCCAAGGAGGGGCCCGAGGTCGATCAGCCTCGAGCCAAACGTACGAGACGGGGGTGAGGTGACTTACCCCTCGTTCGATACGTCCACCGTTCTACCCTGACTTATGAGATCTTGTCGTTTAGCAGACTGTCGAGGTGTGAGTGGGTCTCCAAAATGTTCACCAAGGTGTCAAGATACAACGATTGAACGACAAGGTACCTGAAGTAGGGTTAGAATTGTCTTCAAAAGTTTGCTCGAAGCATAAGTCCCTTCCAAGTGGCACGAGTATATGCGCTTTTCGCAGTTTCTTGGAGGCTTTTCTTTTCAGCTTTCCTTCACGACGTCGCTTAGTCTCAGCCGTATTTTATGATTTGCACGTAACTGCAAATAATACTAAGCTTCTGAAGCTTCCTAGCAGCAATGCATTCGGCATCAAATCCGTAGACTATGTTTAGTGTCGATTATGGGAATGGGTTCGTATGTTTGATGCTCTTGAGGCTAGCGAGAAGGTTGTCGGGATATCCCCGTATACGCAGTGGCATTTCTGCTCGTCCTGCAAAATTACGACCCTCCTTGTTCTCGAATTACCAGTCAATCACAATATGGGCCCTTGATGAGTACTCCAAAGGATATTTCCAAATGATATCGTTATGCTCAAGTCAAACGGTGGTCAGAGCGTATGCTCTTCAAGAACACACAGCTCATGAAGGGGATTCGTGCGCTCTACCGTACCTTACAGGATTTGTCGACGTATCTGTTTTTGCTTTTCCCAGCGGAAGGAAAGGTTTGTCACATGAAACGCTATCGCGAATATGGCGTCTCACACCTTAGCTGGTCGATTACGACAAGGCGAGCGTGGCTGGTGCTAACGCGGGAGATGTTAAAGATGATGGTGTGCTGATAAAGCCTCCCGCATCCACAACATATTCTCCACATTCAATGCCTAGCTGCACAATCGGTGGACCTTCGTTGTGCATGAAGATTGCGCAGTTGGCGCAGTAGTTGCCGCTTAGGCATCGGACAGTGTTTCCGGACTCTCAAACGCAAGCCCTATGCTTGCTGCAATGCAGGATCATCGCATGTACATAACAGGTCAGCTTCTCCCGATGCGAGAAGATGTATGTCTGTGCCAAATGGGGTCAACATGTTCCGCACGATGGTGTTTTGATGCGAGCTGTGCTGGGTTGTCCTGGGCACTTGATAGGTGCCCACGCCGGACAAGTTTCCGGGAGCTGCATGTACGATCTATGCTGAAGGGGCTGCGAGATCCGGTACAAAGGGATTAAGTGCACTCCCAGTCATTGCGGTTGCATTTCCGATGGTGGCATGCTAAAAACAATTAGTTTCATAGATGAAGGAGTCCGAGAACAGTAACTACATTCTGAATTGGGATGAATGGGGTTGAAGCCTTCAGGTGATCTGGCGTTTTGGCGCGTTTCTTCAGCAAAGCCACCAAACACAGAACGAAACGGCAAAAAGCAAGCAAGTCGCGACGCGAAGACAAAGATCGATGATGCATGCTCCGACGCCGAACGAAGAGCTAGAAAGTATTGAATAATATTGCCGAATAGATCTAGCGTCTCTGCAACGTACAGATATCTATTTCCAGACGGCTCGGAGCAATGAGTGCAAATGAAAGTCCTGGCTCTAAAGGTGTGGATTAATAAACTATCGTTCTGTGGCTGGGCGTCGCCTCGCTTTTCAAAAGAGCAGCTCGTGGAAAGCCAAAACTTCCTGCTCCAAATTGGAGCCTTCCCATAACGGCGGTCCAGTAGTTGTCAATGGTTTTGAATAATTCTTACTGATAAGCCAACTTGCGCGACGAGTGTTTGCCCGGACGATTCAGAGCATCATTTGGCAGGACACAATATATGTATCGTTCTGTTTCACGACTCCTCAGACCAGATGCAAGAACTTAAACAGACTTGAACCTCTTTAAGTAAAGCAGCCCGACCTAAGCTAAGCGAGCTTCAAATTGCTATAATGGTTATATTCCCTCGTTGGAGAAAGTAGCACACGAAATACAATATTACTTGAGACTGATATTGACAGCGCGAAGGCCAGGTGTTGAAGCACGTCAACGGACCAACAAATGCCTCAGTATGGCTACAGAAGTCCTTGGAGAAAGGACTGGCCGCAGGGGAATGAATGAAGTCAGGATGAAGCTGTGCTGCTGCACGCTCAGGTTTCATCTGTGATACTTCTCCCTATGCTGTTATATTAATGTGCACAAATTGCATGTGTCGCCGGAAGTCGTACTTGGGGCGAAACAAGAACACTAAAAGAGCTCGACATGCCAAGTACTATCACGCAAGACGTCTAGACGAGTCATGATGTTACCATAGAGCACCTGTTTTTGGAGTCAAGTGTCGTCTATATCGTACGCACCAGGAGCTAGGTATCTTAGATGAATGATCCTCGACGCGGCTCACCAATTCTCATACGTGAAAAAGGAGTTGAATGTCCTCATACAATAGCGGCAGAGAACGTAGGGTTTCATTCAAATTGAGAATACTCTTGGAGAGCATTCCTGGGAGTTGAAGGATAAGATGTCTCCCGAAAGTAATGTAGAACTTGAACTCTACGAGGTATTCGCCTAAACGAAACTGGTAGCTAAATCGTGGCCAAACAATTTCAGGTCTGATTCAAACCAATGCATACATAGACCGTGGAATAGATGTCCCCGAGCAATGTTCATTTCACGTAAACCATATCTCCCTTGGAACTTAGCAGAAGAGAGTCGCGATGCTTTCCATACGCCTTTTTAAGTGATTGAATAAAAAGCCTTTCAAACATCTTCTCCTCGGCATGTACGATTATGTGAGAGATATCTAAACGGGTTTACATCAAACAAAGGGCTAGATCCGGGAGTCGTAGTCAAAGTCCCCTAACCCCGAGCTCGACTTCCATTTGAACTTGTTAGGTTCCATGTGTGCTTCGATATGCTTATGCACTCATTCAACCCGTCTTCAGATTTCATTCTTGCTCAGCCGACGCGCATGAGTATCGACATGGCCATCCAAGCGGAAACAGCAAGAAGATACATCGAGGCTTTTCACGCGCTCGATGGTGCTGAATTTACAAAGCTGAAAACACCGGAATGTGAACATGTCTTCGCCCCAAAATCTCTTAACATGACGGTTTCCAAAAATAATGCGCGATTTGAGGCTCACATGGAACATCTTCGAACGATTTTGAAGGCGTTCCCAGTATACGTCAAGAAGCTGTGGGAGGACAAGACGCATGTCACGATCTGGGCTACCAGCGAAACCGTATTCCAAGAGGAAGCAAAGGATGAAGGCGCCCCTCAGAGCAGTTGCAGTTTCGGGGGTGAGTACATGTTCGTCCTCGAGATGAACGAAGATGGAGACAAGATCAAGAGAGTGGTGGAGTTCCTTGACAGTAACGCAACTGAGGACATTGATGAAGCGAGCACGACGAAATCTTGGGAACAAAAAATATGAGACGCTGAAAGCAGCTGGTAGGAAGACCGTATGGCTTCTACAGGAGACAGGTCCAAGAGGGTGCCTTTGAGCAAAGGGCCTTATCTTGCAAAGTCGACCTTGGTCCGGAGTCCAAAGAAACCTGGTGTAACTCGAGCTTCGCTGAGCAAGCTAATCCAGAATAGGCAGTTCGTCCACCCCCACGCAGACGTGATTCGCACGACGATCGTTCCTGTTGCAACCGCCTCGCGTAACGCTCGCTTGACGTCAAGACGCTTCCAAGAAACGTGTTTTTGACGATCTCCCTGCACGATGTTGGCTCCAACGTTTCACGAAGAACGTCAGCCTTTTTGTTTTTTTTCACTTCACGCTTTCCTCGATCCGATTCTTCGTCGTCTTGGACAAATGAAGCGGGCGAAGAGACAAGCATGTTTCTGCCAACCTAATGCGTGGCCCAATCCGAACGTCATGGTGAAAGAAGTTTCCAGGATATTTGCTTGGACTCGTAAAAGGACCGAGTACTCCGTATTTCGGGAGCTATGGCATCGCGCACCGTCAGGATTCTGCTGTTTCGTTCGTCATCACCCGATGAGTGTGAATAAATGAGCGCAGTTGATTCAACGTAGCAAACTGATTTGAATCTTTGCCAAGAAACATATATAACTACACTCTAAGCCAGTCTATCTATCAGGGTTCTATATCTGTTTCTTTTCATTGTCTATATCATTTTGTGTCCTTTTGCATATATAATTGGCTGCAAACCCTCCTGCTTCCACCTCTCCGCGAGCGAGACATTTTTCAACATCTTGCGAGGAACTAACAGATTTTTTTTCTTCGTTTTGATCGTCGACGTGTTTGTGGGTGTTATAGTGGCCGAAACATCATCTTCCGAACGTTCGCGGATTTGTTAGCCTGCCGCTCTTTAGTTGCGTGTGTGCTTTTATTTCGGTTTTGCATTGATAGTCTAGCATCTGGTATGAGGCACACCTCAGTATAAAGAGACTCTGCGAAGATCGCAAAGGCATTGATTTCCATCTCTCAACTCGCACAACTGAGAGATATGATTGCCCTAGTTTTGGCAATTCTTTGCCAGACGATAAACGCCAGCTCCGCCATCCCCGCGCTTCATGCAAAACGGAACATCACGGTCTTGGGAGGCGTAGAACACCGAAGTGTAGCTCTCAGGGTACTCCCTCTTGGCGACAGCATCACCAATGGTGTAGGTAGCTCGGACGGAAACGGTTATCGTCACGTCTTTGTGGAATTGGCCGAAGCAGGAGGGCCAGTCACGATGATTGGGTCCCACAATGGGACAGGAGTCATGCCGGAAAATGAAGAAGAAGGTTGGAATGGCTTTACCATCGATCAGATCTCTCAAAAGGCAACGAATGCACTCAAGGCAAAACCAAACCTTGTGCTCCTGCTCGCTGGAACGAACAACATGAACAACGCATCCCAAGCCGCGACCGCTCCAGCCGAAATGAGCAATTTACTAGGCAAGGTGCGCGTATGAGAGATGTTGGTTCTGAAAGCTACTAACGGACGAACGAAGGTTATTGCTGGAAGTCCTAGAGCAGTGGTATTAGTTGGCACCATATTGCCCTCAACGCAGCCTGGGAGACAATCGCTGAATGATCAATACAACAGCGCTCTGCAGCAAATAGTAAAAGACGGCCAAAGTACCGGAAAACGCGTCCTGCTTGTGCCCACAGGCTCCGCTGTTGATCCGGACGAGCTCGTTGACGGCATTCATCCTAATGACGCGGGATATGATAAGATGGCCATTGCTTGGATCCAGGGTGTCAATACTGCTCAAGACCAAGGTTGGTTTGAAGCGCCAGAACCTGGTGATGGTATGTTCGCTTGATAACATGATGTTCTTCGTGCTGATATCCTTCGAGGCTACGTTGAGCCGTCAAGCAGGGCCAGCAGATTAGACACTAACGGCGTATTATGGTGGCATTGCAGTTTGGTCCTTGTGACGCTCATTGCCAAAGACATGTACGACAATACACTACGGTCGAATGGGTAGTTCGGACATATATTAGGATGCTCAACATCCTAAGCTCAAGCTGCCGATTTGCAGAATCAAATTCTCAAGTCATCAAAGCGAGTGGGAAGGCGGCTGATACTGCTGCTTGCTTCAACATATCAGTGATTTGCGTCGAAAAGTCGTTTAGCTGGAGCGTTTGGACCCCAAAAAATGGGTACTTGACTTGCAGCTGGTGGTCCACAGCGTCGACGTTAGCTGCTCGGTGAAATTATACCCGAGTCAGGAAATTGATAGCCTAAGCTCAAATTTCCACGACTTAGTTGCATTTTTGCCGTTGGTCATCGGTAGAGCGATCACTCTGTAAATGCAACTGATATCCAAAGCAAAGCCGTCAAAGCTGGTTAATAGTCTGGGCGCAAAACGTCCACGCATCGACAGTTGTTCATGTCGGCGCAAAGTACGAATTCTAGCGCCTTGAGGCTAGCATCTTCGATAGGACTAAGCGTAGCTTTTGGATCCGAGCAGGTCAATGTTCGAGACTTGTAGAAGGCTAAGCCCGTATCGCGTTGGAATTTCGACGAATGGATCTCACAGTTTAGAGAGTCAAGATGCTACAAATTGACCTGATCTCGCCCTGCGGAACTTAAATTTTTTAAGTTAGTGTCGGCAGTCTTGCCTGAATTTGGCATAGCTTTTCTGCTGTACCACAGCTCGAGGGAACAGAGTACATCCTTCGAAGTCGTCGACTCCTTCGCAAGAGCTTTGCCTATCGGGCCGAAATTGCCCTTTTCTTTGGTTCACGACAAAACATTTTTCATAGCTCCTGGTCAAATGCCGGCCCCTTCGCGGTCAAGCTTAGGATACTCTTCGGGCCAAAACGAATGCCGCGGCGGGTCACCCGTTCGTTCTTGGAGCGGCCAACGCCCGCTCGCGGCATTGCGATTAATAAAACGAGGCTGCGAGGCTATAACGAAAGAACGCAAGACGTAAATTAGAAGGGCTTATCGCGCAATTCGTCGGTTACAACGGCTCTCGTGCAGCGGGAACATCCGTTTCCGGCAAGTTTCTCTCCAAGACGTGAGTGTTCTTATGACTGCTCCATGCGATCACAACACCCTACGGCTCCAGTCGCTACCTTCCACCCGCGTGTGGTACCGAACATGCATTGGAGACTATATCCACCAATGTCCACACTATTGGCTAGCAGTACGCGGATGGATCTGCAGGGGACCTTACTTTCATTACCGTTCTTTAACAGAGCGTTCGCCAGAACCATGTTCGGCTTCATTCGGTGGACACACCGCTCCGTTGTCGAAACCATATTTGAGAATCGCCTCTTGGTCGTCACCTGATTCTGTATTGTGGAACGGATTCGGCGCGCTCGAGGTGCTCGCTGTGGACCAGCAGCTATAATCCCGACATTTCACTCCACATGGCGAGGGTTGTAATTCCCGTGTCACGGGACTAGATTGACCATAACATGACTTTATTCCCCGATAAGATCCGCTCTGACCATAATTGTATCAAACTTCATCATCTAGATGACAGTTTTCCAGAGCCCATCCTCGTTATCTAAGAGGAAACGAGAGTCCCCGTTGCCAGTATATCAACCGTTGTATCTAAATAAAGGCCAGAGTGTTTGCGCTCAGCGTGGTAGGACCATGAACCAACCTCTTCTCGTCGTCTTCTACATATTGTTAACCTCATAAAAGTCAGTGCCAGCTCAGATCATCCAAGTGGTTTCCGATTTTCCATCTTCCCTTCCAGACTAGAGCAAGATGCGCTGTCCAACTTCATCCTTCGACTTCCTCGAGAGATTCGGTCCATGATTTACGCGAATCTATTTCACATGTTCAAATCGTATTCTAGTTCCCATGTCTGTGCTGCCAAAGCTCCTTTAGAAGGAGATGTCTATCTCTACGACACTGGCGGGTGGCGCTCTGTCAGCGATTTCCGCGGCGAAATGATCAACTCGCAGACCGTCCTCGAGCTCGATGCGGCACCGTGGACTTATCAGAACATCTCGCACTTCTTCAATCGCACTCCTGCGCGGCACGTTCGGAGTCTGCACCCTCAGATCTTCGATGAATGTGTCCATGACATCTGCATGAAAGCGGGGAAAGTCAAACTTTCAATGCAATATCGTAACCACAAGCCAGCGCACAAGTACGACAAGTTCCTCTTTGACAGTTTTGCGCGAAATGCTCGTGATCTAAATGTCACAATCGGATACCACTGTACGCTCTCAAAACAGTCGCGCAAATCGGTTTCCTCACAGGATTCCAGTCATGAACAGGACACGAGACTGGCAGCGATAAAACACCTGGAAGAGGTTCTTGAGGATGGTTGCCGGCTAGAGAACTTGACGATATATCTCAATTTCGATGTCCCTCATCCGATTGACACGCGGCCGTCCGCAACGGAGGACTGGGTGCAGGTAGAGGTTTCAAAGTTGGCGAAGTTCGGTTGTGACATCAACCTATGTATATTCCACAGATGCTGCGAGAGACAATCAATCCTAGACTGCGCATATCCCGCGCGGCAGCACGGATTCAGCTACTGCTCAACATACAAGCAAGGCGCGGGGTGGGGTCTGTGGACGAAGCATAAAATGACCTTCTACGAAGCTGCCGCTTTAGACCGCTGCTAACGCCTTCTCCACCACTCACAACTCACAAGCCCTCCAGCTGGACGAGCCAGTCTAGCTCGTGAAGAAGGTGCTTCCTTTCGTGAACCGAGCCTTCGATGCGCTTCCCGTCTTGTCACGTTATGACGGTCCACTGGCTAAAAAAGAAGTGCCTTTCCCCCCCGGCCCCGCCCCCCACAACAGAGATAGAAGCACAGAATTATCCCCCCGTCAGTGGTCGAGCAAGATCACGTCGATCCACGAGGCCATCGATTCTGTGCGTTCGGCCGGGACCACGCAGTCGTCCGGTTTGCGCGCAGAAGTCCGCACCCGCCGTCGACATCCTGACAAACCACTGCCGCAATGGGAAACAGCATCGTCGGCCGTGGGATCGGCGGCCTTGAGGCCCCAAATAGCTTTCGTTGAATAGGATCATGTCTGGTGGAGGCCATTGAGCAGCGCCATGCCGAGACGGTATGAACTTTGATGACGTTCCGCCCCCCCCCCCCCCCCCCCCCCCCCAAAAAAAAAAAAAAAAAAAAAAAAAAAAATTGAAGACTAGGCGGACCGTCGGCGACTCCGACGCATGGCAAGATTGATGCGGAATCTATCTTTGCTGCCGGGACGTTTCCTGAGTCTCTCAATCTATTTCGGGTGCTCGAGAGCCCTGCTTGCGTCACTATAGTTGCTTCTGTCGCACATTTCTTGCTGATGAACGTAATCAGGGAGGGTCAATGGCGGCAGCGCAAAGCCTATTAGCGACGGCTCACCTCTCGCTCCGCAGATGCACGCCATAACTTCATGGCTGGTATGAACAGCCCTATCCGTTGACATCTGCAGCATAACGCCAGTAGCCGTGATCATGTTGCCATTCAAAGTGCTGAGCTTGAAGAGCAGGGGATAAGGCTCGATATATGAAACATTTAAGAGTATCGAACTTCTGGGAGCAGCCATTGAGCCGCACTATATGTATACATGTATATACAGATTATAATATTCAACACAAGTGTCCCGTCCCGTACAGAAAGAGAAATGGCTTTTTCAAGCAAATGGTAATACGGTGTCAAAACCCAAGCACGGGTCGTCAAGAAGGCATGGCTTTCTCGAGAGAACTAGTTGAAAAAGTTTTTAATGATTGTTCCGATATCCTTCGCATTGTCAGGGTACACATAGAATGCCAACGCGATGACAATGTACCTGTTGAGCTCGGGAGTCAGCAGAATTCTTCCACTTTCGCAGGCAAAAACAAAGCAGCGTGGTGAGAAAAACTTACATTCCCAAGCACATGGCGCCTTCGAGCCAGTTGCTCTTTCCATCCTGGATCAAATAGTTGACAACCAGGACGCTGAGGAAGAACATGACCGTCTCGAAGCCCTGGAAGAGCAGCGTCATAGGTTGGTGAATGATCCATCCTAAGATAACGAGGAAGGGAGTGACAAAGATGGCAATTTGAAGGGAACTGCCGATGGCAACGCCAATCGCAAGGTCCATCTTGCCCTTGTACGCGACAACGCACGCAGTTACGTGCTCGGCTGCATTGCCAACGATTGGGATCAGAATCAAACCAATGAACGTCTTCGAGATGTGCGAGGTCTCAACAATGCTGTCAATGCTGTCGACAAGGTACTCTGCGCACACCGCCACCATGACAGTCACTACGAGAAGTGCAACACCTGCAGCCCAGGGTGAAAGAATATGCTCCTCTTCCTCTTCTGACTCTTGCTGAGACTCCTCATCGAAGAGGTAGTGATGTGTCTTTAACTGGAAGAACAAGTATGAGATGTAGAGGACGAGAAGCAGGAGCGAGGTTCCTCGGGAAAGGAACATGATTCGGCTGTCGTCTTTCTCGATGGCATGGTCTGAGCTGGAGAGGGTAGCCCAAAGCGTTGCGGGAATGATCAGCGAAGCTGATGCGACTGCCATGAGGGAGGACATCGCGGAGGCGATGGTTGCGTTAAATTCTTGTTCGCCGCCACGGAAACCACCTGCCATGAAACAGCATCCCAAAACCTAGGTTCGAATAAGTATAGAGATAAAAAAAGGGTGGAGATGTTAGGCTTACCAAGAGGATGTTGGACAGTATGCTACCAAGCATACTAGCCTGTACAATACGAATCTGACCCTGCCTCAGTGCAACTATGCTGACCTGCAGGCGAAAACAGCTGTCAGAACCGTATCAATCGATGCTGTGATTGAGATAACCTACGATAAGCTCCACTGCATTGCCAAATGTCGCATTCATGAGGCCGCCGATGGTTTCTCCGAGCTTTACAGCTAACTCTTCGGTCGCAAAGCTCAGTAGCGATGCAAGTGGCACTATAGCCAGGAAATTGAGGACGAACACTGCTGTTGGGTTCCAGTTCAGTGCACCGGCTACAATACCGAGGGGTACGAATACAAGCAGAACATTGACGTAGTTGCTCACAAGCGTGAGCCAGGTGAGATGCGCAACGTGCTTTGGGTACTTCACCCATGGACTGCTGTTGTCGCTCTCCCAGCGTGCCGTGTGGTGACTGGTTCGGGTCGTCTGAGGAGCCAGGTCTCCCAGCAGCGGCGTAGACTCTCCATTCTGTCCTTGCGGCATGTTATGCTGATTGCCGGACTTGCGGCGTCCTTCTCGCTGAAACAAGGTTCGGAAGTTCGCTATTGTTCATTTGCGCCCAAGGTAGGCACGAGAAATCAGTCTCCTATTTATGTAGCGGCAGAGTACGGAATGATGTGATGCAGGATGAAGTGAGTAAGAACTTTTACACAGATTGGCATTAGGGGAGTCTGCTGGAAGATCTCAGACGGAAGCTAATCGCTGGTAGTAAGTGGGCTGTGCCAATTTGCCATCTGGCGTAATGGTTGCGCGCTGAAGGGAAAACGGGCAGTAGCCAACGTTTACAATGCTGTTGTGTTCCGCGCCGCAATCAGAAGCCTTGGGCGAGCTCGTTGATGGTCCGCCGAGTTCCGCCAAGGACCGGCTTGGCTGTTTTGAAAGAGGGAAGAGGGACGAGCGAAGGACGACAAGACTGCGTGATGACTACGCAGGGCGAGGGGGAGTTGAGAGTTGGGGGAGATTCTTTGGCGCGGCTTACCCATGGGAATCGACGTCTTTTTCACTGCCGTCTATCTTCCGTTCGATATGGCGATGGATGTCCAAGTTACCCCAAACAGTCGCCGACACCAGCCCGCAAAACAAGCGCGAAACCCAGGAGGCGCTTGCAATTGGCTTATCGCAATCTGATCCCAGGATAAGATGAGGGGCTATGGCTCGCGTAGCCCAAGGTCGAGTTGAGGGGAAAGGGGGCGGTGTTGAGGAATTGTCAGTCTTCGAGTCGGTTCTCGCTCGACGTTCAACCCAGGCAGACGGGGAGTGTTTGGAACCTGGCGACAACAGTACAAGTGAAGGATGATGACGCTGGCTGATCGTGCTGCCGACGGGCTCCACCAATGATGCTGTGGCACCAGCGAGCTAGCACGACGCAGCCGGGCGTAGGTGACCGTGTTGGAAGCTGCGCACATCGAGCTCTCAGCCACGCACTAGCCTGTTTGTGGCTTGGTCCGCTTCTTGGCAGAACCTCAGTCTGGTTCGAGACTCACCACCAAGACTTTCTCGACCAGCATGTCAGCAGTCCATCTCAAGCGGATCCCGGCTTTGCGCTGCCGATCAATTCTCGCCTTCTTGGCCTTCGACATCCAGCAGAGATTCGCAGTAGCCAGCGAGCCAGGTTGCTGATCCGACCTGTTCCTACATGCAAGACGCCGTGCTGTCGGCCAGTGATGGAAGCCCTCGGACGGAAGCCCTCGGATGGAAGCCCTCGCCTGCTTGTTGTCTTGATTGGCATGCGAACTGCGTATCCGCCTCCCTCCAAACTGGGAACTTAAGCATCGCTACCTTTAGTTTTGACTTGCGCCTGCCTACATATTCTGTAGGCTTATATATCTGGCCGCGCACAGCCACGATTGACTCGAGGTCGAGCCTTCCTCCCATGCAAGACGAGGCATATCTAAGAGAGCAAGTTACGAAATAGTAATGATCAAACATCGCCAGAAAAGTTCGCGCTCCCTACTGTCAATGCTACTTGTCATTACTCTCCTGATCGCCATATTTTCGCTAAGTCCAGCCTGTCACTACATATGAACGAAATCTGGTTGTAATGGAAAAGCAAAAATAAAGTATTAAAAAAAAATGGCCTCATGACAGGTTCATTGTAACTTGTCGTAGAAACCACTACAAAGAAGGACCGTTTCGAGAGATACGACGTGCTATTTTGTCTAACCTTTGGTGACGCGAAGGAGCCCTTGACTACATATCTCCCGGATAATTTCGCTAACATTCTCTTTGGCGATATCACAAGGGCAAACGTGTTGCCCTATCCGGGCTTCTCACCATGGCCAAAAACTGGCTACATCTCGGGTATTGTTGTAGGTCCCTTTCCACGAAGGTCTGAGCCGCTCAAACAAAATCCACGAACGGGCCATACATTTGTAGGATCGTGGGATCGATATCACCTGATGTACTGTCTGATTGTTCGGCCAGTGGCTCAGGATTTTCTGATGCTCTCTGTGTACTTGTACGCTCAACCTCCGAGACATGCCGCCGTTTCGCCAACGATTGATCATAATCACTAGCATCGTGGTCTCCTGCAACTCGTCGCTTGCGGCTCCAGGCAGAACTAACCCCAATGGTAGGCATTGGCACGTTCCTCCCTGATTCGACTATTTTTCGAGCACGCTGGGCAGGCTCGCTCAATTGTACGTCTGCAATGAATGCTTTGTTGAGCGCACTTAATTCTTGACCTTTTTCCCAATGCGAGCTTGTAAAATTTGCCCATTCGAGTGGCAGACCGACGTATACGTTAGGGGCTTCTACCAACTCTGTAATCTTGTACTTATCGTCAATATCTTTCCCAGCGGGATTATCGACGAGCCGCTGTCGCATGGCTTCGGCGTCGGCCACTTCTGCGAAAGTCCGCTCGATTATGCTGTCGCTGTTATCATTAAACGGCTTTAATGTCTGACGTGCTACGGGGCCACCGGTCAATTCTTCAACGAGAGCGATGTCTTCATCATAGCGAGTGCGAGGCTGGGATAGCTCTTTTGATGGTACAGGATCCGAAGAGGTAATCTCGTTGCCATTCGGATTCTGCTTTGTCTCTTCAACGTATTGGAAAACGACCGGTTGGAAGGGGACAGAGCCTCTAATGGAACCAGGCGAGTCAAGCTGTTTTTTGAACTGAGAAAGTGAAAATTCGTCTCCGCGCTGAGTGTAACTGGGATAAACATCAAGGCCATTTGATTCACCAGCCTCTGGGGACGTTAACCAAGATTTGCTAGATTCTCTTCGAAAATTTAAAGGCTCAACCGCATGATCCGCCGAGGGACGAACGACAGGCTTTCGAGGAGGCCTCAGATCGAGTGTAGTTTGCCCCTTTTGCATTTGTAATTTTGCATGCAAGGCTGAAGTGGCAACGCCACCATCCTCAGTGCTCAAAGACGCGATTTTAGGTGCCTTTGGTGGCTTGTCTAGACCGTGATTGCAACAGAAGTGCTTGCATCCTTGCTTGTCTTTACAGCGGTGGTTGCATTCCCATTTTCCATTTCGGAGCTGGATGGGTTTCCACTCTTGCTTTTGAGCTTGGGGATCAGCCTTATTTTCCCGGACAAGTGAGTTAGTATCGGTTTGGCTGTTCGCGCTAGGCTTCGCGGTTTGAGGTAGAATGAAGGAGTCGATATGCTGATACTCTGTAGCACTGGTCCCATAGAGGACGGCGATAAGATCATCTTCATCCAAGAGTTCGTCGCCAAACTCGTCTGCAATGGGTTTTGTGAAAGGCTCGGGAGCTCGTGGTGTGCTGCTGCGGCGCCTAGATGTGTTCATGACATTTTTGGAGCCCTGCGGTCGAGCCACTATGTTTGTGATAACCCTATCAGAGGGCCAGGCGACTGATGGAATCGTCGGGTTAATAGTGGCACAAGTACAAGTACCCGCTGTGAATATTAATCGCATGACCTAGTATCTCCGCATCAGCCGAGCTTACCAATTTCCTCGCACATCACATAGCAATTAATAGCTTGGGCAGGACTCGTTAAGTTAACAGCGAACTTGATTAGCTGACCTTTGCCGACTTTCTTCGCACTATTGCTTTTAGCCCTTGTCATCATCTCGAATAGGGATGACCGACCTTGCTCGCGCAAAATGAACACTTTTGCCATCGGAGGTTTCTGCTAGGAAGACAAGAAATATCGGATGATTATGAAATACGCTAGGAGGCGTTTCATTGAGGAAACCTATCTCAGCATCGATACTTACTTTAGCTCCATATCCTGCTTTTACAGTCTAATTGTGTGATCGTGGTTAGTATTGTATAACACGCGTTCAAAGTTAGAGTACCAACAGGCTTGCCGGCAACGTTGAGAGATATCCTCAGCTTTGGAAAAGCCCTAGCAGAATCCAGAACCTGGTGCCCAAAAGGTGGGTTTCGTTGCAAGATTGACTCTATACGATGAGCTTCAACCGCTTCAAGGGCTTCGATGCTTTCGATACCGGCAGCAACAAGCTTTCGTACCCCAGCGACTCCTATCTTTTCAAGCTGCTTCATCTGTAGCGGTGAATCATCCCAGCAACGAGCCCCAATACTTCGGCAAATGAATAGAGCATTGCGAAGAGAAACTGAGTCTCGATCTGCTACTTTGAAATCAATGATACAACGAATGAGTCGACGAATATGCTGAAAGACGAAATAAGTATCGCTTTGATATTGATAGCCGTTCCCTACATTTTTCTCATCTGTTGGTAAGCTTACCCCGCCTAGATGTGACTGGATTATCAAGGAGACCTTGTGAGCTGGTGAATCCAGGTTCACGGGAATTGGAAAGCGGATCTGCGGAGACTTATTCATTTCCTTGTAGCTGCTTTTTTCCGTGCCTCGAAAGCGTAAATCCTTCCACTCTGAGGCCATAGCGAGAGCGGAGAGCTATTCGACGTTAGCTAAGTTGATGGACAATATGAGGGGTTATCTACAATATCTGATAGCTTAGATCCTCTTGGAAGGTTCGAAAAGACCTTTGCAGTTTCAAAATGCACGCAATAGCGAGCCATGGCCTCGCCAAGGTCTGTCGATTCTAGCTTGTCTTCTCCCTTAACAAAACCATGTTCGCGTAGAGTATTGATATCTCTCTGACAGATATTTTCAAGTCGGGCATCGATGTCGCCGATCTCGTCACCACCGTCAAGGCGATAGCGGCCCGGATTCTTCCCAAGTCGTACGTAGAGAAAAGTGCTGCTGAGCCATCTCTTTGCTGACGCTAAACTATTCACAGTCCCCAACCCTATTTCTGCGTTCTTGCGAGCATATCAACATATCATCCGTTCATTCTATGGATTTACTTACGATGTGATCAATCAGATGTTCGTGGAGACTACAAACGATTAGCAAAGACAAAATGCCGTCTCCGTTTTTACCTACCAACTTTCTAAGACCTGTTCTCCTGATACCATTTTCTTGTAGCGCCCGACTTTCTCTTGTCTCGTCATTATTACTGCCACAGCATTTGTATCATACTGTGGCCTTCCAGCACGACCCAGCATCTGCATAATTTCAAGGTCGCTGTACTCCTTTATACCTTCACTGTTCGCGTAAGTGACCGTGTTTTTGATAATGACCATATGGCATGGCAAATTAACCCCGACTGCAAGAGTACTGGTGCAACATATCACATTGATGTTTCCATCTACAAAGCCTTGTTCGACGGCAATACGATCGCGAAATAAAAGGCCGGCATGATGCCAAGCCACTGCTGATCGAGCACATTCTGCTGAAAAGTTCAACAAGAATACTTTGATTTTGAGGTCTTACCACACGACATACGAGCAAGACCTTTGTCCTCGACAGAAGCAATCATCCGTGGAGCCGGCCAGTGTCTGTTCTTGGAGTCTTCAGAAGACCACCAGTTGGCCAGCAAACGTGCAGTGGTCTCACAAGATCTTCGTGTGAAGCAGAACACTATAATTGGTTTTTTGTGAGAGAACTTCGCGATTACTTCTTTCAGTCTGGAACATGTTAAAATGTATAGAAAATTGAATTACTCAAAAGAATGAACCTCGTATCAAGCAACTTTTCAAAGGAGAAATCGTTCCCTTCGTGGTAATAACCGTTCACATGTTTTTGCAGTTGGACTGGCCGATATTCTTCTCCAAAATGCTCTCGCCTCGCTGGTGTGTCTTGGTCTTTGAAGTTGCGGCCGAGCCATCTTGCAATATCATTCAGATTTGGAACGGTTGCTGACAAGGCAATAAAGCGAACGTCTGACTGCACGGACTTCATACGGGACACCACGGCCTCTAGCGTCGCACCACGCTCGTCATGTAACATGTGCACCTCGTCGATTAAGAAGAGTTTGATCATGTTCATAAGTTTCTGATGGTCTTTCCACTTTCTGGTGACGCTATCCCATTTCTCTGGCGTTGTTATAATAATTGATGCACTTTGGACACTTCGCATTTGAGCCGGGTCAGTATCGCCTGTCAGTTCTGCACATTCAATCTGAAGCGTCGAAAACTTTTTCTGCCAATCACGTCGTCGTTCAGAGCAGAGAGACTTTGTTGGTGCTTGATAGATAATCTTGAATTGACCAGCTGGGAAAACAGAAACTACTCGACATATTGCTAGCTCAAAAATCACCGTCTTGCCACTACCAGTAGGCGACGATAGGACGAAGTTATCATTCCCTTGGAAGACTTCTGGGAAGCACTTCGTTTGCATCGCGTTGAAATTTGGATAGGGGAATACTGATCGGAGGCGATCAGGTAACACGCGGGTTGATAGACACTCTAGCAACTTCGGAGTCGAAAACGGCTTGGTTAGCACTGTTTCCGGACTGGCTCTTAACGGTTCAGGTCCAGAGTGCGGGGCAAATTCGCAGTAAAGTTCAGCGAGAGATTGTGGTTCATCTAGGAAACCGTCGTTGGCTGAACATTCAACGGCTGGCGTAGACACTTGTGCTAACGATCGATCTTTAGCCTGGTGTATTGGCTTCTGGTACGACGATTGCTCTTTCTTCTGGTGAGTACTCACTGACAATTAGTACTTCCATATTAGACTCACTGGCATCAGAGCGGCATCCTCCGGACACATCGTAGCGGTAAGCCTGATGCCTCGCCATTTCTGATGCGTCACGTGGATGCAGTTTTCTTTGATCCGGTGGGCACCTTTTATCTTGTTCATCAATACGATCAAGGTAAGTTCGATGAACGCAGCCAAATGCAGAGCTTTGTGGATCTTCATCGTCATCTTCGGAGACCCAGGCTGATTGCTGCATCTCATCAAGCATGTCGAACAAAGTATTGTCATCGTCCATGACTGTAGGTAGACTGGTCTAAGTCCCTCAGAATTCAGTCGGTACAGAAAGATAGAAGAGGAATCGTGCGGCGATCGAATGATAAAGTGATTCAGATTATCTCAGAGTAAATTTGAATGGTATCCGGACAAGAAAGTGCCAAACTGGCAAGATTTTAGCTTCCGTTCTCATACTCAAAGCGGAAAGCGCGTCATTAAGATATGCAAGTCAAGTGCGACTGTCTAAAGAAGTGGTCGCACAGGACGTCCTTGCCGCATTGGTATTTGACCTAACCGCTCACTCCCCCCCTTCATGCGACATGAGCTATATGGTCGAAATGCCTCGGGCGATCATACCGTTTGAGCAGCAAAGCGAGACGGTATATTGATACATTAGAATAATGGCTGGATACCTTTAATACCAAGCTGCCCATTATATTATGCTTTTTCGTGCACGGTCTACAGCGCGCGCGATGGAGTCGATGTGGCTAGCCTCATATCCAAAGCGTAGGGCATTGCTAAACAGGATCTTTTCCCGAAGGTCATGTCGGTTTCTCTGGTCCGACTGCTATTCTGGTGTTGTCGTAGTAAACTCTTTCTTCGTCCCTGACGTCAAGAGGCGATGCTGGCTGCGACGCAATCGGGTTCGGTCTTCGATCCGGGCTGCTGTATAGATATGTGGCGTAAAGGACGACGACCATGCCCAGGAGGAACTGCTAGTGATTAGCTTCAGGCCCGAAAACACTATGCTAATTGCGGACACGTACATTCAGGGTGATCGAAAAGTCGAACAGCCAAACGCTTACCAAGAAGCTGATGATAATGCTTATGCTTGTTGCAAAGTTTTTAGCAATATTGTCCGCATAATTGACGACTAACGCAACAAGCAGACCGCCAACAGCCTGAAACGTTATAGCTGTCCAGACCACCCAATTGTAACCAACGAAGAAGCCGTCTCTCGAAATGGCCGCGCCGTCCTTGACAACGACGCCGATAAAGAAGGCCGGGAAGAGAGAGTAGAAGGACAACTGGACGTTGCGCACCCACAGCGTGACCTGCTTGCTGTCTTTGAGAACTTTCTCGAAGTACACGCCTGCAAGGCCAGATATAGCACAGGCAATGACTACAGCCATCAAGCCAGCGGCACGGTTCATTTCCGCGTGTCCATCCGAAAGGTCGCGCGCAACCTTCTTGCCGTCGCGCCCATCGTCAACAGGGATCTGAACGATAGCAACGCCGACCATCAGCAGAACGAGAGAGACCCACTTCTTGGTGGATAGCGTCCTGTTCAGCATCATGACGCTGAAAAGAGCCGTCGTAAGAATCTTGAGCTGGTAGGTAACCTGGAAGGTTGCGGCGTCCAGGTTGCTGACGGCGATGTACTGCAGCGAGTTCTGCAGGGTGTATAGAGCGGCGGGAATAGCAAGCTTCCAACTGTCGCTGGTGAAGACGGCAGTGTAAAGCAGTCTGAACGCTTCTGGCGAAGCCATAGCCACACCTGCCATGTCCGCCTGATCGTGGAGTGCGACACCGAGAGCAATGGCCAGTTTGAGGACTTCATTTAGGAAAACGGCGGTCGAGGTAAAGTATCGGTGGCCGTCGATGAGAGGCATGATGCGCGAGTAGTGCATGACCTTTGGCGATTGCAATTAGCGTTTACAGTCTCGTCACGGCGCAGGGCAGCCAAACCAGTATGAGCGCTGCATTTTGGATAGCGAGCTATTGATCCACTGAAGTCAGCAAAGAGGCCAGCGACATGGCCGGACATGCTTTTCTCTTACCGTCGCGAGCGACAGGTAACTTAAGGGGATCCCGCCGAGGTGCGTCCTCTGCGATGAGGCTGCCATCTTCGTAAAGGGCGCGAGCAGGACAAGGACTGGTATATGGAGACCTCACAGGAAGCCTTATTGCGGGAAGTGTGCGTAGCAAGCGAGCGTGGGCATGAACGAGAAAGAGGTTTTGTACGAAGCACCGTCGTACCAAAGTGGAGTGCGCCGTCGCGTACGGTTTCGGTTCGGCGTCGAGCTGCCTCAACCAGAAGTAGACATTGTCCAACAAACAGGAGGGATAACAAGCAGAAAGAAAATGAAAATTCAGTGCAGACCAGATCGCGCGGCTCAGAGGAAAAATAATAACTACGACGCCGGTCCCTACACGATGCTCGGTCAGACAATGCGTATTTGGACGTCTGCGTGTGCGGAATGGCGCGTGTCAAACGAAGTAATATGTGAGCGACCGAGCCCCCTTTCGTTCCACCGCCGTTGTTGGCCAAGCGCAGCCAGCAAAAAAAGGACAGCAGGCCTTGGCGAAAGGCTCCGCTAACTCCAAAAAAGAAACCAAGCGGCTTGCTGACCTTTTCCCTTTTCTCAGCCGCAAAAATAGCACGCGGCCTGCCCCGTCTTTGCATCCGTAGGGCTGAACGAATCATTCGTCTGTCCGATGCTCCGCCTTTTCTTCCTCTGATGGCAATGGCGCGCACGCCGGGGAAGGGGGAGGAAAGGAAAACCCCGGCGGCCCGCAACCCTCTTCCCTCGCGAGTTTTGCTTCCACGGGTCTATCTCCTTTCGCCGCCTCCTGAACCGTGATCTCTCGGGCGCGCCTGGAACAGGCGAACCGGGTCCAGAGGAAGGCCGGGGGTGGGGGGCGACATTGCACGTCTTCCAGCTCCTCGAAAGGCGTCTGGCCTCCCCGCGTCCCACCCGGTGCTGAACGGAGCAGCGCGCAGAGCATCAACGTCGCTCAGCCGACAGCTAAACCGCCCGATGTGCCAGGTTGAACCACCTCTGCCGTCGAGATGCCCACTCGCCAAGCGGAGAAATTAATAACTGGTTTGACCGAAGCGACACTGTCGCGCGTTTTCGCCTTCGCGTGAAGTCATGGTTACGGATAAAAATAGCTCATGTGCTTGCATGCGCTTTCTATAGCAACACAGTTTTCAAAGAAGAGCATGTGGGACTGGCCAAAGAGGGGCGAATAGTACAGTAATCAGCTGATGCACTCGTGTTCGAAGTTCGTATTCTTCTACATGCGAACCTTCTTTCTGTACAATTAAGCACGTCGCATGATAGGTTGACTGCCTCCGCTCGTCAATTCGTCAGCGCGTGATCAGCAATCAACCAAATAGCGATTGTCTGCACATATAGCAGCACATCATCGCTAGGTAAGCCGCCAAACTCGCGCCCGTATCCTGGGCATGCAAATGTAACCCACCCATCCCTCTTAAAAACTCAGTAGCTCATACAGCAATATGTTGACCTGCCTTTTCTTCTGCACCTCCAGGTGTAACTGTGAATGCATCTCGTCCCCTTTTTACTCACAAATCTTGTGACCCTGTTCCGCTGAGTAGGAAAAAGAATTACTTTATCGATATCTCGTGCTTTCCCTCTCGCCCTCGCCCCTCCCAATGTCGCCGTCATCCTCGTACTTGTAGCTGATCTTCCGAGGCTTCGTCCGTTTCTTCTCCCTCGAACTTGTTGGGCCATTCTCGTCTTCCCCACCACCGGTGTCTGCCCAGCTCCTTTTCTTTGTCAAAGTCCCTACAGCCGCATCGGAACCCTTACGTCGCGAGAGCTCCTTCTCGATTCGCGCTTGTTGAGCTTTGCGACGTTCCTCTTCATACGGGTCGACGGGTTTGTCTTCCTTTTGTGCAGCGGCAGATGTAGGTGTCGCCGACTGTGATTGTCGACGCGACGTGGTTGTAGGTTTTGCGTTTAAGCTTGTAATGTCAATTTTGATTCGAGAAGTGGCAGAACTCCGATCGCCACGCGGGCCTGTCGGTGGTTGCATCTTTTTAGTGTCGGCAGGAAGAGCATTGACTGTTGTATCAGGGGTTGGGCCGGCCTCAGCTGTTGTCGCTCCATCAGCCTTAATCCGCTCTCGCTCCTTGTCCCTTGAGCGGCCATGTACTCTAAAGCCTTGCTCCAGTTGCTTCTGCACGCTTGTACCATCGGAGCGCGAAGGTTTTGATGCGGATGTCGATGGTCGGAGGCTCTCCTTGTCCCGCTGCCCACGTTCGAGCTCCTTGTCTTTCTCCTTCTCTCTCTCCTTCTCTCTCTCCTTCTCTCTCTCCTTCTCTCTCTCCTTCTCTCTCTCCTTCTCCCTCTCCCTCTCCCTTTCCCTCTCCCTCTCCCTCTCCCTCTCCCTCTCCCTCTCCCTCTC